TCAGGCAGACTCGATATTCCCAAGTTGGAAAGGGCCCTTGAGGCAGTGACACAACGCCATGAAACCCTCCGTACCATTTTCTATACCAACGAGGAGGATGGCCAACCCGTACAAGGCATTATCGAGAAATCTGCATTTAAACTGAACGTGACTCCGGGAATTACTAGCCCGGCAGATGTCAAGAGGGAGTTTGACCAAATTCACAAATATCACTACAACCTCGAGACAGGGGATACCTTCATCGCTACAATCCTGTCACACAGTTCTGATTCTCATACCATTATCTTTGGGTACCACCACATTATCATGGACGGTGTCAGTTGGCAGGTATTCCAGCAGGATTTGGCGAAGTTCTATAACGACCCGAACTCACCAACACCACTGCCAACTCAGTATATTGACTTCGCTTTAAAGCAGCAACAGGACATGTTGAACGGATCCTATGCTGAAAGACTCACCTTTTTCCAAGACGTGCTTTCCAAGCCGGTCGACCCATTGCCCCTCTTCCCCTTTGCTAAAGTCAGCACACGCAAATCATTGAGACAGTACGCGGTTAAAGATGTTATCACGCACGTCAACGCTCACGTTATGGGCGCACTGAAGAGGGCGAGCCAAGTCTCTCGGACTACATCTTTCCATTTCTTCCTCTCAGCGTTCCAAGTTCTGCTTCACCGATTGCTGGGCACTGAACAGATGTGTGTTGGTGTGGTAGATGCAAACCGTTCGGATCAGACTTTCAGAAACAGTATAGGGTTCTTCTTAGAAACTATCCCTGTTTTGTTCCGAGTTGATAGCGAGCAGAAGTTTAGCGAGGTGCTTCAGACCACCCGCACCAAGGCATATTCGGCCCTTGCGAAGACCGGTGTTCCGACCGAGGAGATTCTTCGTGCTTGTAACATCCCAGCGTCAACAACTGAGACGCCGCTCTTCCAGGTGGTCTTGAACTACCGCATGGGGGCCAGTCGAACCTCTCCGATGCAAGGGGTGGACATGATGTTTCTGGATTACGCCGACGCTAAGCACCCCTTCGACTTAGTAGTGACCGTTGATGAGTTGGACGACGGCACGGCCATGCTTACGTTCTCCCTACAGGACTACCTGTATGACCAGGAGGGTGCAGAATTGCTTATGAACGCATATGTCCACTTGCTCGGCATGCTGTCTGAAGACACCAATCGCTCAGTTGGTAGCGTCCCTATGTTTCACACTGATCTGACGGACAAGGCTATCGCGCTTGGCACCGGGCCCCAGGTGGAACTTACTCCCCCATCTGCTGGCACTCTCTCCCAGATTATCAGTACCTGGGTAGACAGAAACCCTGAAGGTATCGCCATTAAGGATGTCAATGGGGGTATCAGAACATATTCGCAGTTGGCAGACAGGGCTAATGCTATCTCGGCCAAGTTATTGGCTGCCGGAACAGCCTCCCCGAAGCCCATCTGCGTGTTCCTTGACCCGGGGGTAGACACGATTGCCGCTATACTCGGTATCCTCCGTATTGGCGCAGTCTACGTGCCCCTTGATGTCCGCAGTACCGATGAAATACTGGCCGGCATTCTGAAAGAGTCCAATTCAACAATGGTACTCTACCATGCGGCTACTGCAGAACGGGCCAGGGAGGTTCACAGGATTTGTGGCACAGTCGAGCCGATCAGCTTCATTACTCTCGAGGAAGTGCCTCAAAATGTACAGGATAGAGTTCAGGATTCATCGACTGTAGACGGCCTTGCAATGATTCTTTATACGAGTGGTTCGACAGGAATGCCTAAGGGGATCCCACTCACCAACGGTAACATCCGGACCACTATCCTCGGTGTCTCCGACCGGGTCCAATTGGGCCGAGAGGTCGTGTTGCAACAGAGCGGACAAGGCTTTGATGCGGCTATTTTTCAAATTTTCATTGCTTTGGCTAACGGCGGTACATTGGTCATGGATGATAACCGCCGCGACCCCGCAGAATTGGCTGCTCGCATGGCACATGAGGGTGTTACTTGCAGCGTATTCATTGTCTCGGAAATGCAATCCATGCTGCAGTACGGATATGATCAGCTCCGTGAGTGCTCTACATGGCGCATTGCCATGGTTGCTGGAGAGGCTTTTACGACAAATCTCCTCGAGCAGTTCCGCAACCTTAACCGGAATGATCTGCGAATTATCAACGCATACGGCCCAACTGAAGCATCTATTTGCTCTTCCATGCATGAAGTATTGCCTGTTGGCAACACAATCGATTACAGCATTCCCATCGGTAAGGCTATTGCCAATTACAGTACGTACATCGTCGATGACCAGTGCAACCCTGTTCCCATTGGATGGCCTGGAGAAATTGCGATCAGTGGGCCAGGTGTCGCTAGTGGATATCTCGGTCTTCCTCAGCTTACTGAGAGAAAGTTTAAGGATCATGCCTCTACCAAGAGGCCCTCGGGCTGGGATAAATTTTACCTCACCGGAGATAAAGGCCGGATGCTCTCGGACGGCTCTATCGTGCTATCCGGACGTATCGATGGAGATGACCAGGTGAAGGTTAGAGGCATGCGGGTCCAGTTAAACGATGTCTCCCGAGCCATTTTGCAGGCATCCCGCGGTAGTCTTGTGGATGCAGCTGTTCTGGTCCGAGATGATAATAGCAGTAGGCAGCAGCTTGTTGCCTACGTTGTGTTCTCCAGAGCAAGCCAAATTCACGACCAGGGAGGCTATCTGCGTCAACTCAGCCAGGAGCTTCCGATGCCACTGCACATGCGCCCAGCAATGATGATGCCCTTGGATATTCTTCCAGTGACAGAAAGAGGTAAGCTCGACAAGCGTAAATTGGCGGCTTTACCTTTGTCACCGGCTTCTGTCGAGGGGGGGACTAGCGACCAACTCACCGAGGAGGAGGTTCGCTTGCGAGAAATTTGGAGACGTGTGCTAGGTGAGGCATCCTTCACTATGCCTATCCATCGCACCTCCGACTTCTTCTCCGTTGGTGGTAATTCCTTGCTTCTGCTCCCTCTCAGGGCAGAGATTCGCCGGGTATTTGCAATTGATCTCTCCCTACCGGAGCTTTTCCAAGCTAGTACTCTCGAAACGCTAGCCGCACGGCTCAGGGGCACTTTCCAGAATTCGCAGATCGACTGGGAAAAGGAAACCGAGGTGGATGAGCAGATGTTCGCATCACCCAGACAGACGACCTCAACTCGCAGTGCTAAGGGCATTTCTGTTCTCCTCACGGGAGCCACCGGCTTCTTGGGAACTGCTATTCTACGCCAGCTCGTTGAATCCTCCGACGTCACCCGCATTCATTGCGCAGCCCTTCGCCCCAATGGCCAGGGCGAGCCTCGAGAACTGGGCGCCGACTCGCCCAAGATCGTGCGTCATGCCGGCGATCTCGCGCTCTCCGATCTAGGAATGACCCAAGCGGAAGTGGATGATCTGCTCACCGATGTCGATGTTATTATTCACAATGGAGCCGAGGTATCACACATGAAAAGCTACCGCACCTTGCGAGCTACAAATTTCCAGTCGACCGTTGAACTCTCCCGTCTAGCCATCCGCGCCCAAATCCCGATCCATTACATCTCCACAGGCGGTGTTACTAGGCTGAGTGGCGCCTCGGTGCAGCCCGAGTCATCATTGGCGGCCTTCCATCCGCCGGCTGATGGCTCGGACGGCTATGTCGCGTCGAAGTGGGCGAGTGAAGTCTTTCTCGAGAAGCTTCATACGCAGTTCCGCGCGCAAATCTGGATTCACCGTCCCAGCAGTATTACTGGTGATAATGTGCCAGCCCTGGACATTGTCGACAATATGCTGCGGTACTCTCGATTGATGAAGGCTGTCCCCGATCTGACGGGCTCCACGGGAGCGTTTGATTTCATCCATGTTGACACTGTCTCGAAGGACATTGCGAACTGCGCAGTGGCAAGCACCAATAAGCAGCGACAGCCTGGCAACGTGCTCAACTATGTACACCAGAGTGGCGAGGTGGTTGTGCCGGTTGATCAGTTGAAAGAGTACTTGGAAGGTTCTGCGGTTGGGTCGTTCGGGGTGTTGCCGCTGCAAGTGTGGGTTAGTAGGGCACTTGGAGAGGGCTTGGATGAGGTTCTGGGCTCGTTCCTGCTAGCCTCCAATGGTGTGATCAGAGTGCCATTGATGGAGAAGAGTCGTCGAAATGAGTGAGTGGTCATGATCCATAGGCATATAGCGTTGAGATGGTTTATTTCGTTGTTCTTTTTTACATGTATTTATTGTCTTTGCCTACATTTAATATGAGGATACTTTCTTGAAATGTATACAATCTTTTAGAATACAAAACTTTGCAAAGTCCAATAGACCTTTGAGCTGTGTATGAGTTGGCCCTTGGACTACATTTATTTCTGCAGACTTCATACCCCGATAGTCACACAAAAACCAAAAGATCTAGAGTACAGCTCTATATCTTATTCCCGGGAACGATACTCCCGATGCCCGTGGAAATTCGCCATCAGAGTGCGTGTGAACCAAACGAGTTTGATAGATTCTCTTTCAACTAATCTTGAAAGATGATGTTAGGGTATGCACTAACCTGACTACAAATTGTGCTATGGAAGGTGGTACTATCAGCCGGTTACTACTGTTGAGGACACTCCAGCAAGCATGACCAGCGAATATAGAAGCCTGATCTTTTTGGCTTCCACCCAATGGTCTTTCCGTGACATCAAGCATGCCTTCCTCCTTTTCGCGGAACTTTCATGTTCCTCTCTGCCTCCCCAGACCATGTGATGTTGCATATACAAGAGCTGCTTGTTAGTCGACAACCATGGCCTCCCAAGACGGGTTTACTTTATTTTCTTTGGTCGGCTTCTGCTATTTATGTGCCGCTTGCTTCTAAGTTTGTCTTTGCTGCCCTTAAGTCCTATCAACTGTGTACGTCGGACCATAATATCTCATAGGTATCATCTCCAAATAAAGGCCACCAACTTATCTTCAACATTCGAGGGTCACTCCAACCACAAACTAGCTATTAAAGACGGAAGATCTTCTAAATGCAGAGAGAAGGCCCTCAATACCGCACAGACATCCAGAAAGTACTTGAAATTCCATAGTCCAACTTAAAGATAATCCAACCGCTGACAAAACACTTATGTTCTACCTAGATGATGTACATCCATGGAGAAGTCCCAGATCCTCTACCAGAGACAACGGACTTTATCAAGACCATTGTGCACGAACAGATGATTGAAATTGTACACTGTCCCCCCTCTTACTATTCTACTCTCGTCCAACTATTTCTCTAACGAATGACCATGCAGATAAAACGAGCCGCAGATATCACCAGCCTTCGATCCTCCCAGCAAATCACTCCCCTAGATATCGTCTTCGTCATCAGACATAACAAGCAGAAAGAAACCCTTGTCCAGAAGCACGTCAAGTTTACTGAAATTCGCAAGACCATCAAGTGCGACAGAAAGGAGAAGCGGGTTTTGACGCAGGAAGAAAAGAAAGACAGTAACCGCACTGGCGCAGATCTCATACTTCCAGGCTATACTATTCCGTTTCTCAACGAGACAGTGATCAAGTGTGGTGACGACTCTGTGGACAATCTATCCGCGGCGAACGACGCCTATCAACAACGTCTCGCGGACGCAGATGAACGCACCCGAAACATGTCCGAAGCAGAGTATGCCAAGTGGACGGGTTTTCGGCGGGCATGGTTCACGAAGGGCCGGAAAGAGCGATTCGGCGAGTGGTTGGGCCTAGAGAGCATGACGGGGGTGTCGCTGCATGACGACGTTTTCGAGGTCCTGAGTTTGCTGGCGTTTGATGTCGTGGTGAACGTGACCAAGGAGGCGTTGAGGGTCAAGGAGGTTGAAGTTCGAGAGTGTCTTCGAGAAGAGACACTCCGTGCCTTCAACGATCCGTTTTCTTTAAGGTCGCAGGATCCTGTCCAGCCTGATCCGCTTCAAGTCAGACATGTTCGTGATGCATTCAATCGGTTGCGGGTGAATCCGCGCCAAGGGGTTGCGAATCTTCTGATCAGAGGACACAGAGCTCCGAATGTTCCAGATGCCTTGGTACGTATGATCTTCGAATTCTATATATAAATTATCGACATGAAGCTGAGACGACGTTATAGATATGAAGCTCTCCATGTTCATACCGGAGCATAGAGGGTTGGATGCTAAGCATGTTGGGGAGTCACAAAGAATGGCATCTTTATAGCATCATATTATTTCGCGAAGTTCTTCCTTATTATTTTCAGAGTTACGAGCCTCGCCGTCTTCCGCATGATCAAGGGTAATGTTTTCAAAAACCTACAAAAGCAAGCTGCCTAGAAGCTTCCAATAAATGAAATGAAGCCTCCCCCTTTAACAAGTTGTCAATACCAACGAAGAACATTAACTAAAAGTACACGATAACCGATTCATAACGATTGAAATCTATTTCCGATACCACATCCTCGTCACCTTCGTCCTCCTCATCTTCTTCTGCAACTGAAATATACCATATAGAAATGCCTCCGGCGTCGGCGGACACCCAGGAATATAAACATCCACCGGAACGATCCGATCAACACCCCTCACCACACTATAGCTGTAATGATAATATCCCCCACCATTGGCACAGCTACCCATACTGATAACCCACCTTGGATCCGGCATCTGGTCATAGCATTGCCGAAGAGCCGGCGCCATTTTGTTCGTCACGGTCCCGGCGACAATCATGACATCGGACTGGCGAGGAGAGGCGCGAAAAATGATCCCCAGTCGGTCCTGGTCGTAGCGAGGCATGGATACGTGCATCATCTCGATGGCACAGCAGGCGAGCCCGAAACTCAAGGGCCATAGGGACCCCTGTCGAGCCCAATTCACGACTTTGTCGAATGAGGTGCTATTGGATTGTCTGGTCAGCGTATTGGCTTTATGGTTGTCTGGAGGTTTTGTGTCCATACAGCACATATTCGGCAGCATTGGATGGCTTTGGATCCGTGCGAGCAACTGTTCGAGAGGATGGGAACTGCTTGGTTAGGGATTCACTAGCAACGAGGGCGTTTGTTGCTGAATGCTTTCGTCTGTAGGGTTGCGATTGCGGGATGGTGGGAGCGGAGACCATGACAGGCGAAAATAGAGGCGCAAGATGTCCTTAACGATTAATATTAGCAAGCTAACTATGGGAGATTCTGACTCGCAACATACTCTGTATAAGTCTGGGTGACGGTCGAGACATCATTGTGAATTTATTGCGTTCTGGGTGTAAGCCCAATAATCGGCACAAACTGGGTGGAAGTGTATCAACAGTAGGGCGAGCCCGGTGGTACAACAGGGACTTGGGTGCAATGGTTTGACTTCTTTTGGGAAGATTTTGGAGAGAAGACCAGGGGTCAAGTATACAATTGGGCCTTGCGCCACCGAGTGGGTTTTGTCCGACCAAGTGGGATTTCCCCGACTAGTCCTGTCAGCCAACAGTGTAGACTTTTAACACAATCAGTACATCCTGGCGTTTGAATTTCCACAGTTAGATTCTAATCGCACATCATAGACCAGATAAACCTAGTAGTTATATCATGGAGAAAAGTGCATTTAAAGCTGTGAATTCACAACCGCAGGGCTTGGAAGGCTTGGAAGGAGGGACCCACCAGCCGCTCTGGTCGGCCGCGGAGGCGAGGAAACCTGCAGTCTCTGACAAGCTTCTCATCATCACCCCACAATCATGTCCTCCAGTACTTCCACCAGGCAGTATCGCTGTTCACAGTGTGGGCGGGGGTACTTGAGGTCCAGTCATCTCCAGCGTCATCAAGCCACCCGTAAGACCTCTTTCAGAGCGTGTAAGCTTGAAGACTGAGGTGATCCATTTAGACTTCACGGCCGAACGGAAGGAGTGTCCATTTTGCCATCGTCAATTCATCAGAAGGTAAGCCAATGCTGCATCAGGATAGTTATTTTCTACTAATAGATTGTAGCGATGTTTTGCTTCGTCATTCTCGAGCCTGCAAACATAAGGATGTCCACGCAGTGCCGATGGGGCAAAAACGGGGTAGGAAACGAACATCCTGCGACCAGTGTTCCCAGACTCACACGGTGTGTGATGGGGAGTGTCCATGTGAGGCGTGTCTTGCTGCATCTGTGGATTGCTCCTACAATGCCTTAAAGCAACCAAATCCATCACCTTCTGTGCCCATAGAGCACCAATTTGCCGAGCCCGAGGTGTCCGTTCGGGAGGCTGGGCAAGAATCAACCAACCCTTCCCAGAAAATATCCATTCCCTTTCTTCTAAACTATACCAATCAGTCGTCGAAGTCATCTTATGATTTGCACTGTATTCTAGGAGGGGAATCGTCGGGCTTTACAGATGACAGTTTCCCGGCGTCTGCCGACTCATTCACAGACCTTTGGTCCTCTCTGTTTCGCGCTTTCATCAACCCATCTGCCATAGAGCCGAAGCTATACGATACGGCTCATTATTATGGATTAGATGACCTGAACGGGCTCGCTGACACAATCGAACGGCTTGAATCGCATCTCGAGCGTTGCAATACAGGAAGCCTGAACCCTCAGCAAGTTGACATCTCGGAGGCTAAATCATTCTTCTGCAACTCACGACTTGGGGAATACGTGCATAGTTTCTTCGACCACTCTTCACACACAAATTGTATCATCCACAGGGCTTCCTTCAACGTAAATAAAACCTCGACACATCTTCTTCTAGTGATCATTTTACTGGGTGCAGTTTGCATGTCGCCTGAGGATGCTGTGGCTGCCCAGAATTTCTCAGACCTGGTGCAGCGCTCTGTTCTTGAAGGTCCTGACTTTCAGCGGATGCTCTATATCAAGCACCCGCCACGGTCAAAGGACAACATCCAACTTGTCCAAGCGGCATTACTCGTGACTGTGTTGCAATCTGGTAAAGAAGAGTTTGAGGTTAACAGACGTATTCATACCCAGTGGTTTCCAGCGCTAATATCCGTTATACGATCACTGGGTTTGACGCAAGAAATGAATGGCATTGATCCTCGTAGACAGGAGGCTAGCCTGGACGATTACATATACCAGGAGATACTGGTGCGGTGGGTTGATTGACACAAATCGCATTCTTGGCATCACGGCTAACAATGTTCATAGAATGATGGCATGGGCATACCTCCTTGACTCCTACAATGTCATCTTCTATCGCTCGTCACCACAATTCAAAATGATCGAGGCCGGCTTCGGCCTTCCGCGAAACGACCCACTATTTGACGCCATGGACCCCGTGGAATGCGAAAATACAGCGGCTCAACCTCAACATTCACCATGTTCTCTCAGATCAATAGTCCAGCGACTGATGGATGAAACTCCCGTCCAACCAAAAGAGTTACTCAAGCATATTGACACCTCATTTGCACTCTCTCTAATACTTAGTGGTATGTAGCAGAAATCTCAGCTTTATGGAGGGTGTCAGCTAAAATATAGGCAGCTATACACTCCGTTTTGTTCGATATCCAAGCGCTTGCAGGCTGCATAGATACTCTCGCGGCATTGAAACCTATCCAGCGTGCATTAAACAGATGGAAGGAACTGTACGACTTGCTTCACTCCGAAACCCACGCCTCCAAACCATTAAAAGCCGGGTTCATGGAACACAGTCTTGAGTTTTGGTGGCTAGCAAATGAGTTCGTTCGGCGTCCTGAAGTGGCCTTGAATCAGGAACGGTTTGCTGCGGATTCTATCGCGAGCTTTCATGCTACGGTTCAGGACCTGAAGGGTGCCAATGCAAATATATGAGCTCATGTCACTTCGGTCGCCGACCGCTGGTGTTTTATCAGTCAGCAAGAGTTAAGAATTCCAACTACACCACCAAGGACTGTCTCTTAAATATGACGATTTCAATTTCCAGACCCTTAGAGAAGTTTTCTGTGCCTTTACCGAGTCCATGAGCCCCCACTCACCTATGGTTGCCCTAATTATGTACTTTCGTTCAACAACTCATTGTGTTTAGTTAACGACCATGGCCTGGATTCCTCCCTTGCGCCATTGCAATGCTACCTTGGAAAGCCTTTCAACTGACCGAAATCTCAAAGACACCAAGCAACCCTCCTCACGTGCTCTTCTGTTCATCGTCGCCAAACCTTCGGCACTCCAATGTTAATCTTACCTAGATTAAAAAGCCCTCCCTAGGGAAATGGCTAACAAGGTAAATCGACTATCCTCAGCTTTGAATGCAGTTCTGATTGATAGGCCGATATTCATAACTCCTGATAGTTGATGCGGTCTAGGCAACTGCGGTTTTTGATTACGCGGTTTCTATGCATATTTGCGATACTTACCGGCCCAATATTTATATTGGTGTAGTTAACTGAGAGCTCTGAAGGTAGTGACATAGGGCGTTCAGAGTCATTAATTTCTGCGTTGAGCATCAATTGCAGCGGATTCCGGCTCCGTGTCGGTGAGAAGCCTGGACGAGGGTTGGTGGTTAATAGTCCGATTGACATGAGCCTATTAGAGTATCCCTTGCTTCCCATTTGGTGAGAATCTCTCGCCTTAAATTAATCTACACCGATTCTTGAATTTCCTTCCTAAGCTTTTACAACATCAATAGACCGAGGTCTCTGTGCAGAAGTGTACCGGACGCGAAATACATGCACAACTCTCGTGATACACGAGCTCGACAAGGTCGCTATTGTCATATTTTCTGAAATCTTACCAGAAAGGCTATGTTCCCGGGAAGACTGATGATATGACCAGTTTCCTGATTATACTCGCTCGTGGATAATCCCCGCAGCCACGCCACCGAATGCTGGAAATTATTGTCCGGATAGTCCAAGATAATGGGCGGGGGTGTGGTTCTTTCTACGTGGCAGCCATAGAAATGGGTCTCAACTTATTGGCAGTATTTATCTCCAAGTTCTGAATAGCAGATAGTTCAAATTCTCAACCATCTCATGTTCTCATAACAATCGGCAGTTGAAGAATCGGCACCATCGTAACTGACATTACTCTACTCTTCCATGACCCTCTCCTTGCATTCGATGTTACCATGTCAAACCATCCACAGTCAAACCCCCCTGCTTGCGCAGGAGACATGAAGAACGAGCTTCCACCCCTTGAAAGACAAACAGCCCACTCGCCGCCGCCGCCACACAACGGCGGCATCGCCTGGCTGTCAGTCCTTGCTGGATTCCTGGCATTCGTGATTGCCTGGGGACCCGCCAGTGGATGTGGCAGCTTTCAGGACTACTATGAGACACAATTATTGACGCAAAGCTCACCCTCGAAGATCTCTTGGATTGGCACGACGAATGTATTTCTGCTTATTGGAACCGGCGTCTGTTCTGGGCCTCTCTTTGACCGTGGCTATGGAAGGTTTATGGTTTGCGGCGGCTGCGTTACCGTCATATTTGGAATGATGATGCTCTCCCTGTCGCAGAAGTATTACCAGGTCATGCTCAGTCATGGAATTTGCGTCGGCCTCGGCGCAGGAATCACATATATCCCCATGCTGGCATTAGTTAATTGCAACTTCGTCGGTGCAAAGCGGGCGATTGCGAACGGCGTGGTCGCCTCTGGAGGAAGTGCCGGTACGTCGCATTGCTTCCCTTTCTCTACCCCCAAATCAGCAATAAACCTGCATGACCACTCCATACTTATGACCTATCAGGCGGTGTCATCTTCCCCATCGTGTTCCTCCGACTACTCCCTCGTCTCGGATTCCCCTGGACCGTGCGTATCCTCGGCTTCCTCCAACTCGGCTGCTTCTTCACCATCCTCCCCATCATCTTCCTCGTCCCGTTCCCAGAATCCACCAAAACCCGCAGCCTCATCCACTGGGACGCCCTCCGCCAACCCGCCTTCTCCTGCTTCGCACTCTTCACCTTCCTCGTGCACATCGCCTACTTCGTCCCCATGGTCTTCGTCCCCGTCTACGCCATCCAGCAGCTCAACCTGTCCCGCGAAACAGGCATGTACCTCCTCGCAGGGCTGAACGGCGGCTCCGGCCTCGGCCGCATCGGGAGCTCGCTGGTCGTGCACAAAGTCGGACCCACCAACATGCTCCTCCTCGCGGCGTCGGTGTGCGGCATCACACAGCTAGCGTGGATATCCGTCGCGAATCTAGCCGGGCTGGCGGTCTTCAGCGTCATGTTCGGGATCTTCTCGGGGATCATCATCGCCACGCTTCCGCTTGTGGTGGTCCATCCGTTGATATCCCCGCGTTGTGGCGTGATCGGGACAAGAATGGGCATGGTGTGGTTTGTAGGCGGCGTGGGGATTCTGATCGGGTCGCCGATTGGGGGAAGTTTGACGTCGGAGACGGCGGTGAATCACTTCCTGGGGTTGCAGGTTTTCTCGGGCGTCGTTATGTTGGCGAGTTTGGTCTTTTTGTCGGTTACGGTGGCGATTTTTCAGAGGCATAGGGAGTCGGTAGGGTAGAGGTTTAGCTTCGGGGGTGGGCTTTCTGTAAGGATTTGTGCATTCTTGTTTATAAAGATTTTGGTTTAGATTTTGGTACTTCATGGCTACTAAGAGGATTATTATTGCAATCAAGTGACATATGCAGTCTGTCAGCAGTAATAAGAGCGAGGGGAAATATGATGTCCCGCGACCTCTCCGCGAGTTGTCTGCATCGATGGACAGTTGACACCATTCTGTAGAATAAATTTCAATTTAATATGCCCCGTTCCTTGACTAAGAATACATTTTTGCGCAGTCAAAACATTCAAATCAGATCCATCCAACACCATTCATGATCATTACATTCGTCAGTGCTCTCATTAAGTCTAGTTACGAGTTAACCTCCACTCGATATCACCCTCGGCAGATTTCGCGGTGACAACATAAGAGTCATTCGGATACTTCTGGGGATCACAGACAACCTTGAGGCTCGTGATATCGACGTCAACTCTATCCAAAAGGAACGGCCATGACGGGATGACGTCGGTCATCTTGGACTTGATCATATCGAAGGCGGTGCTGAAGACGAAGCACAGCCCGAGCCCGCCAAAGTCTTGTCCAAATATCGACCAATCAACTAGTCTCTGGGCTTTTGTGCGGGGAAAGGGCTGGTAGACGGGGGCGCAGGCTTCAACGCTGTAGACGTATACCGAGCCGCCTTGGCCCTTGGGGAGGGTGCACGGTTCGTAGACTACCAGTAGGGCGTTGTCATCGGATATGGCTAGCTGCGGGGTGTCGCAGCTGGCTGCTGGGAGGTTAATCGGGTCCCAGCGTGGGATGTTTGTGAGGTGGTAGTCGTTTTGGCGAGAATAGGTGCTGTAGTTGTAGTTGTTGTCTGGGTTGAGGGTGGCTTGTGGGAGAGCGTGGGCCGGGAGTGTTGAAAGTTGAGGTTTGGAGGAGCGACTTTGAGGCTTTGCAGTGTAGGGCTGGAATTGTTTCGATGGGAGAAACCGATGAATATTCACGGATTCCACGCTTCCAATGTGAGCGGGTTGGTAGAAAGATATATACCCCATGCAATAGCAATCTACATGTCCGGTTTGGAGACATGCGGTGAAATATCGTCGCTCCTCGCTTCTCCTGTCCACTACGCTGCCAGGTTCTTCGGGTAATGGGAAAAGTCGCAAGCCGGCCAGTACTAATCTCGTCGTACTTGATCGACTGAGAGACCTCGCTAGTTCGATCGAATCTAGGTAGGTATTTCCAATGTACTTTCGCCAATAGATCATATCAGCCTTTTCTGAGGCGTGTGATGGTAGGCCGAGATAGCGGACTCGACTTGGTTGCTTGTCAATGACTAGTCGGAGCAGTTTATCGTCGTCTTCGAATTCCAGCGACTCGATGATTCCATGTGTATTGTCGTTGATCACATACTCGACCGGGGATGTCTCCTCTGTTTGTCGTCCGCTCAAGGCGCTAAACATCTGGATCCTTTTACCAAATCCTATAGCCAAAATACGTCCCTCTGAAGAGAGAGCGAGATGTGGCTGCATATTAGGCTGATGTTTTGCCATCCACCGATCGTGGCATCCATCAGACAAGGCGCGACAAACCGATGTCCAGAGAGGGTAGAGCGAGGAGGCGAGTGGAAACTGGAGTAGTTGCTGCTTGATATCGTTCTCGTCCACGTATGTCCGCGATCCTTTCAATCCGGCGGATGTCCGACCAGGGTATGCCTGTCTCGTAGTCGCAGGCGCTATATAGTCAAGCGTTCGTTGTCGACAGCTCACTGTCCTCTCCACGTGATTCCGGAACCCTAAGAGATTGATCTGCGCGATCTGGTCGAGATAGATGCTCCATTCATCCTCGTCCAGCTCGCGAATCGTTGGTGGTAGAGCGACAGGTATTTGCTGCACCGTCTTGTGCGTCATAAGAGAGCTAGACGCGGCGTTTCTCCATGATTTACATGTCAAGCGTGCAGCAAGGTACGTCTCCACGTCCATGTGCAGAAGGATAGCCTGGATGATCTCCACCGGCAGCATCGTCGCCATGGATGGCTGATAAAGTGAAGTCATGATATGGTTGCAAGAATACCATGCGAGGAGAGCAAGGGGGAAAAGAAAACATGCGTTTTATTTGCCTCGACAGGGAAAGGGGCTCCCTTTTCAAGAGACACCGATCATGCGGTGGTCCTTTGCGGCGCTCTTGGGCCTCGGCAAGCAACGAACCACAGAAAGAGCGGTCGGTGTTAGCGTTGCACGAAAATCGAACAGGTGCATCCGTAATTTCCGTTCCCTGCTGGCGTTGCAAAGCCGATAGATCGGGCGCCAAGCCACGCTGCAAATGCGTTATGTTGGCGCCTCCGTTGGATTCGTGGACCAAATCGGTGATCGACACCACCGCCGGCTCTCGATTCAATAAGTTGCATGTCATGTGTGGATACCCAACCCCTCTTTCCGTGTGCCTTTCTCTGTATCTTGGGTCAGTTGATCCGGTGGTTCCATTCTGGCCTTGACTTATTCCAAACTCTGTTCTAGCTACCACGGTCTCCGAGCGCCGATATGACACCTTGACCCCAGGACTCGAGTCAAGCAGTAAGTAAAAAGACAGCATCAAAATGAAAACAAAAGAAATAAAGTGCTGACGGATTCGTTGGTGGGTTATCCGCACTGCTAGCGCTCCACTGCGTCGCACAAATCAGTCCTGTCAGAAAGGATTCATAACGTGGCACAATATACGACTATACGAGCCCTCGTCGGTTTTATGCAGGCGATATCATCATACAGCCAGGTAGCCCTCAACCCCTTGTTAGACCTCCCCAATTGGCCCGTCATCAAACCCACATACAGAAGATCGTATCTGCCAAGTACAGGCTAATAATAGGAATGAGGGGATCACCAACTCCCGCCCATTTCCCTTGTTGATCCTACGTCATCTTTCAAAGTCTTCACAGTATGCACAATCTCAGTGGTACAATCATATAGATAAGATCGTCTTAGCTATGCCTTGGGCCATTCGGATTTCTTCGCTTGTCTTCAGGATGAAACTTACCCGTTCACTTTACTATAATTAGGAACAGAAATACTTCCGCCTTGAAGCCGCGTACAACAGGAATCTGACTGTTTGTCGATCTCGGTTTCTTTCGCCTGGGGTATTGATTCGGGCTGAGACTGTCTTGCTTCAACGGGGCTTCGAAAGCTTACTTGCGTCTATTACTGGCTGGAGATGCTTCTACAAGCACAATTGGTTATGCTTCATGTATTGATCAGTGCTATGCGAATAATACATATCAAGACGCAGTCTATCTATACGTCTTTACATGCGATCGGTGCGACCTTGTTTGATGAGAAACAGAGTAGATAAAAGAGAGAGGGGCATGAGAAAGATGTAAGGTACTAATCCCCAAATACGGGAAAGATCACCATATCAGGCTATGCCAGGTGCCTTGGATATTTTTCCAAGTTAAGCATTCATTCTCGATCTCTCTTTTCGCATTGACGTTATTACTCCGGAGTAGAAAATGCACCGATCAAGGCCCATTTATTATTTCATCATGGCATGCATTCAGCTCAATTTCTGCATCCTGAAGTTCTTCGTAGGCCTTAAGTTGCTTTTGGGCCCATATTTGTACGGACCGCAGTAAATTCCCTTGAACGTTTGGTCGATTGCCTCTGGGACCTGTCCCACAGTAATTTGAAAATATCTGTCTCTCACCCCGATATATGGGAAAGCTTTTAGTATGTGCACACCCACATAATGGTGATTCTTCCTAGACTTTCGTTAGCACAATGATTCGCAATCTCAAATTTACTCAAGGTACATTACCAGGTAATCCCCTCGCACCGAGGCCCTGGTATTCCATAGACATTTTTTCTCGCCATCGAATCTGGCTTTCTCATTTGTGGCGATTAGCTGTCCAATTGTATTGAGTAAACCCCTCCAATTGTATGTGGTCCGGTATATCTATCGAGACGATGTTCCTTAACGCCTTGAGCCTCAAGCACCTTTCCCACTGGCTCCAGGGCACTTTAGATAATGCAGCTGTTCGGTCCTCGTGGAGGAAATGGCAGTGAATAGGATATAGATAGAAATTTGAAATGACGTGGAGGTTTTCTCTCTAAGGCGACGTCGCTGGTTGCAATAGTGCTTCCGTCAATATCTATGAGTCTGTAGTATGGTGCGTCGACTTTCGCCGATAAATACACTTGAGCAATCGCATGAAGACTGCAGGCGTTGAAGGGCTAAATGATCTGAGGAATAATACGTTTCGCCGTTCTTATGGTTTCTGTGTCTTGACAATCAATCTGATGAGCATCTGGCCAAGCTTGCTGTATATCAGGCTCGGATGCTTGTTTGCATTCATGTTAACATGGAGTCTTCCAAATGTACGGTGCACCCCAGGTAGTAAAATTAAAGAAACAGAAAAGAGTGAGTCTGTCCGAAAGGGTAGAATATCAACAGCCTTTTTCCAATTCACTTCTCGGGTGGTATGCTCTCACTATTTTAAATTCACAGTGCCTTATACCATGGAAAGAATTCACCCAAGGGGATCGAAACATTTCCATCTGCCAGGAATGAATAGGAATATAAAATCCTATACTCCGTACTCCGTACCCAATCCTAGGCTTCTCTTGGCACGATAAAAATAGCCACTGTCCGGAAGTGCATTAGTAAGCAGTCGCTCCTGGAAAAGCATCGTCTGGTCCTGTCCAGATTCCCCTGGAGGTGATGTGACATGTCAGACAGTGTCCCTGTGTCCCGCATTTGGTTTCAACCGGAACCCAATCAGACTACAAGTCTCCAGGTGCCATGAATGCCATCAATTGACAGAGGAATGAATCTCTGCAAGCGGCCACGGTGGGCCCCTGTGCACGTGATGCGGAGGCGGCGCTGCCCCTTTGCGGCCAACACGAAGAGTGAGGGCGAGAGAAAGTCTTTCGCTGTCCTCTCTCCTGCCTTGATTCCTTCGTCCTTGTTTTTCTGCTTTCTTATCGACTTTCCCTCCTTCTGCTCTTATACCATCTAATCAATCCATCTAAATTTTGATACTTATCCATCCGTGGGATCCGTGTGTGCCCTCTTCCAATTGCTCGCGTGGCTTGATGCTCCAACCTCTCTCGCCGATCCTCAAACGTTAAAACGCTTTTCTCGATTGTCCTTCCTTTCGTCGACTTTCCTTTCGTCTCCTTCATGGGCCATCGCCCGTGATTGACTCTCCTTCATACTTGACATTCTCTATTCTTTGCTGATCGGCCGACCGTCGCGGCTCACGATGAAAGTCCAACACCTCTCGCCATTTGTCCTTTTCCTCCTCCCCGCGCTATCGACAGCCTTTGCGGACCTTACTCCGGATAGCATTGTCCCTCATCGCCGCGCAGCTCTGGACAGCGACTCCATACCCCCTGATTTTGATGACTATGCTCCGGTCCGCGCGAACCCCAAGGTCGCATCAAAAGGAACGCAGGATGCCCCGGTTGATGGCAGAGACGGTCGACCTCACGCTGGCCCGTGGGTAGAAACCAATGCGGAGCGCGATCGTAAGAAAGCAGGCTCCGTCGTGCCTTCGGATGCCCCATCCGATCCCAAAATCGCTCAACATTTGGGCCCGGATGGAAATCCAATCCCATACTCGAATGACGGAGTGATGGACGATCCGAATCGGACGGGTCCGAAAGAAGGGACTCGGGGCACAGAGGGCGGAGTGTCGGGGAAATTGAAGGATTCATACTCCTCGGAGAAGACCCCTGATGCTCCTAAGGAAGCCCCTCCTTTGCCGCATAGTGAGAAGCCTAAGACTCCTTCTCAGGACAGCACAGATGAGTACTCCAAGGGTACTGGAGACTCTACCTTGGGAAAGCTGGAGGTACGTCGTCATGCTTTGAATTTCCCCCGGGATTCAACTGATGGAAATCGCTAACTCTCATCTCCAGAAACCTGCCGACCTGCCCGAAAAACCGCATGACATCCCTCACCCCAAGTCCCCGGCCCCCGTCAGCGAAGATCCCCTTGGTTTCGAGGCACCCAGCAGCTCTGCCGGTGCCACCCCCGGCGCAGCAGGGTCGGGAGAGCCAGAGAGCGACCCATTACACTCCCTTCTTTTCTCTTTTACCATGATCATCGTCTCCGAGATTGGCGATAAGACATTCCTGGTCGCAGCCCTGATGGCCATGCGTCATCCGCGCCTGCTCGTCTTCTCCGCTGCGTTCGCCGCATTGATCGGCATGACCGTGCTTTCCGCTATCCTGGGACATGCCGTACCGACACTCATTCCCAAGTCCTTCACCAAGATTATGGCCGCCGTCCTCTTCTTCGTATTTGGGTTGAAGATGCTGAAGGAGGGTCGCGAGATGTCGCCCGACGAGGGTGTTGGCGAAGAAATGAAGGAGGTTGAAATGGAACTGGAAGAAAAGGAACACCAGCAAATGCGTATGAATCGCCGCCGGTCTTCCGTCACCCCTCACTCTCTTGAAGCCGGTCGCGCTGGAGGACGTCGCAAGTCTCGGTCGTCTGCCCAACGTCTTCCTTCTCCTCCCGAGAGCCTTTCGTCTTCTTCCTCCCGGGAGTCGTCGCCCGCGCCCGGTCGCCGGCTCAACGACGTCTTGGTTGGTGTGAACAATCTTTTCTCGCTTCTTCTCAGCCCTGCCTGGGTTCAGACTTTTGCCATGACTTTCCTCGGAGAATGGGGCGACCGCAGTCAGATCGCCACGATCGCCATGGCTGCCGGTCAGGATTATTGGTGGGTCACCGTCGGTGCGATCACCGGCCATGGCATCTGCACCGCTGCGGCGGTCATTGGCGGAAGTGCCATCGCTGGCAGAGTCAGCATGCGCGTTGGTAAGCTTATTCTCCCCTGGCTATTTTCGGGTCTGTCTACTAACAATGTGAACAGTAACGCTTGGCGGCGCCGCGGCCTTCTTGGTCTTTGGAGCCATCTATCTGATCGAGGCCCTCTATTAGCCTCTCTTCCAACTCTTCTATAGCCTGTTTTAATAATCTTGGGTGATTTTCCTGTAAAATATAGAATTGGGAAGCCAATAGAGCCAGATGTATACATTATTGGAGGCTCTTTCCTGACTATGTGATAATGAAAAAGAATACAAATCATTTACGGCTGGCGATATCTCTTTGTGCTTTCTTGGTTGCTCACTCAAATCCCATACTTGTCATTCAGCGTCCACAAAATCAATCCGTTCAACCCCCAGTAACCTCGACAACGGCTCCATTCATATAACTGCTCCCCTCGCTAAACAAGAACACCACCACATCCGCAATTTCCGACGCCTCCCCCATCCTACCCAAGGCGACTTTCTCCCCCGCCCTTTTGACGGCATCCGCACCAGACACGTTCGCATCGTTCGTGGGCGTATCAATCGGCCCCGGCGCAACGGCATTGACTCTGATACCCTTCGGCCCAAACTCCGCAGCCAGCGCCTTCGTCAACCCTATGATTCCAAACTTGGTAGCACAGTAAACTGAGTATCCGGCGAACCCTTTCAACCCGCATATACTCGAAACATTGACGATCGCTGAGCCAGCGGGCATCAGTGGCGCGCAGGCCCGCGTCATATTGAACGTCCCGCGGAGGTTGACGTCGATTAGTTTGCTGAAGTAGTCGTCTGTCGTGTCGGTGATGGGTATCACGGTTGGGTTTATGCCGGCGCAGTTGAACAGGAAATCTAGTTTTAGGGCGTTGGAAGTGATGAAATCAGATACGGTGGTGCAGGCTGTACTGGATGAGATGTCGATTGCGAAGTATACGTGCCTTCTGGTGGGGTCTAGCGTCGCTTGGAGTTCGGTCAGGCTGGTTTCGTTGATGTCGCATGGTATTAGGTTTGCGCCCAGTGCGTGGAGTTTCAGTGCGGTTGCTTTCCTGTTGGCAGATATGGAGGTCAATCGTGGTGTCGAGAGATTCAATACCTGAGGTTTGCAAGAGACTCACCCGATGCCGCTGGCTGCGCCCGTGATAACTACCAGCTTGTCCTTGTAGTATTCTGCCATGATGCTTTGATGCCGGATCTTTCGCCTCGCAGGTTCCCGTGGTATTTGAGGGGCGAGTAGCACGATGGGTGTTTGAGGGTGCGAGTACCGGGCTGGAAACCCCGCACTGATGATATGAAGATTATAAATGCTGCATTGGAGATCGGAGATCGGGGTCGGAGCCGGGGAAATTGTCGATATCAGATGATGAGACGTTTTCCTCGATCGGAAACAATTGCAGAGTGTAGAGCATTCCGGAGGTTTGCGATTACTCCAGTTTCCGTTAAGCCAGAATGGTCGCTATATTGTTTGGTCTCCGGTTAGTATAGCTCGAGAACTCATCATTGTGATTTGGGACCGCAGAGAAACCTACTATTCTCAGTTGTTCTCAAGAGTCGAGGTGGTATCTAGCCCATTTCTGTTTGGAAACCCAGAGGCCTGGCCTGGGAGTAGACTGGTAGACTCATGGGCTGGTAGCATCGTTGCTACATAGCGAGGAAGGGCTGCCGCTGTCTTTCCGTCGAGAACCTAGATTTTAGGGTTTTGCGATTGCCCGTTGCTGGTTGAACTTGTCGAAAGACCATCAGCAGGCGTGGCTGAAGGCACCAGACACGGTGCCAGGAGGTCATAACTACCTGTTCAGTAGTCAATCATGTGACTTTTTGTCGATGGTCCGATAATCATGGTTCAATAATTCATGGTACGATAATTCATGGTCCCGAAATTCAGTGTCGGGGTTAGGGTTTTCGATGTATGTTTATGCCTCAGGCATCATTTTGTGCTGACATAAGCAAATACCCTATCTCAAGGCAGCGGCCACCCCAACGGCCACCAAACTTCTTCCCTCCTGCGTCGGCCCATCGTCCAGGGACTTCATCGTCAGTCGCCAACCTCCCTCATCCACTCCCATCATTTTCATCACAATTTCATTCACTTGGGTGCCGTGGTGGCCCCTACCAACACACTTCTACTTCACTTGACAGCCCCCGACCCACTGACCGCCTTGCTTGATGGCGCGCTCCCGGTCGCGCTCTGCTTCACGGCCGTACGAGCCTACGTTGAAGTCAACAAAGGCCGTATCCAACGCAAAGGCTGCCGTAGCGAGTCCATCTCGCAGAAGAGTTACCAGGAGCCAGAGTCGTGAGCCGGAGCTTTCAGGCTTGCAAAATGGGGATCTCAACGCCGGACGACCGTCTACGAATGCCCGTAGTTGGAAGCAAAACATGGGCAGAAACGGGAAGGGTAAGTTCTGTTGATGCCGGTTCCACGTCTTCTTGCCCTCCCTTGCCTGCGTTGCTTCGTTTTTTTAGTAGTGTTGTCTGTGGTTTACGGTCGCGTCGGGGAGATTTGGCTTGCTCCCCAGCGACTTGATCATTGTTTTTTTTTTTTTTTTTCTTCTTCTATGCTGTACATTTCTTGTGGCTTGTCTATTTGTTCATTTTGGTGTTCTCTCACGTTTGATTCTTTTTTTTTTATTATTCTTTTTTCTTCAACCCCCTTTCTACACCGCAAGTGTAAGCAACAGTTTCTCAACAATGTCTAGGTCTCGACGCTGTTGTGGAAGAATCCCCCGTCAGATCGCCCGCAAAATCGCCTCGCAAGTCTGGTGCTCGTCATGACAACCACACTGCGCCGGATTCGCCTGAGGATGCCGCCAATATCTCCGGCACCACTATTCTCCCTTCGGAGCCGGACACCAGCCTTGATCCAGAGATGATGCTTGAGTCTATCGGAGACCTGCTGCGCACGTCGAGTGACGTTTTGAAGTTGCTTGTCCCTGCCTCCACGGACCCTGTCAGCATCGTGAATTTAGCATCGAAGCTCGCGGACCCCAAGAATACCCAGAGCAGACGTCTTTCGCGCTCGAAGTCGAAGTTCGAGTCTGAGGCTAGCTATTTCGGGGGTCACTCGTATATAGACGTTGAAAGGAACAGCGAATTAGTCTGTTCGGCCTTGAAGAATAGGCGTGACGGGCTTGCTGAAGACTGGACTCCGTACCCGATGCAAAAGGCAAACTGTGCGCGTTTTGCCATTGAGGTGCTCCTGGCCAGAGCTGAAACGGATGCTCCAAGACAGGCTATTCAGCATGTCGAAGGTCTATTTCCATCAGTCTTCATGAGTGACATTGTTCATGACGGTCAGCTACCGGCAATGGGCGAAAGCTCTCTTGGAAAAGACACCTTCAATCTTGCCTTGGAAATCAGGACGCAATTCCTGATCGGACTAATGGAGGAACACCAAAACGACCCTGGCTTTGATCCTGATGCCTTGTTGCAAGGCACATTTCTCGTTGAAGAACTTCCTGAGGAGGTTTACGATAGCAGCAAAGCGCCACTCCGTGGATTCAACTTGACCAGTCTTGGTGGTGCTGATGGGTACCTTCCTTTCCACCCTTCGCGCTTTCGGGACGATGCTTATGATCGTTTCAATGAATTGCGACTAAACGTGACAGATGGACTAGTTGACATTGACGAACTAAAGAGCACGTATCGATGGTCAAGCTTCACTATGAAAGCTGCCCAGTGGATCCGCAAACGCAATGATGAAATTGACGTGCAATTAAGAGGGCGACGTCCGGCAGAGGACATCAAGGATGAGTACTTTGCTTCTCCTAGATCGGTTCCCAGAGTGAGCAGTATAGCTCCTCGCTCTGAAGCCACGCTGAGTCCTGCACGGATGGGCAGCGCGAGACCTTCTACTCTTGCTGCTGAATATCAAAGGATGACGGCTCGAGGCTCGCCTTTCAAGATAACCCCAAGCAGGTCGAGAATACCGAGCAATCTACGAATATCGGATAGCCATAGCATCAAGAATACGCCAAGTCCGTCCAGAGAATCCCCCATTCATCAGACAGCATCGGATGCTCCGCAGGAGCGTGATGATCAGGGAACCCTGAACACTCAAGGATCGCCAGTTGAGCGAACTGCCCCCGAACCTAGCACTTCGGACCACCCGGACAACCAGGAAGAGCCAAGAACTGCTCCTGAAATAAGAGAGCGGCGAAAATCGAAGCCGTATGTTCAATTCCGTCCCCACTTTGAGCCCACCTACTAACAGTTCGAAGCTCATTTCTTAACGCTTCCTCGATCGGCCGCATAATGCAAAGGCAGAGGCGAAGCTCCGACTTTGTTCAGCCCTCGTTGCAGGCAGAGGACGACACTCTCGTTTCTGAAGATCGTCGCAAAACATTGCCCGCTACCTCGCAGTCCAAAGCTGCCGACCCCGTCGAGCCTGAACGGCCCGCAGCACCCACGGCGCCCGTAGAGCCTGCCGAGATACCAGACACCATTATAGATAGTCCTCTTTTTGTGCCCCAAGACGATGAATTGCTCACCATTAATGATACCGGGTTTAGTCTCGATGCAGACAACTCGAGAATTCAGATCGAGCGATCTCACAGTCCCCCTGTCGGGAGCAAAATCAGTCACGAGCCCGGCCGTCAACGGGCGGACTCTATAGCAAGCATCCCTGTGAATAGATCCCCTGGTCCTGGGCTTCCTTCCGATCGGGAATTATGGCAAGCAACCAAAAAGCACGTCGCGTCCAATCCCGATGCGGCAAGGAGCAAGCACCCTCGAGCGGCTTTCATCGATCATCAGGAGAACGCACACCGAGTGTCGCCGATTAGCCACGGAGCAAACGCCAACGACACCCAAAGAACGCTACCTGTACCCCGGCCATTGAATAAGCGACGACGTGAGGAGTCGAACGATCAGGACGAAGACGAGGAGAGTGAGGGCGAGTTCGATAGGGACGCGCGCACAGTCGATGTCTCTCGCAAACGTGCAGCAAAACCAGCGCAGCGCACGAACAAGCGCCAGAGAATAGCGAATGAGGACGAGGAGCAAGCTGGCTCTTCCTCCGCGCCTCAGAATCAAGAGACCAGGGGACCGTCGCCAACCATTCCGTATCGCCTTTCTCAACCCTCAACCCACCAGTCGCACGTGCGCTGGACTCCGGCCGAAGACGAGCGGCTAATTCGCCTTATCAAGGAATACGAGTGCAAGTGGTCCAGGATCGAGCAGGAGAATGAGGCGCAGCCCGAAAAACCAGGCGAGAAGAGAATCGAGGCCCGAAACCAGATCCAGCTGAAGGACCGGGCGCGGAACTTGAGAATTAAGTATCACCGGTGCGTTTTCCTTTTTTTTTTTTTTTTTTTTTTGCCCCATATATTTTCTCTTTCAGTCTTGATGTGGGCACCACTAACGTCGTTCCAGGAATCAACAACCACTCCCAAAGAATTTCGACAGAGTGACTATAAAACAGGCGGACGTTGACAGGCTCGCAAAGCAAGGCATAATCGTTCCACGGTAGTAGCCGATCGCCCCCATCCGGGCGAAGTACAACTGGCTTACTTGCTTTTTTGTTTCATTTATTCCAACGTTCTATTGGACCTAACGTCAGCATGTCAGCATGGCTATACGATGATTTGTTGTTACCTTGATACCCCTGAACCGTTCTGTTGGAAAGCGTTGGAATTGTCTTTCTCATCTTGCTTTTCACTTGCTTTTTGTTCTCCGCTTCAGGATTTTTGTTGCCGGTTGACGTTTAGGTGTTTATATTTTGGATTGTAATTAATTATACTCAATGGTTGAATTTCAGTTTCTTTATATTTCTTCTATTTTGATCTAAGCGAGTGAATATTGTGGGTATCTCAAATACAAAGTCAAGTCAAATCGTACACACAACTCAGAGAAGTTCAGCCCTCCAGCTTGAAATCAACCAGCAACTCCAAGCCCCGATCCAACTCCTTCCTTCAACGTTTCGTCACAAAAGACATGAGCGAACAAGTCAACAATAAGCGAGGTCCAATTAAGTGTTCACTGTTCAGACCCCAAAACCCGGAACACGCCAATGCATGGAAGCCTTGGATCGAATGTCCAAGCCACAGACAGAATATTATACAAGGGTCAAGATTGATGGATAAAAAGGTAGCGAGAGAGAGAAAGAAAGAAAAAAAAAAGAAAAAAAAGGATTCAACACACGGAGTACTCCGTAGCGTCGGTCGGTCGGTCAGGCACAGGCACAGGCACCAACAGATTCCACCAACTAGAATTATAAGCTGTACAACCATCCGGTTCGTCAACACCATCAGACTACCATGAGAAGTAGACCGAATTCGAAAAGGGAGTGAGTGGGTGGGGGAGAAGAGAAAAAAAAATAAAAAAAAATAAAAAAACCCAACTACCGGGCCAAAGAGGATCCCCAATTAAATTAAAAGGCAGACCCCAGCACCAATGGTAGCAGGATGGCCCCCACAAGCGACCCAACAGAAGCCGGGCTAGCGGGAACAACAGCCACGTTAGACGAACTCTCGGGGTCGGCGCTAGACGAAGCGGACGAAGACGACGACGACGATGCCTGCGTCGCCGCGAGCGCGGACGCCTCGGCCATCTCGTTCTTGGGATCCATGGTTGGCGCGGTCAGGATGTTGCTGGGGATGCTGGTCTGGGAGGCGGCGCCGGTTTGCACGACGGTCGGGTTGACGCTCAAGGTGCCCATCGGGTAGTTCTTGGTCGAGGACTTGGGTTCGGATGAAGACGATTGCGCTTCGGAGTGTTCGGGGTGGGTGGATGAGTCGCTTATGATGGTCCAGACGCCATCGCCTCCGCCTGCCGTTGGGATTAGCCATGTGTTTTGGTTTTGTTTTATTTTTGTTTCACTTTTTTTTTTTGCTTTTTTCCCTTCCTTTGTGTGCAGTGGGAGGTTGTCAGAAGGGGCCGAAAGCAATCGACTTACACTTGTCGCTGGGATATCCTGGGCATGCCGTATTGCATTCCTTCGTAGAGACCTTCGCGCTGAGTGGAGGTAGTTTGTCACCACACCAGCACCGGTCGCCTTTCAAGCCGTACACGCTGTAGTCTGATCTGTTGCAGAAGGTTTCACACATGCCGGTCGATTGATATGTAGAGGTCATGACTTGTTTCAAGTCGCCAATGTTGCTGTAGCAGTCATGTTGAAGAGCCGAAACGATTGAGGGCGAGAAGGCCAGGAACGAGAGCAGGCCTATGCTGAGGATTTTCCGCGACATCTTGGAAAATCGATATGCAAAGGAGTGTGTGTGTGTGTGTGTGGAAGAGAAGAAAAGATCCTCGAGGAAGCGTTTCAAGTTTCGAAAAAAAAATAAAGAGCGACAAAAGTTGAGCCAGCAGGTCTAAAAAGTCAGAGCAAATCTGAGGGGGGCCGGGTTCAACAGGGCGAACCCTAGTTAAATAGGAACGAGGGTCTCCGTATATTCTGCCCCCAAGAGCTAGCCCCCATGAATGGAGGCAGTACCTGGCAAAAGCCTTGGGTTGGGTGAGAAGGAACCAGCCCCTTGGGACCTGACGCAAAAATCAGCGGAGTGAAACGGCGACAGAATGCTGATCGGGAAATTCATTGCAGGGGCAGCAGACGAACCAGAGCGCGCGAGCAGAAACATCCTCTCTGTTCTCCAGATTCCGAAATGGTTCGTTCGGACGATCGACGGATCCACGTCGAGGGCGTTTCGGGTGATCCCTTGCTGGATCGAGGTGGCGTTTCATCATCGGTGTTCCCTTTCGGGAGAACTTTCGATTTTCGCTGGCAAAAGATTCTCAAGGCCGTCCGATTGTTTCACGGCCGATGATGTCAATGATCGGCGCACTATTGCGTTCTGAGACCACCACGCGAGGACTATCGATGGCTATTTGGGGCAGTGGGCCAGGAACCATTCAATGCTTGGTTCTGACAGGCGGGGAATTCTTTCGCAAGGCTCAATGGGCGAAGATCGAGTGGCGGGCAAGACATCATTCAGGAGCAGCGAGAGAAAAGGGACCAAATGAAGTCATGAAAATCAAATCATGAAGAAAACGATGCTGTCACGGGACCGGCACCTGACTGTCTTCTCTTCCCTCCTCTTCCTTTCCTCGTCCCCCTTGGCTTCTCTCCTCGTCGCCTTTTCGACCGGGATCTCCTCGAGACATCATCATGGCATCTCCAGTTGAAACTAAAATCCGAACTACGACGGCCGATGATCATGCTGTCTTGATTATCGCGACAGGAATATCACCTGGCAATGGAAACTGTAGCACCTCTTGTTCTGTACCAACTAATCACATCCAGAGACGTTCCCAGTCGATCTCTTTCTTTGGGTCAGAATTGCTATCTCGACCAGCTCAGACTAGAGTATATACCGAAAGGCTGACCTCCTTAAATCACATCTAGAATCGAGGCTAAGATAGGCTTTGGCTAAACAAGTGATCCATGGTTGCCACAAAGAACCCTGAACATGAATGGAGTGCCAAACCTCCGCTCACCACGGTCGGTTCAATTCTTGCCGTGCCACACGAGCAAAGCGATGGTGACCTTAACTGGCATAAGCTTCATGAGGCTATCTCAGTCGCGAATCACGGCGTTTGACACCTTCCTGGACAGGCAGTTCGATCCCATGCCGCCTGCGGGTCAATCCGCCTTTGGTCCGATTGCACCATTTGCTTGCCGACTTGTCAAATCATGTCCTTCTGCGAGGCCGCTTCTCGTGCGGAGAAACACACCGCTGATAACCAGATAACATAAATTGCGACCTTTTGCTCTTCCTTTCGTCATGTTTGGTTTCCAGGATTCCCGTTCTCTGGTGTGCCCTATTCAATTGACTACCTGTCAATATGCGTCCAATTGTCCCGATCATCGCAGGATTCCTGCTCCCTTCGGTTTCAGCTCTCAGCATTCCTCTGCAGCAATACCTCCCCTCTTGGACTGATCAAGGCAACGGACTCTGTCCTCTGCCGTCGAAGTTAACCCCACCCAATGATGGATTGACTTCCCCTCTGCAATATGTTCAGGATAAAAGTTTACGATCGCGTCAAGTCGACCGTCTCTCTAGAGCCGTTCAGGTCCCTACCACTGTCAACGACTACATGAAAGACCCCAATGATCCGGGTTTTGCTCCATTTGTGGAATTTCAAAAGCTTCTCCAATCGCTTTTCCCCATCACGTATGCTTTCTGCTTTCCCTTGGGTCAAATCACACCCTTTCTAACACAATTTACACAGCCACTCCAAAGCTCGCGTAGACCACATCAACAGGTTGGGTTTGGTCTTTACGGTCAATGGCAGCGACACGTCCCTCAAACCCTTGCTTTTCATGGCCCACCAGGATGTCGTGCCCATAAACGACCCTGCCGTCTGGACGTACCCTCCGTTCGCCGGTCACTTCGACGGCGAATGGGTTTGGGGCCGGGGTTCCAGTGACTGCAAGAACGTATTGATCGGGCTTCTCTCTGTCCTTGAGGACCTGCTGCACCAAAACTGGAAGCCTGCTCGCAGCGTGGTCTTCGCCTTCGGCTTTGACGAGGAGTCTCACGGCTTCCTCGGCGCCGGGTCGATCTTCAAATTTCTGCAGGAGAAATACGGCCGCGACAGCTTCGAATTCATCCTCGACGAAGGCGGCATGGGCCTCGAGACCATCGGCGATCAGGACGACGACAACGCCGTCATCTACGCCCTCCCAGGCGTCGGCGAAAAGGGTTCCCTCGACATCGTCCTCGACCTGCAAATTGCAGGCGGCCATAGTTCCGTGCCCCCCGCCCACACTGGCATCGGCATCATCTCCGAGATCATCTACGAGCTCGAACGACAAGATCTCTTCGTCCCCTTCCTCAGCGAAGACCACCCTACCCGCCGAAAGCTCGAATGTCAAGTCCGCCACTCCCCCCAGGAAGTCGAGCCGTGGCTCGCCTCCGCCCTCCAATCCTCCGACTACATCTCCCTCGCCGAGCAAGTCGCCGCCTCGCGCGGCGACAAAGTCCGCTTCACCCTTCAAACCTCCCAAGCGGCCGACCTTTTCAACGGCGGCGTCAAATCCAACGCTCTCCCGGAAAAGGTTTCCGCACTCGTCAACTACCGCGTTGCATTGCACCAGACTCCCCAAACCGTCATCGACCGCGCCATTCGTATCGTGGGACCCATCGTCGAGAAACACAATCTCACATGGTCCGCCTTCCCTTCCACCAACCGCCAGCTCCAAGAGAACGACACCGACAGCACCACGCCCGCCAATCACCTCACCCTCTCCACCCTCAGCGAACCCCTCCTCCCTGCCCCCGTCAGCCCCACAGACCTCCTCTCGCCGAACGGCGAGGAGACCGTCTGGGCGCGCTTCGCCGGCGTCACCCGCTCGGTCTTCGAATCCATCCCCAGCCTCAAGGGCAAGAAGGTCGTCGTCAGCGGTGACATCATGACGGGGAACACGGACACGCGGTTCTACTGGAACCTGTCGCGGAATGTCTACCGGTGGAGTCCGTCGCGGGCTGGGAAGACATTGAATATTCATACCGTGGACGAGCGGGTCTCCATCGATGTCCATTTGGAGGCCATGGTGCTTTATTATGGTATGCCCCTTTTTCTTTACTTTCTCTGGAAACTAACTGGACCGTAACTGACTTGGCATTGTACAGATCTTATTCGGTCTTTCGACGCGGTAGCTAACTAGGCAGAGTGCGAGCGCCTGTCCGTGATTTAGGAACATGCGGTTGCGAAGTATATAGGAGGCAGATTGTGCATGACATGTTGTATGAATGACTTATTGAAGCATGAATTGAAATTACGATCATGGACATGTTGATTTTGAGGCACATACAGTACATAGCGTGGATGCTATCCTTCATACGTCAACGAAACCTTTCTTTACTACACACAAGCTCGAAAGTATCATTTCAATAAACCAAGTAGTATTTCCAGTGCCACGGTGGTAGGAAGTACGAAGGAGCTATATATGCGAAAGCACTATATACCAATGAGTAGTCGGCGAGAAAAAACCTCGGTCATAACAATGACCATAGTAGAAATAAGTGAAAAAAATAAAGGATGAATCATAACCAGTGACCTGCACAGTCTTAACCTCAACCGAAGAATTGAATCGAATCCTAGAATAATAAGGCCCGCCTGATTCTTCATATCAGAGGCCTTGGTCAAGAAGAATCAAAGAAAAGGCACCTCCCATGACTGGACGAGCAATGAATGTAATTTGAGGGTAACTAGTTGGGTCAGCCGCATTCTTGAAAATTCCAAAGACAGTAGTAACTCACTCTCCACTCTTTGTATCATATAAGTCAGTAAGAGCGCGGTTAGTAGGAGTCTCGTCGATCCACTTAGCAAGTCGCCGAATGAACATGTCTCGCGTATCTTTCGAGGCAATGGCCGCCGTAAAGAGTTCCCAGTCACCTGATTATGTTATTTTTCAAGTTCAATACAGACATCTAAATCCTGCTTACCCTTCGTATATTCATGGCGAGTATCAAGTGGCACGCCATAGGTATTCTGTACGGTGGGATAGAACTTGCTTTGCATGTCGTAAACAGATTGTGGAACCAGGTTCAATCCCAACTCGCGATCGGCGTACAGATTATACAAAAGCCCTATAAAAGTCAGCTCACATTTCATTGTACATCATGCACCGAGTCTTACCATGAGACTGATTGGATCCGTACGACAAGGTCGTGTGTGGTGGGTCTGCGTTGTGTGCGATTCCCAACGTCTGCCACCGTTCGATGTAATCATGAGCAATGCGTGAGTGGTTAGTGGCAACGTCAAAGTCCTCGGTCAAGTTGCCAATGGAGGCCATAGCCTGAATACCAATTATTCCCTTCAGTGCCAAGTTTGTCTGGTTACTGTCGAATCTGTTAGCTCTGGACCGTACAGGACAGTGGTGTATACACATACGCCAAAGGACCAGCGAAGTCGTCGGTGGATATCTGATTTGCTGGGTAGATAGCATCTTCTACCAGATAAGCCGTCCATTGCTTCAGGTGTTTGTAGTGAAGGTCGAGATAATCCATGTCTTTGGCCTTAAGAGCATATGCCAAAGCCATAATCACCATGTTGCCGCATTCTTCCAGAGGCATTGGCTCGTCGTTGCCATCGGGGTGACCGGTCGCATTGGGATAATGGCTTCCGATATCATGCATCGCGTATCTGTTAGGATATTTGCCACGTTCTTGGATCTCGTAAAGTGGCTTCATCAAAAATTTTAGAAGCTGCGGGTTGGTGTACAGGAAGACAGGGTGAGCGGGAAAGATGACATCGACCGTGTTCATATTTCCATTCGACGAAATCTCTTTCATGAAAAGATAGGTGTTATCTGGGGTTCCGCAAAGTTGGGTCGCAGCAAACGCCTGGCGGGCACTGAGGGACGTGATGGTCAGGTAATCCTGGCCAGCTGCAGCCAGAGAATCCTTGGCAATCCGTTTGTCCAAGTCCGATGAAAGAGAACTTGACTCCGCATAATCATGATGGAAAAAATCAAGCTATAAAATCATAATGAGCAATCCACAACTATACAAGCCTGAAATATCAATACTCACCGCTGCTGGCCCATCGCTAAAGTAGCTCGTCCACAGCGAAGGCTCGGCAATGGTTCCATCCGAGCTACCACTATACTGGATCGCATCTCTCTGGGCTAAACCGATGGTGAACAGCGCTCCTCCTGCCTTCACCGATCCCAGATTACGGGCAAACCCAAATACCGGCCAATTGTCCGAGATAGCACGATAGTTGCTGTCTTTCGAATTGTCGAGTTTTCCATTCTTGGTAAACGCGTCCCGAACAGCAGAACCACCCCCAGACTGGTAGGTAAGACCGTCTCCGCTGTCTGTCGCCCAGTACCACTCACCCCATTCAGCCTGATCCTTGACTTCAGAGAATAGCAGTTGCGTTTGTCGATTGATCTTATGATAAGAAACACCGTCCTTGGTGACACCGTGGTCCCACTCCACTATAGCTTTTCGGTCTCCTGACACCCATTCTGCAATCTGGTCAGACACGGTTCTCTGAATCTGCGCCAACATGGAGCTGGGGTGCTCATCCGTGGTAAGTAACACGGATACATACCTGCTGAAATATCCGTGTAGAGTTGCACATCATGATCCTTGCCATCCAGCGACGCGACATCAATATCAAGGTAAGAGAATATGAGCGATTGTCTCCGCAAGTCGTCTGGCGTGATCGGTGACAAGAACGTAACATTCATCTCGACCAAGTTTCCAACATGTAAAGTAAAAATGCTCTTTGTCGACGTGTATTCATAGGCGGTTTGATTGACCGTGGTCGTTCCCGGTAGCCCCATCCAAGTGTAAACATTACCATCAACACGAATCATACCAGCCCAGCCATTGATCTGACCTCTGTATGAAAGTTTACTCTTTAGCCAATGTCCAATGATAGCGTATCTTCAACACTAGAACCACTCACTCCCAGAAGGTCGGCCATTCTCCAGCCAGGTATCCTCCATTTCCACCATCTTTCCCAGCGGGCAACCAGGTGCTCAAGTACGGAGACTTCACAGCCAGTGGAAGGGCAGGAGGTCTGGCCGGAGTGAAGACCGACACTGCTTCCGTCACAGAAGCCAGGAATGCGGCCGGGATACAGAGAAGCGACAATATCATGATGGATTGGGCGGTTGAATGTCAACCAGCAATCATTGTTCTCTAAGAAAGAAATCCTTATATAATTGGGTGATGTTTGTTTTCTCTTCACCGCAGAAAAACAAATAAAGCAGACGAACTGGCGATGTCAAACACTGGGAATGGGATTCAGATTCGGAATGTTTGTCGGAATGCCACGAGCGCTTATATAGTTGGTCGAGACCGCATTCCAGGGGTCAGGGAAGAATCCGGCTAGGCGACTAGAACCGATTCACGAAAGTTTAGCGAGAGACAAGGTAGAATCTATAACCAAGTCAAAAAATGCAAGAACATGTATGATGGAAAAACTCCTGGGTATCGTCTGACATGTCAGCCTCCGGATGGATGGGGGGGTCTCATGCAAGATATACCCCAATGTATCCGAAAAGTGGAGGCCACGAGTGAGCAGGCCGAGGTAGAGAGAATAATTTACCACGCAAGGAAAACAGAGCATGAAGGGCATCTACCCCGACAGTGTGATGGACATAGTCAAGGCGCCAAGGACGATCCGATCAACAGGTGGGACCTTGGGCGTAGCGTGAGTGGTGCTTGAACTTTGCTTCTTGATCCACCTCAAGCGACCATTGGAGCTTAACAGAGACTACTAGGTAAGATATGGGGTAATGAGCCAAGCAGGCTTGCGCTCCAATTCACGGATGGCTGCCTCGGGTATTAGGGATAGATGGCAACGAGCGGCGATTGGATGAGAACGAGCGACGAGAGAAACCGGGATAAGCGAGTGACTTTGAAATGATGATTTGTAAAAGGTTGCATTGAAGCGGTCAGGATCGAGGCAGAAGAAGAGAAGAGAAGAAGAAAAGCAGAAAAGAAGACCAGGAACAAGCGACGCCACGAGCGCCTGCCGAATCGGGCAGGTGACACGGAAGTACTTCCTCAGGCACTTTTAGGCACTTCCAGGCACCCTCTTCCCCCTCTCTCTTGCTCCTCTCTTCTCTCTTTTCTCTTCTCTATCTCAACCTCTACCGACTGCGTCAACTCGAATCCCCAAATCAATCTCAACCCCCTCAATGTGACCGCCCTTTGTGATGCCATCATGTGAGACAAAAATCCTCCCCAAGTGGTCTGTCGGCCCTCTAGGCTAGGTACTCCTGCCGTGTGACCCGCGGCCAGTGACTAGCCCAAACTCCTCAGGAACCAGGATTCGACTCGACCTGCATGAATAAATACAAATCAAAATACAAATCCTGGTCGGTCTCCCCGCGGATGACCATTCACCACAGCATCCATCCATCACAAATGTGGAGAATGGAGACAGGGGAAATCCGATCGACTCCGCTTTTTTTTTTCCACCGATCATCGTTTTTATCTACTCCGGCCGGAGAAAAGGACGCGAATCACGAAGCTCCTACTTTTGTGTCTGATCATCCATCCATGGTTGGATCCCGTCGAACGGGGAACTCGAAAAGGGGAGATAAGGAAAAAAGGAAAAATAACACCCTGCCTGCCTGCCAGTCGCGTGAAATCTCTCGGTTCCACGGCAGGAAAAGCAATAGCCAAGGGACCAGACCAAATAAGACCAGACCACCACCACCACCATCACATCCCACGCAGGTACCAGGCCACGCTGCGTAGTGCGTTTTCCACGCTTTGGTTCACGTCTTCTGGAGGGTCGTCAATGGATGTCCGGGCTACCACGTCAGTCAGTCGCTCTTCCGCATCCAGTATGGGTGGTCCTGGTTAAACAGACTCTACCGTCGAGTTGACCGACAGGATGTGTTGTTCATTGACTCTAAGCATGTACGGAGTGGGTAGCAAGTAGGGTAACTTCGCTAGTTTGGTTCCCCTCTTTTCTTGATTTCAGATTAGGCTATATCAGATATACTGGCTCTATGTCTGAATCGTGTGTCTCCCCTTGCATGTCTCGGAGCATGTACAGTTGTCATTGCTATCAGCAAGCAAGGAGCCTCGTTTAGGTCGCTCTGTAGACTTGCGCAAACGAGCTCGCCCAAGATATAATAGTAGGCGACAGGCAGAGTGGGCGATCAATGTCTATTAGAATATAATACTGATATTCCTGGTGTACAGCATAAAGACCTCACCTACAGAAAAACCACTGCATCAATTCTGCGGAGAAAAATGTAACACGACAACTCATCCACACGTAGTTTTTTTTTCCTCTCCAGATCCAGGAACTATGAAGTGAAAATAGAATAGAATAAATAAAAACAAATATGTCCCTATCACTGAATCCCGAAAATATTTTAACCCCCGGATATCAACCCAAGATCCCAGATATTAATTAATGTCAACTCCCGGCCCCGTCACCGATCATTCAATCAACCAGTAGAGTAAGAAAAGAAAGAGAGAAAGAAAGAACGAAGAGAAATGGTAAATACACAATCCAGGCAAACCCATTCATTCCTCTAGATACATAAGCAGTCATCAAATCATAAGCAATTACCACCCGTAGGAAACACATACCTCCTCCACCCCTTAACCAGCCCCGACGATTTCATTCAAACCCTTTTCATAAGTGTTTTCGAACTTCGCGCCAGCTCAATGCAGAACTCGCCCCATTCGGTGCCGCCACTGGTCGGTAACACCTCCTCTGCAATCGCCTCCTCCAATCGCTCGCCATACCGCCGGCGGAACTCGGTCTTCACCTGGTCCAGGTGCCGCGGTTCCCAGTGGAATCGGACCAGTCGGGAAATCAATAGTTCGGAGCGCTCTTTGCCTGTGCGCGACTCCCGGAGAGCTTGATGGAGCAGGAGCGCATCTCGCATCGGCCGATTGATGACTCCGTTGAGAATGTGGGCAAGTGTTTCGCCCTAGGTTTATTAGTCAAGCCGTCAATCAGATGGGGATAGGGAGGTAACATACGACAAGGTTCTGCGATTTAGAAATCATAGAACGAGCAAAGTTGCGATTATAAATCTTCTCATACGCGCGAAGGACCTCTCGCAGATGAGAATCGCTTCGGCGGACTATGATATAAATCATTGCGGTCTCGCCGCCGCTCCGCGAAAGGAGAGCTCTGTTGAGCTCCTCGACGTCGCGATGGACTAGATCCATATTTAGAGGATCCCGTTCACTCTGGCGACTCTCCTCGAGCGCCAGCAGTACCGCCAAGCGGAACTTATCCGCTTTCAGTTCCGCTTTCATGCACTTTTCCAGACTGTCTGAATACCGCGAGTCGCGGAAACATTCCTTGATCTGCCGGATTTCACTGTTACTGCGACCAAAGAGCGACTCGATCAGAAGCTCCCGCCGAGACGTACTCGACTGGTAATAGCAGTTGGCCCAGAATGCCTCGGATTCCCAGCGGCCTAGCGCCGTGGCGTAGCACACTTTACCGAAAGCGCTATTGCCCAACTTCAATCGAATGTGTTTGGCCAGGTTGATTCCTTTGCCGTGCAACTTGACGTGGTTCTTATACTCTTTGCGAAGATCCAGCATTTCATCGCTGGTCAAGTGGGGCAACACGCGGATGATCGCCTTGTTGTCGATACTGCGACTGTTCAAAGCTTCCTGCATGGCAACCGCATCAGGACCGACGTCATAGAAAGAGACTTTCTTGCGACTGGCACTTGGGGAGATCAATACAAGCGCCTGTTTCCCATTAGAGTCGTGACGCTCGTGTCGAACGCGGCTGCTGTCCCTTTTTGAGCGATCGCTGGTTTTCTCCTTCCGCTCTCTTTCGTCCTTGGACTTCTTTCTCCGATGCTTTCTCCGGCCACTTGTATCGGACCCTCCATCCAGGGGCTCCAGGTCAGAGATGTCCTCGTCCAACTTGGAAGGGATCACGATCGGTGAAGGCATGGGAGAAATGCTCTGGTAGGTGCCCTTGTACGGCTCCTGTAGAGGACTGGCCGGTCGGAAACTCGGATCTGGGGCGGCGACGGAGAGATTGTTGGCTGACGACACAGAGAGACTTGCAGGGCGATTTCCGGTCCTGCTGCCTGGGGTAATCTCCACAAACTGGGGCTCGCTTTCCTGGCGGCTGGTCTGGGCCTTGGAGAACTGAGGCCTTGAAGAGTACCTGATATTTGAGTATTGGGGTTGACTGCTTTCAGCGGCACTGCTCGAAGACTTGGAGCTATACTTGACATTGGGGTCGACATGCGCATATTGGTAAGGAGCCGGTCTGGCGTAACCCGGCTGGGCAGAGGTATCTGATGCATGGCGCGAATGGGTCGGCGATGCCACAGAAGGGGTGTAGGCATTGGTGGTAGATACCGAGAGAGGACGACCGCTCCTGGTCGCGTAGGGAATCTGCTGCCCTTCCAGATTGGCATATTGGGGCATCGGGAACACAGGCGCTGCGGTACTGGTAGAAAGCTCCGGGTATGTTGATGCCGGGGGGAAAGCCCCGGGCATTGCTTGTTCCGCCTGCGACGTTGGCGGGACGAACCCCGGTCGCTCACACTCTGGGATCGGCGCCCAGTTCGACTGCGAAGTAGGTTGCGTCTGAGCATACTGGGAAGGCACCGCATACTTGTAAGGTCCAGGTCGAGCATAGCTGGGGTGGCTGCCCGGAAGGTCCTCCTCAACGCGTGATGATCCATTTTTGAAGAGCCGGTCCGCATTCAATGCCCCAGACATCTGCGCTGCCTCGACTTGCGAAGAAGAGGCACGGGGTGATGCTCCATATTTGTAATAGCCACGCTGTGCGTCCACCGGTATATCTCCATACGCAAGTGCGTCGTCCTCCGAATCCAAAGACTCATCCGAAGAGTCATCGTAGCGGACGGGGCGAAGATTAGGGGATCGCGCATACTTGCTGCTGCGCTTCCCAGATCTGCTCTCCGCGGCATCGGAGAGATAATAGTCGTCGCGGTTTCGTTCGGGGCGCAGGACGTAGCTTCTACCATCGTGATCCGAGTCCGAGCCTGTGGGTCGGTAACGAGAGCTGCTGCGATGGCTGCGACTGGTACTCGCGCCTCGGCTCCTAGAGCGCGACCGTAGGTGTTCGCGCACGATATCGGGATTCAGGAAGGAGGATCTGGTGGCATCGGGGCCTGGAGAAGGCAGTCTGCTGTCGCGAGATTTGGAACGGTCCCGGATGCGGCCGCCTGGGGACTTGGAGCGGCCGCGCGACCGTGGGTCGCCGACCTGGAGTGACATGGATGGCAATGAACTCAACCGAGACGGCACGATAGATCGCAAAGATCGCAACTAGGCGCAAAAGCAGTTTTAGAAAAATATTCAAGGACAGCGATCGAGCTTTGGATAGGAAGAAAGGACACTCCAAGGTGAGCGGGGGATGAACAAAAAGTGCGATCCAAAAGCGACTCGGTCACAAGTAAATAACAAAATTTGGGTTTGTGGCCCGCCGAGAGGGAGGGCAGCTGAGCAAGCGCGAACAGACCGATAAACAGAGATGAACAAACTGATCGTCGGAGGGGTCGGCGTCAAGGGGAGAACTTCAAGACACAATCGTCACTCACGGTAGGATACGCGCCGACTGTTTTATTTATGGCAGGAACCACAGTCTCGGGACACGAGCGACGATATTAATCGACGAGGAGCCGCATCGTCTCAGGTTTGAAGCTGACGGGCAGATCGATTGAACTTGCTTGGACTGCCCCTGGTCAGTCTGCTCAGCCTTCTCGCGAATGACCTGCCATGGGAGCTGAATCCACCTCCACTTGGGCCTTCACTGCGTTAGCGCCTCGTATCCTGGCACGTTCGAGGGGGAGCTAAGGTAGGACGGTGTCGCGGCGTCGCACCAGTCCACCAGGCGCTCCCTTGAATGATGGACAATCCCTTCGGTCTTCATTCTTGACTCCATTCCTCGCGGCAAGTTCGGCCGCCACGCTTCCTCTCATTGGATGCGCGCATTCCTTCAGCCTTATTTGCTCCATTCGTCTCTTCGTGACTTGCGTCGAACAGTACAGCCTTCTCCTCGTACTCCGTACCACCGGCTGATGGGCGAATGGGGCCGGAAAGAGACCCTTCGTCATGCCATTCAAGTATTGGGGAGTGGAATCGATATCGATGAGCACATTCATAGATACCCGAGGATGATGGTAGATGAGGGTTTAATGACGATAAACGCCCCTCCATTGTTGCGGTTCCGCCGCCGGAATGTCTCCGCTTACTCAGCATTCCTGGTTGTCGTCCTAAGTTCTTCCATTGGCATGTCGATAATTAGAAAGAGCCTGGCCATCGCAAGGATTTAAGAGATTCATTAATAGCTAAAAGCGTCCCATTGTTCCATGCTCACAGCATTCTGGCAAGAAATTGGGCAAGGACAGGAAAGAATAAAACGTGGGCTCGAGACTAGTCATTAGAGGCACAACCGGGACAGCGACGGCCTATTCCGACAGAAAAGGCAAAACTTTAATAAAAACAGGAATACATGTCATGTAAGAAGAAACTCGAAAGAGATCACACATGGAGAAGGGGAAGATGGGATAAACAGAGATAAGAAAACATGAAAATAACCGTGCCCATTGGATACACCATACAAGAGTCGGTCCGAAATCAGAGACGCTGGAACATCGACAGTGATATCGCAATTAGTACGCTAGTGGTATAATAAACTCAGGCGCTTCTGTCAACCAAGCTGGTAGGGGAAATCGTAAAACAACAGTGTCCAAGTCTAGGGAGTATCCAGGGATTTCGATAGGCTTCACTGCGCCTGAACGGAATGCCGGTGTGCGAGCGATTTGTTCTTCCTCACTCATCGTCAGTCCAACGGCTGTCCGAATAGTCTGAAGCTGTTCCGGGTGGAACCTGGGATCATTCCACGTTAAAGTGAGAATCAGATAAGAAAAATGCATGACGGAGAAGAGAAACGTATAACTAGAGGCACATGACTACCCTCCGCCACATTTCGAGCCCCGAGATTCGCGTTGCCATTCATGACCGCAAAACTTCGGGGACGCGAGAGATGGAACGAACAAATAGGATGTGAAATCTGTTTCATAAAGGAGCGAAAGAGGAAGAGGGGGAGGGGGGCGGAAAGAATTCAAAGAAGCCGTCTAAAGGGGTAAAAGATGCCATATCGCAGTACCAAATCGGCCCTCGAAGATCCTTAGATTCAACGGGGACCCATCCGGCCACTGTAGGTCTTCTTCTGGGGAGGTGGAGCAACTGGACTGGGGCCGTTGCGATTCAGACGGCTGGTTCTCCAGTTCTCATACCAGATCACACGGCTCGCCTCACGCAGTTCGGCTCGCCAATCACTGAACACTGACTCCTTCAATTTCAAGAAATCGCAGTGCTCGGGGTTGTGAGGGTCTGCAAAGCCCCAGGGGAACCTTCGGCCAACGGGCTCCTCGTCGGACTTCAAAGAGTGCGGATCAGGTGACAGAATGGTGAATGGTAGAAGCTGGGAAGCGGCCTGGGATCCGGACGATTTGCGAGAACTCTGACTGCGAGCGGAGGGGGATCCCGGGGGCTTCACCGCCGCACCCTCTTCCAAATCTTCGGTTGGTTTTTCCTCGTCGGCCTCCTCATCCTCCTCTTCTTCTTCGGAAGACGCGTATTCATCTTGCTCATCGAGAGCGAGCACCTCGAGAGGGTCGATGTTGGCCTTCTTCAAGCTATCCCAAACGGCCTTCCTAAGGTAAGACATATGAGCCGAGGTAATGGTGTCGGCTTTGCTGATGACCGGAACGACCGTGGTTTTACCAACGACTTTGCGAAGAACTTGAATGTCAAGGTTTTCGTCAAGGATGCCGATAACGGGAGAATCGGTAGACTTGGGGTTTCCTTGGGCCCAACGTTCAGCGGCAGCGATATTTTCGTCCAGGCGCACCGGGTCAAGGATCAAGAAAGTACAATGGATATGGGTGTCTCGCACGCCAGGCGAGCGAATTACTTTCATTTCCTCGCTCAGAGTCTCCTCAAACTTGCCCTCCAAGAACCCCACAACACCGCGCAGCTGAATGTCGACGATGTTTCTTTCCAGTCCCTGCGAGTCCCACAGGGTCAGTCCGACACGTTCTCCGTCGATCTCCGTTTCGAGGTAATTGGACGAATAGCTTTCGCTGGAAGAAGCCTGGTGATTATATGATTCGAATTCCTCGAAAGGACGAGAAGGGTGCTTGTGGGGTGGCATTGCCAGCGACTTTCTGAGGAAGTTCAGGAACGAGGTCTTGCCCGAGTTGCGAGCACCGATGACAAGGACGCTAGACGAAATGTCAGCGCTCGATGTTTCATTTCCATCCATCTTTTCACTTTATCACTCACTTGTAGGGTGTCGGGTCCTTACGGCGACGCAGCCTGCGCGGACTGTTGACGGTGCTCACCGCACTACTGGCGTAGCTATACCGTCCACGGTGTGTCATGCTCTCGGTGCGGGCATAGGGGTCGGATTCGGAGGCTGCCGGGGTGCTCACGGCACTGCGAGCCTGTTGCTGGGACGGAACTGCCTGGCTAGAAAGAGCGGCGAGGGTATCGTGACGTTCGTCGCCGCCGAATGTTTCGAGAACCGGGGGAGGAGCGAAATCGGGCAGACGGGGAGGCTGTCGGGGCATGGATTCGCGCTGGCGACGGATTTCCTCTTCCGTCGCTTGTGTTTTGCCCATTTTTTTGCTTTTGCTTCCGGAGGACTTCCTTTCACCTAGGATATCGGTAGACTTGGAGCGACGGAGGAAGCCGAGAGACGAGGTTCTTCGTTGTTCTTTGGTGGTATCACCATTCTCCGTGACGGCGGGAAGGGGTTCGGGAGGAGGTTGAGGGTAGCCCGGCGTATGGGGTCTAGAAGAAGTGGTCGACATTGGGGGAGAAAATCAGGGTGGCACCTTCCAATCACTCGACTGGCTGTTACACGGATGGGTACTTTGGCCAAAAGTGGGGTTCCAGTGAATTAATGTTGTCTCAGATATAGATTCCTTCGCCGACAGAAGCTTCCCGCGTTACCGACTCTTTTCGCGCAATTTCAAGTCGTTCCGTTCCCCTGAATAATGGAGTAATCGGAAATCCTAGGCAAACCACTTGGTATAAGTCAGCATGGACGCCGTGAGATACAGCCCTGCAGACTGCCCGGTGGCAGGTGCAGCTCCGTCGAGGTTGCTCGGATTTCCCCAACAACTATGAACCAACTAGGTCACAAAACACTTACAGTCTTGGCAGATTATGGGGCTTGAAGCGACGCTGGGAGTCAATCTAGCTAAGTGTACGAGCTGTTGCGATTCACTGTGGTTGCCTGTGTCGCTTCTTTCAATTGAGCGATAGGAGCTTGATGCGAGGAACGAGTGGTAGCTCGACCGCAACCGACAAAAAATGATAAGATTGGGGGAATGCGCCTAAAGATAATTCGACGTTCACAAGCGCAGCAAGCTTTGGTCGAATCCACACTCGGGTCTCCTGGTGGGAAGATCAGGGGTAAATTGGATTGAGAAAGAATGCGCAGAGCTGAATAAAATGGGTCAGATGTGGATGAAAGCTTCTAGCTTCTATGTTTTTTCTTTGCTTTCTCGTTGAGAAAAAAAAAATAAAAAGAAAAAAGGTGTTTAGCCTTGGGAGACGTTGGAAAAATAGCTGCTCACAACGTCCGACTGATGCACATCCGGACGAGACGGTTATAAGGGAGAGGGTGTAACAAGAAATGAGCAAAAGCAAAGAGAAGAAAGCAACCAGGCTGAAAGGGAAAGCCGAGTTGAAATGAAAGGACGACGGCGTTCTAAGACTGATGATGATCGGCCAGACAACCGATAATGAGGATGATGGACGATGCGTTTTTATTTCGTCCTGCTGGTCATCCGAGTTGCTTGAGCTGGACAGGAGCAATTGCTTCGTACCGGAGCAGCAAACAACAGCCTGCGTTCTGATCCCAATTGCTCGTGCTTGGTCTGACGGATAGCAGAGCTGCGACACGAGAGACGAAGGCGGAGAAGAGGCTCGAGAACGTTTTTTTTCCCTGAGCTCGGAAGATGGAGATTCAGGGGCAACGACCCGACGCAGCCTTAGGCCAAGATGCCGGGGCTCGACCTCCCAAGACTGTCGCTCCCCACTTGCGGTTAGTTCGACGGTATTATTGTGGAGGGGCTGTCGTTCTGTCTGTCTCTGCGTGGAAGGAATGTCACTCCAAATATGTGACAAAACAAGGACGGGTGGTACAGGCGAGGTTTCGCCTTCTGTTGGCTGATTCCTGATCGATCGTGGCGTATCCCACCTGTATAAGGATCATCATTACGTTGGAAATGGGCATTTCATACGGGCAGAGTTCCAAGGTTTTGTACCTGCGCCGTAACACTGGCTGCCCGTGGTGGAATTCCGACTACGGAGAAAACGGTGATCCCAAGTCCAGCCACACGTGGGTATACCTCGACTGACTAGACCGTGGTGATGCATATGGCGTGCATGAAGTGCTGCCAGAGCTATCAGCCTGTCTTTATTGCAACGTACATTGGATCTCTTGCTCCGAGTGAATCTCAGCTTCCAACACGAAGGACCCAGACAAGAACACCCCCAAGCTGTTAACGTGGAAAACATCGTCAGTCCCCGTCACAAACAAACGCCGGTCCAGTAACGTGACGGTACCGGCGTAATTCCCCACAAACCAAGAGTGGCGTTCTCTGATTGGCTGAGACGGGCAGCTGCTCAGGAACCCCGGCGCTAGTCCCATTAGAGTTCGCCTGGTCCCGTGCCTCCATTTCTCAGCGCGCGAGAAACCCCTGAGAGTTGAGAGTTGAGAGTTGGAATTTACGATCCATTCTCGACTCCGTTTTCGCAGGAGCATTCATCACCGCCAATCAAGCAGAATAGAGCATAGCTGGATTAACATTAACTTTCCCATCACTTCCCTCTATGAACACAAATCTCCCCTTGTCTACCCTCGCAGCTCAAATAATGGACTAACACGGGGCCTCGGGCAAACACATCAGATCAGGTCACTCAAGCTCAACCCCCTCTCCTGACCCCACATCGCCCGTCGGATTATTCAATCATTTCAAACATGTCCCAGACGCCTCTGCTCGGGGTCCCACGTTCTGTACAATAACCGTTAGGCCCGTACCGTACTCGGGACTCGTCACTCTCCGAACTTCCCTTTCCCTTGCCCCGTTCCTCAGGGTGTTGCCGACGTTGAGTTGATCACGCTCCAAACCCGGAAAGGGAGCTCAACGCAGGGATCGTCCGGACACACCTTGGTCCGCGAAAGCTTCTTGAATTTGGGTCCGTTGGGTCCGCCGGCGTATTTCTTCTGTCCAAACAGCTCCGGTCCTCCCGGCAGAGCGTCGTCGCCCCATTGCCCATTGAAGTTCAGCCAGTTGACCGGGTAGCTGTCATCGTAGGGCGTGAAGCTCTGGTCGGCGGCGTTGTAGCTGTACGCGTATGTGCTCAGGATCGGGTCCCAGAGAGTTCCCTGGTCGGTGGTGTCGACGACGAAGCCGAAGGGGAGGTTCAGATGGGGAATGGCGTGATCGTGGTTGCTGGATACCCAATTGATAGAGTTTAGCTAATATCGCAGGGCAGATATGAGAACGAGGAGAGGAAAAGAAACCCACATACCCGGCAATGGAATACAGCGCATGCGTGCCTTTGCCTGAATAGGCGATCGGTCGCTTGCCCTTCTTCTCGGTGGCTTTGTACTTGAAGGCCTGTCCGTTGGCATGCTGACTATACCAGATGGCTTGCGGCTCTCCGTTGGAGAAGCGGATCATGTTATGCTCCCTGTCATCGTGTCAGAATCACCATATAGTATCTATCGGACTCAATTCATCTGACCAATCTCCCATATGGTTACCGAACTCCATTCCCACGACCGTATTTCCCTGGTTATACCTTCAAATCCGATAAGCATGTCGTCACGCTATGCTATGAGGAATCCATCACTCACGCATAGAAATAGAAATAGAAAGCATCCACTGTGCCATCGCCGTGGTCATTCACGATAATAGACGAGGCCACATCGTCGGTCTTGCCCTCCTCAGTGATCTCGGCGCCGTAGAACCAGTCCGGCGTCGGGTCCGCATCAATGCCCTCCTCGGATGTCAGATACACGCTTGTGTTGCCCAGATCATTGAGTTTGTCCAGGTTATCGAGCGTCAGCTTCGACGGTGCTCCCTCGACTACTTTCCAGTCCACCTGCGGGCTGGTGTGCTCGACTTGTTGCGCAAACCCTGATGGTCGGTAGGGGTCTTCGCTGTGTAGCCAGACAAGAGGTGCTGTCGTATGTTAGCAGGATGTTCTTTTTCCTCAATCTGACTAAAAGTACGTACCATAGTCCAGCACATAGCTGGGCAGAGACGTCGCTGCCAGAGCCATTGGTAGGAATTCTCAATTTGCTGCTTTGCTATAGTAAACGGAGACGTTTAGAACCCGATACTACCTAGTATATCGACACCAGGAGAAGTCAGGAAAACTCACATAGTATCTCTCGTCAAGCAAAGCCCACTGAGCCACCTTAACAATTCATCCAACAAGATCGCAAAGCAAAGAAAAAGAAAAAGAAAAAGAAACAACTACTCCCTCGTCCATTTCCCTCTTTAAGAGCAACACACACCCCCGTCACGGGCAACAGACAAGAATTCTCATTCGGGATATGATTATCCAGGTTCCCTGCACGTTGACCGTCCAGGATGGGCTCAGGTTACATAGCATCGATCGATCTAAACCTCCTGACCGGACCGTTTCGTTTCCTATCGTGGGGTCCGTTTATCCCACCCCCTTCCCTCTCTCTTTCTCCCTGGTCGTGGTCGGAATGTCGCAGGCGAAGGCTGGCAAAAATAAAAAATAAAAAAGCCAACCCTAGGTAGGTTGGTAGTAGGGAGGGTAGTATCTGCAGCTGATGAAATGATGAAATATGTCTCAGCCAATTGGCCTACCCCGTGCAAAGAACAGACGAATGATGAGAGGAAGCAGGACATCGCCGATCGTCATTGTTCCTGGCAGACATGGGTTATCTGCCGTAGAAGAAATAGCACCTTGGCCTGGCCCTATGGATCAGGCAGGTTGGCAGTGGCAGGCTGTCCATAGGACCGGAGACCCCGACTCCCGAATCCTACCTGCGAGTAATATGCGTAGTAGTCATTTTCACATTCTCGACCGAACTGAACTGCGCGCGCAGGGGTTGTAGGAAAACGCCATACACAAGGCCGATAAGCATGATCCAAGCAGAGCCAATCATCCGGCGACAGGGACCGGCGTGGTTGGGATCGACATGGTCATCTTGTGGTCGCGTCGGATATGCCCGATCGATCCCGTGATGGAAGTCACTCATAACTGGTGTTCACAGGGAGGTTCATAAATCATAACTACTAACTAGTGCGTAGTGTTCAGGGTCAGTCAGCCCTGCAGGGATCATCTGTGTTCATGTCTGAGGTGTTGTGACCGACCGGCTGATACTTGGTATGGGTGGCCTGGTAACTGCAACGCAACCCTCGAGGTTTGATCTGGGATGTTTTTAAATCCGACGGAGGGAACACTGTGAACGGTGCCAACCAAGCCCAAAGTCCACTTACTTACCTGTGTTCTATGTATCTTGCTACTTGGAAGGAAAACCAATTCAACTACGAAACTAGCACACTTGCCTTGCCAAATTCCCAACCATCACATACCTAATTCCTACTCATCTCTATACCTACATACTACTTCTTCCCCTCCTCCGCCTCCCTCCTCTGCTTCTCCTGCATCAGCTTAAAAACCCTTAAATCCAACGGAATCCTCTCCCCCAGCCATGTCGCCCGCTGTGTATGATTTCGTTCTTCTTCCGTTTCCACCGTGTTCGGGTGGACCAAAGCGCTCAGCGGTCCCCGGTTCAGAATCAGCCACGGCACAAATGCCCCGAACTGCGCCGGCGTGAACAGGTTCACCTCGAACATGGCCACCGGGTGCGGGCCTATCGGTCGGTCGAAGAACGTGTAGATCCGCAGCTCGGGAACTGCGCGTCATTGCCATTCTGGTTAGCACGTGGGTTGGGTTGGTAGCTTCGGTCTGGGGTCTAGTATGTGGTATAATGTTCCGAAGGGGAGCCACGGGGTTGGGTTAGGTTAAGCTGGCTGGCTGGCTGGCTGGCTTGATCATGCCCCTTTCCTTCCCCTCCCCTCTCTGGGCTCTTTTCAGATGGGAATGCAACATGTGAATGGGGAGAAAAAAGAATGACCCGGCTTACATTCTCGTCGGATTCGTTCCCAGAGCGCCTTTGCGAAGGCAGCTTGGTCGGGGTTATTCTTCGGGTCTTTTCGTTAGACTTGATCTCTCATATCCTCTCTACTCGTATCAAGCAGACGAGACCGACAAGCAAACATACCGGGAAATGATAAATATGGACATCGAAGCCGCCGCGTCGGTCCTTCGCCAGCGGATCGGGGAACTCCTCGTACGCTTTACTCAGGATCCCATGTTGGGGGTTTTTCAGCGATTTGCCGTCTTCGTTTCTCTCGCTGTTCAGATTGTGTTGTAACTAGTTAGAAAGGTGTTTCCTGTGCAGACCGGTGTGGATTTCTTCTGTTTTTCTCGTGCATAGCGGCTTGCTCCCGCGCGAGGTTTTGTTAAGTCAGCAAAATAGAATGCGAACTTACTCTGATAGTGGCTCGAGATTTTCGTACCCCTCCAACGGTGAGGGGTAGGTGAATGCGAAAGCGTCTGTCATGCTCTGTACGCAGTAGTGTTGTAGAGTACCTTAGTTGCGGAGTAGGCCAAGATACAGGTCTGGGAGTAATGTTGCTGATGAAATGGGATTATGAACACAAGATGATAAAGATAGAAGAGATTGAATTTCTGCAGCTACCAGGTATTATATTATCAATCAGTTCCCACACTCAGGCCCCAGTGGCTTCCAGATTCATCATCTGTCCGAGGATGATGTGCGAGGCAAAATGCATTCCGCACTCTGACAAAGACGCGGAATAAGCACTTGTCGGGTCTTGGCGTCGATGACGAATGTTCGGATTGGTTCTCTTGGAGGATTAGATTAGATCTGGACTTTATTTTTGTTTATTGCTCGAGTTACATATGGGCCTTTCTGAATTAAATAGGCAATTTCGATATTGTCAAACTTAGTGGGCATGTTTGCAACTACTTATTTCGGACGGATCATGGATATATATCGGTCACCATTACTTCGAGTACTAGTGTTCAACCCCATAAGATGGATACTAGGCATCAACCCTCAAATTATGTTATAGACAGTAAAACTTCTCTCATAATTCATGCTCGTCATTACAATATTCAAACCCTCCAAGCCCTCCACCTCGCCTGTAGATAATATAGACAATCGAGAATAACCTATGCTCCAACGCCCGAAACCCCGAAAAAGTATGCACATGCGACCAACCCTAACATATTTCACAGCTACCACAAAGCTTTCACATCGATGTGGCCCTCATCGTCAACAAACTTTCCTCGGTCCCATTCTCGGCTTTCCCCTTTCTTTGACCATTTCACGTCTTCAAGTCGACCCTCGGAGTCGTCCGCTGCTCCGGTAGAGGTGGTGTTGCTCTTCCACCGCTCCACGAACGAATCATTAAACCCAGCCTCCCGCAGTCTATCCTCGCCCCTTTGTCTCCAGCGTGCCCGATCCCGTACTGCTTCAAGAGCCAGTTCCCAGTCATCATCTCCGGTCATCAATCCCGGGACAGGGCGGCGAGTGGATTTCTTTGTACTCGCGTCATCGTCCTCAAGCTGAACGTCCAATGCGGGGTCATAGTCGGCAGCGAAATGCGCATCGATGTTGCTGGCATTAGGTCTGTAAGCACCTCGGCCACGGGAACGAATTGGTGCGTTTTCCTTCGCGGGAAGAGGCCCGACCAAATCCTCCAGAGGGTCTGAATCATATCCGTTTTGCTGAGCAGGCGCGGTGGGTGATTCTTTGCGCGTGGTGGTGGTGTGTTTTCGAGAAGCTTCACGTTCACGGGAGCGATGCCGACTGCTGCGTTCACTGTACTTGTCCCTTCGACTTTCCCTCGCTCTAGGAGATCTCGATCGCGACCGCGACGGTGAGCCGGAACGTCGCCTATGGTGTCGACGGTGACGGCGAGAATATGAATCCCGATCTTCCTTAGGCGAACGACTTCGCGACCGAGAGTAGGACCGATGCCGACGGCTCCTCCGAGATGATCTGTGGCGGTCTTCTTCCGTCTCATGTCTATGCCGATATTTACTGGACCGTTCTCTGTCCGCAGATGCCGAGCGACTTCTAGGTCTCCGCCGATGCGACCGGTGTCTATCCTCGCGATCGTATTTCCTTTCTCGTCGTGAATCTCGATCATCGGTTGTAGATTGGCGACGGCGAGTTTCCCTGGAATCGTGGGAAGAAGCAGTTGCTTGGGTTCGCAGTTGTCGCATCCGTTCCCTTGCTTCCCTCTCTTCTTTTCGCTTTAAGGCTGCATTATGAGTATCCGTTTCTTTTATGATATGACGTAAGAATCGTGTATTTGGTTTCGGAGCAGCGCCGGTAGGTCTGTAGCAAAGGCGAATATTTCATACATCAGCACAGTAATTCTACACGAGCTAGGAAAATAAGCTTCTCACCGTTTAGGCATATAAGCACCCAGTCCTTGCGCCGAATACTTCAAGGAACTGTCCCGCGCTTCACCCGCAAGCACCTGGGCCACATAGTCATCGCTGTCGACATCGCCGATTGCGCTCCCAGAAGTGGGAGGCATCGCAAAAGATGGGCGGCGGTAGATATGCTGCTTGGGAGATGACGAGAAGCAGCCGAGCGTCGGGACAGAAATGGAACTAAATAGCAGACACTGACAGGAAGCCAAATGACCCGTCACAATATGCAGCCAACAGAACCAAAAGCCAAGCACATCATTAATCTCACCGCTCGAGGAAGAACGACGCAAGGAAAGAGCCGGCCGTTAAGGTTGGTCATGTCGGGCTGTTTTGGTCTCACCGCCCGCAGCGCCGATCGAGCGGTCGCATCAGGCATTTGTTTATCTCCGCCGGTTCTGCCGACGCGATTCTCACCTCCCACTTCGGCCCTTCTCGGATACTCTTGGTTACGGCAATTCTATATTATAGGCAATTTTTTCTACTGTCGCAGTTGATCTGTATTTTCTGCGATCTCGGTCGTGTCGAAATACCTGAGTTGTCGCCAGCATGACGGACGTTTCTCATACCGACGCCCTGGAGAAACTCAAGGCGTTGAATCAAGAAACCGGCAATTTAGATACAAACCTTGCGATTGTTCGCATCAGCGAGCCGATCTTCTCTCCAGATGACAATTCAGCACCTACCCCATCCAAGCGAAACTCCGATGTCTCCACGCTCGACAATCCCACGCCTGCGTCGCTCGAGGCGGATCTAACACACTACAAGGTGCGACCTCGGTTCTCTCGATTCTCTCGAGGGTATGTTAACAAAGGGGCATGAATAGGAACTATTCTCGAAACTCCGATTCTCCTACGTCGAACAAGTCACGAAAGAGAAATTCCTGCGAGCAATCGTAGGCGATCCGCCGCTCGTAGTCGGCCACAACGAGAATGTCGAGTTAGAGACGCAATCGGCAGAGGTCAAGGCCGAGCTGCGTGCCCACAAAGAAGAAGTCCGGGTGTTGACTGAAGAAATGGAGAAGAAGGGTCGTGATCTTTCAAGGCGTGAGTATTCCTACATCTGAATCCCATCAAATGCCTAGCGACAAAGAGCATTCAGATGCCACAAGAGGTGCTCGCTAACACCATGACTCCTGACAGGCTACAAGAACGTTCAGCTCCAAATGGCTCAGCTCTCGACCCTTCCCGAATCCATTGAGAACCTTGAATCCACAATTGCGGGCCTGCGCGCCAAGCAGGTTGCTAATATGGATCTATCGTCGTCGCAGAACCTTCCACTCCCCGCAACATTGTCTCTTCTGTCTGAGCGAGAGGCAGAACTTGCGGCACTCGATCGGCAGCTTGCCGCGGTCCAAAATGCTTTACCTCGTAAAACGAGGGAGGCCGAGACTATAGAGCGGGAGCTTAGTGTGCTGGAAAAGAGGAAATCAGAAGCCGTTGTTCAAGCCCGCGAAGCCAAGAGAAAGAAGCAAGAGGGTGAAAGTGACGGGCTGGAGGAAATGGGACGGTGGTACAGAAGTGCCGAAGAGGTGCTCAAGGGACTAGTGGGTGTTGGGGAATAAATCCAAGGGATCGACGGACTAGCATGATGTACGATAAAATGTGGGGAAGGCGTTGGGTCTTATTTTGGGGTTTCTTTATCAGAGGGGTTCAGGGAGAATAAGGAATGAGATGGGTTGGCGGGGAATACAGGCTACTACGACGATCAGGATTATAACAGGTGTTCGGGTTTCGGAATTAAGCCAAAAGGCCATTTTTTTCATTCATTGAATGGCATGATCGTACAACATGATACGCTATGCTGCAGTCACAAGGAAGCCCCCAAATTTTGTGTTCCATAGCGAAACCCGTCCTTACTCCATGGTGAAAGCATTTACTCTTCCTCCTCCTCTTCCTCGCCGTCACCACCGCCAGCGGCAGCAGCAGCCTTCTTGCGCTGGACACGTCCAGGGCGGCCACCACCGTAGGGGGAGGTAAGAGCGAAGTCGATGTGCTTCTGGGAGTCCAGGCGGACCATGTAGGAGGGCACGTTGACGATCTGCTTACCGACACTAGATTCCATTCCGTTAGCATGGGGGTCCGAATATCGCGGGCGACAGGCTTCTCATACCGGATGTGACGCTGCTTGATCAGGACACGAGCGTGGTGGATGGACTTGGCAAGGCCGAGCTTGTAGACACAGGTTTGCAGACGACGCTCCAAGAAGTCCTCGACCTTAAGGGCCAGGACGTAATCGAGCTTCATACGGGACTCATCGAGCACACCGATACGGACCAGACGGCGAATCAAAGCGTTACCTTCGAAAAGACGCTTGGGGTCCTTCTCGTCGAGGGTGAGCAGCTCACTAGACGGGTGTCGTTAGTCTGCTGTTCTTTCCATATTCCGTATCCGTTCCATAAAACTTTTTCCTCCACGCAATCTTGAACATCTGGGTATCGGGGTCGCATACCGAGCAGCACGACGGATCTTGGACAGAGTGAGCTGGACACGCCACACCTCACGCTTGTTGCGCAGGCCGTACTCGCCGACAATCTTCAGTTCCGAGTCACTATTCCAACCAAGTTAGAGACGAGAACACACGACATAACCAGAAGCACGCTTCTGATTAGTGGCCGGAGAGTACTAACAGACGAGCCGACTCGAAAGCTGCGCAGAAGTTAGCATTTTGCGGAGTCTCAAAATTTTTTCTTCAAGTCATTTCGATAAAGGCAAACTTACGACGACGGGGGACCTTGTAGGTCTTGGAGTAGACGCGACTGTGATGAACATGATAATTAGACGACTGCGACGACCGCGCATCATACCGACGAGGCTGTATACTCACGGGACGGGGGCCATGGCTGCAAATTGGGCGTTGTCGCGAGGTTGTCGAACACACTAAGCTTCACGAAGGCCGCGACAGTTCAGAAGATGAAGATGCGTTTTGGAGAGCGGCACTAAGCGAGCGAGAGTGGAGCCGGAATCGGCTTAGCGCAAGGGTTAGCCCTGGGCGGTGGAGAAGCGCGCACTAAGCATCCGAAGAAGTCTACACCCTACGGGCGGCAGAGTGAGGCACTTCTTCGTTGTCGACAAGTTCCCAATTCCAGCACCACCAACACCGCCGACATGGGTCACTCGCACGGTTTGAGATCCGGCACTCGGGTACGTCGTTTGTCCAACCTCATTATGCGCCGGGAGGTCGAGAATCGCGCGCTGACGATTTTTTGCAGTATGCCTTCAGCCGTAACTTCAAGGAGCACGGCCAAATCGCCCTGTCGACCTACCTGAAGACCTACCGGTACGCCGAAAATTTTCTCCCGCCGAGTTTTGTGATATGATGGATACAAAGGATCAGGGTCTGATATATATGAATTTTCTAGGGTCGGAGATATCGTTGATATCAAGGTCAACGGTGCCGTCCAGAAGGGGTCAGTTCAATTTCCGCCCGCGCGAGGTTCCGATTGAAATCGCGAAGGAAGATCGTTTTGTTTTGCTGAGACATTGGAAACAGTATGCCCTACAAGGTCTACAACGGTAAGACCGGTGTCGTCTACAACGTGACCAAGTCCTCCGTCGGTGTCCTCCTCTACAAGGTTGTCGGCAACCGCTACATCGAGAAGCGCGTCAACGTCCGCATCGAGCACGTCAAGCACTCCCGCTCCCGTGAGGACTTCATCAAGCGTGTCAAGGAGAACGCCCAGAAGAAGCGCCAGGCCAAGGAGCAGGGCATCCACCTCCACCTCAAGCGCCAGGCCGTCCAGCCCCGTGAGGCCCACCTCGTTGAGGGCGCCACCCCCGAGACCATCACTCCTATCCCCTACGACACTCACATCTAAACGAATGGAATGGTCGACGCGGTTGTTTGGTGTTTTCTGGGTTTCCGATCCATGGGTGGATTTTGCATTAAGACGCAGCGAAAAATTATAGGGTTCTCAGATGTACGAGCACATCTCAACGCCTGTGCATAGATTCCCCTGAATGAAGAAAAAAACAAAATTTCGATTCCCTTGTTCAAATCCTTGACCGTGAGATTTTTGGCGCCGTTCTTTCTCCGCGGGTCCCTCTTTTTCTTCGACGAGTTGCAAAGATCGCCCCAAGAAATTTCGGTTAGCCGCGCTTGAAATTGACTCGGTCGGTTGGTCGGTCGCCCGCAAGACAGACAACACTCGAACATGAACATAGCCTTCACCGCTACGATTCGTAGACGAGACGGGTTTCTTGGAAAATCAAGGGACCCATAGTCCGGGGCAAACTTCTAATCCCTGGAATAAACTCTTTTTCCAAGAGATCCACATATCCCCATTGTCGTAACGTGTAACATCGTAAAACCCATGCTTTCGCACTTCGCATGAGTCATTCTGGGCGCAGAAGATCTTCGATACATTCTACGGTTACATCCACGCCTCTCTTGTCCAGATCGAATCACCCCTCACGGGCTCAAGCTGAGCCACGGGGGATTGCCGGCCTGAGAATGCCAGCATTGGGCACTAACACCCCGATCTCCATACTCTTGACCAGGAAGATCCAACCCTCGACCAGACAAGGTGGTTCTAGAACACCATCCCCAGTTCACGGGTGATGTCATCAAGTATGGGCTAGTCAGGTTAGTACCTTAGTCTTCGCTGTCGTGTCTCCTGGAGAGCACGCTGCTGGGTTGGACATGGACTCGAGGTCGGCAACACCGCCACGATGCACGATAGCTCTCGTCCGGCCATCCCAGGGACCATCTGAAACATTGGTGCATGTAGATTTTGGTTATTTTCCCGCTTGTTTCCGATCGGACGTCAGGGTGTCGATAAGGCTGTGGGAAGGGCAAGGCTCCCACTGCACTGACTTGAAAACGTAAAAAAGAGGAACGAACTGTCTTCCGGCCTCCACGTGTTACATTAAATGAATCGAGTCTCGGGTATTGCTTTGGCTTACGTGGGAGTCTTTGCGTTGCTTGATTTCTATTTTATTTTATTTTAATTGTGTTGGGGTGGATTGCAATGGGTTGGGTGGTAAAATATATTGTGGTTGTCCGATGAGCAGTTGAAGTGACTTGGGGCTACTGCCAGATTAGGTGCTGCAACAGTTTAGTCTGAGTTCAGTCCAGACCACAAGCAACAGATCCCCTGTTCTGCCCCTGCTTCTCGACTGGCATGTTTTTCCCTGATGGATATCGCCGGATCCAGACCGGTTAGAAGCAGCAGCAGAAGACCCAGCGGGCCGTTCTGTTCTACGGAGTACCCGCATGCTTGGTGTGGAGTGGCGCAGCCCATTCATCCAGCATCATCCGTGTAACACGGTTTCTTTGCAGCGCCTCGAGTGATGAAATACAATGCTTTGGAAGGGCAAAATGGTTCATATGAATTTCTTTTTCTGCTGTCCTTTTTTTCCTTCCTTTTTCTCCCTCCCATTTTGGCTTTTCTTTCGGCATCTGCCAAGAGTGGCTTAACAAGCAAGTCGCAGGAAATGATGAAGCGACTACCAGTGACGGGCGTTATCCCTCACGCCTCATTTTGCTTTTCTTGCAGATGGTTAAGTGGATGTGTAACACGGCATCAAATGACAATGGTGAATTGACGACATCTTACTCCGTTCCTGCTCTGCAACAGCACTCTATCGTGAATTGCAGATAGGGAAATACGCCCTGTGACGTGCAGGTGCCCTATGTGTCATTTGGGGGATCACCTGCGCTCCGGAGGGCTTTCTCATAGGTCGAAGAGAAGTCTCCGGACTGTGTTTGAGGAGAAAAATAATTGCTACGAAAATGCAGCTCAACGGGAAAAAAGAAACATTGAAAAAAAGGAAAAAAAAAAAAAAAAAGAGGAGATCCGCTCCATCGAGTCTAAGCAACGACCCGACAGGCTTCATCCAGGTTCTGGGTAACAGTCCCTGGCATTCCCACCACCCAAGTGGCTGTGTATGCAGCAGTGCAATATCATCTGGGCAGCAAGAGGTCAATGGAGAGAATCCTTCGTCTTAGTTGGGGGACCGGAGCAAGTCGGACGGGATCAATTGAGGGTCGAATCCACTCGTCCCGGCAAGCAACGGCAGCCCCACCGCCCGACGTCTGTGCTCTTCATTCATCTGTTCCTTCTCCATGGAGCTGAGTGCTGACCCTACGCTGTACTCCGTACGTCTTCCCCGGCGTCGTAGCTCCTCGTAGCTCGGGTCATCGTCCTCCGCAGGAATTGCCTGTCCTCCCTCCTCCCTCTGTCTGACAAAAATGAGGCGACAAGTTCGCAGCGGAGGTTGGCGAAATTTCCCGCGAATCTTTGCTTTTTCTCAACTCCCCGTTCGGACCTTAGGCAACGACCATTGCTCTGCAAGGGTCAAACTGGCTACGTAGGAGGGGTGAATTTTCCGGGCTCTTGAACTCCCCCCTGCTGCACGTCATGCGGCGCGCCCTATTTGCCTCGGGGGAATTCCAGTTCATACGGTAAGGTATCCCCGTACGCAGATTTACCCTACTGTAGATGAGGCTCTGGTATTGGAATTACAGTCCCCCCCTGTCGAAGGTACCTAGGTCTCGATTTTTCGGGCAGACCTCAAGCTGCTCTGATTGGAAAATTCATCCAAAGGATTTTACAGCACTAATCCCCTGGGCAGCTTACCCGGGTGAAAGAAAGAGACAGAGTGAGGTAATGGCCGGTGATCTGCTTGACTGGAAAAGTATATATGAGGTTCATTGCCACTCCTCGTCCGCCGATATTATCTTTTTTTCTGATACCTTTCGTTTGTACTTTCCCTTCTGTCTCTCGGCTTTCTATTGTCTTTTTTGCTCCGAAGGTCTCTCGTTCTGTGACTTGTGACATACTTCCCAGGCTCTTGTTTGGAGCTTCGAGCTTCCTTCTCGGTCCTCCAGCTACTTCACTCCCTGTTATCCCATTGGGTCTGCTTATAATAAATCATTTTCATCCTCAATACTAGTTTATTATCTCCTCTTCTCACGACATCTTCTGTACTTCCCCGTTCTGCTTTTGTCCTTTGCTTTGTCCTTTGCCTTAGGCCTAAGGGCTGAGGCCGCTTCCAAAACCTCGTCACCATGTATCGTCCGTTCCGGATCCCCAACTACAACGATTACTCGCCTGGCTACCTGATGCCACCTGGACTTCATGACGGTTCAACAGTGAGTTAACCATATTCACTTTCTGCATATATTCAACCGACTAACAGTACCTCCTAAGATGCCGAGCCAGTCATCTGTACAATCCCCAATGTCGCCTTCCAGCAGCCTCGGCCCGGATCATGCTCAAGGCAGCATCCTCTCTCTAGAAGTACCCCAGCTTCTGCCAGATGATCTGTCGCATTCGTTGATGGGAATATCATCTCGATTGGCCAACGAGTACCCGAACAATGACGAGGAGTTTTCCTTCGACGATGTACTCGGGACAAGCCCTCGGACTCAGCAACCTCTTTGCCCTCCACAGATCGACGCCTCCTCTGATCTATTAGAAAGGTTGCGTAGTGATTTGGAGAATGTCGGAGCAACGGTCCAGGAGATAGTCTCCCAACTTGATGTCCCCCAGCTGTACGATATCAAAGATCTCCTTAAGCGCAGATTTAGTCGGTTTGAGACTACCATCCAAACCAGAATTGAATGCGAGGAGCAGCCCAGCCCTAGTTGCAGGGCTAAGGATAGATATCTCTGCAAGCTCTGCAAGCCTGAAAATCGCAGGGTGTATACTCTTCGGGGTACCTTCAAGCGGCATGTCTCTGGGGTACATCAACACGAATTCCAATTCCGTTGCCCTTTCTCGTGCCACTGGACCACATTTAGAAGGGACAAGGTGCACACGCACTTGAGAATCGCCCACAAGTGGCCAGGCAGGCTGAGTCGGGACCAAATGAACCGTCTTGAAAGACGCCTGCCTCCGCCGACGATGTGCGACATTTGCTACTGTTTGGTCGAGACCTGGGATGAGTACTTCACATGTGTTGCCACGCATTGCCGTCTTCGCGAGAACGACTCGACAGACACCAGTGCGTCTCAAAGCAGACGAAGCAGTGGAGACAGCGGAAGCGGCGCGAATGGAGGCAGCGGGAACTTCCATGGAAATGGCTTTCCCGGAGGATTCTACAACGGCTTCCAGTTTGGGGGTGGAGGTGGCCAAACGAATGGTGGCTCATATTACTCGAGTACCGACCAGCATTACTTCTCCCAGGCCAGCAGCTACTCCAACGAAATGGATTCGGCTTCCCTCAGCGGGCGAAGCCCCTCTGCACTGGGTTCCGGCTCAGAAAGTCCCGTCTCCTTTAGGAGACAGACATCCCACGACCCGGTCTTCAAACAGCAAAGCAAGGTCGAAGAGATAAACGGAGAGACCGGAACCACCCCAGTTTATCCACAGTCACTCCAGCGCAGTGCTACAGAATCTCCTCGAAGCTCTACAGATGTAGGCTCAGATGGACAATCACCATCTAAAGCCCCCCCTCGATCAAAAATCCAATCAGCCGATGTACCTTTCCGAGTGAATAATCTGGGAAGTTTGCTAAAAAGACATTCGCAAAGGCCTGTTTCTCCTGCATCGGATGCCATCGACAAAAAGGAGTGCAAGATCTGTGGTCATATCATGAGTGATTGCACAAGCTGTCATTCACTGCAACTAAATGCTGATAAGTGCCATCTTTGCATAGATGGATCTTGCCAGAAAGTTTCTTTGAAAACCCATCAACTACCGAATTGTGGTTTGAACGATGCCGCTGTTGACCAGGCGACGGACTGCACCCACCCCGCAGATGTGACTATGCAGGTGTCGGAGAAGTCCCTGCAGCGTTTACCGCAGGTTTCCCAAGCATATGGGGATTCGGAACCAACCGCAAAACACCCAAGACGAACCAGGGATGATGCTGTCATTTTGCCTGGCACATCCTCCCAAAAGGCTGTCCATCCACCTACCTCGACTGTGTCCACCGAGGATCGCAAATCCAACCAGACTGGTTTCTTTGACATTTCTACCCAAAATACATCCGACGATTCATCATCAATGATGCTCATACCGAAAGACCTCTCACCATCTACGGGCAAAGCTTTAACCAGTGGACCCCAACAACAGCAACAAGAATCATCGTCGGAGACTAGGCTTTTGCCATACCCCCTAATTGTCGCGAAGTACCCGAGCAACTTGCACCATGGCTTGGGAATATATGGATACCAGAGACCAATGCTCAACCCCAATAAAACCTTGGCTGTTGAAATGACGCTCCCATATCGTGTTCCGCCCGGAGGATGCTTGCAACAGCGCCCCGGAATATTCTTGTCCACGGACATGACTGCCAGTATCCGACATGGAAGAGCCAAGGGATCAAGTGGGACGCATTCGTGCATCAGTGGAAAATTCATGCAGCATTATCGAACGTCCACACCTAGAGACGCAGAGTCCCTAGAAGACCACCAAGACAAAGGCTCAAAAAGCCTTGAACTTGTTACTCAGAGCTTCTTCGTGCTAAATCAACGGCTGGAATGTCTGAATTATCCCGTACCTACCAACCGACCGGTTCCAGCCAAACACATTCTCTCGCGCAAGAAATACAATGCGCTACGAACCAAACTCCAAGTCATTGTCGAAATCCTAGCACTCCACAAGTCTTCCAGAGCCCCGATATTGGACCCGGAGGAGTCTAGCATCTCATACCTGAAATCCATCGTTCCGACAGGGAGTTACCTCAAGTCGCCAGTTTTCGACTTCGACCTCAGCCGTCTGGACATACATTCGTCGCTCCCATTGCTTTCGGAGACATTGTCCTTGCTACAAACAAGCCCGAAAGGGAATACGTCAACCAAGCTTACCGACTATATATACGACCCTGATGATGAAGTAGATCTCATGTTGCGTTATTTGACACCCTTACTTATGAAACTCTTGCGCATGCCGACCCTTCCTATTGATACTGCGACAACTGCAGCTGCTACAATGCTTGAAATTTGATTTGATTTTCAGTCTTTCCTTTCTTCACAAAACTTGTGCCTGTGCCCATTTGTTCTTTGATTTTTACTTCGCTTGCTGGAATGACTGCCTTTCACTATACCCGATGATCCAATACCCCCGACTATGATGTAGTTTATATACTGTTGTTCATTATTTGTTTGTGGATGCTCTGTTCTCTACTGTTTTCTTCACTTGGTGTATTTACTTTCCGCGACGACCCAATATCATGACCTTTAGAACTGTCTAACGCAAGCCCCAAACACAATAGCTGTCGGAGATAGGCGGAGTTAAAGCGAATCAAAAGCGGAGACTGGAGAGATGACATAACAGGCCCGATAAGCACGGTAGCGGCGACAACATATCCAGCGGTCGCGCAATTGACACAGTGACACTCCGTCCGGCTCAAATCACTGGGTTAGTTCGCCCTTTCGATTGGACAGTGAATGGGTGGCTGATACCGACCCCTGCAGTCCTAAGCTCCGATCGCCACAACCCCTCACAGCTTCGCTTGATCATGAGTTCACCACCCACCTCCGGCGGCGACCGACCAGAGCGACCGTCTCAGCGAAATTCTCCCACCCTATGGCATCCCGCCCGCGAATGGCTTGAAGAGGACGACGAAGAGGATGTTGACTTCGAGCCCGAGTCTGAATTTTCCGACGATAGAGAGGATTTTGACGACGGGGGCCCCTTGTACGGCGACCCCGACACTTTTGGTGTTTTCCTCGGTATGTGTGGCCTTTGCGTTGTTGGATTATTCGCAATTAGTATCGTGCTTCGATGATGAGTTGCTGATGTCGTTGGTCTGGTAGATCCGGAGTTTCACCCTGGTGTTCAGATCGAGTTCTCGATGGAGGCGCCGAATCCCGAGGAGGGCGGGGATGGCCAGGCGGGCCGACAGAATCGAGGTATGGAGCGTGAGATAGTTCTCACTGTTTTCTTGAACACAAAGATCCTGGGTTGAAAAAAGGCTGACGGGAGAAGTATCCGCAGCCCGACTACTTAATCTATTAGCATCGAATGGCTTGCGGCATATTCTCAGCTACGACGGTTGGCCTGGCGGCGCCGACGACGAAGACGACGACGAGGATCCTTACCAGGGCCTTTTCAGATACCGGAGGCAGCCACGGCGGGCTAACAATGCTCAGTTCCCGAAGGTTCCGAGCGATGAGGGTACGAAGTTGATGCGGACCGGCAATTTTGGGAGCAATACGCATTACGCGGACGAGTTGAAGAAACGAAAACGAACACTGGCTACGAGGATGATGTGGCGTGAGCTAGGCATTGATGTATCGGGCGGTCCGAAGAGGGAGGTGCAGTCCATATCACAGGTGTGTGTGGCGATGTGTTAATTGGCGATAGGGTGGGTGGTATACTGATCATTGAGTACACAGGGCTTAATACCGGGGTCGGTCGCGGACAAAATCATCCATTTTGATTCGAGGTGTTATTCGGGTCAGTTCTCGGACGACGGGAACTTCTTCTTTTGCTGCGCCCAAGACTTCAAGGTTAGGATGTACGACACATCCAATCCCTTTGAATGGAAGTACTACAAGACAGTGAATTACCCCTTCGGTCAGTGGACTATCACCGACGCCAGTTTGAGCCCGGACAACAGATTCTTGGCCTACACGTCAATTCGGAACCTTGTTTGTCTTGCGCCCACGGATCCACTGGATTCATCCGATCCGGCTGTCTTGGATCTCTCCGTACTCCCTGGTGAAAGAGGAGGACGGCGAGGTCCATACGGAAGCTCACATTTTGGGGTACGCATTGAACTTGCTGCCTAATCTGAAGCATAACTAATATGGCATAGATCTGGTCTATCCGGTTCTCCGGCGATGGTCGTGAACTTGTGGCTGGCACATCTGACCACTCGGTGATCGTTTACGACCTTGAGACGCGACAGTCGGTTCTGCGCCTGCAAAATCATGAGGACGATGTAAACGCTGTCTGCTTCGGCGATAAATCCTCGCCTCATATTCTCTATTCCGGCTCCGATGATACCACGTTACGAGTATGGGACAGGCGCTCAATGGGCGACGGGCGTGAAGCTGGCGTCTTTATGGGCCATACCGAAGGGTTGACCTACGTTGACAGCAAGGGCGATGGGAGATACGTCATCTCCAACGGAAAGGACCAATCGATGAAACTTTGGGATCTAAGAAAAATGATGACGACGGCCAAATTTGACACTCTCGATGTGAACAACTTTACGAGCGGCTTCGATTACCGATTTGAATCCTACCCTACCAACTACTACGAGCCACATCCACATGACTGCTCGGTTGTCACGTTCCGAGGACACCGGGTGCTGAAGACCTTGATTCGATGCCATTTCTCACCCCCGGGTAGCACGAACTCGAGATATGTATACACGGGGAGCGAGGATGGCAAGGTCTATGTCTACAACATGGACGCCACGTTAGCTGGAACGATTGACGCGGGAGTCGCGACGATGGATTCGCGACCGCAAGATCCCGACATCTATACCACTGCGTATGAGCTCCGGAGTCGGAGCGGTGAACCGATGTGGCGCACCTGTGTTCGCGATGCAAGCTGGCACCCCAACGCACCAGCGCTCGCCGGTAAGCCACTTTTTAGCAGATTATTCGTCGAGAGGATACTGACTGACTCTTGTCTAGCGACGTCGTGGAATGGCTGGGGCTTGTCGACCGGGACCTGCACCTTGCATACCTGGAATGACTCCGCGGTCGATGACGAGGGCGATCCACCGGTCGGAAGGAACTACGATTGTAAATTGAATCCGGTGCCTGAATTCAACTGGCACAAGGAACATAGTCATCGAGTGAGAAGCCGCCCCGTCGAGAGATTTGTCGAGAGGTTTGACCCGGAGGCGGAGAGCTACGAGATCTGGTGAAGGCAGCTGGGCTGTTGATATATGTGTGGAAGGATTTTCTGCGTTGATTGTTCAGCTAGACTGGCATGTGAGGAAGCGTGTAAAGCGTATAATAGCAATATGGCAAGAGATAATTGAAATGACTATTTATCCATGGACACGACTCCGAAAGTATGAGTCCGAGGAAGGCCCGGAGCCGGAGGAAAAGTTCTGCCGACGGGGCAGCTCCACCAGCTGCGTCGAGACGAGATCGAAGCTCTCGCCTTCCCTTCTCTTTTACATCGCGCGCTCCACCCGCCTCGTCGTACTTCGGACACGTCTTACAAGGGATTGTCTGCTCTCTCTCTCCTCATCCACCGACCCTTTCACCTCAATTTCTCACCCCCCTTTCTCCCCTTTTCTCCTGCCTTTCTCTCTCCGCTCTCGACTTTGACCCGACCGCTGGCGGCTACGTTTCAGGGGATCCCAACTGGGCGTGTACTTCCTGGGTGGCATCAGTGATTCGGAGGCCTCCAACTGATTTGAAACGGACGGATCTGTCTGCCGGTTCTTTTTCCTCACTTTTCTTTCTCTTGCGTGTGCTCTCATCTGGAGGGTTTCTGTCAGACCTGTTCTCTAGCCAAAAAGCGCTTCTCTCCCTGCCTGACTGTGGTGGCGGAAACTCCTAACAGCGCCGCACCTGTGGTTTTATCTTCATCTTCATCTCTATCGCTTTGATTGAAAAACACTAAACCCCCCATACCATTCTACCTGTACTTGGCAATCCTGAGACCAGGAGCGAGAGAATAGTGCGCGCGCTTTATCTCTCCCTTTTAAGAGATCTCGGTGTCCCGGCTGGTGAAAAAGAAATTTGTTCCTTTTTGAAGCTGTCTGCGCTTCGGATTGTACGTATCATCGTGCCTCTTTTTATCCTTTCTGTTGTACTTTTCGCTCTTGCTTCTTCTCTATTATCTCTGCGGTTCTTAAAAGAAACGAGCTTGAAGTGGTTTGCGACAATCGCTTCAAAGAATGACCCAATACAATCCCCTGCTTTCCGGGATACTTGCAAAAAGCTTCTTTTTCCATCTCAAGTGAATGATTACCTTCGTGCTAATTGACGGCCTACGTCTACAGACATGTACTTCCAGTTGTTTCGAAACTGAAAAAGAATCCTTTCCAGAAGACAAGGACTGTATTACTTCTCTTCCCCTTCCCACCAATCAAGGATCCGTTCTCTTACTCTGAGATACCGGATCATATCTAAGCGCCATGGCTACTGAGGATGATAACTTCGATATTGACATCTATGGAGATGGTGGTGGCTATAACGGTAACGACCAAGGAGACTATAAAGAGGAGGATGTCAAGCAGGAGGACTCGGAGCTCATCTTAGACGCGCCCGAGAATACCCAGAATGGAGCCCCTGTGTCCGGGGACGGTGCCTCCGAGTCAAACCAGAAGCAGGAGCAGACGGCGAACACGCAACCCGCAAATGGCGAACACGTAACACCGGCAGACGCCAACCAGCAGCAAACGCCAAACCAGATCCCGCCTGCGCCACAGGGCGTGAAGCGCAAAGAGCACGATGACCGCCAGACGGACCCTGACGCAACGCCGGCTCTGCTTATCTCGGACTTGTTCTGGTGGACTACCGATGACGATATCCGTGGATGGATTCGTGAAGCCGAATGTGAGGATGAGCTGAAGGACGTAACATTCAGCGAGCATAAGGTGAACGGAAAGAGTAAAGGGTAGGATTTGACTTCCACTGTGCCGCTTCTTGCGCCAAGCGCTAACCTAGGATTTCCACACAGACAAGCCTTCGTCGAGTTCACCACCCTTCAGGCCTCTACCGCCACCAAGCACAAGATCGAGTCGTATGCTCTTTCCGGCCAAGCCGGACGCAAACACAGTGTCAACTACACCAACCCCCAACCGAACCCCTTCCGCACGCTACCTAAGGATGCCCCTATGAGAAAGGATAACCAGGCCCGGTCGATGTCCGGTGGCTTCAATTCGTCAAACCAGAACATGAACTTCGGCATGAACAACATGGGAGGCGGAGGAGGGTTCCGCGGCGGTCGTGGCGGATTCAACCGGGGTGGTATGAACAACAACATGGGCAACTTTGGTAACCGCAACTTCCAGAATCCCATGGGTGGATTCCAGAACCCAATGGGCGGCGGTTTCCCCGCAAACCCGATGGGCGGCATGCCGAACTACGGATATAACAACCGCGGCGGTATGATGGGAGGTAGCATGCGAGGCGGCCCCGGAGGCATGCGCGGTGGCCGGGGTGGTGGCGGCATGGGCGGACCGAATATGATGGGCATGCCTGCCATGAATCCTATGGGAGGCATGGGAGGGATGAACCCGATGTCCGGTGGCATGAACCCGATGATGGGCGGTATGGGCGGAAATATGGCCATGCAGGGTAAGTTTCGTTGAGATGTGTCGTTTGATTCGACTGTCAACTTCGTGTGCACGCCCTAACCACGAGATTTTGCTAGGTAAAGGCGGTTTCCAGGCTCCCAATCCAGCATTCAACCAGGGCTTCTTCACCCCCAACCAAGGAGTAAACGATGGATCCTGGAACCCTCATGGCGCTAAGCGCAGTCGTCAGGAGTAACTGAACTTTTCCTTCTAACCAATGACAGCATCTTGCGCTTTGCACTTTGTCTGTCGTCGACTTCAGATGGTATCTGATCAAGTCTTGGGGGAGTTCTGTTTTCCTATCTCTGTACCACTTGTTACATCTACATTTTTCTTCCTTCTCTGGGTGCTTTTCTTTTACTAACGGTCTCACGGGAAATTGGTCTTCATTTTTCTTTTTGCTGTCGCACATGGGGTTCTTTTTCTTTTCAGCTCTTCACAAGGTGTATTAGACAATTCAACTGTGGTTTCATTTCTTCTTCCTGCGTTTTCTTGTATTCACGTTCTTGTTGGCCATGTGGTTGGATCATATACCCTTGTAAAAGCTTTGAATTATCGCTTCAGAGAATGCTGGTGTATTTGGACATTGTTTCTTGAACCTTTCACTTTTGTACTGACATGTGTCAAGAGTAAGGGCCGTACCAGAGTTAACCATCTACATCATCATGACCATCCCAGGAATCACTTGCCCTTGGTTCGTTCCAACCTTTTCAACACCCCATGAATAACAGGAGGGATATCTCAGTCTCTTTGCCAATTATTCCATCGCTCACCAGCACAATGGATCCCCCACCGCCTGTCTCTCGCAACGGCTTCGAATACTACAACGATGAATTCTACGTCCTCGTGCACCCCAACCACCGACACCGCCGCTCTACTATCCCCGAGCTACGTGCCTTCTTCAACACAAGCCCCAACACGACTTCTCTCAAAGACAAGCCCGCGCACTGGTACCGCGCCCAACTAATCCACTATGGACTCCAGCCGATAGATCGCAAAGATACAGCTACCGTGCGACTCCTTGATGCTTTGAAGCAGGGCACGCTTAGAGTGCCGGAGTACATCGAACGAATGGAGCGGGAAATGAAGAGCGAATACAACAGCAAGAAGAAGAGTGCTTTGAAACCAGGACGGAAGCGCAACGCCCCGACTGTGAAGAAACGGCTGGGTGGCTTTGCCGATCTTGATATCGACAGGGAAGAGCTGGGTGCCGGGAATCCCAAGAGGTCGGGACGGCTGGGCTTTTCGGTGTCTAATTTGAATATCAATTTCAATATTGGAGGGTTCGGTGGTGCGCGCAAATCGGCAAAGACGACTCCCAAGGTAAAGCCTGAGTTGAGTGTCCTGCAGGAGATGATGAGGATGGGGAACAGCCCCAGCCGGAATGATGATCCGCAAAGTTCTCGCGGCAGAGTAAGTTCGCCTCACCGGTCTAAGTCAGCAGCTGTTGATGGTATCATGTCCATTTGCAAAGCCTCGTCCTCGTCTAGCCCTCGACCCTCTCAACGGCTCTTACAAAATCGACTCCTTCGCCACCGACACGCGCAATTCCGGCATGACCCTCCGCGTCAGCGGGCCCAGCCTCTGGGGCGAGTTCCAGCTTGGATTCGTCCAGGGCATCCTGTACATGGCCCAGCGTCCCTGGAACATCTCCTACGAAGACGGCGGCGGCTGTCCGTTCCTGTGGCGCACCAGAGACCTCGACACGGGACTGGGGATCTATGGGCCGCAACACTGCGGGGAGATGCGGTTTCTGGACGATGGGAATGTCGACGGGATCTTTTATAATTTTCCGGATGGAGAGGGAGGTTGGCTCGATTGTGAGGTTTGGGGGAGGAGGATCGCGGAGGTGGAGCTGGGAATTGGGAGAGATGCGGCGAGTATGAGGATGGAGTTTGAGAGTATTGGGCGTTGATTGGGGGGGGGGGGGGGGGGGGGTGGATTTGGGATACTTCGTTTTCCCCTTCCTTTTACTGTTGTTTCTTTTGTTAAGTTGAAGGGTTGATTAATTCTGTCAAGAGGAATGAAGTCGTGCTTGATTGATCTGCGTGTTGAAAGTAGAGGTATGAATGAGCTCTAGTAAGAAGTATGGCGCAGAAGGTACTATGTAACTCTTACCGTGAAACACATCATGCCAACCGTCATTCCCAAACTTCCAAACAGCAGCCAGCATCAGCTATATTACACATAGTGCAACAAGCTGTCACGAAGTCTTTTCCCGACAATCTCGTTCTTTCCTTCTGATCTCCATATCGCCCTGCGCAAGCCATTTGCTAGCCTCTACGAACTGGACTATGTTCACATACTGCTTAAAAAGCATGAAGACCGATGAGATGGCAAGCAAAGCCCATGGAACCGCACTATCTATCTTATTAGCGCTAGAATCATCGTTAGTATAATGCACCCTGCCTAATGAATGTGTCTGGACCTTACCGAGCCATTTCCATCGCTCCAGCGCTCCACGGCGAGCTCCATGTTTGCGGCCGCGTGGGCAGGGCAACAGTTGGTTTTTGGTCCATCAGCGTAGGAGATGAGAACGAGAGCAGGTACAGCGCGATAAAGAAGAGCTCGTTCAACAAGCATACAGTAAAGAGAACATACTAGAGCCTTCGTTAGTTTCCACTTCCAGCGATGTATAAGATGACATACTATGTTTGAATAGTAGAGCCGCATGGCCCAGGGTCGATTCTCATCGATATTCTTGTGACTTTGACGACTTCCGCCCATTGCCAAGGTCGCGTACATATGAATATAATGGCTAGAATAATCCAAGCTGATTAGGCCTTGAAATACAATGCTCCACCTGGGGAACGCGCTCGCTAGGAACACAAGTAAACAGGTCGTTGTGCAGCGGTCTGTGATCATATCCAAGACCGCGCCGAAGCGGGTGGATTGGTCGAGGCGTCGAGCAGCCGCCCCATCTAGAGCATCAAGGAGGCATGATATGCTGTAGAGAAGGGAGCATGTCCGAGGATGCAGGGGCATGTAGTAGAGGGATGCAACGGCGAAGACGATGCGGGTGTATCCTAGACATGGATCCGCTGTTAGGCAACAGACTGCATCGAAGTTGGCGAGGTAAACAAACCAATCAGGTTGGGGACGAAGAGGAAAACATTCTCCTGCGTTGACCGTCTGGAATCTTCAGCGGGTGAAGGTGTTGTCATTATGGAACTTTGACCTTCTGATGGTCTGAAGTTTCTCTTAGGGATATGTTGGTCCCAAAGGGTACCAAAGGATGTCGGAACATACGGACATGCACTACCGGGACAGGCCAAATCCGCCTAACCGGACAGCCTTGTCATAACGTAATTCCTCGGCGAGTATAAATTACTACTATATTCTTTGTAATTTTTGATAATCCATGATTATAAAATAGAAATAAAGTATTAAAATATTAGAAGCTTATTATAAGTATCATGGGAGTAGGAACATGGAGTAATCCTCGCCGCTCAGTCCATCTTCCTCTAATTGGAGCATGTACTCCGTAACTATAGAATGATGGATGATCACGTTGAACATTCGTCACGTGCTGTAGAAGTAATCAAGTGAGTGAGCAACCCTTAGAATCTCCATTCTCAACCTCTTCTCTTTCCAAACCGCTGGCTCGCCATCGATTCGACCCGTCCGCACCAAAGGAGTTATACTTAAGCAGAAACCGTCCCCAGAAAGCAGCCTTCACAATTGCCCAGTTTATTTTTATAAAGACCTTGACCAGACGACTAGCCATTGACACTTCTGAGAAACCACTACTTATTATTATTGGGGGTTACAAACGATGTCCGGTATCGAAATTCTGGGGGTCATTGCTGGCACACTTCAACTTGCAGAAATTGGAGCGAAGCTTTCGGTGAAGCTTTGCTTATTTTACCGCGAAATCAAGGATGCAAACCAGTCCATGCAAAGTCTGTCCAGCCATATGTCACTCACTTCCAACATTCTCCACGAGCTTGGGATAACTTTACAGCAGGACGAACATGTCAAAAACTGTTCGGAGCAGATGATCCTTAGTGCTCAAGACGTCCTGGATGAATGTAAGACGGTTTTTAAGCATATCGAAGAAACGATAGAGAAGCAAAAGCCAGGGGACGAGAAGGGCTTCTTGCAGCGCGGAATTCGGAAAATCACTGTCGCATTACTCGAACGCGATCTGGATGTATTGAAGAGCGCTTTAGAGCGACTCAAGTCGACAATGCTGCTCATGCTACAGGTTCTCATGTATGCTGCACAACTTCGCAGGTGCGTTTAACACGAGCTTTTTTTTTTTCTTTTAACATTTTCTGATTACAGCTCAGCAGGAGGACTGAATTCCATGTGCTCGAGAATCAACAATTATTAATACAAACGCTCCTGGAGGAAAAAAAGGGAAGTGAGGCCAGATCTAACCGGTCTGGGGAACTTGCGAGACCAGCTGAATTATTTGATTACAACGATGCTTTACAGCTGCATGCATCTGCCACAAAGCCGGAGGGAAGCCTAGTTTCTCATCCATTGGTCTCTAATGAACTTAACAAATACTATACCTTCATTAAGCAAGTACTTCGGCAAATCGACGCATATCGGCTTGATTTTAGTGACGATCGATTTTTCAGAGTCAGAAATGGCATATTGAATGTGCATTTCACCGAGGTTGAACTGTTACAAAGCCATTATGGAAATAAAGCGATTGAAGTCTTCAAAGACTCGATTTTCGAGTTACAGAACGATCACTCTACAAACCCCTACGATTCAAAACAAGCACGCCATAACCCGTCTGACCCCTTTGCATCGTCGGCGATTGGGTTTACCCCAATCACTGAAGCAGATCGTGGTATGGAAAATTATCTCCTCCGAATGGTGGACTGGGGGGCCAAGCTGACACAGTGCACCATAAAACTAGTAAATAATCCCGAACCTGGGGGAAAGCTTCCTTGTCCGATCGAGGACGTCCCGACCAGATGCTCAAGCCCTATAGTCAAGGTGGAATCATATTCCCGCGGGAATTCGTCCACTTGGGAGTGTTCTTTCCCTTCCACCTCGGGTGTGTCCGACCAGTACCACGGCGAAGATATCGGGGATTATGAGCAACCTGATAAAATTGCCGACCAGTTGGTGAACGACTCATGGGAAAACTTGGTGCTGTACTGGACCACACTCACCATACACGAGATCCACCCCCCGGTTCAGTCCAACATCATGTGAGCCTGAGACGAAATAACCGAAGGAACAAACTGAGTTGTAGGGATGCGCTGTTGTAAAAACGATCAAACCCAGACGTATGTGATTTGTGAGTAAGTCACAAGCTGTCATTGCACTGCCTCCCATTCCTGTCTGGGTATATCAATCATAGAATCATATGTTTTATAAACGATACTATACTCCATTTGCCTGCAAATTCCAACCTGCAAGGAGTACGAAATCGGGGAACAGAGAAGGGGAGGAGTCGAGGACCCCAGACGCATAGATCAGGCGGGACGGATCAACGATCAGCCGCTCCAGTGACCGTCCGGCAGCGTGACCTGCACCTGACCTGCACCTGCGCCGTTATCAGTCGTCATTTCTCCTGCCCTCAACCACTTTGGCGCGTGCAATCCCTCCTCGCCATTCTTCTGTCCCGCCGCTTTCTTCTCATGACTCGCCCTTGACGGACTCTCCCCTTCTCCGTGTGATCCCTGGTCCTCCCTTTCGTCTCCCTCCGTCCTTCGAACCAATTCCCCCCACGAGCGGACAATCCAGCCCGGCTCCAACTTCCCCGCGGTCCCTCCCCACCGTTCATTAATTTCTCCTCTCTGGGCTCCGATCTCCATACAACCCCCCTGTCTCTCCACAATGCAAGCCGTTCCAGAATCCCGACAGCAAACTTTCGAGGAGATCTACGGACCTCCCGAAAACTTCCTCGAAATTGAAGTCAGTCCAAGACAACCTCCTACCCCGCTTCACCATCAACCGTCTTCCTAGTCCTAGTTCCAATTGAAACCCTCCCCCAACTAATGCCATGCCATGTCACCCTAACCCCCGAATCCCAGCTAACCAGCCCGGAAACTACTCTAGGTCCGCAATCCCCAAACGCACGGCACGTCGCGAAACATGTACACCTCGTATGAAATCATCTGCCGCACCAACATCCCCGCCTTCAAGCTCAAACACTCCATCGTGCGCCGCCGATACTCCGACTTCGAATACTTCCGCGACATCCTGGAGCGCGAGAGCACGCGCGTCACCATCCCCCCGCTCCCCGGGAAGGTCTTCACCAACCGCTTCAGCGACGACGTCATCGAGCACCGCCGGAAAGGTCTGCAGCGCTTCCTGGAGGTCGTGGCCGGACACCCGCTGCTGCAGACGGGGAGTAAGGTGCTGGCTAGCTTTATCCAGGGTTCGTTTTCCTGCCGATCTCTCGTCTATACTCTCGGGGTCTAGACGGGCTTCCGTTTCGCTATGCTAATGCCCGACGCGGTGGTATCTAGATCCGAACTGGGACCGGAACGCATGGTAGATTTCTTCTATACCAGGTGCAAGTACGCTCGAGGGGTCCTCAATTCGGTAACCGCAGTTCGATATCAACCGGGTCGTGAAACGCCGTATCCATCCTGTCCCACTCTGCTCCGCGCACAACGGTGGCTATTACCCTCGTGCCTCGCCCGGGTTTTATTTTAAACTCGCCCCTTTCTCCTGTTCTATTCTCCTTCGACTCGCAAACGTGACATGGCATGGTATGGTTTGATTTGACCTTGTATCCCTCAGCGCTGAGCGTCATGCATTGATTCATGGATCTGATCTAATCGATCTATCGCTTGCGATGACAATTGTGATTTAAATTGGACTGCATGAGACATGACATGCCTTTCTGCTTTCCTTGTCTGTCTTTCTGGCGGGAAAATATCTTTTCTGTTTTGCTTTTCTTTTCTTTTCTTTTTTTTCTTGAAAGTAGCGATCTGTGTGTGCTCTTCTTTGTTTGTCCTCTTTTGTGTACCTGTTCTAGGCGAATGCGGCATTCTCATTTTCATTTCCATTTTTTAACCCTTGATAGCCTATCTCATTGTAGCTAGTATCGTGAATCCAAGATGTAGGTTTTTGGTTGGTATACATTGCTCAGGATTTTACTTTTGTTCATAGACACATCGAATCACAATTGAATTAGACACTACCTGAGTCATCCTCGCCATCAATTTTTTTTCTCACTGCAGGGCTTGCATGTACGAAAGCGCAATAGTAGACCTAGACGGCTTGTAGACTATCTATCAATGAGGATTTTCGGCTGTGTTTTTTTAAATCAGAAGTGAAGAAAAGGGGACAGAAGGTGAATTCTAGAAGAGCGACTTCGCAACATGACAAAGGCGCGGGTATCAGGATGAAAGATGCATGCAAGCATGGGAGTAAGAAAGTAGCTCCCGAATATCAAACAAGAAACAAAACCATGAGAGCCCGAAAGATGATTAGAATGCAGTTAGAAATGAGATGGAGAAGAAGAAGAAAAAAGAAGAGAGAAAAGAAGAGAATACGAGAATCAAGAAAGAGAAAGATAAAGAAAAGAAAAAGATAAAGAGGATATGAGCCCTGAAAATAAATAACGAGAAAAGTAGCCCGAAACACAGAAAAGCCGTACGCCCTATAAGAACAACTAGGTTAATTCATCCCACAACATAGGAGCAAGGGTGTTATCAGCCCACGAAGTATCCACGCCCGGAGCACCGGCTGGATTTTCGTCTAGAGGGAACTGAAAGACCGCTGTAGACGATGCACTCGTGGACGAGCCATCGGGTAGATTTGGCGGCGGGGCCGGGGCAGAGAGAGCAGGATCGATAGGGCCTAATGGGGCCTGCTCTGTATCAGTCTTGCTGGAATGAGACACACTCGAAGATGGCTTGATAGGCCGTGTGGGGTCCGGCTTGCTACTGTCTTTGGGAGGGGGCGCATTTTTAGTCTGATCGTTCTGGGTCTTATTACCGCTGACGGAGCCTCCGTCACGATATGCGTGGGGGAATTTGGTCCGAAATCGGTCTCGCAGGTCGGTTGCTCTGCGGTGGCCGAGGTTCAGGCGCTTGTCTTGTTGGATTAGTGTCCACTGGAAGCCATGAACGGCGTAACCTTTGAGCAAAGCTTCATCTTCGGCAGCTGTGAACGGGCGTCGCGAGCGACGTCGGGATTTCATGTTAAAATGCGGCTCCGGAATCCCAAGAGAAGCCAGGGTGGACTTGGATCTACTAGATAAACTAAGGGGAGAGCTGGTTGGTGGGACCTGTTTAAAGTAAGATTGGGAGTTGTTTTGCTCCATTTCGGTCAAGGGGGAGGCACTGGACGACGAGTGTTCGTCCAAGCTGGTCGTCGAGCTGCTTCCCGCGGACGGTGGCCCGAGGTTGGCTGGCCACGGATGGGGGAGGCGAATCTTCCCAGGAATGTTCCCAGTCCCTTCGCTCTCGGCGCGCAACAAAGCGTCAGCAAGGCTGTCGCGTAGTTTCTTGGTCGCCTCGTTGGGGTCGGCAGCCCGGTACGCCCACGGACAACAGACGCGAAACCTAGCAGATTGTCAATGCTGCCGCACGAACGGAGTAAGAAGTTCGTAGCTGATCGAATATCATACCTGTCTTTCAAATTCGATGCGCTCCGTTTGTTGAACTTCAGCTCAGGTTGCGCCAGAATGGCCGTCCAATTGCCGATCCCACACTTGACCACGCCACGCAGGAGCGCCGTGGTTTCCTCCTCGGTCCATTTACGGAGGTTCTTCCGAGATCGACCTCTCGATTTCGGTGACAGCGGCTCAGTAGTATCGTTAGCAGGGGTTTCATGCTCTTTATCGACATCGGCCCCCTCGTTCGGTGGCTCCGTTGCATCGACCTCCGGTTCCTCTGCCGCATTGCTTTCGGGCTTCTGTTGGCTGTTCTGCGTCGGCTTCTCCGCAACAGGGGGGTCCAGAATCTCTTCAATTCTCCCCTCTCGTTTTTCACCACTCGGTGTGTCCGCCGCAGAATTAGCAGTGAGCAGCGCCGGCTCGACGTGGGATTGGTCGCGCGAGGGTTTCGTCAGGAGTTGCGTGATAGAGCCCGCTTCGATAGGCGGCAGCAGGGCGGCGTTAGGTGGCGGCTCATTCAATCCGTTCAGAATAGCAAAAGGGCCGAACGGCGGAGGTCGCTGTTCCTTCTGCGACTGCGGAATCGGCAGCTGCAGATGCTCGCTGAAGGAGTCGGCCTGCACGTCCACGCGGCGGCGTTTGCGGGCGTGAGAAGAATCATCGTCAAATGAAGAGTATGGGAACCGCTCAAGGGCACGGAGATTGACGAAGGACGGTAAGATGGGTTTAGGAGGGGGCTCCAGACTGAGCAGCGTATCTACCGAGGGATCATTCTTCTTGGGCCGCCCGGGGTTGGAGGTCTCCGGGGCTCCGCTACTAGACTCGTTATTGCGAGGTGGGCCGCCGATGCCCGTCGAGGCTTTGGCCTTGGGGATGGAAGTTGAGTCCCGGACACCGCTGGCGTTGGGCTCGAGCGGCGAGGGGATGCTCAGGATGCGGGAGGAAACTGGTTGGCGAAGGGGAGCGATGCGGAGACTCTGCAGCTGAGGTAGTTCTCGGATCAGGGATTCGTCGAAAGGCCGGGCAAAGTTGCCGTTGGAATCCATCGTTTTGGGATCAGCTCCATCCGATGCGAAGCGCGGGGGAACAGATCAAAGACAGAGTGCAGAGTTCAAGGGTGAATTTGGGTGCTCTAGATGGGCCATTTTGTAGCGTCTAGAACGGATCATCCAACTGGGGATGCGAGGGGAATCGTAACTTGGATAAGTGGTCCGGCGGCCACGCAACTCCCTCCTTCGGGGTCCAATGACGCGCACGTGCCTTTGTGCAGTTGGCTGACTCAGCTAATACGCGCATAACGGCGACTAGCCCTGGTCCTTCCCAAACGGGAAGTCATACTTCAGGCAGGACGGGCGTCTTTCATGGATTTACTTCGGATTTACAGAGAATCCTCCCTACATGCAGACATCCATTTACTATCAACACATATTATCTCTACCAAATAGCACCATCAGCAGATTACTCTCAACATCCCCATATCCAACAAGTCAATACCACCGATTTCCTGTACTATTCCCTGTTCCTGCATTATCTGTAAAGCCACTGACGCCTTTCTGCAGTCGGCGAATCAAGAAGCCCCTAAGTCTTGTTTGAGAGCCTACCACAACACCCACGCGCGGTCCAAAACACCCCCGTCAACCATTGTGATGGTGTCATATTCTTTCTCCAACTGCCTGTTACATCTGCTGAGTCAATCCGACAAGAAAGACCAAAATGCCGAACAGACGGCGCAAAAATCGGGGACGAAAACAACGACATCGCAATAAGCAAAGGGGCAAGAAAAAAGACAAGACGAAGCTTAATCAAGAAGCAGAAGTCTCGGATTCGGACTCCGATTCGACTGAGCCTGTCGACCCAGTGATCCCGGTCCCTGAGGTGCCGGAAAGCTGGCTAGAGAGGGCTTGGATATCAATTTCGCTGTTTGTGGGTATGACTTTGGTCCTTTCGGCGGTTCTGTGGTCGACTGCGTATACACATGATCGAGTGGAGGTTTGGCATAAGGAGTGGAACATGACGATTGAAAGGTGGCGAACGAAACGGGGCTGGTGAAGGCCTCAAGACTGAAAATCACTTTGAATATTGTTCCAAAATGGCGAAAATCATAGACTCACTAGCCTATATTCACTAAGGTCTATAGATAGGTATTTAAATCCATACCTTAAGATCTCACCGAAAACTCTCACTGCTTGATCGAGTCAGTCCAAGGTATCCATTAATCATAAGCGCAATACAGTATCTCGGCCAACAGGAAAAAAGATAGAAATACAATCCAAAGGAAGGAAACGAAAAGAAACGGGAAGCAAAACCCGTTTACACTAAAACATCCGAAAATAATTCAATCGTAGCACATTAGACAACATAATCCAAAATCAAACCAATGCCCATACCGTACGCATATCCAATCCAATTCAATATCGGGGAATTTCCATCATAAACTGGGCGATTCATTCGGTGAATCCCTGGCCCCCGGTGCTAGCTGTTCCCACGCTAAGTCGATCCTGCGCCACATCGTTACGAGTCATAGAAGTCGTTATTTAACATGCTGTCGCTTCGCATTTGAAATTTCATATCATATCGCATTTAGACGCCATGGTCTCTGTCATGGTCTCTCTCCTAGGTATTATTCTCGAGAAGGAACGGATGAGTAAAGTCATGGATAAGTAAAGAAAGAAGAGAGGAATGAAAAAAAGAGAAATAAAATAGAAAGAAGAAAAGAAAACATGGGCGAGAATGAGAGAAATTAGATAAGAGAAATTGGAAGAAAAAAAAACAAGAGAGAAAATAAGAAGAAGAAGAGGGTCCTAAGGAACAGCCGTCCGCATTTGTTGAAACAGCTGCTGGAATGCAGGAACCCCAATTTCTCTGTATTCCTGGAGATGGGGAAGCAGGAACGGAATACCCGGAGCATTCTGGAAATGTTGTCGATAGAGCAGGAAATTCTGAGCCGGGTCCACCAAGTATAGGAGATCGGGAGGGAGGACGGGGTTTAGGGCGACTGTTCCGGAGGAGCTGGCGGCGGTTGTGAATGTTGAATCGGCGATACTGTATTTCTGCAGACCTTTGAGGATGGCAGTAAAGGAGTGATAGTTCCGGATGAGGAAGAGAGCCTAAAATAGTTAAAGTTAGATCAAGGAGTGATGTTTTGAAAAATGAGGGGGTGTACCTGAACACATTCTTGGATGGTGCCGATGAGCTGAGGAAGTGCAGTACAGCATTCCCAGACAACAATACTAAGATCATCCCATTTCGTCACAAGGTTCGCCATGTCGTCGTTATCAGCGATACCGCGCTCGGTTAGGACTGAAAAAGTCCTCATGTCGGCGTTGGTCAGGGTTCGTGCGAAGTCGACCGCGGAGATCGCCTCCGTGAGATCCTCAAAGAATGTATAGTTGATGTCAAATGGCTGGCGCCAATCCATGTCCCGTGCGTGAATGTAGACTCGTTGATACCGAACTGCTAGGACGGAGAGCACCTTCAGAAGAGCCGTCAAACTGGGAGGATGTTCCTTAATCAACTCCTGAATAGAGCCCGCAATAAATTCGAAGGCAGGGACCGTATTCAATGCTATGTCGTTATTCGTTCCTTGGTTCATGGTGATAAGGCATTGTGCTAGGGCACGGTGGGCGAACGGACTTCGTGTTCGAAGATGCTAAGGGTAGGATCAGTTTTAATTCAAAATGTATGATTGACTGGCTCGTCTTTTTATTGACTTGCTCTTTCCAAGTCTGGCTGACTGACCTTTTCGATCTCGATGTACTTTTTCACTTCGTCGGGGAACTCATGGAGGTAATTCAACAGGTGGATGTACAAAGCCGTATGTTGCTGGAAGAACCACTCGACTGCCGAGACACGATAGCCCAAAGAATAACGAACCATCTCCTCGAACGAGATCCGGGTGAAGTGGAGATGGCTTTCGGCGTCAATCGCCTGGGCAATAGCATTGGGATCCAAGGACCGATCCTGCTGGGTCGGGAACCAGCTCCAGGAAGCGCGCGGTGGACTAATGACTTTGCACCGGTGCAGAATCTCTTCGACCTTCTGCACATGCGCTAAATTCAAGATGAATGCCTTCTCCTGGGGCTCGAGAAGGGACAAAAGAAAACTGTCGACGGTGGCGGCATTTCGGCTTTGTAAGGCGCGACGGGGCAGGTTTTCGTCCTGGAAAAGCCCGTAGCGGATGACTCGTTTGATCTCCTGGACGTCGAAGGCCCAGAGGACGGTGTCATCCTCCCAGTATCGGTAGGGTACAGAGAAAGGGGGGATTTCAGCGCTCGGTCGAAAAAGCGATGGATAGCTCGACTGGTCTGGCATCAGGGTTGCGCCAGCCAGCTCGGCTCCCGGCCGGTGGGGTGAGATGCGCGACATACCACCGGGATCTGATACGGGATAAAAGTCCCCCGGTGAAGGATCGAAGATGGTCTGAGACCAAGATGAGAACGCAGCTCCCTCGTCCTGGTAGTGATATTGCATCTTAGCTGGAGCATGAAGGACAACGACGAAGCTTCCAGAGTAGAGCAGCAATTGGAGAAGAGAGGGAGGGAGGGAAGAGGGTGGGGGAGGGTTTTCTTCAGTGCCTACCTATTCCTGTCTCCTATGTCCTTCCACTGTCTCGCTTTCGCTCTCTTCGTTGGGCTCTCACGGCGTACAAACAGCTGAGTGATTCCCGAAACAAGGCGCTTATTTCCGCCACAATCCTAGAACCTGAGGGATCAGGGGGGAGGCCGCAGGTGTACAAGTATGCCCGAACCAAGCCTGAGCTCCAACGGGTAAGCAATGAAGACGGAACTTAGTGAATCATGGGTCAATCAACCAGTCAAGGATACGAGTAATGACTAAGAAGAAGGCAGGTTCCCAAGGGAGAGGTTTAGGGTCAGCCACTGCCGGCTAACCTTCACGTTTCGGAGGGGAGGCGATGCTGGGGGGAAGATGATAGGAAGTCTGGAGTAAGACTATTGGAAAGATTCCATTCCGAACAGGTGGCTTTTAATTGCTCGGAATTGGTTCTAGTCATGTATTGGCCTCTTTTTCTTTTTCTTTTTTTTTTTCTTCCTTGGTTCCTATGAGAACTAAGAAAAAAAAATAAAAAATAAAAAATAAAAAAAAACTTGATAGCACTACCCGCAGCAGCAGGTTCTAGGATTACGCTATTGTCGTTATGATTTTGCCACGGTCGACAACTCACGAGGGAAATCAAGACGGACTGGACTTGGATGCCTGTAATACTCTTCAGCTAGGAAGGAAGGATAGCGGCAACAGTGGCGCGTTGCGAAAAGAAAGACACGAAAGGGGGCTGATCCAGTTCCGAAGCACTGGGTCCCGAGAGCCCGGATAGAACAAAAAAAAATCGTAATTAAAATCAAGATGCTGTAAGACAGCTGAATATCTACTCCGTAGTAGCGGGTGAGCCCTGGTATAACTGGACGAGAGCGAAAGTGGGCCAAATTAAAAAAGATAGTCCGCCCCATCCATCAATCAACCATTGATCGACCCTCCCGTTGATGGGGATTAACTAATATATGTTAAGCATTCAGGGCTCCCCCTTGAGCCTTTGAGCCAGCCGCTTGACCAGCCAGACAGAATCGAGAGCAGAGTTGACAGCTTGGAAAAAACGGCAAGCGAGGCGCAGGGCAAAACGAGAGGACCAATCAATCAGACCCGAAGGGTTAGTGGAATCCTCTCATGGGGCTCCAGAAAAGTCCGCGTTTTGGGTTGGCGACGGATGGCGAGTCCCAAGAATGGGAATTATTGGAATCCTGTAATAACAGTGGCCAACGGCGGCAGTCGAACAAACAATTGGCATAGAAGAAGAGAAGCGGTCAAGAGGCCGGCATGAGACGGCGCACGGCGGCGAACACGATGCTGCAGGATCCCTAGGTTCTGGAAGCTTCATCCGAATCGCTTAATCCAGGGCAATTAGCAGATGGAGGCCGCTCGATTCAGTGTTCTCTCCACCGTAGCGGTGTACTGGAGAGTGGCTTGATGGTTGGTAGTGATGACCATTGGGGGGTACGCGTTGAGGATTGATACCGAGAGAGACTGACGATAACCAGCGTCCCAAACTCAAGGCGACCAAAAATCCAGGTCCCGGAGTCGATGAGTAGGATTCAGCGATCCCGAAGCTCCACCGCAGCCTCTTCCAATTGCCACCTCCTATGAAGGAGTTAGTTTGAGGGGGGCCAATGCGACTAGTTTAGCTCCTCATCTTCGAGAGAAAAGAGGAGTGCATTGGCCGATGATCGGGATGGATACAGTTGCAGTCGATTGGGGTCACCGGAGACTCCGAAGTTTCCGAGTCGAAGGTAACCAGTCTTCCGGTATTATTATTTTTTGATTTGTTTTTATTTTCATATATTATGATATCTTGTTTTCCAGTGTCTGGATTCAGTCGGGATGACGACAGCGGATGTTCGTTTGTTTCTCCCTGGAGCAGTGATTGTCGTGATTGTCGACTGGGAAATCAGGGGAGAAAAGAAAAGAAAAAAGACGGCAGCGTCCGGGTGGATCCGGTGCCACAAGCCGGGGAGAGGCAGCGAAAGAACGGCGATGGCAGAGAAGCGCCATTTGTCGCTCGTGGCAGTGGATTAACGGTCATTCCTTCAAGCGAAGGCTCCGTAATACTGCTCCCTGCCATCCATCAATCAACCAGAGTCAATCAATCGGATGCACCGCTCAGGTCTGGGATTATTGGCTGGGCCGATCCCGATCAGCAGATCTGTTGACACACCATTAAATCATCGCCGACTCGTTGCATGACGCCGGTGGGTTTTACTTTTAGGTACTCTCGTTAATTGCCTGGACTATGGGGATCAAAGACAGGGGAGCCTCCAGCTGGAGATGACCGTGGCGCAGGCGATTCGATCACGTCGGAGTCCCCGCGAAACGAGACTTCTTTGTTGCGGTGGTCCTTGGCGGATACCTAAGACGAAGACATTAATTCACTTTCACAAGAGGAAGGTCAAGTCCTGGGGAGATTGAAGGAGGTCAATTTGCACCAGAAGGCGTTGCAGGGATGAAGCATGTTGAGGTGCAGCCCAGCGAAAGTTTCTCGCCGTTGGCCACAGGACGGGAAATTCGCCGGCAACTCTAGATTGAATTGAATTTGGGGGACATCGACATGCTGCTCGTCTGTGTGACCCTTTTTTAATTTCTTTTTCTTTTCCTTGTTTCGTTCATGTTTTCTTTTTGAGCTTTCATTTTAATTTTCCTTTTTTCTTTTCTTTTCTTTTCTTTTATTTGATTTTGAATTTTGAATTTTATTTTCCTCTGCGTTGTCCATGTACAGTATCCATTTTCTTGACTCCCCTTGCGCCCCCTCCGCAGTACATACTACATGCTAACTCCCCAATCCTGCAGAAACATGACGCTGCAAGCTGTCGCCCCGAGCACATTGGTAGATGCCACGCTCTTGTTTGCCCGGTCCAGAAGCTGACTTCGGATGGCAACCTCATGCGTCGCTATCAGCTATTGGAAGGCTGCACGCCTCTGCGGGGACAACGGTCAACCAGCCTGCCTGCTTGCTTGCTGTACATCATGAATGTACAGGTGAGAGTGCGAGAGAGAGAGAGAGGAGAGAGATGGCAGATAGCGTGGCGCCGTGCGATGTTGATCCAGCTTTTTCCCGTTGCTGCATAACCTGAGCGAGCCAGACACTGACCGACGCCTGCAAGAGTCGTCGGGATAAGAAACCTATTAATAACCCCCCTGGCGATACGTGCACGGGTTTCTGATGCTGGTTCGCTTCGGCATTCTGTCCCTGGTCTATTAGCTGGGTAGGTATTTCCCACCGACGGAGCACAGTACCGACTTGGTGGTTTTGTGTACTGTACTTGTCGCACCGGACGGATGCCGGGGGCTGAATGAATCCATTTGCTCCGACTCAAACTAGCTGGGGACGGTTGCCTGGCTAACTCGGAGTAGATTAGCTCGGACATGGACGGGGTTTAGCTGTGGTAGTACGTTCGATGTACATGTACATAGTCATGGGTCAAATCAAGGCAGAGAGAAGGGGGAGAGGCAAGAGCTGATCAACTCCCAACGCCGTAGCACCGGTGCCTCCCTGCCTGTCTGCACTCCAAGGAAGGACCTAGACGGGTCCATGAATCGCCATCTGCGGTGACGAATTATCCTCAGTTCGTGCCAGATTTGTAGATGATGTCCGGAGTACATTTCCAGCCCGCTTTTCTAACGCTCTGAGCCCTAAAAGACTGAACAGGAGGGTCGGAAATACAAAAGAACTTAAGAAAAGATAGATAAAAAAGGAACGATCTTCGCCTCTTTACACGCTGTCGAATCCTTCGACCGAAATTTCTAATCGATGAGTAATTTAATTTAATCTATTAGACATTTTCCAATGCCAGACCTGCGGACAGGAACAGGCATAGTGGTACAAGGAGCATGCAAAACTCCTCTTCAATATCCTCCTCTTCCCGTCTGTTCTATCCTGTCCGTCTGTCGGGATCCTGCTTAGACAGTCATTTCTTGACTCATTCCTGCTTCTCTTACTTGATGTTGAGCATACGACCAGATCGCCCGGTGCCACCTCGGTAGAGCCCCGATACCTACTCCGGAGTACCCGCGAAATGAAACAGACTCCTCTTTTACCACGCCACACAACTAGCCCTCAACGACTCCAAACCAGTGTCGAAATCGTCAACGGGGGCGGTTTATCGATCACGACCAGACGGACGGCCCGAGCCACGATCAGATCGCCTCCGGGGCCAAAAAAACACAGCCGAATGACTTGTCAGCTACCAATTGACGTAGGTCCAGCTCATCATCCAACCCCAAGGTCCACGCAATCGACTCGCTTGGCTAGCGGCTTGCACGGCCTGGTCGATATTAATATAAATATATTAAGCCGCGGACAATGTCTCCCAGCTACGATGCTAAATTCCGCAGTGAGTAATTAGCAGGGAATCGTAGTATTGATTGTTAGTTGGTTGGATTTACGACGATTCGACCAAGAGATAGGTAACTAATGCCGAGGGCTGCTAGTCGAAGCTATGTCTGACTACTGACTAGTGGGTAGTCAATCTACTGGCCTTGTTTCTGCGTTCTGCTTACTTTCTCATCTCCGTCAAGTTGGTGGAGGCTGCGGAGGGGAACGAAGAGGGGAACCGGGAAACGCTAGCATCCAGATGACTGGCGATGGAATGGAGACGAGTAACTCGATTCGAGGAAACCGGGCCAACGAATGGACCGAAAAATTAATAATAATAATAATCCAACATACTGCATTCTCTTAGGAGTGGTTATCCGAACAAACGCCCGCCTAATTGCCCCAAACAAGAAAATGGATCCCGTCCGGGAACAGACAGATCCCATTTGACTCCCCTCGAGCCCTCGCAATGAACACTTTTAAAGGAAAAGTGAGACGGCATAAACATGACCATGATCATACCCACTCATAGTGACGAACCTGCAGAAAAGCATGCACGTACATAACATACAAACCGCCCACCCTGGCTAAGGTAGTACCAGCTACAATGTATACAAGACGGGGGTCAAAGTAGACGTGTTACACTCCCACTTGTGGCTCGAAAACTAGTATATATTAAGCCGGGCCTACAGCTCTCGGACGAATGGTCGGGGATCGTGGCAGCTGCGATCCGTGGTTGAGTCGAGTTCGAGGCCACACGCACTCGGTGCTTTGCATGTGTGTGTGCCGCGTGGGAGTCATCCGGAGACTTCCCCTCCTCGCGATCGAGATATATCGATCTCGGTGGGGGGGAGTCGACCGTCGACTGGGGGAGCAAATGTGAGAGGTAAATTGATCCGGTGCGATGCGTTCATCCATCATGGGAGACGGCAAGCGGGAAACCAGGAACCTTCCACACCCTCCCGGTTCCAACAGACGAGACGAACGGGGTTAATTGGCTGCTTGGGGCGGTCGAGGCGGGAAGGCCGCAGGGCGTTTCTGACACGAAGGGAGGCTACATGGAGGTGTGGAGAGAAACTACGACGCAGTGAGGGGAAAAGGTGATCTGTCAAGAGATGGTCGAGGGAAAAATTGAAAAAGTTGAAAATCGCTTGCAAAACGTCATTAGAGGTATCACAGAATTTTTGGGGAGACACTCTGCCTCGGCTTTGCTTCCTATACTGCGCGCTACGGAACGGAAAGAAACTTGACACAAGCAGATCCTTAACATGCGTCCTGTAGACAAAAACTTTTTTCTGCTAAGTAACGCATCATAAGAATCGTTATTAACCGGAGTCATACAGGCCCACAAAGCAAGACAAGACGTCCTCTCCAGCCGAGTTTTAGAGCATTTTTTTAATTACTACCAACAGCCAACGTCACTTACCATCCCAAGAACTTAGTTCTGGGAAGCATAGGCGCGGCGGCGGTCACGCTCCTCAGCAATGGTGAGCTAGAAGATGGGTTAGTAATTGGCTTTGTGACCGATAGAGCGGAAGAATCAAACATACCTTGACACCCTTGCCCTTGGGCAGGGAGATCCAGGGCTTCTCCTGTCCAATGACGAAGATGTTGGACTCACGGGTGGCGAAGGTGTTGTCAATAGCGTCCTTGACGTGGACGATGTTGAAACCTCCGTCGTGGCGCTCACGGTGGGTGACGACACCAACACGACCCATGTTACGACCACCGGTGACCATGGTGACAACACCAGTGTCGAAGCGGACGAAGTCAACGATCTTGCCGGTGGCAATGTCAACCTTCACGGTGTCGTTGACCTTGATGGCGGGGTCGGGGTAACGGATGCTGTATGACATTTGTTAGCCTACTAGTTCAAAAGTTCGAACCTTCTTACTGTCGGGGAAGTCCAGCAGAAAAGTTCGGAGAAAAAAGTTCTCTTGTCCTCCGCCGATCAACCAAAGCTTGGTCCAACGACTGAATGACACGGAACTTGTGCAGAGTAATCACTCACGTTCGCGCATCGTGCGTAACCAAGAATGGGATCCCGCCCTTGCCGAGCTGCACACGCTTGACCTTGCAGAGCTTGAACTCAGCCTCCTCGGCCTGGATGCGGTGGACGGTGAAGCGGCCCTTGGTGTCGTAGATGAGACGGAAGTTCTCGCCGGTCTTCTCGATACCGATGACATCCATGAAACCGGCGGGGTAGGTCGGGTCAGTGCGGACCTTGCCGTCGACCTGGATGAGACGCTGCATCATGATAGCCTTGGTCTCGCGGCCGTTGAGAGCGTACTTCAAACTATATCAAACACGTCCAGTCAGTCGATCATTCTTTTCCGATCCATTGGCGCCATATCGTTCTCAGGGTTTTTCGTACCGGTTGCGGATGAAGACGATCAGGGGCAGGCAGTCACGGAGCTTGTGAGGACCGGGAGAGGCCTTGGGGGCATAGGTTCCGGACATTTTGTCCAGGAGCCAGTGCGAGGGCGCACTAAGGCGCTTCTGGTGCTTCTTACTGTCAAGGTCATGATGGTTAGTATCGCGTTCGTAGAATGAAATCTTCAATTGCAGCAATGTTTTCCTGTCGCTCAACAACAGAGATTTCCCAGACAAAACTCGTTGCATGCAATCGAAATAAAGCGATCGAGAATGGCTGAGTACTCACGGTCCGCGAGGCATCTTGGCTGCTTTGTCGACTTGAAACCGGTAAAGTTGTCGAAGTGTCGCGAAGAAGAAAAAGCAGTCAAGGTCCGTCGACAGATAACCAGGGCGCTCAGCGAGATTCGCTTAGCGGATGGTGCTTGTGCGATGAGCCCTAGCGCTAGTCCTGTTCTAGGTCTCCACTTTGCGCCCCTTTCGGGAATGGTGCATAACGCTAAATTTTCATACGATCCGCTTAAGTAATAATGCGTCCCAAACGGGTAACCAATTAATCCTGTTCGCGGGTGTATATGGGTTCTATCTTCATTGGACTCTAGATCTCGTTACTAGTGATGTCAATGCCCTTTCTGGCCGCTATATGCAAATTTTGGTCAGGCTTGTTTTAGATGTAGCCCTTGATGACAGCCACCTCAGCATTGAGGATCGAAGATCCAGCAGCGCCGATGACGGTGTTGTGCGAGAGGGCCGCGAATCTGAGGTCGAAGTAGCCACCCTGCGCGCCTTCACGTACCCGCCCCACGCTGACGGTATACCCACCGGAGATGTCTCTATCGAGTCTGGGCTGCGGTCTGTCGGCTTCGTCGAACACCTTGATAGCCTCCTTGGGTGCCGAAGGGCAGCCCAATTTCTGCGCCTCGGACTGATATTCTCTCATCGCCTGCACAACTTGTTCGGCGCTAGGACCCGGGCGGTTCTTGAATCGCAACGACACGAAAGCCATATGGCCATCGGTAACTCCCACACGGGTACACGTAGCTCCGATTCTGAGGCCAGCCTGCTCGTCGAAAGCGGTAGCGTCTCCGTTCAAGGATCCCAGGATCTTCTGGGCCTCGTTTTCCAGTTTGTCTTCCTCGCCGCTGATAAACGGGATGACGTTGTCCAGAATGTCCATGCTGGGAACTCCAGGGTATCCAGCGCCAGACAGAGCCTGCTCCGTGAAGACCTCAACTTCCTCAACGGGGCCGAACTTGGCCTGGAGCGCTGCGAACGGAATGACAACACCAATAACGGCACAGTTCGAGTTGCAAACCAGGAATCCCTTTTTCAAGCCAAAGTGCTTCCTTTGGTGAGGAATCAAATCCAGATGTTGGGGGTTCACGGTAGGGACGACGAGGGGGACGATGGGGTTCTTGCGGTAGTTTTTGGCGTTGGAAAAGACGGGGATTTCAGCCTTGATGAATTCCATCTCTGCACCAATTCGTTAATAATTGCAATTATCCTTGGGGAAACGTCGCATTTCATACCAACTTCACCCGCAATGTCACTGTTCAAACCAGAGAACACAAGGTCGCAGTCACTGAACTGGTCGGCCTTGCAGTCCCGCAGCACAAGACCGCTGAGCTTCTCAGACATGGCAGTAGTCTGCTTCCATTTCACGGCATCCTTGTACTGCTTGCCGGCGGAGCGACTCGATGCGCCGATGGCGTGAAGCTCTAGGAAAGGGTGGTCGGCGAGCAAAAGGATGAACCTTTGGCCCACGGAGCCGGTGGCACCGAGAACACCTATGAGCCATGAGCATTTTATCCGTTTGTATAGACGGCTTGTGGTGTGTGCATACCGCACTTCTTTTTCGGAAAGGACGTCATTGCGATCGAAGGAATAGGTGAATAGACTCGTATCTGGATTTTTGGTCAATTGGGAACTCCAAGGCTAGCCAATCTAAAATCAAATCAAAGCTTTAACAGTGGTGTATAGAAGAAGCTTGATGCAGTGGTATTAATTCTCAAGCCTGAACAGGTGCCAATGCTAGGGAGAGCAAATGACTCAGAAGATGCTGCCCCGCAGGGCGTTTGCGCGGTTTCCGGTGCTCGCATGTCAAATAAAGCAAGAATTGAAAGATGCGTCCGAATTGAACAATTTAGGTAAATGGAATGGTCAAACTTACCACCTTGGCGTTGTATAAGACTCTATAGAAAAGAGATGAGTTGCTTGTGGCAAGCAAGACGCAAACTGCGATATCGCTCTGGAGGAGATCACCCCGCGATGAGTCAGCAGCAGCAAGTGCAATTTATCTTTCATTGGCTTGACGCTCCACTGTTTTCTCCTCCAATCGTCTATCATGATTCAAGATTAAAGCACGAAGATCTTCATTCGCCAAATATTTTGTCTACCTGAATAAACAATGCTATATATCAAAAATTGTGGGTGCCGAGATACCATTCCGCAGGTCTTGCCGACGTGAGGACATCGCAATCAGGCACTACCTAGTAGGTATAGTGCCTACCGAGACAACGAGCCCTTATGATTCATTTGAATGGTCGAAGATTTTCCCGGGGTTCAACAACCAGTGGGGGTCAAGAGAGGCTTTGATGCTGCGCATTACATCAATTGTCTCAGGCCCGAGCTCCTTCTTAAGGGACTTCTTCTTGCCCAAGCCAACTCCGTGTTCGCCCTGCTTACAGTCAGTCACAGCTTCCAACAAGCATTGCAATTAAGGGGTGTTACAGTGCTAGAGCCCTCCATCTCGAGAGCGCGGTCAACCATGTCGTAAACAAATTTCTCGACTCGCTCCCGTTCTTCCGGATCTTTGCGGTCATACATGATGCTGGAATGGAAATTCCCATCGCCAATGTGGCCAAGGATACTTGCAAACAAGCCTAGGTTGTCCAGCTCTTTCTTGGTGATTGCTATGCAAACGAATTAGACAATATTCGAGGCTTCCGACAAAATTTAACAAGAACTTACCGATAATATCAGGTAGCCTGGAGATCGGCACGGCTACGTCGGTGGACCATACCTCCGAGCCTTCTTTTCGCAGCGCCATCATACTCCAGAGGGCTTGTTTTCGCGCCGACCATAGGTCATTTGCCTCTTGCTCATTTTTGGCAAATTCGAAGGATGAGGCATGGTTTTGTGAGGCCAGATTCTTGGTCAAACTGATGCTATCGGCGACACCAGCACTTGTACCGGAAAATTTGAAGAAGAGCGTGGACAGTGTCTTCCATTCGCGTCCTGTCCCACCAGCTCGATTAATCACATCCATCTGGACATCATCCAGAATCTCCATACATTGAACCGGGATGCCTTTCCGGATTAGCTGCATCGCCGTCGATGCAGCATCGTGCATTGTGGGAAAGGCGACAACTCCTACGCGGGTTTGTTCCGGAATTGGTGCCAGTTTAAGAGTGGCCTCGGTCACAATTCCAAGCGTTCCCTCGGAGCCCACGAACAATCCTGTCAAATTGTATCCAGCAGAAGTTTTCCGTGGGCGTCTGCGTGTCTTCATGACTCGGCCATCCGCCAGGACGACGGTGAGGTTAATGACCCAGTCTTTCATCGTACCATATCGCACTGCATTTGTGCCGCTGCAGTTTGTTCCGACCATACCACCTATCATCGCGGACGGGCCAGGATCGACGGGAAAGAAGAGCCCGCTGTCTTTGATTTTCTCATTCAGCTCCATCCATTGGATCGACGGTTGAACCACGACATCCATATCGTCCTCATTAAGCTGGATGATTTTGTTCATAAGACCAAAATCGATTGTCATTCCACCATGGGGGGCAGAGAAGTTGGCTTCCAGGCTGGAGCCTCCGGAGTAGGGAACCATCGGCATCTTGTATTTGTGACAAATCTTCGCGATCTCCGAGACGTCCTCTGTACTGGTTGGATACGCAATTGCGACCGGCAATCGATCCGCATTGACGCTGGACCATTCCGAGAACCCATGTCGCTGAAGGTCGTCTTCGTCGATGCTGATTGCTTCTTCACCTAGCTTCGCACGCAGTTCGGCAATAGCCTAGTGGTTCGATGTCCCCAATTAGCCTTGCATCTCAAAGCTATTCATCCTCCAAGATCATGCTCACCTTCTCGAAATCCTTTGTGGACCCGTATTGGGGTTTTCGGCTGTCCTGTATTTGGGATGGTTGTTTTGAGGAAGCGAATCCGTACCCTACACCCGCTGCCAGCGCCGAAGCAAGGAGAGTTCGGTTTAACGTCCATGAATTGGGAGCATTCCCGGAAGACTTGGATCCGCTACTTTCATCTTTGTGTGAGTTGGAACTGTTCCATCGGGCGATCTGGGAGCAGGCGACTAGATGCGATTCTAGGAGTCTGGGTCGGCGTTGGAGCGCGCGGGGAGATGCGGGGAACCCCCGGGAGAGTCGAGAGATCGTCCGCATGGCTCGCGATAGAAATCCGAGGGTGACGAGGGGATCAGAAGGGAGTGCTCATGCAATGTGAAGCGCAGGGGAGATGAGGTTGACGGTCAGCTCACTGCAATTTCAATTTACACGGGTCAGGCCTGTTTGCTGGCGTCGCGGTAGTGCGGAGGATTAATCGATCACGCCTTTAGTTCCAGCGGTAAGCAGACACGCCATCGAAGCTAAGTATGAGGAGTAGACCTTGGGCTCGGATTTCGGCCGAGTAAAAACGTAGGAAGAGATAGCCTGAAATCCCCAAAGGATTCTCCTTACCGATTATCCAGCTGCTGGCTTATCTTTGCCCCCTCACGACTTTAGCCTATCGTTTCCGTGTTGGTCTTGAGTCCATCCCAGTCTCTCCCCGGATCGGCCTGAAGTCCGATGCTTGGCAGGGACCCGTCGGTTGACGGCGATTCACCAGCCGAGTTGATGCTGCACTTGTTTACTCTCATCGAAGGTGGGATATGGGAATGGAAGGGACGTCTGGAATTATTGGCAGGTTCTAGCCATTCCTAGTTAAATATATATTTCAGTAGTATTTTCATTTCTCGGAATGGCTAGAAGATTTTTTTCTTATAGACATAGATTAAGTACAAAACTCATTAATGTTTCTCTTTCCATCAATTATCTTGAATATGGCAGAAGAGGCAGGTGGCCACAAAGAGCTGTTGTGAGGGTCGATGGTTGACGGGGCAACGGTGACTCCCGTTGTCAATTTCCTCCGTCCGCAACACTTCGTAGAGAGAATCCAGACATTCATAGCACGGCGATGGTCGTTGACAAGTCACATTCAACAACCAGTAACCCGGACTGTTCTATGAGTCGATAACTGTAGCCATGGCAGACAGTTTCCCTGGCCTGGGGCGCGAAGTGGAGCGCCTAGTGACGGCTCCATATGCACCCTCTCTCCAGGTATTCTCAACCCGCGCTACCCCATAGTTGTCTCCATCCATAGAACCGAGTGATGACAAACGTTGCCTTATAGGACCTCCATGGACTGGTTCAAGACTCTTCCCCAGCTTCATTGTCTTCGTGGGCCTTGTACAAGCCTTGTCAGGTTGGAGCCTTGGCTGATATCCTTGTTGACGGTCTATTTCGTTCCAACTTCGCTTTGGGTCTCATTGGAGCTTTTGGTGAGCAAACCTCACTTCCGAACTTCTGAGCTGTAGGTCTAACTCTCTATAGCACGTCTTGAGGCTTTTCGCAATGCTTTACTCGAGCGCTATCCCTACATCTTGGATCAATTTCTTCAGAGGTCCATTCAAAATGGCGAAACCCAGGTGAGTTATATCTGTGCTGGTTCATGCCATCAAAGTTTCCCACCACATTCCAATCTTCAACAGGCCTTTGGGTCAAGCGAATTATCATGAATCTGACCATCACAGTACATCTCTATTTGCGTTGCAATGCTGTCTACGCCTCTTCCGTCCAACTTCGTTGTACCCGCGTGTCTGGCATCCTTTATCACCCATCTGATTAGCTCCATTGGCGAGAACCCCTGCGCGGAGACTGTACTACCTCTTTATCAGCTAATGACTGGCCTTCGGACCCATCCGCGAGTACTCCTCGAGGTTCCCTCAGAGATAATGTCTAACCTTCAAGTCGAGTTAACAAAAACACTTCGCAACCTCGATGACCACACAGGAAATCTCCTTTGCCTGGCAACTTTCGCGCAAATTGCATCTTCAAAAATTGCCCAAGTGGACAACGGACATGAACAGTGCCCACCGTGGCTGCAGAATGTAAAACATTTCTTTGGCCCCAAACGAGGCCTGAAGACCTTGGATCTTGTGGTTTTGCGGGTTATACTTGCTTGCTCTGCCAGCTGCAATAGTTTGACTACAGAACAGGCATCAGAGAGTATTCGGCTAGCCATCGAAATCTGTGACATTGTAGAACCGGGGCAAAGAGAGTGCTGGATTGCTGCGAATTCCACCAAAATTGCCAAACTTTGCGAAAAGGTGACGAGATCTGGTATTGACCGGGGAGTACAGATCCTGGTAAGTCTGAGTCTCGCAGTTCTTGGCCCCTCGCTAATTTTTCAAGGGCGTAACCTTCCTGATTTCCCTTCTTCCAGCTTCGGCTTTGCCTCATGGCATCACCGGAATGGCTCCCCAATGGCTCCTCGCCGAGGACAGTGCTCGCGTACTCGAAATTTTGCCATTGACTTACATTTCTCGACTGGTGGAGACAAATATGGTAAGTCGTGAATTGATCTGTAACTGGAAGCGTACTAACTCAATTCCTAAGGCCTCCTCAGGACATGCGATCGCAGGCAGGCTGCTTGACTACGTATTCCGCGTATCTCAGCCAAACCACACAGCAGGAACTCAAAGTATAACCACAACTCAGATCGCAAGGTCAATTCTCAATGGGCTTCAAGGTCTAGAACCCCAGCTCTTCAGCTCCACAGTTGCTGAGGTGGCGGTTCAAAAGTGCCGCGAAAACATCGGTGGGCTAGTTGAAAGCTCCCCTCGGCGCTGTTCTGTCACAGGCTGCCAGGACTCGAATATCTGTCAAGCTTCGGTGGTGCAACAAGAAAATGACTTGCTCAATGAGATATTCAGCTTTTATCTTCGGTCGGCTCTTTCATTGAAACCGAATGACCAGGCTTCGTATATACCGGAGATGGATACCTTTGCGTTGTTCATATCCAGAGCCAGTGGAGCTGCGCCCGATAACAAGTGCCAATTTTGGGGAACGAAGCCCCTTGAGTTCCGCGACGCCTTTTCATCTCTGAAGATCCATGACGAATCACCGAGTCTGAGGCAAGACTGGCGGACTGGGATAAGTGAAACCCTTATGCGGAATTCTCGTGCTATGCACGATGATATGGTGCAAAATATTGAAAATATCTGTTATGACCTCGAAAAACGGTGCAATGATGTTGAGGCCCCGTTGAGAGCAGTTGAGGAGGAGCGCAATAGGCTGTCCATTCAAGCAGAGGAGCTGAACTCCCACAATAAAGAGCTATGTTCACAGCTACAGCAGGCATCTGGGACCATCTATGAACTTCGACAAAATATTTCTCGCCTGGAGTCTCAGGGAGAAGCTGCGTCTGATCGCATCGACAAACTGTCAGCAAGTCTTGAAGCTGCACGGAAAGAGCTCAACGACCAGCGACTCGAATCACAAGAATCCGCTAACAGTGATCGCGAACAAGCAAGGTCCAGAGAACTGGATCTGATTGCTTCTTTGACCGAAAAGGAGGAACAATTGGAAGATCTGCAAGAACGGTTCCGAGGGGAGCTGAACGAGAATGGTAGATTGACGGAAATACTAGATGAGATGACAAAGGAACATTCTTACTCCCTGGAGTTGAAGGATTCTTTAGAGCAAGAGCTCACCAGACTGTACGACGAAACGAAAAGGCAAATGGAAGAGGCCGAGGAAATGTTATCTCAGAAGGAGGCGGAAAATGAGCTTCTTCTGGCAGCTAAAAGAGAAGCCGAGGATAGGGAAGAAGCGCTGCAGAATAAGGTGAGCCATCAGCAGTTTCTGGCTTTTCTCTCCTCTTCTTCTCTATCACTAACTGTTTTCTAGTTATCTCAAGAGGCTCTGGAATCGAGTCGGCTACAATCCGCTCTCGAGCAATTGGAGGAAAGCTACAAGACAGACTTACAAACCCTCCATGAATTCTCTCAGACACGGATTTCAAACATAGCGGCGGAGGTCAGACCCTCATTTGCCTTCATTTTTCACCAGTTGAGATGCTAACATTCCATAGTCCGAAAAACAAAGAGAAGAGATTGTTTCTCTTCAGGCCGACATGCAAGCATCCGCTTCTAGCGCCAGCAAAGAACTTCACACAAGAGACAAGAAAATCCAGCACCTAGAAAAGAAGGTAAGATACGAAAGAGAGATTAGTCCCAAATGGACAGAAAAGGATTGACGAATATCTAGATACAACATATGCGAGATGAACGAGCAGCCAAATCACGAGAATTCTCCGAAGCGCAGCAACATATTGGCCGGTTAATGACTGTGATGGGCTTCAAACCTGATCCTGCAAGTTCGAAGCCTTCCGGTAAGCAGCAGCGGTCCAGACCAACTTCGGGCCCATCCCAGGATGCCACGGAGGAGATGCAAACGCACTCGGAGGGTGAGGGTACACAAACCCCACACAACCGAGACATGGAGTCGTCCGACCCCAATGCAACTCCACCTGGAGAGCGCAGTCCCAAAAGACCGCGGGATCTTGCCTTTTCTTCGACCGAATCGCCAACTCTTTCTCGCACTTCTGGAAAGAAGTCAAGGGAATCGGTCTCTCGGCGCGGTACACAACAGCCCCGAGACCGGAAAGTCCTAGAAGATGCAACCCAAAATAGCCAACCGGTTACTCAAGCCGACAGCATACCCTGCTCCAGTCAGCGAGATAGTTTCAAAGATGGTCGGACCGGCGGTGTTACTGATGAGAATCATTTACAGGAAATTGATCTCGACATGGATTTGGAGTTTTCCAAGGACTTCCTGTTTACAAGCACTTCCGTGTCGGAGGCGAATGACCATAAACTTCCGCCAGGGACCCAGAGATAAGGGTTTGTGGATTGATTGCTGGAATTAATGAGTAACGATTGTTTTGATTATTGTTTAGCTTTATGCTAATACTTAGTGGATCGAATTACGAATATACTTTTTAGGTGCTGCATGGCTTAAGCAGGTTGAGCATTTTTACTATCGATGAGGTCAAACGAGGCAGTAAACACATTTTAACAAACAAAATGAGACCTCACGTGAACACTGTAGTCACGGGCTCGCTCCTTCCTCTTGCGGATCGCATGAGGACTTTCACAACATCGCGCTTTCCTTCCTTTCGTACCCTCGTCTTTCCTCCTTGTCAGACAGGCACTCCTGGGATATATACGATTATATTCCAAGACACTCTGGGGCTTTCCATCAAGCGTCCCTTCACATCTTGCCCTTTTCTTGAATGTCTCTCCTTTGGTCCCTTCTCGGGTATCTGCAGAACTATAAGACATTCTCACCGACTGTCTTAGGAATGAAAGAATCGGGTCTCGAAGAGATTATAAACGCTGCAGCTTGTCACTTGGTTTTAAAAGCACCGAGACTTCATTTTCACCTTTAGTTTTACAGATATGTCAATCTTTGGACCCCTCGTATCTTTCTATGGGTATACACTCGTAACGAGATTACAAACCTGGATACCATTTGATTTGCAGCTGATGAGCGAATGATACAAGAACCATACGAGTTGTTGCAGCAATGGAAGATCAGGAGAATATCAAAAATGTGGCCAGCCTTTGGGGTTCGGAGATTGGACTGGCTGGGCTGAAGGGGAATACACTGTTAGTTTTCTCCTATCGCCAGCGACAAACCAGGAAGTGAAGTCTAACATGTCTCTCATTTTCCTCTTTCACTGAAAAAGGACAAAGGGAATGAGACCACCATCGATCACCAACCAAAACGGGGCACATGAGCGTCGCTGCCACCCTTCCTCTGCTGCAAAGGGCGGCTACCCTCACCAACCTTTCAAGGCTTCCTCTCGCTCCCCATCACCCGTTCCATTCTCATCTTCATCCTCCATTTACTCGACTTCATCCTCTGCATTATCTCTCACCAACCAATTCCCGGGATTAGCTACTACCATGCCTCCATTATCTCGCAATCGTCAATTTCCTCTCAAGTCGCCGGCCCCTCGTGGCAGGGGGACACCAGCCGGACAAGCGAGGATCTCTCAACCACAACTTCCATCACAGATACAATCATTGTGGAAATCTTGGGATTCTGTCGCAATATACATCACAAATATTCCAAAGGAGACCACGACATTGAACATATGGCAAGCTTTTCAGAAGGAAGGCAACATCTTCTCCATCGACCTTTTCGAGGACTCTCACGGTAAGCGTGAGACAAAAGGGAAGCTACGCTTCAAGTATGATGCATGAGTGATATTTTACTTGCTATCACTGACCGACTGCAGGCCTCCACCTCAGACGGACTTTTGGAGAAAAGGAGAGTATACCATTCAACTATCAAGTGGGCAATCGTGTACTGTCACAATCGGTCTTGATTTCAAGCGTCCTGATCTACGAATTGCAAGTCCAGTCCGGCCTAATGTCAATTATCCGGCTGATTTGGTAAGTGGCCATTCTTTTTATGACCTTCCTTTCGAGGCACACCTAAGAATTTCTCAATTCATTAGAAAATTCCCATTTCTTCTATGGAAGTTGGCGTTTTGCTTGACGACAAAACTTTCCAACCCCGGCGCACAGTCGGCCAAGGGCCCAAGGAAAATGCGTTTGTCGTGCTTGATCTGAAAAGCCGAGCTCTTTATATCCGTTTTCAGCTGGCCGTCTCATTCTCATCGAAACCAACCGCGAATCAACCCAGCGAACCATACCAAGAATATCGTCTGAAAATAGCCTTCGTCCAGTTGACTGAAATCCATCAGGCTGCTGATCCTGCGTCTGGAGCAGTCACCCACTTTACTGTATTGGACTCGCCTCCAGTCTACCATCGACGCATCACAAATGTCGCCTCTACTTTCATAGATGACAACAATTGGAGGGAAGCGGATAGTTGGTATCGGCAGACCTACATTGTTCATCGGCCTCTAGATCTGGCCTCTCTTCCCATTAGTTTGAGAAGGGGCAATTCTTTGATTGATATTGGTGAGTCTTTTTGTTTTGCTTTTTCACCCTTTTCCAATTGTTTTGCTTTTCTCGCTGGTGTGACGTTCCTGTCGATGATATTACTCCTTGGACTTACTGGTCATCTTCCTGGAATAGGACGCTGGAACGCCTTTCGTATAACCTTTCCAAAGGAATCCCATCAGAAAGCCGACTTCACTTTGTTTCAGAATATCCTCACCGACTACAATGTCAAAATCAGCACTGCGGGGTCTTTCACTCGCTGGGATGAGAGTAAAGAGCCAATGCCGGAGGTTTGGACATGGATCGACGTCTCAGAGTCTCAGACACCCAACGATTCACAGTCTTCTTTGGAGGAACTGATCGATCGGGATTACATCCACTTGCCTTTTCCTGTTCGATATCAACTCGAGGTTTGTCTGTCAAATGGGTATCTTTCCGAATACTCCATGACTCGCGATTTTGTTCTCAAACTCTCAGAACTCGGGGAGAACCGAGCTAAAAAGCTTTTGGAGCATGTGGCATCAAAAGGCCAAGTATACCGTGACCCAATGAAGATATTCGATCTCAAATTCATCAAGGGGGTGACTGATTTGAAGATACCTCCTTACTGCTGCCACATGCGCTCCGCCAGAATCACGCCTAGCACCATCTACTACAACACTCCGACGGTGGACATATCGAATCGCATCATAAGACACTATATGGAGTACGCCGATCGCTTCCTCCGAGTTCGATTCACGGATGAAAAGCTTCTTGGTCGAATCAATTCAACTACTGACAACACCATGGACGAAGTGTTTACCAGAATCAAAAGGGCTTTATCAAATGGAATTGTCATTGGCAACAGACATTACGAATTCCTTGCGTTTGGAAACTCGCAGTTCCGGGAGCACGGAGCTTACTTTTTTGCGCCACTGCCTAATATCACAGCCGCCAACATTCGCGCCTGGATGGGCTACTTCAACAACATTCGAAATGTTGCTAAGCATGCGGCGAGGCTGGGCCAATGTTTTTCTACAACACGTGCCATTTCTGGCTGCCGCGTGCAAATCCGCCCAATTGACGATGTTGAACGCAATAACTACATATTCTCGGACGGGGTTGGAAGGATCTCTCGCTTTCTGGCTCAGATGGCAATGTCAGAACTCAAGATCAAGACGTCAACGGGCGAGCCTCCATCTGCTTTTCAGTTTCGTCTGGGAGGTTGTAAAGGAATGCTTACCGTATCTAAGGAAGCCCAAAATATCGAGGTACACATCCGCAAAAGCCAGAACAAATTCGAAGCTATACACAATAAACTTGAGATTATTCGGTGGAGTCAATACTCCATTGCGACTTTGAACAGACAATTGATCATGGTACTATCCTCACTTGGTATACCAGATCGCATATTCCATGATAAGCTGAAGACTATGGTGCAAGGCTTGGATGAAGCCTTGGAGAGTGACACACATGCCGTTTATTGGCTAAAGAAATACGTGGACCCCAATCAAATGACGCTCATAACCAGTCAGATGGTTCTCGATGGATTCAGGCGATCGAAAGAGCCGTTCATGACCTCGATTTTGACTTTGTGGAGAGCATGGCATCTCAAGTACCTTAAAGAGAAAGCCAAGATTGCAATTGATAGTGGTGCTTCTTTGCTTGGATGTATGGATGAAACTGGAATTCTCAAGGGCTATTTTGCCCACAAGACTCCAGGAGTCGATGCCACTTTCGAAGATCGGGTGGCAGCTTTGCCTGAGATATTCCTCCAAATCTCACGTCCCGAGAATGGCGGTAAATCCGAGGTCGTCGAAGGCCTCTGCATCCTGGCTCGCAACCCATCCCTTCACCCGGGTGATATTCGAGTCGTGAAAGCCGTCAACATCCCAGAGCTGAGTCATCTCCATGATGTCGTTGTTCTTCCTCAGACTGGCGACCGGGATGTCGCAAGCATGTGCTCCGGGGGGGACCTGGATGGTGACGACTATCTTGTGATTTGGGATCAAGACTTGATTCCCGAGGACTGGTTCTGCGCCCCTATGAAATATGCGAGCAACAAAGCACAGTCTCTGGACAGTGATGTGACAGTCGATCATATCACATCATTTTTTGTTACTTACATGAAGAATGACTGTCTGCCAAAAATTGCCCATGCCCACCTTGCTTTAGCTGACCGACTCGAGGACGGCGTCAACGAGGAGAAATGCATTCGGCTTGCCCAGCTTCATTCAGACGCAGTGGATTATAACAAAACAGGCATCCCAGCCATTATGACACGCAACTTGGAACCTCGCTTGTGGCCTCACTTCATGGAAAAGAAGCACAAACCAAAAGATAAGATTTACCACTCCAACAAAATCCTTGGCCAGCTGTATGACGCCATTGAGCGGATTGATTTTGTACCCAGTCTAGGAATGCCCTTTGATGAGAGAATTCTCAGCTGTCAATTGGATGTCAGCGACGACCTTTACGAGTTCGCTAGAGAACTTAAGATCCAATACGATGGCGCCATGCGGCGAATCATGGCACAGCATGACATCAAGACCGAGTTTGAGGTCTGGTCTACGTTTGTCCTCAGTCACGCCAACATGAGCAAGGACTATAAATTCCATGAGGAGATTGGAGGGATTTCGTCTTCACTTAACGAGATGTTCAGAAAGCAATGTTACGACAAGGTTGGCGGCCGGCAGTTTGAGAAATTAGCACCCCTCGCTGTCGCAATGTACCGTATCACCAGCCAGGAGATGAGCCTCGCGTTGCAAAGATACCGAGAGGAGAACCCACAGGATCCCAATGATGTTCTCAATTCGGTGCCAAAGATAAACCAACTGCCACTCATCAGCTTTCCTTGGGTCTTGCCGCATGTTCTGGGGAAAATCGCAACAGGACTTTACGAGCTTCCAGCCGAGGCAGGCAAAGTAAGCAATATTATTCTCGAAGATAGGCTTCCCTTGACGCTAACATAATCCAGCAGATCCATAACGATCCCTTTGGTCTGTTTGAGGATGATCAGGTCATGAGTGCACCTTTGCGGACTCGTCCTAAGCAGGAGAATGTCGATGCCGATATCCAATCCCTAGAGGAACTGCTCGACTTCGGCTTCTCCGAAGCGCCGCGGAAGTCATCGTCATCATCGGTTCTGCCACCTGCTCACACCAACCCTATCGACGAAGAAATTAGTCTGTTGGATCTGAATAATGACTCGAGAGATACCAGAGGTGTTGAAAATGAGGGGGCAAGAAAGGAGGAAGCAAATAAGGGAGAAGATAAGGAAGAAACAGAAAAAGAGAAATCACTGGGCATGGAAACACCAGATGTGCCGAGCTCGGGAGTTCCAGATGGCTGCATCGAACTCGTGGAAGAGGAAGGCGATCTTGAGCCCAGTGCGCTCGACAAGCTCAATGAGATACTCGGCATCTGAAATGGGTGCGAACATTTGCAGGAACACGGGTCTTTTCGGGTATGGTTCAAATCGAATATTCTTTCTGGTTTGCTACAAGTCATGTATTTCTGCGTCGTTCCTGCCTTCCGTAGGAAGGTATTATTCGAACTTGAGAGCTTTCAGATGCCATGTGAAGACGAACAGGTAATCAGCAGGATGAATTCAAGTGGTATCTACCCAAAGCCAAGTAACACTTGCGCCAAATTGTAATGTGATAATAAATAAACCCATCAGTGTGTCAGGACTTCTCTTCTCTCCAAGAAATAGAATAGAGAGAGAGAGAGAGATAACCAAGATCTTCCTACCATTCTAGAGCACTCTCACTCGTATCCTGCAGCAGCTTGACAACCGGATCCAAAACAGCCTTCGTATGCCTCCAATTCGCCATATGTCTAGTTCTTGAATAAAACACCGGGCAATCCTTACTGTCGCATTTTACATCATCGTCGAACGCAACGCCCATACAAGAACGACAAACCCGATGCAGATCCAGAACCCTCTTCTCCGCCTCGCGCTGCCGATTCACCAGATCCAGCAGAGAGACGTGCGACTGGCGCATGCAGTCCGGACAGACGGGGACTTCGGCGTCTTGCAATTTGGCTCTGCACACGATACAGGTGGAGGATTTCATGTAGGACTCGAGGGTCTTGCGGGCGTCTTTGCCCGAGCCGGAGGCGACGGCGGAGCCTTCGACGCGACGGATGCGCTGGAAGCGGGGCATCTCGTCGTACCAGGAGCGGACGTTGGCGCCGACGAGGTTGAAGATGCGTTCGAGGGGCGGGATGAGGTTCTTCGTGATGTAGTATTCGGCATCGAGGTCGAGTTGGGGGTCGTGGAGGAGGGTCTCCGGGGGCACGCAGCGGTCGATGAGTCGGGACCCGGGCGCGCCGGTGACGACGACGTAGGGGACTCGTTCGCCGTACTGGGGTTCGGAGCGCGGGTCCTCGAGCATCTTCTTGGTGCTGATCAGGGCGCCGGGCGGAGGGAGGCCGCGTTCGCTGTAGGTGCCGAGTTTGACCTCGCGAGCGAAGCAGAAGTCCTGGATAGAGACTCTGCCTTGCAGGATCTTGGTGCACTGTTTCTGGAAGTAGCTTTTGACGAGGCTGAGGTCGGCGGTGCGGAAGAGGAGCTTCAGTGCTTTTTCTTCGATCTTTTGCTCCGCCGGGGTGCCGTCTCGTCGGACGGTTTCGATGCCCTTGGCGTCGAACTCGGGCTCTTTCTGGTCGCGGTGTTCGTATTTGAAGCCGACGTAGCGTTTCTTGGCGAGAAGCACGCAGGGATGGTAGACCTTTTCGAATTTGAGCTTGACCGGGTGTGGATTGATTTCGGTGACGGCTTTGGCAATCTCTTCGCCAATGTCGAAGGCTTGGTCACGCGTACGTCCGCGAAGATATACGAAAAGACTGTCCGTGTCGCCGTATACGACCTCGGCGCCCCATCGTTCCACAGAATGGATAAAAGCGATAGCTTTTTCGAGCGTCTCTCTTCCCGACTGAACGATGCTATCGGCAATCTCGGAGCAGGGCATTCGTCCAGAGAATGAGGCAGAGGTGTAGCCATATGTGACGTTCGCTATGAGTTTGAGGGCTAGTTGTCTGTTGTTCAAGAGACGCTGCAAAGTTTTGTCGTCTTTGTCCATCTTCATACCAGTTTTCACCATGACACGAGTCTCCAGGATTTCAGCAAGCATCTTCGCAAGAAGCGATTTGCGGACCTCCGATTTTGCATATATCATGCCATTTGGAGCAATGTTGATCTTGTCTTTGAGAAGCTCGAGTAGTCCTGACTGTCGTTGGTAGTCCATAAACCCCATTTTGTCCCTGGTCCTCCATTGTCGCGCTCGTCCAAGAAAGGTGGAATAGCAATAGTTGTAGGCGATCATAATACTAGGATATAATGACTGGAAATCCAGAACTATGAGCGGACTGGTGTAAAAGTCACTCTGAGGTTCCATAACCAATGGAAGGCATTCCAGCGCATTCTGTTGGCCAATTTGCTTCCTGCTAGGGGACACGAGTAAGAAATTCTCGGGCTTCGCGATGCGGAACATCAGAGATTCGACCTTAAACTGGGATCCTCGTGAGATGACCGAGTAAAAGTCTATCCCAAGTAATCGAGCCTGCTCACTTATCCTTGGTATCAACTCATTAGAACCCAAAATTTCAATGTTCATCTGGACACGAGAAACGAGATAGTCGACAACTTTCATAATATTTCGAGGTTTGCCGTTTTGGTACCATGCTGTGAGTTCACGGAAGGAGTAATGTGGAATCCGGCGATGCAGAAGATGGAATACAACATTCTCCATGCTGTACTGAAGTAAGTTCAACTCACTCCTCATTGCTCGCCAAATATTGATCATATGTCGCCCGGTTATTCGGATAGAAGACGTGTGGTTAAACCCATATCGATCGGCATCTTTGCCATATCTGCCATGTGCTTGCGATTTCACTCTCGACAACTCATCGCATATATCGAGCTCATACTTCTTTCTTGCTCTTTCGATCACGTAACCCCACGAGCCGTTGTGTACCTCATAGCCGGTGATAATGTCAGGATCGTACCAGCGGACAATGTCCACCAGCCGAGTTATCAAGTCAAGCTCGCTTGGCTCATGCTCCAAGTCAATTTTAACGGCTTTTGAAATTTTGATGTCGGGTCTTTCCACCTCGCTCTGTACAACCATACCGACATGGACACCGGGTATGTGGCTATTGACGTCAAGATCCTCATCGTCCGACTGCACGCACCAAACTATGGAAGAGATCTCGTCTTCCTCGGGGTTCGGCGAGAGCACACCGCGTGTATTGACATGAACTTCTAAGCTCATGATACTCATATACTGATTCTGTTGCTCAACACTGGTTGATTTCTCTTTCTGCGAATACTTGAACCCATATTCGTTCTTCTGGGTAGGACCTTCGATCTGTGAAAGAACATTCGGCTTCATGTCAAGGTTCGACTCCTTTGACTCTGTGTGTTTGGCCTTGATTTCTGACTGTTCTTTCTCAAACCAACTAATAACCTCTGCACGACTTGGGGGTACAGGAGCAAACTCCCAGACCCTGCTGGTAGAGGACTCGCGCAACAATCGGTCAACTTCCTCTTGCGCATTTCTGTCTTTCACAACCGGTGGTTGCTCTCCCATCATTGCGAAAGAACGTCCTGACGGGTCAAAATCAGGCAGATAATGAATGTCGCTACCTTCCAGTCGGAACTCTCTACCCGCGTAATCGCGAGGTCGGTCGGGGACATCAGCCACGTTGCCATAATGGGCCTTCTTGTAGATAACGGAAGGGTAACCATATTCATTGAGAGAAGACAAAATATCGCTCGGGTTCGGGCAGGGAAGCCGTAAGCAACGAATTCGGCTACTCGGAGGGATGTTAAACGTTTCATAGATCGAGGACGCCAATTCTGACATATGAGTATCGAGGGAGTGAGAATTAGTCTCTATGGAGGAAGACTGCAAAGGCTCAGAACTTTGCATTGCACTTGCTTCATTGGCGACACCTTGGGCCGGAGCTGTCACGCTTTCCGAGATCTTCGGCATTGTCTTTGGTGTGTTTCCCTCCTGGCTGAATCGAAGAATGGTCATGGGATCATTTGGGTCTTTGACTATCGGGAAGCTAATTTTGCTGCCTTGACCTCCACCCTGTGACTGCGGTGTTGGCTGCGGATCTCCGAGTTTCGCTTGGGAGGACAAGTGAGAATCTATTGCTCCTGAGCTGTCGAGGTATTCCGTCTCTCTAGCTTTGGCGTTCATTTCTTTGTCTGAGGGAATGGCGGGTTTCTGTAAATTTTGGGGTTTAGGAGGTAGGTTGCGTGGCGCATCATCATCAAGAAATCTAAGTCTCTTGGGTGGTTTGTCTAGATAAGCCATGCCACCGAGACGCTTGAGAGATCTTGTTGCACTTTGAATGCCCGCATTGATGTTTTCTCGAGAGTTGATGTCCTCTATCCTGGTGGATGAATTACCGAGTGTCCCAAGTGGCCCATCTTTTTTTGGCGTCAGAAACTGATTATTTTGTATGGATTCTTCGAAGGGGAAAGGTCCGTCATGGATTATATTTCCAAAAGGATCATGGGCAACATCGATTTCTTCTGCGCCATCCTCCTCTTCAGAGAACAAGTCCACGATATCGTTATCGTCCGAGCAGTAAGAGTCATCATCAGACTCTACCACATTATCCTGAAGAATAGTGCCATATTGGACTCCTATATCTGGGTCTTGGGGGCCGTGTGCACTCGATAGTTCAATTTGGTCTGCGAAGAAGTCCCCAACACTTTCCAGAACGGTCTTGATATTTTCCTCGAAGGGTTTCTTCACTAGAACATTGTCAAAGGTGATGTCATCGGTGCCCATTTGGCGCTTCTCAGCCGCAGCAATCTCGGATGCCATCTCACGGTACTCTTCCTCATGGATCCACGGCCCGTTTAGATGGCTCCTCGTTTCTGCTGATAGAGAGGTCAAGTCCTCGGCGGTGAACGGACTGCTTCCTGGGTCGACGATACCAAGCCTTCTTTTCCGTCTGCGTGTTTCATCCTGCCATAACCCAGCCATACTTGGGACCAATCGTTCATCAGACGTCATCGGCTTCAGAAGCTCGGTAAAATCATGATGTATCGGCCTTTCATTGATTTCTAACCGATTCAAGATGTCCTGCACCCGCACATCAACTTCGAGGGCACAATTACTTTGCTTTGGGAGAGCCGATTCTTCCGAAATACAATCTGGTTGGATCGATCGATCATGCCAACGATGGGATTGAGTTGTAAGCTCGAGATAATCCGGAACTGGCGATCTGAACTTGACCTTGCTACATTTCATATAGGCGCAACCGTACAAGCTGTAGTCACACATCCATTGCGGGATGTATTGTAAATGGCTTTCGTACGGTTGCAAAGGGCGCTTTAGTACGGCTCCTTGAAGCAATAAGTCGGCCAGTCTCGTTATATATATTGGGCTGAGCAGGTAGATCTTGAAGAAAAATCGATAACCCACATGGTATCCATAAAACGGGATTCCCTTTACCAATGTAATATGGGCCACGAAAACAGCTTTCTTGTCTTTTGCGTTGCGCTGGTAGCTGGCTGCCAAGGCATGGTCGATTGAGACGTGTAGATTCCTAGTTGCAAGCGCCACTAGCAGGGGGTTAGCTGAAACGAACGGCAACCAACTTTAGGCTAGTTCAGACGCACCTTGTTCCGGCTCCAAACTACCCTCATACTCGACGTAAAGGTAAGGGATCGCGCCATGTACATGGACGCACACTTTTTGGTTAGTTTCTGTTACTCCAAATATCCTAATTACCGGAACTTTGGGTCTAAAGTTGTCTTTCGCGGACCCATCCTTGAAGGTGAAAGGAGGATCAAATTCTGATGGGACTGCCTGGTAATGATCCAAGCAGTTGAGGCGCACTTGAAAGGGCTCCATTGGTTGATGTCAGGACAGCCGGAGCTGCCATCAACATATCGTGAAAAGCAAAGGGTTCCCGCATATCAAGAAGCGTAGAATGGGGTCAATTACCCCTAGTTGCCTTGCGAACTCACTTTTATCTTTGCTGTGAGCATGACGTGTAGTTGCCATCGAGGAATACGCGATCCGGGGCGCGGAAGAACGCCTAGTCACGTGATACTGACCGGGCCCAATCGTCGGTTGATCTTCAAGAGCCTGGACCTCCGAGCGCCAAAGGTTTGACTTCCACAACAGCGCCGGGCGTTGACTTGCAGCATCAGTTCGGAGGAACTTGGCGAGGGAATTTTACATCTAGGTTTCATCGCGATCAACACGGTCGCAACCTCCCCGCAAAATGTCGCGAAAACCCGCCGATGTGGCGTCCAAGGAGCGCAACGAGTACATCCCGTCCTTCATTTCCAAGAAGCCGTTCTATATCGACGACGATGAATCCACGAACGACTATCTAGAGCATCAGCGTCTACACAAGTCAACAACCGATCAGTCGAAATGGTACGAACGTGGAAAGCGCGTCGGGCCTGCCGCCACCAAGTACCGGAAAGGCGCGTGCGAAAACTGTGGCGCCATGACGCATAAAACAAAGGAATGCCTCAGCCGGCCTCGGAAACAAGGTGCCAAGTGGACGGGGAAAGACATTCAGGCCGATGAAGTCATACAGGACGTGAACATGGGTTGGGACGCGAAGCGAGATCGGTGGAATGGTTACGATGCTAGCAAGTACCGCCAAGTGGTCGAAGAATATGAAGAGCTGGAGAAGTTGAAAAAGGTTGCAAAGAAGGACGTCGAAGATGAGCAAAAGGCTATTATGGATGGCGACCCAGACGGTGAAGACGCAACACAGGAAGAAGCCCGATACGCTGAAGAATCCGACATGGGGAGGCAACAAAGTACAGCGACTCGCAACTTGCGTATCCGAGAAGACACCGCCAAATATTTACTCAACCTCGATCTCGACTCCGCGAAATACGATCCTAAGACACGTCGAATGGTCGACATGGGAGCTCAGGATGATCAAGCCGCTGCTCTCGTTGCTGAGGAGAACTTCGTTCGCGCTTCCGGCGATGCAGCAGAATTTGAGAAGGCGCAGAAGTACGCCTGGGAGGCCCAAGAGACCGGCGCTCAGAAAATTCATCTACAAGCGAACCCTACCTCCGGGGAAATACTGCGAAAACAGGAAAAAACTCAAAGCGACGACAAGCGACAGACCCAGCGAAAAGCACTTTTGGAAAAATATGGTGGACAGGAACATATGCAACCAACGCCATTGCGCGATACTATGGTCGTTGAAAACGAACGGTTCGTTGAATATGATGAAACTGGTGCTATCAAGGGAGCGCCAAAGAAGGCGGCCAAGTCCAAGTATGCAGAGGACCTTTTCCCCAACAACCATACCTCGGTCTGGGGAAGTTGGTGGCATAACTTTGAATGGGGTTATTCTTGCTGTTTCTCGACGGTCAAGAACAGCTACTGCACTGGCGAGGATGGAAAGAAGGCTTTCGAGGAGGCCGATAAGATGCTCATGCTGGAGGAAGTCGACGGAGAGAATGGAGACGCGCCTGCTGAAACTGCCGAAGCCGATACTGCTCCCCGATCTCAAAGTCCCGAACGAGATGAGCAGCAGGAGAGCAAGCCCAGCTCGAAAAAGAGAACGTTGATGGAAGTACAGTCCGGCATCACGGAAGAGGAGCTGGAATCGTACAAAAAGAGCCGTCTTGATGCGGATGATCCTATGGCTGCGTTCATAGGGAAGGACACATTGGAGTAGTAATTATCAGGTTTTTTCTATCATTTGATCTATCCTCATTGACCTATTTCGATACGGAGCGCTAGGTACCACTAAATACCCCATTAAGAATGTACATATTAAAAACGGTTTATTTCTGTGCAGCTAACACATTGATCAGGGGCATCCTGGGGCATTAAAGGACGATGAACTATACTCCGTAGACGGTGGCGATAAAGCCCAAGCCAGAACGGGCCTAGTGGCGGATCGGGTGGGACCCAGAGTCATGTGACACAAAGCCCTGTTCATGGTCCCGTGACTTGTCACGAGACAGGGCACAAGCCCTGGATACCACAACTCGCTTAGCGACAGGCCGCCCGAACTCAGCGCGCAACTTCCGATACGCCTAGCGACGACGACAACGACAACCAGCCCTTCAACGGAATCGCCAGGTAAGTTCCTACTCCACATGGCCTTTTGATGCGCGTCAATTTCCCAGGGGTAATTTTTCGCTGACAATTTTTTTTGCTCGTCGCTGCAGTTCCATAATCCAAGATGAGTATGTGCAAATTCGATATTCCACCGAGCGACATGTGTCTCGCCTTCGAGAAAGATTTTCGAGACTGACTCCGATAATAGCGAAGGGTACCTCCAGCTTTGGCAAGCGCCACAACAAAACCCACACTCTCTGCCGCCGTTGTGGTCAGTATTTTCACCATTCCGAAATGATATATCACCCGGCGAAAACTTGTGACGGATGTCTACATGGGCTATCATGAGGAAGTCGGCGGGATATATACAACATGATGAGTGTCGGCTGGGCTAACCGATGGCAACGTTTTCGGCATACAGGAAAGCGCTCCTTCCACGTCCAGAAGTCGACCTGTGCCAACTGCGGTTACCCCTCCGCTAAGACCCGCAAGTGTACGAAGTCCTCCCCCGATATCTATACAGCGTTGTTTCCCGTGCTTGGTCGATGATGGAGATCATGCCAGCACCACCTTGCAGTGGAATTGTGAAGCTTACGAATCTTTTTTGTTGAAAACAGTCAACTGGGGTGAGAAGGCCAAGCGGAGAAAGACCACCGGCTCCGGCAGAATGAGCCACCTCCGCGACGTCCACCGCCGCTTCAAGAACGGCTTCCAGACCGGCACCCCCAAGGCCGCCCGCGGTCCCGCCGAGAGCCAGTAGATTAATCTCGACGTCGCATCTTGTTCGATCTCGGAGGCTGGAAGAGGGCTGGTATGACAAGGCCTGGCATATGAAGTAGTCGGTTTCAAATGCAAGGCGAAAAAAAGACGCTTTCCCGTGGAGTTGGTGTTGGGACGAGTCTTGTCTTTTGTCGTCAATAGCGTGTTTGTCCTAGAATAACGACGGCAAATGGAAGGCGGAAAATTTGTGGGTTTTGAAAGGGAAAGCAGGCATGAATTTCCTTTCTTGTTTATGGCTGGCGAATATCCCATGTCCTGGCAGATACATTATTGAAATGCTCCAATGTGATCTGTCTACCTGAATACACCCTTTCTCCGAGGTCATTTCCATTCTCACTCTCCTAGCAATCGGTTTTGCAAGCCGAGTTTTCAAAACTTTCCGCGGCAGACATTTCTGTTCCTTAACATGATTCACAGGGTCACGGCCATCTACATCTGCCTCAACAACGGGTCATTTACAAAGGACGCAATGTAGTCCGCAGATTCTATAATTTCTATTCGCCTCTCCCGAAGACGTTGACACCGCCATCTCGCTGAACAAAATACAACACCTCTTTTTCCTCCCAATGGCCCTGAGCGCCGTCATCTCGACCCCAAGCACCGCCCTTGCTAACTCTCAGCACGCCACTCACATCTCTCGCGACGCCTGTTTCCAAATTCCGAAGCTGCATCACCATTTGCGCCCGATGAGCCGAGCCTATCACGAACGCAGAATGCTCTGTTTCCAACGGCGTGGCCAGCTCATAGCTACCGGCAGATGCGTTATGTATCAGCGGGGAGTCAGCGGACACGGTCATAAGTGTAGCATGGGCACTCTACACAAGCCATCATATTAGCGAGGGGCGACTTATTTGTAGACTTGTGCATGGGGTACACGGGGAAACACCTAATACGCACCTGTTGTAGACCCATCATCCAATCTGCCATCTCCGTAGCACCTATCCCTCGATTGGGCCCCGTCGCGGCAAGCAAAAGATCGGGCTGATCAACGATCAGTAGAACCTCCGATTCTTCGCCATCCCCAGACGCCTCCGCTTGTAGTTGTCTAACCACGGCTGCGATTTCCCTTTCAAGGGAGCCGAGAGCCGTTGGACCGTTTCCTGAAAGATGTAGTCGCTTTACAGGGCCAATTTCCTTCGACGTGGGCGTGGCATTGCCGTTGGGCACTGGCGCTTGTGCTGGCAGTCGCGACACCGGCTGCGGACCCCGCGCTGGGATGGGACCGGGTTGCGACCGCACGGGCAGGACTGTTCGAGAGGGAGCAGCGCCGGGGAAGGGCGATGGCGTGGATTGCGAGGGTGTAGTCACGGGGGTATTGAAAAGTTCGGAGAGTCCATCGACGAAGGCGAATTGGCGTTTGTCTGTGAGGCGCGCAAGGTCCAAGCCCTGAGCATGTTAGGTCACAATGCTGTACAATTGGAGCCGGGGGAAAAAAAGAAAAAGAAAATAAACAAAAAACGAAAGAAAAAATGAGAAAACACCCAAGCATTAATCCATCATAAACGAAAAGAAAATGACCGCAGCAATCAGGTATTCTTGCAGAGGGACTCACCAGTCGCTTGGCCTCCGATCGCCAAAATTCCCAACCCCGCAGGAAACTCACGAGCACGACTTTTCTCTTTCTGCCACCATCACCACCCTGCAGCCCGAATGCGGCCTCCGAGTTGGACGACGTACTCAGCGCCGCATATAGATATCGCAGGACTAGCCAATTCCCGGTCGCGCCAAGTACAGAGGACAGGACGGTCAGAGACGATTGAGGGGGGGACGAGACGTAAGGCGCCAGCAGGTGTGGGAGTGGCGGTTGGGTGGGCATGATGGGAAACGAGCGGCGGGGATGTGTCGAAGCCGGTTCAAGGAGGGGGGATATATGGAGATCTCATGCGACCGAGAGATGCTGCTGCGCTGGTCGGAATCGGTATGCGCAATTGAGACAAATTTGGCAAATGGGAGGGAGATGACGTTGTATAGAAAAAAAGTTCTGCTGGGCGGCCTGATTGGTCGATGCTTTGTCCCGCCGTGCCAAGACTCGATGCGTCGTGTCGATGGTTCTGCTTGTATTCTTGGACTCTGGTTTGGAGCTGGGTTTGGTGGGATTATGGAGGAGGGGCAATGTCCATTGCTGGTAGTATTCTCATATTTCACTGGACTCGGAACATCCAGGGACCTAGTAGTCCGTGATACCATTATCGGATTCATTATATATTTGAGGACTGCCCTAGGATTTAGCAGTTGAGTATATACTTACAGCAGCTCCCACTCTTAACTTCATGTGATTCCAAAGTCGATGTTCGGACCAAAGAGGTCAGTGTGATCGGACACATCCAATACCTCCAATACATCCCATACGATGTCAGATGGACACCAGCGTCGATGCAGCCTGAGGACATACATGGACTGAGTCAGCCGTGAAGCGGGATGCACGTGACCACCCCTCCGCCCCACCGCCGGCGGGCAATCAAACATCGCAACTTCTGATGCGGAAGGCTTCATCCGATCATTCCACATACATCCCTCCTCGCTGTCTCGCAATGGGTCCGGGGGTCTAGCTCGGTCCCCCATGTCTCTTCTTTCCCTCTTCCCTTAAGGACGTGGGCTACCGTTGATTCTTTTCTGCGCCGATCGTGAGTTGGTCCCCATGTCCTCTCCTGGCTGTTCCCCGATCTTTTTTTTTTTTTTTTCTTTTTGCCCTCTCACGTACCCCACACATTGGAAAGATCTACTATCTTCATCTCGAGCTATCTGTACATTCTGCCTGATCTCAACATCTTCGAGACTATCTCCCTGTACCCTGTATCCCTATTGTTTTTTTCATCCCCAAACCTTCCTATAGATTGAATTCAAATGCGCGCCCAAATGGCCTTGTACTTCTGCGTCTATCCTTTTTTTGATATGCATATGCTACTTTTACACAAGCTTGCTTGTTCGCGTCTAATCTATGTGGAATCCAGGCACCAATCGGGTAGTGCTGACAGCCCTTCGCAGATGATATCGAGCTTGTGTAACTATCAAGGGTACAAGAAAACAGATCTTTCTGGCTAAAAATGGCCAGCACTCGAGATTCCCACTCATACGCCGTGAGTTCATTTCCCGAAAGCTCCCAAGTACTAGTAGCTAACCGGTTGCAGTGCGATGAGTGTCGCTTGCGAAAATCCAAGGTGAGATAGAAGCATCGCACCTACTGTCATCTAGCAAGCGAACACCTATTGATTCTCCATTGCAGTGTTCGAAGGAGAAGCCAGTTTGCGCTCAATGCAAGCAGTTGGGCAAGGAGTGCAAATACAGCCCCAAGATAACTAGAAGTCCTCTAACGCGACAGTAAGTGCTTCTCTATCTACCTTGTCCCCAATTGAGAAGGCATTCTGGGGAAACAAAGGCGTCAAGCGCCTTCTTTCCTGTGATACCTAGCAGCTTGGAATGTTCAAGATACGTCAGAGCCAGATCTAAGTTTCCTCACAGGCACCTAACCTATGTCGAAGACCGTTTGCTCGCTTTCGAAACAGCCCTAGGGAGGCTGTTCCCGGGAGGTGATTTGGATGCAACGGTTCGTTCTCTATTACACGATCAAGATGGCCCGAAACCCGGGTCGTCTTCCAAATCCTCATCCCGACATTCGACTCCCGCTAAAACTGAGGCGGATCGTACCGAACCAGCTCCGGAAGCCCTGCCGCAGAAGGCTGATGGGTTTGATTGGACTGAGAACAAAATTACCGTTGGGGACTTAACGGATGGCATGGCCTCCTTATCTATCAAGCCTGAAGGAACTGGCTATTTTGGTATGTGGAATTTTCACCTTCTTATCAGCCATAGCTAATCGCTCGACTACAGGTGCATCCTCCAGTGTCGTCCCGCTTCGGGCGTTGCTGAAACATGGGTTCGACCTGAATTTCCCTGCTGGGTCATCAAGGTCACACATCGGCCCGGAAGGGGTACCTTTGAAGTCGCAACTTTTAAACACCGCGCCCTCGGGAGTTGTCGAACAGGCTTTCATAGACGCATTCTTTCTCAATTACCACTCCAGTTACCCGTTCGTGCATGAAGCTACGTTTAGGGCGCAGTTTTATGAGCAAGCCCCGCGTCGCCATGGCCAGGTGTGGCAAATCCTCTTGAACACCATATTGGCTCTTGGGGCATGGAGCATTGGCGATGACAACTCAGACCTGGATATTACATTCTACCAGGAAGCTAGAAGTCATCTACAGCAGGTGTCCGTGTTTGAGACCGGAAATCTAACTCTCGTCCAAGCCCTCCTTCTGCTAAGCAACTATGCGCAGAAGAGAAACAAGCCTAACACGGGCTGGAATTTCCTGGGCTTGGCTGTGAGGATGGCGATGAGTCTTGGTCTTCACAAGGAGTTCCATGGGTGGAAAATTAGCCTTCTTCAGCGAGAGATCCGAAGACGATTGTGGTGGGGTGTGTTTATGTTCGATAGTGGTGCTGCGAAGACGTTTGGTCGACCCATTCTGTTGCCTGAGGACAAAGTCATGGATGCGAAGCATGTCATGAATATTCACGACGAGGTGATTATATCTGGGCCCTTTACGACTGTCCACGCAACGTTTAACTGACCCCAACGACTAGGCTCTCACCTCGACGACAACAACATTACCCGCCGAAGCTAACGGACCGACTCTCTATTCGGGCCTCATTGCTCAGACCAGATTCCATTTACTCACAAATAGTGTCTACCAGCGCCTAATTTCTACACCACCTTTGACGCCAGAGGAAACCTTGGGTCTTCAAAAACCGATGGAAGAGTGGTACAACAGTCTCCCGCATTATTTCAAGCAACCCCCTCCGTTATCAGAATCAGACCCATTTGCTTTGGTCCGCAGCCGACTCTTGTGGAGAGACTGGAACCTGAGGATTCTGGTTTACCGGCCAATCTTGCTTCGCTGGGCGTCTAGAAGGTGGACTCCGAACACATCCTCTGAACATGAGGAGGATCCCCTTGAGGCCGATTGCCGAATGCTCTGTCTTCGGAATGCACGCTTGACCATTTCCTCAATTACGGACTTTGTCAACAAACATATCTGCACGAGAATTGGTGCATGGTATATGCTGTATGTCTTCATATTTCCTCCCCTGCTCCCCTGGAAGCTCCGAAAACCAAACTAACACCATCCTTCTATTAGATATTTCCTATTCCAGGCTGGGATTATACCTATAATCCTGCTTATGACGGATCCTACGAGTGCAGAAGCCCCGGCCTGGCTCCAGGATATCGAGGCGACCAAAAGCCTCTTAATGAACCCGTCCCTCAGTAACCACCGTCTTGCCACCCGCTATCTAGAAGTCGTCAACCGACTCTGTTCCCCGGCATACACGGCCTCAGTCGCCAATGGGTCGACACAACAACCGCCGATCATGATGCAGTTCTCCGACCAGCTTTTCAATGACCCCACCATGGGATACATGTTTCCGGACGTCGACCAAGAACTGAATATCGGGGGCATGGATTTCTCTGACTGGGTTAACTTTGCGCCACAAGGGGATTTCGCCTGATCAGACAGACATCGTTTACAATACGATAACCAAAAGCCTAGGAGCAGCAAACAACGAAGCTTGGATCTAGAGTAATATGGTTTCGTATTTGTCTAGAAGGGAGAATATATATACATTTTCCCTTCGGTCTATTCTATCCTCCATCGGATACTATACTAGTCTTGTCTGGTTTGGTCTGGTCTAGTCCGGTCCGGTCTGTCTTGGGATCGTCTTCGAAGACATTTACCTTCCCGAAGTGTTATTCTTCACGGCGGCTCAAAGAGCGTGCTCGTCTTCCTGCACGAACGGCTTCGCTAGGGTATCTATATCATGAGTCTGAGCTTGGGTACCGCGCAGCTCAGCCTCGATTTGCACAATGCGCAGCTTTTCCTCATGGGCCGCGGTGTCCCCGAAGATGAGGTCCATGTCTTCCAGGGTCTGATTCGAAAGGTCAGCACATCGTTCGGCGAACTTTCCGAGCAAGGACGAAAGAACGAAAGGGAGGGATTGAAGCAACCTTTCCTCGAGTCTCCGGAATACAGAAGAACGTGAACCCCAACGCGAGGACACAAAATGCCGCAAAGAAAATATACGTGCCCCAGGTGATCGAGTCGAGCATGTCCGGGGTTATCAGGCCGATGATGCTAGAAGGGGAAGAGAAGAGAAGTTTATGGATTAGCCAACCGGACGGAAAATATTGTGGCGGGGTTTTCAGGGTCCTCGGGTCATTAAGGAAAAGGAAAAGGAAAAGCCAATGCACATGGAACATATATGAATGGAGAATGCAGATACTTCGGAGGGGATCAGGTAATAGAATTATAGAATCGAACTCACAAATTGCACATCCAAGTAGCCGACGTGGTGATCGAGATCGCCTTCGATCGAATCGAAAGATTGAATATCTCTGATGGAAGAACCCATCCGATGGGTGCTGTATCGAGTTAGTCAACTTATACTTCCGCGCCAGATAGAGAGAGAGAAAGACCTACCAAACGAATACGAAAAATTCACATCATAAATGTAAATAAACGCAATCCCTGCCCACCCCGCCGATTTATGATTCACCAAATCAGACCCGTAAGCACCGATGATGGCGCCCACGACCACAAGCGAGACGCAGGTGCCTGCGGCGCCGGACATGAGGAGGGCGCGACGGCCTACTTTGTCGATTAGGAACAGGGCGGGGAGGGTGCTGAGGCAGTTGACGATTCCGTAGACGCCGGTGGCGAGGAGAGAGGACTATCTTCTGTTAGGGCTTGGAGAGAGAAGAGAGGGAAGTTGTTGACGTACAGTGTTCCCGTCGAGGCCTAGTTGACCGAAGATTGTGGGCGCGTAGTATATTATTGCTGGGTGGTTTAGCACTTATAGTCTGATGGGAGGGAGGAAGAAAGTAGGGCAAGATACCATTACAGCCCATGAACTGCTGGAAGAACATAACACAGCATCCGATGGCCAGTCGCCTAAAGCGGGCCCATGTAGTTAGAAAGGACATGTACTAGGAAACGCGATATATGAGTACGGAAGTGAATTAGATAGAGCAGTGCCGCGGGACGAACCTGAGCAATATCCAACCTGGCACCGGACTTATCGGGAAATCGCTCCCTCGCAAACGTATTCTCCAGCATGATGGAAGCCTTGATCTCGAGGTACTCGCCGACGAGAGTCGGACTGTCCTTGACCAGTCTCCGCAGCTTAGAGAGCGCCTCGAGAGCATCCTCATCCCGCTCGTTCATCAGTAGCCAGCGAGGCGAGTCGGGGAAGAAGATCATTCCCACACCGAGGATAATGGCTGGGAGGATCTGGATGGCGAGAGGGAGTCTCCAGGATGCTTCGGATTGACCATCGCAGCCGCCGGGGGGAACATCGTGGTAGGGGTCGAATGCGTTTGAAGCTTTGATTTGACCGCTGTAAGGGATATCTGGGGCGCATCGAGTTCCTCCGATGTAGTTAGTGCCGTAGTCGATCCAGTAGCTCACGAGGATGCCGATTGTGACGGATACTAGGTCATCGGGTTAGAGTCATGCCTTGACGGGCCTCAAATGAATCAATCTCACGCTGTTGCAATACCACCAACCCGCCTCGAATGCCGGGAATAGAGACCTACATTGCGTAAGCAGATAGATCGACCGTCTCGAGACCCGCAAACACGTACCTCGGATATGTACAGTGGTACGACCATGGTCAATTGACCGACAGCTAATCCTGCTATCGCCCGGCCTTCCAAGTCATCAGTCAGTAACTACTACCCTTATGCATGTATCTGCAAGTATCTAAGACATACCGACAAATAGCATGGGAATGTTAACAGCACCACACTGAATCGCAGACCCTATGACGAAAATCACGACGGCCACATTGATCGACACCTTCCGGCCCAATCGGTCCGCAATCGGTCCATTGATCAGAGACCCAAACCACGCAGCTACAATTCATCAGATTCAGCGCAAGGAGGCAAGCACAGAGCCCAAAAGCCACGCAACATACCTAGGAGAAGAGTCGAGACAAACCACCCCTTGAATCCAGTATCCGAGTAGACCCGAGGAAATCGCGCACCGAATGATTCCATCGTGATCACACCCGATACTACGCCCTGATCGTAGCCGAAGAGCAGGCCACCCAGGGTTGAGAACTGCAAAAGATCGGGGCTATGGTTAGAGGTAGCCCGTCATCGTGCAGGATATGCGGAACCCCCAGCCGCGAGAGAGATACGGCCGTCGAGGTAGGGGGAGAGACTCACGGAAGCAACCCCTAGGAGATACGGGTTTCGGCGAATAAGCGCAAAGCCACCATCGGGGGCAGTATTGACAGCTGACTCCATTGCTCTTGCGTTGTTGCACGGATGTGCGGTGCAGATGTAGTGGATTGCTTTGGATAATGCCGAGAGAGGGAGGGAGAAACAGAGAAAGGCCACACTCTATTTGAATGCTCCGTTTGCTCTCTTGTGCAAAGTCCATCAACCCCTCACGCTGGAGATGAGGTCCATCGCACGACAGTCCGCCGTTCTTGCCGTTCTCGCCGTCGTCTGTAAAGTGGAAGTGAAAGGACAGGACCGAGTCAAGTCCGAGTGGTCGGAGGTGAAGCGTCCGGACCAAATTGTCGAGAGAGAAGCGTCGGCATCCTCTGAGCCGACGGAGGTGGGCATCACGAGATGCCAGAATGCGGGGAGAGAAAGTCTTGAGGCGGGGAAATCCGTCCACCCGCCGATCATCAATTGGCGACTCACTTCACAGTTCACACCGTGTAGGACAGATGATATCATCGACGCCTGGCTCGGAGATGACAGCAAAGATACTATTCCCGAGAGTGTGTCCGGTTGGAAGCAAGGGGGAATGCCTCGTCATCAACCCGTGAAGACAGGCTGAAGAACCGATCAAGGGATCGGAGTATAAACTCGACCGACGTAGGCAGTATGAACGGACCTTATTTTGACCTTGATGCCAGTAAGAATAGAGTACCTGGCCAATCGGTATGGCCATGTTTCTATTTTTCAAAGTAGATGAAGCGTTACGGCAAAACCCTAGCGAGATCTCGATCGACAGGAGACCAAGAACCATGGATCTTTCATAGAGCGACTCGATTGAGTAATGTCAAGGACTGCAGAACTATAAAAAGTAAACCACACCGTCGGGCAGTCTTCAGTTCGGCATACCTCCCAATTCCCAACCTCACCTTATCGGCAAGGGTTGCTTTCCTTGCGTGAGGGTGAAAGTCGAGGCAGAGATCCATGGATGCACGAAGGAAGTGCAGGAAGCGCACGAAATGGACGACATGCAAGAGAAATGCCCGATTGACCAATCATCGGCCTGGAAAATGAGTCATTCTCACTCATTGTTACTAGCGCATGAGCCACTCCGTATGCGCCTTGTATGCGTTTTGCATACGGGATGATACGCGTGGAATACCATATGTTGTTTCCGTCGTTTCCGACAAGGTTGGCCTACTCATGGAGATGTCTGATGTGTGGTGGATCATCAGAGCGGTGGAGAAGCCATTGAAAGAATAGGCTGGAGCCTGGACAAGGGAAGGGACATAAATAGGCTGTGTTGTCTATCTATCTCTATGTGAATGCTGGCTGATAGGGTCGATACTCCATACTCGAGTTGGACGTATTGCAGCGAGTGGGCCCGTAAGGGACTATCCGCCGTTAGTCTGGATCCACTTCCATTCTCCAGACTAGCGATCCTACGGTTTGATCCGACTCTGCCCCATGTACGCAGTACTACGGCAACATATCTAAAATAGCACTACTAGTGCTTACAGCCCGCAGGCATCGTGGATTAGGCATGTTGTTCAACCCAGTGTCCATTCACATGACGAATTCACTAAGAGCAGAATCTATTTCTTCCTCCCGACAAGGCTTCGGAGAGCATCCGTCTCGCCTTCCAGCTTGGAAACACGCATTTTCAACGCATCCCGCTCCTCCTTGACTTTCTTGAGCTCGGCCTCCAGCTGAGTTACCTGGTCGACTCGTCGTTGGCGATAGCGCCGCGCTGCCATCGTGTTCAGTTGACGTTTTTCAACCCGCGACAGCGCGGGCTTGGGCCGAGTCGTACCAGCGTCACTAGGAGTTGACGAGTTGGGAGACGAGGTGGTCGATGTGGCAAGGGACATAGGAGGTGGTTGTGATTGGGTAGAGTCTAGACGTGGTTAGACGGAACAGTCTTCAGAGTGGACTTGTCTAGGATGGCAGCTCACCTTCGGAGTATGTCAGAGGCTCGTGCGACGGGAAGAAATCGTTCGGAACATCCAAGTCCGGAAACGAAAGTTCATTCTGCAAGGGACTTGGCTGTGCTTCAACGGCAGGTGTGTAGGGTGATGGGTAGAACGGAGTTGATATAGCAGGCAGTGGCTGATATGGACCGTCAGTTACCGGGGCCCAAGAGTCGAAGGATTCGAGACCCGTGAAGTCGTCACCGGGCAGGTTGAAAGGCGAATCCAAGGAGAGCGGATGCGGGACATGAGGATTAATAAGGTCATCGGAGAAAGAAGAGGCGTAAAAAGAGGGATAGGGATTATAGGACTCAATTCGCAGGTCGGCACTAGAATTGGGCTGGCCGGAAGAATATGGCCCCGACCTGCGATTTGGCTGCCACGAATGATGAAGCGGCGGCCGACATGGTTGTATGACGCGGTCGGGCCTGAAAAAGGCCCGGAACGCTCTAGGTTGAGGGAAAGAAGAAAGAAACGAGGCCGAAGGACCAGCCAAAGGAGTGTGATGATCGAAGGAAAGAAGAAGTACCAGAAGATGCGGGCGACGGTTTTAAAACCCCATCGAGGCGGCTTAATCAGCACGGCGTCTGCCGGGTCGGGTCTAGCGCAAACTCAATTTGCGGGTGGCTTGCGTAACGGCCTTGTATCCGGTATCTTTGGGCCGTGTCTTACGGGCATCTGTCAGGCCTGCAGAATGGTCGGTCTTCTGGGTAAGATATCATTATTGAATTTTTAAATCAACAGTCTCCTCCCGATTCAAATTGGTTGACACCCCCTGAATGGAACGTAAGGATTGAAGGATTCTCGCTCACAACATGCAACGCACAACGTAAACGCTAAACAACAGACGCCTGGGCAATAACCGGCCACGAAGCTAAGATGAAAAGGGAGTCGCAAGCAAAGAAACAGAAGAAGACCAATCAATCAGTCAATAATTATCTCGGTTGCACCTATGCATGATTAACAGAAGACGTCCCGCCGCTGAGCAAACATTCATAAAAGCCTTCCCTGAGTAAAGAATACTGAAGCGATCCCCACTGGAATCCCCGAAAGATGATAGGCATGGATCCGTTGATTATGAAAGAGGACTGACTAAGAATGGAGTATGATCTCTCACGGTTGACGGTGGGCTGAATCCGAGTAAGAGACCGTTATCTGCGCGACTCGTTCGGTTCATAGTGGATCGGTTCGAAATCCTGGTTTTGGAAGTGGGCCTGGTTGTATGGGGAGCTATCCGATTGGAGTTGTTGTTAGTGCACGATCTATCTAGGCGGAGAGAGAACGGGACTCACTTCTTGAACGGCGTGGTGACTGGAAGCGAGTGGCTCAGATTGGGCTTCATCACCAGGGGATTCAGGCGGATTTGCGGTCCGTCCGACGAGCGACTCGGCAAAGACGTCATCGGCGGCGGCGGCGGCGGTGCCGACATGGGCGGAGGCGGCGGGGAGGCCACGGGAGCGGGCGATGGAGTCGGCATCGGGGGTGGATAGATCTCCGGGGCGGAGGAGACTCGGTATGGGCTGGGAGGGGCGGCGGGAATCGGCGATGAGGCCAGCGCGAACGAGGGATCCATCATCAGGTTTGGAATCGACATCAGACTCGAGTTCACATCGAATGAGAGAGCGCTTTGGTCCCAAGGCGAGTAGTTCGAGGTCATCGCGTATTGATAGTTGACCACCGGCTCTAGGTTCACCGTGGGCTCAGCCTGATAGAGAAGGTCATAGTGGCCCCTGCAACGTGTGTGTTAGCAGAGATGGTGGACAGCCAGCGATCGGAACTTACGGGCGGTAGAGCAGCCGGATGGTTCCAGCAGTAGGTCGATTCGGGGTCAAGAGATGGGGCGTGACCACATCGCCTTCGCTGCGGTCCAGGTACAGGATCTCCACGGCGAAATCGGACCCCTCGACCACCCCATCGATCAAGGCTTGAAGGCCAACCTCGTCAATCTCGGTCCTGACGGTCTCAATTCGCGTTGCACAATACTGGTCAATGGGCAGAGAAAGAAATGCTTGGTAGCGATGAGGGTTAAGCTTCATCCAAGCACTTGTTAGGAGCTGTAGTTTTGAAGTAAATCAACCTTCGTCAGTGGCAAAGGAAAAGAAAAGAAAGAAGGAAATGGACAGCCTCGCGTTCAGAAGGGGACTGACTCTGAAATGAGTAATGATGGCATTCGAGTTGTATTCCGAGTTGAAGGCGTCCACCAGGAAGGAGTCGTCACGGATCCCATTCTCGATGGCTTCGGTGATTTGCGAAAAGACTTGCTCCGTCTCATCTACGAAGATCTCATATAGATGCTCCTGTTGACCAACTTGGTCGAGAAGGACGTTCAACGATTTGATCCGAAGTAGTTCGCGCTGAACCTGGAGCGTATTCCGAAGGTTGAAGAGATTCTCGAAATATCCAAACGCAACGGCTGGATGAAGTCAGTGCCAGCCACAACAGGTCAAGAGGCGGAGACCGTTACCTCTCCATCCACAGTTCCCGTCGCCCTTCATGATACGAGAAAAAGGATGCGTCGCCGCCAGTGCCTATTAGCAAATTGTTAGATTTGGGCCATGACAAAGTCGAGAGAAATATCAACGCACGCTAGTCTTGGCTGCGAAAGTGGGATCGGCATTTGCATACTCCACTGCAATCGCGCTGCTCGATTGCTTAGTCGACACCAGAGGGCCCTGGTTCGCAATGAAAAATTGGGGTCAGTCCGGGGTCGAACACGTCTGCTGATCGAGACGCTCACCTGGATATCCGGTTCAAACTCGTTTGACAGTTTTTGGAACCGTTCCATTTCATCGGTGGAGAGTGGATTCATATTGAAAGAATTCAGATGGTTGTGGTAAAAGGCGTTGGATAGTTGAGAGAATCCGTGGGCGAGAAAAGCGGGCGGGTATAAATTTTGCGGGTAAAGTCCCGTGGCCGGGTCCTGTCTGGTCGGGAGATGGAGATGATTCCAGGGAATATCAGACAGGGACATCGCATTAAAAGGTGGCGTTGTTGGAGCCGCAGGGGCCTTCGACTGGGGTGTTCACGGAAAGCTTTATGCCCTGGATAACGTCAGAGAAAAGCCAATACACCTCCTCCCTCCGTCGGACAAAGCATCGGATCTCAACTTCGCATAATACGCACAAGACAAACCAGCATCCTCCACGTAAGACTCTCCTTTCTCCGGCGGTAACTGGCCCTCTTCGCAAGAGTTGGGCCAGCTCAGTGATTCTTCAATGACGCAAGAGACCTACTCATTCCAGGCACTTAGCATACACCATCTCTCTAGACAAGAAAAAACCAAGGCAACCGAGCGGGACCAGCGCGCAGGGTGCAATATCGAAGTCTAAAAGCCGCCAATCATAGAACGAGAGCAACCTGACAGACGGAGTATCTCCGACAACATAGGTTGCCACTCGATGGGAGTGTGTGTAACGGGGAATGGGTAATGGAAAAGTGGTAGAGCGGACAGAGACCAATGAAACGAATCAACAGGTAATCCCGAGGCTGTGAATCAAAGCAAGGGCTGTCCAGACAGCAGAAGACAACTTGACTTGCAAAACCCAAATGGCATCTGTCTGCCACTGCTTGTGATCTGCAGTTGAATCAGGACGGAATTGCGGCACAGGAACCGGCTGATATGGCATTCCTGCGACCCCCTTACAAGGATCACAAGGATGATGGTGACATGACTAGGCTGCTGTCTGATGGAACTGACTTCCGTTGGGGTACAATTGGAAGGTGGGAAAAGCGTCCTCCACGCCTGCGCAGGATAGAAACCGTTGTGTTCATTTCGGCATTTGAAAATGTACACACACTTTTGCGCCGCGCAAAGACTTCCGAGCAAATCGGAATCCCACAAGGGGATGGTGGAGTCAAGGAGAAATGTTGAAATCATAGGTAGGTAAGGAGGGCATGATGGCCGATGGAGGAGTGGATAATTAAGATGGCTATGTATCCAGTATGGAAGGGCCAGGCATAGGAAAGAAAAAAAAAAAAGAAAAAAAAAAAACAAAAAGTAAACCCACAGACCTTTTTGCTTGACAGTTCTTTTTACAGTTCGAGATGCATACATACAAGCCCACACGTGCCGTGGCGTATGCGATGAGTAATGAGTAATTAAGGCAGGAAGAATGCGAAGACAGGAATGCTGCCTCCGGAGTAGTCGGGGGATGGAGGCCCCGAGGATACAAAATAGTAGGCAGATCACCGAGAATGGCGGACGGAGATCAAGACAGATCGATAAGGATGGAGTCAGATATCCCCCGCCGGACAGGGATTTGGAGAGAACCTAGGGAGAAAAGAGATGGGATAGGACCGGCGTTGAACTGGATTTTAAGGGGAATTAATATCCCGAACAGATTCGCGGGGAGAAGCTCCTTAAGGTTATTATCCAACAGCCGGTGGACAGCGCGGGGTTTTGTTCGTTTACAACTGGTTTACCAGTCAGTAGGTAGTTTTGTCGGCCCACGAACTGACTAGTTCCGTCGGATTGCTACTAGCTAAGGTAGCTAGTAGTCAGCACGGTGAAGAACAAGAAAAGGGGAATGGGAATGGATCAAAATAACCCACAAGGGGAGATTGTTTTTTTTTTTTTCTTTTTCTTTTTCTTTTCTTTATTTTTTCTCTTTCCCTTCTTTCAAAATGGGGGAAATGATCGATAGGAATGCAATGGAGGAGGGTCATCAGCACTCACCGTAAGGATGTTTGGAAAAGAATGCGCGCGGAGCAAGAGGATGAAAATGAATAATGGATGGTGGGATTCAAGCTCTGCACCATGGGAAGGTGCTAATAATAAATGGTCCAACCTGGGTCCGCGCACGAAGGGACAGGAAAAGGGAAGGAAACGAGAAAGGGTGACGATGATAAGAAGTCACGGTGGGAAAGCACCTGAATGCCCAGGACGGGGGTTTCGGGGGGAGGGAGGAATTCAGGAATCCCAACCCATCGATCAATCAAATTAAAACCCCCAATCCAATAAATAAATCGAATAAATCGAATAAATCGAATCAAAAATCAGCAAAAAGGAGCACAACGGGAAAGAAAGCAGAGGACGAAAAGGGAAGCGGAGTAAAAATACCACAGTGAGGATACTGTGTAATAATGATGGGGCACGACTGGGGGGGCAGTAGTCAAGCAAGCAAGTAACCACTCCAAGTGGGCATTTTGAAGATGCAGCGGAACCGCCGGTTCAGCTTGACGGAGGGATGGAGTGATGGAGCGATGAATAATAAGAGCGAACGACGATCCTTTGGCGGGTTTGGCCCTGCCAGCGTTCCCGTGACGCCTGCAAACAGGGCGAGTGAAAATTTCCATTTGATCGGTACAGTATTTTAAGACATCCATGATCGATTGTTCGATCGGGGAGGGACAGCCTGAGAGACTGGCCGTCGTTTTCCAACAATTGAAAATCGTCGGTATGAAATGATGCTGTCACACCAAATGCCGAGACGCTCGCTGATTCGCCGATGGCCCTTCGGTGATTGTCCATCGCTTTGTTCCCATCTTTTTTTATTGATTTTTATTGATTTTTAATTTTATCTTATTTTTAATTCTCTTAAAATATTCTGCGAGGCATCGAACGGCCGGTGCTCAGATCGCAGAAATGCCTTTCGCTGTCGGCCTCAAGTTCTCAACTCTCACGGCATCCTTTCCCCCCCTCCAACACCCCGGACTACGGGTGGTTCGATCCAGATTGGCTTCTCGTCCTTGCCAATGATCGAATGAGAAAACAAAGAAATCCTAAGTCATGAATGGAACACACAAAGGAAAAAGAAAAGAAAACCCGACCGCCCGATCTCGATGCAACCTATGACCCTGCGCCTCTCGATCCCCATGCACTTGAAAGCGGCCACATGTCCCGGCATGACAAACGCTTGGCCGGTGGAGCAACACTAGCATCCATGAGAGGGGCGACTAAAAAAGCTGCTGAGAACCTGAGAATGAGATTGACTTGGTGACTACGGAGTACAGATTGGCTTCGAGCTAGCTAGACCAATAACAGAAGGAGCCGGCCATGGTGATCCCATGTCTTTGTCTTACAAACAACGAGCTTCTTTCTTGTCTCCACGCCCCGACGATGGTCGCAAAAGACGGTGGGCGGTTTAATCTAAACGGTCCCTGCTACCAGCCGTCTTGCATGCAGCATACGAGTGCGGAGTAGAAGGAAAGGTCAAGAGACAAGGACAAACCCTCCTAGCGAGTCAGGCCGGCCGGTGCGTTCGATCGCGTCGTCGATGGGGTGAATTCCTGCGAAGTCTTGAATATTGGGCCCGGTCCTTTTCCCACCGATCGAGACGGCATTTGATCGGCTCTGCCTCCTCCGTACCGGGTACCCAAAAAGCACAGTGCCTCCTCTATCCTGCACCAGGAGGGTTGTTAAATCTCTTGGGCAGATAGGTGCTACCATGTGGGTGCGTACTCGAGGTCTTGCTGATCTGACGGACGAATCATCGATGGGTCCAATCCTGTCAGCAACTTTAACGTTGAGCTATTCTGTAAGGCTTCCAGTGGTGAACAATCGGATTGGTCGACGAAGCAACGCAAGACTATTTTACTGCTGTGTATCGACCATCCTCAGTGCACAAAATCAGTTGTCCAGGACGACCAGTCGGCCTATCGATCCTACCACATCACTTCTATAACATGCCGTAATAACGCTCGCTCACCTCACTTTTCCTTGCCGTGATCGCCGACAGTGAGGATCAGACCACCTTCTTGCTCTGGCGGTCATCATGGATGTCGGTTGGGCCATTCGGCCGGTATGTACCTCCGCGTTCTAGCCAAAGACCTCTCTGCCTGCTTTGGGTGGATTTATAATCCACTCCGTCTACCAATCCGTCGTTTGCGCGCAAGAGCGAGGTCAGACTAAACGGAAGTCCAGGAAAATTCTCGATCCAACTAGGAGAGGGCTTGCATATGCTACCTCGGAAGCCACTCCGAGGCCATAGTTATCCTACCCTCCTTTCCCGTACTGATTGCTGGGTAGCTTAGTGGCGGTTGCCTTTCATCTGTCCCCTGGCCCGTACTTTGTATCGTTTCCGTACCTGGATCCTGGAAATCGGTGGTTTTATTTTTTTTCTTTTTCTCCCCCTTGTCCTTCAATTTATCCCATCTCAGCACTCAGGGCGCCGCGGACTTTTTATGTCCTTCCCCTCCGTCATGCACGGGAGACCTCTTCCGATTCGTCTCCAGGGTCTCTTTTAATAGTATCGCGCATCCCGGTCGCCTGGAACCGGGTTCTGCGTCCTCATCTTGGGTGCGAAGAGGCCATTTAACTACTAGAAGCCAAGTTACCTGGTGACAGCGGGATCCGGTGAAAGGAACAACAGCGATAATCCACGATAGGGAAGGATTTCATTACTGCGTGTGATCGCATTACAGATAATCCCCCCACTTGACTATTTTCCTTTTTTTCCTTTTTTTCCTTTTTTTTTATTGTTTTAATTTTATTTATATTTAAAATTTTTCCCTGGTGGCCTTTTTGCTGCTGTGTACCACTTACCTTGCAGTCTTTGATACTTACCGTTTTGTCAATCCAGCAGGACCCTTGCTGGCGACTATCCAAACCATCATCTATCATCTGGGACTCTTATCATCCTAGCACCAAGCAGATCGGGCATTTACGTCGGGAAATTCTCGGTCCAGCGTCTCCCAAACCCCCCAATTCCCGCATACCCACCGAATACCTGCCTGTCTGCCTTCGCAATGCGTGCGACTGCCCAAAGGACCGACGGGCTTAAGGTACCTAGGGAGGTCCCCGCGGCTGATAGGCACGGTAGCCACCCAACGAAACACGTAATGATAGCGCCGATGGGGTCAGATCAACTTCATGGCCGATTGCGAAATTCTCCTGGCTTTCTCCGACTCGGCTACTCTGTCTAGTACGCAAATGGCAATTATCACCTACAGACAAGACTCCACCTGAACTGCCCGGCGAACCAGTACTGCACCTTATCCCTGATTGATTCGACCGTCACCACTCACCACCGCATAATTGATTTCAGTCATTCAGCGAGGTGGGCCTAAAAATTATCTAGGCCGCAGTACTAGGTACTCCGTACGTACGGCTATGACGTGGGGGAGCTAGTTCCCGGTTCTCTTCGAGTAGATTGCTGGATGGAGGTACGCAGTAAGTGAAGTACCCAGCTTGTATCCGATACCCAAGGGAGTTCGAAAATCCCCCCGGTCAATATTCAACAGGCATAATCCAAATCATGAGAAGAAAAACACAAAATAAAAAATAAATCAATAAAAGAAGAGAAAAGAGAGAAAACCCCCCAGCGGGGCGGACCAAGCCCATTCGATGACAGGCCGCCAATTGGCAAAAGTACTCCATTTCGACCGTCTCTTGGCGGGCACTTTGTTGCAGGCCCTGAAACTTCTTCCCACCTACCGACTGCCACCGACTTATCGCGTCACTCACTGGCTGGGTAAATGCGGTGGCTGCCGTGCTTCTTCTGCATTGTCCGTTGCATGGGTTGCGTTCGCTCCTGTCGTTGGCGAGTGACGCCGTGGGCTTAATTTCTCTTTTTCGTGTTTTTTCAATTCCCACTCTTTCATCTTTCTCTCCTTTTTTTTTAGAAAAAAAATTAATATTTTCTTATTAGTCTTTTGACATCCACCCTACAATTTTTCGTTGAGAAGAGGGGAAACCGAAGGGGATTGAAGGCTGTTGGATCCGGCCTATCGATCAGACCGACATGGGTTCTCCGGTGGACACCCGGTGATCCTGGCGAATTTAGTGCCTTAAAGCGCGAGTGTTATTGCGCTCTCCCCATAGGGGTTCGGATCCATCTGGGAGAAGCGACTTGACAGCCTCTACCTTCTTTCCTTGCAAAATTCTACGACGCCCTTTGTACACTCTGTACTTCTCCGCCTGGGCCTGTCCGATAGGTACCTAGATCCACCGACAAGCCTAAACACTAGGTACTCTACGCCCGGACTATGCGTATGACATTTTCGCTGTAACTCGTCCGGTTAGGTTCATCTTGTCTACTATTTAGCTCGCTCGCAAGAGAGTATTATCGACTCCTACTCGTGACCAGGAATTTCGCCCTCGCTTGATCGTATACGGCGTATATCGTCGTCCCCTAGTAACCACGCAGAACGCATATAACCGTCTATGTATCTGCCTAGGTGCCTCATTTGTGCGCGCTCGTCATCGGCCGAACGATGACTGCAGGAGTTAGATCGGATCTCCACACCCGGGGGGGTGACTCGACTGACTGACCGTTTGTATTACCTCCTATTCGCATTAGTATTCCGTCGAGGAGTCGTACAGAGAGAGTACAGAGGATACTAAGATTAGCCCTGGGACGTTTGAACGTTTGACACGGGGGGGTGTTTTTTTTTTTTCTTTCTTCCTCCCGTGGATCCCCGCGAATCGACTGCATTGGCTCCCTCGGGGTTGGTTTCTGGAATGTAGTACCTTACCTACCTTACTCTACCTACTCTAAGGTACAGCCGACATTTACAGGCCTCGCGTAAGTCCCTAGTGCAGGCCGTGTATTAACGACAGGGGTGAATGGCATATGATGTCGTATTAGTGAAGTCCATACGCTGTACGCAGTATGCCAATATTATAATCAAAAAATAAATGAATAAAAAAGCATGGTTAAACTACGCGGCAATATAGTAGACCGTCTTATATGCTAGAGTGTACTAACGTATAGTACATTATAGTATAGGATAGGAAGAGCAGGAGAGGCTTTCCGTAGGTACAGTACTTCAGTCTCGTCTCTCTGTCCGTCTCCGTCGCGGATAGTAGGCAGCGTATGTGCGGTGCTTGCTGCATGACCACCACCCCCCGGTCCAGAGAACCCCTGTCCCCTGTCAGCGTACGGAGTACCGTTCTTTATCTCGGTCCTTCGATCTTCGGGGATTCCGGTGTCCAGCAGATGGATGGATACCTAAGTAGGGGAGCTGAGGGTGACGCTGTACTACTACCTACTACTCAGTACTACCTGGTACGACGTACTACATCGAGGACACTACTGTCTGCTGTGCATGACTGCGTCTGCTGTCAATCAAAATCATGTCATGGGTACGTCGTAGAAGTAGGTAGGTAGCTAACTGTAAGTACGAGGTAAAAATGTCTATCATGGGGCTGGGCTGGGGACCTTTTTTTTTTTTTTTTTTGTTCTCTTACTCTCTCTCCCTCTCCCTTCCCCCCCCCCCCCCCCCCCTGTTCCGCTCTGCAGCTTAACAAGGATTATATCCGGTCGATTTTCTCTCGTCGCCCGTCCGCCCCTCTCTCTCAACCTTCTCTCTTCCGCCTTCCCCGTTCCTTATTTTTTCCCCATTCACTCTAAAATTAAAACCCCCGGGGTCCTACTGCCTTCGCGGCCCCTTTACCCTTCCAGCCGGTACTCCGTAATCGATGACTGCCAGCACGTCCGCCCCCTGCAGGCATATCATCACCGAAGCCCGACGGGAAGGTCGGTCCGCCTCTCAATCCGTGGAGCTGCGACGCCTCGTCGCTCTTGAATCCTTCCCCGTCGTCTAGGGTGGCGCGCCAGAGGGTCCGAAGCGATGCGTTCCACTCCTCCAGAGATCGTAGTCGATCCACGTCGCTAGTACTCTCCACTACCACGGTTCCACTCTCTTGGTCGATTTTGGCGTTGAGCTTCTTGTCAAGGATTAGGAAGCTAAGGATATCCTGGACTTCGGGCACCGAGATTTTGATGTGCTTGGAAATGAAGCTGAGCGAAAACCGGGTGTATGGCGCGATGAGTTTGAGGACGGCCTTGGTTCGCATGTTCCGGCTCACTTCGTCGATGTTCTCCGCAATGAATGGGTCCGCTAGCACGTCGGGGTTTTTGCTAAGGATGGCTTCGTAGGCGTGGATGTCGTCTCGTTGGAAGGCGTCGACCAGGTCAGTCATGGCGGAGATACGCGGGTCGCTCTTATAGGGCTTGGTCTCTTGCGAGTAAAACGGGTTGATGTCCGATTTCATCAGCATGGTGGTCAGCACGAGGTACTTGAGCACCTGGATCCGTTGCATCGAACCCGCCTCGTCGTAATTGCGGAATGATTCGAAAAAGTCACTCTGCGCCTCCTCCCAGTTCTCCTCGCTCATGTGCATTTTGCCTCCACACTCTCGGATGATCCCCATGATCTTGGGGTGCGGCACGGCGGACCGCACGCGAAGCGCACGCTGGTACAGAGCCTTCAGCCGTTTGTTGTTCTTCGTCTCCGCATACATTTGAATCTCGAGCGCATATAGCTCCAGCAGGTAAGTGCCCTTACTCGGGTCGTCCGATCCGTCTTCGCGTTGACATGCTCGATGTAATTCCCGCACCTTCTTACTCAGTTGGCCGTATTCCTTGCGCTCCAGCCAGAGGCGGGCGAGTTTGATGTTTGTTTTTAACCATAGGCGCTCGTTATTCGTGTTCTGGAACGAGTGGAGGGTCAACGAATAGAACTCTTCCATGCACTGGTAGGCTTTGTCGTCGTCCGAGCCTTTCTCGATGTAGTCGAGCATGTTGTTGATGGACTTTTCGGAGTAATTCCGCGTAACGGCCGACTTGACGTAGGTAAGCAGTTCCCTGTAGTGTTCGACAGCCTGGACAACGGTCAGTATAGCACCAAGAGCGACATGTCGACCGGAGGAGAAGCATACATCGCTGTACCGCCCGAGTTTGAATTCCAATTTGATGGCTTGTTTGAGACCTTTGAATCCCCTACCGGGCCATCAGTATTGGGGCTATGATTCACGGGCGTGGTGATGTTCATTTACCAGTCGCCTTTCTCCTCCTCTAGCGGCGGTACCCCTAGAAACTCCACGATCGCCTCCTCCGGGGAGTCTATCTTTATTTGTTTGGCATTGTAGTATTTGTTTTCGATCCCAACGTCGCCGGACTCGTCGTCGTCCGCATCTTCGTACTCGAAGTCGTACCTATGGATCGGGTTCGGTTAGAGCGCCTCTCTCCATCTATTCAGGGTGTGTAGAAGGGGCGGGGGCGGCGTACTCCTCGTCACCGGAGTCTTGCATGAAATCGTCATCGTCCGACATTGTGGGGGTTGCGGAAGACTTTTCTCGCGGGTATCGGGCTGTGTCGATTATCTAGCGGTAACGAGGGATTCCAGATCCTCGGTGCAGGTAAGAATAGTGGCGAGTCGGGGGGACAGTGGTCGACAGATGGAGGCAGGCGAGACGCCGTACAGGAGGGAAGGTCGATAAGTCGCAGCAGAAGCTCCCGCGCCTATCGGAGGCTCCCGACTTACTTTCCCCGCTTGCCTGCCACGACCGATGGGTCCGACCGTCCAGGGCGACCTGACAGGGGGCTTTACGTGGATGGATTCACTGCTCGGTGCTGCTATTGTTATTGTTGGGGAAAAGACCAGTGTTGCCACTATTCTTGGTGCTACGTTTGTCTAGATGGCCTTATTTCCCAGGTGCCTGTGTTGATATTGGAAGAATAGAAGAGAGGTCCAGGCTACAGTAGATCGATCACCAAGTAGGTAGTCACGCCTGGACGGAAGAGTGAATCCGAACTACACCGTATGCTCAGTGCCCTCCTCACTTCCAGTATCTCTATTTCTGTCCTGACCCCTGGCGTTGAAACGTCGATGTGCCCCGTAGAACCACCCGTTGGCGTAAACGTCATGCGTTCTTTGTTTTATATATTGCGCTAGGTCGATGGAGACCGCCATGCCGCGGGTTCCAAGAAACGACCCTCAGGAGGAAATGACAGCCTCCTGGGGGACTTCTATCACCTCAGACACACACATGGCAGACTTTCCGACCGCAGCCGATGGAATACGGTGTCCTGTCTTTGGGCAGAAGACGGAATGCCAGAGCCTCCAAAGCAGGCACGGGAGGCGAAGGCCCTTGGCAGATGACGATCACCTTATTCGCTGATCCTTTTCAGGATCCGATGACATCGACCCTGCACGGCCCACGACTTGTCCTTCTCAACCACTTTCATCTCCTCCTGATTTTTGGGATCTTCCTGACCCTCCCCGATTTATCCTTTACGACCGCGTCTCCCTCGTGACATACGATATATACCTATATCACCCTATATACCCATCCGCCCGAGCTGAATCGCGCCGACCCCCTTCTCTTATCGCATACTCGACCAAGCGGCTTCTCGCCGATTCTCTTCCACAATGGACCTGTGCGGGCGTCAAAAAGTTGTTCGGCGCAAGATGGTGCTGCTGTCAGTGATCTCTACGACCCGATGATAATACTGGATGAACAGCGTCTGACTAGTACTGTTAACAGAGGCGATGGAGCTTGCGGCAAGACCTCGGCCCTGAACGTCTTTACGAGAGGGTGGGCAACTCCCGTTTCCCCTCCCTGCTGTCGACAAGCCACTCACTAACTTCTGACGCCCAGATACTTCCCAACAGTCTAGTAAGCATCACCTTCCTCGGCAGTGGGTGTCGACCGGTATTTGCGATATTAACATTTGCTCTCATCGCATAGTGAGCCTACTGTCTTCGGTACGCGCGTTCCCCGGGCTGTGTTGATTCTACTTGCTAACGATCTCTTGTTCTAGAAAACTACGTCCACGGTAATTGATCCACACTCCAGGGCGCTTGCAACGTATGCTTATGCCTGCTAGATATTTTTGTCGATAATGTGCACATGGAATTATCGCTCTGGGACACGGCGGGCCAAGAAGAATTCGACCGACTGCGTGCCCTGTCTTACGAAGACACACACGTCATCATGCTGTGCTTTAGCGTGGGTGCTTCTTTACACTTCGCCTCATTCTCGGAGTACATGACCTAATCCCACTTTCAATACAGGTTGACAGCCCTGACTCGTTCGAAAACGTGGCAAGCAAATGGGTGGACGAAATATCGGAGAACTGCCCGGGTGTCAAGCTGGTCCTGACGGCGCTCAAATGCGACTTGAGAAAGGATGAGTTCGAAAACAACAACGCAAACGCCATCGCGTACGAGCACGGTCTAGCCAAGGCCAAGGAGATCGGGGCCGTGAAATACCTGGGTAATAATCCTTGTTTCTGGTGTATTGATGAGCAACGCTGATGTGATGATAGAATGCTCTGCCGTCCAGAACCGTGGCATCATGGAAACCTTTTATGAAGCGGCCAAGGTCGCTTTAGAGGTGAAAGCCCCAGGGTCGACCGCATCTAAGGGAGGATGTGTCATCCTTTAAACATTTTTTGGCTATTTTCAGGTTTTGGAGGGTATCTGTCGGCCGCCTTACTTCCTTTTTCTTTCCTATACCCATATTGGTTCTTTGCATTCCACAGCGGACAGCTCTGCACCTTCGCCGGGCAGAGCACAGCCTTATGTTCCTGTGACACTTTAGCCTGGTGGTTTTGCTTCTTTTTTTGGCTCTTTCTCTTCTTTATACATACTTTTGCTGGGCTCTCCTTATAATCTTTTCATCCTCGGCGCTGTCATTCAGCGACCCCTGCAGAAGTCACCGGTTTCTGGTTCGAAGTACTTCATACCTACAATTGGCACTCGATTGGATCAGTTCGTGAATCGAGACGATGATTGAATTTCGCTTACTATATTTCCTATAGACAATCACATGTACCATCTACAACGATGACTTCTAATCACTTGCAATATCCTTGCTTCTCTATGTATTTTTAATATGCCGATGGCACCCAATGCCTGAACTCCGATTCCCAGCTTTTATAGATCTATGTACACATCTAAACAACCAGCTCCAGATTAATCCCTAAACCACTCACTCACGATCCCCAATCAACTCCTCTTCCCCGACATTATACACCTCGTCCACCTTCTCCCCCGTCGCACTCCCCCCGCATGCAAAATCAGCATTCAACCGCCTCACAAACGCCTCCACAAACCCACCCGCCACCTCTCCCACCTCGACACCCTTCACCCCCAACCCCTGCAAACTCGTCGCCTCCCTCCCCTCCAGTCCACACGCCACGATCTGCCTAAAATACCACATCGGCTCATCCGTCACGTTGAACCCGATCCCGAACGAGCTGATATTCCGCCGCAGATGCACCCCCACCGCCGTGATCTTCCTCGGCAATCCCGTCGCCGTCTCTGTCGCCGGTTGCACCCACACCCCCGGGTCCTCCGTCACTTGACCCTGCACGCCGTAGCCACGCAGCACATCAATCACGCTGTTCTCGAGCAGCCGGATATGGCACCGCGGCGTCAGCCCTAGACGTCGCAGATCCAGCACCGTGTATGCGACCATCTGCCCGGGCCCGTGGTAGGTTGTTTGCCCGCCGCGCAGCGTGGGGTGGTACTCTGCTGTTGGGGGGGAGGTGTTCGGGCTGGAGCCGGAGCCCGGTGCGGTGAGGAGGGAACGGATCGGTTCGAGGGACGGGGGTAGCGAGAGCGACGGCGTCGAGGGACAGGTGTTTGAGGGGGGGAGGTCGCGGCGGCCGGTCGTGTAGACGGGGTTCGGGGTGAAGGTGATGATGGTGGGATCGGGGGGCGGGGAGGTCGGGTGCGCCGTCTTTTTGTACGCCAGGAGTCGGCTGGTTAGTGTTTGTTGGAGGGTCGAGACCCGTGTGAAGGAGGTGATGGAGGGGATGTGGAGGTGCGCGAGTCTCATTGTGTTGTAGGTGTTGGTTTTCTAGGAGGTAGGTTGTGGTTGTTGAGATTGAGATGAATTGGTTGGTGGGTGGGTGGGTGGGTGGGTGGGTAGAGTCAATGAATGAGATGAGTGAATAGGTATTGCTAGCGCATGCCTCTATGCGATGCTCTGTCAATTGGGCGCAGGACAATGGGATTTGGTGAAGAATAGCTGTGTTGAACGGGATTGGACTTGGGTTCCTTAGTGCTTGTTAGTTCCGATCGGATTTCCATGGACGTCACCGGCCCAGAGGGATCATGTGATCTATGCCCGGGGTATGGTCTTTTTTGACCTTGCAATCTGATGATTGATAAGTGATTCTGTTGTAAACTAACTACTTCTGCTCACTTGGTATAAGCAGTCTGTGTGTATATGATAATCCTCGTAGTTCTGTATACCCTATGAGGTCACCACCGCCCCCAAGACTCAGTTCCGCAGTTTCCGCAGTCGCCTGGATATTCAATTTGTTGGTCAAACGAATATCAAACAGTATCAGTATGATATGTATGATATTTCGAATACAGGTAAGAGAAAATTGCACAACACTCATAAATTCATGATATCCTTGCTTGTCCCTATAATGACAAGGTTGAAAGAGCAGATCCCAGAATGAAGGATGTCGAGCACCCGGTCCAGAACCTCCAAAAGACCCTATATAATACAAGAACCTAAGCATCCAACGTTCCATTGACCAAAGGTGTCTGTTCCTCGCCTTCCCGGACCACCACCCAATCCCGGACACCTCCCTTCCAGTCCGCAATCCGGCCCTCGCGGACTCGAACCGTCACAACACGCACGTCGCTGTCTATCGACACGCTGGTGCGCCGTTGGCCAAGTTCCTGCTGCTGCTGTTGCTGCTGACCAAACAGACCCATTTCCTCCTCGAAGGTGTTGTTCTCCAGATGCCGCTCCTTGCACCAGGCTTCTTCGTCGGAGCCGGGCTCCGGGAAGCGGGCGGCGCCGGTAATGGTGGTGGAGATGCTCGAGAGCGCACTCGTGTTGAGGTTGAGCAGCAAACTGGCCAAGGATGACCGCGTCGCCGCCGGGGGAGGGGATCCCTCGCGTTCGCCGGCGTTGGAGGCTCGGGTGGGCGGACGATGGGAAACCCAGTCATGGACCAATAGGGAAACTCGGGGGTTGGTCAACAGATGATTGGTCTTGCGCGAGGACGGGTTGGTGGTCATGATAATGGTGGGATAAGGGTCGAAGGGTGTCGAGGGGAGGTAGGTATATGACATGAGGGAGATGTGGGGGGTCAGGTCATCACATGTTGCGAGATGGAGCTGAAAGATGCAACCGTTAGTTTGTGTGTATACTTAAGACAGCTCATATACCCCAGGGAAAAAACATACAAACCGAGAGTTCTTCAAACACGCAATGACCTCGGGAGGAAGAGTAGTTGCGACGTGGGGGTGGGTGGTGGTGGCCGATGCCTCATAAGAGAGGGGAGGATTTACAGAGTCGGTCATGGCGCTGGCGGAGGAACTCAAAAGAATCCAAATCCAAATGCAAACAAATATAGTTCCGACTCGAGTCTCGCAAGATGTATGATCAGATGACGGGCCGTATGCTCCGACTAGCTCTCGGTCGTGGGACGAAGACGAGGATTCCCTGGTGGAGGGGAAGAGGGAAAGCGGTGGCGGTTCCGATCAGAAGAGCACTAGCCGCTTTAGGCCGCCCGGGCTAGTCCCGATTCGGGCTGGGTGGTCGAGGCCGGATCGCCCGCGAGTCACTCCGGTCGTACTGGTCGACGTCATGGCTGGTCCGGCGGAGGCCAGATCGCTCGTGAATTCACATCTTGACTGGCCGAACAAAGTAGGGGCTACGGTGGATCAATCGAAGGAGGGTTAAGCTATGATAGATGCATACCAGATGGGCAGTGCCAGTATCGTGTTTCATGTCGCGATCGCAGAGACAGGGCTTTCGTCATCATGGCTTCAGGAATGGAGCAACGCGCAATGATGATCGACAAGGAACAAGGGTTATCCACAAATTATAGAGCACAGGGTTGAGCATCCGGACTATCGTCGGCCATTGGATGGTGTCATAGGCAATAGTCACCCTACGGGCGCGTCCTGGCGCTCCTTTAAGTACCGCCCCGTGACCGCAACGGCATAACCTCAGGCTGCTTCCCCGCACTTCCCGGTCCCAGCTTTCCCCAGCTTCCGTCGATTACGCTGCCATCTCGCGTTTTGTCCTCTCGTCCATTGGCCTTTCGTTTCTTCATCTCCTCAGTTCGTCCACTACCCGTGTACATTATCCGACCGTTGGCAGGGACTTTGTCTTCTCCGATTGACCAATCTCCCTAAGATTACTGGTTGTTGCTGCCACAGCGACTCTCGGCTCCTCTCTTCTGCAGCAGCCTTTCCATTCTAGCCGTCTGGTCAGCCCATCGACCTCACCCCTGCTGGCTGTGTCGCCCTCGCTGCTGTTCCTCCTCCCCCCTCCCTTTTCGGAACCCCTCCTGTACCTCTTTAACCCGTTGTTAACCTACTGCGCTCGGAATTGCAATTTTCTTCTTTTTTGTGTCGCTCGTCCCCTTTGAAACCTCGGTCTTTAGATCGCCTGAGATTTGTTACGATAGACGCTTGTTCTCCCCATCCCTTTGCAAATCTGTCCTCTTCCCCCTTGGCTGTCTCTTCGGGCGCACGGATTGATTGAGTTACGATCTCCTGTTTACGATTCAATACGATGTTTTTGTCACGCGCTGCCCGACCGGCGTCTTCGCTGGTCCGACCCTTCACCTCCTCTGCCACTGCCTATCGTTCACCCTCCATTCGTGACCTAACCCCGAACTCGGCGGAAGAATTTAGTGCTCGCCAGAAGGAGTTTCGCGAGAACTTGGAGGCGGCTCGCAAGCAGCGAGAACAGCAAGAGAGTCAGTCTGTCGATGCTTCTGCTTCTGATTCTACCTCATCCCCTATCTCCCGTGATCGCCTTCGTGAGTACGCCACCGCTCCCACTGCTCCGCATGCGAGCAATGCGAGCAGTAACAATGGCCGTGCTGTGTTTGATGCCGCCGATAGTCTTGACCAGAAGGGATTGGGCTCACTTTCTTCCCACCGCTTTCTAGGAGACGAACAACTGCTGGATTCCTCGCACTCTCCCAAGCGCGGTCCCTTGTCCTCCCTGATATACGGAACGAAGGAAGGCCAACAGCTCGACAAGGACATCGAGCGGTCGTTTTCGCAGGTTCTGGCTCGCGGCAAATACGTCCACTCCATCGTCTTCCACGAAGTGAAGCCCGACAAAGTCGACGAGTATGTTGACCTCGTGGGCCAGTGGTATCCCCGGATGGCCGGCACCGAAGAAAACAGGGTGAATCTGGTCGGAAGTTGGCGCACTCAGGTGGGCGACAACGACACTTTTGGTAATTGCACTCGAAAACACCCCCTTTTCTCTTTCGAAGCCTTCATGTCGTAGGCTAACGGGCGTTCCATCTATAGTCCATATCTGGGAGTATCAACGATACGAGGGCTACCATGCCTCCCTTCACAACATTTCCGAACACCCCGAGTTCCCCGAATTCGATCGGAAGTTAAAGAGCTTGATCAAGAGCAAGAAGACCTCGCTGATGCAGGAATTCTCCTTCTGGCCGACTACTCCGCCCAGACGTCTGGGCGGACTTTTCGAACTTCGGTCCTACACTCTGCATCCCGGAAACCTGCTGGAATGGGAGACCCATTGGCGACGTGGGCTTAAAGCTCGCCGCGAAGTCATGGAGGGCGTGGGAGCATGGTTTGTCCAGATTGGGGACTTGAACACTGTGCATCACCTCTGGCAGTTTGCCAACCTGGAGGAGCGCAAGATTCGCCGGGAGCAGTCATGGGGCATCGAAGGCTGGGCGGAGACCGTGCACAAGACCGTGCCTCTCATTCAGACGATGCAAAGCCGCATCTTGGTCCCCATGCCCTGGAGTCCCGTGGGATAGGCGATCCAAGCCCGTCCGATGCTGTATCGATCTGCGGTCACAAGCAAGATCCTCCAATCGCGCCATCCAGCCAGACACGACCAACGTCAGCAAGCTTGGGTTTCCTAGCGCCAGGCCAGAATGAATGAATAAGGGGTTCAAGGAGGACACGAGACTGTCGACGAGCATGGAGAACCCCAAGACTTTTTTGCCGGCGCGAATGTGACGGAGGGTCTCGACCGGACTTCCGATGATGGTCCACGTCCCCTCGTTCATCCTAGTTCCCATTCAGCCATGTAGGGCTCTTAGCGCATCCGATCTAGCATTTAGCATTATTCTTGTCTCATATGCCCAACCCTCCCTGTATCTAGAAATTAAATTGACACTACTCACGTTGCATCGGCGGTAGATTGGTTGACTTAGTTGGCCTTACCCCTCTTTTGGCACGGAGCCTCTCATTTGGTCTTAGCATCGTTCATATGATGCCTCGGATGGATGTCCTCCCCCAATCCCAGCGACATCGTAGACGTGATGCTTTACCCCACTTTCACTGGTGGACTTTTACTGGCGACGATCCCCAAAGGCCGTGTTACTGGGAATGCACCGAAGCCCGAAAAACATGGGTGCCTTCTCCCCCCATCCGACAAAGGAGGAGCAAATGAAACGCCACACGTGGGAGTCGAGTAGGGTCTAGGTTAGCCATTCCCTGCCATTTTTCTCCCTCTGAGGTCACCCTGACACCCCGACGGTGATTGCGGTCGGCGTCTTCTGCAGCTCGTCCCCGCGCGGGAACTCTTTAGGGCCCCGTTTTTTGCCGGGCAGAAAACTAATAATAATGGCAATTCATAATAAATACTAAAAAATTTTGGGACTAATGGGGAACATCAACAAGACTCCATCTCCTCTTCCCCAACGTGTTTTTCCCTTTTTCTGTTCCTTTTCTTCCTTTCTTTGGCTCCCTCTCCCATCCAGTCTTTGGATTCGCAACAACCCGACCACTCCTCTGACTTTGCCCCCCTTGCACCTCCTGGCTTTGTCTCACCGTTTCACGGAGATTTCGCGCCTCACTTTGAATCCATTGACAGCTTGGTGTTCCCCGTAAAACCAAAACAAAGGAAATCGTCCTTTTCTCTCCCCAAGCGCCCACGTATCCTGCAGGACTGCGCATCCGAAAAGAAAGGACCCAGCACACCAGACGCAAGATGGTGTACATCCGCCAGCATCAACTCCCCAAACTACGGGAATATCGTTATGCGGGAGTCGACCATTCGTTAATAAGCCGATATGTCCTGAAGCCGTTTTATAATCACTTTGTGATCAAATGTTTCCCTATGAGCATGGCGTGAGTAGTGACGCCAGTCTGCATATCATTTATTTTCCCCCATGAGTGTTGGCTAACGGCCTTTCTCTGCTTTTAGTCCCAACGCTGTAAGTTGCGAATCCACCGCCGGATCGGTCTGTCCGTGACGATGTGAATAACCGAGGACCGGTAGATTACCCTGACAGGGTTCTTTTTCGTGGTAGTCAACCTCTTGACCATCCTTTGGTATAACCCCAACCTAGACCAAGATTGCCCGCCGTGGGTCTATGCCAGTTGCGCCTTGGGGTTGTTCTTATATCAAACCTTCGATGGAGTAGACGGAATGCAAGCGTATGATCCCCAATGCAACCACTTTTTGGTAGACGGAATGCTAAGATGTGTTGCCATGCAGCCGGAGAACTAAACAGAGCGGACCGTTGGGCGAGCTGTTCGATCACAGTGAGCATAACCGAGCGCCTTCGTTTTTAGGGAGAGTGCTGGTGTTAATACTCTCATTTTCTTTCCTGCAGGTGTCGATGCATGCAACACTGCTCTTGGTGTTTTGATATTCGTGGCAGCAATGAACCTTGGCCAGTCGTGGTCTTCGATTCTGACCCTTTTTGGATGTATGCCATGTAAACCTGCCGTGACCGACTTTCAGATGACTGACCCAATCTAGCCACCATGACCTTCTATGTCCAAACATGGGACGAGTACTACACCCAGGTCCTGACCCTAGGTATCATCTCGGGCCCCGTTGAGGGAGTGTTGACTTTGTGCATCGTCTTCGGATTCACGGCCTACATGGGCGGCGGTAGCTTCTGGCACCGCCCAATGCTCGAGACTGTGGGCGTTCCGAAGTTGGATTTCATCCCGGAGCAGGTCTACGACATGCCCTTTACGCAGTGGTACCTAGTCTACGGCGCCTTCGTTCTGTTCTTCGCTACTGGCTCGAGTATTGTGCACGTCATGAAGGTCCGCAAGGAACGTGGTCAAGACCCCTTCCAGCCGCTACTCGGCCTCCTGCCCCTTGTTGCGACGTGGACTCTTGTTCCGGCTTACTTGTACCTCCAGCCCTTCATCCTGGAAAACTACGCCATCCCATTTATTCTGTTCGTCGGCCTGGTCAATGCGTACTCCGTCGGAAAAATGATCTGCGCACACCTCGTCAAGGCTAGCTTCCCGTTTGTCAACGTTTTGCTTTGCCCGCTCGCTTTGGGTGTGCTCGATAGCGCCGGACCAGTCTTTGGTCTCTGGCCAAGCGTCCTGGGCGATGGGTCCGGCCAGGTTGCTTTCGTTTTCGTGTGCCTGGGTCTGTCGATTGGTGTTTATGGCAGTTTTATTGTGAGTGGCGAATTCTCCATCCTAGTTATCCCTCCCATGACTGACTATCGGACAGCACGACATCATCACGACGATATGCGATTATATTGATATTTGGTGCCTCAGCATCAAGCACCCTTACGTCGAAGGGGCGGAGACCGCCAACGGAGATGCGTCGAAGAAGTCCCAGTGATTTGCGCAGAATGCGCATGTAAACTACGCGAGAACCACCACGGCTCCCTATAAAACAAAAACGGTGCTTGAAAGACCTAATACTGGAGCGGCATATTTCGAATTTCAGTCGCCAAATTTGCAATGTACATCAAAGCGTTGAAGCGGGTTGGTTTTATCTTTTTGACACAAAAAAAAGGAGTCGAGAATCATATGTCCGAGACATAACATACAGTGCCGTGATGGCGACATAAGTGGGCTGGAGATCCCTTATGTCGTTCATGTCTGATGCCTTAATACGTTGGGTTAGCGATATAGAAACCATGTCAGATGCAAGACACGCGATTGCTTTGTTTGTTTTGTTATGTCTTGTTGCGCTTTGCTTTTTGCTTTCTATTTCGTTCTCTTTCGGTCTTGTTCATTTCTTTGCCACCTTGCGAGATGTTTCTTTTCCTTTCTCCTCTCTTTTACGCAGTTTATGCAGTCCACCAGATAATGTGCTAAGATAGAAAACGTTAGATGATTGAAGATAGTTCACCACGAAGCAAGATTCTTCTGGAAGCGTCGGGATGATGTCTCGACTTCAGTACTTGCAGCAGTCTCTAGAAGTCTAGAGGACCTTCGGGAAGCATGTCATCATATGCCGGGCGCTGATTGGCCGGGCCGCACGCCAGCACGGGGAAGCCGAGTGGGCCCTGCCAAGACTACCCGGAAGGGCAGCGTTAGCGAGGGTTGCAACCCTATTCTCCCCAAACGGGACGGTGGGTGAGGCCCGGCGAGCGAATTCCCTTCAGACTTTGCCATCTCCACGAGAGTACCTTTTCGCTTTTCACCCTTCAAGCAGGCCATCTCCATCAGCGCCATTCTTCAACCTATTTCGCTGATCGACTTTTTGTCTCGTCAAGATGGTAGGTTTTTGTCTGCCCTTTCTGCCTCGACCACATCCTCGTTAGACTCGATCGCTTTACGCGCAGATAGGGCCCTGCTGCTCTGATCTCGTGCTCGACGTCGTCGGCGCCATCGGCTACCTGCAACCCTTCATCTCGGATCACGAATGAGCAAACAAGGAGAGACAAAGGATATGTGCTGATGGATTTCAATCGGATAGGTTCTCGCGGTCGACCTTCTCAACCCTGCTCCTCAGGCTGAGGCCCGTAAGCACAAGCTTAAGGTAAGATGAATTTGATATCAAATTCCGAGTGCCGGCTGTGCATGGGACTAACTCAACGCCCTTAATTGCTATAGACCCTTGTGCCTGCTCCTCGCTCCTTCTTCATGGACGTCAAGTGCCCCGGCTGCTTCACCATCACCACCGTCTTCTCCCACGCCCAGACCGTCGTCGTCTGCGCCGGCTGCTCGACCGTCCTCTGCCAGCCCACCGGTGGTAAGGCCAGACTTACCGAGGGATGCTCTTTCCGGAGAAAGTAGATGTCTCGACGCAAATCAGGCCGAAGCGATGATGAAAGAAATGTGGCGTTCTTCGATAATGGATTAATATGATTCTTTTTGAGCAAATTTAAAAATACTCAGATAGAAGATGGAATCCTTTGCCCATTTGCGAGCAAGACCCCCCCCAAAATACAAAAAAGGTTTCGAAGGGAAATGACCAGGCATCAATATCTTTTTTTATCTTTTCCGCTATACCACCCAAAAAAGCGTGCCCAGTGAACAATACAGGCTTTTTTTTTCTGTTACTTGACAATCGAGAGGGGAGTTCCGGATATCTGGCAAACATTGATCGGTCCATTTACTTCACATCAAGTTTTTGCTTCGCAACTTCTTTCTGTGTTTTCACTATCGAACTATTGTCTTCCTGATTCTGCGGCTCGATTTGCACGACACTTCATATCTCACACATCGACATGTACTTTTTTCCACAATGATTCTTGTTTCCATACAACGACAGGGCAACGAACGGGATGACCACCAAATGAGCACATCAGCGTGAGCTTTGCCGGCCGCAGGGATTCGCATGTCCAGGCTTCGAGAGAAGAAATCCTCCGCCGATGACGACACTGAATGACCGGAGCGGCTGGCAGGGCTGGGAAGGCCGATGTGCTATACGGCTTGGACCACTTGTTAGCAGGCACCTGGCAGACAGACAGCGTGCGTGACTCCTGAGAGGGATAGGGTGGCTGTCTGATCTGGTCCGGACTGTCTGCTATCAGCATCCACCTGGCATCCCCGTGCGCTGTGCAATCGTATCTTGAAGTTCGCTCGATAATGGTGTCCCTGGTAGTTGTAGACGTATCTGAGTAGACATGTCCCAAGTAGCCCCGCTCAACTGCCCGAAAGACTGAAAGGCCTTAGTTTATCTTTTACCCCATACTGTAGACCCACATGCATGTACAATAATAGCCGTGGCGTCATTAGTCGTGGAAATCCTCCGTTGTTCCCAGCTGGGTGAGATGCCAATCAGCTTTCCAGCACAACTGAGTCAATAAATTCATGTCATCGTATTATCAACAGAATCCCTTGGAATCTAGGCAGGTAGTCGGCCCAGATTCCCAACTCCAGGCCATTTCCCTTAGCCGAAGCCAATGCTTCCCATACTCTCATAACCCCCCTCCCCCCAAAACCAAACTAACCCAACCCAAACAAAGAAAGATATCAAGACCCCTAAGCCCCAACAGCATTAACCGCATCTGCCTTCCCCTTCACCTCCTCCCCGAAATCAACCGTCCCGCCACCCGTCATAGCCCCCAGCTTCCCCGTAGTATCGTTCAGCAGGACCTTCGCGAACATGTTCCGGCCGGTGACTTCTTTCATCTGCGCGAGGGCGCCGGGGTCCGAGGCGCGGTACTTGTCGGCGTCGATCTTCTCGAGCATGGAGTGCGTGTTGCGGGCGAATTCGTACATGAAGAAGAGGGTTGGTTGTGGGGAGGGTGGTTGGAGTTGGGGGTGGGATTTGAAGGCTCTATTTTTTTTTTTTGTTATTATTTTTTTCTGGGGTTAGATTTGATATGGGATGGATGGGGAAGTGGTTTTGGGGGGTAAGTTATGTTGTAGGGCTGTTTGTTGGTTGGTTTGTGGTGGAGGGCTGAGGATGAGGGACGTACGAGAGCCATTCGGTCATTTTGGTGTTGAGCTGGTCGATGTTGACGGTCATTTTGGGTGGTAGGTAATTAGACTTTGAGATTGAATTGGACAGATCGATAGTAGGTAGTAGATAGTAGGTAAGAGGCGCTGTGCGATGATCGAGTGCAAAGTAGATGATGAGAAGGCCAAGAGCAAGAAGGCGGGCCGCGGAGTCAACAAACAGCGGGCAGAAAAGTCCGCCGTTATCTTATCGCATCCTCCCTCCGTCGATGACTCCGACCAACTTAGCGCTACGGAGTCCGGACGGTTGATCTCAATTCCTTCTCCCTCTCATTAATCCTCTCTAATCCTTAAAATTACATCCTCTCTCATTACATCCTTCAGGAAACAAACACCTCCCAAACAAACCAGCCAAAATGCCCCCCGACCGCCCCTCAAACTCCTCATGCTGCACGGCTACACCCAATCGGGGCCCCTCTTCCACGCCAAATCGCGCGCCCTCATCAAACACCTCACCAAGGCCTTCGCCCACCACGAAGTCGCCGCAATCTACCCGACCGGCCCCCTGCGCCTCAACCCCGCCGATATCCCCGGCTACGAAGCCTCCGCGCCCACGGAGGGCGGCGAAGAAGCAGAAGCGCCCGAAGCCTACGGCTGGTTCCGGCGGTCCAACACCGCCAACCCGCCGCTCTACATGGGGCTCGAGGACGGGCTGGCGGCCGTCGCGAAGGTGCTGCGAGAAGAGGGCCCGTTTGACGGGGTGATTGGGTTTTCGCAGGGCGCGGCGATGGCGGCGATGGTGGCGGCGCTGTTGGAGACGGGGCGGAAAGATGCATTCGTGAAGGCGAAGGAGAGGAAGGAGCTGGGCGAGGGCGAGGGCGAGGTGTTTGCGTACCCGGCGCCGTTTGAGGGCCTGGCGCATCCGCCGTTCAAGTTTGCGGTGTGTTATAGTGGGTTTCGGTCGCCTGGGGCGCGGTACCGGGGGTTCTATGAGGAGCCGGCGGTGCAGACGCCGGTGCTGCATGTGTTGGGGACGCTGGATGCCGTGGTCGAGGAGTCGAGGAGTCGGTCGTTGATTGAGGCGTGCGTGGGGGATCCGGAGGGCGAGGGGAAGGTGGTTTGGCATCCTGGAGGTCACTTTTTGCCGAGTCAGAGGCCGTATTTGGATGCTGCGGTGCGGTTCATTCGGGAGTCGGTGGAGGAGAAGCAAGGTAAGGCGGGCGAGGAAGAAGAAGATGTGAATGATATGGATTTGCCGTTTTAGAGTTAGATATCCTTGCCTGTCTAGATAGAGATAGAATGTATGTGGCATGCTCTTTGGTACCGTTACGTGGTGATATAAAGTTCGAGTCTTGATAGAGCATGCAGAAGCATTAATCCATTTCTACTATCATATAGTTTTACACGCCATATATTCAGCGCCATGGTCATATCGCCCCATTCGTATCATCCGTTCCTTAACGAGCCTTGCCTTTCTCCCCGCGAGAGGGCATAATCCGGGCCATCATCTCTTCCTTGGTGATCAAGTGGTCGATGCGCTCCAGCAGTCCCAGGAGACTCTTCATGTCGCTACTCCATTCGTTCAGGACGTCGTCGGCATCGCGGGGCTTGGCGAAGTTGACCAGTCGTGCCGGGCGGTCGATCTTCGCATAGATGGTCTTTAACGTAACCAGTTCACTGATGTACTTCTCCGTTTCTTCCTCGGTCAGGTCCAGAAGCTCCGTCAACCGACCCATCTGGATGCGAGTGTAGTACTTGGCGACCACTCGAACGTTATGCTCGATGACGCGCTTGCGGAAATCCTGCCAGCGTCGGTGCGGTTGGTCGTCGGCGGAGTGGCTAGGTTGAGCACTGAAGACATCGGTGTTGCAGAGGTGGGGGCCGAACTGCTCCGAGACCATCGGCCAACGCATCAATTCGTGGATGGTAAACAGCTTGATCAATCGGGCCTCGACAGGAACCGCGGAGAGTCGCGAGTCTTGCTGAATGCGATGGAGCAGATCCGACTGTTCGTTGTCATAGGGAGACAGGACAATGTAATACACAATTCGGGCGAGAACCTATAAACAATTCATATTAGCACAGGGCCATGGGAAGATGGCGACGCGGTAGTAACTTACGGCTCGCAGCTGTTCCGGGTTGTTTTCAACCGACTCGGTATCCAGGACTTCACGGTAATGCTTGCACACCTCCAGGTACTTGTAGTCGTGGTTGGAAAGGACGATCTGCTGTTCGAAATAGCGCAGCTTCAGGTCCGTGACGTCGTCATCAACCTCCATGGGGGCCTCATCGGGACCACGGGTCTTCTCTCGCTCCTCGGCCGCCTTCTTGAGCTTTTCAATCTCCTCGGCACTCTTCTTCGGCTTGCGGGAGAAGTAGCGCTTGTTGATCTTGCGGCTGAGGATGGTGGCTTGCGTCCAGTCGCCACGTTCTATGCAGAGAGCCACCTGCTCCAAAATGAACTCCGTCTTTTCTCTCCGGGTCATGGACCCGAACGTCTCCACCTGCAGCTCGCAAAGAATGTCGGCGGCGGCATTCAGATCGCCTTGGGATTTCTTGATGTTGGATAGGATTCGGGTGACACGGGCTCTCTCGACTTCGACGAAGATCTGTAATCGATGTCATTAACATAAGCTGGAGAAGGGGATGGTTCGTCAAGAGTCACCGACCTTTCCTTCGGTCACAGTCCGCAGAGTCTGGATCACCGACAGCTTCACTTCCATGTTAGGCGTTTCCTCCAGGAATCCCATCACCACCTGCACCATTTTCGTTATGGCCTGTTTGAGTTGGCCATGCTTCTTCGAGAGCAGCAGCACTTGGTCATTGAGGAGGTTCCAGTCGCCGGAGTTCTTGCTGATCGTGACGATAGTGATGAGGATTCGAGACGTAGTGGGCAGGTCGGAAGCCTGTCGGGCGAGGCATTAATCAGCGTGGTACTCGGATGGGAAGGAAGCGCGCTGTATGTCATACCTGTCTTGCTTGTTTCTCGAGGACCAGAAGCTTGTCAATCGCACCCTGCACATCGGTCTATACATCCAGTCAGCATTCAGACCCAGCGCAATAGTACCAAGCGCCTCCAACCTTAGCCAGTTGCTCCACCTCAGGAATCAGCTTATCGGCATCCTTGGAGAAGTCCTTCTCCGGCTTCATCAGGGCACCGTCGGACATGATGACGAATGTAGGACCTCCCGGTCTTGAGGGTATGGACTAGAGATAGAATAGAGAAATTTGTTCCCGAGAAATATGGTGGGTCAAGGAAACGAAGAACTTGAAATGGCGATTCGGATGGAGTAGAAGAGGGCTGGAGATGGAGGATGTGGTCATGGAAGCTTGACGGGCAACGCCAGCTCGAGCTGGCCGAAGCTCGCTCACGTGACATGCGCTCACCGTCCGCCTTCCGGCGTGTCTGTTTACTCTCCTCTGGGGTTATCCTCCTCAACACCACTCTTTCGCATCCGTGTGTTATCCTATTTACATGGGCTTTGAATCACATATGAGGGACGGCCATCTTGACCATGGTTGATTTTTATGGATAATGGCTACCATCTTCTCCATTGGTACTTGGCAAGAACATGTCTTTGCATGCGAGAAGATATCTCTGATTCGTACATGAGACGAGGCTCACTGCAATCTACAGCAATAACTGACCATCCATGCCAAACAAGCATGATGGCAAGGGCTCAACTGCCATCATTCCCTGTCTGGCCGTCGACTTCAATCTGGCTGGCTGTGATGTCCTGAGGCCCCCAGATTAGATAAGCAGCGACCGGCACAATCACGCAATATCGCTTTAACTGCTTTGGGCCGGCAGACAAATGTATATGTAAAAAAAAGAGTCATTCCCACACATTCAAATTGTGAATAATGTGTGTTCTTTGATGAATTTCTTTGAATAATTGCCCCGATAGGCTTATCAGACTCTATCAGTTGCAACTCTGAGGGGAAGAACTCTATTCGTTATCGCCAATTTGCCTCACGTCCAATAACGGTGGCCTTTTTCCGCGGACATCCCAATTACCGCATTCATAAGTGGTCGATAGTCCACGCTCGTTTCTGAAGGCCTGTGGGAGAATAAAACGGCTGTACACTTGCAAAATCATACTGCTTTGTTCACTGCCAAGCAACATCTCTTATCTATCGCAGAGAAATTCGACAACAGTGCGATTTGACTCTTGCGGGGTACGGCAGGATGAGGGATGCATCAAACGATCAAGGCCCTTCGGCACCTTTGCTGATGGCCATGAATGCAGACTCTCAGGTGCATCTCATCATAGGTGCAAGTCCACTTGCTGCGGCTCGTTGTATCAAGAGTCTGGAGGCCGGCGCAAAGCCAATCATCATTGCACCGGATACGGGAGATCTGCAATACACCTTGGCTGAGCGCATAGAAAATGGCTCAGCCCAGTGGGTTCGCAGAGAATTTCAGGATACCGATCTGACTAGCTTGGGGAGAGAGGAAGTTGACCGTGTGGTGGACACGGTCTTTGTCACTCTGGGCGGGGCTCATCCTCTGAGTAGGTCTTGATCTCATGAAACGTGGGCAACATCTCTAATTATTTTGGCAGGTCCTCATATATCCAAACTCTGTCGGCGACTAAGAATTCCGGTTAATGTGTCGGATGCTCCGAACCTTTGCACCTTCAGTCTTCTCTCAACTTACTCGGATGGCCCTCTTCACGTGGGAATCACCACTTCTGGGCGCGGTTGCAAGCTTGCTTCTCGACTAAGAAGAGAAATTGCATCCACACTGCCCCCAAATCTTGGATCCGCAATCGACCGACTAGGATCGGTGCGGAGACGTCTTTGGGAGGAAGACTATGCAGCAGGCTTGTGCGAAGCCTCGCTGGAAGGCGACGAGGATGACTCAACAGGACAGAAGCACACTTTCAACAACCTAGTGACCGAAGATGACGTCTCTGCTGCCAAAACCCGGCGTATGCGTTGGCTGTCCCAGATTTGCGAGTACTGGCCACTCCGCAAACTTGCCGCCATCAACGACTCCGACATCGACAATATCCTCCAGGCGTATTCGTCCACCAAAGATAGCCCCGATGCGTCCAATGGTGTTCAGGACCTGCAAAAGAATGGCAAAATCGTGCTGGCTGGTTCTGGACCAGGACACCCTGATTTACTCACTCGAGCAACATATAACGCCATCCAAACTGCCGACCTCATCCTCTCTGATAAGCTTGTACCAGCACCAGTACTGGAACTGATTCCTCGGAGGACTGAGGTTCATATTGCACGAAAGTTCCCTGGCAATGCAGACCAAGCACAGGAGGAATTTTTGCGAATGGGTCTCGATGCCTTGCGCCGTGGACGACATGTTCTTCGTCTCAAACAGGGTGATCCCTATCTCTATGGCCGGGGAGGGGAAGAGTTTGAATTCTTCCGGAACGAGGGCTATACGCCTCTCGTCTTGCCAGGAATCACCAGTGCGCTGAGTGCTTCATTGTTTGCTGAGATCCCAGCAACCCACCGCGGCGTATCCGACCAGGTTTTGATCTGTACCGGAACAGGAAGAAAGGGAGCGGCCCCGAATCCTCCTACCTATGTGCCGACCCAAACTGTAGTCTTCTTGATGGCACTGCATCGATTGTCGGCACTGGTGGAATCTTTGACGGCGCCGCCAGAAGATGTCTCGCATTCCCGAGCTCTTTGGCCGAAGGACACGCCGTGTGCCATCATTGAACGAGCATCATGCACGGATCAGCGGGTGATCCGATCTACTTTGGAGCATGTTTGCCTGGCCTTTGAAGCTGAAGGCTCTCGGCCTCCTGGTCTGCTGGTGGTTGGGGCCAGCTGCCACATTCTACATCAACCCAAAGATCAAAAATGGGTTGTCGAAGAAGGATTTAAGGGGTTGGATGAGCTACGGCATATTCCCGAGGTGGCTGAGATAACGGAGAAGGAGTAGGGCGTGGAGGAAACTCTGGAACGCTGAAATGCTTGATGATATATTTTGATGGTGGACCAGGTGGTTGATTTTACAAGCCGGGAATTGGAAAAGAGATACCCATATAGAATATTGACGAATGACTATGAACATCTAAAATTGCGGAATTTAACCTTTATCCCTAAAAAGGATCAATAAGCATAACCAAGGTACTGATATGGAGCTGGTAGTCTTCCTGGTCGACTTCTATACCGAGCAGTAAGCAAGTCACGGGAGTCCCCGACGCCAAGAATGTCATCAGGCCGTCCATCTCGCCATCTCATTAAACCTTCAACCCTCCACACATCTGCCAAACAGTACCACATATCTCATTTCCATCATGTCATCACAACCGAAGACCTACATGTCCAATGGACAAGTTCTTGGAAGGTACGAAGTCTTTATCTGCCCCTCGATGGAGACCCCTTCAGGCAATGAACGGCCGCTCACTAACCCCCTTCCACAGCCCACCGTTTTCCGTCCGCCTCAGTCGCTTCTTCGAGAGCGTCTATCTCTTTCTAGGCCTCTATCTCGTTAGCTTCTTTTCGGTACGTTACTGCCTTTACTTCCCGGGAACTGTTGGGGATGCTTTTCTGATGCAACCCCTCATCGCGTGTTTCTTATCCATTGGCCCTATCATGCGCGCATCCACAGACTAACAACCCCTACAGGTCGACCCTTACAGCGCTGCTGAAAACTCCAGATTTAACATTACTCGTCCCGGAAACAAACCCAACACTCGATCGCGATGGGGCGGAAGTAGTGGCTTTGGAGGAGGTGGTGGCGGCGGAGGCGGCGGTGGACCTGGTGGATTCGGGCCTCGCAAGATCGGACGGGTGGATGATATTCGAGGCCCAGAGTGCAAGAGCTGTCAATGAGAAGGGGGTGATGGTGATGTGCTACGACCCTCCGCGAGATTGGGCGTTTGTTGTGGCGCTGTGGCTGGGTTATTATTAGGACCGGAATTGAATATATTCTACGCATGGTGCCGGATGGACGTTTCCTGTAAGCCCTGTATCTGGAACTGAGACAGTCGAGATTGGGTATTGGCTGTCTGGACTTTGGACCCTCAGACCTTGGGGTTGACCCTGGGGTTTGGGTTGGAGATGCAGTGGGATAGCATCGTCAAGGGGTATGCGGGAAAACACATCCCACGGCACTTGATTGGGTGGGCTGCATCCTTACTTATCACACCGTTCTGGTTAGATTCTGGGACGATCGCAACATGTCTGGTCGAGACAGCGCAGGGCCTCCACCTGGCTTTGCTCATGATGAATCGATGATGCCGCCATGATAGTGTCACGTGACAGATGGGGTTTCTCCGCATTTCGAGGGAAAACAAATTTCGCCCGTCGTCCATCGCCGGTGCAATCGGATTCACAAACATACTCAAGCCGGAATTCGAGAGATTCGATCCGGGAGAATTTTTCAAAAAGGACGCAATTCAATCCAGGCACACTTCGGTGGGTAGCACTGCTTTTTCGATTCTCGACTGGTTCTTGCGTCTGAACACTTGCATATAGCGGGGTTAACGGGTCCGGATCCGTGCTACAGGACAGCAAAGCGCCAACATGTCTGATATTCCAAGGAGCAACGAGGACTGGGCCGCCCAGATCTCAACGATCAAGGACTTGCTCCCGGAGACTTTCACCGTGCATCAGACCCCCGTTCCTTCGGCCATTAGCCAAACCATTGATCACACTCAATTGGCGCTGGCCGCGACCGAGCAGCAAATCGACCAGCTTTGTGACGAAGCGGCGAAGCACCGGTTTGCGACGGTCTGCGTGCGTTTGAACTACGTTGCCCGAGCTGTCCAGAAGCTCCAGGCGTCGCCCGACGTGGGCGTGGCCTGCGTGGTGGGGTTCCATGAGGGCATGTACGAGACCTCGGAGAAGGAGCAGGAGGCCCGGGAGGCCGTGAAGCTGGGGGCCTCGGAGCTGGATATGGTGCTGAAGTATCCTCTGCTGAAGGAAGGCAAGTACGCGGAGGTCTACGCGGATATCCTGGGGGTGCGCAAGGCGGCCCCGGCGCCGACGACGCTGAAGGTGATCCTGGAAACGGCGCAGCTGACGCGCGACGAGATCATTGCGGGGTCCGTTCTCGCATGTACGGCCGGGGCGGATTTCATCAAAACCAGCACCGGATTCAACGGAGCCGGAGCCAACGTTGACAACGTGGCGCTCATGCGGGCCACGGCGGACTTGGTGGGCAAGGGATGCAAGGTCAAGGCTAGTGGAGGGGTGCGGTCGACCGAGGACTGCGTGCGGATGCTGAAGGCGGGCGCCGAGCGCATTGGGAGCAGTTCGGGGGTGAAGATCATGCAGGAGTTGGGCGGGGAGACGGTGGTGCGTGAGGGGGGCGAAGGGTATTAAAGAGAACAACTGGCGCTGTCCGGGTTCCAAAGGATAGTTGGAAGAACTCACTTTCTGTTACTTAACAGGTACTTCGGAAAAAGAAAAGAAGTGGACTGGATTTAAAGTAGAAACTCCGCCGGGCGGTGGAGTCTCGACGTCATCAACGAGCTCCCTCATCGGTCAACCACAAACCGCCAGGAAACCTGGTTTCGCCCATTAGCGAGTCCAATTCTTTCATCTCTCGCAAGATCTGCGTGCCTCCCCAATGAAGCCCTCCAATTCCCACCACAAGTCCCCTGTCTTCGCTGCTCCTTCGCCGCCCTCTGCCTCCCCTGTCAATCCCAGGATGCGCCGTCCCAACCCCAATAACGTCAAGGTTCCACTCCCTCCCTGCCCTGGCTCGAATCATGCCACCTCTCCTGTGCTCAATCTCTGACAATCGGCGTGCTTGTTTAGAAGCGCAAGACCTTCCACGAACAACATCCGCCCGGGCAAGATGGCTCTGCGCAGGGTGATGTCTTCACCGAGAAGCCCTCGGCCGTCTTCGAGCCCACTGGCGGCCGCTCTCATACGCTGAGCGTTGCGATTCCCGGCAGTATTGTGGCCAAGTAAGGACCCAATTCATCTCTCTGCACAACATTGTCTAGGAAGAAACACTTACGCGACATTGCGACAGCGCGAAATCCATTGAACAGAAGACCCTCCTCGCGGGCATCATCGCACGTGCCCTCGCGGTCTTCTGCGTCGATGAAGTCGTCATCTTCGATGACGACGAGAACAGCGCCCAGCATGACTACTACGAGCAGAGCGACGACTACTACGACTCTCCTATCGCGAAGACTAACGACCAGCTCAATGGCAATGTCCAATCCACCAATCGCTATACGGCCAATTCGGACCCCTCGCATTTCCTGGCGCATCTCCTGTCCTATCTAGAGACGCCGCCGTATCTGCGCAAACACCTCTTCCCCATGCATCCTAACCTGCGTGGAGCCGGACTGTTGCCCAGTCTGGACATGCCGCATCACCTTCGTGCCAACGAGTGGTGCGATTACCGCGAGGGTATCGTTGTCTCGAACGCCGACCACTACAAGGCGCGCAGGGGCAGCTACTCGGACGGCGTCTCTCGCCGGCGTAGCTCAACCAGTCCCACTGGTCCTCCTGCCACGATCGTCGACACCGGTCTTAACCAGAAAGTGGTTCTCCCGGACATTCAACTGCCGGAACATGCGCGGGTCACCGTGCGATTCTCGCAGCAGGGTCCGGAGCAGTACGCCGAGTCTGTCCATCCGTCTGCGCCCCGTTCGGAGGCGGGTTATTACTGGGGCTACTATGTGCGTCGGTGTCGGTCCCTGTCATCTGTCTTCACGGAATGTCCCTTCGATGGTGGCTATGATTTGTCGTTCGGGACTTCCGAACGCGGCGCTCCCGTTCACACGGTTCTGGAAGAAGACGGCGAGGAACATCCCCACGAACGTCACGATCACCACGCCCGACCCCCAGACTACAACCACTTGCTTCTTGTCTTCGGTGGTGTGGCAGGGATTGAGGCCGCTATTCGTAACGACCCTCAACTCCGCGATATGGCCATCGGCCCCACCAATGCCGGCAAGCTGTTCGATTATTGGGTTAATCTCCTTCCCGGTCAAGGGAGCCGAACCATTCGCACCGAGGAGGCCGTCTGGCTGGGCCTGACGAGTCTCCGGGGTTTGGTGGAGGGTACTCATCGCACTAAGAAAGCGTCCCGGTATAACGGTTCCAAGGAGTAGAGGGCATCATGAAACCTGAAACCGGCACGAAATACCCTTGGGGAGGAGTGTCGCGGGATCTTCTGTTACATCGCCACATTCCAGGCGGTGTTTCGTCCTTCCCCCCTCCTCTACACCCTCAGGCTCGGCTTCCTTTTCATTTCCTTTCTCACTTGCCCCTTACCTCCTTCGCCTCCCGTCCGGAACGGGTCTCCGGGACTAGGTTCCGACATCCTGCGATTTGATGCCAATGGCTCTTCGACAAAGTTATTACGAATTTGCCGACTTAGCCGTTATCTATACTTGCATACTTGAAATTGTCTGGCCTACGTCGATCTCAAACTTGAGATCATTGTCACTCTGACAAGTCGAGAATCCGTAACGGTCCTGTCGATCTTCGGGGTATGCTCTCCAAAATGGATATATGACATGCTCAGATATATGTTGAACGTTGCGTTCGATGATTCTTTGCATTTTCGGGCCTTTCTTTCTTTTTATATTTCAGTCTATTCTTACTTTCGGTTATACTGGGAAAACGGAGTCGTGGTTCATTCGTTCTTATCTAGCCAGGATCTAATGGGGTTTCTATTGCATCATTATACGATATCTTTTCCTTTCCTTTCTTTTTCTTATTTCCCTTTTCACCTGTTACATGTCTGGAATGAGTGATGAGCCAGCATAGCTCGGGAGGACGGCAATAAAAAAAAGTTCTTATTCGTTTTAGTCTACATTCCAACGCATTACTTTCTCTTCCGAGGAATGATTGAGTAATGGGAGATATTCAAACGTGGATGGTGGTCTAGATCATGGGTCTTTACCCAGCATTCCTTAGGTTATGTGCTGGTTTTCGTACGATCTAGACTCGTCTGTGTGTTGTTTATCCATTGTTGATGTGCAGGTGGATTGTTTCAATGACGTACATTAGTGTTTTATTCTTTCATTTACAGGAGTTAACGCCTGCTGGAAATGAGATTCGGATCGGATGCGATGGCGTCATATCTAGGGGCGCCTCTTATACGCGTATTACTGCTGGATTATGAAATGAAACCAAATTGAGGAGGCAAAAGGCAGGGAATTGAATTATTGCTCATCACTACTATGATCGTCCGAGTCACTGGTCTGCTCGCTTTCCTCGGCGTCCATTTTTCTCAGCACTGCATCTCCTTTCTTGCCGTTCTTCTCGGCCGCGAACCAGGCCTCTCGGCGCTTGGTCTCACGCGCTTCCTTGCGCGCCTGTCGGAGGGCCTTTTCGCGCTGCGTCTGCTCCTGCCTCTGGTGGAGCTCGTTGATGTGGTCGTGCAGGTTGACCAGATCGGAGCGGAGTTTGGTCACTTCGTTCGTGGTGGCCTGGCGGGCGGTTTCGTTGACGGAGGCCTTTTTCTTGAGCTGGGCGATTTCGGCCTCCAGGGATGCGATGTGCGAGTCCTTGGCCGCCGAGTCTTCGGTTGATGCGGCGTAGGCCATGGATGGGACGGAAGCGCTGGTGCCGCCACCTTGGCTGAACAGGGATAGCTCGGCGAGGCCGTCTTCGATCATGGATTCGGGGAAAGTGGCGTTGGTGAAGGCTTCGGAGAATTCGTCGGTTTTGGATTGCGTAGGGTGAGATGATGTGGGGAGGAGGTGTGTGCTGAATGTGTAGTCGGCCGGCACGGTACCGGCGGTCTGGGATGTCTCGGAAAGGGTGCTATCGTATCTGGGCTTGACGATCGTGTGCGCTGTTCGTTTAAGCTCATGGCTGGGCTGCGGGAGGCCATTTGGCGGAAGCATGAACAGATTCGTTACAGGATGGGTATAATCGGCGACAAGCGAGGCGTATTTCCGTCTTCCGACATTCCACGAGAGGACCTTTCCATTCTGGTGACCGGATAATAGTGTCATGCCGTCGTAGGAGAGGCAGAGTGTGTGCGCTGCGCCGGACTCGGCAGTTGGCGGAGCCCATCGGTCTTCGGCTTCTAGTTGGGAGGGAGCGGATTGTAGCGACGGATCGTGAAGAGGATGCTGGATCGAATTGCTTTTGTAGAAATCCACCGATTGAATGCTCCCATCTTCGTACCCTACGTAGAAAGCCCGGTCGACGGGGTCGAGGATTAGGGAGATCGCGCTCGAGGGTAGGAGGTATGTGCGTAGAACACGGCCGGTGTGATAATCCCAGGCGATGGCAGTGTTATCCTGCGCGGCAGAAACAGCAACATTATACCTGCCAGTGCTATGTCCGACTGCGATGGATGTGATAGCGGCGCGATGATTCGAGAAAGTCCGTACGGGGGAGTTCGGGGGTTGCCTGTCACGGCCAGACGGGGCTTTTGTGAAGGACAGAAGGTCGACCAATGACCATACATGAACATTGGCATCTTGGGAGCCGGAAAGAATGAAGTTGGAGCTTGGATCAACCACCAGCGCAGTCACTGGACTTAAATGCGATGCGGTCGTGGCGACTTGTCGCCCGGTGCATGTCTATGAAATCAAAAAAGGTTTTTGTTAGGTCACCATAGCCTTCAATGGCAGCAGAACTAGAAACTAAGTCTTCAACATACCTCCCACAGAATCAATCGGCCGCCCTCGGTGCCCAGAATCACAATGTCACCATTCTTGCTCCCCGCAACTGCGATGCTGCGAATGCGCTCGGGGAAAGGAACAGTAGCTTCTTGGTTTCCCTTTTCTCGGCTGTACACATGAAGGATAGCCTTCTCTGACTGAGCTGCGAAAACGTGCGACGGACTCACAGCCAGGCAATTGGCCGCTGTCGAGCTCTTCTTGAAGGTGGAGCGCAGAGTCGGAGCAGGTTGAAATTCATGGACGCAGATCCCTACATCTCTCAGACTATTCGATGTCGGAGCTTTGGCCGACGCCAATGTCGACGCGATAAAATACTCTGAGAGCATGAGGAACTGACAGAGTGGGGATTGGTATCAATTATAGAAACAGTGTAGAGGGGAGAAAAGCCGCTATTTTTATCCATGATTTTTTTTTTTCCTGTCGGCGATAAAAGCGATAGACGATAAAGTTTGCACTGTTTGCAGCGGTGGCCCGTGATCTCACGGGACTCGAACGAGACAAGGACCGTCGGCTTCAACAACTCACCAACAGCAGGTTTTTACTCGGTCCCTATCTTGGACTATTATCCCATGACCCCTGGTCTCCTTGCAAGCTCACCTCCTTATAGCCCTTTTGACCCTTAGGGTCATGTGGGTGGGTGCCTGTCCTGCCCTGATATCAGTTCGCAGCTGTAATAGCAGCACGCAAATAACAGAAAATCCTCATCATGCACCTCTTCCCTCGTCGAGGAATTTGGCGCCTTCGGGTGGTATTTGAGCCATGTTCGTACATTTCAAATCTCCGCCACTCTGTGTTGATTGGGGCTCTCGCACATGCTGCTTAAATTGCGGCCTCCTCCAAATATGGGGGTAATCCACCACGCCCACAGCAACCAATGCAAGGGGCTCTTTCCAAGGGGTTCGACTTTGATTGCCCGGCGCAACAGCTCAGCCAAAGACAGCAGGGTGACGTCCTCTGCCGTGCCTTTGTAGGGACTCCCCATTTCCCTCCTCTGCATGTTTCACTGCTCCTGTAGTGACGAAATGCAGAGAGCCTGAAAAGCGGACCATCCACGTTGTGCTGCGCCTGCAGGTGGCGCGCATAGGGCCTTGCGCCCAATGATGGACGATCCTGTTTGATCTCACCTCGCTCTGGAATGCAAGGACGGTAGATGTAGTGGCCCTTTACAGTTTGCTCTTGTTCCAGAGTGTTGACTGACCCTCGCGAAGGGGGAGAACACACATGCCCGATGTCTGGCTATCTGTCACCGCAGCTGGCCAAGGGATGCCTGGGAAGCAGATTCTTTCGGTGGTATAAGGCCTTGGTTGGCCGCTTCTGCGCAACGTTTCGGCCTTTCTGCTCATTTCTCTTATTTTTTGGCTTCATACTCTACTAAATCAATCCTTCACTCTCTGTTTACTCGGTATCCCGATTCTTGGCTCAACATTCTTTGAACACCATGTCCTGGATGGACGGCGATCGTGCAAAAATGCATCTCAAAGCGCAATTTCCTCTTCACCAACATACTGTATCTGCGAATAACGTTCCAACGTACGCCAACAGAACTGTGCCCTCGTATAGCGTAGCAGGCGAGGAAGCTATATCTGAAAGTCGCAGCCCTGCTGCTCCTCGCTATTCTCCTAATATACAACCATGGAGAAGACAGCACACACCGGGTTCCCTGTCTTTTATCCCTTCCACCTCACCTCGCCCAGAGCACTCCGAATATACTACGTCGCAAACCAAACGACAGCCAGAGCAAGCTCCTGCCATCATCTCACCCTTTCGATCGGTACGCAGAATGAAACAACCATTTCAGCTGCGCCTACCATCTTCTCCCTCGTTTGAAAACAATCCATCTTCGTTCAGAGACTCTAGGAGACTATCTCGGGGACCGTCTGGGAACAACCACACCCTACGCACGTGGCGATCCGATCAAAACCTTACGACTACAAGCATGGAAACCTTTGGGCTTCTCCCCAGTCCTCCTCTATCCGACTCAAGGTCTTCGCAGCTCTCTCCATCTTCAGCCTATTTCTCTCCAAAATCCGAATATGATTCGGATCCTGATCAAGCAACACCGAAGAGTTCTTCTACCTATAAATTCGAGGTCAAAACATCATTCGCGCCGCGTACGCTCAGATCGAGAAAAACCACGGAAAACCTGAGGAGCATGAATGAGCCCACAAACGTGCACATGGCACATTCAAACCTTGTTAGGCAGTGGGACTCCGATGATGGAAAACTCACGCCAGTGTCTATTGATTCTGAGAGGACGGCATCTCCATCCCCATCCTCATCTCCCTCTCTTTCACTGTCCCCTACGCCATCTACAGAAACAGAGTCACCAGCCAGTCGAAAAGTTTCAAGCTCCTCTACAAAGACCCAGCGAAGCCGGTCCCGAACGGTCTCTAGCGAGGGGAGCTGGGTTCCGAGTAACCTTTCTTACTACGAGCCGTGGCTACAAGGAGCGCCTGCAGAAACACCAGATACTGGAGGACAGAAGCCAAGGGAGTTCAATCGGCGCAAATGCCAGATCGTTCCGCCTGCTGATAGGCCTGTGGTAAGTTTCCAACACGTATTAATGCCCTCATCGCGCTCACGTTATCCTAGGTGTTTGCTGTTGCTAGTAAGACGAAGCCGAAACTTGTTGATATCTCACGGCAGTCGTCTCCGTCACTGGGCTATTCAATTCCCACGCCACCGCAGCGCACAATACCTTCCACGCCCGATCATCGACAACATGAAATATCAGCTTTCAGTCCTGACACCCCGCTAGAAATGTCTGACAGTGGCTACATCACGCACCATTGTTACTCTCCACAAGAATATCGAAAAGACAAGGATGATGATGAGTTTACTGATACTAGCTCACTAAGTGCAGAGAGTGTCGGCGAGACTGTTGTCTGCGACAAAATGGCTACGAGTCAGGAACTCCCGAGACCATCTCCAAAATCGCCGCCGAAATCACCGCCTAAATCGCCCCCCAAACCTGATCTCAAACCCGATCTTAGACCCGCAGCTCAGCCTTTACCAAAAGCACAAGCGTCTCCGGGACGCTCTTCCAATAAATCCGAGAAAGAGGAGCTTGAGAAATGGTGGGACCATGAGTGGACGATTGATCAGCTGGAGCATTCAGTCAAGGACTTCCCTCGAAACATGCTCAAGTTGACATCGCCAGTCATCATGTTCCTCCGCCATAATAACGAAAAGGCGCTTATCCGGCCTTTTCGAAAAATATTCCCGGACGTTGCCGAGAATTTACTCGACAACCTTTGCGCAGTGTTGATTGCGCGAAACTATTTGATTTCCCTCGCATCTCTCAACCGGAGAAATAGCAACTTCTCCCATAAACCAAGCTTGTCTCGTCTCGATACAGTTCCTGAAAAAGCAAGCTCCGTTTTGGGAATGCAATATTCACAACCAACGCCCTCGAGAGTCAAGAATCGAGTCCTCGGCACCAGGAGCGCTGAACTCTGCAAAGACCTGGATCGGATCGTCGATAACTTAGTTTTTGCAATCTGCGGCAAGCAAGATGAGCATTTGAAGTCTGCCGTACTTGTACTGGCGCAGGTTCTGGAAACCAAGTCTTAGATCTACCATTCCTTTCTTTTCATCTTTTCTTATCTTATAGATTTACCAGACATCCCGGCTCACTGCCCATCCTTCTTTACATTTTCTTTTATCTCTGCCTTTCTCTTCTTTCCAGCTTTCTCTCTTATCATCACACATTTAACCACATTCACTTTTACCTTCTCCTTTCCAGTTTGCCAAACAAGACACAGATTGCACCAGCTCGTGATTTTGTCCAACATTCTTTCGCATTCCATACACACCTTCTCACTCACTTCTAAACTTTTCCTTACATTGTCAATTCAATCTTCCATACTACATTCCACTTTCCTTCATGTTTCCAAAATTGTGAACCTTCGACCCAGTCGCTGTGTTATTCTGTTCCATTTGTATAATCGTGTACCATTGACCGCAGTGGTTAATGCATAATTGCTAGTCGGACATAAGATCCAGATCTCATGATACCCTTAGAATATCCTAATATAATTCTTGAAATCTCGAGTTCAGACGAAAGATTGCGTTACTGCCTGGTAAATGATCGCCATCTTAGGGTTACCAATTGCGGCCTTGGAGCCTGAGCGGCTAAGCCCAGCCGGGGATAGCGGGAGATGACTAAGACGCGGGCAAGTCGCCGTTATCTCGCCGGAGCTGCTTCGTCTTTCCCGCGGAATTCATTTCTTGCAAACTCGCGCAAGTCGAATAGCTTCACCATGGCCGCTTCGACGACCCGTTTGAGATCTCTCTACTCCTCCACATCAAGGGCTGTGTCCCATCCGGGAGCAGTCGCCCCCATTGCCTGTCGCAGCTATGCCACGACAGACCCTTCGCCATCCGCCACCGGTGCTCCGGGCACGACGCCGCGTCGCCGAACCACCTTCAAGGATAAGCTGAATGCCGGTCCCTCCTTCTCAGACTTCGTCTCCGGCGGCGCCGACGATGCCCCCCTCGATCCCTCCGAAGCCTACGCTCTCAAAACCGCCATGGTCGGGCCCGCCGGCCGCAAGAAGGAAATGACTCGCCTGCCGTCCTGGCTGAAGACCCCCATCCCCGATTCGAAGAACTACCAGCGTCTGAAGAAGGACCTGCGCGGTCTCAACCTACACACCGTCTGCGAGGAGGCCCGCTGCCCCAACATCTCCGACTGCTGGGGCGGCAGCGACAAGTCCGCCGCTACCGCCACCATCATGCTCATGGGCGACACCTGCACCCGAGGCTGTCGCTTCTGCAGCGTCAAGACCAACCGCGCCCCCGCGCCGCTTGATCCCCACGAGCCCGAGAACACCGCTGAGGCCATCTCGCGCTGGGGCCTGGGCTACATTGTCATGACCAGCGTCGACCGGGACGATCTGGCCGACGGCGGTGCCCGCCACTTCGCCGAGACGGTCATCCGCACCAAGCAGAAGGCGCCGAACATCCTCGTCGAGTGTCTGACCGGTGACTATAGCGGGGATACTGACATGGTGGGCCTGGTGGCTCGCTCCGGGCTGGACGTGTACGCGCACAACGTCGAGACGGTGGAGGCCTTGACGCCGCATGTTCGGGACCGTCGGGCCACGTTCCAGCAGTCGATCCGGGTGCTGGACGCGGCGAAGAAGGCCCAGCCGTCGCTTATTACGAAGACTTCGCTGATGCTGGGCCTGGGCGAGACCGAGGAGCAGCTCTGGGATGCCCTGCGGCAGCTGCGCGCTGTGAACGTCGACGTCGTCACCTTCGGCCAGTACATGCGTCCCACGAAGCGTCATATGGCGGTGCATGAGTACGTCACGCCCGATCAGTTCGAGCTGTGGCGCCAGCGCGCGTTGGACATGGGCTTCCTCTACTGTGCCTCGGGTCCGTTGGTTCGCAGCAGCTACAAGGCCGGTGAGGCGTTCATTGAGAACGTCTTGAAGAAGAGAAGGGCGGCGGCTACTGGAGCCCCAGGGGAGCAGACAGTCAGCGATACGAAAGTTGCCGTGGACGAGGCAACGCGCTGATAGGTCTCTTTTTTCTTACTGTAATACTTCCCGTTGGTTCCCGAGGCTCCTCTCGGCTGTGATTTGCTTTGATCGGCGCAGGTTTCTTCACTTTTGTTATAAAGCATTACCGGTTTCATTTCTGATGGTTTAAAATATTTCATCGTCTGTTTCATTTTTGGTGTATTGTTGCTATTTGACAGCTAGGGACTGTCATTTCAGGGTGGACACTCTATTCGATTTTACAGGAACTTGGTTACTGGGACGGAGAGGCAACCAAATAGAAGGGCTTTCTCGTCTCATCATGTAGAGATAATAAGTATTGAGCCCAGTTTCAACACGATAGATTCAAATTCGAATCAACTTCATCATAACGTGCCATGTACTCTCAACAATGTTCATGAATGAGAAAGCCAAATCATATGTACCCATGGGGATTCGTTTCTCCTCCACTCCTACGCCTCATGAAAGATGCTGTCTGTCTGTTTGTCTGTCTGCCTTCACCATCTACTATCTCTCCCTTGGAAGGCTCAGATCGGCGAATGGTATGTCCATCATATACCTCATCCGAATGTACTTGCCAGCCTAATGACAGATGCCGACATCACAAAAAGAATAATAAGGAAGCAAAGATCGAAACCGAAGCAGGAAGGGCAGGGAAGAAAGGAAGATAGGGGAACGCTGCACCACAACAAGAACCACTGCAAATTGCTGCATCTGGCGAGAAGAAAAAAGGTTGGGCGAAAGTGATACTCTGGACCTCTCGACCAAGGGAGCCAAGGATGGAATTGCCTTCAACTACGGGTTCTTGATCAATCCTCACAGGGCCTCCGAAGTCAATTCCTTGACGTCCTCGTTTGAGAGACCAAGGAGGTACAGAACATCGGTGAGGCTTTCCCCATTCAGACGAGTAGGGGCCTCCAGCTGCACCATGCTCTTGGCGCGCCATGCGACACCAAGCCCGGCGGCATGGAGCATGAGCAGGTCATTGGCGCCGTCACCCACAGCAACGGTCTGGGCAATGGGGATGCCGTTCTTTTCGGCGATGGACTTCAAGAGGGACCGCTTCTGGGAAGCGTCAATGATAGGGTAGTCAGGCACAAGTTTACCCGTAAGAGTCTGAGTGGTCGGGTCGACCTCGAGCTATAGAATTGACAAGCCACGGATTAGCCAGCCGAGTAGGTTGAAGCCTCTCTTGATGACCCGGAGCGGGGACAGTAGTTCAATATTGAACATTAGCAAGCCGAGGAACGATTTGGGACATACATGGTTGGCATGTGCGTAGTCGATACCAAGTTCACCAGCCAGCCATTCGGCCAAGGGCTGGAATCCTCCACTCAGAACTGCCAATTTGCAACCAAGGGTCTTCAAGGCCTTGCACAATTCACGTGCACCCGGGGCAATGGTGATGACCGATTTGATCTTCTCGTAGACGTCCGCGGGGACCCCCTTGAGCAAACCAACGCGTTCCTTGAGCGAGGCTGCGAAATCGAGCTCGCCGTTCATGGCCCGCTCCGTGATTTCCTATCGCGGTGGTTAGTGGGTTAAACGATGACTGGTAGGTATACGAGCATACCGAGACTTGCTTCTCAACGCCAATGACCTTGGCAATCTCGTCAATCACTTCATTCCGGATCAAGGTACTGTCCATGTCAAACACGACCAGTCGCTTGTGTCGGCGAAAGGCGCTCTCCTTCTGCAGCACCACTTCTACATTCCACTCGCGCTCAAATCGCCATATGCTCTCATGCTTTCGGAGGTCGGTAAATGTGAGGTAGTCGGGGTTCGGAGGAGGGGAGATGGTGACCTCGACAACGCGGGGCTGATCCTGGCGATCAAGGCAGCGATGGGACGTGTTCATGCGCTGATACGGAATCGGGAGGGACTCCATGATTTGAAGAAAGTTCGTCAGGCATAGTTGCGACACGAACGGGCCGTAGAGATGGTCGAGAGGCTCGGGCTCCGGTGCTGGGGGCTCGCGCGGAATCTTCTCCATATCGATTGTCGGCGCGGAACCCACGGGAACCATCGGGGACGGCAGTTTATTCCCGGGTCGAGGCGACGAGTCGGGATGAAGATGAGGGTGGACAGGATCGGAGGACTTGTAGTAGATAGTTGCGACAATCTGCGGAGTTCCAGTCGGCAGGAGATTCCCTTGGTGATTGAAGATGCTGTGGATGATGCCACTGTCGGTCACCTTCTCGGGATCCGGGCTGATGGGGTTAGCGTTGAGGGATAACGAGCCCAGGCCGGGTTCGACCGCATTGCCCAGGACATTGCCGATGGTCTGGTTGATTGGGACCGAAGGTTTGTACTGCTGATGATCTTGAATGAACGAGTTACTGCGCAATGTGTGCTGCAGCACTGGCCGCTGTGGGCGAGAGGGCGTGCTGGTGGTGGGGTTGGGCGCCTCCATTCCGCAGGACCTAGGGTGGGAGTTGGGGGTGGAAGAAGAGGATAGGAGCGTAAGGGCTTGAGCGCAGATGGAAGTTCCAGGGAAGACGAGGGCCCAGCTGGCGAAGGGACTCTGAAGAGCTCGAGGCGACGGACTGCAAAGCAAAGCCTGACGTTTGCATGAAAACAATGATGGAATTCCCCTGCAGTATCGATCGGCGGGCACGTGGCGGGGTGGTCGTAAAGAGAAGGCGGTCCCGTGCTGTCTGACCGCCCGGCAGAAGCGGCGGCAGTTCATCCGCGACGACTTCAAATCCCGCCGTCCTTTGCTCCACTTCCGCCATCTACGGAGGACCGGGGTACGGCATCGCGGTTAGGACTTAGGAGGCCTCCGGCTACGGGTGATCCTGACTGAATAATGCCGGGTGTGGGCATAAAGCATATACTAGTGTGTTGCCGTCCTGTTCTCTCGTTACATCATTGCGACATGCTGACCCAAAACCAGGCTCATCGTTCCCCTGGTAGATGAATCAGACGATGATGACATGCACCAGATGGCAAAGGATGATCATGGAAGCATAATTATTGCTTTGTCACTCGCATGGGACCAAGCATCCATGAATAATCATTCTTGTGCGATTGTCCGACCAGAAGAACAGGTTGGAACATGGACCAGCAGGCATTTATCAGCAAGTGGCCCTGCCCACCGGCCACGCTAGGCGGCTACGGCAGGCGACAGCGACCGGTTGCGCAGGTATTGCGTGATTTCCCCGGGACATGAGGAAATTGAATTTTTCAGCATCGCTCCCCGAAAGCGCAGGCGGTCACAGGCAATGTCGTGATCGATGGCGGCAGAATGAGCCGGGCAGGATGAAGGGTCCCTGGCAGTGAAGGGCAGGTTCCGATTGCCGGTGATGTCGTGATTGCCCCTGTCTTCTTATATGAGACTGTCCGGTGGCTCGTCTCTTGTCTTCCTAACATCATCCTCCCGCCAGATTTGCAATTCTCGGGCCAAACGTCGTCATCCAATTCCTTTCCGTTTCCATACATATAGACTGCTTGTTCCCTCTTTGCCTCTGCCTGCCCCATCCTTCTAAACATAGTGCCCTTTTTATTTTCCCACAAGCATCAGCCTAAGATGCCTGCAAAGATGCCTGTTAACTACCCCTCCGAGTCGGAAGTCGACTCTCGAACCGAGTCTGGCTACGTGAGCGGCAGCTCGAGTGATGACTACAGCCCAGAGATTGTCTTCACCAAGCCTCACTTGCAGTTTCTCAACCGTCAGCTGCAGTTTCTTGAACCTCAAGGTCAGCTGCGGATGCCCGTCCTGCCCCTCTTGTAGTCTACTCGGCCAATAATGCTGACTGATCCTCGTGTAGATGTCTTGAGATGGTGCGTTACTTCGCTGCCTCATCTCTTCCAGACCACCGCTTTCGGTCTTACGGGTCTTGTCACTCTTGACATGCTGTCCAAGTTGGACGTGCCTCGGCCTCAGATGGTCGACCTTGTCTTCCTCGACACTCTTCATCATTTCAAGGAGACCCTGGATCTCGTCGACCGGGTCCGTAAGAGATACCCTCTCAACAACGTTCATGTCTACAAGCCTGCTGGCGTCGAGACCGAGGAGGAGTTCGCCAAGAAGTACGGTGCCCGTCTTTGGGAGAGCGATGACCAGTTTTACGACTGGGTTGCCAAAGTTGAGCCCGCCCAGCGTGCCTACCGCGAGCTGAACGTCCATGCCGTCCTCACTGGACGCCGTCGCAGCCAGGGTGGCAAGCGTGGCGACCTGGACATCATCGAAGTCGACGAGGCCGGCCTGATCAAGGTCAACCCTCTTGCCAACTGGTCCTTCGATCAGGTCAAGAAGTATGTCAAGGAAAACGACGTTCCCTACAACGAGCTCCTTGACCGTGGCTACAAGAGCATTGGCGACTACCACTCCACCCAGCCGGTCAAGGAGAACGAAGACGAGCGGTCCGGTCGCTGGAAGGGCCAGGAGAAGACCGAGTGTGGAATCCACAACCCCCGGTCCAAGTACGCTCAGTTCCTGATGGAGATGGAGCGCAAGCGCCAGGAGGAGGCTCTCTCCCAGGCTTTGCAGACGTCTCTCACCACATAAGCCTTTTCGCGTCTTCTGCGTTTTACCTTGCATCCACCACGGCGTTTTATGAACGGGGACTACCACATCTAGCGGAATTTACATGGCGTTGCTTTTGTTTTTCAGACGGATTCGGGATCTGGAAAATCATGTCGTTATGAATACCTTTTTTCTTTTTTATGTTTGTTTGGCGACAAAATTCGGACGGGCCAAACTCACCTGTCAACCTCAATCCCAAGGGGAAGCCTGTACATAGCGGATTGACAGGACTTGCTCCGATAACGACCCGAAGGTCAGACTACAGTAATGATTAGCACGATAGAAAAAGAGACTACAGTGTCTTTAATTTTTTTAAACTTCTTTTTTCGTTAATTAAACTTGTATTATTGTGTATTGTATACTACGCAGTCTGTTTGCTTTCTGCTGTTTCTCAAAATTTTTTTTCTCCTTGGACTTGTGCTACTACTGAAGTGCGATGTCGGTATTATCGAGTCATGTGGGGCGTCTTACCCTACTTCGTAGAAATCCCAATCCTTTAGGCATGCGGAAGGTGCATAATTCATAAGGGATAAAGGCGGGGGTTTTTTTGATTAGGACCCTGATCTGCCTTCGAGGTCGGGGGGTCAGAAACATCGACAAATTGTGGGCACCGGGAGAAGGAAGGAGGGGAAGCGCCCTGTAAGGCAGAACAAAGATCCCAACCCTGATCAGCATATCTAAAGAAATGCACCCCTCATTCTCCACCGGCGCACTTCACTATGGTTTATTTCAAAGCGTTCTGAAGAATTCTTGATTAAAATATCAGAAAAACTCCAAAGTTCACCCCACCACTCCTACACTATGAGGTAATAGTAGGGCCCTGCAACCAAGAATTGTATTACTTAGAGCCCGTGGAAGTTGGATAAGGTCACAAGACGGAGGTCGACAACCCCGCTGGTGGTCCCGCGGAGTTAGAAAAAAAAATAAAGCCACGAACAGGTCGATTCACAATTCTCTGACGGAATTGCGCCATCTCTGGGCTCTGGTTGCGCTAGACCGACTTGGGCGCAGGATCTGGCGGAGATCTAATCTTATCAATCTTATCTGGACGTCTTATCGGCAGTCTCTTCCTCTTCTTGGCAGTTTCGATGAAGTTGAGCTGTCTAGACTGTTTGTTGAAGGAAAGGCTGTATGCTGTATACGATATTTTATATGTGTTACTTCAGTTTGAGCTATGAGGACTGTCCCTACGTTCATGCAGCCAATGGACTTGGAAATACTGTCGCTGTGTCGGCAGAGAAACTCATAGCCAATGGTCATTGTCAAGGTTAGGAACGCCACCTAGGCTAGTGAAAACTACCAGGAGCTGAGTATTGTTATTGTTGACGACTGAATATTGACTCTTGCAAATACCTACCATCTAAACCCAGTGGTTGGAAACCACTCATCCCACCGACCGTCTCACGGACAGCACACGTATCTCCATCTCCAGGCAAGTGGCCAGCGTTGCCTTTTCCACCCGAACACAGCCCCTTTTCTCGCCTGACCTAATAGTAACCCTGCAATTACTCCGTATACGAAGCCTGGCAGGTGTTCTTTACTGATCGTAGTATAGCAACGAAACCCGGGGCAAGCTAAGCACGCAACATACGTAGCCGATGACGCGTTAGCTGTCAAACTAATCTACCTGCGTCTCAGGGGGGTGCTCCCGAGGGGATGTAGGATATCTTGTCAAGCTTTCGACACGTTTCAAGAGTCGGCGGTCATTACCTGAACGGGCGAGCCGATACGAAGAGGGCAGGATTTACTTGATACGATGATGTCTATCCCTCTGTCAAGTCTAGTCTGTAGTCACCACGGCAATGCCGGATCTGCGCCAAACCCGAATGGGAGCCGGGGATGCGCAATCACGCAAGCCCCGCGGCCGATGTCGTGATGGGCACGTGATGGGTCTAGCCGCTTTGGGGTGGCAGCCTCTGAAGTATACCTCGTGCATGCTGAAGAATGCCACCGTTGGATCAGGACAGATGGGTGGATGGGAATATGAAGAGGATGCCATTCCTGGTCTGAAGCAGTTGGAGGAGTGTGCCATCATGTAAAAGAAACCCCGATCAAATTTCCCGACATGAACCCCTGAAAATCACGGGCCGGGTGTTTGATGACCGAGTAATGGTCAGAGCATGGAGGGAATGGGAACTGGCCGGATGATGCGGTAGCTGCTCGGTGACAAACACAATCCTGTCGAGTGTAACAGGGTGACTCCTGGTGAATTAGCCGATTTCCTTGTCGCAAGGACGAGTGAAGAAGAGACAGCAGCAGTCTAGAAGTAGTCCGTAAAGAACCGCGGAATTAGCAGTCGCAGCCAAGGCCGGATGGACCACGAAAGATCATCGGAACTCCACCGACTGACGACTTCAACAGGAATTGCGACAACTTCTGGAATCGCATGGTTGCAGTTGGAGACTTTCATTCGCATTGCAAATCAAACTCTGGGTGGGATCCTTTTTTTTTTAATTTTAATTTTTTTCCTGCCAGGTCTCCATAAATAATAATTGGACACTTCCTACTTTTCCTTCCCCTCATCCACTTTTTTCCCTCCCCCTCCTGCACCGTTCCTATTTCTTCTCTCTCGTCCTCCCCTCCCCCGTCTTCCTCTCCCTGACCTTCTCTCTCTACCCATCTTAACTCCCTCCTTTCTCATCCCTCACCCCCCCATCCCAACAATGGCCAACTCTCCTCACGGTGGTGTCCTGAAGGACCTCATCGCCCGCGATGCCCCCCGCCACGACCAGTTGACCGCCGAGGCGGAGAAACTGCCCGCCATCGTGCTCACCGAGCGCCAGCTGTGCGATCTCGAGCTGATCATGAACGGTGGCTTCAGTCCTCTGGAGGGTATGTCCAATTGCTTTCCCCGATGATGTCTTTCTTGGTATTATGACAACAGCGCTTGGCTGCGGCCGGTGATTGGGAACCACTGGATGCTGACTCGTATATCTTCCGCCCAGGCTTTATGAACCAGAAGGATTTCGACGGGTATGCTCCCATCTGTTTTACCTTTCCCCTCCTCAACTCCAAGACATTGGCAGGGAACTTGCGAATGGAAATCCCAAACACCAAGATCTTCGCAATTGGTATGCGACCAGTCGGCTGACCCCACCCCCCCTCGTTTAGTGTCTGCGAGAACTGCCGACTTGCCGATGGCAACCTTTTCTCTATGCCCATCACCCTGGATGCCTCCCAGGAGACCATTGATGCCGGCAAGCTCCAGGCCGGCTCTCGCGTTACCCTGCGGGATTTCCGTGATGACCGTAACCTGGCCATCCTGACTATCGATGACATCTACCGTGCCGATAAGTAAGTTGACTCTTTCCACTCCCCGCTCCTAATATTTCGGCTTGGGTTCCCTTGACGGCGTTGGTTGTGGGATTCGGCCTGGATCATTAAGGCCTCGTACGATCCCACGGTCTTAGCGGGGCAATGCCGGTGGCCATTGCGCCGTCGACCCCGGCGCCGTTTCGGAATTCGTGTATAGTGGGTCTGCATGACGCGGTATGGCTGACGCTCTGTTACCACCATTATAGGGCAAAGGAAGCCAAGCTGGTCTTTGGCGGCGATGCGGACCACCCCGCTATCAAGTACCTGAACACCAAGGTTCATGATTTCTATATTGGCGGAAAGATCGACGCTATCAACAAGCTGAACCACTACGACTATGTCGCCCTCCGCTGTAGGTTTTCCCCCGCCCAATGTCCCCGGTGGAACATGGCTAATATTGTGGTAAATAGACACCCCCGCAGAGCTGCGCATTCACTTTGACAAGCTCGGCTGGAACCGAGTTGTCGCTTTCCAGACCCGTAACCCCATGCACAGAGCTCACCGTGAGCTCACCGTCCGCGCCGCTCGCGCGCGCCAGGCGAATGTCCTGATTCACCCCGTCGTCGGTCTCACCAAGCCCGGTGATATTGACCACTTCACCCGTGTCCGAGCCTACCAGGCTCTCCTGCCCCGTTACCCCAACGGAATGGCCGTCCTGGGTCTGCTGCCCCTGGCCATGCGTATGGGTGGTCCCCGCGAGGCCCTCTGGCACGCCATTATCCGTAAGAACCACGGTGCTACCCACTTCATCGTTGGCCGTGACCACGCCGGTCCCGGTAAGAACTCCAAGGGTGAGGAGTTCTACGGCCCTTACGACGCTCAGCACGCCGTCGAGAAGTACAAGGACGAACTGGGCATCGAGGTCGTCGAGTTCCAGCAGGTCACCTACCTGCCCGACACCGATGAGTACAAGCCCAAGGACGAGGTCCCCGCCGGCACCAAGACCCTGGACATCTCCGGTACTGAGCTCCGTAACCGTCTGCGCACCGGCGCTCACATCCCCGAGTGGTTCTCCTACCCCGAGGTTGTCAAGATTCTCCGCGAATCCAGCCCCCCTCGTGCCAGCCAGGGTTTCACCATCTTCCTTACCGGTTATATGAACTCGGGCAAGGATGCCATCGCCCGTGCTCTCCAGGTCACCCTGAACCAGCAGGGCGGTCGCTCCGTCTCCCTGCTGCTGGGTGACACCGTCCGCCACGAGCTCTCTTCCGAGCTTGGCTTCAGCCGTGAGGACCGCCACAAGAACATCCAGCGCATCTCGTTCGTTGCCAGCGAGCTGACCCGCGCCGGCGCTGCCGTCATCGCCGCCCCCATTGCCCCCTACGAGGAGTCCCGCAAGGCTGCTCGCGAGGCCGTGTCTCACCTGGGTGGCTCCTTCTTCCTGGTCCACGTGAACACTCCCCTCGAGTACTGCGAGAAGACCGACAAGCGTGGCATCTACGAGAAGGCTCGCCGTGGCGAGATCAAGGGTTTCACCGGTGTCGACGACCCTTACGAGACTCCTTCCAACGCCGACCTCACCGTCGACGTTTCCAAGCAGAGCGTTCGCAGCATCGTGCACGAGATCGTTCTCATGCTCGAGACCGAGGGCTACTTCGACCGTCTGTAAGCGTGTTTAAAATGGATTAGGAAGCGTTTTCTTTTTTTTCTTTTGTTTAATGTATGGATGGCGGACTTGAAAAGAGTTCAACGAATCGGGTTATAGAATGTATGCTTTGAATTGCTAGTTAGATTCCCCTTGAAGAATTCCAAGAGCCCAATGTGCTCTATTCAACAAACCAACAAGTATTCCATACTCCGTGTTTATTGTCTTTGGTCCGAAACAACCGTATGAAACTGGCAGCTCCGCCCATGCACCGGTGCATGTGACCCGCCGCGGACATGCAAACAGAGCAAACCGGGCAAACACCGACAACCTCCTCATCTTCCACCGCGGAATTTCCGTCCCTCGCAACCTCCGCCAGCCCAAATATCAGAAGCATCGCAGAATGCTGCCACCCCGAGCTGCAATCGGTCGGGTACCGGGGGCCTCCCTGTCACTACGGCCCCAGATTCATCATGGCCTGCGTCAACCGTTTCGTCCCTTCACGCACAACTCCCGCCTCTCGCTCGTCTCGACGCCGTTAGGTCGCCCTCAGCTGCCATTCCTCTCCCCGCTGACGAGCACTCGCCCTCAACCGCCGTTGTCTATTCACCTCCGACAGCACTTTGCCCGATTGATCTCTACCGAGAGCCGGAATTACTACCGCCGACGGATCTCCCGGGGTCTGCGAATCGGTCTCACGTTCTACGCCATCCTAGTCATGTTCCAAATCATCAAGCTAGGCGTGTACCAGGAAGAAATCGAGCACCAATGGCCCACTCCGCCCGAGTGGTCCTGGAAAAGTCGCTGGTGTCTCCGGTCGGCCCTGGCGCAGCAGAACCCCGAGCAAATCGGCAAGCTGTTGGCCAGTTGGCCCCTGGTCGCGGGATACACGCGGGAGCTGATCGAGCGATTGGAGAATCCCGAGGTCGAGGGCCAGGGTGTTGTTGAGCAGAGCGATGGCGGGTTCTTGGTCGAGGGCGTGGGCAAGACCGGATTGGATGTCTCCGCCAAGAGTGAGCCGTGGAGGAGAGGTTATCACCAGGCCCTGATGGGCGCTGCTAGGGCCGCAGAGAACCTCGACGGTTGGTTGACGGATCGCAAGCAGCGCATCTCCGCGCCGGCAGAATACGTCGTGGGCCCCTCGAACCCTCGTCCGAAGCCCATGCCTGTCGGCCAGAAGACGACACTGCATGAGGAGGATTGTGAACCGGCCTCCCCCGGCCCCGAGACCTTCTACATGAAGATCTTGACGACGCGGGGCTTCGACACGCGGCAGAAGCTCGACGCCGCCCTCGCCTACGCCGACTGGCTTGAGTACAAGGGTCTCCAAGATACCGCGAGCGACATGTACAGCTGGGCCATGGACATCGCTACCTCCGCCTCCCCCGTCGAAGCCTCGAAGGTCGTGGACATGAAGACGGGCGTCCTGAAGAACGACGGCAAGTACCTGCCCTCGGAAAACATCATGCGCGTCTCCACGGCCCTTGCTGTCCACCATGCCCGCCAGAAGAACCTCCCCATCTCCCTCTCCCTCTTCACCTCCGTCCTTAAGGCCCGTCGCGCCCTCCCCCCGGCGGAACCAGGCACCATCTTCCCCACATCTCCCTCCATCAAGAGAACCCCCGACCCCATCCGCGCCTTTTTCAACGCCATCAAAACCGTCCTCACCCCCGTCGAATACCCCGCGCCTCTCCCCTCCGGCGACGAACCCCCCGTCCGCGCCCCCACCGCTCCCTGCGACGAAGCCGGCCTCATGACCTACATCGGCGAAATCCTCTTCGCCTCATCGTCCCAGGAGACCGGCCTCGCCTGGACCCGCGACGCCGTTGACACGGCCGAGTCCACGATCCTCGAATTCGGCGGTCCGGAATCCTTCGACGCCCACCGCTGCACGGAATGCCTCCGCGTCGGCCTGAACAACTGGAAAACCATGGTCGCGCAGCTCCTGGCGCAAGCCAAGAAGGACGAATCCGAGAGCCTCCAGAACGCCGAGAAGGCGTGGTTTGGTGGCCAGAAACGCGCGCAAGCCAAGTCCTTGGAGCGCAAGCGCTGGGACGCCGAGAAGCTGATCCTGGATGATCGGATTAATCGGCTCTGGCCGACCCTAGACGGCGAGACCGGATTGGGCTCTATGGCGCCGAATAGTTCCTTGTTTACTTGATTAGCCTCCTCTTCCTCTTCCTCTTCCTCCTTCTCTTCGTGTCTCTCTAGAATGAGATTCGTGGCGATTTGATTGATTATTTATTTTCTGACTTCCTATACATACATACCATGGTGTTTATTGATGTTCAATGTTACTTTTTGTGTCTTGGATGGGGTGTTTGGCGGAAAATCTCATTTCATTTCATTGGCATCTGCCTACCTACTCGACTGTATTTATTAGTGCATAACTTATTTGCAAGTAGCATCAGAGGGCGAAAACAAAATGAAAGGACAATTTGAATGAAGTATCTCTTACGATATTCTAAAATCGAAACTAATCATATTCTTCAATTTTATGTCGGATTAACCTTCGAACTGGTTTTTTTCTTCTTTTCTTTTCTTTTTTACTTGATTTTTATCCTTGAACTACTGGTTACTAAGACGAGTCACAAATCTGGAACTTTTCGACTTGACATGGTAGCTAAGCTAGAGAGATAATGAAACAAAGACAAGACAGACGGGAATACCTGGACGCTGGCATGTATGAAGCATAAAACCTAACCGGGCAAATAAAACAATACCAAAGAACGCAATTATGGATACTAAATGCGATGAGATGCGAATGCGAATGCGATGCAATAGATGCAGTACAATGCAATGCAAGAAAAAGGGTACAGGGAACCAGTCAATCAATCAGTTAGTCTACTTGGCTCAGCGAGAAAGCGCAAAAACGTAAGATGAGAAAGCATTTGTCAACCAGAGCCGGGGGATATATATATAAAATTGTCAAGAGAAAGAAGAAAAAAAGTTCAAGGACATTCCTTGAATGATTAGAATAGAAAAAGAGATGTGGAATAAACCCGGCAATCCATCACTGCATTACCAAACCAACCGGTTTTCAATCACCGCCCACAACATCTCCATTCGGCAAAGTTATCCTGTACTTATCAAAGTCCAAAGAAAAGGTGCCCTTGACGCCGGCGTTGGTGAGGTCGACGCTGAAATCGTTGCTGTCGGAATCGGGGTACGATTTGGCCAGATATGATTGGATCTTCTCTTCCGAGTAGGTAGCGGCGCGGAAGGCCCCGGTTTTCTCGAAGATGTAAAGCACGGCGATGCGAGAGAAGTCGACGACGCTGGTGGAGACGGAGGTTGAGGAGGGCGAAGCGGTTGCGGTCGATGTAGCAGATGATGTGGTGGTTGAATGAGATAACGGCTTGGTTTGGGTTGCCTCGGGGAGACCAGTGAAGGTCATTGGTTTCATGGTCTCTGTCGGCACGGAGGTGTCAAAGACGATGCCGTTCTGTGTGCCGATCTCGGCTCGAGCAGCGAGCGTTTTCGTGCGCACATCGAATGTTGTGGGGGTTGGTGGCTTGGAGTCGGAGAAGGCTTGGTCTGGGATGGACGCCAGTTGGGGATCAGATGCGACTGGGAGAGCGCGACGGTCCTTGCTGGAGCCCGTGTGCACGTCTTTGAAGGCGACGAGGGAGTTTTCAGTCGTGCAGGAGACATTGTTCTGGCTAAACAGGGCCATTATCGTGACCGAGTCTAGAGGCACTCCAAAGTCGCTTTGCGCATTGTCAAACAGACGCGGGAGGTTGCTGCCCATAGTAGCATTCTTGGACGATGAGCCTTGGCCAATTTGAGTCGTGGTGCAGCTGGAGTCGCCGGAAATTGTGCATTGCGAGCCGGTAAATCCGTTCGAGCAAACGCAGGAGCAGACGTCTCCACTGGAAACACTGACACCCCCGTTGGCGCAGGGCGTGCTACTCTCGCAGTTTGCGCCACTGTTCTTGTTGGCGACAAGGAAGACGGGAACGAGGACCGCCACGAGGATGATAATGATGACCAAGGCGCAGATCAAGATGAATAACCAAAGAGGCATTCCACAGCAACGGCGAGGGCGCTTTTCAACCTTCTCGTTACCTGCTGCCTCATCCGGCATAGTTTCGTTAGACTTGATATGATGCAGAGTAGACCTTCTGAAAAAGACGGGCCACGGCGACCCGCGTCCTCCTTCTGGTGTCGCGGCGGGAGGGGGAAATGATGCCAGGAGATCCTTGATCGATCCAGATCTGCGATATTGATGTCCTTTTAAGTCACAAGTCAGCATTCTGTTCCATCACCACATGTCCTTTTAGGTAGGGCACGCTACTAACCGGCAAACCTCGGGCCTCCACCGGCGTTAAGCAGATCATTCCTGCTAGCCGTCCGGCCGTGTTCCAAGTTGGAGGCCAGTTTCGTAGCACGTCGAATCAAGTCTGGCAAACTTGTCAAACTGCCTCGCTTCTCTGCATCGCGAACAGCTGACATGTCCAAGCGAGGAGGTCTCCGAGCGCCCGGCCTTTTGTCGCTCATTGTCGGAGCAGCCCTGGGAAGAGCGCCCATCTCCTTTTCAAGTGCTCCCATGCTCGGGTTTGCGCGATTTTGGGGAGGGTGCGGGTGGCCAAGATCCAATACAATCGGTGCCTTTTCCAGGTCGAAATGGGATGAACTCGTGGATGTTGAAGAGAACGAATCTCTTCGATCATTTGCGCCGGCGGAGACTTCTTTGAAGGCGGCTCCTTGGGGCATACTTTTCGGCATAGATTCTTGGGGTGGCGGCAATGGTGAGTCGGCGTTAGATCGTGAGATAGTGCGCAGAGCTGGTACACCTCTCTTGCCTAGGCTTGCTTGTCGGACGAGAGTAACGTTACGCGCCTCGCCCGTAGATTTAGGGCTCTGGTCCTCGTCAGACTCGCCGTCAAGGTAGGTTTCCAGAATATCCGACTCGGCACGAGCAGAGCCCCAGCTTGAAGGGATGACTCTGCTCGATGCGAATGATCCTTCATGGATGGTAGGACTGTCCGATCCTTCCTCCGGGATAGGTGAAACAGAGGACTGACGATTTAGTCCAGGTCGTAGCTGTGCCAGGGGAGGCGGCGCGAGGTTTGGTTGCTGTTTGTGAAATTGCCTCTGGCTTTCGGCGGTTACGGGTTGGGCAGGAAAAGGGAAATCCGGGATGGACGGGATGGAGCCGATCGAAGAAGCCGCGGATTGTCTGAAAAGATCATCAGTCGCCACGGAGATTCGAGTAGTCGGCTCTTCAGGGCTAGTGGGGCTTGGGGGGACAGGATCTCTGATGACCGGACGCGGCGGCGGCGGCGGATGCCCTAAAGGTTGAGAGAATGAGGGAACAGGGCGTTGAATATGCAGTGGGCTAGGCGTAGCATCCGAGTCGCTCCTCTCCGAATACACTGACGGGGACGGCAGGTCAGGTCGCGGCGGTCGCTGAGGCGGAGGACCTTTGGGGACGAACAGTCTGGCGCTGGGGTCGACCATGGGCATGGGGCCCTGCAGATTGTCATTCGGCAAAGGCCATTGGGTCATATGAGCCTGATTCATCCTAATAGGGGGAGGCGGCGGCCTAAGATTCGCTGGAGGCCCTCGAGCCTCGGGGCGTCTTCCAGCTTCAAGCATTTCTCTTGCGCGGCGAACCGACCCTTTCCTTTCCATAGCATCGTTGGGGTTGGGCCTAGAACCAGACATGTTGGCGATATAATGAGGGGAGTCCTAGAGTTGATGGCAATTACGATGCGGTTTCACGGAATGAAGCGTTCTGTAATTGCACACACATAGGATGGGATATTGCGACGAAGAGCTTGTATAAAGGTTTCTTTCGTCTTTGCCGATAGGTGGACGACCTTTGTTGGAAAAGTTCCAGCTCGACAAGATAGTCGAGAATGAAGTCAAAGTTTTGAATGAAAGCGATGAGAATAACTCTAGCTGATAGGTTTGCAGATCTCTAACAGCGCTGACTGGTAAGAGATGCAAACACCAAAAAAAGAATGGGACTTGAGAACCAGATGCTCAAGATTGAGAAGAAAGACGTTTGTAGAATGTTGCGATGGCACTCAATGCCTCTGCTGCGGCGCAAGTATGCAAGTGAGCCAATGCTACAGACCAGCAGGGCATGATAGCGTCATGAGATGAAGAAGGCATACCGCAAAATGATGAATAATTTTTTTGGAAGAAAGGAATGAAAAGAGAAGAGGAGACTTGGGTCACAACTTCATAGTATCAAACTCGTACAGTCTCAACTCCAACGGAATCACTGGCAGTCCATTCGGAATTCAGCCCCTGATGATGGTGAAAGTACCGGTTAGCCCCATCTGAAGCATTTTATGTGATATAAATTTAGGACTTACGGATTCATCAAACGAACGGCACCACAAAAGAAGGGAAGGAATAAAACAGAGCTTCTAGCCCCTGGTGAATTAAAGAGAGAAATGGCAGAGAAGCAGAGAAAAGAAAGAAAACCAGGCCGGAATCGCGTCCAAACGGGGGCGTTGTGTGATAGCACCACCCGGGTGGGTAATCAAAATAAGGGTTTTTTCCCAGCACCCCCAGAAGTTAGAGCCAAAACTTAAACGCAGATATTATTATTTAGCTGCCTCATCTCGGACGGGCAAGCACAGGACTCGGATAAGGGCGCAGCCTGTCTGGGACCGGCCCATTTAGTTCCCAGTTCGATCGAGTGGAGTTGGGACCGAGTCAAGTAAGCGTGGAAGCTGACACGGAGGATCGTTTGATAGTGACTCGAAGGTTGCTGCTGTCTACGGAGTACATGGTCATGCACATCAGCATGGCGGAGAGGGGGCACCTGGTCGATACTCGAGGCCCCTATTACGTCGTCTGCGTTACACAGGAAGCTTCAGCCGCGTTCGTTATGTTGGTTGGGCTGCGTCGAGGCAGCCACCTATTTTTTTTCTTTTTCTGCGCTCTCCCGTACGCCATACGTTCTTGCAGGCCGTTGGCGGACCTCCTGAATAACTGCGACAACCATCACAAAGGCGCGATATAGGCGAAGGACACGGATTGGCTGAAAATTGAGATCCGGAGTAAACGAATCAATCGGATAACTGGGCCATGGGCCCGGAGCGAATAAAAGAGACGGAAGTCGGCAAGGCTCCACCATACCAAGCGCATGGCGGTTGACGCTACGTCTCAGTTTGAACAGGAGGGACCACTTTTAAAAGCGGCTAAGCGGCCCCGAGATTTCAACATGAAACCATGCATCCCGTGTCCGTGGTCCAATAAAGAGGGGGAAGCCGAGGCTGGAACCAGGATCAACCAGGGAAGATCAATTCTGACGTTAGCCAGTCTGTGGGAAAGGCGATCGACTGCACCTCGTCAGCGCGAATCACATCGGAGAGAGATGGTGATAGAGAGCAGCCGGAGACAACCAGCCTCGTCGTGGTCGGAGGCGGGAAAGCAGGGAGAACGGAGGCGACGGTCGGCGGCTAGTGTCGCTTCCATCGTTCGGGGTGGGCTGGCTTGGTTCAACGGGGTTAACTCTCCGATAGCGCGCCGGGACTATATCTGCCGATATTAAAGGTGAGAGTGCAGGGGCCCTAGTGAGACAAGATACCGTATGACTATGAGGATGATGTGATGATCGCACTTTCGGGATGCCGTTGGGAGAGAAGAGGAAAGAAAAAGAAAAGAGACGATAAGAAAGTGGGAGGAAGGCAGTCGGCCTGAGGCTGCCTTCTGCCACCTGACTTCCGGCCACCTGACTGGCCATTCCTTTTGGATTCTACATAAAAATGCATACTCTGTAGCATAAAAGTAAATTAAATCGGACGAATGAAATCAATCCATACCAGCAAAATCACGAGTGGACCTCCGCGTCTAGTGGCTTGGGCAAGCTCTTCTTCATAGCTAAAATCAATAGTCCGTCGACTAAAGGATTACCACCATGTGGTCGGCTCTTTCTCCTCTCCAAGTCAGCACTTACCTCTTCCTTCTTCCAGTTGGTCTCCCCGAGAGTCCGGAGTAGTGCAAGGGCTGCCGATGGTCGTCCAGCGACAGAATACCCGCTCAAGGCAGGGGATGTAACCAATATATGCAGACATGTCCATGCAATGCACGATGCACCACAGAATCACTGCAGCATGTAGACCTATGTCTCACAGATACTACGACAGCAGATTCCCCGAACAGGAATCCTTCTCCGGACTATCGTCCCAGAACGGAAGAATTATGGGGCTGCACCCAATCCCCATCGCCGACTAAATATAACTATGTTCACGGGCCCCAGTTTCTGACGGAGTCGACTCTTCGGAGCTCGAAGCCACTTAATCTATATCCCCTGAATGCGGTTAGTATCCTTCCAGACCAATAAAACGGCGCCTCTGTCCTCCGTGGTCTCTTTCTTTTTCTCAATAAATGAATCAGACGCAGCAAAAACGGCACGCTCGCATGCCCAACTGCACCATGAGAACGCCACGGGCGGGTAGTCACAAACTCGAAATGAGTGAGGATGGTCTCCTCGAACTGGAAGAGACATGTCTTGAGACCCGATAGGTGTCAGACTTGATCGAAGGATTCTGCGCAAGAAACTGTGCTGACTGCCAACCACCACAGTTGCGTTCCTGATTCAAGAGAGCCTCCGGAGTTAGAGCATTGTCCGTGACTGCGGGTCTCGACCCATATGCTTGATAGATTAACGGCTCCGTTCTTGCCACCGAGTGATGCTATATTTGTCAAATCGGATCAGGTTCGATAGATGAAGTCCGTGGGTATCGCACAGTGCAAACTGTACAGAGCCCAGTGCTTTGCTTAGCGGTCGAGTTCCCGAGTATCAATAGATCCGGAACTAGCAGCATCTTTATATTAATACCCACCTTCGGCGGTCTCCATCACAAGTTTTTGACTGTGCTCTGGTTCCTTGGACCGTTATATTTATAGAACGGACTGGATTGCCTTTGACAGCTTACTCCGTACTGCGTACTTATAGAAGAAACTTTCAATATCACGTAACCGGACAACTTTATCTTGGGCCAATTCTCTGCGTGTTACCCTTTCGGGCCTCATATGTCCTAACTAGGATTCCCCGTGTGAGTAGGCAAAAGTCATCTGCTAATATACATGTCAGAAGTCCAGTCACCAAACTCTAGCTAGAAGACAATTGATAATGCAAACCTGCGATAATAATCGTTCCTTTGACCAGCAAACTTGATTCCAAGTGAAGGTCGCAAATCCCCATGCCAACAGCTTACCATATTTGTAAGAGATGCTGTCAAATCAACCAAAAATGAAGCTGCAGTGCTCTCAAAATAGTTTGACGACGCTCTAACCTGACCAAGAGTGGAGAGACTTTGACCAAACAATTCCAATTGCTCGATTTGAATCTATCGAATACCAAGAATGTAGAAAGAAACTTGTCTTTATTTAATCTAGGTGGTTGTCGGAGATGAAGCTATAAGTGTACTTCGAAATACATACTCGGCTGGATGCTTCCTCATTATCGTCTTTATGGTATAGAGCCTTTAGTTTCAAATATATTTTATTTCTACACTCAATTCAAACACACGAAGCAGTTTTGTTTTGTTAAGATGCAGCTAGGTAATTCCTCGAAAAACTGAAACCATTCTTGCTGCCAATGCTGAAGCTATCTGTCCGATAGACAACTACACCTCAAAGACCTTGCCCTTGCACCCATAGTGTTAAGGGTTCCATTTTCTCTTACAGTTTCCTCCTTCCCCTCGACACGGACATGATTGAATAGAAAATTATATCTGACAAGAGACTTTATTCCAAGAAAATGAATTATTCTTCTACTTCATTATTACAATTACGACTTACGACCTCAGTCGACGTGATCTTAGCTCGGGCCTATCAGCTCCTATACCAATGTACCTCGATTTGATTAAAACAAGGCCCAAGTCTTGCTTGTTGACTGGAATACCGAGCATGCATTGAAAACCAATGACGTCTCCATGCTTGCTCTCCCTGTATGAGATAGCGGCTCCATATATGATAAAACCCAATGTTTTCCCCTAATATTTCAAACCCTAAAACACGATGGTCTTCAGAGCCGCCTTTGGTAATGTATGGCTCGATATTAGAAGACTGAACTGATACTAATAGTCGAGTAAAGCTTGGTTTCCTATTTCTAGTTTCTTCTGTAGTATCTTCTCAACCCCAAGATCAAGCTTCGCGCCTTGGGCTTGCCACTGCACAGGTAATTTTTCATGCAATATAAATCAATCATCATCGCTTTTCCATGGGATACGTTTTTGCCAAGTGATCATTCCAGTTCAGCTAAGAAGTACACGAGAAAAGACGTCTGTATCTATTACTATACGTTGGGAAGATGATAGATAGACCATGGCCTCTACTCTACGAATGCTTTAAGATGGCCGCTCTCCCTGAGCCTAGCGGACTGTCTTCACCGTCCCTTTTGTCAACTATACAACGTATGGTATCTACCAAGTTTTCAAAGGAAAAGAAATCAATTATCCAAACACCGTACGGCAGTTCACCCCATTGCTCCTCCAGGTCGCGAACGAGTCCACCCAGCCACTTTCTCTACTCGGGTGAGAAAGTCCGTAGATATCTGTTGCTCCGAAGGGTTACGAATATGGTATTCAACTAGACGGATGAGCAAGAAAACCCAAAGGAGAGAGGAAGGCCATACTCGAACCAACAGAGGATAAACCATGGAGTATGCATTCTCGACAGTTTCATTGACATGGATGGCCTAATTTCCCTCGCAAGAAACACTACAGGTATAGTATCTTGTTCTACAAACCCTTTTAGCTAACCTCTTGGTGAGACCTTGTTGATTCCGGAGAGTTTTGTTGAACAAAGCGCTATGTAAGTACCTAGGGAGATGGTCATAGAAATGGCGATGGTGCGTAGAATGATATGATTGACAGATTTATTTTCTGTGTTTTATACAAAATGGTCGAAGACATCTGGTGAGTGGGCTATATGACTTTCATGGACATGTATGTGCATCGGAAGAGGTGGTGACTCTGAATGGAGAACATTGAAGTGTCCACGAAGTGCTGGGCTATAACCATACAGTGCAGTAATGCATATTTACATCGCTTCTTGGAAGTCCCTCTGGAACTTGGAATAAAAGAACTCCATATATGTCGAGGTTGTACCCCTACTCATCAGATCAATGTGATGTATCTTTTTAGGGCAATATGTATTTCTTGCATCCGCATAGAATAAACCATCTGGCAGCGTAGTGAGTTTTCATAAGAATATCTTCCTAACAGCACCATGGACTTGTATTATTGAGTCAAGTAGCATCATTAATCTTATTCTAAACCGTCAGTACGTCTACGGGCATTGGTCTGGACCTTCTATGTAAGCCACCAACACTCCTTATTTAAGCACTCTCCGCGCAACAAGAGGACTGTTCCCTGCTTTGATAATTGAAAAGTCGTGTGCATCAAGACAGGCTTTACGAGAGTTTTCAACGGATGGACCGGCTCGCGCAGTCATGTCCTTTTCGTAGGCCCGTATGCTTTCGTGGATCGAAGCGGAAGATGATTTGCTAAATGAATGGGTTAGATACATGACTTTACTATTCGCTAATCGCCTTAGAGAATACACATACCTGATAGATTGTAAATCAACCCTCTTCGTGAAATCCAGCACGTCGACAATAGCGTTATTTGCGCCTTCTCCGCGGACTATACGCACGCCGTCAGTCCCGACCTTCCAAGGGTAATCGATTATAAACCACGGGGGCTAGAGAGGAAACTCACACATGGTCATCGAATGAGCCGAGTCGCCCAGCAACACCGCCCGCGGCTGCTCATTCGTTCCCTGCTTCTGCATCCAGTCCTCGATATTGATGGGAACCACGTCGGCGTCGTCGGGCAGGTCGTGAACCAGGGATCGGAACGGTTCTGCCCAGTCTTCCGTGAGTGATTTCATCAAGGCGATGCGCTCTGTGGTTCCAGTCGGGATGTCGACGCCCCGGTCGTTGGACCAGGAGACCACGACCTGGCAGAGGTATCCATCTGGACTGTCGTCGAAGTTGAAGGGGCTGTCGAGGACTGGAGTGTTTTATCAGAGGGGGTTAGATTGTACAACGCGAGATTGCCGCGACCTGGGGAGGATCGGCACTCACAGCTGAAATAAAGATACACATTCGACTCCGAGTGCGTTCCTTGAAAGAAGAAGGGGTCGAGTGCTCGCACGGCAGTCGCTTGGTCGACCGAGTAGCGAGTTGTGGCTCCCAGTAATTGAATGGGCAAGGGGGCGTTGCGATAGTTCGATGGATAAAGAGACCTGCGGACACGAGAGCGCGAACCATCGCAGGCGACCACGATGGAACCCTGGTACGAGGTGCCGTCTTCGAAGCGGACGGTGACCGAATCGTCGTGATACTGGACGTCTTGGAGGGGTTTTGACCACTGGGACATTCCTGTTAGAACGAAACAATAATAAAAGCGCACACGTAACCCACCTGGACATCGACCCCCGTAGTCAAAAGCTGCCTGAATCGAGACCGACTCACGCGGATGCGCTCAGCAGCAGGCACACTGCACAGCGCTTCCCCCGATGCCAGGTCGAAGAACTGATAGCGACCCTTGTCGCCACTTTTGACGGCCTCCTTGTTCACAAAGGTCTCCGGGAGCCGTTCCTTGACGTCCTCGGGAAGCAGCTCGTAGAGGGCAGGCAGTGCCCAGTGCAGAGTGAGGCCCCAGCCGCCGGCTCGAGCGGCGATCGACGCATCGCGCTCAAAGATCTGGTAGGCAATCCCTGATCGGCGAAGATACTGCGCGAGGATGAGCCCGCTGATTCCCGCCCCGACAATCAGGATCGGCAGTGAATCGGATCTAGGAGGGGCGGAACTGGAGGGCTGGCTCTTGTCTGTTTCCATTTTCACAGTTTTTACTCTGGAGAGTCACCAGGAATGCGATCAAGGGGGAATACGATGCGGTCACTTGGCAAAGGCGGGATGGACGGACGCAGGAGATTGTGTAATCCCGGATGTAAGCACTTTCCGGATGTAATCGGGATCGACCGTGAACCCAAGACATGGCCTCTAGTAGAGACATCGTCCGAGATGGTGCGAGGTCGAATGAGACGACCGACTAGTCCGATCAATTGCGACGATTTGATTGCTGGAGCATGGCCAGAACCGGCCGAGAATGCGCCAGGGTTGCCCACCCTCTCCGAACGCTCCGGCACTATCGAGTGGCCGGAGAAGCTTCAGCATTCAGGGGGAAGAAAGCCATGCAGCAGGCTTAATCCGGGACAGCGACGCTCGAGGGACTGAATCCTGGCAGCATCCTAGACGCTCTCGGCATCAAACAAGGCTGACGGAATGGCCCATTCGGCCCCCATTATTGTTTCCTCAAAACAAAACACGCAGGCTCCAGAGTTTAATCTATCGGAGGGCCAATCATGCAGACGACAGTTGGAGGATGCAGCGTTAGTGACGTTGCACTGACAGGGATTGCCCCTAGCGTTGACGCTTGAAGTGTCTTATCGCCTTCGCGGCGGAGTCGCCAATCTACTTGGTCTCATATCAGACCACACACTCGTGGAAGGATTGTCTCGGTGAGTCCGACCTGGTCGTATTTGGTCCTCGCAGTGCATGCGCCGTCGATCCTCTCGCGCGAGGGCTTGCCACTGTCCATTTGGTGGCGTTGATTCCAGTCTCGATCAAGCAGAAGCCGGAAATCGACGTCAAAGACAAAAGAAAATTTTATATTAATTCCTAGTCAACGAGTGCCTAGCCTGCCAGCTAGTGGTCTTCAAGTGAATAATCTAATTCTGTACAAGGTGTCATTAAATCCGGACTCTAGCGGTTCTGGTCTCCATCGACCTCGACGTGGTACTCCACCGTCATTTTGATGGCGCCCCTGTTGGTGGCACCGTCGGACTCGCTGCCGTTGTCGAGAATCAGTTCCTCGCTGGGCGTCCGCTTCGGTTTCGATGCAATTTGCGAGACGTTGGAGACGTTGGTGCCGTGAAGTCGGTCATCTTTCGAGTAGGACTGCAGGACGTAGTGCGAGTCGGTGCGGTATTTGCCTTTGGAGGCACTTCGGGAGCGGAAATCGCTGACGAAACCCTTGAGCAGAGGGCCGAGGAAAGGCAAGCACGTAATAATATTCTGAAGGCAGGTCAGTCAGTGACAAATTAACAAATCCGTGGCATCACTAGGAGTGTAAGCTTCTTTTCTTAGGGGCAATCGGCCGGCATCCGCCGCCCATCGATTGGCGGGGATGCGCGGCCTGAGGGGCCGAAGGGTTTTTAGTGTGAGGTTTGGGCTGATTAGCGTGGTTTAATCTATCACGTACTCCGACATTGAACTCGATCGTGCCCCAGAGCACGAGCATCGTCGAATTCCCATCTCCGTAGGCAATCACGCGGATCTGGGTGAGCCGGAGAATGGAGCAGACGGTGGTGAACAGCCCCAGCAGAAACAGACACAGAAGACCCGCTTTCTGCGCAGGCTTGACGTTTAGTTCCAGCAAGAGAGGAATGGGCAGGAAGATGATGACCACGTCGCACAGTATCGTCCACGCCACTAGGGCATAGTTGGTTGCGCCGAAGGGGAGACATGTCCCTTCGGTGGTGGGATCCCACGATTTTTGCACCTGGTTCTCGGTCAGTCTGACCCACAGTAAAGGCAGAGAAAGAAACGAGAGCCACCGACCGGTTTGCAGTTAAAGATGAGGATCAGTGTGGCGGCAAAGTGCCCCAGTGTTGATATGATCATGACTGACCAGATCACAACTCGGTATAGCTTCTTGGACGTTCCCGACAAAAGACGCAGATAACTGAGACAAAGCGCGGCCTTGAATCCCGCAATGCCCATTTGATAGAACGGTCGACCGGCGAAATTCAACTGGATGGCGAGATCGAGACTCAGCGACAGACGCATGACGGGAGGGGAGTATTGTTCATCTGCTCACCTTCATGTAGGACCCGAGATTGGCCTTGGGTCGAAGAGCCAACGGAAGCCCTAAACCATACCGGCTTTCTATAGATCGAACCGGTCAGGACGAGTGCGATCGGGGGCGATGGGAGAGGGATATGCACTCACGAGCCACGCAGAGGCAATTGTAGATGATGCTAAACAACTATCGGAGTGATTTGAAGGTTAGACAAGACCTGGAGGTTGTATATTCGGGCATCGGACTCACCATCGTCACGATCATCACGTAGTCATCGGCTGCCATCCGCCGGGCTCGAATGCGAATGTAAAGGCGTAAACACACAACCACCATCATCGCCCCGGTCAGAGAGAAACATACTCCCAGGATCGTGGGATAATTCGACTGGGCATTCACCTCAGCGGTGGCATTATGAACCCAGCCCATGGTGAAGGGCAATGAGAATGGATAGACTCGAGGGAGGACGGAGATCGCAGTTCCGCAAGGGATATCGAGATTCTAAGAGTCTCCAGGGCTTCATGCAGGACTGCATCCTCTTGATCTCTCGGAACCGTGGCTTCGGAACCGCGGCATTTCCTCTGCTCTTTTCCTTTTTTATTCTTTTAATTTTTTTTTTTAAATGAAATTTCTGTTGTCCCCTCCTTTCTTCCATCTTCCCATCCTTCCATCCTTCTTCTGCAATTTCATTCGTAATTCCGGAGTCATCTGGGAGAGGAAAGGCAACCGTCCGGCGAGAATCAGGAATCTAATCCATGTCAGTCACTCTCCGGGACAAAGTCATTGGTAACACAACTCCACATCGTTGCCTCTGCGTGGATCACCGTCGAAATTGAAGGCCCCATCAGAGTGCTGATGGGAGACAACACTAGGGCACGACCTGCATCCCAGCTACTGCACGCTATCGCAGGCCTAGACCGGGGGGAGTTCGGCGACAGTGCCACTCTTGGGATTCATTTCATGCTCTTCATTCTCCGGAGTGCTCGTTAGTCTCTTGCCCCTCGTCCTTATTTCTTTTTCTTGCCCTGCATCTCCCGCGTCGATCGGTCTGCATTTCTTCCATCTCCTTTACACATCCATCTCGGTCGATGAGTGGTTGTCTCTCTTCCTGATCCTATCCAACTATTGTTCCTCTTGTATCTGGACACAGTCCCAAGGCAGCGGGGCGATTCCATCATGTCGCAAGTTGAAACCAAACAGCCTGATGTCGATGCCAAACCGGTGGCCTCGGCCAACATCGACCAGGCCTGGGACTATCTGGCCAGTCATGCCAATAACCAAAACACCGATCATGTTGATCTAGCTGCGACTCGGCGCAAAATTGATCTGCGCATCATGCCGTTCATGTTCTGTTGCTATTTCCTGCAGTTCATCGACAAGGTCATGTACAACGTGAGTTTCCTTCGTCCTACCCAGGACCAAAGTGCTCCGGCTAATATGATCTCTCCCTCAGTATGCTGCTGTCATGGGCATGAAAGTCGATCTCGGACTGAAGGGAAACAACTTCAGTGATGCTGCCAGTGCTTTCTTCATTGCCTATCTGGTGGCCGAAGTTCCCAATGGTGAGCTCTCATCTGACCACAGATGTCTCCTGGCAGCTAAACTAACCCCTCGGTAGTATACTTGCTGCAGAAGGTCCCCCCTGCCAAGTGGTTGGGAATCAACGTCGCCCTCTGGGGAGTTGCTGCTGCTGCTTCTGCCGGCGCCAAAGACTACCCGACGCTTCTCACCTCCCGAATCTTCCTCGGTATCTTCGAGGCCACCGTCGGCCCTTCTCTGATGCTTCTGAGCAGTCAGTACTACACCAAGCAGGAGCAAGCCCCTCGCTTTACCTTCTGGTACCTGGGTCTGGGCGTTGCTCAGATCATCGGAGGCATTATCTCCTTTGGCTTCCAACATGTGCACAACTCATTCGAGGGCTGGAGGATCATGTTCCTGGTCATGGGCTTGATCACCGTGATTGTGGGCGTGGCCACTTACTTCTTCATCCCTGACACGCCGATGAAGGCCAAGTTCCTCTCGGATGACGAGAAGATCTCCATCCTCAAGCACGTCAGCGTCAACCAAACGGGCATTCACAACAGCAAGTTCAACTACAAGCACATCATCGAATCCGTCTTCGATGTGCAGGTGTGGCTGTTGACTCTACAGGTGGTTCTGGTAAGCTTCACGTCCCTCATCTTTCTGCTGCCACCAGCTAACAACACCCCCCAGCAATCCGTTTCCAGCGGCGTGGTCACCACCTACTCGTCCACCCTCATCGCCTCCTTCGGCTTCTCCGGCCCCGTCTCCGCCCTCCTCAACACACCCTCCGGCATCGTCAGCATCTTCTTCACCCTCCTCGTCGGCATCGGCATCCGTAAGGCCTCCAACCGCTGGGCCTGGGTCTTCATGTGCTGCATCCCCGGCATCATCGGCGGCGGGCTCATGTCCTTCCTGCCCAAGACCAATCGCGCCGGCGTGCTCATCGGCATCTACCTCGTGAACTCCATCGTCGCGCCCCTGCCCGTCATCTACCACTGGACGGCGGCCAACTGCGCCGGGTACACCAAGCGCGCGTTTACCAGCGCCCTGGTGGCCGGCTCCTTCTCCATCGGTAACATCATCGGGCCCCAGACCTTCCAGGCCCGTGACGCCCCGGACTACCGGCCGGCGAAGATCGCCGTCCTAGCCACCCAGGCGGCGGCGGGCGTGCTATCCGTCGTGCTGTGGCAGTACTATGTCTGGGAGAATAAGCGTCGGGATCGGGCCCAGGCCGGACAGTCGGAGCAGGAGGCTGTCAGTAACGATACGGCGTGGGTTGGCTTGACGGACAAGGAGAATAAGAATTTCCGCTATGTGTACTAATTGAATATTGAAGATGCGTGGTTGGATATGGCCAGTCAGCTTAATGTGTTACTTTGCTAGCTTTGCAAAATGTATCGTTGTGATAGTATGCTTCGTATTCGATTAATCCAGTCTGAATAGCACTCTTAGATACCACTCTCCAAAGGATCAATAGTAGATAAGTATCTTACCAAGCGACCGGTCCAGTCGGAATCCTTCAGGCTTCACTCCCCGACGGATTGTTCGTACTGCGTAGAAAGCACCGGCCCCCAAATCCCCAGTCGAACCGCTCCAGGATCCAAACCATCCAGGGAAGTAGATCCTCCGGGCAGGACACGGAGTTTCCAGGCTTGATTGCGCCATTTCGGACATTGATGTCTGGTTTCAATCTCCAGAGTGGAGTCCTGGTAGACTTGTACTACTTCGTGGAAGTTGGCCGGATATTATGGGACGTTGCAGTCGATGATCTGTTTTGAGTTTGTTGGGTATTTGAGAGGTCTTTCATTCATTGGGTTTGTTTATACTTGCTCCATACGGCGTATGCATTGAATGTAGATCATAATTGTTGGATTGCGTCCGCTTGTCAGTGGTCAACGATTGCAATTATGTAATGCCTTGTGCGACATACCCTGTTCATCCAATTTCCCTTCAATTGTCTAGGCCTTGGGACGGGTTTTGAGGGATTCCAGGGGGATTCTGGGTTCGTGTTTTCGGTGGGGTTTCATATCGACGTCTTGGCTGCGATGCAGGAATCCTCGAATGTGCTCCGTAAAGGATGATTCGATGGAGCATTGGGCGTGGGTGAGTCTGTGGGTTTATGCTGCTCCATATGTACTGCGTAGAGTGATAAGTCCAATGGGCACGGCACTACTTTCGCTGATTTGTGGGGTTTGGACCGAATTGTTGGGATTGAGATGTTGACAGTATTGAACTTATGGGATCATACGATTCATTATAGCACGGGTAGCGAGGATAAGAAAGAAAATCATCTCCCTTCCGTAGTTTACCAGCAGAATTGAATCGCCTCTATGGGCTGGCAGTGTACATGTGGAAAGCTCTATCGGTGCCATATTTCCGAAGATCTCGAAAGATAGTTATGGTCGCGTCTCGTCATGCTTGCCCTATTTGGCTTCTCACGCGGCTGATTTCGCTTTCCAGCGCTCGCATCTCGAAAGCTGTGCTTGCCAGTTGCGGCACAGGGCCGTCTATCACGTCGCTGAATGATTTCTGGGCATTGCGGAGATGAGGCGAGACGAGGACGCCAAACCACCGGATGGGATCCGATGAGCAAGGCTTTTTCTTCACGGGTTCAGGCTTCGGGGCAGATGTCGAGTCTGCATCGGTGTCTTCAGTCGATTCTGTGGGCTCTGTATCCTCGGCGTTCGCGTCGGGTGCTTCTTTCGGACTGTCATCCGATTTGGAAGATTCACTTTCCTTCGTCTCGGAGAGTGCCTCGGAGTTCTCGTTGGCGACTGGTTCGATCGCAAAAATGGCCTTCGTTTCGGGATTTCCAGTCGAATCTTCTACTTCGGTCGTCTGTTCTTGACTTTGGGAATCTGGAGGAGGTTGCAAAGCCCTAGCCATACAGCACGGTTAACATGTATTCCGATGGTGACCAAAGCGACCGGATTAGTCTATGAATGCACTCACACTCTTCGGGTAGCTTTCATCCGCTCATCATAGTAATCGGTGCCATATCTTCGACCCGGCGGACAGGTGTAATTGGCCTGCGCGAGCGAGAAAAACCCCTAATTCCCTACTCTTAGTGACTGTGCTCGGAGCCCGATGGCAATACGTGTCCTTCATACCGAGGAGATACGGCGGGCCAATTCTTCCTGCGATTTCTGGTGCCGATCGAGCAGGTCGAGATACTTTTCCAACAGCGTGTCGAGCGATTGCAGCAGGTCCGCGGAGGAGTCGGCGACCGGAGCTTCCTTGAGCTCGGCGTCTGGGGTTTCTGAGCCCGGCCGCGACGCAGGAGGCGTGGGGATCTGCGCCATGGAGAGATGGTATTGCGGAGGGTGACACTAGAAATGCGATGCGACCGGGACGCGGGTAATGGCAGGAACTGGTGAGGATCGAGGCGAGGGCAGTATGGACGATGGATGAAAGTTGGAGATGGAAATCTGGAGAAAGGCGAAGGTCGGCCGAGGCGCCCGATAACTCCGTCATTCGATAAAAGAATTTCCCATCCGTCATCGCTTCTTCCCCCTTCGATTGTCTCCCCTCCCCATCCAAAGAGACAGCCTTTTCCTCTCCATCGCTTCTAGTCTTGGTCTTGCACAATTGTCAAGACCTTGCCACCTTGTTCTCGAAGGCCAGCGTTCTTCAGTCCCCGCGTTTTTTCGCTCGCGCAACTTCTCTCAGCTCGACGCCACTCGTGTTTGCGATCTCGAATACCCCGAACCAGCGCTCTGTTAATACTCTCGTTGGCATTCTGCTTTGCGGGAACGACGAATCGGAGCGATCGCGATTCAATTTCGACCTAATTGCTCGTCATAGCACCCTGCGTTGCGACACGCCGATCTACAACCGGGAAAGTCGGAGGTAACAATTACCGGACTATTCGCATCGGCCATCGGACTTCTTCCAAGCGATCTCTGTCATCCTGCAACTCTCTTCCAACGATATATCTTTCTGCTATATACACACTCTCCACTCTTCACGCCTTTTAATTCTCCCATCATGTCTGTGCCGACATTGCAGCGAGACACTGCCTTCCAGGTCCGATCGTTGGTATGTACATGTCCCTTCGAAAGATCCCCTCCGCGTCAATATCCACAGATGAGCTAACTCCGGGGTTTCGCCTTACCTGTAGTTTCGTTCCTTGCTGCGCCAATCTTACCAGTTCTCCAGCTTCAACTTCCGTGAGTACGCCCGTCGGAGGACGAGGGACGCCTTCCGTGAGCACGAGAAGGAAACGGAGGCAAGGAAGATCCAGGAGCAGATTCAGGATGGCCTGCAGAACCTGCGGATGATGAAGGTCAGTCTCCCTTTTTTTTCTCGTACTTTTTGAGGCCCCCCGCGGAGTTTCCGCCCCACCGGACACGGCGTTGGGAATGCCTTGGGAGGATACAAGGCGAACAGACAGCTAACGTCTACATCAGAGGCAAACTATCATCAGTCAGTTCTACCAGCTCGACAAGCTGGTTGTGGAAGGCCAAAAGACGGTAAGTTGGTCGTGACTCGTGCAAGAGGTTGAATCAGACGCTGGACTAACGACTGGCCATAGGGAAAACAATCCGGCGAGGAAGGTGATATTGTCCGCCAGAAGGATACCGGGTGAGCTTACCCTCTCGAAACTTCGACTACCATCGTTCTAACGCGTTTTCTAGCTGGGATTAAGCCGTCGATCTACGAGGGAATTGGTGGTTTAGTGGGTTAAAAGGAGTATCGAGCAAGACATAGCGCCACGTTCGGAGGGAATTCGGATGATTAGACATAGGGTGCTTTCTGTATTTTTAACGAACCCATTTACATTGTAGGCAGCACTGGAATGCAATTCTTCGCTCATCATCGCCGGCCCTCGCAGAGGAAGTAGAACAGTACTGCGTCGAACTGCAGGATCGCGGTGCGGGTCACGTGCCGCCCGGACGGAGCAGCCGCGCCTTCGCATCGCAGCGGCGTCTCCGTCAACTCTCCTCCATACTTCCCTGGCCGGTGATCCTGCGGCACTTGGTCTGTCGCCGCTTTCGATCATTTGATTCATTTCTTGTTCTCTCTTTGTGCTGCCGATTCTCTCCATGCACCTGGCCGAAAGACAGTAAAAGTCAGCTGCTGCTCACCATGCCACCCACTGTAGGTTCCTCCGCGCCCGGTCCATTCGCCAATTCACTGCTCGCGACTGGACCCATCGATGAAGACCTGGCTCCAGTTTCAGGAATCTGACTTGATTGACCTTCCATAGTTTCGATCGTCGCGCTCTGGTCGCCAATTTGGCGAAGGCGCCAACCGCTCGAGAACCGGACAGATCGACCACGACGTCTTCGAGGGCCTTCCCGTCCGACGATGGACGCGCCAATCCCAGACCATCTCCCAGGTTCCGAAGCTGGAAGATGCGGACCCATTAGTCCAAGGCCCAGCGGGTAAACAATCACTTCCCGAACACCCAATGCCCAGGGACAGCCATCTCTTGACCCCGATGAGTCGGGCTCTGCTCCGCGCCGCTCGCGCCGGATGCGTTTACATTCGCCCCGCATCCAAGGACTCCGAGGACGAAGAGAAAGAAATCACCGATGTGGAGGAACAGCCGCTAATCCAGAGTGCCGAACGCAGCTTTGTCGCTCGCAAGTGGGCGGCAGTCCCCAGGCATCTAGAGGCGTCGGAGGTCGAGTTCCTCGCCAAGCGACGAGCGGGTTTGCCATCGCTTTACGGCGCGACGACCACGGGCGCCGATGCGACCATCAATCCGGCCCCCATGCGAAGAACTCGCTTCAGGAAGGTTGACCCCATGAGTGGGAACATCTCGATCTACGAAGCTTGGGTACCTGAAGGACACCGGATCGAAGGCGAAGTCACCGACGAGACCCAGTTGATGGCCGAAAATAACGAAGTGACAATAACCCCCGAAGCGCCCGCCCCTGGTACGGTTATCGAAGGCGTCGGAGTGGTCAATGGGGAGGGCGTGGTGGTTGCCGAGGCGGGCTCAGTTTCGGTGATGACTCCCCCGAAACGGCGCCCGCCACCTCCCAAGCGCAAGGCCAAAGGATTTGGAAAGGGGAGAAGGAAGAAGGTTATGTTTGCGCCTGGGGATGGAGCCGATGCCGCCACGGTGCATGGGGCCGAATCTGGTGCTGCAGGTGGTGGTGCGGAGCCGGGTCGTGTCAAGGGGGAGGATACGGACGCGTCTCGAATGTCGGCCGAGCAGGCCGGTCAGGACGATGAGGACGACGACGGTGACGACGGTGATGAAAGTGAGGATGGCGAGGGCGACGAGTCCATGCTGGACGCGAAGACTCCAGAAACCCCACTGCCACAGACCAGCGCCGAGCCTGAGCCAACACCTGCTCCTCCCTCCGAGCCTGCAGTTGCTGAACCGACTCCCGCGCCTGCTGCAACGTCTACGGAACCAGAAGCCGCTCCACAAACGGTCAAGACTGAGACCCCAACTGCTGCTCCAGACCCGTCGTCGGAATTGCCTTCACAACCCCCTGCCGAACCTTCGATATCCCAGGCCCCCGAGGTTCACTCACAGTCGCATCCTGAACCGGCTGCACCGGCTGCATTTGAAAACCCCGCCCATGGAACAGAACCCGCGGAGGATGTCGAGATGACTGATGATCAACCTGAGCCCGCTGCGGCGGATGTGAGAACTGCATCCGAACAACCTGCCACGGTGCCACCTCAGGAAACCACACAGGAGACCTTCCAGACTTCAGAACCTTCACAACTACCCGAGGCTCCAAATCCTGAACCGCCCGCGGCAGAAGCAAAGGAACCAGCAGACATAGTCATGACCGACCAGAACGACTCGGTGCCACAAGAGACGGCTCAGGCTGAGAAACAAACGGCGGATATCCCGACGGACCCCATGCAAAATACACAGCCTGAACCTGCTCAGGAGGAGCCTGTCCTAGATCAGAAAGACGCCCAGTCGAGCGAGAAACAAGCGGACAGCGACGTCGATCTTTTGGGTAGCTTGGAAGCCAGCCTAGGCAACCCCGCCGATCAAGGTCAGGTGGATGAACCAAGCGAGTCGAGGCCTGAGAAACAGGCTGAGGAAACTCCAGTCAAGGAGGAATCTGGACATCCCGAACCTGCTGAAGCCCCCAGATCAGAGGAACCTTCTGTTGAAGTTAAGGAAGAGTCAGCTGAGGTGGCTAGCAACCCAACTGGGGCATCGGCTGCGGAGCCACTTGCTCAGGAGCAGCAAGACAAACCGGCTGAAGAAAATGCCCCGTCACAGACCGAGATCCCGGCTACAGAGCCATCCTCGGAGCATGTCACCGAGCCCAATACTCAAGATCCCACACCCCAGCCTACTGAGCCAAGTGCACAACCCGACGAAGCGCAGCCTGCCGAACAAGCGGTCGAGCAAGATTCAGCAAAGACCGAGGAGCCTGCTCCCCCGGCTGACGAACCAGCCACAGAACAAGCACCCGAGCCCGCGGCAGAACCAGCCTCAGCCCCATCTACGGAGGCTCCTCCCGCAGAGGCACCTGCAACTCAGTCGACGGAGCCTTCCACGGAGGAACAACCAATTGAACCGCAACCCGAGCAGTCCTCAGACCAACCACCAAAGCCCACGGACGAGCAGCCGAGTGCTCAATCGGAAGAACCAGCCCCCCAGCCTGATGCACCGGCAGTCGCTCCTCAACCGGAGCCCCTTGTTCCCGAAGCCCCTAAGATCCCTTCTCCATCTGCCCCGACAGCCGTCGAAGACCCCACGCCTGCTTCCACCGATGCCAACGAGCCCGCACCCGCTGCGCCCAGTGACACCGCCCCAACATCCGAAGCTGTCCCTGACCAAGAGACGCAAAAGCAGCCGGAGCCGGGACCAGAGTCTGAGGCAAAGCCCGAGCCCGAGTCTGAGCCCGTGCCTGAACCAGAACCAGAGACCAAGAACGAAGAGACTGGCGAGGAGGCAACGACAGCACCTGCGTCCGATCCTGCGGCTTCTGCTGATCCTCCAGCTCCGCCTGTAAATGATTCTGCTTAGAGTCAACTAGACTAAGATGTATACCTTTCTTTCTCCTCTTCTTTATTACTACTGTGTATTTATTTCCTTCATGAAAGTACAAGCGATTATTTGATTTCTGAATCAATTCAATGGAGACGGGCGCAGGGTTCGACGGTGTGGTTTGATTTGGTTCGATTGTGTTTATTCGTTAGTTTACGGGCTTGTGGAATAAATATCCTTGGTCATAAGATATGTCATGGTGTTTTGGCTTTTTTTTAAGTATTGGAACTAGAAATAGTTGAATTACTGGGTCTGGATTTGGATGTTATCACAAGGTAGTGGTCAGGAAGACATATTTTTGTGTAGGTCTACCAAGAAAACATGGATTGTGCTGTTCAAAACAATAATCCACTTTTATTTTACTAGGTTCTCGGTGCATCATCAAAGTATTTTGTTGATTTTTCTTCTCTCAAATACCAGGTCAATGGTAGAAGCTGAACAGTTTACCAAATAACGACAAGCCTGTTCATTTTCTGGATAGACTTAGTTTCCATGATAGAATACCCGGGTATGAATCCCCCAAATACTAAAATACAAGATAAATGCATATTTATAATCCAATAAATTAAATAAGCTATCTCAAAGAACTAAATGATAATAAAATTAGGTAACAAAAACCGAGGGAAAAAAAAGAAACATCATCAAAACAGGAATGGAATCTCATCACATCAGCCCTGGTCTTCACACTAGTCTCAAAAATCGTTTACGATCAGGTCAGGTCCCAAGATACAATGAAAAACAATAAGATAACAATAATAAGGAAGTTAAAAATAGGAAAAAAGATAAACCCACAAGATATCAAGTAAGGAAGTCAAAACAAGTCAAGGAAGTCGCCTGAGTGGGATCGAATTGAACCCAACCCAACCCACCTAATCAGGCGAAACCGGACCTAGACAAGATAGACAGACAGGCAGGGTTGGAATAAGAGAATAGAGACAAGAAGTAAGAACAGGGGGGAAATGAAAACAGATAGACGCCGTCACAAGCCAGACCAATAATTCAGTTCAGTTCAGTTCAATTCACTGCAGCAAGCATCCAACGTTCAACACATACCAAGGATAACAGAAGAAGGGGGGATCGAATCAAAAACGGACAAAGATCAATTGACTAGCAAAGTTAGGGTGCAGAAGCCAGGGAGGTCGAAGGGTTAGGAGGGATCAAGGAGGTTTAGATGGTAAGGGTTTTCGGAGAATTAGAGTATTGAAGGGGGGATAACAGAATGAAAGTCATATTTCCGATCTGAAAGATACTGCTTGGTTAGTGATCGATCGGTCGCACCGACATCAGTTGAGTGTTGTCGTGAGCCGAAACAAATAGTCTAAGTAGACTCAGTTCCATATCCAATTATTTCTTGTTGTTTGCCTTTCTGGGAGCGGTGGCTTTCGCTCGTGGACTGGCGACCTTGGATTGAGCGGTCGCCTTGGTAGGAGATCCCTTGGTGGCCTTTTTGGGGGATCCCGTCGTATTGTTGTTCTTCTGAGTCGTGCGACTCCTTGCGCTGGTGCCTTTGGCTGCGGCAATGATTTTGGCTTTGGTCGTTTCGGATGGACGACTGAGCTTGGTTGGGGATTGGGAAGCCTTTGCTTTGGTCTGAGCTGGCGTTGACCGTGCTGGTTTCTGGACGCGCACCGTCGTCTTAGCCTTGGTCGTTGCTTTCACCTTGGGCAGTTTGACATTCTTCGCAGACTTGGTCTCGTCTTTCTTGACGGGACGTTTCCTCGCCGGAGACTGCTTGGGGGCATTCTTAGTTGTCCCTGTTGCTTTGGAAGATCTCTGGGTGGTGGTCGACCGCGCCTTGGAGACGGCCTTCTTGACACCAGCTTTGAGCGACTGAGTGCCCAGAAGCTTCCTCTTGTTGAGACGCGATGTGGACCCTTCTAGGGCCTTCTCAACTCGGCGCTTCGTGTTGGTGACTTTTCTGCTGGCCTTGCTCGTGGTCGAGCGGGACTTCTTCTGGGATTCGGCCTTTGCATCCTTTTCTTTCGAACGTTGAGACTTCTCTTTGGGACGGGGTCCGAGAATTCCACGACAGTTGGACGAGCCGCATCGACATTGCTGCACGTTCTTTTGCGAGTACGGGCTATTCAGAAGGTCAGTGCAGGTTTTCTAAAGCCAGTCAGTGTTAGAACACTCACTCAAAGTTGTAGTCGTAGGTCAGTTCCTGTCCGGTCGTAATCCCACGGTCGCCGGCAAAAAGGGCCATGCGTGGTTTTCCTGCGACAGTCCATTTTTCCATGCGACAGTTGGGCTCGCAAGAATGATTCACGAATCGAGCAATGGAGCCTCTCGTAGCGTCGATGATCATGTTCTGGTCGAAGTACATCAAGTAATAACACTGTGCCATGTCAGTGCCCGAAAGCAACACCGGGGGGATAGCTTCAACGTACCTCGTTGTTCTTATAGATCGACCTCATCCGTTTCTCACATTCGGTTTGCGTGATGATTTCACCAGTGTACTCCACGATGATTTGATTCGGCTCGAAGGTACGGTTACTTCGGACGCCATACCCGCGATCCTCAGTCTTGATGACTTCGACGCCGATGTTGTACTTGCCCCCAGCTCTCGTCCGGTATTTGAGCTCATCAAAGCTTCGGTTGCCACATTCTGGACCCAGTCCGCAGTTGCCCTCGTCGCATTCATAGAACATATAGCGATTTTGACAGTCGTCGTCGCAGCCGGTCTCTTCCGTGCAGGTGCATTTAGAAAGTTCCTCCTCTTTATTCGCTCTCCAGATGCTGGAAGCCTCCCCGACGAAGACGTCTTGAATATAGCCGTTAGCTTTTCTTATTTGCGGATGCGCAGTGGTTGATACTTACTCTTGTTCGTCTTCCGCCATTCATTAGGCTTGGGTTGCCCGGGTGGCAGGGGAGAGAACACATCAAACGGCAGCTGGAAGTCCCGCCCTTGCTGCAACAGCCGGTCCCCGGCAAACATGGGCATCGGTAGCACTGTTCGCTGACCAGTGACCTGGCTCCTCCTTCTCGCGGCTTTATTCCGGCCTTGCAAGGGACGAGCAGAATTGGTCTGTTCTTGCCCCGAGTACAAGCCATGGACCAGCCAGCGCTTTGTCCTGCGCGGAACAATAGTAGTAACGGGGGCATCTTGCGCGGCCTCTTCATTCTCCTTAGCCTTGGACGGTAGATCACTCTCAGACACACGTCGTTTCTTCGCCGCAGGAGGCTCGCTGGGTTTCGAGGCAGCGAGCTCCTCCTTGGCAGCAACAGGCTGTCTCGGACGTAGACTGGCCCGACGGCCTAAATCCTTCCCCTTTTCCATCACACCCCGGGACCGTTTCCCCAAAACGCTTCCGGCGCGGTCGACGAGCCCCGACGCCTTCTCTAGAATACTCAAGCGGGACGAGCGTCTCGTCGGCTCCTGGGCTTGTGGTTTCGTAGCATCGGCGTCCTTCTTACTGCTCGGAGGGTTCTCCTCCGTTAACACCCGCTCCACCCGCTTCCGCAAAGTGCGCTGTTGTAGTGACGTGCTCATATCGCCCGACTGCGGCTCCTGCGAGGATTTGGAAACCGGCGTGTCCGGCGCCATTGGATGGTCGTCGACGTCCATAGTGTTCTGCGCGAGGGCCGTCTCGGTCCACATGGTCTGTTCCATGACCGCAATGCTGTGCCGGAGGTGCGAGACCTGGGACCGCTTGGTCTCCGCGACATTCGTGGCCGGCAGCGCCTCTTCACCCGTCCCGGCCAGCTGCAGTAATTCATTGTCAGGCGCCGGAGACAAAATGCTCGACGAATACTTCTCCAAGTCGACGGGCAGTGGTGCGGCGCCTTGCAAAGAAGCGCGTGCTACACGTGTAGACCTCCGGCGGAGAGTGGGCTTCTCTTCGTTCGACGCGTTTTCATTGTTGCTTGACGTCTCGGAGCGGCTGTTCTCGGGCGTCAAGAGTTGTTCGGGGTAGTCGATCACCATTGTGTCGTCGGCGGGGGCGAGCGTGTGCTTGGTGAAGTCCGAAAGGGTTGCGGGAGTTGCGGTCGACGCGCCGGAGGATCTAGTTCGGGTTTCCATCCCCCCAAAGAATACCGTGAGTTTGCAGGGGGCTTGGACAAAGGGGACCAAAACCACGAGGAGAAGAGGAACCCCGAATGTTTTTTTCAAGACGTTGTTTGCTGGAGGTGGGGGAGAGCCAGGTGCCGGACGAAAGGCTGATCTGAGAATGGAACGGGGGTGGTGGTGTGTTAGGCGCGCTCCTCTCTTATCAAGAATCCGATAGAAGTGATTATAGGCCTGGTAGACTGCAGCAGGTATCAGAATCCGACCGAGACGGTCATAACGCACGGCATCGGAGAGGAAGGAGGTGGCGAGAGGGTCGAGATGGGGGCGGCCACGGTGAAGGAGGAGGAAGAGAGGAAGAAGAGGGTGCGGAGAGAGTGGAAGAGGGCCGTATCCTCCGCCAGGGACGGAATGCAGACCGACAAAAAATAGCGAGATCGACTAGACAGCCTTCCTCGGGGGCGCCCCACGTCCTGTCGCCCCTTTGTCTTTGCGACGGCCTGGCTTTCGCTCTCGCCCTGGACTATTCATGTTCAATCTCTACGTTCTGGTCGGTTGTCCCCTCGGATGGATGGTGTTCTACGCTCTGATATCGACACCCCCAACGCCACGTTTCGGCCTCTACAGCACGACCCCCCCTTGGTCCTTCACGAGTGTTGTCTGGAGTAGATTGTTCATTGTCTATCTGTAGCTTTCAGGCCAGATATCATACATATGTTCCTGATATTGCGTAATGCTGAGATCGGGCCAGCGGCTGGAAACAACGCCCGTTGGGAAACAAACAAGTGCGTATCAACCAGAGAAAAGGAAAATGATGGATCGTGAAGAGAACGTAAACAATGTCGGTTTGAATGTGGGCCAATATCAAACAATAAAGAAAAGGGAGTGCATGTACAGATGCGTCAGGGAGAAGCGTTGAAAAGCGAATGCAAATTAAGAATGATAACTAAAAAATATGACCCTCAGTAGGGCAAGGTATCTCGAGAAGAAGCGAAGAAGAAAAGAAGACGTGTAAGAAAATAAACTCAAGAGAGTCAGGAGTAAGCCGTGTCAGTGATTCACGTTATTGTTTGGGTTTGTTTGGGTTCTTTTTTTGGGGTTTGATTTTGATACTGCAACGAGAAAAACAGCCTTCCAATCACTTCCTAAGCATGTTGTTGTTGGCTAGAAGGCACATGCTGCATTTCTATGTCGGCCTGAGCCTCCACATCTCGAGGGAGATACTTCCGTTTCACGGTACTCAGTCGCTGGTCCCCTTCTGTATAAGGTCTCTTGAATTGCATGTACGTCGGCGGGCGAGGTCTAGCAAAGACTGAGATCCAATTGCCGAGGACATTCCCCTGCGTGAAGGGCCGATGTCGGTCAGATTTGGCGAACTTATGGGAATTGAGATACTCCCTGGTGGTCTCGCCGCGACCAACCAGGAAGAAATGGTAGGCCCAGAGAGAGGCCGGATAAGGCGCAGCAACTGCCCCGTAGATGACCATTGCCCACGGAACCCTTAACTTGTTGATGGCAGTGCCGAAGGAGACGGCCTCCTGCGACCGATAGACAAGCACATGGGCTAGGCTGGCTCCGAGCAAGAATAAGGCAAGCAACGTAGACGAGCTCACAAAGGTGAAGAAGTATCGATAGTTCCGGCGGCCAACACAGTTGTTGAGCCACACACAGTGGTGATCCAGGGTCTCGACACAGTTATCGCACACACGACAGTGATAGCAGCGCGGGGGACGCCAGATGCTGCAGGTTTTACAGTATTTCACTGGTACGTCCATCGCCGCGACTTCGGACGTCGCCAACTTGACCATCACCCAGTCGTTCGTCGCAGGACCTATCGTCAACGGATCATCCGTCTCCGGCGGAGGCATTGGCTGGAGATTGCGCGGAATAATCTGTCACATCGTCAGTGGCAAGGACAGGAGAATCTGGGGTATTTTTTCAATGGGGAGTATTACACCAGGATCAACGACAGAAGCGTGGATGAAGGATGAGAAGCACACGAAGAATAGGTACCCGAACAAGATAGGGATAGCCGGGGAGATATGATGCCAAAGCCAAGGTGCCCTACATAGGGGTTAGTTTCAAGTGACCGACACACGAAGAGAGGAGACGTACGAAAACGCGAAGAACAGGGCAGAGGGGGCAACGACAAAAATGCCAGTTGCAATGTTGACCGGTTTATCGCGAGAATTCTGAAGCCTTCCACCACCACAAAAGGCGGTGTTGCCCGTAAAATACTCATAGTTCTTGCCCTGGTTGCCCTTGTTCACCGTTCGGTTCTGCTTTTCGAGAGACCCAGGCGACGAGCCAGCTGAAGATAGTCTTTCATGAGGTCGACCATCCCGATGCTCCGGCCTGAGGCTTCTGTTCTGCAAGGACAGGAACGAAAGCGAGGATCTGGGCGGAGTTTCATGGTTACTGGCACTGTTGTAGTTGGCCGCCAGATTAAGATTGAGATGCGCCGGAGTGGGCCGATTCGCTCGTTCTCGCTCGTGCAGCAGTCTCGCGCTCTCGCCTAAGCTTCTAGCGGTGGTGGTATGGCCGGTCGGACTGGCGTTGGATGTATTCCGCTCTGGAATGATGGGGTCGGTGAATTCGGTTCCTCGAGACGGTGGAGCTTCCTCTTGCGGGACGGAACTTTGCGGGAGCGTGCTATTCGAAACGAAACTGATTCTGTTCTGAGTTGCTTCGTCGTCCCAGTCCTCCGCCGACGACTCGGTGGCACCTTTTGTCACAGGGCGACCTCGGTGTGCTTGAAGACGCTGGGAGGACATAGGCCGGAAAAAGCCCTGCGCAGTCAAAGACGGGATATGGGTCCGGCTCAGTCTGCTTCCCGAGCTTCCTGGTCTGTTGGTCGTCGCCTGGCTGATGGACGTGATGACCGAACTTCTCGCAGGGGGAGGCCCTCGTCGGGAGACGGACGGTTGCGAACGAGGCGGAAGCGACGATGCTCCTCCGGTGTAGGTCTGCGATCCTCCGGTATAGGTCTGCGAGTTCTCTCCATCGTCCGACATATCCGTCACTCGGGACGAGATTCCACCGACAGAGGGAGGGCGAGGAATACCGAGCGCATGGTGGGCGGAGGGAGGATTCGGCGCATCGCTATCAGGGGTTTCGGGGGGATTCATAGTTTCGACGGGATTGAGTGACAGTGCTGTTAATAATGTCCACTATTTCTCATGTTGTGTCCAGTCGAAAACGAAGCGGTTCTAGGCGTGGGTAGAACCAAGGGGTTGCAGCATGTATATCTATGCGCGGGTATCAAAACGGGGGGAAGAAACGGCCGAATCGGGAGTCCGTCTAAGGAATGACAACGAAAGGGAGGAGCAAGAAACGAAGATTGGAAAGAGTCGTGAGAGTAGTCAGTCCACCAAGAATGAGCGTCAGCAACCTAGAGAGGGAGAGGTCGAGTTAGTGTTGTCTGAAATTCGAGTCAAGGGTCTCGCACCCCTCCGCAGGCACAATCGGGGACGACCCCCTATCGAGGAATCCACCAACCTTGAAAGATAGTACGTTGCAATGATGGGAACATGAAACACACGACAGCAGGCAGGACAGGTCACATCACGTAGCAAGGACGCGAGGTTTAGTCGACCATGCTGCAATCCGAGCGCAACACTAAGAAAAAGAAGGCAGAGAAGCGCGGCGCTTGCAAGAGGTCGACGGAACGGAATTCCTTCGCATCGATTCAGGCAGAGACGCTAGGCCGCATCGGGCGGCTGAGTAATCGCCCGACGTGCAGGGCCGAATCGGATGTCACCTGATGATGCGCCGGCAACATCATCGTCCGACGCCCACGAATCCGCACCACTCGCCCCCCTCAAGATCTTTCCCTTCTCGACTCTCTCCACCCCCAAACACAACCACCACGATGTCGTCAATTGCCGCCATGGCCTCCCGCCGGGCCTTTGCCCGCCAGTCTCTTTTCCGCGCCCCCGCGCGCCGTGCCTACAGCTCCAAGGTCGAGGAGGCTGGCCTCGACAAGGCTCCTCGTCGTGACCCCGAGCTCTACGTACGGATCTCCTTCTCTCTCGTTCAAACCAATTGAACGTTCCGCCACCAGGTCCGTTTCTAATCGCCGTATAGGTTCTGCTCGGTGTCATGTCCGGTGCTTTCCTGATCGCTGGATGGTAAATTCCTCCCTAACCCTGATCCTATACCGACTGTCCTATCACCCGACCGCGAGCGAATGAGCGGAAGGGGAAAAAAATAAAATTACATTCAACGTCCATTCTTCCCCCCACGACCGCCAATTGCACACTCAGACCGACTTTCTTTGCAACAGTTACTGATCCGCATCGTCCAATTTTCCAGGTACTTCGGCAAGAAGCCCACCTCCGTCACCTCCGAGAGCAACGTGCGCATCCCTGACAGCTCCATGCCCTGGGAGCGTGAGGACGACGGCAAGGTCTACAAGTACCAGTACCACCCTCACGGTGACAAGAACCAGCCCCTCAGAAACGCTCCCAGCGCTCTGAACACCGTCATTGTGCCCAACGTCACTCTCCCCGAGGTACGTATAACTCTTGGGTGTTCGAGGTCGGGTCGGATCGTATGATTCGATCCTTGCTTGCATATAGCCGGATGACTGACTTGGCACCTTCCAGGACCTCCACGAGCGTTTCAACAAGTACGGCAAGGAGGAGTGGGACTACTAGATGTCTTATCCACCCAGTACAGATTGTGTACGCAGCTGAGAAGCAGATTATCCGGGGCCGGGGTTGAGCTGTATTTTAAAATCACCGATGACTACCTAGAAGTATGGGGATGCGATTGTCGTTATAAGAGTTCTGTGCATATTTTATCATCTTTTGGACGGGAATCAATTGAAGACTGCTTTTTTTGTTGTGCTATCATGACCAAGCTTCCAAACAACCGGCCAAAAAAACACACGGGAAGGCCGTCAACTCTCGCAAAATGTATAGTCATGTACAAGTTCACATTTCGTTAGATCAGAGGAAAAATAAAAAAAAAAATAAAAATAAAAAGGGTGGAAGACAAAATTATTGGTAGAAGAGATACAGAAGAAGGTTATTCGGTCCAAAGTGGAGAGATGTGAGAACATCTAAGAGAATGCATACCAACAACTATTCGAGTGTCTCTGGCTAATTCTTAGATTGGGTAGCATCTTGACCCTCGCTGGCAGGCTTCGGCTCGGGGGAGTTTTGCTCCTCGACCGAGCCGCCCTCGCCGGCGGCCGAAGCAGGGCTCTCTTCAGCTTGCGCTTCCGGCTTGCCCTGGGTTTCGGGATTTTGGCCCTCAACATCCGGATGGGGCGGAGCGACTTGACCGTCAACCATGTCCATCTCGTGACCATTGGCCAGGCGAGTCCGGGTTTCATGGCGGGTCTCGAACGAGACCTTGCCTTCCTTTGCTAGCGAAGCGACCATGTTTTCGTCCAACACGTTTCCTTCCTGGTCGCGGTATTCCACACGGGCCTTGGAACGAGGCTTCTCAGGTTCTGCAGTGACATTGGCTTCTTGAGCTTCTTGAGCATCTGCTTCGCCCTCACCTTGCTGAACTTCTTCCTTAACTTCCTGCTTCTCCTGCGGGGGTTGCGCGACGGGCACCTGAAGTTGCTCGTGAGGCAATACGGCTTGCGAGGTGGTCGGAACGGCGGAGCCTCGGTGTAGGAACTCGGTCACGTATTGGCCAAGCTAGTGCCAGTCAGTCGTTATGATGCGGTGCGTTCAATATCCTCGCCGCGGGGGCTGCCATTTTGGAACACTTACGTCGGTATGGAAAGTGTTGCAGTCGAAATCCCATGAATTCAGGAGCTTGACCTTTCGGCAGGCATCCTGCGTCCAGGGGTTGCCATAGACTAGAGGAGAGTAGAGAGTGAAGGCGAAGATGCTCGCTGCGAGGAAGATACCAGCCAAGGCCTTGCCGATGACCGGTCGAGACGGGAGGCCAAGACGCTGGATACGGCCCGTGAGGAAGTCAAATTCCTGGCAGAGAGCGATGAGGGCAAAGTAAAGGGCCGGGAAGTAATGATGGAGGAACAGTTGACGAGCCATGAGGTAGAACGGGAAGTAGTGGAAGGCCCATCCCAGTACGCTGCTGCCGATTTCGTAGTCAAATCGCTTGAAGTTGACGTTGCGATAGTCACCGCAGCTTCGCTGCCAGCGGAGAATGGAAACACCCTTGAACAAGATGTAGATGCCAATCGCCACGGTCGAGGACCACCAAATGAAGGGATTTCCGAGTAGGTAGACCTGGCGGTGGTCTTTACCCCAGAAGTTGATACCGCGAAGCATCGTGGGCCACGAAGGGGGACGCGAATCCCAAGCATGGGACTCAGTCAAGCCGGCGTTGGTCTTCCACATCACCTTCTGAAGTTCCCAGAATTTACCAAGGAACCCGGGATTGCGGTAGTTGACCTTCTCGGCGTCTTCAGGCAACATGGGATGGGTATTGGCTTCAATGTACCAGATACTGTTAGGCAGAGTACCTCCCCTGGCACAAGTAACTTCCTGTTGATCGAATCCCCAATCCGGGAGCTTCACCTTATGGGAGAACAAGACGCAGCCAGTCATGACGTGGACCAAGCGGAACTTCGATTGGATGGTTCGAAGGCGCTTCTTCGACTCTTCGCTCTCGGACATAGACTTGACAATTTCCACACGGAAGAAGTCATTCGCATCACCAGCAAAGCCATCGTAGCCGTAAGCAGAGACCTCGAATTGCCAGTCAACGTCGGTCACAGGAGGCCGTTCGTCATGGGAGTGAATACGTCTGCGCGTAATCAAATGGTTCAGCCGGATAACGGCGCCGTCTTCGATGTGATCCGTAGTGATGTTATCCCAAGCAAAAGGACCCTCCACTTCGCCGTGGGGACCCAGGGGCTGGGTCTGGTTTTCGAGGACAAAAATGTTGTTCTCATCCTTGTGAGGATAGAGAGTGATCTGCTGCTGCTTACTTCCAGTGGGATACATGTGGTTGTGGGAGTGAAGGTAGCCACCCTGAGTGTTGTAGTGACGGATGCTGACGCGCGAGCCAAATACCACGTCGGCGGGGACGTCCACCATCGACTTCGAGTTCAATGTGGCCTGGAATTCGGAAGACATGAACCCGTCACCTTCTCCCGGGTTGACCAAGCAGAGGAAATGGATGGCGAACATTCCGCAGTAGAAGCCCAGCGGAATAATGATAAGACAAAAGACGCGAGCGAAGAAGTGTTTGAACCAGATGCGCTGCATAGCGACGTATCAGCAATCACAAATATCAAGTAAGACAGGAAAACCACAAGGGCTGGAGGAGCATACTGAGGTAACGGTCTTGGAGTCGCCCAGAAGCACCCACAATTGGAGGATGGTCAGAGAGCCAACCCAGGCGACGGTAAACAAACCAACCCACTTCACACTGAGGGTGGCACCCAGCGAGAGACCAGTCGCAGCCAGCCAGAACCACCAGGGCGCACGGAAGGCATGGGACGGTCCCAGCTCGTGTTGGTTGGTGAAACTTGTGAAGGCCAGAGCCGTGAGCGCAGTGAAAAAGACCAGCGGCGAATCCAAAAGAATCAGGCGGGATTGAGTGATCAATCCGTTTTCTGCGATCCGTTAGCATGGTGTGTGGATTCAATCGCCATTCAATCATACCAAAGATCACCACGCCGGCTCCCAGCACAGCGGCCAGAGTGCGACATCCCGAGGCCTTCAGGGTCAAGAACATGAGCGGAACCGTCAGGATACCCAAAACAGCCGGAAGCATGCGCATCGCAACATAAGGGACATTGGGCTCGAGGTAATCCTTGCCGATGTCCTTGAAGTCGAAATTGCCATCAAAACCGGCCAGCCAGCCGGCTAGTGTAATAAGAAGCTTGGCAAGAGGAGGGTGAACGTCCATGAAAAACCGGCCCTTGATGTATTTCGTCGCGAAGCCACCGAAGCTGGCAGACAATCATTGTCAGCACACACACAGGTCCTTATTCTTTAGATTTCGCGATGGCGAGGGCACATACTGGACTTCATCAAACACCACGCTCGACGGCTGGTAGATTCGGAACAAACGAACCGCCGCGGCAATCAGGGTCACCAAAACAAGGGTCTTGAAGTCGGAGGAGGGCAGATTGAAGATATTGTTGTCCGTCACACCGTCTGATGCATAATTCGAGCTGCTGGCAGGCGCCTTCTTGCGATTCTTGGGTTTGGGGGAGCGACTAGGGGAGCGACCGGACCCCGAACGAGGCTGAACCTCCAGGGCGTCCTTGGACCTGGGCGGCATGGTTGAGACGAGACTCTCCGAGTCAGGTTCCGAGGGAACAAAAGGAATGCGAGATATAGATCAAGAGATTGGGATCGAACGATTAGCAAAGAGAAAAGATATCATAGAAGAGGGTCGCGAAATGGCGAGCAAGCAGCCAAGCACAAGGTGCAGAAGAAAGCCCCAACTCCGGAGGGAGCTCTTCGACGACCCAGACGGCAAGGCAGAGAAGAAATAAGAAAGAGCAAAATAGATCAACGAGTGGAAGGGATCAGGACCAGATGCGCCATGACAAGGAAGAAAAAAAAGAGCTCAGAAGGGACAGATGGACGTCGAGGCGTAAGACGAGACGAGACAACACGTGTGGGACGATTAGGGAGGCGGATGAAAGCGTAGTCCGCTTTAAGGCCAGATCGTCGGCGGAGAGGCGGCCTCTGCCAGCAGTCAGCAGCGAACCCTCGGAGCGTTCCTGCGGCTGGACTTAATTCTACGAAGTCTGCGAATGCTACGAATTCTACGAGGTCAATGGCTGGGAAGATTTCCAGTTACGACAGTGATCCTCATTCTAGGGAGACACTACCCCAGCCAATGTGGGCAGTGGACCAAAACCCTTGAATGAATTAATCGGGTCCATGTTCGTGTTTGTACTTCTAGTAAAGAACTTAGTCAGGGAACTCTTTGAGTAGAAAAGGTTCTGTCAGGTCCTTTCCCCTTCCGGTTAGTCTCTGACCCGTTCCGCTATGCGCGCGGCTGGAGCAGACGCCGCCAGCCGCCAGCCGCCGGGCTGGATGAGGTAAGGCCGGCCAAAACGGGGAATGCGAGGATTGCCCGCCGACACTTTGGATCCGCTGAACCCCCCCCGGCATCTCTACCCCAGCCTGTCGTCGCCCGGGTTTCGTGTCTCGATCATGGCTTCTGTGAGCAATGGAAATACCCCCGCCCTGCCGGAGGAGGTGGGCAAGCCCCCCGAGGGCGTCGTCTTGCCACCCAAGGACATCCGCGGTCAGTCTCTCCTACCTCCCAATCTAAAAAGAAAAATGCGCTGACATACAGAATAGCCATTGTGGAGAAAACCGCTGGCTATGTCGCTCGGAATGGTATCGTCTTCGAAGGTACGTGGCTGAGCTTTCCTGCGGTCGTTTGTTTGGCCGGGACACTGACGATGGGTTTCCAGATCGCGTCCGCGAAAAGGAACGCAACAACCCCAAATTCTCCTTCCTCAACCCTGAGGACCCTTACGGAACATTCTACCAGTGGCGCCTGACGGAGATCAAGGAAGGGAGAGGCACTGCGGTGTCTGCAGGTCGACCGGGGGAACAAGCGGCGGAGCCTGAGCCCGAAGTGCCCCAGGGACCTGAAGAGCCTCCAGAGTTCCATTTTTCAGCACGCATGCCCATAATCAACGCGCAAGATCTCGAGGTCGTCAAGCTTACGGCTCTGTTCGTCGCCAAGCGAGGGAAATCGTTCATGACGGCGCTGTCTCAACGCGAAGCTCGGAATTTCCAGTTCGATTTCTTGCGGCCGCAACACAGTCTCTACCAGTTCTTCACGCGGTTGGTCGACCAGTACACCATTCTTTTGCGCGCCGAAGGAATCGATGACGCTACGACGGAGAAGAAGCGACTTGCGGATCTGGAAGCCAACGCGAAGAACAAGTTCCATATCCTGGAGCGGGCCAAGCAACGATCCGAATGGGTCAAGTACCAGGAACAGCAGAAGCAGAAGAAAGAGGAGGAGGACGAGCAAGAGAAAATCGCCTACGCCCAGATCGACTGGCATGACTTCGTGGTCGTGGAGACCGTCCTCTTCAACGAAACCGACGACCAGGCCGACCTGCCTCCTCCCACCTCGCTCGGCGATCTCCAGTCCGCCTCCCTGGAGCAGAAGGCCGCCATGTCTCTCAACCCTCTCCGCATCGAAGAAGCCATGCCCACCGACGAGGAGATGCCCACCTACTACAACGCCTACCCAGCCCAGCCCGAACCCATGCCCCAACCCGCCGGACCGTCCTTCCCCCAGGGTCTCCCTCCCCAGCCCATCCCCGCTCAGCCCGCATACGCCGCCGCCGCCGCCCAAGAGGAAGAGCAACGCATCCGCGAACGCGCCGAAGCCCGCGACCAGGCCGCTGCAGCTCAAGCCGCCGCCAAAGCCGCCCCGGGCCAGCAACCGATGCGCATCCGCTCCGACTACGTCCCCCGTGCCCAGGCCCGCCGTCTCAACCAGACCGGCCCGACGGCCCTCTGCCCCAACTGTCACCAGCAGATCCCCGTGGCCGAACTCGAGCAACACATGCGGATCGAGCTGCTCGATCCCCGCTGGAAGGAGCAACGCGCCAAGGCCGAATCCCGCAGCGCCACGACCAACCTGTCCACCGCCGACGTCGTCAACAATCTCAAGCGTCTCGCCAGCCAGCGCAGCGACGTCTTCGACTCTTCCGTCCTGCCCGGCGCCAGCGACCCCGAAGAAGAAGCCCGCAAGAAGCGCATGGCCTACGATGCCTCCGGCGTCGGCCCCACGCCACCCATGGTCGGTCCTTCCGGCGGCCCACCCAATCCTCAGAGCATGACCATCGAGGAACAAATCCGACACATTCGCGAACGCGCCAAGCAATGATCCAATCGCTTGCCGTGTTTCAATCTCAAAATGATCCATTTCGTTGTCTTTGGGGGCTATTGAGGAAATCCTGTGGTTCTATCTTCTCTTTATTTGTTGTCATGGGCGTTGTATCTCACTCATCTGGAGTTTTGTTTTCTTAAACGGTTTTTTGGAACGTTGATATTCTTTTTTCCCTTCCATTTTCTCTTTCTCTCCCCTGGGTGTGTCAGACGTATATCCGCTTCGGTTGTAAAGTATAACATCTTTTTTATCTTTCGCTTGCTTCTCCTGATGTCTTTGCCCGAATGGAGATATCATTAGCTATGTCTTAACAGTTACTAGATATGTATCGAAACGAAGATCGTGGGCTCAAACCCTTAGGCGTTAATTTTCTTGTCTGAACTACTAAATATTATCTCCGTCAAGGAACTTTTTGACTACAAATCCTACGATGCCTAAGAAAGATCGACGAACAAATCTAGATAAATCATAAATCAACAACATATCTATGAGAAAAGCGCAAGAAATCATAGCCATGAAGAAAAACCTGCGCCGGCATCATTCAGTAAATACATTAAAAATCCGCGGTTGCCGACACGCATCTCGCATAGAACCGAGGCAACGATGAAACAATATGACGGAGACCCATAAATGGAGCAAATGAGATGAAACGCCAGCAAAGATTTTGGGAGTGAAGCAGAGCAAGTGAACATGACTCGCGGATGTCTCCACATGCAGTAGTAGCAAAGCGATGCCCATATCTGAGATGAGACACCTTCTGTACAAAAATGGGGCGAAAACCATTGTGACCGGATTGCGCTCAAAAGAATTGCAGATGACCAAACAAAAACCATGACAACAGAGATAAATGTACATGAGAAACATATTATAAGCAACGATATTAATACAGGGTGGCAGACTGCTCGGGAAATAGAAGAGGATGTAATGATAAAACGTGAATAAAAAGAAAAAAAGAAGAAAAGATTAGTCAAGCAGCCGTGCAGGAAGGGGAATAAATATGAAATAGAAAAGATAATTTGGGAGACAACCTTGTTGACTCAATGATCAAGCCGATGCCGCTCGCGGTTTTGGGCTTTAGTTTCGATCGGACTCCTTGGCGGTTGAAGCCTCGACGTGGACTGGAGTGTTCGATACTTCGTTCTCATCCACGGTGGGAAGCTTTTCGGCAGCAGGCTCCAGAGCAGTGGCGGCTCCATCCACGGTTTGCTCGGTGACTTTATCCTGCTCGCTAGTATCCAATGGGGAAGGAACGGTACTGCTAACAGGTGATTCCGAAGGAGCGGAGACAAATGGGTCTTCGCTCAGAGACAATCTATGGCGCTCGCCATCGTTGTCCTGTTCGTGATCGTCGACCGAATACTTGCTTTGCACATCAGTGCTCTCGGATGGCTGGTATTCAAGCTCGGGATGGTTCTCGATTGTTTCGATAATGGTTGCATCCGCCATATGTTCGTGTGCATCCAGCATGGTCTCCTGCGCACCGTTGAGCTGAGTAAATATCGGGACAATTCCCGCACCAACTCGGGACCAGAACATTCTTTCCCTCAGACGAATAGTTTCTTCCCAGAACTCCTTCTCCTCTTCAGCATCGCCGGCACGAATGTGTCCGTCCAGAATAAGGCGAAGATACCCGGTGAATTCACACGAAGAGCGTACTTTCTCTAGGCAGAGAGCACACAAGGGATACCGCTGCGCAGTCTCACTATCCGACGTTCGGAAACGATGGGTTCTCTCATTAACGTCCCCGGTTCGGCGCTCACCACATAGGGAACACGGAAATTCGTATTTCTTGGTCGCTGGCGGCACTGGTTCCACCACAAGGCTTCCTTCACAGATGCCACTCAAGACCGAGCGTCGGGTCAACCAAGAAATCCCAGGGGCTGCATCAAGTCTCAGAGTCGGCTCAATGTCTTCGTTGAGGACACGCTTGTAGAACCGTGTCTCTTTGAGGGGAATGTGAGAAACCGAGGGCTGGGGTGAGGATAGACTTCCGTTAGGAGAGTGAGTCTGAGATTTGGCGGGCGAAGAAATGGCGGATGATCCGAATGCACCACCACCAAAACTGGCCAAACTCATGACATTCAAGCCGGTGTACGACCCACTAGTCGCCCGACTAGGCGGTTTGGAAGCAGTCGTTGATAACTGGAACAAATCCCGAAAATCCTCAAACGCCGGCACATCGGTCCGACATATAGATTTGATGTATTGCGGGAAACTGGTCGAGGGGCCAGGCAATAATTCCTCACGGCAAGTCACTTCCGGGAGGATGGATGCTTCCGCATTGTTTTTGGTGATGTCCAGCGGCTTCTGAGGGCCAGCAGGGGAGGATGGAGCCGTAGACATGATCGTGCGAGCATCAATATCGTCTTTGGTGATGTTCATCCCCTGCAAGACGGATTTAAGCTCGGCCAGTTGTTCTTGATGCGAGGCAAGAAGCGATTCGGTATCCTTCACTTGAGAACGGAGTTGCTCATTTTTCTTCTCTACCGCCTCACGCTCGAGTTTGGCAGCAGCCACCATCTAGAATGAGGATTAGTCCGTTGAACCGTTACGTCATATAGTCAGCAAGTACCCACCTTATTTGCTTCTTCGAAAAGGGCCGCAGTAAGAGTCTCTAGCTCTTGTTCAATGCCCTTCTTTTCTTTCTCCACGAGCGCACGCTGCGCCTTTTCATCCGCCAAGGCGGCCTTGAGACGTAGAATCTCATAATCCACATCGGATTTCTTGATCACGACCTCCTGATCAATGTCTCGCCGATATTTCTCATTTTCCGACTCGAGGGTGCGGATCCGAGTTTGAGCCTGTTCCAATTCTTGGCGGGTGGCGACTAAATTATCGTCGAGGGTGGTTTGATTGTTGATCGCTTGGACCAGTTTGACACTCAAGGCAGCGACCTCGTTACTGAGGTCTGGATGATGCGATGCTGGCGAGGATTCTTCTGATATATCGGGAGTGCTCCCCAGTCGGGGGTCTTTCAAGGTGCTGAAGCCACTGTCGGGAAGATTTCCGACGCTGGTCGAGCGAGTCGCCTGGGCGGACTTTTCGGTCACGGCACCAGCGAGGTCGTTGGCCGACCGAGCCTTGGTCAGAGTTCTATCGGGGGAGAGAGATCGATTTTCAGACGAGAGGGATCGCTTGTGACTGCTGGGTCGTGGAATCATGGTGGATGGCGAAAGCAGGCTGTGCCGAGAATAGTAGGAGTGGAATGCGATTAGACTGTCATAAAGTCAGCAATAATTGCAACGAAAGGGGGAATCGATCGCAACGATCTTGCGGGAAATCCGGGAACGCACTCGGCCATGGTGACGGAGGGCTGATAACGAGATTCAGCGAGTACGGGAAGCGCGGTGACCAACGGTGGGTATCACAACCACGTATATAGTGTAATTCGGACTTCCCATTCGACAAATTCCGGCAAGTTTAAAGAGCGTTGAGAGGGTGGATGCATGCAACAGCGAAAGTAGGGGGGCAAGAGATGCGCCGTCCCCGCCAGTGCGCCGACTGGGAGAAGTGACTAGCCGGTCGGGATGCGAAGCATTGAAGAATGGAATCGGGGCTAGAATCGGACAGGCGGGAGGCGGAAAGGGATCGGAGATAATCCAAAGGGGAAGGGGGGGGGATAAAAGGAGGGAATGGGGAGCAAAAGAGAGACAGAAGGGAGAGAGAGATGGAGGTGTGACGAAAGAAGGGGAGGAGGAAGGGAATCCGGGACGAACCCCTCTTTGGCTGCAGGGCAGGGCGAGGCAGGCAGGCGCTTAAGGAATCGGAGGTCGAGTTCACTACGATAGAGCAAGGAAGGGAAGGAGATTTAGAGCCGGTTAGTCCGGAGTAGGACTAGAGTCCCAGTGAGAGGGAGAAGGCTGGGAGGCAAGGCGCCTTAGTCAGCGCCGCCGCTTTGGGACGCCCGGTCATGCTTTTGTCTCGTGATTATTGTTTATGCCTGATGGATGATGCTCCCTCGGCTCGTCTACAGAGTTACGGATCCTCCGGTCGGGGTTCACTCGCTACAGCCAACTAGGAAGGTCGCGCTGAAAGTTCGACGATCCCGACGAGATCTGCCCGACCGTCGCGCACTCTGACACGCGAATGGTTGCAATGGAGAAAATCATCCATTGGCAAAGTCTGCCAGCTGCAATAAATTCGAAAACGACGGAAGACCGTGCGATCGGCTCACTGCCACCCCCCGACGGTGCCGTCGGAAGTTGGCCATCTCAAAATAGTTGCGGAGTGGAGGAGGACGACTCATTTCTTGGCGGCCGATGACGACACTCGCAGCAAACAAGGGGATTATCGATTGGTTTCTGAGACATCGCGATAGCCCTTTGGGGCCAGCTGCTTTATCTATCTGCGGCCCGTAGCCACCGCGACTCCGTCGGCGCGTAATTGCGGTGTGGGTGGTCAATGGCTGGCCTGCCGTCCCAGAGTGTCCTGTGTCCTGGCTCCCGGGCGATGTCTCGGTCGAGATCCCGAGTAACGTTGAGTTGCGAGTTACTCCGTGCTCGACGGAGTAGTGCTCTGAAGGCGAACTCTGGAGATCAAGTCAAGTCATGTTCCTGCGCATGGGGCAGGAGGTGGCCAGCTGGTCAGGTGACCGTTCGCTTGCCAATTCGGGCAGCGCGGGTGCCTCATGGCGCCCCACACGCCTTGTTGCCTGACTGCCTCAGGCAACCTCGAAGTGGGGTTTGAAACTTCCTCGAAATCAAATGGCATCACTCCATCTCCATCGTGGATTTTGTCGCAACGGAGCTCTCAGGCTGCCAGAGATTCATCCTTCTTATCTCACTCGACCATCTTGAAACCTGCACACTCGATCAATTGACCACGTGATCCGTTCACCATGGCCGACGCTGAATTGGAGGAGGTTAGTCTATACTGTTGAAGCCTTTTTCGACCTTTGTTCTCTGCCCGCATCTTGTGTCCTCTGCCTCCTCAGAAATCCAACTGCGTGGCCTCGTTGACTGGCAATCCGAGAAATCACTAACTTGCAAAACAAACAGATCAGACGCGCTCGTCTTGCGCAACTCCAGCAACAACAGGGTGCTGCCCCGCGAGGAGGGGGTCCCGACAGCCAGGACGACCAGAGAAAGTAAGTTCAATAGTTTCGCTAGCACTTGCCCTCACGGAACTACTCATGCTAACCATCACCCTCAAGACAAGCTGAAAGTAAGCCGCGATAATTATCCCAGGCCCACCGCACCTTACTCACCATCCCTCTTTCTCCAGCCGAGCGTCGCTCCGCTATTCTCACCCAGATCCTCGAGCCCGAGGCCGCCGACCGCCTCGGCCGCATTCGCCTCGTCAAGGAATCCCGCGCGGTGGACATCGAAAACCGACTCATTATGCTGGCGCAAACGGGCCAGCTGCGCCAGAAGGTCAACGAGGATCAGCTCAAGCAGCTGCTGAACGCCGTTGCCGAGAACCAAAGGAAGGACGAGGAGGAACACAAGATTGTGATCAGCCGGCGCAAAGGTGGATGGGATGATGACGATGATCTTCTGGATCTGTGAAGGAAAGAAAAATCAGAATTGCTATCTATCTACGAAGGTGATTTAGCTCGGTAGCTGGCTTTGTGCAAACTCGCCCTTTTGATACCTGATACCTGATACCTGATACCTCTGGCTTCTTCGTTCGCCTGGAGGATTCCTATGTGTTTACGACTGATTATGGTGCAGCTGATTTCTTGCCTTTACACAGCGCCTCTGCTTCCATAATAATGTGACCAGAATGAGAGATTCTATTGCCTGTCATCGAGGATCTGATCGTCGCTATCAGCTTAATACTTGCTGCAGACGTACAGCGGCAGCTCAAACCCTTGCTCGGCACTCTTATCGCAGGGGGGAGAAAATATACATTCTATTTTGTTCATGACCATAAAAGACCACTCCACAGGAATAAATAAATAATATACATAGATCCGATGTCCAGTCAGGACCACCCGGACAGCCTCTCACAGCCTACTGCTGCTCCAACCTCTGCTTCTCCCTCTTCTTCTGCTCTCTAATCATGCGCCGAATCTCCCTCATATCCGGCGGTCTCTCGATGCCCAACTCCCCCCTCAACTCATCCACATCCTTCTCCAAAATCTTCTCCCAGTAAACATTAATCAACTCCTTACTCGACAACCCGCTCCGCACCGCCCACGGCAACCACAACGAGACCAACCTCTCCCTCTCCGCCGGCTTCAACCTCACCGCCGCAAACATACTCAGCCCCGTCATCGGGATCAACGTATTCAGAAACTCCAGCGCCTTCAGCGCCAACTCCCCCTCCACAAACGTAGGCAGGCCCGTCAGCGCGTGGTAGAAGTCGTGACACTCGCGGTACCGCTGCATCACGTACGCGCACTCTTCGTCGTCGATGTACTGCACGCTGTCGCGCGTGTCGGGCGACACCCCTTCGCGGTCCAGCCAGACCGCGTAGGTCCGGCCGACGGAGTTCTCGGGCAGTGAGCGCAGGTAGGGAAGGCGGAGCGTCTCGGAGGTCATGCGTGGTCGTTCGCGTAGGATCTGCCGCCCCGTTGGGTCTGAGAGCATTGCGTCGCGAAGGCGGTAGATGAAGTAGGGTGTGGCGGTGGCTTCGCCGCAGGCTGCGATGAGATCTATGTAAATGGAAGCGTGAGTATTCGCGGTTTGCTTGTGCTGGGGGATTTTATAGCGTAGGGATAAAAAAGCCCATACCCGCTCGACGAGGGTTCATCAGCGCCCCGAACGCAGAGCCAAAGGCCAATGCCCCGCGCTCGATAGTGTTCAATGGGACATGGCCGGGATATTGCGGCGATGGGCGACTAAAGAGGGAGAAGTGTCGCGTGCGACAGGACACCGAGACGGGGGCGAGGAAACTCGATTCCTGGGCAACGAGCGTTGCTGTACGCCGGTTTAGGACCGACATGTTGAGTCCGATAGGCGATGGGCCACTATGAGCATGGCAGGGACCGCATTCAGTGGAGGATGGAGAAAAGTAGATAGTAGATCGGGTGGTACGACTTCGGGATCGGGGAGGATCTCCGGATTGACGCGAGTGGCGGAAATGCCCTCCCGTACTGATAAGCGATAAGACTATCAGCTTTATCGGTTTTTCTTGTAGATCGACGGCCGCCACTATTGCTGTCTTGTCCGGGTCTAGTTGCGCATGATGTATCGGATTCGTTATTGTGGTATTCGCTGCTAGACTGATGAAACTATGACATCGAACTCGATTGATTGGGCTAGGTAGAAGAGCTGGTATCCACGGTATATCATCAACCCACGACAGTCTCCCACCATCCGCGAATCCACAAAATGAAACCAGAGTGGTGGCCCGGAGAGGACCATGAACTGTTCACCGAGTGGGCTATTGCCCAAGGAATCGTGGTCAATGGGGTCAACCCGGCTCGGTTTCCAGGTCGTGGCCTGGGAATGATAGCCACGCGAGCCATAGAAGTACAGAGCCCTCCATCATCCCAATCCATATGCAACCCGGCTAACGAACCACAGGAAGGCGAAGCAATCGTGACAGTGCCACTCAGGACAATGTTCACACCCAATTCCATCCCCTCGTCATTCTCTAGCAAGTTTCCCGACGGGACCCCTGTTCACGCACTGTACGCTGCTTTCTTCACCAACGGGGACCCCGAGAATCTGAAGCATTACGAGCCCTGGAGAAAGACCTGGCCTTCTCTGAAGGACTTTGAAGACGGCATGCCAATTCTATGGCCGTCATATCTCCGCGGATCGAAGACCTCTGTGGACTCTAGCTCTGAGCAAACATTCCTTCCGCCATCAATCTCCGGCTCCTGGTCTAGTATCCAGAAAGGTAAAAGCGAATTCCACTATGAAACTACTCATCAGAACCTCCTATCTCAACAGGAAAGCCGACTCCGGGATGCTTGGGATGCCGTGGTGGCTGTATTCCCAAAGACCGATTGGGAAACGTTCTCGTATCACTGGCTAATCGTCAACACGAGAAGCTTCTTCTTCCTGATGCCCGGGGAAGAGGCACCGGAGGATCGGAATGACGCAATGGCACTACTGCCTTTTGCAGATTATTTCAACCATTCTGATGTTGCTGTATGTGCTTCCTTGATGTGCTTATTCTGTGTGGAAGGCTGGAATTTAGATTGACGTTGTCTGCAGTGTAATGTGAAATTCAATGGGCTGAATTATATCTTCCGTGCGACGAAGCATTATGGTGAGCAATATCAGCTCCTTCTGGCCAGACGCATAATTCGAGGACGAGGCTGATATGTTGCAGATGAGGGAGAGGAGATATACATGAGCTATGGGCCTCATCCGAACGATTTCCTACTAACAGAATGTGAGAACGCTTCAAATCTCTTTTCTATACTGTGCTAATCGCAAAAGACGGATTCTTCCTCGACCACAATGAATCTGAAACACTCTATCTAGACGATATCATATTCCGAGACCTGAGCAAGACTCTGCAGGAGGAATTGGAATTCGAACAGTATTACGGGTATGTATGTCTACTATAAGAAATAAGGCATAGCGCTAATAAACAACTAGAAATTACCAGTTAACAGCAGAAGGCGTGTGCTATCGTACCGAGATCGCTGCTTGTATTAAATACATGGCGGTTGAGGACTGGCGCAACTATACCCTTGGCTACTCTACCAAGAACTTTGATGCAGCTAAATCGGAGGCTATAATCCGAGAATGGATCAAGACGTATGCCAACGAAGCAGACACGGTGATCGCATCACTAGAAAAGGCAGGGTCTCAAGAAGCAGACCTCAAAGGTTCGGACAAGGTCAAAGCCTTGCTTAAGCGCTGGACACAGATCAAAACTCTCTGTGACCAAGCCCTCCAGACCGTATCTTGCTAGAGAATGGAAAGCTCCTGGGTATAAATTCTGGAATATATCATCCTGGCAATTCGGACGGCCGAGGGATGAGCAATATAATACAAAATGATTCGATTAAATGGCATTGAGCAGGTCAACCGGAATAGCACCCGCCTCTCTCTGCTTTGTACTTTCCTTCTTGGCGAGAACCAAATGCTTCATCATATAGTTCACCACACACTTGATGCCCAGCTCTTCACCCCTGCGCACGATATAGCCGTTCATGTACTCAATCTCGGTCGTCTTTCCTGCCCGTACATCTTGCAGCATCGAGCTGTGGTTCTTGGCTGTTTGATTGGCTAGCTGCGTCACCATCCATCGCAGCCGTTCTGGAGAGAACCGGCTTTCAATGCCGGGAATGCCCTGCAATTCCGGTAGAGCACAGACCACGCTTGAGATCTCCATGAGAAGCAGGCGCATGATCCGAGTAAAGCTATAGTTGTAAAGAAGCTCGCCATTCTCGCAATCCATCACGGCCGTTAGCGGGTTGATCACCGAATTCATGGCAACCTTCTCAAGTTGGTATAGCATGAGGGCGGACGGGGGTTCAGCAACCGCAACAAGCGGCGACGTGAGAGTCAAGGTGCGCAGGAGATATTTGGTACTCGGCGCCCAGTCCACTTCTGCCTCGTTGGCCGGAGACACGGTACCAGGGGGTGGAACCACGCCCAAGACGGTCGTTCCAACGCCGGTATGCACGACCGAGAAACGACCCGGTGTTCGCCGCGCCAGGCCGTGGGACACGATACCCTGCATATAGTGAGGTCGACTATGCGGATCCGTAAAGACCGTCTTGTTGAGCTCATCGATGACCCCCATGCCGTTCTGGAGGAAAAGTACCGTGGAATCGGGCGTCAGACGGTGACTGATGGACTCCATAGCAACTCTAGTCATCGGTGCCTTGACAGCCACGATTAAACACTCGATGGGTCCATCATCTTCGGCCGAATGGGCCAGTGCCCCTTCGATATCGGGGTCTCCCTCCTCCGCGCCCTCGGTGCCCTCGTTTGGCGTACCATCCTGGTTCCAGTAAGGCAGAGAATGCCATGTCTTGTCGCCAAGGACGTTGATGTCGAAGCCCGTTTTCACATCGTCGAGGCCATTTGAACCGAGCGACAAGCACTTCTTCCTATGCAGCCAGGTCTTATATAAGTCTGGATTGTGCAGGAGAAGTGTAACGGGTGGCGGAGATGGACGACTCGCAAGAGAGTGAGCGACGAAGGTGCCGACATTGCCCACTCCGAGAATGTGTATGCGACCGGATAATCGACGTTTCCCGCTGTCCCTTGACAATTCGTCTGCATCCTGGATCCACGTCGACATCATGCGACGGTAAGAGTCCCATTGGATATTACTTCGCGTATAGCGAGATAAATCTGAAATGCCGGCCCGCAGAAGCGGACGGCGCCCTAGTATGTACAACACTTTGAACGAGTGGCGCGGAGGCACAACCACAGCCGGTAGGTAGGATAGGCGCAGTGGGATTGAGAATCACAAGACCCTCAATTGCGCATTCTGACACGGAGGTTAAATAGGAAGACCAGAAGAATCATACGACTCGACAGAGCCCAGGATGAAGAAGGTCGCAACAATCGCCGGGCGGAGAAGGAAGAATGCCGCCAAAGCTCTCGACCGCCCGCCTCACCGCCCGCCGATAAAAAATCGACATTATCGTCTTTACATTCGCGATCGACTTTCTTTGTCTCCATTCCACTTCACCTGCCCGTCATGGATCCCACCGATTTGCTTCCGCTGGTCGACCAGCTGGACGATGATGTCGATGTTTTGGAGGAGGCTCTTGCGCCGCTTTTGAACAGCGCGGTCACCGAGACTTCGAAGAAACTTCCTGTGATGGACAAGGCGAAATACCATGTCATGGTCACATACGCTTTGGAATCGCTGATTTTCTGTGTGTTTCCCTTTTTTGCAAATTATCTGACATTGTGTTTATATGTTTTTTTGCTAATTCATGATAGCGTACCTGCGTCTTCATGGCGTGAACGCCAAAGACCACCCGGTCTTCCGAGAACTGACTCGAGTGAAACAATACTTCGCAAAAATCAAGGCGCTGGAGACCGAGCCGGAGCAGCGGACTATGACACTGGACAAGGAAGCTGCGGGTCGATTCATCAAGCACGGTCTTGTAGGTTCTTTTATCTTCCCAATGGCAAGCTTTACATAGTTGCTAACTGCTACCAGGCCGGAAATGACAAATACGACATGGAGCGCAAGGAACGAGAGGCAAAAGAAAAAGCGCGCGCGCAGTTCAAGGCATCACTGCTCGCCAAGAAGCAAGGTGACGCGCCCCAGCAATCGTCCGAGAACCCCACGAATGGCTCGGAGTCCGAGTCCGAATCCGGCTCCGACGATGAAATGAAGATCGATGAACCGAAGGCCGAAACTACTGCCAAACAATCGAAGAACACCGCCAAGGCTGCTAAGCCAGAGCAGAAGAAGAAGAACAAGCAGGGGAAGGATAAGGGCGAGAAGAAATCCAAGAGCAAGAACAAGCGCAGCAAAGAAGGACGAACCGAAGACAAGAAAGAGAGGAGAAACAAGAAGAAGGAAGTTCGGAAGGCAAGGCAGTCATAAAAAAAGTGGCAAGAGGGTAAAACTAAGCAAAGATTCTATCTAGGACTAGCGAGGGTAGAGTCTCGCGAGCCTGATCGGCTGGACCCGATCGTCAGGCTTGATGTTCGTCTGTTACTGATCTAGTTTATTGCATCTGGGGATAGATTCAGGGCAGTGTTATCCCATTTCCACGAGGGCAAACGCATACGTGCTCTCAGCAGATTGTTGCTCTTCAGTTCACGCTGGACTATTGAATTGCTGCGCCAGCTGACTGCTCATGAGGAATTGGATACTCAACAGCAGCCGGACCACTAACAAAGGAAAGACTTCGAGGATATCATAACAAGGCTCGAAGCGCGATATTGGCGGCAACCCGGTGCTTACCCATGCTTTTTATAGCTGTGGAGTCTGTGCTGGCAATGACAGGAGTGGCGACTTCTGCTTCGCTCCTGAACCATCAACCAGGCTCATTTTTAGGGCATCGAGAGCCGTCAGCTGAGTTATGTGGATCAAGATGCAGTGACTCATTCTTAGGCAGCACATGCAGGCATTGGCATTGACAGTAAATATTATTTATGAGGATGCTTTCAATCGTATTATGATTTATTGTCAACTATTCTGACACTGTAGACATCGTACATATATCCTATACTCCAGACCTACTCTTATACCCTAAATCTACTCCGTAAACCTCATGATTGCCGCCACAATACGCGCCAATACGTGCCGATACGCAGTGGAGACGGAGTTTAGCCGGCAAAACATCCGAAAATACCGCAGATCCGTAATCGCCGGTCACCGTCCCGAGCGCTGACCTAAGCACCGCCTTCCACCAATCAGCGTGGCAGAGTTAGCCAGCTGCCGGAGTTTTCGACTTCTCCGCCGACCTTCGAGTGTCTTCTATTCTTTCTATATAACCGACCCTTCATCCGCATCACTCACCCTCCACAACCACCCCTACCAACTCCCATCTACACCTCAAACCACACCCCTCACATCCATCAAAATGCCTCGTCAACGCCGTGGTGCCGCTCCCGCCTCTACTCCCGCGCGCAGCGCCCCTACCAGACCTACCGCCGCTCCCGCCAGACCGGCCGCTGCTCCGCAAGCCCAGCACTCCCAGCCTCACTCGACCTCTGCTCACCAGCCCGGCGCCCAGCAGCACGCTCCTCCCCCGGCCGCCGCCGCCCCTCCTGTCCAGCAGAGCGCTGGCCCCGGTCTCTTCGGTCAGATGGCCTCGACCGCTGCGTAAGTCCCTCTCCCAGCAAAACAAAACACACCTACCCACGTACTGACTGAATTGTCACAGCGGTGTCGCAGTTGGATCCTCGATCGGCCACGCCATCGGTGGCTTCTTCGGTGGCGGCTCCAGCGCCCCCGCTGAGCCCCAGCAGGCTGCTGCTCCCCCCGCCGACTCGCAGGCCATGGACAGCGGTCTGTGGCAGAGCACCGCGGCCAACACCTCGTGGGAGAACTCCCCTTGTGCCACGGACGTGCGCAGCTTCCGTACCTGCATGGACGAGAACAAGGGTGACTTGACCATCTGTGGGTGGTACTTGGATCAGCTGGTACGTTTCCCCCCTCTCCCATTTCTTCGCTCGCGTAGTCTTTCTCCTTCCCTATGCACGGTGGGAGAGACAACGCGAGGAGGGGATAAATGGTATATGATAGACTGGTGATGGATGGACGCTAACAAACTCCCTCGTACAGAAAGCTTGCCAGGCCGCCGCCAAGCCCTACTAAATTCGAACCCTTTACCGATCAACCGATACCCGGACATGATCTCGGTATCAGATCTTAATGTATCGTTGTGTGTTTTTAATCCATGGGTGAAAATACATGGCTTCGGTGCGAGTTCGACTTCCCTGCCTACCTACCTCTACCTGTCTGTCTAGCTAGCTAGTTGATTGATTCTTCAACCGACTTCCTGGCTATGGGTATCTGGTACATGGGAATAGGCAGGTGGCGAACCCGCTACCTTGACGTCTTGGATTGTGTTTGCATAGCGGCGTATTTTTCTCCCTATACCTACCTACCTACCTACTTACCTTTTTACTTTATCTTACTGTATACCACCATATCGAATGATATTTACCGACACCGATCTCCTGCTCAGAGGGACTTTTGAGGATCGGAAATAGAATAAATGAAAAAAAGAAACTTTCCACTCTTCAACTATCTTGTCGTTTGGCTTTGTTCTTGATATTTCAAGATATAGAATACTCAGATATTGAACAGGTAAAATGGAGCAACTACTAAATCACGATAAAATAAGAACAAAGCCATCAATGAAATTAGAACCTCAGCCCATCCATTGGAATCAAAACGAATGAATGACAATGCTATCGCTATAGAAAAACATCCGAATTGAGTGAACGAAGGATGGAAATAGAATGAACGAATGCGCGTGGAAAATAATCAATCAATCGAGTGCTGAACGCCACAAAAACCGTTAACAAAGGAAGTAAGCAAAAAGGACTCAGTTGAATAAGTACAGTTATTGCAGCGATCGTCCGTCTTCATCCCGTCGTGGTTGGAAATTAAGCTGTGAAGATACAATTAGTCCCTGCAAAAGGTGAAATGAATTCGAGTCCCGGGCAAAAGGCTTACCTGATTCCCGTTGTAAAGCTGACTATCGTCTCGCGACTCACGCTGATCATGCAGGGTCCGAATATTAAGCCCCCCTGACCCTGTTGGGCGCGGTCTTGCTGCGCTTGCTGCGTTCGTGTTCTCCGTTTGAGAAGAGCCGGTCGACGGTGCCGCCTGAGATGGCGGTGCTGGTTGGACGTAGCCGAACAGGGAACCAACGAGTCCTGTCGCAGTCCCGACCACAGACGAAACAATTCCATAGGCGGATGAGACAGCACGAACGGGAAGACTAGCCCCGGAGGTGGAATATGCCTCCGTGTATGTGTTAATCGGAACCATGACGAGATTCGCCGTCGAGCCAAGGCCCAGTTCCTCGAGGGTCTGCTCCTCCTCGGCGATGGTGAGGGTTCGGTTAGGGAGAGGGGTGAGAATGTGCTTGAGGTTATAGGGACGTTTTTCTTCCAGCTGGCTGTCGACCCAGGGGCGTACGTCGCTGCGAATGGTCTGCGAAGGAGTAAAGCTCGAACGCACGGAACTCCCGTCGAAGAGTCGGACTTGTAGACGGTACTGTCTGGGAGGCGTTGGTTGGGGCTTTGGTGCGGGTTCTGGTTCTGTTTTGGGTGGAGGTGAGGTTGGCATTTCGACCTTCATAGTTCTTGATGATTGTGCTGGCTTGTCGTGCCTCTTGATAGAGATTTGGGGAGCAGGTGCAGGGTCTATCTTTTGAGGCTTCTGCCTCTTCGTTGAAGGCGATTGGGACGGCTCTGTTTTCTCTGGCTTCTTTCCCGCTGATACTTCATCTCTCTTCCGTTGAGGCTGTTGTTGGGTCGCGATATTCTGAGGCCGAGGTGCCGTTGACGCCGGGGTAGGTGATACAGGCGTAGGTTCAGACATGGGCGCAGGTACAGGCGCAGTCGTCGGCTCAGATACAGGAGCCGGGGCAGTCGTACCTGTCGATGCCGCAGAGCTACTCTGTGCTATCGACTGCGCTGGAGCCTGAGGCTGGGCCTCAGCATCCCCAATCGCAGCCCTCAGCCTCCCCTGAAAGCCCTCCTTCTCAACATCTGGCACAATATACTCTCGCAGCGTTCCATCCCTACACAACTGTCAGCCAACTCCATCTCAGATTAAACCCTGCCCGTAAACCCTGTCCGGCCCCATGCAATGACGCAATGCCCCCAGATCCAGAGTATAGAGAACCCAACATACTTGATCACAATAACAGTCGGAAACTTGGTGACGGGACAGAAAGAAGTCAAGAAGCCGGCCTCCGCACTATCCTTGGTGAGTCGCAACAGGACAGATCTCGATTCGAGGAGTTGCGCAAACTGTAGACCGGTGAACTCGTTAGCCAAGAAGCCAACCTACAGCAACGCAGTGACCAAGGAAGGAAGGGGAAGGAAACGGTACCTCGCTGTCCGTGAAATAGTCATTTTCCCACTTCGAACTCGTCTCGCTATCGTCTATCACCCGGGTGGTTAGCTAATTGCCACAGAGAGACGACATGGTCATGAAGAAGGTGGAGCTGGCGGCCGGCGCATAATGAAAGCTCCAGCTGGCGCGAGTGCAAGTGGGATAGGGAATACCTCTAACAAAGCAAACCACGGCCTTAGCTTGGCTCACAGCCTGGGCGATGCCCTCCTGCAAGCTTCCGGAATAAAACATGATGAAATGGATGAGTAGGTAGACAAGTGACAAGAGCCGGGGGCGGAGAGATCGGGGAAAGCATGGAAGCCGCCGATCACGAGCGCCCCTCGGGAATCCCGTCCGCTAAAGATTCCCTCTCTTGTTATTTCCTGACGCAACGAAGGACCGACTGATCCGGCCCAACAACCCGGCATTTCGCTACGTACCAATTCAATCGCCTTGACTGAAACACTCAGACTCTTATAGTCCATGAGGTCCCTCTTTTCGGTCCTCCAGCGGACCGCAACGACGGCCTGGCAGCCCCCAACTGCCGCTGCCCTCCGCGGTCCTCGCGCGGCCTTCAAGCTCGATTCGATCTGCGCTCGTTGTCGTCGCCAGCAGGTCCGATTCAACGGGAATCAAGCGGGCGATGATCCGCGCTGGCTGTCCGTGGTAGATAATCCGTCACAGATTGTTCGGACGGGGAACAAGCATGGGCCGGGGTTGATTATCTTGGGTGAGTATTTGCGTCACCGGTCACCTTTGGAACGGAATCCGACTAGATTATGGATATGGTGCTGACTGGCAATGTCATAGCTTTGATTCCTATTATCTCGTTCGCATTGGGAACCTGGCAGATCCAGCGCCTGGACTGGAAGACCAAAATTATCGCCAAATACGAAGACCGTCTAGTGAAGCCGCCTCTTCCGCTACCGCCGCAGATAGACCCGAGTGCTGTTTCGGAGTTCGATTATCGCAAGGTCTACGCTACGGGTCGACTGAGACATGACCAGGAGATGTTGATCGGGCCGCGCATGCGGGAAGGCGAGGATGGATACATGGTGGTGACGCCTTTGGAGAGAGGCGAGGGACAGAGCACCGTGCTGGTGAACCGGGGCTGGATTTCCAAGAAGCTGAGGAACCAAAAGGATCGAGCTGTTGGGCTGCCTCAGGAGGAGGTTACCGTGGAGGGATTGCTGCGCGAGCCGTGGCAGAAGAATATGTTTACGCCGGAAAACAGGCCGGACAAGGGAGAGTTCTACTTTCCTGACGTCGAGCAGATGGCCGAATTGACTGGCAGCCAGCCGGTGTGGATTGAGCAGACAATGGGTAAGTTTAAGCTATATTCTATGTAACATGCGGCGTGGGCTGATGTGAACCCTGGCAGTTCCGGATATGGTGGAGTTCTATGATCGAACAGCCAAGGGTATTCCGATCGGTCGCGCGGCTGAGGTGAACCTGAGAAACAACCACAGCCAGTACATCTTCACATGGTGAGTCCTTCAAATCTCGACAATAGCGCTCCCCGTGCTGATCTTTGCAGGTACGGATTGTCTTTGGCAACCTCAATCATGCTGTGGATGATTATCCGGAAGAGACCCAACGAGGCCACACGTCGGGTCCGCGCCAACCGGAACTGGTGATTTACCCCTGTTCAGCTTTGTTGCGGGCGTTCGGTTTCGTTAGCTAGGTAGATTTGTATAAAATGTATATTTCATGGCGGCATCGACAGTCTCATATCCTGCAAGAGTTCTTTGGGCAGATGCTTTTGCGCCAGCGAGAACATAGTGGTTGCATTGTTTGTATGGCGTTGTCTACGATATCAGCTTGGGTCAGATCAGATAGAGTAGGACTTCAAACTTACCTTCGAATGAGAGCGGCCACATCACACTCGTCGATCGTCTTCCGTCCCGCGTGTTTGGAATACGCAGCCAGGTCTTCGCTCACTTGCTCGAAATACCATGACGAGGCCTGCTCGATTGCCGCCAAGGTTGCCTTGTTCATCTTGGTTTTGGACCCAGCCCTTGCCGGCGCAAATCGCGTAGCCAGCTTCTTGATGACTCCGGCGGGCATGTTCGGAACGGGGATGCCATGGCGCGAGAGTTTCTTTTGCTTCGAGCCTTGCATGATAGTATCTTCCTCACGCAGCCCTCCTCCAACGATCCCCGGACTTTCGCTCATAGGTGCTGGGGACCAGCGAGGCGACGGGTTCGCGTCTAGATTCGCGTCCATATTCGCGTCCAGATCGACGTCCATGCCGAAGTCAGCAATAGGCTCATTGCCATCATCGCTGTCAGAAGCGAATCCTGTCTCTTCGGGTAAGTCCACGGCTGGAAGTTCGAATCCATCATCATCGTTGATGGCCTGATCCTGATCCAAGTCCTCATTTGCAACCGGGACCGGGGACGGGAAATTGAAGTCCAAATTGAACTTCCCAAGGTCTTCCGTCTCTCCGCTATTCCAGTAATTAGCTCGTGTATCAAGTATCAGAATAAGAGCCGGAACCTACCCCCTATCAAAGGCCCCTTGACTGATAATCGTCTCGTCGGGGTTTTCATCATCCGCAATACCTGTATCATCGCCGTCCTCATCTTCACTCTCTAACCCCGCCTCCCTAAAATTCTCGCTCAATCGAGGCCCGCCAAAGCTCATCATCGACAGTCGCGCTTTTTCTTGATCGGCCGCTCGACGGGGATACTCAACCGTGATATCTTCCTCCTCGAACGCCAACGAAAGCCTAGGCGGACGCGGCTCGGGACTCGCATCATCGTCTTCTTCTTCCGCCACGTCTTCCAGAGGCAACGAAAGCCGAGGCCGTTCCACCTCCGGCTCGTTATCAAGCTCCTCGATCTCGTCTATCTCCGGCTCCGGCTCCGGCTCCGGCTCTGGTATGTGCGGCGAGGACTCAATGGGTTGGGATACAGGCGCGAGGGCTAGTCAGTGGTCAGCGATCATGTCATCATCCTACACCATGTACCCAAGACAAGCGCACGGAGGGGACAATGTAGCGGAAAACTCACCCCTCCCTAAATTCCTTAGAATATCAAACGTCGTCTCCCGCTGCACTTTCACGCTCTTCCGTCGGTCTCTGGCCGGCTTCGCCGCCCGGCGCTGCATCGCGCGGAGTCCATATGGCGTCGAGGGAGCCCCTACGCCCCTATTTCGCGGTGTGCGTCGCGAAGCGGAGCGATTGGCCGAGGGGGTTGTTGATGTCGCGAGGCGGCTGGGGGTGATGGGGTTGTGAGAGTGGAGGGGGAGGCGCTGGAGCTGTTATTCATCCCGAGTTAGCAATTGCCAGCATTTCAGAGATATGCATATCCGAGGGAGATCGGGAGGAAGAGAGAGGGTACATACCCCCGTGAGCGTCGCGTCTCTGTCTCCGAGGGGGGTGGATGCCGAGGCGGGCGACCCGCGACGGCGCGGGTTGGGGGTGGTCGACATGGAAGAAGGCGTGTCTAATTAATGATCGAATGAATGAATATGCATATGCAAAAGCATTAATACATAGATGAGACTCAAACAACAAAATGCAGTCGAGTGGACAAGGACAATGGCACTACCCCCGCGATAGTCGACTGCTAGAGTCAGACGGAGAGGAGCAGGAGGAAGAAGCGCGTCGGGCCCGGGGGAACACCTCACCTGCCTAAATAGGCCTAGCGCCACGCCAGGCGAGAGCCCCCCACATATCAACTTGTATGGAGCTTCGCTCCTTCCAAGATAGAGTCATCAATCAATTTATGAATTTGGTCTGCATAGTGTCCTCCGACATTATCTGGTATGCGACCACAGCGTCCTTCCAAATCTCACTCTCTAATTTTCATTTGTTACCCTCATTTCTCCAGAGTCAAACCCACCGCATGGTAAACATTTGATGCCTAACCCCACCCCTTACACATTAGGAAGAATTGCATTTCTCTAGGTCCCTGAGGTCTTACGACATGCCCAGCAGCCTCCACATTGATGCGATTCCAGCGGTAAAGAGGATGAAATGATCCTACCAGTGAAACATGCCATTGAATATGAGCATCTATGACCCGAGCTTCATCAAAAAATCAAAGACATGCTGCGGGCAAGGGCCCGAAACTGGTCTGCACGGGTATCGAACGATGTGCTGGTAGAAGAGTCCGACCGAAGGCGTCGGGTCATATTCTCTCGATATGCTTCAGGATCAATATCTTTGAGTACGTCACTCGCTTTCTGTCCATCCCAAACTATCTCGTCAGGATGCCCTCGTTCAAGAAGCATATTAGCAATGGCAAACTGCTCAACCAGAAGAGCTAGACGAAGTAGTGTTCTTCCATAAGGGTCTCTCTCGCTCATAGACGCACCACTCTCCAGGAGAAGCTCCACGTTCTCTTTCGGACCGACCTCACAAGCCAGAACGATAGGCGTCCCTCCCCTATAGGAGACATTTATATTAGGGCGGTATGCCATGAGCGTTTGTGTCTTTTGGACGTCTCCCCGTAACAAAGAGGCATGGAGGACACTGAAACCGTCACGTGCGCGGGAGTTGGGGTCAAATCCATTTTCGAGGAAGAAGCGAAATGACCTTACATCTCCTCGAAGAGCTGAATAGAGAAGGAGGTTCATGCCATCAATGTCCTCGACAGAAATATTGGTCCCCTTCTCCATTAAAAGCTTGGCAGTATCGAAATGGCCCCCGCGGATAGCGAAGAACAAAGGTGTGCGGCCGTAACAACATCGGGCATTCAGGTTTGCTCCATATTCAAGAAGAAGTTCACATTGATCTTCTTTACCCTCGGCAGCTGCGCAGTGCAAAGGCGTTGTGTTATCCAGATACCCGAGATTGGGGTCTTCCCCCTTCTGGAGTAAAGAAACAATGTCCTCCTGCCAACCTAGCTCGATCGCTGTGATCAGATCCGGCTTTCCCACATGTCTACATATAATTAGTATTGCCTCTTTCAAACCCTCGAAATGTGCCCGACGCAACGCGAAGCGCACATTGGTCCCCTTGGTCATGAGATACTCGATAACTTCGAGATATCCGGCCGCTTGTTCTTCATCGGTGTGGTCTCCCCATCTAGGCTCATACAATGCCAAGGCAATGGGTAGGCGACCAATTTTATCTTTTTGGTTGACTTTTGCCCCGTAGCTGGTTAGGAGCCTCGCGATGTCTTTCCTTTCCCGGACAAGATGAAGAGGTGCCATTCCCACATAATCCCCCAAAGTTGGCCTTGCTCCAGCCTCTAGTAGCACTTGAGCAACATCGATGTGGCCATAAAGAACAGCTTCATGCAATGGCGTCCTTAACGTATGATCCTGGACATCTACCTTTGCACCGGCTCCAATTAAAAGCTTAGTATCCGTCACAAGGTTATGCTGAGCTGCAAAATGTAGCGCGGTGCGACCATGATTGTCCAAGGCATCCACATCAGTCGTCTGCGACATAATCTCAAGTAAGACATGCAAGTTAAAGGCCATGCAGATACGTAGGGCACTCAAATGAGAATATTCGGTGCACGGACCACTGCCCCAGTAAACCGAAAGCCAATTCATGAAATATGGATTTCCCGCATCCAACAAAGGCACGATGCTAGCAAGATCATTTTGAATATCCGCTTGATAAACATGCTTTAGCCAGTGCACTGCAGCGTAGGCTATAAAGGGGTATTTTGTTGTGTGCTCCCTTAGTGCGTCCTTCGGTTTTATTGGAATAGTGCTTTCTGGTTGGGCAACTTGTGCATGCTCTTCGAAAAGTGTCGCCATTGTGTACCCCGACCACCTGTGGTTGCAATCCCATGACACGCTGTTGCACTCTTTGGAACGCCAGTCAATAGTCCTTGCAGTATGTGCCAGCTCAATTATCAAGGGCTCTTCGGCAAATTCTTTGAGTTGAAGGTAGCGAACACAAATGTCGGCTAGTTGCTTATGAGCCTCCAATGCAGAAAATGAGGAGCCCCATTCGTCCACTTTGCTTCCTAAGGTTCTGGAGGATCGACCTTTTCTGAGAAGAAAATCCCGTGCTGTTTCGTGAAGAAAGTATACCCTCCCATTCTGTACGGTCACGAAAAGTCCAGTGACCTGTCGTACAAATTCCTCTCTAGGCCTTGCCCCTTCAAGGTCTAGATCACTAAACCGGGAAGTCCTCTCGCTGACTTCTAAGGCGGCGTCAATTTCGGACAGGGTCAATGGTCGTTCTGCGGCCAGAATCAGTGATAACACTTTCCTCGCTTGCGACTTGTCCCTAACTCCTGCTAAGATCTTTTCGTACGCCTCATTAACGGTCTGCGGGAGGTTGTCGATAACAGCAAATGCTTTCCTTTCCGATTTTCCGGGCATCTGTCGAATTTCCACCAGGACTAGGGTGATCCACAGGTACGTTCGCTCTTGAGAAGTCGCTAGTCGCTCGATTAACCTGTTCTGGACATGTTCTGAAAGGCCAATTTCGTGACAGATTTCGGTAATTTGTGCCTTTGTGAAAAGACTAAGTTCATCACTGACCTTGTCGGTATTGGCATTTCCATCGATATGGTACCCATTTGTTTGCCGAAGTAGAGAACTTAGTTTTCTCTTGATTTTGTTATATGGGCGGCTGGACACCAGAAACTTTATCCTTGGAGAATTGCAACACCCCTGCTCTGAAAGCTCGACAATCGTCTTAATAAGCTGGTGTAGGAGCTCTGTTTGTTCTGGCTCCTGGCATTCGTCAACAGCATCTAGAAGACAAATAACCTCAGTCTTCCTAGATACTTTGACTTTCGACATATCTGTGAAAATGCGCAAAAGTCTGCTACCCATGCTAACTAGGCTAGATCCATGGCGGTCGTACTCTTTTTCCAACTCGTTTATCCACTGTGGGAATACCGTGAAGAGCTGATGCAGAATTGCCGAGAATGCATGCGACAGGTCCCGTTGCTCAAGGTCCCCATCCGCTTTGAAGAAGAAATAGCATACACAGCTGGATGTCGATGGCTGGAAGGTATCGGCCAGATGCCTCATCAGGACTGACTTTCCACACCCAGGGTCAAAAGACAACCAGAGGAGGCAGCTTTTATCTGAAGTTCGCCAGGCATGGTATTGTTCGTGCGTTAGGAACCATTGGCAAGTCCCTGGATACGCTGGAGAAATTCGATCTTTATGGACTTCGTAGTCAAATCTGCCGAGCTTTTGGAACAGTAGTAACATTCTGCTATCCATTGGAGTACTTGTATGCCCTAATATGTTATCAAAGTAGAGTTAGAAATCGCAAACAGAAACTGCACCTTTCGAAGAACGATTATGAGCCGCCTCACGTACTCGATTGCCCAAAAGAGACTAACTCCATCAAAGCGTCCCATACAGGCATGTACCTTTCTTCTTCATCTTGCGAGAACTTGCAGATTGTTCGGTGATCAGAGCTATCAAGAGGCAGAACGAGTTCGTTCGGTAGATTCATGGCGGCAGAATCCCGGTCAACAATCTGTATAAACAGGAAAATCAGTGCTCCAGGAACAGATACACCTACAGACACACTTGCTTCACTAGCGGAGTGAATGGAAAAGGAGACTTACGATTTGGTTCATGAACTTTTCAGTTTCATGGAACGTTCTGATCTGCAGATGCTTTGCCCGGTGTACGAAGTCTCGAGATATATCCATCCAGACTGTTGAATTGCGCTGAAGACTGTCCAAAAAATTATTGTTTCCCAACGACCCTCCCGACAGGAGCTGAAAGGTGCGAACTGGCAGCTTTGCCCAGGATGCCAGGTCTGCGCCTCTATGAGGAACGCCCAGGAAAAGACACCCTTTGATTTGGTCGAGCAGTCTGCCGTACCGATCACTGTTATTCCAGGCAATATTTAATGCCTAGAAGGACGAAGCGTTTTAGAATATAGGTGACAAGTATATGCTGGGCAAGGAAGCATTGCTCGTTACCTTCTTCACCACCAGACCCCCAAGGCTGTGCGCTATGAATACTATTGTCGGCGATTGGTTGTCCATCTTCCGTACGGCGTTGTATATGCCCTCGATTAGTATCTCTGCGACTTGTTGAATGTCGTTGACCGATTGGGTAGCGAAAATGTTAGAGTTGTAGCCAAACGACAATATTCTGGCAACAATGCCGGCCTCTTCAAGCAGTCCAGGACCTATGGACGACTCAACCCAGTTCCAATTATCTTTCTCTGACTCCCATGTCCTGAGCCAGTTTCCTCCCAGTCCATGGACGGCGACGATTCTTGACTTATTGTGAGCCCGGGGTGACTTTAATACGGGTTGGTTACGCACACAGTTGACGCAGCCTTGTTCGTTTCTTCGTCTTTAAGGACATCAAAAAGCCCACTTATGGGTTGTTCTCCGGTACGCTCGCCCTGCTCGAGCTGTCAGCCCAGTTGATCGTATGTGACAGGGTATGGGAGAAGGGAGATGCAGCTTGAATACGTGCCTTTTTTCCGCCAGAATCACCAACGCCACCATCAGCGGGACTTTTGCGACCTCTGTGGCGAGAGTGGCCCTTCATCAATACCTTATTGAAGAACGACATGCTGAGGGTTCTCTTCGAGGATGGTGGTGTAGTCAGTATGCTCAAGCCTAGAAGGCTGGAAATGGGAGGGTTTATTAAACTTGTGACCTCAGCTCTCAGCCTCGTGGTTCAGACATTGGGCTGCCAGCATCTCATATTCTATTCGCTGCCTCGTGCAGGGGATATGTGCTAGTACACAGCACATGCGTCTGTGGGCGCGTGATATACTCCATATAGCGCCCGATGGATCCCGAACATCCGCGCATGTTCCTCGGGTCATCCAAAGGTATAATGCGCAAGAAAACACTGTTACAATAAGGCCACTGTTTTCAAAGCTCTTAATATCACTCACATCTTCATAGTCCTCTCTTACTATACCTTTGAGCAGTAAGAATCGCAGTAGATGTCGGAGACAGGGAGACCTATTTATATATGAGAGCGGGCTGATGAGTATTAAATAGCCTATCGGAGCATCTGTTTACGTATTCCCCCGCCCCAACGAGGCTTCTTTTTCTCCCTTCGACGTGTCATGATCACCTTTGGAAGGAGATCTTTTCCCCACATTTTCGCGGGTCTCACGTAGCTATATCTAGTTGAGTTCATCTCGAGGAACCATATAAATGGTTAACGTTTACAATAGTCACTAGTCTGGAAGGGCGGATTCGTCAATAACCATCAGTACGAAGGTACCTACGTAGGTAACACTCATGCTACTTTCGTACTGATTCTTGCATTCTAGATTACAGAGAGCTCGAGGCTGTCACGAAAGCGGGAGACCGACGGCTATACCGTAATGGAGCTAGGTACCTTAGTCCGTTTTACGTTGTGGTCCGGGAATGAAGTCAAAAGAGTATAGAGGTATAACTGATTTCGAATGTCACTGTGTGTGACGGATTTATTATTGCTCAGCCTCGCAGGCGGGCTCACGCTGCGACCCCTCTTTTCAGCCTCGTAAACAACGCACCCATTCTCGAAGGCAGAACACCGGAGGAATCCAGGTTCCTCGCCATTTTGTGATGATTTGAATGTTGATGGCTCGGGGATGCCAGAATCATATCCATATCCGCAATTTGGGGAGCAGATGCGAAGCGGATTTGGATTTTCGCGGATGCTGCCGCAGCCTAATTATTATTAGACAAGTTATTACCGCTATTAAGCTCGGACTCGTTAGCCGATAATATACCGGAGACATTATCCTTATTTAAGAAGATAATAGACCGCTTGTCCGGTCATTCTCATCTTCGGATACAGGCACAGAGAGTTGGGAGGGGGTTGGTGGAAGTGTTATAGAATAAGGAAACGGTCCAAGCTGGTGTTGTCTCTCCAGCCGTGTTGAATACTTTATTAGCTACCTAGAATTATTGTCAGCAAAGAACATGGTAACCCCTGTGTTCTTGGTAATGCGGTTCAACTATTCTTGTATAAAGGATCACCCGCAGCCCTAATCAACGATGATATACTGGCGGACCCAGCTCAAAACTAAACTCTTTCAAATGCGGCGAAGCCTTCCATCTTGCCAAAAGCTGCCCATTCTCCACCAAGATCTGCTGTAGCATCTTTCGCCTCTCCTTTGCATCAGGCCACACCCCCTCCCATAGCCTCACATATGGCTTCACAACCCCCAAGGCCTCCCGCAGCCACAATCTGGCCCTTTCCTTAATCCGACCACTCTGCACCATTCCCATCTCCAGCTCCTGAAGAAGATCTTCCCTTTCCCGCCCTGTTTTCACCGCAGCCCGCATCACCCCGAGCAATATATGTGACCGCACTGCAAAGTCCAACTTATCCAGGTGCTCCACACCTACTGTTTCCTCTACTGCAACAGCAGCCAGAAACTCGATCTCCTCCTCACTACCAAGCTCCCCATCCCATCCCCTCCACCACGCATACGACGAGATCCCGCCATCCGGATGTCCACAAAATATGATCTCGCTCTTCCACACGCCATCCTCCACATCCGGCTCAACAACCCCCTTCTGTTCCCAGCTTGCCTCCCACAGCTGCACCGAGTACTTCCTTTCCCACTCATACATATCATGAAACCCCTGCGCCGCAAGTATCCCGAAGCCGTTCTCATTCCACCTTGTTGGGGACGGCACCTCGGTTCTGGTGCGTGCCTTAAGGTATGGGGCCACCATATACTCCAGCCAGAAGCGCGCCTGCGTTTCTGAGTAGGGCCGCACGCTCGGGTGCGCCTTGCGCTGGCGGATGATGGTTGTCTCGAGCGTGCTGAGGGCTATATCGGTGAGAGTTGCGAGCGGAAGCAAAGGTTGTCTAAGGTATGTACGTGCGACGTTATGGGCCCAGCGTGGGAGTTTCGTGACATGTGGACTACCGCCGACGTGAGGTCGCTCGCGAATCGGTATGTCCAGCGGGTGGTTTGAGTCTGGGAGATCTTGGAGGTCAGGCAGGCGGTAGAAGCGGGCTGTGGTCTTCTGTTTCAAGAATGGCTCGGAGTAATATTCCCGCCAGACGGAGGGGTGCAGGAGTGCGTGGTGCTCGGTGTAGAACGTATTAAATCCGTCGAGGGTTTCGAAGAGGCCGTCGATTGGGTCGGAGGATCTGTGGACGGTGAGGTAGAGGGCTGCAGCGATCTGGGCCAGGTAGAACATATCCAGGGTGCTGTGGTTGTGAAGGTTAGTATCGTAGTTCCTAGGCGGGGATGGATAGTAGATAAATAACTAACCGATTGAACCTCAACTCGCCCTCGCCGAATGACCATCCATGCGTGTGCAGCTTCTCGATCACATCAAATACACCCTGACCATTCCACAGCGGCTCATCCATATAGATCCATGCTATCCGTAACAATTGATCATGGCTGTTGACAGGCACCACGCCGTTTTCAACATCGGTGAGGAACTTCTGAGCGCACATGGCAAGCCTCCAAAAATGGCAGAATGAAAGATGGGAGGTAGAAGTTGGGTTGAGACCAGGGGTCCGAGGGGACTCTTATATGCTCTCTCCGCTACACCCCACTGTTGATGTAGCTAAAGCAGATAGGGAGTGATTATAATAGATAATAATGAAAGAATTAAGATTCCGGCGGTAAAAAATAGTAAATTAATAGATGATTTCCTTACATACTGTTTTTATTTTATTAAATATTTATATACATCTAAATATTATACATTTTTATCATCTTTTTCGTCTCTGAATAAGACTTTATTGCCTGTAGTGGCTTTGTTGACCTTGCGGAGGTCTTCATGTTGCATTGATCAACGCGGTGGAGCAGCAGTTCTGATTGGCCCGTTCCTTATCGATAAGATGTGCTGACTCAGCATAAAAAGTTGTGCCGGCGAAGACTCCGACTCCGATGCGACGAATGCGACAAGCAATCTGACTCTCTCCTCCGTTGTCTTTGCTTCCTGTCTTGCATTTATCTTACTATACTCAACTCAGCGAAACCATGTCCGCAGAACCAACCACCCCCAACCCCTCCGGCCTCGCCGCCAAGGTCGACAAGAAGCGCAAGCGCCAGGCCGAGGACTCTACCTCGAAGGAGAACAAGGCGGAGTCTGCACCCACGGAGAAAGCCGACGGACCGAGCAAGAAGAAGCAGAAGAACGACAAGAAGAAGGGCAAAGGAAAGGGCAAGGGCGACAAGAAGGACAAGAAGCCCAAAGATGATGGCGCCGAGGCCGACAAGCCCAAGCCCAAGCCTAAGACCAACGACTCCAAGGAAACAGAGGTGAAGGGCAGTGTGGACGAGGCGATTGGCAAGATGGACGGCCGACTACTGGCGGACCACTTTGTGCAGAAGGCCAAGAGACATAACAAGGAGCTGACGGCGGTCGAGTTGAGTGATCTGAGTGTTCCGGGTATGTTCTCCGTTTGACTTTGGTTGAGGGTACATGGTACTGGATAACGTGCTAATTTTGATACACAGATACTGCATTCCTGGATACTTCCTCATTCAACGAAGCCCGGCAACTAGGCTCGCTACCCGCCTTCATCAAGGCATTTAACCCGACCAAGGGTTCGGATCCGTCCAAGGCATCAGAGGAGAAGGGCACGCCGCATACGCTGGTTGTTTCGTCGGCGGCGCTCCGAGCTGCTGATGTAGTACGGTACGCTTATCTCATGCCGTATACTTCCAATTGACCCAAAATAACTAACTCGTACATACAGAGCTCTTCGCACATTCCAAACCAAAGAATCGCCCATTGGCAAGCTGTTCGCCAAACACATCAAGCTCGGAGAAGCCAAGCAGTTCCTTGAGCGTGCTAGGTATGTTCCTTCGCTCTTCCTGTTATTCCCTCACAACGAACCATCATACTAACCTCGACGAACAGAGTGGCCATCGGCGCAGGCACCCCCGCTCGTATATCCGATCTGATCGACTCTGGTACCAACCCTCTTCTCTACCCTAAACTCGAGGCAAAGCATCAAACTGACTGTGAAAAACAGGATCTCTCAAGCTGGACGAGCTCAAAACCATCATCATTGACGGATCCTACGTGGATCAAAAACAGCGCGGTATCTTCGACATGAAGGAGACCCATCTGCCGCTGCTCCAATTACTCACGAAGCCCGAGCTGCGGGAACGGTACGGCGCGAAGGAGAAGGGGATCCAGCTGCTGGTGTTCTGATTGATGTATATTCTAAAAGTTCTGTTGGCGTTGTCTGGTTCGTAGCTATACATACTTCTTCTCATACTACACACTACACATTATGTGCGTGCATGCATATAAATGTTGGTTTGGTTGATGCTTGATCCTTCTAGTCAGTCAAAGTACAACAGACCTAACATAGACACCTAAATCCCTGAATCACCTAAAAAGAAGGACTAACCCCCTCGATCTACCTACTTCTACTCCGAGTAAATCTACAAGTAAACAGACCCACCAGAGCCACACCGCCCAGACTGTCCCCGTCGTCCGCCCGGCAAAAAAAGCAAATTTCCGAAATTTTGCCCGGCGTTCTTGCACATCACTCGACTTTTATTTCTACTTTTTATACGTTATCTTCTTTTTTATTTCAAACTTTTTCGCTCATTTGCGGCTCCTCGACTGTCGTCATCTACTCTACTCCGTATCGTCAGCTATACACAATGAGCGACAAGAAGCGCAAGAACGACCCCGAGGAGGCCGTCCAGCCTGAGGGCAAGAAGGCGAGAAAGGAAGAAAAGAAGGAGAAGAAAGAGAAGAAGGAGCGCAAGGAGAAGGCGCAGGATGTCGTTGAGGAAGTGAAGGAGGAGAAGAAGGAGAAGAAAGAAAAGAAAGACAAGAAGGAGAAAAAAGAGAAGAAGGTGAAGGCTGAGGAGCAGGAGGAGCAGGAGCCGGAGCCGAAGGAGGAGAAGGCGGAAAAGAAAGCGAAGAAGGAGAAAAAAGAGAAGAAAGACAAGAAAGAGAAGAAGGAAAAGCGCGACGTGAACGGCTCCGAAGAGCAGCAGCAAGAAGCCCCCGACGCGGACGCAATGGACGTTGACGAGCAACAAGAACAACCGGCCAAGGAGAAGAAGTCGAAGAAGGACAAGAAATCGAAAAAGGAGAAGAAGGAAAAGACCTCCGACGAGCAGGAACAAGAAGAGCCGACGGCTGGATCGCAACCCGCTGAGAAGCAGAACCGATTCATTGTCTTCGTTGGTAGGTCTACCAATATTCAAAACACTGTCGCAATCCATGTCTTACCCTCTAACTTCTTCCCAGGAAACCTCCCCTACTCGGCCAACGCGGAGTCCCTGAAGAACCATTTCGCGAAGAACCCGCCCGCCTCGGTGCGCGTGGCCACGGAGAAAGAGAAGCCCACCAAGTGTCGCGGCTTCGGCTTTATCGAGTTCGACCATTTCGATCGCATGAAGACCTGTCTGAAACTGTACCATCACTCTATGTTCGACGACGGAAAGTACCCGCCTCGACGGATCAATGTTGAACTGACGTACGTCCTCCCCTCTGCCTTTCCTTTCCGTTTATACCTTTTCGGTTGCATTGCATACCCTTACGGTGTCACCGGTCCAATTTAATCCCCCACTAACGCACAACGTCTTTCCTGCAGGGCCGGCGGCGGAGGTAAATCGAACCACCGCAAAGCCAAGATCGAAGCCAAGAACAAGAAGCTGGCCGAGGAGCGCCAAAACAGCCTGCACAAGGAGAAGGAGCGCAAGACGCAGGTCGAAGAGACCGGGGCCGACGACTTTGCCGGTGTGCATCCTAGTCGGAGGAACTTTATGTCTTAGGCTGAGGCTTAGCTTACTTGGCTCGCTGAAGCTGAAAGCCTGGATGGGGAATTATTCGAGATTATTGTCACCGTCATTCATGCCCCTTTCGTATAAAGAGACGGCGTTTGCTGCATGAGCTGTCTGCTTTCTGGTCGCTGATGAGATGGTTTGGCTAGAAAAAAGTATTTATTTGGTTTTCTGTTTTCTTCGTGTTCAATGCCGAGATATCCTTTGCGTTCTGTTGGATTCTGTGGACATACTTGACGAGACGAGAGCATGTGAATAAGGAAGATATAGATATGCAAGTGTCATCGTTTCAGATCCTATGCATGCATACCTCTTCAGACATCGGGCTTTCAACACACTGCAGTGAAAACGAAGCTCTACATTGTGCTCAGTACTTGACAATCAACGCGGAGAAACCAAGCAATCCAGGACACCAAAAAAGGATAACGAGACAGAAAACACAGCAGTCGCTACCCATGTCGACATTCATTGCGTGATATTGTATGGCATGTTACATCTTTATACTGCATTATGAAGAAGCGAGGGAGTCAAGAAAAAAAAAAGTTTGGAAAAAAGGGTCGGGATAAATGGAAGGGCGTCCTGCTAACCCTGGGGGAGGAGAAAAGCATCAAGGGTCATGGCAACCAAGAGATGGAGAAAATGGAAACAAGACAAGACAGTTCAAAAGTCATCATACTGGGGACAAATCGAGATTCCCCATCAACCCAGACGCCGGATTAGTTCTTATATTATAAGTCGGAAGAGAAAGTAAGGGGGAATAGATGAATCTACAAAATGGAGCATTTGCTCTTCTTGGGTTTCGTGGCCGGTCGAGGATTGAGGACGGCTCTGGAGATTTGATTAGCATTGGGCGCAATAAAAAGAAAAAGAAATACGACATACCGGATGGCTTCGTCAAACACACTCTTCAGGTTGCGCTGCGTCAGGGCAGAACATTCCAGGTACTTGTGCGCGCGGATCTCCTTGGCCACCGTCAGGGCCTGCTCGTAGGACACCGGCTCCATCTTCCGTTGGCGGAGAGTGTCGGTGGTGGCGCGGTCGTCTCTCAAATCGAGCTTGGTGCCGACCAGGATGATCGGGACGTTGGGGGCATGATGTTCAATCTCCGGGAACCACTGCAAACGGGATTAGCTGGAATTGATCTTGGAGACATCGCCGGCAAGAGAATCAGGGACGGGGAAGCACCTTAGCCTTGACGTTGTCGAACGAGGGCGGGCTGACGATGGAGAAGCAGATGAGGAAGACGTCGGTCTGGGGGTAAGACAACGGGCGAAGTCGGTCATAATCTTCCTGTCCAGCAGTATCCCAAAGTCCTAGACTGATCGGTCGGCCATCTACCATCACGCTGGCGGTGTAGTTGTCAAAGCTGGAGAGGGAGGCACGGTCAGCCACGCGTTCGCATCAGGGGCGGTGCAGGGGGATTCGGGGCCACGGACACGGTCGGTATATACTCCCCGGGGAAAGCATTGGTTGTGTAAGAGATAAGGAGACATGTCTGGTGACCGTTAGCCTGAAACCGACGCGAATGTCAGACTGATTCAGGGTCAAGAGACTCACCTTCCCCACAGCACCATCACCAGTTACTACACACTGTTCAAGAGTCGCCCATTAGCCGCGGTGTTTGGTCGAACGGGCGGAGAACCCCCGAGGAGGGAAATGGCGACGAATGCTGACCTTCAAAGACTGAGTAGCGGGACCCGTGGCCATGATTGTTCGCCGGAAGCCGGAGATCAAGAATTGTGCAGACGGAGAGAAGAGCGAGGAGGCCGAGAGACGAGGGCGCGGGCGTGGTTGGGCGGGCGGAACAACGATAATCGGGGATCTGCCAAAAGAACCAAACGGTGCGAACGATAAGTCGAATGCAACAGACCCAAGAAAGCTGGAAGGAAATGCCAAGGAAATTGATGCCACAATGCCAGCAATGAAAAAACAGGATGATTGATTATTCACAAGAAGAATAAAAAAGACTCCAACGGGGGCACCCAATATCCACAAGGTTGAGAGGAGGGGGGTGAAGATGTCTTGAGGTGGAAGTGTGGAGAGAGAGAGAGAGAGAGAGGGAAAGGGAAAGGGAAAGGGAAAGGAAGGGAGAAAAGAGAAGAAAGTCAGAAAAAGGACAAGCAGACCGAAGAGACCAAGTGGACGGCGACTAAGCCCGACGAGAGGGGGAGTTGGTTGGATCGCAGAGCACGACGAGAAGCGCCAAACGAACGAAGAGGGGGCGAGAGAAGCTCAGTCGATAGCTCACCTGCCTTCTGATTGGAAGATCAATTGCAGACGGGAGTCTTGGAGATGTCAGGTCTGTGCAGAAGGAGAGAAGGATGAAGGCGAACGGGTGTCAGGGAAGTAGAGAAGGAAAGGGAGTGAAGAACGACGGAGACGTTGGCTGGGGGCGGCGCACGGGGACAGAGGGACCCCAGTGTCTACTAATTCTTCTTCTATCAGGACGTCGAGCTGATGGATGGATGCTATTTCGGTCACGATGCCCTGCATGTTGCAGCTGGTGCCAGCCTTCCCTTTTTACACTGGAATATCGGTCCATCCTACGACTGGTGGCCGCTGGTTCAGGGGGTGGAGCCCTGAGGACTTGCCTCCATCCGAGCCTTGGGTATAACCTGCTCCGGTCTCGAGGTCGCAACCCGTCCTGTACGTCGTATGCACTTAGTATCACGTCCTATTATCCTGAGCTAACGATCCGATGGTTCCACTGCTTGACCGCCACCGAACCCTACCTGCCTGCTATGACGTGGTGCATCTGTAGGCAGTATAGCATCGCATAGTATAGTATAGCCGAGTGGAATATCGTGCAGGTTCACATTACCATGTTCTATCTATCCCTCGTCCGTTCCCTGGCCTTTGTAATAACCCTCTTAAATCCTCAGGACGCTCGTCGACCGGTCCAGAATCCCATTCCCGACTTTCACGTCGTACGGCCGCTCCATCAGCCCCGACGCCCGCTCGCCGAATTGCTGGAAGTAGGGGCCCAGCAGATGAATCTGGAGGGCTTCGTGGTCTCGATATCTATTCCTTTGTGTAAGCTCAACCAGAATCACAGTAAATAAATAAATCAAAACAAATCAATGCGCTGGATGCGACACGCGACAGGAACCATGGGACTCACCTCTCCACAACCATAATCTCGCTGCCGTTGTTGATCGAAAAGGCGTAGTAAATCAGCGTGTCTGGCTCGTTGGCCTGCACCTGACGCGAGAGTTCGGCGAGATGCGACGCCAGCTATCGGAGCGGAATGCGAGGTTAGCCTCCAGGAAGGAGTTACGAAGTAGTACTAGGCAGCTATAGAGCTGTCAGGACCTACTTCGTCATGTTTACCCGCCTTGGGATACATGATTGCCACCACGTTAACCTCGTCGGACATCTTGACGGATCGGTCCTCGACTTGAGTTTCTTAGGGTGGAGGGGTGGAGGACTCTGGCCGACGGGCTCAAGGGAAAGCAAGAAAGAGCTGTCTGGCTGCAAGGAATGACGAAGGGGGAGTCCAGCATGCCGGGGCAAGGCTCATGTGGGGTAAGACCAGAGCAGACACGATGACTAACTTCCCCTCAGCAGGTCAGCCTCTAGACTTGGATTTCTAGACTCTCGCTCGTAATTGGTATCTCATTCAGGTGGTCTATACGTATATACAGTACAAAGCAAGATATGGACAAGAATTTTACACCATCGCCGCTCCAACTTCTATACACCCTCGTCCGTTACATCACCGGAGGGGCAACGAACGAGTCAGGAATGCCGTCGAACACCCAGTTCAGCGAGTCAAACACCTCCGAGAATCCCGCTTCGCTGATAAATGCTCCTTGGTCGAAATTGGTCGCATACATCAGCCCCGGGTCCTGAAGCGTATGGTCTTGTACCGGCCCGGCGGTCGACAGGTTGGCATTGGTCATGGTCCCTAGATCCGCGAGTATGAGTAAAGACCAGTGCAACTGTGGGAGAAAAAGACATACCTTGAGCGTCTTCAATGCTCTTCATCGGTCGGAACCGCTGCCGCCAACGCCATACCGTGTCGTACACATGGCTCATACTCATGCGACAGCGGACCTTCAACTGCAAGGCGTCCTCTCCCGTGGACTCCTCCGCCCCGCCGGCATTCCACATCTGGGCCAAGATATCCGCCAGTCGCACCGGACGGTCGTGGTCCATGACACTGATGCGCCGGATGGCCGAGATGGCCCCGTTGAACAGCAGCTTGCCGTGGTCGAAGTCGATGTGCCGACTAAAGCTGCTCTTCAGAAGCTTCATGAGGGCGAATGCGGCGGAAACGATCATCTGAAGAATGTAGTTGGTCGCGTGACCGATGAGCTCCCCCGGCGAGGTCTCCAGATCCAGCACTCGTCCGAGGAAAGAGGTTGTGGCAATAAAAAGTTTAGTCAAATCGTCGCTTCGTGCATTAGACCCAAGAAACACAAAGTATCTCAGGTGGAGTTCGGCGGCTCGTAGATGGATCATATTAATGTCTGCAGAGGCGTCAGTCAGGAAGCATCGATCAGCAGACCAGGAGAGATCCATACTGGAGATATCTCGGCTGAATTCGACTTCCATATCTCGTAGTTCGTTCTCCAGTAGCTGCACGATCAACAGCTTTTCCGAGCTGATAAACTCGGCCGGCTCAGGCTTGCTGCTATACAAGGCCTTGGTAACCCGATCGCAGAATTTTTCAATGCGTAATCGGATCCGTAGATCGTCGGGAAGTTGAAAGTCCGCATCGCGGAGGGACGGCGGTTCCAATGCCCAGTCGTAGATCGTGCCGGGAGGTTGTCCATACCCGGTGGCCACGCTACCCAATGTTAGCGCATCCGCAATGGTCGGAGGGGTAGTCAACGTACTTCTGAGCAACAATGTTACAAATCACCCAGGTCTGCAGACGATCTTTGACCGCTTCGCCCTGGACTTCCATGCGGAACGTGGTGAATTCCTCCGCCTGAACGGGACGGTGCAACCCAAGTTGCATGGATATTTGCATCATCAGCCCGCTGAGCATAAAAGTGGCGTCTGTTCGTTGGCTCGTCGTGGGCAGCGGCCACGTGCAGAGAAGACACAGAGCCTTGACTATCCGGTAGTCTTGCGGCACCCCCGTGATCGTGGACCAGAGCAGCCGGCTGAAAGGTCCGGTGAGCGCGCTGAGAAGGCCGGGCTCCGACGGGGCTCGACGACTAGCAACGCAGATGATGGTCCATGCCTGAAGGGGACATCGACGAAGATACTCCTCTGGTGGTTTCTGGGGGTTCAGCAGAGGGAGAAAGGGGTGATAATACTTGAAGTATCTGTGCAGATGTTAGAGCCAATGGCCGTTCAGGCAAGCAAGGAATGGTGCATGTTACTGGTCGAATAGCCGGGCTACCCTCGGTCTAGACAGCGAGACATCTTCCAGTCTCCACTGGCTGTCTTCTTGGGAGAGAATAGACGCATCTCTGTGCATCGTCATCGGGGTCGCCATATGCTGCGGCTCCAAGGGAACCGACAGCGGCCGTGTCTTGCAGGGTACCGCCGGATCGGGACCACAGAATACATCCTCGGAACACTGGGACAAGTCGTCATTGACATTGGCCTCCGCCGGGTGGTCATTGTTGGTGGAGAGACGTCGGCGGAGATCTGCAATCTCCCGTTCCATCTCAGCATTTCGCCTGAGTGACGAGCGTCAGAAAAGCCATGCGTCAGAAGATCTAGCCAGGACGGAGGTACCTTCGCTTAGAGATGCGTTTGAAGCTCGGCTCGACCTTGCATTCGATCTGAAGCCGGCGGCAGCGTGAGCAGGCCGCGGCGGGCGTCTGCACGATGTCACACCGAAGCTGTTGAGGACCGAGTCACCCCATTTTTTAGCCAGGCGTCGAATCAGAGCAGGAGTCGGTAGGAAGTGCCGACAGCAGGGTTGCTACATGGACCGGAGGGGGAGGGGCGTGTGCATAGGGTGCAGGATGATGGATCAAAAAGCAAAAGCACTAGCTCACCTTCTGCTGTTTACACTCGTTACAGGCCTTTCTACTGCCACCGCGGCGCTTCCCGGTGACCGGGGGGATCTTCTCCATGGCGCAGGGTTCGGAGTTCCTGGCAGATAGATCAAAACCAGAGACCGGCCGGGGCATTCTGGGGGTGGTCCGAAAGTCGCTGGGACCCGAGGTTAAAAGGCTGGCATGGGGAGGCAGCCCATTCGGGGGCATCAGAGACCGATAGCCCAGATCCATCGAGATAAAATAGAATTCGCCCGCCGGTATGGAACCGCGGGGCGTGAGGACACATGCAAAATCGAGGTGAAACGGTCAGAACCAGGCCCGAAGTGCCGGAAATCGGAGGAATGGGGAAGTGGAAGTTCTCCATCGACAGTCGAAAGTTGGGGAGCGCGCGCGACCGTCGGCGGTTTCTGCTGACTCATCACTTTTGTCAGTGAGTGAGTGCCTGAGGCCTCCAGCCTGAACGGACGCAGGAGTGGCCCGAGATGCGGTGGATAGACATTAGAACGGAGCCAGGCGTGACATGAGTTTATTTGGCCGGGCTAGCCTCCAGGGTACTTTCGTGGTAGTAATTCTCGCTCATTCTTGACTCCGATTGAATCTTCATCTTCATCTTCAGAGTCCTCGTACTCTGCCATGTCTGCCCCTCGTGCCTGACGATGACGTAGGCGTACCTGAGGCAGTGAGGCCACCAGCCCAAGCCACACGCATTACATAACCGGCCGTCCCAGGCTTCCGTCATTCTTTCTGTCGCCAGACTCCTTTTACCTCCGCGGCCTCTTGTGTCTTCCTGCGTTCCGTTCCTTTGGACCCCAATTTGGTCTCCGACTACTTTTCTTCCCCTGTTGCTTTGGGTTCAACCTCCCTGGAACTACCTTTCTCATGGCCGAACCCCTTCACGATAGCCCGGTTCCCGCCTCCCCTCGGGGCCCGGATGCGCCGCCATTGAGCGCGAATTCCGGCCAGTCGGCGAACTTAGAGATCCGTTCAGGGCCGCCACCCATGTCCGAGGAATTGAAGGCTCGTCTGGATAAAGTCATCTATTCGGACGTGAGTAGGATGCCGTCCGACCCCCTGACTAAGTTGAACTACAAGTGCGCTGACCGGAATGTCCCGTATAGATCGGCATTACCACTCTCCTGACCCGGCTGAAACAAAGCGTTGCTTCCGCAAGGGTGTGTTCATGTTTCATCCCCGCATTCCATGTCCTCCCCCCTGAATGAAGTCTGCGGGCGCTAATTGGAATATGACATCAGGATTTCTCGACGTTTTTGAAGAAGCGATCAAGCTTGGAGGAGGAACACGCGCAAGGGCTAAGGAAACTCTCTCGCTCCCTTTACGATGCGGCGCACCGTCCCGACAATCGCCAAGGCACCTACGGCCAGAGCCACAATGATTTAAACCGTTTCCATGACCGCATGGCCGATCATGGCCTTCAGTTTGCTGTGTCCTTGCAGCAGATGGCCGACGATCTGCATGAGCTGGCTTCGAACATCGAGCGGGGTCGCAAGCAATGGAAGCAAACCGGCCTGAGTGCGGAGAAGAGAGTGCTGGAGGCGGAAGCGTCGGCGGAGAAGGCGAAGGCCAAATACGAATCGCTTGCAGAACAGTATGAGCGCGTCAAGACGGGTGACAAGGCCGGGGGGAAGTTCGGGCTGAAAGGACACAAGTCGGCGGCGCAGCATGAGGAGGAGCTGCATCGCAAGGTCCAAAATGCGGATTCGGACTATGCTGCCAAGGTGCAGGCGGCGCAGGCAGCTCGCCAGGAGCTGGTTTCCACCCACCGGCCTCAGGCTGTTCACAACATGCAGCAATTGATCTCGGAATGCGATTCGGGGCTCACGCTGCAGCTGCAGAAATTCGGTGAGTTCATCATACTCTTCCGGTGGCTTGCTCTTTAATACTGACATGCCTTCTAGCTACTTTCAATGAGAAGCTCCTGCTGGGACAAGGTCTCTCCATCAGTCCGCTGAAGGATGGCACCAACTCCGCCATTGCGCCGAAGAGCCTCTACGAGGTCATTCAAACGATTGACAACCAGAAGGACTACAACGAGTACATTTTGAGCCACGAGAATAACCCGGCCGCGATTGCTTCGGAACAAATAAAATATGAACGTCATCCGGTGAGTTTCTTGAGGCCCGAGTTCTTTTAGCCTGTACTGATGTTCTGCAAGACCCTTGGTGGCTCAGGACCTGTCGTTCCAGCCTCTCAGCCCAGTACCCAAAATAAGCGCCAGTCCATCTTGCCTCAGTCCTTCTCCACGCAACAGCTCCCTCCCAGTCAACCTTCTTCGCAAACCCCAGCTCCAAGCAGCCAACCTCATCCATACCCACAAGGACCCGACTCGTACGCTTCACCTTCGTTCCAACAGCCTCCTTACCCGACAAACTCGGGGCCACCTGCTCCTGAGAAAGTCCCGTTGAATGCCGCGCCTACGGCACCCCAGCCGAGTCCGCTGCCGCCACCAAGCAACACCTTCCAATCACACCTGCCGCCCTTAAAACCGGTGTTCGGCATCTCTCTAGATGAATTGTACGAACGAGATGGAACTGCGGTTCCCATGATCGTCTACCAATGTTTCCAAGCCATCGAACTCTTTGGTTTGGACATGGAGGGTATATACCGACTCTCTGGCAGTGCCAATCACATTAATCAGATGAAATCGCTCTTTGACAATGGTAGGTATCCTTTTGTTTTCCCAACAAATAAGGCTTCTGCTAACCATATGCAACAGATTCATCACAGGTGGATTTCACAAACCCGGAAAATTTCTATCATGATGTCAACAGTGTTGCCGGCCTGCTGAAGCAGTTCTTCCGGGACCTTCCCGATCCTTTGTTTACTTCGCAGTCGTACTCGGACTTCATTAACGCAGCCCGTAAGTCCTTGAAGTGCACATTGTAGGTGTCATTCAACGAGCTAAATCAAAATAGGAATCGATGATGACGTTAAGCGTCGCGACTCGCTGCACGCGCTTGTCAACAATCTCCCCGACGCACACTATGCCACCTTGAGGGCTGTAATACTGGTATGTATCCTCGATCTATTCTCATCTACACTTAATCTAACCCAATGCAGCACCTGAACAAGATCCAAGAACATTATACCCAAAACCGCATGAACGCAGGCAACATCGCCATCTGCTTCGGGTGAGTCCTTCTTTCCACTAATACCTTGCATACCGATGGGAGCTAACAGCATTATTAGACCTACGCTTCTCAGCGCAAGCACCGGCGGCAACATCGCCGATGCCGGCTGGCAGGTCCGAGTCATCGAGACAGTCCTGGTCAATACGTTCCAGATTTTTGATGACGATTAGTTAATTCTTCCCATTCTTTAATTCGTTGTTTATATCCTGTATTTCCCCTGCTTCTTATTCTATTCTTCTTCAACCCTTCTTGGATTCGCGCGCACTTTTCCGTAATTTTCTCGTCATCTCCTCATTGATTGCTCGGGGGCGAGCTGTCATAGTCGTCTTGCTCTAAACTGTACTTCACTGGGACGCCGTACCGAGTAGAAGATTTCTGAATTCGTCAGGAACAAATTCCAAGTGTAACCTCTCATCTACGGTAGGAAAAGCACAGCCACCGGATTCCTTCGCGACTGCCTTCTAATACTAGTAGTTAATAAGCATATAAGCTGAAATGGTCTGGATTATTCATCAACATCTTCGTTTTTAAGCCAATTGAGAATAAATACAAAATGCGAAGAAAGATGATCGGATATAGTACAGGTGGCGAAGATAGGGGAGATGCATAATCCTTGAATGGCCCGCTGAAAGGAGTACAGAGTACAGTACAAGACAGGAAAAGAGAAGGTGGTTGGAAAGCGGCGTGATCAGAACACATGATCGAATCGAACATTGCCACATTTTGTATGCAACAAGTGCCTCGGGGAGTAGGGTCACCTGGGTTGGTTCAATTGTGAACGCCACAGGCAGACGAGATGCACGAGATGCTCTTCATCGGTGAGGTCACGTTTTGCGTTACCAGAAGAATAGGGTTAAGCCGTGAGGGTAAACCCGAGGAAACCCTCATTTCACTACCCACTGCTTATTTCTTGCCCATCATCTCGCTCTTCATCAGCTCCAAACGCTCCGCGGCCGACAATCCGGGGGCGAAGGCGGCGTCCTGGAGATTGTCAACGGTCATGGGCGTAGTGTGGCCCCAGATGCGCCACGGCTCTTCCTCGCCGGTCCATCGCAGTTTCTGGACCACCACGTATTCCGTGCAGTCCTGCTGTTTGGGCGCCGCGGGGGGCTCGACGGGGGTCTCGGTGGGGACGGACGGCCCGAGACGTTTGTTCTTCGGCTGCACCTTGACTTTTCCGGTGGACTGGCGACTGGTGATGCGAACGATGACTTGACGAACTCCGGAGTTGGGCAATTCGGGGATTTGTGTGGCGCGGTCGGAGACGACCCGCAGGCCGGTGAGGAAAGTTCCGGGAGTGCGGTTGTATTTCTCCAAGGCCCAGGTAACCTTCTCATCCTTGGGGCGGTCGTTGATGCGCGAGCTGAGGTTGTTGGCGAGACCAGTGCAGCAGATCTTGCGGAGTTTCATGGTGTTGCCACTATCGCAGCAAAACACAGTTAGCGTCTCTCATGCACAACACACTATATCATAGTCCACACTTACTCGGCGAATGCAGAGTACATCTGCTGGTGGAGGTCGCGAGCGACCTGTCGTCGTTCTTTCAAACGAAGCGGCAATCCCTTGTTGAGCCACTTGGTATAGGCGAGCAGACTGACAACGAGACGTTAGATACCTGATACCTGAAAGTCAGACCGGTGGGGTTCAGTCCTACCCTAGAAAGTTCTGAAAACTGGTCTTCATCCACAGCCATTCCATCCGTAGACGCTCGGATGGTTGTGTGAAAATCGACGGCATATCTCTCCAGAGCGGTCGAACAACTGTTCCGGGCAACAGTCCAATATCCTGGGGCAGATCTGCCCGACTCAATTCACTCCCTCTGGTGCGCATACTCGGCTGAGCCGGCTGTTTGACGGAGACTTCATTTGGCACGTAGCCAGCGGCGCGCTGGACGGACTGCGAAAAGGATCGACAAGCGGCAAAGGAGGGATGCTTGGATCGCACGGCCGCCATCAGGGGCGTGGAGGACAGCGACGAAGCCATGGTGGACAGGCAGGGCGGACTGGAGGCAGAGCAGCAGCGCAAGACCGAGCGAAAGTCCGCGGCCGCAAAAGAAAAGCGGTGGCCACGTGACGCGGGCGGAGCGGCCACGGTTCTTCGTCGCTTCGATCGTCCTTTTGGTCCTTTTGAACCTCCGTCTCGTCTCCGTCTGGGCGTCGTCACTGTCCGATTCGATCCGTTGGTCTTTCTCTCGTGCGTGACCCTCGCCTCCGGAACTGTGCTGCCTTGCTGTCTCTCTGATCGTTGCACTTCTCCGGCGACAAGGCGAACTCTCGGGACTTTTCCATCCACCAACGGTCGATCAGTGATTACTATTTATTTACTACGGTCCCTTCTCACCGCGACAGGGGATTGTTCCAACTTCAGCTCCCCTTACATTCTTCCCAATCCTCGGGATCTTCTGCGTAACGGCCGCATATGCCGTAGACTAAAGGCTGGCTCCTCCTCGTCGTGATGCTGCTCCTCCGCCCTTCTCCCTCCACGCTCCGTCAACTCCTGAGCCGGACTTAAACCCGCCCTCCTATCGGACGACTCCATCCACCACCCCTCCTCCTCTTGCCTCGCCTCCTTTCTTCCCCTTCCCTTCGGCTCCTATCTCAGCGGCGGGTTTCCGCGATAAAGCCGTGGCGCCCTCATCCATCCCCTCCAACGTGGTCCCGCCCTCCCCGGCCTCCTCGACGTCCCAGTCTCTCAGCAGCCACGATGTCGCTCATGCGCCCTCTTCTGCCTTGCATCCCCGAGTGGCCGTCATCCTGGGAGTCGACCGGAAATGGTACCTGCCTCTTATAATCAGTCGGGCCTTGAGCACAGTTCCGGCCGCCTGGTGGGGCCTGCGCTGTGCTTTTACCTTCCTGGCCGAATTGCTTCGCATTCGACCGGGCATGGGGCGTGAGGGATGGGCGGCGGCGATCGTGGGGAGTGTTGGACAAGACTGGGACGTGGAGAGGAGATTCCGCGTGACTGAAGTAGCTTTGGCGATTATGTGGGTGAGTATTTTCTCGATTACACCTGGGTTTAGATTATGATAGCTAACATATCCTCCAGTGCAGTGCATCCGCATATCTTTCTTATTTCTTTGCTGATTGTATGATGTCTCGATGGTCAGTCCGCGTCGTTTTCCATACACTCAGCACCTATCATGCTAATTGACCCCCAGGCTTTTAAATTATACCCCGCCAGCAGTTGTTATTCGTCTCCTGACCACCAACGGGTTAATCGCTTATATCACATCATGGGTTCTCTATCTCTCCGGCGCATCGTCCGATCCACGTCTCCTGCTACCTGCATGGATCTCAATCACAACTGTACATACCCCCATGCTCCCTTCCTCCCCTCCAACCCACCCAATCCACCAGCTAATCAAACCCTCACCTCTTAGACCCTGACCTTCCTCTACCACGCCACCCAAAACCACGCCATGATCAAACGTGAGACGGCGGCCGCCTTGCTCGTCGTCTCGGTCGCCAGTTTCGTCAGCATGTCGTCGCTTCTCCTGCAGTTGCATCTCACGCGCGAGAACGAGCCCGAGGTCCCTGTGTTCGTCATCACGCGCAAACTGTGGGATTGGGCTGTGGCGATCTTTTTGCGGATGAGGGTCGTGGAGAGCGCGGGGGAATTGTGAGTGAGTCTAGTGCGTGTGGCTGGGTTGTGTTGTGGTTGATCTCATGGGGAGGAGGGTTGTGTGTGCGTACCGTGGAGAATCCTGTCGTCGGTCTTTTATATCATTTGTCTTTTTCCTTGACTTACCCCCGACCCAACGGTCTATTTCGAGGGCGTTCACCGAAAGATCATTCTTGCGGTCTAGAAATATACACCTTGAGCGTTGTGCTACACTACGGTTCTAGGTTCGAGCTCTTGGGCAAGAGATAGAAGAATTGTCAATTCCAGAATAACCATAGCGACATGAAAGTCAGAAATAGTCCCGAAGGACAGCGACACTCCACGGATGCAATAGAAGTAGGAAAAGACAACACAAGACACCAGCTCAACGCCACGAAGCACGGCAAGGAGCAATTCCCGAAAAATTGTAAAGAATACGAAGCAAGGATCGATAATGAAAGACCACAATCACAGAAGAAAAAAAAAAGTAATAATATCTATGACGATATTGGGTATCTACCAACGCCTCGTTCCGTCATAATCCCATTCTGAAGTATAGCAGTCGAGTCGAACGAAAGACCCACTCTCTCATCAATCATCAAGGGCGATTGAATAAACATTTCAAGACAGTGCGTCATTCCGACAGAGGCCCAAGTCCAGTACACCGGGCTCAGAGTGTGGACGGCAGAAAAAAAAAGGATGAGAAAAAATAGAAGAGGCAAGATAGAAGACGACAAGAAAAAAAAGCCTAAGGTCACCCCGATCCACCATGCATCTGATTGCACATTGCGGAGTTGGGCAAGTGCAAGAGCAGACGGGCGGATACAGGGGCTGCTACCACATGTCTCTCCTCGATCCAACCACTCTGAGGGCAACGCAGACTGGGAAGAAGGGGACCGGAACGGGGGGGCGCGGCGGCGAGCTTAGAACCCGTGGACCTTGATGGTCTTGGCGTCCAGCTCGAGACCTTCCTTCTTGTCGGTCAAAAACTCCTGAACATCTTTACGCTGGTCTCCTTGCAACTGAATCACATCACCCATCTCAGTGTCGTTGACGATGGTTCCATTGCAGGCTGTAGCACGGTGACGTTAGCGGTGGTTTTTTGTGGATATGGTGGTTTGGGTTTCATTGTGGGGCGGGCAGGCGATCCAAGAACCCAGCCGAACGGAGAGGAAACGTACCGAACTTCTTCTTGATCACCTTCAGAATCTTCTTCTGATCGAATTTCTTAGGAAGACCCTGGACGGTAGTCAAGGTCTTACGACCATTGCGCTCTGCGGGAGAAAGTCAGCCCGGGTTCACGGTTGAGGCGGCCCGTGCACCTCAGAGCACGAGAGGGCAAAAAGGCCCCCACAGAAGAACAAAGAGCCAGTCGACGGGGACAACGTACGCTGAATCCGGATATGGATATAATTCTGAGACTGTTTAGTCTCGCCGGTGTCTTCGTCAGCTTCGGCGAAGGGGTCTGTGTCGAGATAAGAGCACGTGTTAGCCTTTCCGGGTCGCAGCAGAGCAGAAAATCTACCCCGCCAAAATGTCATGCGCATTCCGTACGCCTTGCGTCCAGACCCAGTGATACGATCGACCACCCCCCAGCCGGACAGTCTCCTGGGGGAGACCGTCGCAGGGTGAGGGGGAGAACGAGGATCCCGAGCATTTGCAGGCCGGTGTTTGCAGAAGGCCGTCTTGACGGGCGACAGAAGAGGCCAGAGAAAGGGAGGTGGCAAAACGACTTACCGAAGGTCTTAAGGTTTTCGATGGACATAAACTCGGCCTTTTGTCGTAAACGGCCCTTAAAAGCGGAGTATAGTAAGAAAGCGAGGGGACGAGAGCTGCGAACTCTGGAGTAAACGGAGCGATTGGAGCGAAGAGCGGGAATGCGAAGGAGTTGGTGGTTGTCGGGAAGGAAGGCAGAAGATGGGAAGAAGAGCCTTTTGAGGGGCGCCTTGTGGGGGAAGGCGGTGTGTGGCGCCCGCCGGGTGACTCAGCCCCTTCGCCTCAACACCTGACAGTCTACGGGTTCCTGCGACTTCGCGATGGGTGCACTTTGCACGTAACTAGCAAGTACCATATACCTGCCTCTATCAAACATGAACGGTCAAACTTTTTTGTTCTTCTCGAAGTCTTGGCATCCGCGCCCGATCCCTGAGGCGCAAACGAGGCAGTGTCAGATCTCTCGTACTACTTACCTTAGTATATATCTCTAGTCTATACTTCCATGCATCCCCCCCCCCCCAACTGGTACCACGTCGTCTACTCCTGATTCATCCATGCCATCTGATCATCATTAAATCTCTCACCCCCCGGCAATCAACCATCCCTGTCTCAATTCCCTGATCCTTATTGATCCTCCACGTCTTCCCCTCCAACGTGTTACTCAACCCGAGCCTATTCGCCCTTTCCTGCCAATCACACCCCTCGCCTTGATTTGCCACCATCCGCAAACCAGAGAAAGCTCCGAACCCGCCGGCTCCATTGGGGCTAGAACTGAGGAGAAGGCGGTTCGCGTCAACTCTCGTACGACTTCTGCCGGTCTCCTCCATCGTCCTGGACGGAGCCACTAGCCATATGCTGAATAGCACTCAGACACCGAGCATCGTCAGATCCAAGTCCATGGACCGGGATTAGAACCATGTGAGGGGCCAATCCCCGGGTGAATCCACAAATGTGACTGTTACTGGCCGCTAGGTATGTCGCAGATCGGATCTCGGAGGATTGACCGGATCCCAGGGATCAGGATTGACCCCCACCTTGCCATCGAATGGTCAGCCCTTGTTTGCCTCAGGATACTTGTTCCGGGGGCTGTTGACCACGGGAGAACATCAGTGCTACCTAGGTATAGGCACAGGATCACAGTGTTACCGTGGATTCGGATGGTTGGGTCGCTGGCTGTATCTACGTATTGGAGTAAGGACGAAAGAGTGGGATTTGGAGATGTTACGCTTGTTACTGATGTCCTGGTCTTTCAGCGTTGTGGCCAACAGTGCTTGTCCAAAACCTACATCCAGCGTAGATTCCGTGTTTTTTAAACCTGATCGAGAAGCATCACTTTAATGGCCCAGTCACGACGTCTCATGACAGTCCAGAAGGTCTAGATTCGTATGAATGTGAAACACTTCCGACTGCTGTGAAGCTACCACGAACCCCGGAAGTCCTGAAATGCGTGGCTCTCCAGTCTCAATGGAATCTAGGTCAAGCTAGATTCGGCTAGATGAACGCTCACTTGGAGTATACGCGGCTTTTGCATTCAAGCCAGGTGACATCATTGCATGAGATCCTGTGCTTTTGTCGATGCTTTCTCGCTGATGGCACTCTGATTTTGATTCCTGTTCGACAGAGATGTCGAGGATGAATAGATGAAAATCTGACATCAAATAGCCATCATCTACATGCTTGGGGTGTGGATGTTGGTTGGTGTCAAGGAGATTGAAATTCTGAGTTCTGAAAGCTAGAGTAAAACACCTGATGGAGGTCACGGCTCTTAGATCCTGCTAGAACCTGCAATTCAAACCAGCCCAAAGAGTCACTCCACCGACAAAACACCATCCATTCCAATCATCACCAGGTACACAAGTAATCAGTCAATCAAGATCAACTATCACACATATCCGCCAGGATTCATTTGTTTACACGACTATCAGTCACAAGCATTTCAATAATGTCATCGTGCTCTTCATCCAACGCGATCGACAAGGCCGTTTCGCCCTCCGAGTTCTCGATGTTCGGATCCAGCGTCTTGATTTGAAGCAACGACTCCACAACCCTGGGCCGATTGTATCTGCACGCCACATGGAGCGCGGTATCCTGGCACTCGTCGGGGTCGTTGACATCCATCTTTCCGGACGCCAGAATATGCTCGAGCATACTCGCGCAGCCCTTCTCGGCCAGCCGAGTCAGCAGGTTGTATGGAAGGGTGGGGTCTTGAAAGTCGATTCCGCCCTGGTCATGCGCGAGTAGGATATCCACGATCTCAAAATGGCCTCGCAGGGCAGCGCAGAAGATGGCGGGTGGCATCTCGCCGTTACAAGTATCCGGGGGAACCGCGCACTCGTCCATCAGGGTCTTGGCGATGTCCTTGTGTCCAAACCAGCAGGCATATTGAAGAGCCAGCGTCTCCCGAACATCGGACGGAGCAAGGGAGTCCAGGAAGACTTTGATGACGTCCAGATGGCCCTCTTTGACAGCGAGGTCGAGCGCACTGTAGCCGTCATCATCTTCCGCGTAGTCTGAGTCGGGCTCTGTTCTCAGGAGTTCTCTCACCGTCTCGGCGTGTCCGTTGCGTGCGGCGTAGTGAAGGGGCGTTTTAGAATCAGGACCGATGATCTCGGAGCTCTGCAGCTCATAGATCAGCTGGCCGATCAATCCTTGGTTTCCGGCTGCGGCGGCAGCTCCGAGAGGACCCCCGAATGGACCGTAGCCAACGGAGATGGCATTGGCGAGGAGAGTTAGACCCGACAGGAGAAGCTGGGTGACTACGCCTTCAGAGCCCAGATATGCAGCCAGCTGCAGAGGATCGCCGTATGCTCCTTCGGAGTATTGAAGAGTCATCTCCCGTTCAATCAGAATGTCGGCCAGGTCCTCATCGTCGTTGTACGCGGCGGCATACATCAGACTGCCAAGGTGTGGATGGCGCAAGTCAATATTCCGTCCGCTGTCCAGCAGCCCTTGAACAGTGCTTAAGCATCGAAGCCAGGCGGCTAGCACCATGGTCTCATCGTCACCCCAATCGTCGGTCCAATCCAAGGGCTTCCTTATGTTCTTGGTCACCCAGGAACGACCACAGCAGTACGTGAGGGCATCGGAAAGGGAATCCAAGATGTTTCGAGGGCTATGCTTGCTGTTGCCATACTTCGACAGAGTGAGGTTAACATGCTCCGCAATCTTCTCCACCCTGGCGAAGAGCTCAGTGTCATTGATGATCTTTTCATAGAGCAACTTGGCAATCAGGACATCACTCATGTCCACGCTGAGCTTTTTGAAGTGCGGTAGATTAACCAGGATCAGACGGTTGAAAAAGCCTAGTCACAGCCATCAGCATGCTTTCCCGGAAAGATCAAACAGGTAGGACAAGGATACTCACGGGAGACGAGTCGCAGGTCTATCACAGTCTTCAGGCCGAGATACTGCAGAATGTTGGTGAGAACTTCCACGCTCAGATCTTCCATCCCCATTCTGGCAACTTAAATGACAAATCACAGATGGAAGAATTGAAAATGAAACGAACAAATATTCCTGCTCCTTGACAGGCAAATTGGAAAGGTGACACGGCAAGGTACTGAGGTCAACAGCTCGTGCTGACAGTGCCCGTGCCTGCGTATCACAGCAAATGCCTTGTGTAACGAATAATGCGAAGAAACGCTGTCAAGCAAATACAGTCATAAGCAACAGAGATAAGCTCAGGATAAAATGAAAGGAAGCAAGAGAAGTTGTCTGAATATGCAGAAGGCGCCCGCACGAGAAGAAGCACAAAAGATCAACAATGCAACAACTGCATTAATATGGTGACAGATGTGAACACAAAACGAGAGGTTTCCTGAGAATTTCAACAACAGAAGACTTGGAATCCTTGATGAGAATTGATATTATGGATCACGGAGTTCCGAACGAACGTATTGGAAGCTCAGGGAGACTGTAGAAGAACATGGCGGGGATGACGAGGCGTAAGGAAGTGAGATCTGACTTCAATGAAAGAGGAGAAGTGAAAGCAAGTCTCAAACGCGAAGGATGTTCTCAAGCTCTTGCAGCAGAGCGAGGCAGGGCACGTGATGCGCACAGGGTGGCCAAAATATCAGTGAGTGAAGGCCGGCTTGCTAGTTAGATTTGATTGTTCGCTTTGGATACTTTGCATGCACTCCGTGGTTTGTTACGTGCCCTTGCTGATAGACCATATCAAGCTAAAGTGACGCTCTTTAGAACGCACTGTTCGATAAGGGTTTACCCTGATAGAAAAATCAATTGAAATTAACAAAATAGATTGATTACCTGATCCAAATAAGCCAGTCATTGATATCTGCTAAGCAACTGCGGATTTGAACACCAGAAGTAGGAATATTATTACATAAATAAGGCATACTATGGCAGCGGGACAGCGACATTCTGGTAAAAACATATCTCGTATAAGGGGTGGATTCGGGGTATCTTCTTCCCCGGGTTATATGTCCACCATCCTTACCAGGCCTGGCGCACACCCACACCTTTCACGTACGCTTGCTCGAAACGATAGTACAATGGTATCATGGAATCGACGCTTTTAAGGAGACGGAGACGGGGAGGGGGCGGCAGCCGGGTCGGCACGCGCGGCGGGAGAAGGCATGAAGATGGGGAAATAGGTCTGCGCAGGTTAGAGAGGACAGGTTGACATCGATTTAGACGGCAGGAACATACCACGACGAGGGCCATCACTGCGACAGAAGCGATCATTAGCGAATGTTCACTTATCAGGAAGTTATCAGGGAAAACATACAAGACATCAGGACAGACATGTAGGACGGCGTCGAGGCGGTTCTCTTCTGTTCGGGGGTTTCACCGAGCCATGTCTGGAGGGAGAATACGAAGGAGACCCTGGCGATGACTTAGATAGGTGCGGATCTGACCGATAACCGACGACTTACCATCCAATCATCCTGCACAGATGAGATGGTCAGAAACAAATTCTCGATAGCTCTGCTGGGAATACGCTGCGTCTCACCTGTTCCGGGTGAACATCTATCGACCTGTCAGCATGGCGCAATTGCGACAAGACCGGACGGGTCAACCTACCGCGGCCATCGGCATCGTGCTGGACATGGCGCCTATAACACACAATCAACGACGATTCCTCCATCAGAACCCCGGGGTCTATGCGTACCGGTCATATCGGCCTCATCCTTGCTCTTGGGAGGGTCGACGTAGGGGATGGCTAGAGCGGGCAAACACTGGGTCAGCAACGTAGTCCGATGATGACGGCGAGACGGGCGCAGGGCCGCCTACCAAGATCCAACCTCCGCATATCCTTCTTGGAGCCCATTTTGAAGATCTGGAGATGCGAAACCGACGCTAGGAAAAGACCGAAAGCTGGGATGCGGGATGAGCGGCGAACTGGAGAAGACCAGGTCGAAGGGAACTGAATTGGCGGTTGGCGCCAAGACCCGAGCGGCAAGTCGGCTGGGCTTCCGGCCTTATCTAATCTCCCACACTCCGTAGGTGGTTGTTAGTTCCATACTCTCCGTACTCCTCCGGATTTCATCCTACAATTCCTCTCTCCGGAGTAGGCAGGTCCCCAGGATCAGCCAAACCCTCCATCTGAACAGATTGTTTCTATAGTGATGGAAATCCGGAAGTGGACAGATCGCCATCCGAACTCCCATAATTAGGACAGTTGACCGTGTCATCGGAGTGGTACCCGATGTTTGTGTTTACTCTGGACGAGTCACACAGCCTGCTCCGATCGCACTCCGTCTTGTTCTCGACTGCTGATAGTCAGATCCTACTCCGTACGATAGATGCCTGTCTTCCTGGGTCGACTGCACAATTACGGAAATCCTTCTCGTCAGAGTCGGGGAGAAGATCCGACTCTGGTCTCGAATTGCCCTTCCTGATTTGTGCAATGGGTACGGCCAGAAAAGCATTGATACCCAGGCAAGCACCAGCCAGCCATGTCCCGACGCTGATCATCGCCAAGTGGCATGACTTGAACATGAGCATTGTCTGATCCCCTGCCCTCCGCAGTTCCACCCCCCGGGATTTGACATTTCCAGAGGAATCGTATGGGGAGATTTACTCCGTAGATCCTCTCCTGATCGCTTCCCCTCTTTCTACTTATCTACTCCGGAGTACAGCGACGGGGTGAGAGGGGGGAATAATCCTTTGCTGCCCGTTATAAAGCCCCTGGGCTAGACATACTCCGTAAGAACAGGGGTCCAAGTGCTAGTGTTTGCCTGGTTGCATACGGGGTACGATAAGGGTAGGGAGGCAAAAAAAGCAAAAAGGGCCTATCGAAGCGCACAGGACGCAGACGGATTTGCAGGCCATCCTAGCCGCATTCTGCGATGCAACAGTCGAACGTCGCACGGATCCACCTGGGAATCCTCCCAGATTTGCTGAGATTCAGGGTGACACAAGCACAGCCTAAATATGTGCACCAATCAGTGAGGGAGACGGCGCTATTGTTTCTCTTTTTTCTTTCCCTTTTCTTTTTCTGTCTGCTGGTCGACGCAGAAATCAAGATCCAGGACCGAGCGTAGTGCATATGCACGAATGAAACGAGACTCGGCCACGGACTGGTGGCATGGAAGGATCGTCTGGCCTAGATTAAGGTAGGATTAGGGGTTATGGGAGGTTTTCACCGGGTGTGTTGGGATGTGGGAAATAGGAGCGGCTACTACGCAGTACATAGTATGTTCGGGAGTATGGTGTACCTCGGACTGAGGATATATATCGAGGAAAAGAACGCGATCCACTGCAGATTGGACCGTACGATCCCAGGTAATAACCTTAACCGCCGAAGTGGCATGCAAGGAGCATTACACGTCAGGGACGAGTGGTACGATGGCATCGCGACGCTCACCGACGCCGCGCAGGAAGTGCCATCATCTGATGCCAAGCGGTGGATTGATTGCCGGATAATCCGACCGTCGCTGGGCCCAATTCCGAGTGATTTCTGCCGGCAACTCTGGGTATTCCGCACTAGGAGAATTACGCAGATAGGGTCTAGAGAGTCGATCATAGTCAGATGGTAAATAGTAAATAGTACTACCTCTAGAGGACACTGGAGACGCAATCCGCGGAGAATCGATCGACATGAGTGGCTGACTCAGCTCAGGAGGCATCCGGTAATACCGGCGTACGGGTTACATGCCGGCAGCCCGAAAGCGCGGTCAAAGTGCGGTCAGCGGCGGTATCGCCCCGGTAAGCGTACCGTCACGATCCTGATCACGGCCAGTTGGTCCTTCCTTACGTTATCTGGAGATCGTCGGCTTTTTCTTTCCTTCTTCTCGGACCTGTCGATTCTCTTTTCTTCGTGATTTCCCCTTCTCCTTCTCTTCTCTTCTTCTCTTCCCCTCTTCCCTCTCTTCGTTTGCTTCTCCCTCCTTGTCGTTGGTGCGCGCGTTGCCGGATCGCCTTGTAGCCGTCCAACGTCGACCCAAACAGGACCACCCTTTATTTAACCGTCCTAACCGCCTTATCTCCACATCGTCGCCGAGTCGCCTCCCTTCTCTCCGTCGGACGACTGCAATTTGGGTGTGCTTCTGGGATGTGAGAATTTGATCGTTCTCCTTCCCCCTCGAACCTGTCGATAGTCGATACGAATATCCCTCGAATGCCTGCGAACTGCCGCCCATCCGCCTGACCCGCACCCGACTCCCATGACCCGAATCTCGATGCCTACGCACACCATGAAGCTGAGATGATCCCTCATTCTTCTGCCGGCGTCCAATCGTGGGCGAATTCTATGCGCCCCCTCAATAGCGGCCCGGGACGTGTGGAGGCCCCTCAGGCTCTGGGTCAGCCGTCTGACCCCCAGCCCGAGAAGTTGCCCATGTCCGTCCCGCCGTCGCAACCCCGACAGCCGGCAGTGATCGACCTGACAAGCGCCGGCGGAGATGCGCGGGACCGAGAACCCCCGGCGAAGCGACTGCGGCTGGATTTGTCCGCTGCCTCGGCCGCTCGAGATGGCAGTCCGGCGTCGGGGAGCACCGGAGAAGCAAGAAGTACCCCGGGAACCGCCACCTCGAAGCCGCCTGCGCTGGCCTGGCGCGGTCGACCCGTGTGGTCCTTCCAGGCTTTAATTTCTGAGACACCCGGGGGTAGTGGTGGGGGTAGTGCTGCCGGTGGCGTAGAGATCAAAGAGGAGGATGCGACTGATGTCGCGCAAGGTGGAAAGGTATCCCCGCCTCCGTTGCCGGTTCTGCCCTGGAAGTATGCTCCTCCGCAACAAGCCGGGGCCAATGCGGCCAAGTCTCGGGATAGTTCGCCCTCGAAGGCCGTACAGACCACTCCCTATCATATTGAAGTTCCGACTGTGGCGCCAGCCATCAAAGGCGACAGTAAGTTGGATGATTTCCTTCAGACCGGACCGGAAGAATGTAACTGACAAAGAAACAGAGGTTGCGGATTTCTCGCCGTGGTCTGGAAACCACCCGGAAGATGTTTTAAACGAACAGACCGCAAAACAGGGCCATTACGACCGCACCCAAGTCTCCCAGAACGAATCCAACACCGCGCGCCCATCCTTATATGCGCAACTAAAGCACCGCTCCGGTCTCCAGATGCTCTCATCGGTTTTCTCGGCCGCTCTGGAAAAGAGGCAGAATCATAACATGGTCAACGCGCCGTCAACGTTCAAACCGCCGCCACGGGTTACTCTGACGGACAATAAACGAGAAGCCTGGCTTCGCGACCTAGCCAATCCGTCGGTTCCACTACGTAAACTGAGTCGAACGATCCCTCATGGTATCAGAGGCAAATCATTGCTGGACCAGTGTCTGAGCAAATGGATTCCCGTCAGCCGCGCCGTCTGGTTAGCCAAGTGTGTCGGAGCCAACGAAATCCGCGCGTTTAAAAGGAAAGGCACCAGTGGGGCCCTGGCTGTCGGCCTGGAGGCCAAATGGGTTCGCGACTGGACTGCAACTGTACAGCAATTCCTGGAAGGCGTGATCAGTGTCTGCGGATCTTCCGACTGGAAACTGAAGATGACTTATGCGTATGTGTCCCTTTTTTCGGATGGCCTTGAATGACATCTAACCCCCCCTGCAGAGTCAGTCTCACTGCTCGTTTGTTCTTCGAGCGACTGCTTGATCATGACCAGTATCTCGGATGGTTTCTCACTTCCCTGGAAACGTCTTCATCTAATACCGTCCCCGTTTGGCTCTTGATGCTTGGCATTTATTGGGACAACATCATGCGATACAGGAAGCGTGGACGACGACTTGCTGAGGTGTTGCTTGCGAAGTTGCAGCGTGTATGTGTATTGAATCATTGGCATTTTCGCTTCCTACAACTGTGATGTACTGACATCCCGCAGATATCCAAACCGGAGCAAGTCGTACCTCTCCGACCGCTGGTCGATCGCTTGTCTCTGTATATTCGCAGGCTTGTGCTTGAACACACATCCTCCGTCATACTCCCGAAATCATGGGAGAAGTATAAAGACCTCATTTCATCATGCCTAAACATGAAAGACAACGTCCATAAAGCAATTTTTCAAAACCTTGCAGAGCGGAATGCGAGGGTGCAGGCCCCTAAATGCCAACAGGAAACGACACAGCGCTCGCCACAACAACGTGTGATCCATCTCTTCGACTCGATCCGTTCCACTCACGAGATCTCCTCGACCTCGAGCGAATGCCTCAAGACTATCGAAGATAAATCGGTCCTGGTTAGCAAACTTCTGGAATGGACTGCTACCCCCTTTCGCTACGGTCTTTGCCGTGTATATACTGGTGTTCGTCTTTTGCGGAAGTGGAAAATGTCCGGAGTCGACATCGACTCGTACATTCTTTCGTTTCTCGCCGGGACCAAAACGAACCCTGCCTTGAACATGGAGAACATATATCATATTATTTCGGAGCTTGTGCGATCTCAGACATTTTCCGTCGGTCGATATCTGCAGTGGCTGATGGCTCGGGGCGTCACGAGCGATTTCCATCCCGACACACGACAGGTAAAACCGATTGGATCAGGTAGTTGTTTCTGCGATGATAGCTAACGTGAAAGAAAGGCCATATCGAACGATCTCTATCTTTTAAAACAGCTGCCGACGGCGCGACTTCCGGAACATGTGCGTAATCTTCGGAATACACTTCTCTACCGTGCTGGCATCTCGGCCGCGGAGGAGGAGTCTACTATCGAAGAGATTAAAGCATCCGTGGCCCAGCGACTCCCAAAGATCTTTGGGACCGAGATGAGCAGCTTGATGCCTAGTGAACCCCAGTCTGCGGACCTGACGTGGGCTGTAAAGTCCGAAATCGGTCAGTGGATGCGGCGCGGGATCTCGGTGCATTACCGTGAGTCGCAAAGGTAAGCTTGTCTCTCCGAGCTTTTCAACAGTACACGATAGCTCATAAATCACAGAAAATTTAGTGGCCATTCCTTCCTCTCTGGGTCCAGTGTTTCTGCCCTCACCCCTGTGGAATTCTACAACGTCCGGGACATCTTGGAGAGCTTTGGGGATCTATCTATACTTGCCGATGTTCTCAAGCAAGCTACAAACTGCGATGACAATATTGTTCTGGCATCTGTTGCTGACACCATCAATTATCACTTTGACTCTTTGTGTGTTATTGGTGCCACGACGGATCTCTTCCGCGGACTTGTTGAATCGTATGCTCGTATTAAGAGACTAGGCACCCCAAGTCTGGACTTGGTATTTTCACTCATCGAGCTAGGCCTCCGGCTGCCCAACGAGTTCAACACCGTTGCCCTTCTCCGTCAAGATCTATCACGCATTGAAAACAGGTCGGCTTTGGCGGCCCCGTCTCCACTGTCGGATAGCATCCCGCCCAGCTTCAGTGAAATCGATAGGACTTACCAAGGGAAGCTAGATCAGATCCTGTCCTCGGGGAGTGGGATGGATGAATCCACAATGGACACAGTCTTCAACTCCCTCACCAAGACCTTGACATGTAGCGGTGGGGAGGGAAAGCTGTCTGCCAACGAGACTTGTAGGTACTTGGCCTACTTGCGGCCTTTCCACCCCAAGCATTTCGATTCCATGTTGGTTCGTTGGATATGCGGCCTTTTCAAGTCCTCCGCGCAGGGCATCATGTCTCGCATCTTACCTCCCCTTATTGGGGTCGGGTGTGTCACCATCCACGCGTTCTTGCTCCTAGTCAAAAGACTTATGCAGTCTGACAGAGTGACTGCGGTGGTTCCTAACTTGTCTGATCTGCGCATGGACCTTCTCGACCTCCTCGTTCCTCCCCAGCCCGAACAGGGACGGTGCTTCGATCTGGTTACCTATCGCTTTTATCTTGCGCAGCAGGAGTTCCTGCTGAAGCACCCGGAGGAAACTCTCGAAGTTATTCGTGACGCCATTATCTTGATTGAGCAACGGGAGCAAGAGACTGGGCCTCATTCTAAACGTGACAACCTCGAAAAATGCGCCATCAGTTTACTCCAGGTCATGCTTACTCAGGACCCTCCGGTCGTCGTGCAATACTGTTTGCAAAAGTTCCTTGGGCAGCAGAATTTGTCTACTGCGGTGCTGCAAAAGGCCACCGATCATCTCCTAGGATCTGATTCCTCACGTGGTATGTCTGTCATGATCGAAGTTGATCCAATACGAGGCTAATAAAACATTCCAGGTCCGCAAGATATTCCTGAGGCTGAACGGATTATCCTCATGACTGATGATTTTTCGCTCCCGTTCTGCCAGCTGAAACTCCAGATGTTGTTCAACGTTGAATCTGGAGAAGCCAGCAAGAATGGCATTGTTGATGTGATGTTCAATGCTGCAGTGAAAGAATCACGTTCCAAAGGCACTAACTGGGTTGGACTTGTGGGTCTGATGAGTCAGGATGCAGTTCGTCAGGTATGTGGTCATCGCTTCTCAATATGCGTGCTTCGACTCATTTGTACAGATTCGCGAACGAGCCGAGAAAGAATTTCTTTCCGTTCCCATGTTCGAGGACCCCCCGGAACAGGATACTTCAAAGGACAAGTCTAGTTCTCTGGAGACTGCAAAGCTGTATCTCGCGATTGTTGAGAAGCTGGCGTACAGCATCCCTGAAACTGGAGTCCCATCCGTGGTGCCTGTGATCGTCGACAAGATGGACGCGCTTCTCCACAGGCTTGTCACCATGCAAACCAACTTCAACAGTTTGACCGTCAATAGCCGTGGCGCCTCCGCGGCACATTTGGTTCAAGCTCGCCTGACTTTCGAGCGAGCGCTGGCGTTCTGGTTTTCCGCCCTGCTCAGGATGGTGGTTATGCACCGAGCCGCATTCAGTAGCGGATCTTCCCTTGCACCGAAGCCCCATGGCGTTCAAGAGCAGACTCGGTTACTGATCTCCATTTTCTGCGTCTCTCTCGCGCGCCTCCCGGACAATGTTCTGCGTCTTTTCCCAGCTGCGGACTACTTCCCTCACCGCGTGCCGTCCGAAGGATATCGACCCTGTCCTGGGATCCTGCTCCAAACCCACGCATTGGATGTTGCCGCCTCTCTCATCGACGTCTTTCCTGACGAGTCCCGGCAGCACTGTGCCCGGTTTCTCAAAGAGAAATGCCCCCCGTTCATCCAATACCAGAACGACCTGCGCTTCCTCTACCTCCTCGGTCCCATGAACGATGCTCCTCCCTTGAATATCACACAACCAGCCTCCCTTCCCTCCCCTGCCGGCGGCGGATCGACGCCCACACCAACCCCGTCCGGATCTCTAGGCGGCGGACCGTCCGCTCAGCAACCGCCGACCCCGGCTCCTACAGGGATGCCTAGCGGCGTCCCGGAGGGAGTCAACTGCGTTGCCAGCCAGCTCCGCTTACAATACCGGGGCCGAACCATGGGGCCCTACCCAGTTCGACCTTGGGAATTGCTCGAGGATGCCGCCCCGATCGTGGGTGTCAATGACACCGCGGTGAACTTGAAATACTTTGATGCTCGACGCGTGCGAGCATAACATGACCCTCTCCCACCATCTTATCCTCTGCCGTAAATATCCATCCTCTTCTATACCTGTCGATCTTTTTTCACATCTATATTTTTCTTCTGTTCCATCTTTATTTCCGGCGCCTGATACCATACTCCTTGCATTTTGTTGTGGATTTTTGATTTTTGATTTTATGGCATGCACAGCATTGCAGAGCCCGAAGCATACCTGATTTATCTCTGTTATCTTGCATTTTGATCTGATGATGTTGTCCCGAATGCATCGCAATCGTGGCCATTGGTTGATCGGCAGGTGCCTATCTATCTATCTACTTATTGAATGACATTTCACTGTCTCATAGAATCGGCGTCTATATCGGGCGGGGTGTTGAATAGCATTATTTAGCATGAAGCATTCATTGACTGAGACTACTGAGATGTACAGAGTAAAGTAGAAAGTAGGGACGTAGTGAGGTAATGGCCCTGCAAATAGTTGACACCAACTCCGACTGGTAACTCCCCAAGTTTCTCTCTTTTCCTGCTGAAATCCGACAAGGCGGACTAATACCAGATGCGGTCTAGCTGCGATATCCGCCGAACGGACGGAAATCCCCACTTCTCCGCATTTCTCTCCCTCGGAGAATCCGCCCGCATCAACGGACGGCCAAAGGCCGCCTAGAGTCCACTATGTCGTCACGAGCACTAGGCACCGGCCGTATGGCGGGGAAATGGGCGGAATCCCCGGACCGGGGCGGTTGTCTTCCTGCAAATGAACGGGCAACATAAGAAAGACACCCAACGACCCCCGGATGGGCTTCAGCAACGACACAGACCGAGACAACATGGCTTCCGTGCAGATCCAACCCGTGACGCCGTCGCCGGTCCCGGCGCTGTTGACGCCGTCGAGGGTGGTGCCTGTCGTCTCTAGCGAGAGAGAGGAGCAGGTCATCTATACGATTGATGGGCTACTAAGGGCGAGAGCTGCTGGCGATAAGGCGGACGAACCCATCGTGGCCTATCCGGCGGAGGGGACGGAGTATGCGTACTATACGCCTCGTCAAGTAGGTGGTTTTCTGAAGTGGAGAGAGTGGAGCTGCGTTGGGTTGGACTGGGCTAATGGAATGAAAACAGTTGCATACGTTTGTCGAGGCAGCGGCGGTTCACTATTCGAAGGTGATTCCGCAGCGAAGGTCCTCGCAGGATGCGGTGCAGGTAGTGGGATTGCTGGGTCCGTCGGACTTTGAGTATCTCATTACTTTGCTGGCGATCTCGCGACTCGGCCATACGGTTCTTCTCCTGTCGACGAGAATCGCGGAAGATGCGTACGTCAGCTTGGTGGAGAGCACCAAGACGACGTTCTTGGTGACGCATGCCAGTTTTCAAAAGATGGGCGAGAATGTTGCCCAGCGAACGGGTGTCATTCGGCAGTCTGTGCTGAGTCGAGAGGACTATGAGCTGCCGGTTGCGGTGGACTTGCCTGCCGCTCAGCTTGATGCCCAGACGGAGGCGAAACATGTCTGCTGGGTCATTCATTCGAGCGGATCGACTGGCCACCCGAAACCTATCTACCAGACGCACTCGGGTGCCCTCCGCAACTATGCCAACAACTTTGGCCTGCGTGGCTACATCACCTTACCGTTGTTTCATGCTCACGGCATCAGTTGTCTGTTCCGTGCAGTCCACTCTCAGAAGCTGATTTATATGTACAACGCAAACCTACCGCTGACGGCACCCTCCTTGCTCGCCACGCTGCACGATCACCCGGAGATAGAGGTTCTCTACGCGGTTCCGTACGCGCTCAAGCTCCTCTCGGAGACGGAGGAGGGACTGAAGAAGATGGCGCGTCTGGATCTGGTCATGTTTGGCGGCTCCTCATGCCCCAAGCCGATTGGAGACAAGCTGGTGCAAAACGGCGTGCGTTTGGTGTCGCACTACGGCACAACCGAAACCGGTCAATTGATGACCTCCTTCCGCGATCGATCCGACTTAGACTGGGACTATGTGCGTCCTGGACCAACACTGCTGCCTTATCTTCGCTGGGAGGAACAGATGCCGGGCATCTATGAGCTCTCTGTCTTGGAAGGCTGGCCATCCAAGGTCGCCAGCAACCGGCCAAACGGGTCTTACGCAACAAAAGACCTTTTCGAGAAACACCCAACCAAAGAAAACGCATGGCGCTATTACGCTCGACTGGACGACACTCTTGTGCTTGAGAACGGCGAGAAGGCCAACCCGTTGGTCATCGAGGGAGTGGCCCGGAACAATCCTAACGTGGCCGAGGCGATCGCCTTCGGGGCCAACAAGCCACGACTGGGCTTGTTCTTGGTCCATGCCGAGAACAGCAGCAAGACCGACGGAGAGCTCGTCGACTCGGCATTCCCCGCGATCGAACAATGCAATGCGGAATCGCCCGCGTATGCCTACATCTCTCGTGACATGATTCGCGTCCTCCCGGCAGATGCCGAGTATCGCAAGACAGACAAAGGCACGGTCATTCGGTCCGCGTTCTATCGAGACTATCAGGAGCAGATCGACTTGATTTATGACTCTGAGGATGCGCAAGGAGACAAAGTGCTGGAGGGAGACGAGTTGCTTGACTTTCTGCGAGAGCAACTGCTGCAGATCGCGCCTTCCATCGAGCCTTCCAGCCTGAACAACACCACCGATATATTCGGCCTTGGAGTTGACAGTCTGCAGTCTATCCGACTACGAAGCGTTATTCTTAAGACCCTTGACCTGAAGGGGCAGAAGATATCCCAGAATTTTGTTTTCGAGAACCCGTCTGTGCAGGCGATGGCTGACGAGCTGACCCGCTTGTTTTTGGGCGACTCCAAGGAAGAAGTCCCCGTGGAAGATCGCATGCAGAATCTGATCCGGAAATACACAGAGCAAATTCCAGCGCATATCTCCCTATCCCGCGATTACGACGGCGAGCACGTCGTCGTGACCGGCGCCACTGGTTCTCTTGGCGCCCACGTTGTCGCCCAGCTGGCCCGATCCGACAATGTTCGTCGCATCTATTGTTTGGTTCGAGCGAAGACCAAGCATGCTGCCTATCGTCGAGTGCGCCAGTCCTTGCGCGACCGTGCCGTTCTCGAGGATTTGACCTCCGATGTTCAACGCAAGATTGTCGCGTTGCCTTCGGACCTTTCGGACGGCAAGCTGGGACTAGATTTCGACACGTACCATGAGCTGATGGAGTGTGCGACGGCCGTGATTCACTGCGCTTGGTCTGTCAATTTCAGTTGGTCTCTCGAAAGCTTTGAACAGAGCTGCATTGCCGGCACGCGAAATCTGCTCGGTTTCTGCCTCAATGTTCGAGCTCCCCAACCGGCGCGCTTTTCATTCTGCTCATCCGTGAGTACCGTCGCAAGGACCCCCGGGGGCTGGGCGCCCGAGGCATTGCCCGAGTCCTTGAGCTACGCTCAGAATATGGGATATGCGCAATCGAAGTTGGTGACGGAGCATATTGTGAATCGAGTTGCTCAGCAAACAGGCATGTCTGCGCGCGTGCTTCGCGTGGGCCAGATCATTGGCGATACGGTCCACGGCATCTGGAATGATTCGGAGGCGATTCCCATGATACTGCAGACTGCGAAGACGATTGGCGCACTGCCTCAGCTGGACGACGTTCTCTCGTGGACGCCTGTCGACACGATCGCGAGCAGCGTCATCGACTTGACTCTGGCAGAAGATGCGGGTGAAGTGATGAACGTGACAAACCCGATACTGAAGCATTGGACCTACGACCTCCTTCCGCTACTCAAACAAGCTGGCCTGGACTTCGAGGTGGTAGACCGACAGGAATGGCTGCGTCGACTGCTCAATTCCAACCGGGATCCGGCCGCCAATCCACCGATCAAACTGTTGCCATTTTTCGCCAATAAGTACGGCCACAATCACTCGAAGTCTTTTCTATTTTACAGCACCAACCTGGCACAGGCTGCCGCGCCCGCTCTTCGTCAGGCAGGCGGACTCACCCAAGAGCTCGTCACTCGGTTTGCTCGGTACTTCCAAAACGAATGCTGGAATCAGACCGCAAGCAGTCCACCCATCTCCGCACAAAGGACTAGCGAGGTCATCTTCCTTATAGGCCCCTGCGGCTGTGGCAAAACCACCGCAGCGCATGCTATAACTGAGCGACTGGGTCTCCCCGTCATCGAGGGCGACGACATGCACTCTCCAGCTGCCCGAAAGAAGATGAGCAACAAGATCCCCTTAACGGACGAAGACCGATGGGAGTGGCTGGCACATATCCGAGGCGCCGTCATGGACCGGTTACAGCAGCACCGCGACATTCCTGGATTAGTCGTTACCTGCTCCGCTCTGCGCACTGTCTACCGCGACCGTCTGCGCCGGCTCTCCGAGCTATTTGACTTCCCGGTTGGGGTCACCTTCTTGCTGCTTGATATTCACGACAAAGAGAAGTTGGAAGATAGATTGGTTGCTCGCTCGGAGGGTGAGGGTCACTATATGGCTGCGTCGATGGTTGACTCGCAACTGGAGCTGCTGGAGGAACCCGATATGTCGGAAGGCGATATCATTCGGGTGAATTCTAGCCAGGGGAAGTGGGATATGCTGCGCGATGTGGAGGCCCGGGCGAACAGCATTCTATGATTTTTGACTTCTTTTGATTACCTTTCTTATCACTTTTGTTGGCTTTCGTTCTGCTTATCATTTGTTAGGTCTTGGGTACGCGTTTGTTTCTCGGTCTGGCGTTTTATTGGACAGTCATTTTGCTGTAAGTAGATGACGTTGAATAAGAAGAATCATTATCTTTGATATGGGTTTGGTGGTGGAGGTAAAATGTATAGATTGAGGTTGGGATATCCCCGTGGAAATACCTTAATTATGCCCTTGCAACTTTTGAGAATAGTACATTTACACCCATCCTGCACCTAGTACCTAGTACCTAGTACCAAGATCCTAGACCCTAGATCCAAGAAGAACATAAATTTCCTATATCTCGATCCCAAGGGCAGCGAGCACTAGGTCACCAAACAACTACTTCACTCACTCACTCACTTAATCACACTCTAAACAGTTCTCAACGAGCTCACCTCCCCTCCGCACTCGCAACAAACTGCCTTCCCCTCCGAATCATCAACAGCGTGGCCAGAACCTGCACCGCTGCGAATCCAATCATCACCTGCATCTGGAGTGTATAGCTCCCCGCGAAGACGTCCCTCGTGAACGCCCGGATCCCCTCTGGCAGGTGAGCGATCGAGCTCGCGCTGCGCAGCAACATCGCCAGCTGGTCGGAAGGAAGAACATCAGAGAGGAGGTTCTTCAGTCGGCCGTTGAGGATGTTGCTTGCGATGGAGAGGCCCACGGCGCCGCCGAGGAAGCGGCATTGATTGAGCGCGCCGGTTGCGGTTGCTGGATGTATTGTCGTTAGTTAGGGATCGTGTACGGATAGGCAAGGATGAGAGAAGGAGGGAGGGGGACTTACACAGATCATTCGCATTCACGACATACGGAACAGCGAGAAGGAGATTCCCGATCGTAATACCCACGCCGGCGCCCGCGACAGCCTCGTAGCCGTATCCGGCTGCGGGGAAGACGCCCTGCGGCGAGATGGTCGAGAGAAGCGCCATGCCGACGGTGTGCAGGATGGAGCCGAACAGGACGATGTAGACGAAGGGGATGCGGCCCTTCAGGCAGGCGAGGTTGGCGATGGCTGTGGCGACGGTCGAGACGGCGGAGTACGGGATCAGGTGGATGCCGGCTTGCAGGGGGGAGAGCTGCGAGAGCACGATGAAGCGCTGGGAGAGGTATACGATCACGACGTTCCAGGGGCAGGCACTGACGAAGGTGGTTCTGGGGGTGGTTAGAATGGGTTTGTGTGTGTGGGAGAAGAGGGGAGACTTACATCAACATTCCGATCCAGGCTCTGTTGGATAGGAACCGCTTGGGGAATATGGGATGGTAGCCTTGCCATCTGGCGATGATGAACCATTCCCAGATGAAGAAAGCCACCCACAAAGCACCGGAGACAGACAGTAGGACGATTGCAGTAGTGGAGTTCCATGCGAATTCGATGAAGGTCTCGTTCAAGATGGTGATCAGGAGGAGAGAGGCAGCGAGCAGCAGGAAGACTCCGAAGGCGTCGATCCGTCGAAACAAGGTCATGTTGGGCTTCAGCAGGCGAAGGGATCCAGGCGGAGTCGTTCCGAAGTTCGTGGGCATCGCGATGGCAATCATCAGGATGGTCAGTGCCGCAGGGGGGAGACTAAAATCGCAAGGTCAGCAAATCAGTAACAGGGGATGGTAGAGTCCTTAGATATCGTGTGGACTCACTTAATGTAGAAGACCCATCGCCACAAAGCACGGTCGGCCAGCACACCACCGATGATCGGACCAGTCAGAGAGGCAAGTGCGACCGCAAACGACATGAGACCTCCATAGATCGGGATCTTTTCCTTGGGACCAACTTCGTAGGTGCACAGGATACTGAGAGGATAGACGCCTGCGCCTCCAACGCCTTGAAGAGCTCTGAATATGATTCTGTCGGGGTCAGTTAGGTCTGCAACGGAATTTTCTTGAGGTTAATGAGACATACAGTTGATTAATATTATCAGCCAATGCACAGGCCATCGAGAAGACGAGAAACATGAAGAGGGCGGCGTTGATCGTGCGCTTCCTGCCGATTAGATCGCTGATTCGGGTCCAGAAGGGAATGAAGCCTAAATGACGTGAGTGAACAAGAAGCAATTACTGAATTGATATAGATTCCTACCAGTAAACGTGGTCAGATACGCAGTGACAATCCAGCTGGTCTTGTCGAACCCCCCCAAATCGTCGGTAATCGTGACCAGGGAGGTGCTGACAATGGTGACTTCGAGATTGACCAGGTAAAGACTGATGAACATACTAGGTTTTGTTAGCTAATTCTATCACCAAGAACAGGACAAGGGAGGAAGTACCCAAGAATGGTGATGATCAGCCTCCATCCATGAGGGTGAACAGGCTGCCAGGTTATCTCTTCGGACGAGCTATACTCAGGCGGAATCCCCGCCTCAAGAGGCACCAGCTCCTTTGATTCTCGTGCCATTGCGAAGAACAGATTCGTATTGATGAAAATGTTGCAGCAGCAGAGGATGTCAAGGTTAGGTGGACATGGTCATGAAGGGTCGAGAGCTGAGATCTTTATAGACGCAGGAGACGCAGGGGCCTCCACGTCTAGAGGAATTTCCCGGCGAAGTGGCGATCCACGACTGGTACGATCAGGACCTCGAATCTCGATGTGACTCGGAGGATCCCTCTAAATCAACCTCGTGTAACGACAGGATAGTTCCAGGCCTCACATGCTTGCTAATGAGATCGTCGATCTACCCGATACCTTGGATGATGATGTGCGTTTACCGGAACAAGGAACTAGAGATGGAACTATGGATACTCGCCTGCATTCGTGCTGGCATTTAGGAAATAACAACATCCTTCGATCTATGTGCAACATGCTCGAGTTAGAACGGAACTGACAAATCCTGCGACCCTCCAAGACAGCCCAGGAATCTGGAATTGTAGATAAAAAGTCTTTATGAACGAATGCTACTTTCCCTTGGTTCTTCATATAAAAGTTCTATGCTTATAGCCATGTGGACCGCCCTATAGGCCATTGACTCTGGCCGTTTGATGTTGAAAAGTGGCAAATAAAGCAAATTACTAAATGATTACTGAATATGCAAATTGAATTTAAGCAAATCTGGTGTTTATTTGGGTGTAAAAACAAGCAAGTAGTCGCCGAGTCCGGCGTTCAGAGCGTATCCCGAAATCCCATTAAGAAGAATCCAAAAACGACCTCCAACTCCTTGCTGATCACAAAAGAAACAAATCTAACTCTAGTTAAAACATTCTACTCCTTTCAATCATTCGGCTTTCAAACAGGTGCAAAGAAAACGTTCGGCTCATTATCTGAGTCGGTGTATTCCACTGAATACCAGGCATCTTCAAGCTGTGCCTCTGCGCAGTCGTACATGTTAACAATATCGTATTCCTCAAGCACGTCATCACAAATGTAAGGCCGGCGAAATCTCGCAAGCGCACGCAGATTCCGGTCATTGCGAGTCAGGGCCGCAGGAGAAGCTGGCTGCACAGAATGCCCCCGCTGGCTGTCTTGGGCGAGGTCCAGTGGCGAAGGTCGCGATAGAGTGTGCAGCGACCGCTGTTCTGGAGCTCTAAATCTTCTTCCTGGATTCAGGTCAGTATATGTTGTTTTCTCACTGAAAGAATGAGACTTACTCATGGGGATCTGCACGGGCGTGTTTGATGGGAGTTGAGACTCCGTGGCAATCTTGTCCCAGTCGTTTTCGTTGTCGCCATCATTTTCGTCGTCCTTTGCTTCTGCAGGTTCGTTGGAGACTTGAGAGGTGTTCTGGCTCGGTTTCTCATCGTGAGGTCTATCTTGAACGGGTTTCGGTTCCTCCTCGTTCTTCTCCTCGCGAATGCTGGTCTCTGGCTCGATCGCCTCGTTTGCCGGCTCCTTCTCAGCTCCTACACAGTGAGATGTACGCATCTCCTCCTCATCTTTGGACCGATTCAGATGGTCAAAAACCGTCAGGCCGTTTCTCGGACAAACAGTCTCTTCTACCAGAGGAACAGGAGCCGACAGTGGCGTCGGTGGCGGAGTAGGTGGCAGGAAACGCCAGAGATCAGTGACCCGGGCAGAAGCTTTAAAGTGAAACCTCGCCATGGTGATATTTGTGATAGTTAAGACGTAGGTAAGTTGAGGGCTGTGAGTAAAAGTAGTTTGATTCTGACAGATGAAAGTAGTTGCAGGGGGATGGAGTTGGGTGGAAGTCGAGGTGTGAGTAATATTCTGAGGCCGTCTGTCATTATGACATGGACAGATCCATTCCGCGGTGGCCGCAAATCCGAGGATTTTGGCGGATTTGGTGTTTGTCCTTCTGATTTAAGTTTGGAGGACTATACTATTTATTATTATTATTAATGTTCTTCCATTTTCATTTTTTGATTAAATTTCAATTTTTCCTATTTTGTTTCGGAATGAGTATAGCCTGAGGATATCAGCTGGAAACACAATATACATTCATGGTCATGGTTATTGTGGGGTTACTAGAAACAGTGTAGATGTATAGCTGTAAAAGAAACACCTATCCTCGATGTCTTCTTCTGCAGACCATCTAAGAAGCCAACACTGAAGCATTCATCTACCTTCTACTCAAGAGACACAAGACGATTAGGGCACGCAACGTCATCTGCATCCCGCACTGCTGCCTCAGGCACTCCTGCCCCGCCCCGCTTATCGATTGTGACTCGCATACTTTCTTCTCTTCTGCTTCCTGGAATTCCCCGATCGTCCCTCCACCTTCATTCCACTCAATTGCCTCCCCCCACCATGTCGACGGCCCTCACCACCACTGACCTGCAAGGCGCCCTGCCGCTCATTGCCCGCGGCAAGGTCCGCGACCTGTACGAAGTCGACGAAAAGACCCTGCTGTTCGTCGCGTCGGACCGCATCTCCGCCTACGATGTGATCATGGAGAATGTACGCCCCTCCCTGGCCCTTCCTTTCACCCCAAAGGCCCCCGACCCAGCTAACCACCCAATTCAAACCAGGGCGTCCCCAACAAAGGCATCCTCCTCACGCTGTGCACACAGCACTGGTTCCGGGTCCTCACGGCCGCCGTGCCCTCGCTGCGCACCCACTTCCTGACCCTCGACCTGCCCCCGCAAGTGCCCGAGTCGCTGCGCCCGACCCTCCAGAACCGCAGCATGCAGGTGCGCAAGCTCAAGATCCTGCCCCTCGAAGCCATCGTCCGCGGCTACATCACCGGCTCCGCCTGGAACGAGTACAAGAAGTCCGGCACCGTGCACGGCATCCCCGTTGCGCCGGGTCTGCAGGAAAGTCAGGCCTTCCCGGATGGTCCGATCTATACGCCGAGCACGAAGGCCGAGCAGGGTGATCATGATGAGAATATTCATCCGGATCAGGGTATGTCTTTCTTTCCATTCTTGGTCTTTTAGTTTGATGAGGGGAAACTGGACACGGGCTGACTGGTTGGCTGTTAGCTGTGGCGATTGTGGGCGAGACCTACGCCTCGATCATCGCCTCGTTGGCGGTGGAACTGTACAAGACGGCTCATGCGTATGCGCTGGAGCGCGGCGTGATCATCGCGGACACCAAGTTCGAGTTCGGACTGGACCTGGAGACGAATGAGGTGGTGCTGGCGGACGAGGTGCTGACGCCGGACTCGTCGCGGTTCTGGCCCAAGGATCTGTACGCCGTCGGACGGGGACAGCAGAGCTTCGACAAGCAGTATCTGCGGGACTGGCTGGTGCGGGAAGGTCTGAAGGGCAAGGAGGGCGTTCGGATGAGCGACGAGGTGGCGCAGAAGACGAGCGAGAAGTACAAGGAGGCGTGGGAGAAGTTGACGGGGGGAAACTAATTTAACATCGAGTTGTCTAGGTAGCTTTTATTAGCTGATACGGACAGTCTGTGCACCCTATCAAACAAAAGAATCTTGAATTATATGGAGTCTGTCAAGCCGCTTTTTGGAACAACTGATAAGCGTGGTATTCAAAGGTATGGTACATTCTGCATCATCATGGTATCTATTTATTTCTCCCACTCGTCGCGCAACGCCCCCAAGCCCTGTCCCTTCTTATCCTCCCGCTTGGGCGACGATTCCGATTTATCGGCCGTCGTGCTCGCCTGCCATTCATTCTCGACGCCCTCATCGACAGGGAGGGCATCCGCACCGCAGATCTGCCTCTCCTCGTCGATCTCGGCCCTACTAATCCCATTCGTGGCCCAGATGCGGTGAATCCGCAGATCATACGGGCCCTCGACGCGGTCCGTCAGACCGATTCCGATACTCTTGACGCGCTGACGAATGATTGAGGTCTGTGGCTCAACGACCAAACCATGATTCGTGCGCACAAACGAATTGAATGGCAGCAAAATGGTCTCCCAGCCGGTGGAGCCGGAGGTCGTGGCGCTGGCGGACGACATGATGGTGGATTCGGGGGGCACGTCGGACAGCGACTCGGGGATGCCGCTGGGATACATGGTGTCGGCGAGGTCGGGGTCCTCGAGGGCCTGGGGCAGCGAGTCGCGGTAGAGCGAGGGGTCCTGGACGCGGTGGTGGCGTGTGTACAGCCGGTGCTGGTGGATGTCGGTCTCGACGATCGAGTCGGTCTGGATGTTCACGGTGTAGCGGCGGCCGTCGGACTTGACGCGCAGCGCGAGGTAGGCGTACGGGTCAACGTCCCAGTACAGGCGGCCGAAGAGCCAGAAGCCCCGGTCTCGGTTGCGGAAGGCGGCGTACCCTGTATGCGAGGAGCGTGAGACGTTAGTGAGGGATTGATTTTATCTACGCAACACGGTGCGCCGTTGTGTGGGATCGAATGGATCACGGACCGGTGCGTTCCACCCTCCAGTTGTTAGGCAGCCTTGTGGAAATGCTTCCGTGGAATCTCGCATGGGCAGGAGCGTTTGAGCCGGGATCCGAAGGAACAAAATCTAGACTGGCTGTACTGAAGCCGCCGACAGCACGGTCGGCCATGGTCTTGCAGCCGGCGACGGCGGACTCGTCTTCGAAGTCCATGAGGTAGTAGGGTTTCGTGGGCGTGTGTAGAGCTTCTGAGTTCCATGCTGCAGGGATTCAGGATAGTCAGTAGGGTCATCTACATGGAGCAGAGAAATATCAGGCGGAGAGAATCGATGGTAGCATTTCGGGTCCCGTTGAACGCACCGATTTTCGAAAGGCGCGTGAGCTCGGCGGCGCTGCGCTTCATGAAGCCGGCCGGTTTGGCGGCCAGACATCTTGCCGTGGGAATCATGACGGGTCAATAGAGTGATTGGGGGAGCGGAGATTGGATTGATGGAGAAACCAGGCAGAGGGAGGGAGGCTGGCGAGAAAAATACCTCCTGGAGGACGATCGATCGACTTCGGATCCGTCGAGCATGACGTCGCGTGGTTCTCTGCCTGCTGTCACCGCCTTCTATGTTGGGTGGGATCTCTATGACGACAGCAGCTGCAGCAGGGAGGGCGTCGACCACGACATGTCGATAAAATAGAAAATAGAGTTGATGGATGTATTCTGCACGGCTAACAGTAGATGCACAGGCAGTTGGGTATGCCATAACGCTGTCGTGGGTGCGGGGGGTTGCAGTCAGATGGGCAGCCTGCCATCCGTCGTCGTCTGTTCCTTCCAAAATCAAGACCAAGTAGCCCGGATGAGCGCAGTTGGCGCCCACTGATGGTGTCAGAATAGCCGTAATCTGCCGAGAAAACCGATCGAGTGCTGTTGAACGGTGTTGAGGGAAATGGGGGTGGTTGATGCCGGAGTGTCGTCCTTCCCGCTGCTGAGGTTGACAAGACAACAGACAGTCATCCGCCCAAAACAGCCAACCCTCGGCCTTCCATACGCCAGAAGTCATGGGACAGACAGACTGTGCTCACCGCATTGTCCTCAGGTGTCCAGTGTTTTGCTGTGGTGACCCCCCTGGATTGTATCCTCGCTAGCCCTAACTTCTGCTAGCCCTAACTTCATGGGCTTGGTCGCTGTTCTCTACAAATTATTCGAAGTTCTCCTGGTTATAGATATAATAAACTATTTTCAACAACCCAGTCACTGTTCCCACTCTGCTGAGCCTTCACTGAGAGGCTACAAGTGAATTGAGGAGGCGTGACGTAGGGTGTTGTCGTGCAGTGACCACCGCCCGCTGCCTGGGCGCTGCTTATCATTATTAGTCTCGGCGATACCTCCTAGAATCAACTGGAACTTAAGCTTCATGGCCACTCGGAAATAGGAATAGCTGCAAGCTGGTCTACGGTTCGAGGGTCGTCGTCCACTCTTCGATCCCAGTCCCTCCTCTCCTTTCCAGACCGAGAAGAGAGAGACCAGTCCCCCGCTGGCAACACCGCAGGACCAATAGGTTCTTTTCTTTCCGTGGCTCTACAGTACGTACAAACTACGAACACCTACGAATAACTACGTAAGAACCCAAACACCACACTGCAGTGAGTCACAGACAATGCCATGCAAGCAAAAGCTCCAGAGATTCTCCTTCATCCTCTCTGCAACCAACTGTCTTCTGCACTCACATCGTGCAAAATCCATCAGAACATCGCTTTTATCGCTCTCCTGCCTCGATTTACAACAGATTCAACACCAACACCATGAACAACTACTACTACCCCCAGTTTCCCGTCCCCCTCCAGCCTATGGCTCCCCACCATCCCCAAGGCCCCTGGCCTCAGAACCCAGGCCACGGTGCTTTCATGGCACCCCCTGGCTTCTTTGGCCCACCTGCACCGCCTATCTTTTTCATGGCGCCCGGCATGGCGCCCCAACCCCCGTTTGCCCCAGTTATGCCGGTCATGAGACCTCATATGGGCCCTATGGTCTTTCCTCCGCCTCCTCCACCTGCCATCGCCCCCCAGACCCCAATCAACGACGGCAACGCCCAAGGGATCTTGCCGCGGGAGTTTCGCGTGCATGTAGGAAAGTAAGTAGACAGTCTGCTCTACATGCCATGATATTATACTAATCCGTGACATAGCCTGCCGAGAAGCATGGACGAAGCCCAAGTCAGGGACGCGCTGCGGCGGACCTTCATGAACATCGGCCCTTGTTTCATCAGGCCGATGCTTGAAGCCAGATTCCCGACCGCGTTCGTCCAGTTCACGGTGAGTGTCTTCCCTTTTCCATTTGTTGCGATCGGTATGTCTTCTAACATGTCGATAGGCACCCGGCCATGCTGAGCAAGCCCGGCGGCTTCATCAAAACGTCCGGATTAGAGGACGACTTCTGCGGATCGAGCTTGCCGAGGGAGGAAGTAAGTAGAGACTGCCCTTGTAGAGCATATTAGGCCTGGTTTCAGGCTGTTGATATGTGTTTATACGTACTAGAATGTCGTGCTAATAGTCTATCAGGATGGCCGGCAAATCAAAATGGCCTGATCTTCCCGGTCCACCCGATCGAACCGGTCGCACCGGTCGAACCGGTAGTCCCGGCGCCTCGGCCGCAGCCACAACCTTATCAGGGTCCACTGATAGTACACAGTGTGCCCCCCTCGTCCTTACCAGATAGAGACGAGGGAGAAGAAAGGCCCGAGAAAGAGGAAGAAGAGAAGAAGAAGGAGGAAGAGAAAGAGGAGGAAGAGAAGAAGAAGGTGGAAGAGGAAGAGGAAGAGAAAGGGGAAGAGAAAGAGGAAGATTCCACGCCTGGCCCAACTCCGACTCGGCCCCAAACACCCGACCGTACTTCCCTCGAGGGGTACATCAGGTATTTCACCCTCCTGGCTGCGGAGGAATTGGGCCATACCGACCAGCCCCATATCATAGAGTCCGTGGCTGCGGATATGGAGGACGAGTACAGGAAGAAGGACGAGACCAGCGCGATAGTGTTGAGATTGGACAAGGCCTAATTACCGAGGCCCGACATCTCTTGGATATGGTCTGAAACAGGCTTTGAGACCTGTAACAAGGTATGGTGTCTTTCTTTCGTGTCCTTTCATTTGTATTTTGTGTTATTTTTCATTTGTTTCCCTGGAGTCGGAGTTGGATATGGATCATTCACGCAGTCTGAGCTGGGACTCGACGGTGCATTCTTGCTTGCTTTTTCTTATTGTTTGTTTTATGTTTCCTTTTCATGTTCAAGGTTATACCAAGCCTCGGTTGGGTGGTAGGGACGGGCTTGGGCCGCTTTGCGGCACCACTTCGCATTCTACAGCGGAGCTAACAAATAAAACCTCAATTCATTCACCACTAAACGATTCTACTGTATAGCCAAACTCCATTAATGCTCGTAGCGGCACACTGGGTTGCTAGATTCAATAGGGCAAACTGATCAGAGCCTTATATTTACTTCTCCACACCTGAACCATTATCTACCGATTCTTGGGAAACGTTGAAATAACAGATATCGGCCCTAAACAGTTAATAGACACGTTTCTAACAGGGTATGTGGCGAAACCTTCTCATGTGTACAGCTTTATAGATCTGGACCATATCAGTTTTGCGGATTTGGCAATCTTGATGGTATTCCCCTTTTATACGAGTAGATTTTCATAGTATTTGAGATAAGATATCAAGTGAGTCCCTATTGTCTACAGAAAGGGGGATAGAGCACCTAAATCAGTATCTATATAGATAGTGTTGCAAATTTCGAACCTCATTATTCTCAGCTCTAGATCTTATAATTTCTCGCTTAGTTTCAATATTTCCCACAAGTATATTCATTCCTGCCCCTCATTCCCTCGCACGGTTCCAGTATCCATTGAGTAACACTGACGTGCCTTTTGACCAAAAGAGTGAAATAAGCGAGCTAGGAACCGTGGTGTAGTAGGAAAATTTCAATTGACGCCGGAGGAGAGATCCTATGTACGGTCATGAAATTGAGCTTCAAGGTTCTATGCTTCTGGGTTTTGCGTCAGAACTCGATTTTGTTATGTGACTGTACTTTTGCTGGGAAAATAAATAGATAAATAAGTAATAAACACAGCAAAGGAAAATAAAAGAAAATAAAAAAGAACGAAGAAGAGGGAGGACGGGACGAGTCTTGGTTCACGATCTGTTACCGTCCAAAGTTATTCCAGAGAAGCCTCTCACCATTTTCACTCGGAAGCCTGCCCCGTAAGAGACTGGATGCAGAATTTATTGCTTCCATTGAGATAGAAATAAAGGTCTAATCGTGCTGGAAATTTGTAGCGGTATCAGTTCGGTTGGATCAAAATGGAATGAATGCCTTGCATTTGCACAAGGCTCTTGTAGTGAAGATGGCTCCAGGAATGCATAGCGATTTGATCGCATAGGGATTATTAATGGCCCGAGTCATTTGCAAGTAACCTGAGAACTTGGAATTCACCCACAATCGTGCTTGCAGAAGCTCTACATATTGAAGTCTTTTACGATAGTAAATGGTCCAATACTAGCGTCAATGGGCACGACTGGCTAATGCGAAATTAGACACATTTTCATACATATGCTGGCGAACCTATCAGCTCAAAATAAGCATATTGGGTGGTCCCACTTTTAACATGCATGTTTCTGCGAGATCTCAGCTGAAATGCAATGTAACCTCAGCCCTGCCTTCTTTTAGCCTATATTTGCCACCAGTACAATTGATCGGGCACTATGTAACCGCGATTGGAACAAGTGCTCATAATATACAAGGTCAATTACTGATCTAAGAGTTGCAATGGTATATCGTGCGTTATTTCCGGTGGTCTATTGTTGGCCCCATTCCTCAGCCGCAGCACAATTTGATGAACTATGAAGATCTCATGTTAGGGTTGCAATCGGGAGTCGATCGTTGCTCCACTAGTGTCAGGGAGCTATCTCCGCCCATGAACTAGTTCGATCGCGCAATACAAGCCCACGATCATTTTCCAGGGACTTTACGGGTGTCGACTGTGGCCGAAAAGGACATCAAAATTGGACGAGAAATTTCTCAACACAGGAAATGAAGCATCCTATGCAAATGAATAAGACAAGTCTCCGCAGAACATCGTTATACCTTCAATCCTCGTGAGTCCTAAGAAACACCAACTCATTTTTGAGATGTGATATGCCTACATGAGACTACATGAGATCTCCCAAGTTCTCGCTGAAACAGTACTGATCTACAGCATGATTCACGCACTGACGGTACGTTCTCCCAGAGTAGCGTGCTTGTAATATCGCAATGTAACCCACCTTCTCTTGATCCCTACAGCTTCCTTTCAGCTGGGGCTCCAGCTGAGTCCAAAACTACCAACATGTTGTAATCACACGCACACGTTGGTAAACAACGGCGGCAAGTACCATGGCTTGTCACAGCATAAAAAGCCAGACCTCCTCCCATCTCTTCCCAGCAACTCAACATCTTCCTATTCATCCATCAATCAAACCACCAACAGCCACCAACAACCACCATGAAATTCATCATCCTCTGCCTTTTCGCCCTCCTCCATCTCGCCGCCGCCGCGAAGTCCAAATGGTACAACGCCGGCTGGCCAGTGGGCGATAAATCGTGGAAGCCCACGGACTACACCTTTGCGCGCGAGACCGGCATCGACAGATACCGGCTCTACGATGCCGGCGGTCGTATCTACACGTACCAGCTCGATATTCACGTTGCCGATGGCGAAAGCGGCTGGTTGCGGACATACGTCTTCGAAGACTCGACTGCCGACGAGTACACCATTAATGCCTTCAGAGATGGCGAGCACAGCGTGAGCTTTAATTCCGAGGATGCGTATATTCTTCGGGTTAAGGATACTGAGACTTGGTATGTTGATCCTTTATTTGTGTATGCTTTTTATTATGAATGAGACTGACGAGGTTTAGAATAACGAGATATACTTGTGGTGGAGCCAGATGGTTCCCTGTCTTCCACCGTCGATGACCAACATTGAGGGGGTTGGGGCATTCAACATGCTTCATTGGTGTAGCTGTAAAGCATGGCTTTGCGCTTATTAGAGTTTTCAGTCTTGAGAAGGATTTCGTTCAACAGTGTGTTGCTTATTGGGATGATGGTTCCATGGGTTATTCTCATGGTCAAGTAACCCTTGTATAAACCCTCTATCCACCTCATAAAGCTCATTCCCACTGCATCGTTCAACTTATGATATTTGGAAATTATTTGCGAAATATATTTACTTTGTTATACATAAATCATAAACCAACAAAAGACTCCAGAGCCCCACAAATCTATGCGGTATCGGCAATGCGATACACCAGCTTCTCACCACTAACCTTATCCTCCTGCATGGCCTTCATGCCCTCCAGCACACCTCTCAAACCACCACCACCGACCTTAATCGGATGAGGCTTAACCTTGCCTTGCGCAAGCAGCTCCCGCGCCGTAGCCCAGAACTTCTTCGCAAACTCCATATCCTCGGGCTTCGCCTCGAACGGAATGTTTCCGAACATGAACGCCTCGCCAACGCTCGTATATCCAAGCGTCCAGCGATCGTTGACATTCTCACGCTCGATCTTCACAACCAAGAGCGCCGAGTACTCGCCTCCCTCGGTGGAGATCGCCTCGTCGCAGAACTTCGCGCTCGACTGGACGGAGATCGTATCAAAGACATATTTCAGGCCATTGTTCGTGTAATTGCGGATCTCAGCCGCAGCGTTGGGGTCCTTATAGTCGAAGACGGCGTCGGCGCCGAGACTCTTCACCAGGTCGAAGTTATGCGGCGAACAGGTCGTCAGGACCTCGTAGCCGGACAGCTTGGCGAACTGGATCGCAAGGGTTCCCGTGGCGCTGGAGCCGCCGTAGATGAGCACGGGTTCCTTCTGCGTAGTGGGCTGGGTGGGCCAGGCGAGCTTCAAGCTCTGGTACAAGCCCTGGCCGACGGTGGTGACGCCGACGCCCAGAGTCGAGGCCTCCTCGAAGCTGAGGTTGTCGGGGATCTTGACCTGGATGTCGCCCTTGGCGGTGATGTATTCGGCGAAGGTGCCGTCTTCGTGGTTGACGGCGTTCGAGCCGTGGACGAAGCCGAGCACGCGGTCGCCCTTCTTGAGGTCCTTGGTGACGGCCTTGCCGACGGCTTCGACGGTGCCGGCGTAGTCGCAGCCGACGATGGGGCCGGGGGGAGCCAGGAACGCGACATGCTTCCAGTCGGTGGGGTTCAGGGCCACGGCGACGGTCTTGATGAGGATGTAGTCATCGCGGAGGGTGGGGACGGGGTGGTTGGGGACGAGGTCGGCTTTCTTGGGCTCGGTGATGACGACAGCTTTTTGGGTGGCCATGGTGACAGTGATGGTTGGGAGGTAGGAGTTGATTAGGTTGGAAGAGTGATTAGAGCAGGAGATTCAAGCGTAAAGGTTTTGATAGTATACAGGAAGTTGGACATCGGCTTCCAGGAGCTCTTATAAGATTATGAGACAAAACAAATAGCTGGAACCCGACTGAACGGCACCGAAGCAACGCAAACGAGATTACAAATGGGATTCCAAGCTCCATATGTGTAAACTGTAAACGGAAACGATTAGTGAACAGCTTTGCTCCACTGGAGTCTCTAACGTCATGAAGAACGGACACTCGGGACCAACCACAGTGTCGGGTGTCGAGAACGACCCACCGCGGACGGTTGCAAGTTCTGCTCAATTTTTCAACCGTCGGGATCGGTGCAATTAATGATGCTTGCTAAGCCGATATCGTGCAGGATTGCGCCCTAGGGATTGGACATGTTTGAGCTTCGATTGTCCATTCCATCAACCGAGGTTTAGGAGCTGTAGGAGCTGGAGAATCCTTCGGAGAAATCCCTAAATCCCAATGAAAGATCTTGCGCTGAAACTCGAGGTTATGAGTGAATAAAGAGACAATTACATTGCTGTGAGACTGTCAATTGACTACACAATGGTGCTTCTTCACTTCCCGTCGTCCGATTTATTCATGCCGGTAATTCCCATCGCAACAGACCCTGCATCTTCACATCCCGAAGCGGTTTAGTCTCCGCACGCCCAAGTGGGTCCCTGCCGATGATCTCCGCAGGGATCCCAAAACGGGAAATTTCGAGAAGTTCAATGAACCCGAGTCAATTTGCCGGGTTCCGAATGGTCGCATCTAATGATTGGAAATCAAGGACGAATGGGCCCAAAAAGAGAGCAAAAGAGTAGATTAGAAATACGAATATCCATGCATTGCCTCGAAAGCTGAAGCTGGCTACGTCCGCAAACAACCTGTCAGAGTCTCAAAGCCGAAGGTCTATTCATAGTCTCAAAATATATACACGAAGAATGCGTGGCCAATCTCTAAACCGTAAACTTGGTCTTATTCACCTCCCCAGCAGCAACCGCCGCTTTACGCACCGCGTCCTCCCCAACCTCCTCGAAAATATCATACCCCCAGATCGCCGGGAAGTTAAACCGCTTGTGTTTCTCCAACGACGAGAGCTTAGCGAACGCATCCTCCGGCAACTGACGAACCTGCAGGTTCGCAGCAATCCGCGAGGGCGTGACACTCTTCGACAAAACGACCGTGCCGCGCTGGACACCCCAGCTGGCCAGGAGAGGACCCGGGTCGAGACCCAGCTCGCCAGCAACGGAGTGCACAAGGGGGTCGTCGACGGTGCGGGGCTCGCCGGTCTGGTTATTTCCAAGAGGCGAGTAGGCCTCGACGATGATACCCTTGCTCTGACAGAAGCGCAGCAGCTCGGGTTGTTGCAGGTAGGGGTGGGCTTCAATTTGGTTGGCGGCGGGGACGACGGTGACTTGGGAGAGGAGTTCTTCGAGTCGGCGGACGTTGAAGTTAGATACACCAATGGCGCGCACTTTGCCCGTGCTTAGCAGCTTTTCCATCGCTTTGTAGGTGCTGATGTAGTCGATGTCGGCGAGTTCGAAGACGCCGTCGGAGTTGAGGGGGAACCACTTGTCGCCGCCTTTGAAGGCGCTGAGAATTGCATTGTTAGCGGGGACGGGGTGCGAGGGGCTCAGGTACGAAAGGAATGCTCACCAAGGCCAATGCATCAAGTAGAGATCCACGTAATCGATACCCAAATCCTTCAACGTCTTGTCCAGCGCGGACTCAACGTCTTCCGGTGCGTGCTTGGTGTTCCACAGCTTGCCGGTGATGAAGATCTCCTCGCGAGGAACGCCGGACTTGCGGATGCCATTGCCGACTTCGGTTTCGTTGCGATAGATGGCAGCGCAGTCGATGTGACGATAGCCCTGTTTCAGAGCCACCTCGACGGCGTTTTCGACCTCGAGAGGCTTGGCCTGCCATGTTCCAAATCCCACGGTGGGGATTTTGGCGCCAGTGTTGAGCGTGAAGTGCGTAGTGAGAGTCATTGTTACAGAGATAGTGGTTGCAAATTGGAATTGGAATCCAGAGCTAACCTTTTCGACGAATGGCTGGTTTCTTAAAACACAGCTTGTTCATGCTATCCAATCTCCGACGTGAGGGCTTCATGGCGGAAAAAGAGTGGAGCATCACATTTCCGACAGGCGGAATCTGCTAGTGAGGGGCTGCGGATAAGACTACATCAGCACAAGAAACCGAGTTCTCCACGCTTAACAGAAAGGATTCCGATCTGCAGGAAAAAGGTGGGTATCTGGGGAGAAAATCTTCGTCTTGAAGCCTAGTCAACCGGCCGTCTGCCGAGTTTCCCCGCAGAATTAATGTTGACCTCGGATAGGAGAGTCTGGGGTTAGGAAAATACGATGCGTCATTCAACAAGCTGCTGTGCTAGCCTACTTGTGTGATCTTGAGGCCTAGAAATGCCGAGTATTGACCCGGTCGTGGCGGAGAAGCAGCGGAAACATGCACTGATCCCTCCAGACTATTTTGCAGGGAATTGAAACTGCGCCTACGGCAGGGCTGGTCTGACGCTGCGGTTCCAGAGAACCATCCTCTTGTCAATGCAAAACGCCACGCCTGAAGGATAGATGATCATCTTGGCAAATGCTTGACAAAGCTTGGGCTGCCTATATTCAACTCACAGCCTCAATTTCAAAGTACTGTGATTGAAATAGAACATTATCCTTTGATTTGAACCGATTAAGCCAAATCCATCTACATGCAGGTCGTAGTCGCGACCATGATAAGACCGTAAAGATCAACAAATCCAACAAAGGCTAGCTAGCAGAGATAGCGGAGACCGTGTGGAGTCCGATCCTTCTCCGCGGTCTACCCCGGCCATGTTGGCGTGACAAAGGACGAGACAACCTGGGGAGTCTGGAGAGAGCCAGGGGAGGTATATTAGGCCCTCCGCCGGCTGGCACCAGCAACAAACTTTGAGAAGAAACCATATTCTCTGCTAGAAGGGGCCTTTTTTTCTTCCCTTTTCTGTTTTTTCTTTTGATTATTAGCCCTTGGGAACAAGCCTTTGTTCTCCCTTTTCTTTTTTTTCTTCCCTCTCTGGGCCCTGATTGCAACCGAAGCTTTAGAACCACCCAAAGCTCAGCAATCTATCCATACTTGGATGTCAGCAAAATGGCTGACATCGATTCCAAATCCTCCTCGCATCATGTCGAAGCGACCGTCAAACCCATAGACAGACAAGACATACTATTTGACGGTCTATCTGATGAGGAGACCAAAGCATTAGAGAAACGCTGTAAGTCTCCCGTCTGGAAGAGATGTCATGTATATATACCGTCCTGACCGTTCACAGTGGTGCGCAAGATCGACTTGCACCTGATATCCTCCCTCTTCCTTCTGTTCATATTCAACATCCTAGACCGCTCGAACATCGCCAATGCTCGTCTTGGAGGAATGCAAGAGGATCTCGGCCTTTCAGACACGCAGTATCAAACAGCCGTGGCTATTATGGTACGTTGCTGTTATTTGTCATGGAAACATAGGGCCGGGGCTAACAATGGTTTTTAGTTCGTCGGGTATCTCCTGGGTCAGGTCCCAAGTAATATTCTCCTGACTCGGTTAAAACCCTCCCGCTACCTCCCCACGGCTATCTTTATCTGGGGAGGTATCTCGCTCTGCATGGCAGCGACTAAGAATTTTGCCGGAGTCATGTGTGTGCGTGTCTTTTTGGGATTTGCCGAATCGCCGTTCTTTCCCGGAGCTTTGTAAGTGACCAGTGGCAGTCCTCTGGAGTGAACTTGATCTAATACGTGTCTTCAGACTATTGATCAGCTCCTGGTACAAGCCTTCGGAAATCGCTGTACGTGTGGCAATCGTATACTGCGGCAACACGATTGCGAATGGATTCGGTGGTATGCTTGCTGCCGGTATTATGAGTGGACTGGATGGCAAGGGTAACCTTGCGGGATGGAGGTATGTTGACTGTGTCAGTTGCATCAGCACACCACTGACAAAAAGCCAGATGGCTGTTCATTATCGAAGGAGCGGGTACGATGGTCGCTGGAGCCCTTGCAGTGGCTCTTCTCCCTGACTTTCCTCGCTCTGGACAGCGCAAATGGCTGAACGAGCAGGAGCAACGATTCGCGGAATGGCGTCTTGCTCGCGCAGCAAACGACGAGGTCGATGAGAACGGCTCCGTCAAGGAGGGACTGAGAGACGCAGTGACAGACCCCAAGGCCTGGCTTCTCATCCTGATCCAAGTTTGCCAATTGTCTTCGCAGACATGGACGTACTTCTTCCCTGTAAGTCACTATCTCCTCGGTACTTGACAACAGGATACAGGGGCTGATCAGACACAGACAATCGTTAAAACTCTAGGCTTCAACAACATGATGACCCTACTGATCACAGCACCGGTATACGTATTCGGGTTCATCACCGCACTCGGAAACTCCCTGATTGCGAACCGCACCAACCAGCGCGCCATACTCATCGTCTGGCCGCTCTGCATCGACATCGTGGGTAACATCATGGTGATATCATCGCAGGCGACAGCTGTCCGCTACACAGGGATGTTCCTCATGTGCGCTGGATCCTATTCGGCGTTCAACGTAGTCCAGGCGTGGATTGCCAGCACTATTCCGCGAACCAGGACGAAGCGAGCGATTGTGTATGCGTTGGTCAACTTGTTCGGTAACTCGTCCAACATTTATGGCTCTTACTTCTTCCCGACGTCAGACTCGCCTCAGTACAGGCCTGGGGGTATTATCTTGTCGTCGTTTGCGGCCGGCGGGATCGTGATGTCGCTGCTTCTTGCGGGCTATCTTCATCTCTTGAACGTCAGATCACGCAAGGCCGAGGATCAGGACGGTCATATACGCTACAAGTACATTTGGTGATGAAATGCTGCTAATGATATGTTACGAACGGTTGGGTTTGGGCTTCTGGGTCGTTTCTCAGCGTCATATGGGTATTGTCACGGAAGATTGATAGATAATTATATAGCGTGAAGCATTGCACGTCGCATTTTTGTTTCAACGCTCTTCTCTAATATCCTAGAACATCTGCAATGGTCAGTCAGGATTTATCAGGGGCATGATGGGACAGACATACTACTTGGTAGACTGTCAAGCTGAGGCCAGAAGTCAAGGTTCAAATCTTCACCGATCGCGAAATTATCAAACAGAGATTCGGTGCCCGCATCAAGCGTAAATGACTCGTCCAGTCGGTTTGGCCGAGGCAGCATTGTTGATGTCCCATGGGATCCTGTGAGGTTTTCTATTGTAACAGCATCCAGACTATTATGCGGGTGGTTCAAACGGCTGTGATGGACAGTCGAAGGATTAGGCTGATGGTTCATTCCAGGCCGACTATCTGCTTGTTCGAGACCAGCGCAATTCAGATCAAGTATAGACGGCCCCAGTCGGGTAAGTTCACGTCGAAGCCCCTGCAAAATCGCGCTGTATTTCCAGGAAGGTGCATTCCGAGCAGTAGCATGAGCAAGATGTTCCTGTGCTGTTTCCGAGAGCTGATAAAGGGCAGGCTCCTCGAGCGCACAATCATACGTACTACCCGGGGTTGAAACGATGCGGTGAGTGGCCGGAGGTATACTTCCTCTTTGGACTTGGATGAGATAAAGGTACATGATCGATAGAGCATTAAATGCGATGTACTGGGAATACCAGAACGCGGGAAAGAACTGGTTTTCACAGACGAAGGATAGAATCATTTCTATGGCATCCCGCGCAGCTGCCAGACAAACGTTAAGATAATGCTGATAGCTGGGCTCGCAATCAGGCCACATTCGCCCATAGTTTCGCAGCAGTAGAGGCCGTGTGATGAACATGAGTGCATGGTAACGAGCCAGTTGTAGTACGGTCAATTGTCGTCGAAACACCGGGATCAGTGTACTCGGTTGAATAGCACCTGATAGAAACGGAGGTAATTCCCTTTGCCAGTCTCCGACTAGTCCGCACAGGATTTGGATCGTACCGATCTGCTCCCTGCTAGAGATTCCTGTCACCACATATGGCGCCCTGGCCGCTTGAGTAAGAATCTGGGCAAGCTTGGTATGGAATACCGGGGCATCCATCAGGCAATCTCGCCTCGATGTTCGTGACTCGTGGCTGGTTAAATCCTGGTCGTTTATCCGCGTCGGCAACTCCTCGTCTATATCATCGTCCTGCCAGAGGCGTGGGCGGCCCAGAATAACACTCAGGTATTTGTCCAGTGTATACGAGCACCAAACCACCCGACGTCGGCATTCCTTTTGTACTAGATCCTCTTTCTCGGCTGATCTTCTCGGTCGCTTACTGTGCATACCGAGCGCCATCATCAGTTGTACCGTCGTGCCGAATGTAAACCACGCTTTACGCGCTCGTGACGTGCATAAAAAGTATAAGACCATCAGGAAGCGCGCTTGGACAGAGGCTAGGCTAGGTTCACCGGTTTCGCGCGAGAGCAAGTGGTTTGCCTGAGTGTAATAAAGCTCGCTCGTTTCCCAGCCGCGTTCGTCTGCATCTCTTATTCGCCCGTCCTCATCAGCCTGAAACATATTCGCCGTTGTGAATACCATTAGCAAAATGGCTTGGGGTGCCGATTCGAGGACATTCCAGGTCGGTAATTCATGTTCAGGCACGTCGCGATACAGCCGATCCAATAGATCTTCGACGGTAGGCTGATGAAGTATCCGATATGTCGGGGCAGCAAATTCAAAGTATCGAAACACCAACCGATCTGCAACGACCCGACTGGGCCATCGGAAATCGGCTAGCCGGACCTCAGGCACGATGCGGTCCCCGAAGGAGAAAATCGACACGTTTGACGACTGAACCTGATCTCGATTTTGCGCGACCGACCTCGAGCTATTAGTATCCAGATCCTGCACCACTCTTCCCAAAAAAGAATGTGCCGAAGTGGGTCCCCAATATTGGCCGGCCACATGTGCGTCTCCTCTTCGATCGGAGCTCTCGATTAAAGGCTCCTCACTCCGCTCCGATACGGAAGGCGGGGATACCAAGGGACTTGAGGGACGATCCCAAACGGCGGGCGCAGTGCCCTGGGGAGTGGTGGACGCCGTGGAGGAGACATGGTCGCGTGTGGAATGTTGTGGTCTCACCTCAGAAGGCGGAGGGCTGGCAGCGACACCACGATTGTAGGCCGTTTCATAGGTGCATTGTAGATGTCGCCGGGAGCAAGGCCCACAAGGAATGTTGCCCGTGCAGGCTTTCTTCTTTGCCTTGCAGCTGTCACACGCGCGAGTCACCTTGCGGAGTTTCCGCGCAGGCGTTTCGTCCGGTGTCATTTCCGCCCTGCTGGTCATCGGGCACTCGGTGGGGGAGTGTGGCTTAGATTGACAAAATTCCGGATAGACTGAGCATTCTCATTCATTCTCTCATGCAAAATGATTGGCTCGGGGCTCGAAACGCCCTCCCTGCGATGGCTTCGACGTCCTCATCGCCGGTTGTTGACAGGATCAAGTTGGCCTCGTCTTTCTCCGCCGTTTCCGCCGGTCTGCTGACAAAGCATTGACTCAGCATCCAGTCGCCCTCCCCAGAAGAGACATATCATTCCTAGTGTCTCTTGCGTACTGGAGAAATCTGTTCTGTTTTCCCAGCGACCAGGGGCAAGGAATTAATGCACAGAAAAGGTCGTGAAATGGCCTGATTATCGTGAGAAACATAACCTCACACCAGGTGAGAGTACGGGGTTCACAGAAACATTCGGCTAGATTTCCGCCACCATCTCGTACTTGGAGAGATGATCCATTTACTTTGAATACTCTGGTCTGATAGATCGATTCATTGTTGTGTCGTGGACTGTTGGCTTTTCCTTCTTTGTAGTATCACTTGAGCTCTGCTGTTCTGTGAAACCCAAATTGAACGAAGATATATTATCTCATCTCCAATGCCGCAAACTGAGTCACAAGAGAATGTAGGGAAGTTGAAAACACCACCGTTTCGACAAGGTAATTGAGATGGGATGAGAAGAAAATAGTAAAAATGCATGAACAGCATTTAGTCTGTTGGACTCCAATTAATTGTTGTCTTCCGAACATGCAGGCTGCTATGACGTTGGAACTCCATCGGGCAAGAATAAGCGCTAGGAGGCCTCGAGACGAGGCATCGACATCGACACCCGAATATCTTAAATATCGCGAATCACCCAACTAACTCGACATGTATCAAAGTACCACGTCCAACTTGTTTAATAAACTGATTTCTGAAACCACACAATGTCCTGGAAGAGTTCAAACCGACACCTTCGCATCCTACAGGATGCAGAAAAACGACAATACGGCGTGATCGCCGCAATTGCCTACAACATAGAGCATATCCTCGGACTTGTGAAAGCAGCTTCGCAGGCTCGGTCCCCTCTGATCATTCAGTTCTTCCCCTGGGCTATTGAAGTATCGGATGGCTTGCTGGTATCCACTGCCGCAGAGGCAGCAAAACGTGCTGACGTGCCTATCTCCATTCACCTGGACCATGCGCAATCCGAAGCCATTATAAGAAAAGCGGTTGAGCTTCCGTTCGACAGTATAATGGTCGACATGTCACATTATGAAAAGGAAGAGAACCTGCGAAAGACGGCTGAGCTGGTCGCGCTTTGTCACGAGAGGAATATCGCGACCGAGGCGGAACCGGGACGCATCGAGGGCGGGGAAGATGGAGTTATGGACACGGCAGGATTAGAAGCATGCATGACGACAGCTGAAGAGATCGAGGAATTTGTGGGCACGGGGGTAGATGCGCTTGCCCCGGCGTTTGGTAATGTCCATGGAGAGTACGGGGCTCTTGGGCCAAGGTTGGATTTTCAGAGGTATGGCCGCAGAGCTTTTTGTTCTCTTTCTTTCTTTCTTTCTTTTTTGCAAGCAAAGCAGCTAATGAGGTGACAATAGGTTTCAAGAAATCCGAAGACTAGCTGCTGGGAGAGTAGGTCTGGCGCTGCATGGAACGAACGGATTTAAGCCGAAATTGATGCAGGAGTGTGTGAGAGCTGGAGTCACCAAGATCAATGTGAATAAGTTGGTCCTGGATGATTACTACGAACATTTACACACGAAGGCCGACAAAATGCCACACACTCAGCTGATTGAAGAAGGAATAGAAAAAGTGGCCCAATTAACAAGGGCTTGGATGGAAATCTGTGGATCAGCAGGGAAAGCTTAAGATGCCTTTTCGAGTGATGAATGAATATTCGCTAAATCGCTACCATGATATGATAGCTCTGGTTAAATTATGAATAAGACTTTGTTCAACATCTTTGGAATTTGAATGCTAAAGGACACCGTATTCGTTCATGTCAACTTTGATATCGGGTTTATAGTGGCCGAGGTAACTCCCATGCCCCGCCCTACTTTGCGTTCACGAAGACCTTTATACCCAAGAGTATTGTATAATACATCATCAAATATACACGAGAGGTATTGGAGAGAAATACAAAATTCAAGGTAGACAAAGCCAGTGGAATTAAACCCAGGAAGGAAGACTCGTGTCGGGACAATCCCTGCTCCCCAATGACCCACTGTCCCGTCTCGAGGCATAGACAATGCCATGTCTCCAGATGATATCATTCAACTGAGCAAGCCTTCTAAGGCTAAAATGGACACAAAAATTGAACCACTGTGTCAAAAGTCATGCTCAGCCCGATTCAAGGTTTGTTCGACCGATGTACGCTAATCATTTCAGGCTCCTTCCGACTGAAGGGTGTGTGGTTGAATGAAAAGTTAACGGGGTTTACTACCTACCTATTTGTGCATTAACGGGTGCATATGTTCTTGACTAGCATTGCCTTTGATTCAATCTAGCCTTCGCTGCTTTCCTTTGTGATATGTACCTGGCGCTGCAGTGGATCCCGTGGTTGTTGCTGATGTGTTTGTTTGACGGGTGTTGCTTGTACTGCTCGGTTGTTCTGTTCTCCGTCGTTTAACTGGGGCTGTATCTCTAGATTCTTCCCTTCGTCGTCGTCGACGTTCTTCAGTGGCTGGCGAGGGGTGCAGATCCAAAATTCCGTATGTGAAAATAAAATGTTTCTTGGAACGCTTTGTTTTCTTTCTGTTTTTCGGCTCTCCCCTGTGCAGTACCTAGTCGTGCTTTTTGTTCTAGGAGGCGCTTGGATAGTTCTTGGGGAATCTGTTTGGTCTGTGAGTTCATGGGTTGGTTGCTGTTGTCCCATTTCTACTTACTATATCGCATGGCACTTTCTTGTGGTTACAATATTCGCATTTCTTTTGGGCTCCTATTCCTCCCCCCCATTTGCAGTCGGGTAGTTTCTCGTTCTCTACTCCTGCCCTGTGCAGATTCCTCCATTTCTTGATACAGCTTACGCAGAATATATATTCCTTTTTGTATGAGCTGATGTCTGCGTCGTGTTCATTCTCAGTTTCGGTGTCGAGAGGAACGCTTTCTGATCTTGATATCGAGCTGTAATCGATGCTTTGTGACTCTGATATCGAGCTATAATCGGTGCTTTCTGCATCGGATGGCGTATGGCTTTGTGTGTCGCTAGTATGAACTTCGGATTCATTGTTGTATGGCTGCTCTGCCTCTGATATCGAGCGACCATCGGGTCTTTGTGTCTCGGGTTTCGTCTGTCCTTGTGTGTCGCTACTCTGGACTTCGTGCTTGATGATGTGCGGCTGTTCGATGGTTTCGATTGCGGGTTGTTCCTGACTCGGTGTCCTATATTGATACGATGATAATAGACTTATGATTTGCCCGTTGAACTGCTGGTTGAATCTATTGAACTCCCCCTGAATCCTGTGAAATGCCTGTTCAAATGCATTGAATTGCTGCGTGATCCTGCTATAGTCGTCGATCATCTGGAGGACGGTTTGTTGGTGTCGATCGTGCGGATTATTTGACATGGTGGCTATGTAATTTAAACCGGTCCTGCGACTTTAATGCGTGCTCTGTCGTGCTCAGGGGTGTGTGTTCTGTCGTCGGATTCGTGGCCGAATCCGACGATTTTCCCGTCTTTCCAGTTTTTCCCGTGTGGGTCTTTTCGGATAATCGGAACTTACTCTACCTAAATCTGTTTTGATCACGGAACACCTATCTGAACATCATATTGCGGGAAGAAGGTCGGTGTATTGTCTTTTAGACTTCTAATAAATGCTACTGGTATATCGGGTAATACAGACCATAGCTCTAAAGTGGCGTCTGGGATATCTCGATGCTAGGGTCATCTTGGATGATCAGATGTTCGTTTCCTAATCTATCAGTATCATTTCACAAACGCATTGCCAGCAGGGAATTAAATGATGATCACTTTGGAATTTCTGTATGAGGACGTACCGCCTATACCTATAGTCTGGTGACTCTAGCGTGGCCCTGGAATAAATGGGAGCCGAAATAGAGGATAAAGGAATTACACACACACACACACACACACACACTGCCAGCAGGGAAGATGGAAATATAACCGGCAAGACTGGTCATTGAACTTATTTTGACTTTATCGAGATAACAGGAGAGCGATAGTAGCCACTGAAAGGACCCCAAGCCACAGAATAATTTGCTTAAGAGCCCTGTGTAAAGCAAAACGGATGTGCTCCTGATACTCCTCCTTTGGATAGGCCTTTGGCCATGGCTGCTGTGGAATTGGCAAATCCAAGAACCCACAGAGCTCCTCCCAACCATCAACTCCCAAGCGGAATTCCAGTAGTTGGGACGCTGGGATGGACTTTCGTATCCGTTCGTTATGTGCAAGATACGCCCGTCGACAGGCATCTCTACCGTAGGAACCACCAGAGAATACCTTCCAAGCCATTCGCAACATGTGGAACAACGGACCGATCTCAGTGGTATCGACATACTGCCAAAACCAGAAGAACGGCATTCGGATGAACTTCAAAACTGTCGCATTTACAGAATCCAACCATGGCTCTACGTCGCGAGTCGTCACAATAACCTTCGCATCAGGGTACGCACGATGCAAGTCCTCCCAAAAAAGGCAAGCTGGTATGTCAAGACAAGCATCATAGGAGCCTATTAGGCGGTCGAACTCCGCCCGTCCATATCGGTGACTTTTTTGGGTGTTTATGAAATTGCATTGCATAGCTTCAATCCAGAGATTGAAGTCTCGAGGGGGGCTTCTGAAACATTCGGATCCATGGTAAGGCGTGTAGCCAAGTTTTGTGAGAGCGATGCGCATTGCTTTCGAATTGTTAAGTTGCTCTGGTCCTGGAAACGAGCAAAGACGTACAATTTGTGCCTGTTCTGCAGAGACCCACGCAAAGTATTCGCATTGGTTTTACTCGCAACTTAGACTCTTTGTCGATAAGACGAGACATAATCTAGTTGATGGAGACCTTGGGAAGTGGGTGGGCAAAGGGAAAGATAATGAGGAATCAATTTGGGTAATAGGGTTAAGGAAGATGCTAGGATGGATAGTAGTGAAATTTATCGAAATGACGACCTGATAGCTCGTGTGGTGAAAGACCTTGTCAACCACTAATAGGATCTGGATCTACGGAGAATTAAATAAGTCCCGGCTAGACGCTTGGTGTGTACCACAGTTTAAATCACCGCCACCGAGTAAGCATGTCGTCATCACCCAACTGGCTGTTGCAGGTCGGCGATAGGCTATGCAGTGCAACCTGCATGTGCTGAGGTCGCATCGATAGAAGGTAGACTCATGAATAGAAAAGCACGAAGCCTGTCCCACAAGTCCCCTAGTTCAGGGCATCTTGCACGTGATCGGGTCAGCACATGTCAATGGAAACCCTAACTTCAGCATTGATTGACCAGTTCTGCGCGCACAATATCAAAGCCTTGGAAGGCATAGTGAGCAATTCATGGTAACAAGTCATCGGCCAGCCTGATAATATGCACGATCAAGCTAAGAAGATCGACCTAACTCCTATCTCCGACAGGAAGGACTACTATATCAGCTCCCCGAGTCACTCGATGAATCCTTTGAAAGATGGCTCATCATGACCGTCCCTTGAGTATTACCAATGCATTAATTTCTGACCTCGAAACTAGCTGCCCAAAAGATGACTTCCAAGCTTCGAAAAAGAGCCTTATCCTTTCTCGACGGCTTTCAGACCCTCTCTGCGAAAACCTTCCTCGCCGTCCTGGCACAGGATGCAATCCATAAATTCGCACCGGCATCGCTCTCCCCACCTATGGACATGGATCCAAATACATTCGCACACCATATTGCAGGGCTAAAAGGCATTGTGACTGGATTCCCAGTGTACCCGAAAGAAATCTACGAAAACGAGGGAAACAATCAAGTTACTGTTTGAGTAACAAGCCTGGAAGTGAACAAAGATGAAGTACGGGATAACACATTTACGGATGAAGAGTGGGCGTACAGAGGAGAGTACATCTTTATCTTCACGATGGATGCCAACCAAGAGAGAATTGCCAGAATGCTCGAGTTCTTAGACAGTAGGGGTACAGAACGGTTGAGGGAGTTGATGGGTCAAACGAAAATCAACTTAGCACGAAATGAAGGTGTCTAGAGCGCATTTTCACGTGTTCAAGACAAAAAGGTCATCATTTTTCCTTTCCTTACTTTCCTGCCTGGGATATTAAGAGTTCCTATAAATAGATTATTTCTCGATGCAAGTAACTGATAGTAGCAGTCATCTGCAGCTATCATGCGTTGAAAGACATTGACTTCGAAATTGAGTGAGTTTGATTGTTTGAGGAAAGATGTCAGGATCACCCTGCAATTCTATAGACTTTCATGATGTCACCCAAATTCCATGGGGTCATAAGACAGGTACTAGCCAGTGGAAAATGCCCTAAGAGACGTTCGTTGTTCGAAAAGAATGCACAGTCGACCAATTCCGGAATCGCGCATAACTCCCTTTCGGCTGATCATCCCTGTATTAAAGAACCTGATTCAAGATCCCGCGGTACCAGAGTAACTGATCTAATTAACAGCATAAGCCGGCTTGAGATGAAAAAACAAGTAATTATGAAGAATGATCTAATCAGCATTCTGATGATAAAACTTGCTTGATGTGGCAAGCCGTGGTGTGACATTTCCTTGCCGTTTTGGGAATGTTTGCCGCCCAAGGGATGAGCCACCCCTAGAATAAGCGTCCAGTAAAGATTGTAGTTGCTTAGTGGGGGGGCTGCATGGGCCTGAATCACTACCCCTCTAGAACTAGGATTTCATATAGTATTTTTGCAGGGCACGTAGATGCATAATATTTCTCCTGATGTTATTTTCGAGTTCATGTCTCACACCCGTAAAGATAGAAAGATGGCACTTTTATTTGCTAGGTATATCGAAATATCCGGGAAAGGATATTTGCGGAGCAGAAATACCTCGACTAGAGCATTGCAAACTCTTCACCCGATACCCAACGAAACAAAGCATTCTTTTCCAAATGTTCCCAAGCATCAACTTCTAAAGTCAGATACAACTCCCAGTTTGCTGCCTCCAAAGGCCGAGCCGGCATAATCCAGCATCTCCCCCCAAGACGAGAATCGTGCATTTCAAAATCATTGATGAACCCCAGATTAGAACCAAAGTCCCAATCATAGACCTTCATGAAGCGAAGGCTGCTTACCACTCCATGTGACGCTCTAGACCAAAGTGAACCCCAATCCGAATTGTTTTGTATGCGGACCACAGTAGACTTTGCGTACTCCATATTGACACCTTGGCGTGCGTGGTGCAATCTGCGTGCGATTTCTGACAAGGAGTCCAGAAGTTGGGGACCCTTATCATTGGCCATTGACTGTACAGGATAGGTGATCACCGGAAACAGGAGAGCGTTTCCCATGTAACCTTCGTGGATGATCTCGGATAGGATTGAAGCGCGGGTATCGACGACGGTTCCTAGAATTGTGTCTTCCGATATTGGACCTGACTGTGGTGTGGCTTGTGATTGAATTTGGGATCGTGCCTGGACCATACAGATCCATGCAATGGCGCAAACGATATCATTCAAAGTCAGTCTCATTGGAGCCCCGTCTTTCCCAGAGCCTTCAGCTTGGCATCTGTCTCTTAGTCTCTTGAGCCTTTCTGTTGGGAGGAATAATTTTCGGCAAACAAGCGGCACCTCCTGCTCCACAAACTCATTTGTATAAGAAGCCTGACCCGGGGTCGTATCCGCACAACTTTTGATTTCTGAAATTTTCTTACGTGTTTCAGTCTCGAGTTGTGGATATGTGAATAGCGGTGGATTTTCAACCCCGCGACAGAAGCCTGATAGAGTATGAAGCACGTTGAAATATCCCTTCCCATCCATGGCGGGATGAAAAAACGATGTCGTCAGGATGACCCCGTCCTGCATGATATTGGCCTGGAATCGAATCAATGGATATGATTCACGGCTTGCAAATTCGATCGGAAAGGCCGAAAACGAGTTATCAAAAACTCGGGGATTTTGAATAAACGTAATGGGCTGAGAATGTGTCCTAGAACGGAAGATCGGATATTCCTTCAACGTTGCTCTATTTGTAGGCCTTACGGCCCACACATTAGCTTTGTCACAGGTTTGTGTTGAAAAGACTTCGCCACCAAGAAAGGGCAGTTGTTGCATAAGCCAGTGGACGGCATCCTCAAGGGTCAAAACCGCGTGGTGGGTATCTTGAGGTGCAAATGATGTGAACCCTAGCATATAAACATTTGGAAGCAAATGGTCCAAAGGGGATAGGGTATATGATTCAAAACTCGTCGGGCAATCCATATTGAGGTGTACTTCCTAATGAAACATTTATTGATCTAAAAAATAGACGAAGTGATTATCTGAAAACAGACTGGATATGTAATGCAGGCAATTGTATTTTAATAGGTAACGCTCCTAGTGAAGCTACCTACCATCTCAAACGTAGTCGCAGCGCGTGAGACCTGTGGAATGTAGCATGAGTCGGCCTCTGCTGCATGTTGGATCTTGAGGGGCATTGACATGAAACAGGGAAATAAAGAATGTCGGGTTTCCCGGAATGCGGGGGAATTTACAATAACAGGTGTACTGATTGATCTCCTGAATAAGGCTGTCTGATCTGTTCTCAGAGACCTCTTGTAGGGCGGAAGAACATGTCTAGGTCCGGAGAAAATTATGCACAATGGCAAAGCCATAGAAGGCAACTCAAACCAGCGTCATTTGACCGTCTTTCGCCCTGAACAGGTAAGACGCGTCTAGGGGTCGAAAAAATGTGTAGTATCATCGAAGCTTCGCGTGAGGGCTGTAGACTAGTCGAAAATTCCGGGAGTTGAGATAAGAACCAGAGCAGGGGCTGCATATACGTCATATGATGTTTCCATTTATGAGTACCAGATTGTGGTGGACAAGTGCGAAAACCGGTAAATAAAGTAGAAATCCCAATGCACAAGCTGAACTAGGGACTGCACAGTGCTAACGACAGTAGCTTGAACCGAAGTCGGCTCATTCGGAGCAGCAAGAGCCTCCTTTTCGCCGAGCAGCACAGCGGGGCGGTGAAAAGGAGGCTGCAGAATATCCTCCATGGCGGAAATCCCGCGCCACCGAGGCAGGAAGCTAGTTTCCGGTGGATCTTTTAAGAGTAGTCTTACGGAGTACTTTTATCTTGAACTTAGTTTGCAAAATCCGAGGTCTCCATTCACATGCTGTCCCAAACAGTACACACTATTTATACAACTAAAATGCAGGTTTCGTGCACCCTGCCACTCACCAATGTTCCTGTCTTGATGGTGACAATTCTTGCCTTTGCGATGACCTCAACTGTAGATTGGAATGCCGATCCCAGTTCCAGAACTTCCCCAAGCGAGAATTGCTGTGGGGCATGCGATCCACGCGGTTAAGGACTGTCGAGTGTCGATACTAGATGACCCGGAGTTGGGAAATCAGCCAAGACCCTGGTGGATCCGTCGATCTTTCCCGATCTCTCTTAACTATCGACTCGATCGACCGATGGAAAGGATACGTATTCCGGAGTAGTGAGTGCGTGCGGGTCTGCAGCGCGGGTTTTCCTGAAGCTGCAAGTCTCGGGCTCGCTGTGTAAGTGGGCCATGAATAGAGCTCACATTCGCGAGCAGCATCGGCCTATATTATTCACAGATTGAGAAGCTATAGTATTGCCTAAATCTCGGAGCGTGTCTTCAGTGCTTCACAACTTCAAGGTATGTACTTACCAAACCACAGAGCGATCTTGCACGGTATCTAGCTCGGCCCTATCGGAAAAGCAATTGCGAGCAATGCGCTAATGTGGGCAACACCAAGCTGGGCTTGGAAGGCTGGCCAGTTCCCAGCAACTGCCGAAGTCCCCGAATGGTGAAGCATTAATGGGGCCGATCGCCGGAAGCCCTCGCACTATTGAACCATGATCTCAATCGATCGGATATTTGCCTCTTGATCTACATGATTCGTTAGATCCAAAACCTTTGGGACGGTGGCTAGTCGGATATTTAAATCCGCCCTTTCTCCCCGGTTCTTCTACCTCAGGCGTACCTGTCCATTACTATATTTCTATTCTACACCTCCATCCCACACTCTCATTCCACACTCCCATCAGACATTATGATGCGTTCTTACCTTTTGGCCGGGTTGTTTGCCGCTCTCTGTACCCCGACTTACGGCCTGGTATTTCATGACAGACTCACACAAGAAGTCGATGGCAGCAAACTTTCAGTACTGCATGGTGTTGACGCTGAAACATCTGTGAAATTTGGCAGCCGAACCGATTCCCAGACGGCGGGCTGGAAATTTGACACCGACGGCTACAGTGACGACCAAGCCATTATCACGCCTTTAAGCTCCTCCAGCACACTCGCATGCGCCGTGGGCAGCAAATGCAAGCTGGATCTTGACGGACACCCCCAAGTCTATCGGGTCACTCGAGTCGATCAGACAAATCCTATCTTTACGCTCCAGGACGTTGAAACTTCCCTCTATGTGTCCCGGTCAAGCGACCTGAACCTGGAGCTCACTGAAGAACAATCTGATTCCACCCATTTCCAATTGGAAAAGATCACCGGTAATCATCTTCGCCTCTAGTCTTGCCTTTATTTATATGCTAATACTAACTTTTCTCAGGTAATGATGCTTAAATTCATATCGGGAAAGCAATGGTCCTTGTTCGAGGTCTGATTGGTAGCCTCTTGTCCAGGCTGTGATGGGAGTTAAGATTTTGGGCTTTCAGGAACGAAGTCTTTACTGGATGAAACTTAGTAGCCGAAATCCTACGCAAATTCTTGATGCTTCTCTTCCGTTTCGGTGCTCAGTAAGCGCCGCTTGATGTTCTCTGAGTAGATCTAAAGTACAACATTAGTACCTTCAAGTCTCTCTCCTATCACTCTGCGCTCGTCAATTCCCCAGTTATGCCTCTTGCGCTTTGGCAGTAGGTGTTCCGATGGGCGTAGGGCTTTTAGGGAATTGATCTAAATAGAAAGACTTGCTTAGCAAACTCCTGAGTATCCTTACACAAGTAGCTACAGCTTAACAAAGCGCGTTTGATGTTAAAGGGCGAAGGTAGTGCATCGGATATATCCCATAAGAAGATAAAGTTCAACGTATAGGCCAGAGTAAGATTAATACCAAGGGCGCCAAGCATCACTAGGGCGGTGGTTGAGGGACCGTTATAGGGGAGATATGCGGCTACCAAACAATATTCTTGCACGTGTTAGCATACTACAATATGGCATGAAGTTACCCTTTTATAGTTAGGTCTAGGTTACCGTCTATGATAGCTAGTATCCTTTTATATATACGAGCTAGTATACTTGCCTGTCTGGCCTACCGTACTGTACTAGGGGACTAGTATAATAAAGGGTGGGGGGCTATTATAGCATAATTTCGTACTATCGTAGAGGTCTATTCTGATCTTTTCTCTCCAGCTTTGATTTATCATATTCTGTTCCTACATAAGGGTTATACTTTGACCGCAGCACAAAGCCACCAGTTTTACATAGTTACTAACCTTTCACGAGTAGTGATTAAGATCTGGCAAAGCATAAGCGGAGCCTCCCCATTTGTATTCTCACAGGTGGTATGACGTGCTGAGTTATGTGTTCTCAGCTTGGGTAGTTATGCATTCAAATAGTCTCAAACCCAAAACCGTATTTCCATTATAGTAGCTGTGCATAATGTACGCCTGCAATACACCTAGTTGGAAGGAATAAAATGAGATAGTGGGTCCTAGCCGAGGTATAAAAAGGACTGAGAGCAACCGAGCAGCGCAGATTCCTACTCCCAGCCTCGCAGTCAACGAACCAATCTGAAAAGACATTAACACACTATATCTGTGATTCTTTAAAGCCAGGATGTCATTCTCTATCAGTCGCAGCGAGTTCAGCTCTGTACTCCAGTTATTGATCCATGACTTGACTATGTATTTTGAAGAGATTGGGCTCGCTACAAACGCTACAGAACACATCCGAAAGGTATGCTAAGCCTTACGAGAGACATTCATATTCTGGAGACTCATAAGCTTTGCTTATCCAACTGACTAGGTAATCGTCACGAATGTACCAAACGGGAAGCTCTACCGTGGGTTGTCCATCCCCGAAACAGGGATAATATGCCTCAGTCGAGAACTATCAGAGAAGGAATTCCAGGAAATGTGCATCCTCGGATGGCTGGTTGAAATGCTCCAGGCCAACCTTTTAATTATCGACGACATCATGGATGAATCAACTACCCGTCGAGGACAACCTTGCTGGTATAAGCGCCCTGAGGTCGGACTGACTGCAATCAATGACGCGTGCATGTTGAAATCAGCTATATTTGTGCTTCTGAAGAAATATTTCTCCAGTCATCCGTCCTACTTGAATATGGTTGAGAGTTTCCAGGAAATTGCTCTCCTGACTGAAGGTGGCCAGGAGAGTGACGAGTTAGCTACCAAGGAGCATGAACCTCAACAGTGGACCTTGGAGCAGTATCGGAGTATCACACTGCTGAAGGGGGGCTATTATAGCTTCTACCTTTCTGTGCTGCTCGGTTTGCAATACCTGAAAATTGCTACACCGTTGAATGTCAAACAAACTGAAGACATTCTTGTGCCACTCGGACAGTTCTATCAAGTCCAAAACGATTACCTGGATGTTTTTGGAGATAGTGCGCGTACCGGAAAAATTGGGAACGACATTCAAGAGAACAAATGCTCCTGGGTCGTTATTCAGGCACTCCGCATTTGCAACGAGAGACAAAGAGAGACCATCTGCCAGAATTACGGCACGCCTGCCGTAGAGATGGCGAGGGAGGTCCAAAAGGTGTTTGAGTCATTGCCATTGATAGCTTTGTTTGCCAGGGAGACCGAAGAGCTTTTCGAGGGTTTACGGATCAAGATCAGAGACCTGGATGAAGGAGAGGGATTGCGGAAAGGAATATTTGAGCTTTTGGTTGAGGACATCCACAGGCTTCACAAATGAATGTTTGACGTTGGCAACTTTCATCGTCAAATAATTCTATAAAACTACGTCTTGTTATTTGGTATAGACTGAAATATTGAACCCCGTCTACAAATTTGGATTAAAATACATGGCCTGGATCGCTCCTTGCATCAAACTTACATGATCCTATAGATCAAGCGGAAAAGACTAAGTTTCTCTTCCAGGTCGCGCCTTGTTACTATCTATGCAGGTATACTAAAACAGTAATTCGTAGAATTCCAGACCTGCGCTGACGCCATAACCGAACCCCTTGCATAGCTCACGGTGTCTTGGATTACCTGAAAACAGAGTTCATTTGGAGGCAGCAACATCCTATTTAACTTCTGGACATACCTCGACAATTTTGAACATCGATCTTCTGCAGGGCTTCATTCCTGATTTTCAGTGTCCGACTTGCTGAAAATGACCTTACTGCTCGACAAGTATTATGGTACAGGCTCCTTTCCTACTATTGAAGGCCTTGATAACTTCCGCGACGCCGGAGGTTTCCTAACCTCATCTAAGAGACGGGTGCGGAAAGGCATGATCTTTCGATCCGCCAACCCAATGAGCGTTAACGAGTCCGATTTCTCGAAGCTAGATGAGGCCTACGGCATCAAAGCAATCTTCGACCTGAGACACAGCACATTCGATGAATCAACACGCCGCATACGCATGGCTGGACCAATCCCAGTGCACATTGTTCCGGCAGTGAAGGCCTTCGAGGATGGCTTCCTGCATAGATACTTCGATCTTCTTATGACGAATCATGTCGATGCGTTGTCTGACCTATACATGTGTATCCTTGGCTCAGCGACGGACGGGTTTCGCTTTATCTTCGACTTCATTCGCGATAACCCGAATACACCCTTTTTAATTAATTGTGAGCTGGGGAAGGATCGCACCGGGGTCTTCATCGCTGTCATTCTTCTTGTTCTCAGGGTTTCGGATGAAGATATCATTGAGGACTTTGGTTTATCCGAGAAAGGCATAGGACATCTTATTCCCTCGAGGAAAGAGAAGCTGAGAAATGTACTCTCGTCGAACAATGTATCCGCTCATCCTGTTGCGCTGGATAGGCATTTTGCTACAGTCCGTGATGCTATGCGCGTATTCCTATTTCGATTTAGGGCCATATATGGCAGTGGGGAAATCTTTCTTCAGAGTATTGGGTTTACAGAAGATGATATCAGTACTGTACGGGAGAACTTAATGTTGCCGACATGAAGTAATCAGGATGCAATGACTTCGATTAGCCAGCCTTTACAGCAATGAATAAGCAACAGTGTAATTAACAAGAAAGGTCAGCCAGACCACGTACAAAATATCTCATAGGAGTATAAGCGCGCTCCTTACGTATCGTATATGATGCAATGGTAGAAGATTGCATATGCACATTGATCCAACTCTAACATTTCAGATGACCTGCTCAGCGCATGTGTGTACTAACAGAGATTTGGCCAACACCCTTACTAGCGGGCACAGACGTCGACATGGTGTAAATGCTACACGGCATGTGTTGAGGAAAAGATCTGAGGTTCTTTGCATAAAGCCAACCCAGTCATCGAAAGACAAATCCCGACAATTCAACTGTGTATATTATCCTCGACCAAACGGACCGAGAAATATGTTAGCCGAGATTCCAGCCCAAATGCTCAACTGGACTCACAAGATCAGTTCATGTTCTCCTGCTCCCGAAACTATTACTTAATCCCAGCCCTTGCCCCTTTCTATTTGCCCATTACATTGAGTAGCCCTGTTGAAAGTGCATCGGATCGCGCAAGCCATGGGCGTCCCGTACTAAGCCCAAGGAGGATGATCCGACAGCCCGGCCTGCCTGATCCGGCCTAGTGGAGGCGATTCGGGATCCCCCGCCCCGAATGCAACGCTAAGATGTCGCGATTTCAGCCTGTTCGGCGCCCTGGTGCCACGAGGCAAATACCAGACCAATCCGCGCATACGAGGCAGGCCTTGGCAAATTAACAGCCCGTTAGTCAATCGAGAGAGAAAAGTCTGCAAGGTCAAGCACATTTTTCTGTGGGATTGATTGTACATTCTAGGGCTATAATGACTCTGAGTCATGGGGTTGTCAAGGGCCGGGCCTACGCTATGCGGGATAGACTGGATCGTTGGGGCCAAAAGACAATTTCCCCGGGGGATTTCTCTCTCTCCGCAATCGTAATACGGAGGAGCATGACTTCCTGGGGTTCTTGGCGGGTGTCGCTAAATTATTTCGCGCTTTACCCTATGCGTGATCGTTTGGGATTGCGCAAATTCACGGGAGGTTTTATCTTCGGAGAACATGCTGCTTTCGGGTAAATAAGGGCTTGGAAGACTGGACAGATAGTAGACACTCACAAGTTCAGTGTAATTGTGTAGAAGTACCCTACCAAGATTGGTGCTGGAAGTTCGAGTATCAACACCAAAGTGTACTCCACACTCGGTTCCAAAGGAACGGCCCCGGAGACCTGGACAGACTCCGTTCCGCGGGCCCAGTGACATGTGTCAGGCTGTTCCGTGAGTCAGATGAAATAATTAAGACCACCCGAGCTCAAGCGCACGGATAGGTACTTTCTTTCTCTGCTCCTGTGCATATGTCGGTGTGTTGATCTCTTCTTCCTGCTCTCAAGCAATTACTATAATTAACCAACATCATGTTTGCTCTGCATCTGTGGCTTTCCGTCTCTAGCAAATAAACAACCAAAAACGGCTTGAAGGCTGACACCGGCCTCGCGCCTCGAAATCTTTTCTTTCACGGGCGGCGCTCCCTGTGCCGACGTGGCTGCGCCAGGGAACCTAATCCTTCCGATGCGTCGCGTCGCGTCAATCAAAACGGGATGTATTGAAAATTGGACTTCTTGGCATAAGGTTCTTTCGGGGCTGAATTTGGCAGCCTGTTGTCTAAAACTGTTTGTTTGTATGTTATGCATTTGGATTAGAGCGATTTAAAATCAAAAGGGAGAAAAATAAAACAAGTTTTCAAACGGACTAAGGTGAATGAAAGCCCTTACACATCTAGCAGAGCAACGATGTTGGTAAAAGGTCGAGAGCTTTCCCTCTAAAACTAAGTTCCAATGAATCAAGCCTTATTCTACTGGGAATCACTAAGCACAAAACAGTAGCAGAAAGGGCAAGATTATGCACAAGATCGAAAAGAAATTAAAACCGAGGATAGACGAAGCTATCCCATCACCATGCCACACAAATCAGCTCACATTTGCTCACAAAGGGTATGATTTTGCTCGCAGGGTATAGATGTGATATGATACACCTGAAATTCAACGTCATTCGCTTCTTTCTACCGCGTGTGGAGGATGGATTCAAGTCCTCAAATCTCAAGCCTTAACCTCAGGAACGCTCTCATCGCTATCAATCTTCTGACCGGCAACGTGCACCGAAGTGCTGGTGCGTCGGAGCGCCTCCTCGAGGTATTCGGGCTTGAGTTGACCGTGCTTGTCGTAGCGGAAGGGCTCCTTGATGGAGATGGGCGCGGCGTCGAAAACGCTCTTGGACTTCTTGAAGATGTCGTCCATTTCCTCGAGGGATCGGTAGCGGGTCTCGGGGAAGAAGAAGTACACGAAGGGGAAGATGAAAGCGTTGCTGTTATTTCCGTTGTTAGGATTGTGATGGGAATGTAGAGGAGCTAGGGCTTGGGTGCTCACATGACAGCAAAGATGACATAGGTCTTGTAGCCGATACTGTCGAATGCGACAGGGGTGATCATGACGACCATGAAGTTGAAGATCCAATTAGCACTGTGAATATGTTAGCTTGCTTGGACATCCCAGGAGTTTGCCTTGTATCGTTATAAGGGACTGGCGCACCTGGTGGCTAAGGCGTTGGTGGGAGCACGGATACGCAGAGGCACAATCTCAGCCGGGTACAACCAGGTCATTCCGAGCCATCCGATAGCGAAGAAAGTGTTGAAGACAAAAAGGAAGACAGCCTGTCCGACACCAGCTCGGGTGTCTCCCAGTTGAGTGATTCGGTAATTGGTGCCTGCAAGAACAGCCATAGAGATAGACATGCCAGCAGCCTAAGCAAGTTATTAGCAAATATCCAGAGCACAGTAGGGTGATATGCGTACCCCGAAAAGCATCAGTGGTCGACGTCCAACCTTCTCGATGATGAAGATTGGAATAAACGCGGCCATAAGATACTCGGTACCGTTGCAAGCGGCCAACAACTTCGGCTGGTGTTCTCCCTGGAGACCAATGTCCCTATACAGTTGAGGGGCCTGGAGAGATGATCGGATTAGTAATAAACCAAAGAGCCAGATTAAGGTGAGGTTCTCACATAGTAAGTGATAAGATTGATTCCGGAAATTTGCTGGAACATCTGGTTGATGTAAGCGAGTGCAACGCGATGGAATTCACGGTACTCGCTCATGTCGAAAAGACTGCGGTATGAGCCCTTTGACATCTCCTTGACGGTAGCTTGAATGGCAAGCAATTCATTCTGGATATAAGGATCATCCCTAGGCTTCTCATTCAAAGCCTCCAAGATATCCAAAGCCTCCTCATTGCGTCCTTGCATGACTAGCCAACGGGGAGATTCGGGCAGGTTAAGAATTGAGCAGAAGATGATGACCGCGAAAATGATCTGGAAGGCAATTGGAAACCGCCATGCCACCTCATGGTCTCCGATATGCGCAAAGCCTATTCATACAGTGGTTAGAAACGATGAAAATAGTTATGGCAGGTCAGGTTAAAAGAGCTCACCATAGTTGATCCAGTAACTGAGCGTGATACCCGCCGTGATCAGCATACCCTCAATCATGACCATTTTCCCTCGATCGTGGGCCTTTGAAGACTCGGACTGCCAGGTGGGTACAGTACTCGTATTCATGCCGTTGCCGATACCCGTGACAATTCGACCGACGACGAGATGAGGCAGGTGGAACGCGGTGGTTTGAAGCAAAGCGCCTGTAGCCATCGTCACACAGCCCAAGAAAATAGTTCTGCGTCGTCCGAGCGGGTTACCGATGAAGATGGTTATGATGGCTCCGAGGAAACATCCCAGGTTGTACGATGCGACTGCGATTCCTTGGTTTGTGCTGCGCTGCGACTGCGCAGCTCGATCATCTGCGATACTAGGGTCGTCGGGATTGATGCTGGGGAAGTATTTGATGAAAGACGGCAAATCGAGCAGACCACCTGTAACACCCTGATCATATCCGAAGAGCCTGTGGCGCATATATTAGTTTGACGCATGGGAAGCGGGTGCGCAGGCGCTGCGATAATCGCACGACGTACAAGAAATCCAGACTACCGAGGGAACTAATCGCCAAGTTGAGGGCTCTGCCTCTGAAGCCGAAGAACTTGGGAATTCCAAACATGATGAACGAACACGGCGCAAAACGGCGTCGCGCAGAACCTTTAGTCTGGAGAAAAAATGGGGAAATGCGGGACAAACCTGGGGGAATGATGACGAGCAGCCGGTTATATAGCGTCTACAGTTTTATTTTTCTTACTTCCTCCAGTCCTCGGCTTGATCAATTGGGTAACCCGAGCAGAGCAGGGTTCATACAGTGGCCAGGGGAGGGCCAAGATACGAGGGGAGACCCCAAACCCCCAATACCATGCTTAGCGGGAGGTGGAGACTGGGGAGATGCACTCGTGGCTTGCTGCACACGATGTAACTGGGCCAAGGGCGCCATTGCTGCTTAGATAATATCAGCGAACCCAATCTGACGCCGTACCAAACACTTGGCGGTGGTATCGAAGGGGCTTGGCGGGTTTGACGCATCAAGATCAATTGATAATAGTCGAGGGATCTTAGGGCTTGCTGACTCAGGGGAGGCCCCCGATCTAAACGCTGGGCGAAATCTGGGCAAAAGCTGGGCGCGAATCTGTGCACTGCCTCGCCCTCTGAGAGCCCGCTCGAGGTTGGCTCACGACCCTCTTGGTACCGCTTGGCAGGATGGCCTAACTGTGAGAAATCCCCGATGTTTCGTAAGGGAGGGATGGCCGATGGCGCCAGGGCTTCCGGGCACCCCGGCCGTGGCGGTCGACATGACGGAGAAGGCGCTGCTTAGCTCTGGGGCCCCGGGTGAGGGCCAGAAAAGAAATGAATCCAGGGTGTCATCTCCGGGGTAATGATTCCCGACCGAGATCTGAAATCTCTGTGCGTTTCTACTTGACCTGTCTGAACCGGAGTTGCTGTTTGCTATTAAGTTGCTGATACATCACATCTTCACCCCCCTCTAGTTCCTGTAGGCAGTATCCAGATAAGCTGGCAGAAACAGACAAATGGAAGGCCTCTTTTTCTTTGTCAAGGTCTAGAGTGATTGTTGCAGCACTAGTGTATCGACTTGTTGAGGGCAACGGCGCCAGGCAGAACTAGCATAACGGCCAATCGATTGCCGCAGGATTCAGAAACACGGAATACCAAAGTAGGCGAGACCAGCCGACGTCCTCGCCAAGACCTCGTTTCGCATTGGATTGCATGCTCGACCGGCGCTTGAGCCGCTAAGATGCATTGGATCCTTGGACCGCGACCTTGCCTCTAGGATGAGAATCTTGGTTCAAATCAAACACACAGAAAGGACTAGGAAAACGTCCAGTCCGTAGGCCTTTTCTCCGATGTCTCTGACGTCATCGTGTCTTCTCCACGGTCCCGACATTCAGGATACACCTGCGCCTTCCACGCCTTTGAGGTCCGAGCAATGAGCATGCGGACTGAAACGGTAACCCTTGCCCAAAGGATGACTGGATGTATCCAAAGACTTGTTTAGTCACGGTCATGTGTTGGTACTTAGTCTAACCCTAGTCTAACCCCCACCACAAGGTTCTAATGCCCCCGGCTGCTTTAGCTTCCAGAGGATCCAACGCCATGCCGCCGTTCGCGCTTCAGGAGGGGGGCTTTCCGGCATGTAAAGTACTTTTGATCTCCATAGCAGCTTGAACATTCAAAGGGATGTGTTATTGGGTGTTTTCTTTGTGCTCGTGATCATGTATTAGCTCTCAAGGAGAATGTTGTTCATTCCTTTTAAGCGGCATTTCCGGCCCAATCGGGACATTTAGGTGCCTGATCATCCCAGTATCACAACAGAACCACTCCTTGCCCCTCACCTCACCACATGGGGGTTTGTATCGGATCGTCTGGACGGCATACTGCACGTGGCTCTCCCTGCAGCAGTCAAGAACACCGAAGTCAGGTGAGAGACGATCCCAGCAGGAAGTTCACGCTGATCCCGTCTTTGTTGACCATACCTTTGGACCTCCACGTAGGCTTTACATTCGGTCGCTTCAAAAGACCGAAAAGTATCAAGCCAAAGTTTCTCTTAGATTCGCGCAGACTCCCTGTATCCCATGATATCTCATAAAATACAAAGTAACTGCATCCAGTGCCAGTGACGATCTGCCTGCAAATCATCTCAACTGACCGCTTGGCCACTTCTCCCCAGATTTGATCGTCAATCTGGGAGTCAACGCCAACAACAACGGCAGCAGCCCAAGCAAAAACCAAGATTTAGATTTTCAACATCTTTGCATCACGTCAAGCTTCAACGCCTCTTGGCGCAGCTCTCGTCCAAATCGGAGTAACCCTAAGCTCGAAGATGCCCCTCGAAATGATGACACTGCATGCCGATGATGGCTGCGTAAGGTTTTCTGGCGTGTTCTAATTCCACCTTCCATCCGGACAGGCAAGACATCCTGCAAGCCACCGCAACGCCCTATTCCTGCATAATGATGGGATTCACAGACTACGCATACCCCTGCTTCGTCTGCCTAGCCCCTTTGGAGGTTGCCGGACATGCCGCAGGACATGGTCTAGCGTGTTACTGTCATGCCAAGGTCTTAAATGAGTAAAGCTCACAAAAGAAACCGATGCACTCATCGAGGTCGTGTCGGGGAGTAAGCAATGCTAATGCGGTGGGGTTGAACAGTCGATCGTTCTGGGTGGTGGCCAACCTTTTACGTTCCGTGTGCGATAGCGTGTATCTTCTGGGTTGATACTGCTTTCGATAGCTCGTTGGGAGAAATTATATGCAAAAATAATCTTGGAACCTAACACTGTGATCGGTGTCCGACTATACCGAAAGCCATAGTATATATTCACCTCGAGGTCGTGTCCTAACTATCCAAATCTGGAAAGGCGGTTAGATCATCTCTGCGACAGATGGCATGTAGACATGCTGTTGACATATCAGATATTGCAAGGACTATCCAGTAGCCCAGCTGAGGTTTTTTGGTCTAGTGGTAATATCAGGAACATGCTTATATATGCATATAACTTGAAATATAATCTAACAAATGTTTATCTTGCCGGTCTTTTTTACGACGATGGCCTTCGTTCCAAGCTGAAGATTTGGAAAACAGCCTTCGTTCCCATGATACTCCGTATCATCTTGAACTCTACATTGGAAATAGGATCTTCAAAATACAACATTGTTCAAAGAGAGCCCCATCAGGTCGAGCCCAGTGCTTAATACTTTTCCTTGAACCTACCCGAATGCCGATGGGAGTCAATTCATGGATTCTTCGAGGGTTATAAGTGGCTTCACGTTTAGTATGAGAGAGTTCAGCATCACTATCACACCGTTTCATGGTATGAAAGGAGACCATTACTTTCGCATCTTAATCACTCATGTCAATTTTACGAAGTGAAACCACGAGGATAATCTTCTGATGATCAGCCACGCGTTTTTTTGTTTACGCGCTTACATACCACAGAGTAAAGAGCCCCGGGATTAAGTTATAGAATGGAAGCCTAGGCACTTGAAATTATTTAGTCCAAGTTATAAGGGAATGACGACCTTTGGATGGCTATTGATGTTGGTGAACTGGCTATTGTCGTGGCTTTGTCAATGATACTATTTCGCATGAATAAATGAAAAGATAAACAGCAAACACGTGCCTGTTCTTATTCAAAATAAGCTTCATCAGCACCTAGAAGTTGCAATCAGGATGTTGATCGGCGAGGATATTCTATTCATGGTGAATCTGACTTCTGCGAAGCACAAATCCAGCTCAATACCTCTTTGCTTCTCACATATCTGCCTCGGATTCCAATTTCGGATATCTGATTCATTTGTTGGAAGCACATGCGATCCATGCTGTTTGTCCTGCATGTCAACAGGCTGGCCGGTAATTCACCGGAAGAAACTGGGGTTTCGTGGTCTCAGCGCCAGCAACACATTTCCTGAGCCTTACATATACATACATACATAACCAATATGTTTAATTACTACCAATATCCTCGTGCATTGATTCTCAACCACAAGGCCTCTTCTCTATCTGCAGTGTTTTCTCTTTGATGTTGGAAACACAAAAAATGGTTTCAAGCCAGTTTTTGCAATAGTATACGTTAATCATCGTATCTTATTTGGCACCATGAACTAAAACAGAGGTATATTCAATAACGTACCCGCCCTACACCTAAAATATATACCGGACACACAGTAACCATTAAAATGTAAATTTTGAGAGATCAGCACATTTCAATTCCAATAACAAGTATCTGTCAGGTTTTATTTATTTCTCACAATGTTTATCTGATGACAGTGAATCAATAAACTGCGGATACTTAAGGATTGTGTCAGAATGCTTAAATTATATTACCCGCATTGCATGTGAGGGTTATTGATCCTTCTATGACTCTTCGTCCGTAGTGTGTTAAAGTATCTTCTGTAGTACCGGTGGAATATATAAGTGCTCCGAGCTTTAGTGGTCTACTAGCGGGACAAGGTATTCATGGTATATGAGCATCACAGAGGATGTGTTCCATCACATGCGACTGCAAACTCTGTGAGATTCGACAAGCATGTAATATTCATTCATTCTTCAACGTGGTATATACAGAACCTAATTTCAAGCATCAACTCATGTAAATATCAGGCGGCAGCAGGAGCAGCAGAGCCCTCGGCAAAGACATCATTGACGCCCGTAACCACTCCAAGGTTTCCATCCCGGTTAACACCCAGCCATTCTCGCAGTTCAGGACTGAGAGTCTTCTTGGTCTCCTCCGACAACCCAACACCCCAATTCACCTGTCCTCTGAGGAACGGAGCGTTGTAAGCACCGAAGAGAAGAGCTCGTTCCTTGTCCTCCGTCGTGTTGCAGCCAGAAGTATGCCACAAGCGACCATCCATCACAATAATCGACCCAGCCTTAGCCTCAAACGGCACCAACAGCTTCCTCGCCTCGTCGTCGGACGGCACCTGCGACTTGGCCGTCCAGTGGTGACTTCCGGGGATGTACATCGTCGCGCCATTCTCCTTGTAGGTATCATGCAAACACCAGATAACGTTCAGTCCCCACGTCGACAGCCAGGGATCGGGGCACTGCAGAGATAGATCGGAGTGGAGGCCCATAGACTTCGAACCGGGGAGGGCGATGTTCGCCGTGAAGTTCGAGACGAGGAAGTTCTGGCCCAGCGCGGACTGCACCATCTCGACGGCGGTGGGGTGCGAGATCAGTTCGCGAAACACGGGGTCCAGCTCCATGAGGTAGAAGATGCGGACATTGCTGGAGTTGGGATCCAGCCAGTCCAGATATGTCGGGTCGCCGCGGCGTTCGCTCTCCTCTTTGGCTTTCCAGAGACGGTCGACGACTTCCTTCGCCTTCTCGGGACTGATCACGTCGGGCAAGACGGCCCATCCGTCCTGCTTGAACTTGGCCTTTGCGTCGGCGAGCTGCTGTGCGGTTACCGTGTTGGAGGCCATGGTTGCGGTGAGGTGATTAGGAGTTGGGAGGGTCTACAAGAGGGCCCGGAAGGAGAAGGAAAAAAAAGGGGTGATGAAGAATCGAGTTTGCTTGTTAGCTTCGCAGGGACGAATGCGGGGACATTTTAACAAAGGAATGCGTATGGACTGACTGCTGTCCAACTGACAGCAGGATCCGATTAACAAATGGCCTCGCTGCTAGTGGGTGGGGGGATAAGGCGGGCGAGGCGTTGACCGTTAGACTACGCCGTAGGCATCCCCACCCGGCGGTCGAGATTAGCGTGTGAAGGTAGTGGGGAAACGCCCATTGCGAAACAGAAAGCAGGGGGTGGGCAGCGTTCCTGGAGGCGTCAAGGAACATGCATGGTTTTGTTATATTGAATAACACGAAGTAGACTTGCCACTTGGTGCCCCATGCCACATGTCAAGCACGAACGTCAAGACTAGGTTGTATATTAACTTCATTATCCCGACACCTGCACTGTTTCCAGGTCTAATTTTTCAAATGCCGAGTGGTCGATGTGGAAATGTTGGCAACATGTGGACCAACTTCATCCTGGCACTAATTAGTCCTGCATTCTCGTCCGAAGAGCCACATAGAGGCTAAACGTTAAGGGGTACAACAGAAGTCCAAGACATTATTTGCAATGCATCAACCCCTTGCCCTGCGGGCAATTGGCTAATAATAGTGCCTGGGCTTTTTTAGCACCCGGGGATTCTTCCGCCTGTGGAGATTCCATGTAGCAAACCAAAAGAGGACGGTTGCTAACTTCCCACGAGGTGCTCATTCACCGTAATTCTGAGAAGACCACTGTAAAGGGTTCAGATCAGCATTTCATGAGACCCGAAAAACTTCAAATCGCTTACAGTGTCGACGACTGATAGAATAGGGACACAACGCAAATTATGGTGCCGCTAACCGTTGCCTCTCTGCGTAGTTTACACTTTACTCCGTGGTTCTTGGGCATCTACTGGACGGCCAGGGCAAAGCTCAGCAGAATGATATAGCTCATCCCCAGTTTATCAGGATTTAACAATCTGCATGATTCTCTTACGCAGTATTTCTCGCCAAGCAGCCATGAGAAGAAGCCTTAATGAGACAAGGACCGGAGATAGCGAGTCTATCATTATTTTGGTGCGGCTTTTCCAGCTTCTCGGCAAGGCAAATTGGGGGCTATATTTAATTGACGGATCGCTTTTGCGAATGGCTGTTGAGGGCACATTGAACTCCATACTGCAGTGGAGCTCGGTGGATGTGCCGTCCCGTCTTAAAATCTCGTACTAAGCTCCACATTGGCCAGGACTACGATCCTGCGATGCAGATCTTCTGTCACCACTTGTCTTAGTCGTCTGACTCGCCGTCAAGTTGGCCGGAGCTGGGTATCTTGATTCAGCGCGGGTTATACATGGCCCATAAATCTCCCTCCGAGTGTTCGGCTACCTGGATCTTTCTACCGTCTTGTGAGATTGGCAGCTGTTCCACCCCTAGTGGTACTCGGTAGGCGTATTTCGTATAAAGCACGCCAGCCAGAGGCCCGATGGCGGCCGAGAATATCCCGCGTGGGTCCAAATTCGGAGCAGTGCCAACAGGCCAAGGACACGCGAAGTGGGGGATTTAAGATGAAGGCGGAAAGGTGCAATCGAGGGACTAGATAGTAAACGGACAGGGCAGGTAAATCCCGCCTGTCGACCCGCCGTTAGAGAGAGAAAAAGATTGCCAAAGCCTGCCATAGACTGGTTTTTGGTTCCCTTCATATCTTTGACACAACGATCCTGTCCCCATAGTAAGAAGAATGTCTCGCATTGGGCTACAGAAAATGCCGTGCCGAGGAACAGTTCGCTATACGTAGAACATGACACTGCTTTTGAATGACCCATTGACCTGGGAAGCTCCTGTTTTGTGCCGAAAAGGAAGGTGGAATCCTTCATGTGGGATCGTTTCTGGTGGACAAAGGGACTGAAGTCGGAAAGTCCGTGCTTAAGCTGAAGAGAACGGACGATGTCTAGACCGGCTTTTTCATGCTGTCTCTCTGCGATCGCCTTCACTTAAGGGGTCTTCAGAGGCCATACTCCTTAGGCAGGAGCTACGGAGGAATACTCCGGGACGCCTTGAACTTTGGTCGAAGGATTATATCGGCCAGAATAGTACCTTGTAGCGCGGAAAGTGGGCAAAAGTGAGCCCATCTGCGCGGCCAATCGGAGTAGATCCTAATTGCATATCCCGAGAGGAAGCTGCAAAGCCCATCCTGGCCCGAATAATGACAGAGCGCTAATGCCTATCTCCACCGATGATCTATTCCAACTCGTTTCACTTCCTCCTGCAACACCAAACGCCGACGTAACGCAAACCCAAGCGAGAAGACACAAAAGGAGCACATATAGGAAACATGGAAATCCACATGCCTGGATCTTAGAATCTTTGATTGTTCCGACGTGCACTTCCGCGCGGTGGTTTACTGGGGTTGCTGGACAAGAGGCCTTGATGGGATGGGGATCAATGAAAATATTCAGCCCGTCGCCTGGGCTGTGATGATGCCCTTTGTGGTCATCACCAGCTTGACCTGCATTCTTCGGGTCTATTCGCGCATCTCGATTTCGAAGTCGTTCGGTGTCGATGACTGGTTCATGGTGGCTGCGAGTGTTTGTATTCCGTGTTCTTCTTTGACGTGTGACTCTAACTTTATCAGATAGCATGGCTCGCTAATCAAGGGATTCTGGGACAAATGATTATGTATGGAGGAGGAAAGTGAGTAGCAATTGTGCCTCCATTCTAGCATTTCCCGCTGACAATCATGCTAATTTTTGAAGACTAGATAAAGATGTCCCACCAGACAATCTTCTCAAGATTCTAGTGGTATTCTCTGGTTCAGATATCGTGCGTGGTATAGGTGACTAACAAATACTTTAGCTTCTACTGGTCATTGAATTCGTCTATATCTTTTGTCAATGGCTGATCAAGATGTCGTTCTTGACCTTCTATCTTCGCGTGTTGAGCATCTCGCCGGTATATAGAAAGGCTGTATATCTCGTCATGGCCTTCACCACGGCACAAACCATCGCCGTCCTACTCTTCTATGGGCTTCAATGCCTGCCTTTGGATGCCTTTTTCCACCCCGAGAAATATCCGGATTCAAAGTGCATACCGACACCAGTGACTCTTTACTTTCCTGCAAGCATGGTAAGGCATTAAACTCCGTTGAGCCACCCCAGTCTACCAGATCTAACGTCCCGCCACTGTCTAGAATGTCCTTACAGATGTTCTTATCTATGTCCTGCCCATCTTCCCTTTGTGGAGCCTTCAGATGAGCAGGCGCCGTCGCATGGGTCTTATTGCATGCTTCACCGTGGGCGGAAGCACAGTCCTCGTATCGCTTCTCCGTTTCGTCGTCCTAGTCCAACTCGCCAGCGGCTCCAGGACATTCTACGTGTACGGCTCCGTGGCTATCGTCACGACAATCGAGCTCTCCACGGCCATCATCTCTGCCAATATGCCCTCGCTGCGGTCGGTCTGGAAGACCCATATATCGGGGACATTGTACGGGTCAAGCAATCGAAAGTCAACGCCATATGAACTGGGAACTACTTCCCAAGCCCGTGGAAATCACCGAGTGGCGAAGGGAAATATTGTGCAGAAGTTCACGCAGGGAAATCCCCACACAGGCTCCCACGCCGAGTCCGAGGAAGAGCTTTGTCAGAATCGGGAAGAAATTCTCGTCAGCACCCACGTCAACGTGAGTAGTGCGACAAATCACAATCTGGAGAGCCCTCGGCTGCCGGCCTCGTATTACCCTATGAAGTAGGATCTGAGGATTGATGCTTTCGGGGAGATCGCCCTGTTGGGCTGGTGAGCACGGACTTTGGGTCAGGGCTATTCGTCTGTCTCCTTTTAATAATTTAATTATTTCTTATGTTCAATACGGCCGTTTATAGAGTATCGAAAGAGATATGAGCCAGCATCACCTATTCCTTGAGCAACCTTGTTTTACCGACCAATACTTATATATTTATTTGTGTGTTGGCATGCTTGATGCTTTTTTTCGATCTCGGGATAATGCACCCATGGTCATTATCATGATATTTTCAACAGATTTGGCCTCCGAATTACCGAGAGAAGGGGCGTACAGTTTTCCAAGTGCATATGTGACTCGATAATCGTTCTGGTTGTAATATCTGGATATGAGCAGTGGCCATGTAACCTAATTCAAGACACGGGACGTCTCTGGCAACAGAGATTCTACAGTTAAGTTACCAGCGTGATCACAATCTACACATCTAGATGTATTTACTCCAGGTCGACGGGAAACCTCGTTCTCAGGGCCTTCCCAAAAGTCCAAAGCGCCAACGAGGCGCCCCCAAACGCGACCGACAAGAAACCAAGGAGTGTGCCTCCCCATCCGTAGCCGAGACGCTCGAATAGCTTCGGTCCGCCGAGCAGAAGCAGCCCGCCTGCTATACCTCGGACAAGGCCGTTTGCTGCTAGAGCGCTGGCGGAGTAGACCGAGAACGCGTCGACAATGTATGTCATTATGGCAGTCTATCGCGTCGCTTAGTGCGCGGTGTTCTCGAAGATGAGGATATAAAGCTGTGGGGGACAAACGTACTGTTGCAAGCACCATGCCCAAACCGAAGGTTCCAGTGCCGATTAATGGGGCGATCCAGTGAGATTCGAAGTGCACAGTCCAACCGTAGATCAGGATGCCGGCGGGGAGAGTTACTGCTGCTGGGAAGAGGAAGAAAAGTCGTGATCTAAGTAGAATAGTGAGGGCACGGTACAAGCAGAGAGGGGATGGGTGGACATACTCCGGCTGGTTAGCATCGCCTGATTTCTCTTTCTGTCGCAGGTAAATGCGATCACTAAACTGCCCTGTGATAATTATGGCAATCAAGCATCCAATTCCAAGGCTGACCGCAGAAAGTCCCACTACACCTTCTCCCCAGCCGTATATATCCGAAAACGCAATGGGCATGGAAGTGAGGATTATGTAAGTGACGCCCTGGACGAACGCTGCGTATAGAGACATTATAATCAAGATAGGGCTGGAAACGAGCAGGACAAGAGGGCGTCGGAGGGCGCGTTGCATCTTCTTCCAGAATGGGAGCTCGCGTGTCTCGCTGAGCGCCCGAAGTTGGCTGTTCCCTGTCTTCCGGCGTAGACTTGCTGCCTTGTGTTGTAGCAGGACGGGGCTGTACGTCTCGTGCAAGAGGAAGAAGCTGAGGATTGTGACTAGACCGCTCTGTTTAGTAAGTGTATGTGTTAACATGGTTGCAGGTCTATCCAAAAATGGTGGTCCTACCACGATTGTTATGAACCAAAAGATCCACCTCCAGCCCATGGCCTCGGCCAGGAAGCCGCCCACTACCGGAGCAAATGTCGGCGAAATGATCAAGGCTGCCCCCATGATGCTGTTGATTCTACCGGTCTGTTAGCCCTATCCAAGTGTCTGACTACCTCGGGTACCTCCATACAAACCGCGCCGTTCTCGGGGGATCATGTCCGCGACGGTACCCCCGGCATTAGTGATCGGTACACCCCCGGCGAATCCGGCCAGGAGGCGGAAGGACAGTAGTGCTCCGGCGCTAGGCGAGAGCGCACATGCCGCCGAGAAGATGGTGTAAGCTATATTTCCAGCATGGTAGACCCAATAGCGACCATACGTTTCGGACAACGGGGCGAGAACAAGAGGACCGACAGCGCAACCAATGACCTAGCAGAGTTCAACCAGAGTTTTCTTTGGTAGAGATGTCGGGCTGTGCTCACATAGATCGAAACGGTGAAGGTGATCAAGGTTTGGGAGGCGTCTTTAAACTCGGTTTCGACCTGAGCCAGGGCCGGCGACATCATCGAAGAAGATAACATTCTGGTCGGGCAAGATAGTAAGCGAAGTGAATCTTTCCAGGGTCAAAGATCTCTTACGCCGTGAACCGACATGCGGTTACCACTGCAATGATGCTGAATTGGCGATATCTGGGCCAGTTCAGGGGCATGTCGGGGTCGTTTGGGCCTGTCCAGTCCACCACATTTTCATCCTCGGCTGAGCTCGATGAGCTGACATCGGGATGATTGTTCCCAGCGTGCTCTGTGCTTTCGTCGCTAGTGACTGCACTTGAGATTGAGCGTGAGGTAACCTCTATCGTGATTTCCGAGTGCTTTTTGTCGGGCCCTGGCATCGTGAAGGGCGAATCAGGACACGAGCAATGTTTATTCAAAGATCTACTGTCAACTGATTCACGCCTGCCTTAAAAAGGAATGAATTAAAGGGAACGGTCGGGACTGGGCGTTTGGAAAGGAGCTCATACGACGCAGCAGGACATCCCTTGCATACAACTATCTCCCGATCACCAGGATCAGCCTATGCCTAAGCAGGGGCCTGCGATTATTTATGAACATTTACATATAAAGCTCACGGCAAAAAGCCCAAGTGATACGACATCTTGTTTCTATGTTTATTCTGACGAGTGATGTGTATTTCCATGTGGAGTGTCCAGATTGCTAGCATACTGTGTCTTCTACAAGTCCCGTCCCAATCCCACACTAGACCCGAAGTCTCTTCGATTTAAGAAACAGGTAATCGGGCATAGCCTCTCGCACGTATGCCTCTATTCTGCGCCCGATATGCTCTCCAAACTCTCCCTGCCATTTCGCTGACTCCTTTTCTAGGTCAACGTCGCCTACGGCCTTTGAGGTATCAATCTTCGTAGATTCAAGAAGAGTTCCATGAAACACTTGCACTCCAGGGAGCTCACTGGTAGACTTTTCCCAAGTTAAGCGAATTCTGGAACTGTCTAGCCCAGTAATCTCACAGAGTTTAATCAGAATTTCTGGCTGATTTATGATGTCATCTGCCTCAATAACAACAGGCCATGATGCCTGATCATCTCGACACTTGGAGAAGTGCTGCACGTAGAAGTTGTACAGTTTATATACCCAGCGCAAGGACATAGCCTTTTGGTAGGCCTTCCAGCCTTGATCGGATTGAACGAACTCGGGACCGGAAACTTTGCTGAGCGCGCGATAGTATGAAGGAAATGCAGCGGCTGGATGTCTGATAAGAAAGGCCGGTTTCCATGTCTTAAGGAAGTCGTCTGAAAACAGGGTGTCGTTGAGATCAGAGCGATCGGTGTCTGTCTGGTCGAGCTCGTTCGGTCCACGTAAAGTCCAGGGGATTTGGTCGGTAACACTGTCATCGCCATAAAGCAAGCGTGCCTCAGCAACTGGCTCTACTATGTAATGGGCGTGGTCTTTGAAGCAGACCATCTTCCCTTCTCGTTCGGCATTTCGAATATGATCAAGTAGACGCCCGTAGCACTCCTTGACACACCTCTCTTGTTCTTCTCTTTGGTCCTGGGGAAGTGCCTGTACATGCGTCCCCAAATGCCTGCTCTTGCTTTTCAATAATACCAGCGGCAAGAAAAAGCGCATACCATAAGGCTCGGGTGGGTTCTGGCGTTGCACATTTGGCTGATCGTCCAGTGCAAGGAGGTGGGTGAGCAGATTTGATCCGGTTCTCGGGTACGTAAAGAAGTACAAACGTGCAGGAGGCTGATCGGAGGCCATTTTGGTACCAAATGGAGGAAGTATCAGTTTCTATTTTTATTAAATGAAAGCCAGCTGAAGTGTCAGACTCTTCGCGTAAATTGGAAGAGCTCGGAATTTTGCTCAGTTGTGCCAAAAAGGTATCATCTAATGATTATATGTGTTTACAATCATCAGCGTGGACTATCGCGGATGATCGGTTCATGCGAAAGGAGCCATGCCGATCGTCTATGTGTTCCTTGCATTCATCGGCCGCTATGGAGCCTCGATGTACTACCCCTGGCCTGTATACTCCGAGCTTTCCTCCGGAGTAGTTACGGTAGACGGGCTATTTTTAGTATATTCCAGCACTAACCATAATTTGTTATTTATCCAGTACCAAATACTATATTCCTTTCATAAGCGAAACAGTTCCAGAAAACGTAATAATTCCAATACAGGTCAATCGGGTTTGAAATGCTACAACGTATTATAGAGTCCAATCAGAAAGTTCAGCAAATATAGGCCAGAGGTGGTAGGAAGTTTCATCTCTCCGATTAGGTTTGTTCTAACGCTAGCGGTGTCATGTAACAAAATGGGGCTGAATTCCATTTCCTTGCATATACCCACTGCATTATCCATTCCCTGCAGTGATGAGTCAATTTCGAAGTGATGGGTCTACATCAACACCACCCCTTTACAAGCAATACTCTGCCATGTATCTACTCCCCGTGGGCCAAAGCCTGACACGTAACATCTACATATTTCCCCCTGCATATCTTAAAGAAACTTGATGAGCGCAGAAAGCCGACGCTTTTTGGGCACGCTTAATAGCATGAGGCGATTGCCCTGCTAAGGGGAATCCAAGAACAGCCACATGATCCAATAAAGCTGATTATAAGCACGTACTAGTCGAATACCCCAGAAGGCCATTTGAAAGGTGCTCACAATTTGTCAAATTGGCGGATTACGAGACTTTGGTTACGTGAAGAAACAATTGCTCTTTAGGAAATCTGATATCATTAGTTACTGCCCCTAGCCTTTGTATTACGAATTTGCTGATTCTATTATAGGAGTAACCATAAAAAGCTAATAGCTATTGATCGATATTGAAATTATTAGTTTTTCTAGACCTATTCGCTCCTATCAAGACATAGTGTTTCCTATCAGATACGTAAGAAAACATGATTACCTTTAAAATATAATTATTACAAGTAGGTTTTATGCACCACAAATCGGAAAATGCGTAGAACTTGGACGGTTCATATCAGGGGAGTACCTATTATGCCTTGGCGAATCATGTTGCAGTATTAGAGTATTAGTATTTTGGGTATCTAAGTTACTCGAGAAAAGGCCGCTATTCCCAACAATTTGGTGATAGGGATCCTCGGGCCTCCTGAGAATGCTGTAGGAGAAAAGAAAATGGAAGGCGACTGGGCTGATCAGGTTTCATGATTTGATAACCTTAACCTGGTCAAAAACAATGGCGTAGGATGCAGGTATAATATGCGGGAAGAAGCCCACGATATCCATGAACATCACTGTAAGCGGTTTGATATATGTTGCAACTGGAAGACCTAAGCGCTCCACAAAAAGCATGGCGGCTAGATATCCGACAAGACTGATGGTGGGTGTCAGAACATTCTGCCTAGCCCATTGGAGATCCTTGCGATGGCGAAGGATAGTCACCAGATGTAAATCTAAGATAAGACGGCTGATGAGTATCGAACCGAGATATGTTATAGGTGCCACTGTGAGCCTGGGGGCTTTAACCACTTGCTTTAAACCCCATTCGAAGCAATTAGTAGCATGGAGCAGGGGCGCAACAACTATGTTATAGCTCGGTGTCTTTTCAGCCCCCGCCAGATAATGGAAGATAGGCTAAATGGAACGATCAGAAAGGGCTCAGAGCACATGACTGGGAGGCCATCGAGGTGGAAGCCTACCTCAAAGGAAATCTGAATCACCGGGATCAACGGACAACAGTTAAGTGGGACGACTCTAACCAAGAACGTGTACAGAATGAGATTCGAGATTCCGGCAATCACAGAGCGAGTCCACGATATATCAACCTGGCTCATGTGCCTCACAAATTCCGAAATAGACCCTTGTCTAGCACTGATACGCCTGCCAGAGAACAGTTTATGTAACCGATCTGTGAGAATAATAAAACCTGCGTAGATAGAACCACAGGCGCAGACTATGAGCCCTGGGCCCAAGTTTTTAGGTGTCTGGTAATGTGACAGGAGCGGCAACGAGACACATATTAACATTGACAGCATCACCAGTCGCAAGCTAACGAAATAGTGAAACTGCTGTATAAGGGAACGGTTGAAGTTAAAGACGATAGCTGTAGCGTCGAGGGCACACCCCGTGGCAAGGCCCAAGAAGATATCGACATAGGGTGAATGTTCTAGAACATGCTTAAGCATGAAGACGGCATTAGGAAATGTTTGTCAGGGGCGAATCAGTTATGAAAAGTCGGTACCTGATTAGACATGAACATAGCCGACGGAAAAGCACGTTGATCCGTCAAGAGGTCAGAAATCCAAAAGAGATATAGTAACCATAAGAAACAGGATACTTGACCGCAAAGCATCAGAAACCAGAACTTCATCACCCGCCAGTCATCCAAATTAAATGAAATCAAGACATCTGTTATTGGCGGGTTTGCCACGGCACTATGGAGCTGATCAGATCGGTTGCACAAATCTCACTGGAAAGGGACCGATCATACCTTATCCCCGCGGTCATATTGAGCTTGTTGCCGTTGCAGGAAGGACTCGAGCAACGAAAGCAGATTCTATGATGGAATGGAGTATCACGCTACGAGCAACCAAGGAAAACACATGTACATATGTCTATCTGACGAAAGAAAGGGATAGCAAATGAAATCCCGGCCTGTCCTTGTCTCAGATACATCCATCCATTGAAGAAATATTGGCATAGCACCTTGCATATTGCCGCAGTTCTAAACCATAAAAACAAAATGTGATCTTATCGAACCATATATCAAATATCCGATGGGAGTGGGTCTCCCACCCCCTGTAATTAAGGTCTAGTCAAATCTGCCTCCATACCTTTCTTCCTGTACCATTCGAAGGTCTTATCCTTATGAACGGTCTGTTGATCGTGGTAACAACACAGTTGATGTCCCGTGCAGTTGATATGCAGAGATCTTGAGAAAGCCACTGATAATGTCTCTAACCATCGCACTCGTTTCTTTACTGCTATCAACATATCTATTGAAACGGCTTTATGACAAGCGATTTAAGCAATTTGCTCAATGGCCCCAATTGAAACCCTCTCTCCTTTTCGGTCATATAGGCCATATCCAAGAAATTCTGTCAAGTGGTCCATCAGACAGACATATTGGTGAGTACAACCGTCTCTTGCACTCTTGTTACTGCAAGTAAACTGATACTTAGCTAATAGATAACGATAGATTATGTGTTTCGAGAAATCCATGAAGATCTTGGTAAACCACCAGCGTTTATACTCGATCTCCGTCCAGTATCGAAACCTCTATGTGTCGTATCTGGCCATGTCCTGGCAGAGCAGGTAACCAACAGAACAAAGATATTCCCTTACGGCTTACCAAAGACGGCTCTTGATTCTTCTTATTCCACATTGCTGGGACATCGTTCCCTCTTTAGTCTGCAGGTGAGTAATCTCTCTTCCGCGTCCTTGAACCTTTGTTATCCAGTCCAAAGATATTTCCGATTAATCTACCTGGAGTAAATGCTAAAATAATTCTTTGGTATTCAGGGTAAAGAGTGGAAAAGAATGCGCCAAAGGCTCAACCCATCCTTTTCAAAAAACTATCTATTGACGCTCATGCCCTGTATTCTCGAGCATATTGACCCCCTCATCAACTGCTTGGATAAGTGCTCTGAAAGCGGCGCAGAGCTTGCTCTACAAAACCCTCTTGCGGACCTTACATTGGACATTATGAGTAAGTGTAGATTTTAATGCAGACTTCCGATTTTGAACTAACAAAGAGGCCTTTAAGTTTCTGTATTCATGGGCGGAAACAGTGACGATCCATCCGAATCGGCTCGACACCGTGAGCTCACCCTGACCTATGGCGAACTATATTCGACTTATAGCTTCGATCTCAATACGCCATGGTGGTTCACTGATCCACGCGTCCGATGGCGCAGGAGTCGAATTGACAAGAGACTCACCATCCTCATAAAAGACACCATTTGCAAAATCTTTGACAAGATGACTCGTGACGTAACGAAGGGCTCCACCGTAAAAGCGAACCCTCGCAACACGATTGCATGGGCTTTGAAAGATGTGGAACACTTGTCGGCCGAGTTTCTTGACCTATTGTGCGACCAAGTCAAGTTTCTGCTATTTGCGGGTTTCGTCACGACAAATTACTTACTAGTCTGGCTATTCTACCAGCTAAGTATCACCCCACGTGCTCTGGCAGCTGTTCGACATGAGCTCGATGAAACCTTGGTCCGGATAGCGATCAAAACGTCACTAAAGAAAAGCTTGTCTCTAACGCGGCTGATATATTCAGCCGCATGCCATACGTCTCCGCCTTAGTTAAAGAGACACTGAGAGTTTATCCACCGGGTGCTACGTCTCGAACAGTTCCGTCAGGATCTGGCGCTTTCATCCAAATACCGGATGGCAGCAAAGTCTCCATGGATGGGTTATCATTTTACAGTTGCCAAACTATAATCCATCGCGAAGAGGAGGTTTACGGAGCAACAAAGGATATTTTTCTTCCGGAACGTTGGCTTGATCCCGCGAAGGCCAGTGCGCGGTTGAAAAATGAGCAACCGGATCTTTCATCTCTTTCCTTGGGGCCTGTACCACCTGGTGCCTGGCGTCCATTCGAAAGAGGCCCTAGAACATGCATTGGCCAGGAATTGGCGCTTTTGATCCCGAAGATTGTTCTCATATTTGCTGCAAGAAGGTACGACTTCAGAAAAGTCGGACTCGGTCAAATTGCACGCGACCCAAACAATGAACCTATCTTGAACTCAAGGGGACAGTATGAGGTTGAGTCTGAGTTGTATCTTGTGAGAAATTTGCGATCTATTACCATCTTTCTTTGGGTATATGAGCACTAACTCAAACCAGGCTAAGCAGCTCGTTCCTAAGCCGGTGGATAAGATGCGAATGCGCGTCAGCTTTCACCATAGTGATTATCAATCGTAGATGCTCTGAAGTAACTAGTTATACTGTGATGTTGAGTAACGAAGCAATTTATCGGTACGCTTGTTTTGGGTTCTTTTAAGCTTAGGTGTTTGCATTATTTATTATCCACAGCTCTAGTAGAGTATTTTGTTTTGCTGCTAAATATGTCAAAGGCGCAGATCCCTTTACGCCTTAAATGCTCACTCTGGATTACAATGCGTAACCAGTCTTTCCCGACATTAACATAGGCTCGAAGTACTGCGGGTAGAAATAGCTTTCTGCTATGAAAACGCAAAGCAATCACCGCAATAACTGCATTAATTCTAGGCTATTTTTTTGAGTGGCGTGTGGTTATGAATTGGAACAACGCCACAAAGTACAATCTTAATCATTTGGGATTGATCCATCTTGCACTGTCACTCAGTCCTGTCCTTGAGCAATGCGCCCAGGAAGGATTCTGACACCCATTTTACATCTCCCTGAGCGGCCCTGATGAGAAGGTCCCTCCCGTAGTCACGCACTCCAGGTACTTGTGACCTTCTGCTCTCTCCGGGAATACGCCCCCCAACCTTCTCCCACAGTAATATGTACACGGCTATTAGAGCAACAGTTCGAAGGGCCACATGGTCGCTCACTTGGCCATATCCCCGGATAAATCCATTCAGCAGAAACTTGGCGGACGGTGTGCCATCGAAACGCCATTGGATATAGATGCTGGATATCATAGAGCCCAGGTCCACTGAGCTACAACCGAATCGGCACATCTCCCAGTCAATTATGGTAATATTTATAGCATTCGGATCTTTGCCTGGCGAGTCTGACTGAACAAGAGAGCTTCACTCGTCAAGTTAGACAATTGCAGGCAGCAAATGGGGTGATCGGGACGTACTTTCTGCCAGAAAAGTCTCCATGAATGAGAGACTGGCACGAATCATCCTCCGAAAAAACCTTTATGATGCTTTCTCTGGCGAGTGAATCATCATGGAACGAATCCATGAGGAATTCAAATATCGCCTTTGACTCTCTCATAGTGGTCTGATTCTGAATGAATGGCGCCGCTGATTCGTCATCAAGATGACTCCAGTCGCGGGAGTGAAACTCAGAAAGCCATTGCCCTAGGCTTTCACCGATAGTTAATGCCGTTGATTTGTCGATTCCTGGATTCAAATCAAAGTATTCCCGTAGTGTCCCGTGATTGGGAACGTCCTCCATAACACCGACTTTTGCATCTGTATCACAGTAGAGATGGGCTGGGGTCCGAATCAAAACGTTGCCATGCTGGAACAAAACGTCATGCATCATTTCAAGCGACTTGTCCCCGGAGGCCTAGTAGTAGTATTTATTAGTTATGAAATAGGCTTTAAGGGCAAAGAGGAGACTCACACAGCGACATTCAGGCGCATCAAATAGATCTGCATTGCTATGTGTTATCAAATGCTTCACAATGACGCTCGTCTGTCCATCTGGAAGGGGCGAATGGAGGATTCCTCGAAATGTTAAGTTGCTGTATCCACCATAAAGCCTTTCCAGCGATAGACACCGATATGGTGTTTGGGATAGGGATTTCATGACAAGAGCTTCAATGTCTGGCCTTTGCTCAACATATTGATCTGCGGGCGGAGTATTTTCGATGACCATGATGATTGATTGTATGTGCTAAAGAGCAGGCGTCAGAGTTGACGAGGGAGGTCTTTTGAGCAGGGAATGGCAATGTGAAGATGAACGTATACTTGGAGGCTGTGGTCAGGGTTTATTTGCGTCTTTTCTGCCGGGGACGGGACAAAATGAGAAACTTGCTTCCAAATAATATAAGCCACTGGTAGAATTTTAGTCCTTCTCCCTGGACCTGGCTCCAAGACCCATATGTTGCACGTTTTGATAGGTCACTGGGAGGGATCGTATACTGTGTCCAATGTGATATGTCTTGCTAGTCAATAGTGCAGTAAAGTAAGGGGCTGGAATAATCCCATACAGAAAATATAGTATATGTATCATATACCTCGGGCCATGTGTCCTGTCATCAATAATGCGCAGCGAGGGATGTAAAGGTTTCCAGTTCATTCATACAAATGCCATGATTGGAAATATCTTCGATTTACAAAGATCACGATGTATTGATGAGCAAAAAGAAATGTTTACATTTGAAAATATCACGTCTACGAGCAAGAAATATATCAACAATTTATCGAATGAGGAGCTGACAGAAATCCAACAACCACTGCCTTCCTAAGTCCTATTTACAGATTACCTTCGGCTTAGGAATAGTCACTTGGCAAATAGCACTTGGACCCAGAAATATACCAACGCTGGAATAAAGTGAAATGTATTGCTTCTATAGATAAACCAACAATTTCGGTAAATCCCAAGTTTTATCTTAATCGAGTAAGGATTATGTGTCTAAATCTGCTCTGAAATGATCTGCGTACTCTTTCCTTTTTTCTTTTACTTTTTTTCTTTTCAGGTTTTGACATCTGTAGATCTCGTTGGACTTGGAGCCTGGGGAGAGTCGACGCCCGCGCTGCGGTAATACTTGATAGGCAACAATGCAGGGGGCAAAAACAAACCCTTCCTCACTCCAGATATTAAATTGCATGACACTGAATGAAAGGAAAAAAAAAAGTTTACACGCAACCACCCGATGTCAGGCGTCGGGCAATGATGTCCGTGAGTCACAAATAAATCTAGCTCCGTTTACTATAAACCACACTCCGTCGCTAACTACTGATTAATTTGCTATCTAGATATGCTCCGATATCGACTCTCCACAGTGATGTCGCACAAAAAGCAGACGGCTTTCGCGGGCCACCGTTTGCCGGGACACAGGGCGTCGGCAATGTGAAACCACGGTTCGGACAACCATTGCCGAGCAGACTCCAGAGACTCCTATCTCGATGACTCGAGCGCCCCACAATGAGCCCGAGCTTGAGCATTTAGTGCGGCACGCCTGCTGTCATTTTGGCGCACCGACATTTTGAATCTTTCAGATCCCACCATCTCTTGACCTGCATCATGTTCCTCAACTACGTTGTCGTGGATGTCTTCACAACTACACGATTCAAGGGCAATCCCCTGGCCATCGTGCAAGTGCCCGCGAACTATTGGTCCTCTTTATCCCAGGAAGCCAAACAACTGATTGCGGTGGAGTTCAATCTCTCGGAGACAATTTTCTTGCACGAACCCCCGGAAGACAGCCAGGATCCGACCGAATCGGTTTCCGTCGATATTTTCACCCCGAAATGTGAGATTCCGTTCGCCGGCCACCCAACGATTGGGAGTGCAGCCTATATTTTTCAGAATTATCCCAGAGCTGCCAATGGAGGATTAAAGGAATTGGTGACCAAAGCCGGTCGTATTCCGGTGTCGCAGGATTTGAACACTTCTCTTGTCAGCGCGAGTATCCCGTTCGATTACCATCTCCACCAGACGCCTGTGTTGTCTAGTCTCGCGGTATCCGGTGCCGCGCCAGTCACCTCTATTGTGAAAGGAATGACGTTTGTTCTGGCCGAGCTGCGTGATCTCGATTGCCTGAAAGATGTTTCTGCCGGGTTGGTTGAGGATTGCATCCGGCCACAGGGTTTGGACGAAGGGTGGAACCACGGGCTCATGGCGACAAAATACTATGTCGATCTTGGGAAAAATGAGCAAGGTTGCAGGCAGCTGCGAACCAGGATGTTTGTTTCGTGGGAAGATCCGGGAACAGGCAGCGCATCCAGTGCACTCTCTTGCTTCCTGGCGCTGGAGGAGCCAAAGGAGCAGGGAAGTGGACCTTTTGAATACCACATTGTCCAGGGCGTTGAGATAGGAAGGAGAAATGACATCTTCGTTAGAGTTTCTCGAAGCGTAGATGGAGAAAGAATCACGGAAGTCTTGCTTCGAGGTACATCGGTCTTGGTTAGCGAAGGGCGAATCACAGTGTAATGAATGCCTTCAATGTTGACTGGAGCTTTCCTGTTTGAACTTCATTAATAAACTTAGTCAACAGTAGACCCAATGTTGCCTAACGAGCTTTCGAACACAGGTTCCCCAAAATAAATTTGGTATCTCTTTTCAAGTGATCGAAACACGTACCAGACTCGTGAAGACTTAATTGTTTGTCATTTAACTAATTTATGGACTCTCAGGTACTCATTTCAAACTCACCCCACGGTATAATAAAGGCGTTCCAGCAGATCAACCTCTGGACCTAGGTACAACTAGCTCAACGCTACGAATTCGTGGCCTGACTGGAATCTGCGGGGTTACCAAAGGAGACCTTTTGGTCCGAATAAGTTTAGAATTGTCCCCATATTATTGTAACCTCTCATAATTATTCCCACAATTTCGGTTTATTTTTGCAACCTACTTTTCGGTCTCATGGCATGTTTATGTCTATCCAGATCAGAGCAACATGGACCTAGCGGCCGTCACTGCGAGCTTGGAGTTCGAGCCTCCCGCGCGTGGAAATTGCTCGTGCCCTCAGAGTAGTCGCTGTATAATGGAAAAACCCCTGCTTAGATACCCACCCAGTTCCACAGCGGCGCAGTTGACTTGCGTCAAACGCGCACTGACCCTTTTCATCGTGGTTGTTTGTCCATGCACATCCAAGCCCCGAAACATTCCAAAAGTAGCTAGGTAGTATGCACCAGTATCTCTAGCAACTAGTAAGCAGCATGTGCAATGAATCATATGGTTCTGTCTACTTCTGTTTTACGTAACGACACTTAGGTAGAGCCGCATGGTCAAACCAAACTAGGCCCCAACATTAAACACCTAAGCACTAAGTAGTAGTCTAGAGCGGGGATCAGGTCCCTTTTTATTTGGTATAGCTTGCTTTGCGCCGTAGGGTGAATTCCGAATGGCTGGATATTTACTGAAATCGGATCAGAAAGCCAATGATATTCCGAAGACCAACTAGTAAATTAATCCAATATATTATACCGTACTAGAGGCTGAAAAAGCTATTCCTACTAATAATTCCCATTTGTAATGTGCTGCCTGTCCAGGTGGCCCTTCTAGGAAACCATCCCTGCCCTGCACTCCAAATGCATATCTCAGGCCCGTCAAAGCACACTATAATTTATTTTTCCCTTAGGATATAGCGAGTGACACGTAGGACGCCAATAGGTGGTAATTTTGCCGCCTAGGATCCGGGGTGATTCACCCGAATACCATATTATTTTAAGACAGATACTAGAGGGTGCTACAACAGCGTACACGTACTTTAAATCTCTTAAGGAACAGTTAATGGCCCAAGCTTCCTTGTGTACAGTTTGAGGGCATTTATCCCTTCCGATAAACCTGGAATATTATGTTAATCTTTGATCTGGAAAGGCAGAACACGCTTGATCTAATGAAGCACGATGAGAATAGGGCTTTCCTCCTCGAGCGTCAGGGACTCGTGTCATTCTTTAGAGATTAGAATAGCACCGGAGCTTTTAATCCTAAAGACATTCCAAAATAACATAACATAAAATATTGAGGTAGAAATACTTAGAGGTGTCGGATCCTATCATAGATACACGTGCGGTCTGTTCTTGTCTGCCAAGGTATCGAACAGGTCATCATATTGCCTAGCTGTGCAGCTTAGCATCACTTGGGGACCAGCCCAATGGGAGGGCATCTGGATATTTACGCTAAGCCTGGTATAGTACGCATCCTGAGACATGGTAAACACTAGTAATAATCCGCCAAATCAAAATCATGACAAGAGGTAGGTTACCATCCCAGCAGCAAGGGGACTGGACAGGCAGCAGGCCAACAGTCATATAGAGTGCCCAAATTCCATCCATATCCACTCCAGTGTCTTCTTGTATCTTCCTACAACTTCAAAGGTCAGAACAGCGAGTGTGCCGAGGTTTTGGTCCGATTGGATTCCACGCTGCTTCCAAAATGGTCTCAGAGTTTTGGTAAGCTCGCTTGTTCGCACATAATGTTTTTACCAGTGGGAGCTAACTCTAGTCGGTCGAAGCCCTGTCTATGCAGTGAGAGATCCTCCGGATAGATCTACACATGACGATAGCTAAAGAATTATTTTCTAGCCCTTTTTTGGTGCCTTGGGGTGCACAACTGCGATTGTATTAACCGCACTTGGTGCAGCTTATGGGACTGCCAAAGCCGGCGTTGGTGTGTGCGCGATGGGTGTTCTAAGGCCTGACCTAATTGTCAAGAGTATACTTGCACTTATAATTCACTAATACTGCATGACTCGTTATACTAAACTCCAACCTAGATATTGTTCCGATCGTCATGGCCGGTATTTTGGCTATCTACGGGCTTGTCGTCTCCGTTCTAATTGCAAATAACCTTGCTCAAAAAGTCACCCTATATACCAGTATCGTTCAGATGGGTGCAGGTTTATCCGTCGGACTTGCGGGACTGGCTGCTGGGTATTTTAGCCAAACATGTGGGCTTTTACGTCAAACTTTCATCTAATCTGTTTATAGGTTTGCTATTGGTATTGTTGGAGATGCTGGGGTGAGAGGAACAGCTCAGCAACCTAGACTTTATGTGGGTATGATTCTTATACTTATCTTCGCGGAGGTTCTGGGTAGGTTTTTCCATTGTTGTTTCTTAAGTAGCTTACGGCTAACGCGATGGCCAGGTCTCTATGGTTTGATTGTAGCCCTGTTGATGAACTCAAGAGCAAATCTGGTGGACTATAAGTGCACCTAAGGGGCGGGGGTGGCCTGGCAGGTCTTTTTGGTGCGCTGTCCTGTTCACAGCATGTCCTATATGATCGTAATTCTTTCATGCGTATTCACTCTACGTCCCTTCCACGGATTCAAGTGACTAGTTATACTATTCTCCAATTGCAAACTCCCATGGTATCTCATTATCCCAAGAAAGTCCGAATGTATCCACAATTTGATCACTAGTTATCAAATAGTATTGTCAGATATCTCCATTCAACGTCATCTGCACATCTCTATCCCCGAATAATCTCTCGTCCTCCTTCCTCAGAGCCTCTGGGTCATTCTCTTCAAACCAGAATGCCCATGTACTCTGTGTGTTGATGTCAAGATTATCTCTGCTCGACTTGAGCCCTACATGCTGAAGCTGCGGTGGGGCCAATGCATATCTAGTCAATCCAGTCTGATCCGCATACTCTTCAATCAAAGAGTCAGTTTGACCATGCCCCTTCTCCCCAAGAAATCCAATTAGTCCATCGATCTGGTCCTCTGGAAACAGCATTCCTTGCGTGCAACACCCATACTTATTCATCTCCACTACTCCTTGAAGCGGCATCAAAGTGTATTTCCCCATCATATAGACAAGTGCGATAAAAGCGGGGACGCAGACAAGGCATATAACGGCCATATTTGTGTAATCAAGGTAGGAGCGACAAATGCGAAAGCGGCGGAGGAGCAGTAGACATAGACATGAAGAGAGCATCAGCAGACCAAAGATGAAGAACATGTTTCGGTATGCAAAGTCCGATGTGCTCCAGCCGAGTGCCGTCTCAGTATAGAACAGCCGAAGGTATATCCATGGCTTTTGTTTGTTCTGGGTAGGCTTTGTGATATCAGACAGGGCTTTAAGAGTCTTCGTTAACCAACCCGTGGCGAGGATTATATCATCTTCGAAAATGATCGTGTAGGGGGCCTTTGTGGCTTGGCAAGACTTTAAGGCGTAGACATAGTCACTAGATGGTGGTCAGTGAATTAAGATCACAGCTTATACCACGACCATAAGAATGAGGTACGCACTAAACTCCTTTCTCATAAAAGTTTCGTTGTTTTTCCAATTCACGCAGGTGGTCCAGCTCTACCTCCGACACATTGTAGGACCCTGCCGAGTCAACAAGCCTATCCACCCATTTCTGACCCCAACTCGGATGTCTCGTAGGGTCTGTATCGGCGAAGAGAATCTCGATATGTAGGGCCTGTCGCTCTTCCTCGTACAGGCCTTCCAGTAATGACCCTACAGAGGGATCGAAGTAGTCGTCCAACTTTCTCCGTACGGTGACAAATGACACACAAATAAGCGGCTCGGGTCCGCCTCTAATAGGCTGTGGGGGGTCAGAAGGGGAGTTGTATCGTGATATAAGATGTCGGGCTTCGCGTTCGCGGTAGAGGCTATAATCTAGGTTGTACACATGGCGGTCATTGAAAAACGCGGAGTGAGGGTCTCGCCAGAGATGAAATCGGCAGTATACAAATATTGAAATCCAAATCAATAACACCGTCAGGAATGTCTTTGTCGCGCGTACTCTTAGGAGTTGGGATAGCAAGGCAATGGAGTGATGGATTAGTGCTTTTATGTTCATGCTTTCAACCATGAGCAGTATACTGATTTCAGGATAGCCAGCGCAGTGTTCTGAATATCAATTAAAATTAGAAAGTCTAGCAGAAGTGACTCAAGAGAATGAAAGAAAGTGGCTTCTGGGCGAAGGGAAAGACGAGAAACAAGACAAGAGGTGTCTTGGGGGGCAGGAATCCATAATTTTTCCCATAATAAATCACTGCACAGGGGTGTTTTCGGTCAGCTGTTCAATTTCGACATTGAGTGTCTATTTTGCAGTGGACCATGGTAGTAACACCAAAAAAACTACTGCACTCGAGTGGGAGACTGGTGCAGGGATTAAACCCTTGGCCCCATGTAAGGCGCCGCAGTTCATTCAAGTGGGGGGCAGTGCGGTTCTGCCCGACGAGGCTGAATGGCATTTTCTGGCAGAAAGAAACATAAGGGAGCGTTATAATATGAAAGTGTTAGTTGTCGGAGTATTCGTGCCCCTGAGAGACTTTGTACTTAATTGCATTGTGTTTTGCTTTTTGGAAATACTTTCTCTCTCATCAAACCTCGTTTTTTAGGGCTTGTTGCTAATAAGCAACTACTGGGGGATCTCTTGGCATTTGAGACCAGGCTACTAACACACACCACAATTGCCACGCATCCGTAAAGTTTTCTCATTAGTGAGAGATTTCAGGTATTTAGATATAGTTGGAAATGAAAGCGCGGTCCAACATGTTAAACTGCATGAGACTGCCAAATCTTCGGTCCTAAGCTGCACAAACCTTCAATCTGTCTTGGCAGAATTCATATTATCAATTAAACTTGACCCGCGGGCAGCTAAATATATAGAAAGTCTTATTATTGCTAACACGAGCTGGTTCCAAAGTCATTGAGTCTTTACTTCTTGACTACGAAACAATAGTAGAACAAGAGACCCCTGTATCTGAATGTGATATGCCAAAAAGCCGTAGTTTAACGTAGAGCAAAAGAATGATTAAATGTCGCTGTTGTTGTAGTTCGGGACCACGAGGAATGCTGCCTGAGGCAACACATTCCCCAATCTCCAAATCCCCAAAACGCGCGAACAAAATCCCCACCGCCACCCGAGAGAGTATCATATCCCACTTTTCCAGTTCTAAGATGTCATTTCCATCCTCTTGGTGCGCACCAAGTGATCATTCTGATGTTGCAGATACTCTTGACTATCAATGTCGACCCATATTAGCCCGATAACCACACCAGTGGAGGGGAAGGAGTTCGCCTGTTCTTTTTGCCACCGGGAATTTCGGCGCTTGGAGCATTTGCAACGACACACGCGAAGACGTTTGTTTTATACTCCAGCCAAATTGAAGTGAATAAACTGACTTGATAGTCAAGACACTCATGAAAAACCGTTTAGCTGCTCCTGCGGCGCTGCTTTCTCCAGGCGGGACTTGTTAAGACGTCATGAACGCATGATACACGGCCTCTTTAACAATGCGTCACAGGAATCGGCAAATGGACCTAGACTGACAGATCTACACGCCCATTCTGCGGCCTATAATCATCTTTCACCCCGCGGCCAGAGTAGTCGCTACATTGAACATCCTTCTATTGGGCTCTCCCTACCAGCACAGTCCCGGGCTCGAGTCCACACAAGAGCCCAACAAGGTTCAGTGTATGTATACCCCAATCTTTAGTACGAGGTTGTTTACAGAGTATAAATCTGTATATTGACATGCTTCAGAGCCGAATCGACTCCTCTTCGTAGCCGTTTTGCAGAGCTCGATCAATTACTCGGAGCACAGGGTAAGCTTTTTCCAAGGCAACCCGGAGCATCAGCTAACATTTCAGTGAAGATGAAAGTCTACTCGACGAAAGCCCCGACGATAGTCGTCACATCTCCGAGGGTGCTAATTATTATGCTGGCTCGATTATTACTCCACCAGTGGAGGTAGACCTCCCAGTGATTGCTGATACCAACCGACAAAACATACAACATCCACATCAGCAAGCTACGATTCTTCCTGCCCCGCCAATAGCTTTAGGTCGGTTATCCCAGTACAATTAATTTGGGCCCAGAGGTCTAATATTTATAATTAGGAGCCCAAATCGTGCCTCATGTTTCTCACCCGATTGTGACCGAATATCATAGAGATAGACTCCTTCAAGCACTAAACGAGTCAACGCCGCGGGGTGTTACTCTCCCCTCGAGTGATGCTCTGACCCGGTTTCTAGCTGGTTATTTCACTGGATTCTATCCCCACATGCCCTTCACACATGCCCCCACATTCAAGGTTGAGTCATGCTCAATTGAATTATGCCTGGCTATGTTTGCTCTTGGTGCCGCCAATCGCTACGAATACTCCTCCGCGGTTAAGCTCTTCTATCTGTCGAAGGTCACACTCATGGATCGCCAGCGCCACCGGACATGTGCCACAATAGAGAGGTTGGCAGGTCGAGAAGAAAGCAACTCAGTTCCAGACAGAGACTATCTCGATGAGCTACGTTGTTTGCTCTGTCTGGGCTGGTTTTCCACATGGCAAAAGGAAAAGGATCTAAGGGAAGAGTCACTCATGCTTCGTGGAGCTCTAGCCCAGACTCTAAGATTGAGTGGCTTGGGGGAAATGCCCCATTCACAAGTGTCGTGGGAAACGTGGACCCGACAAGAAACAGCGAGGCGAACGAAATTACTTGCGTTTTGCTTTTTGAATATCCAAAGCATTGCATTTGATTTGCCGCCAATCATATGGAGTCACGAATTGAATGTGCGGCTGCCATGCGCCTGCCCAGAGTGGACCGCACCGGATTCAACTACCTGGAACCTACTGAGAAACAATATTCCTTGTCAACAGGGTAACTTCCAGGATGGCCTAGGCAGCCTGCTGAAGGGAGAGCATGAACATCCAGAACATTTTGTCCCTACCCCGGTTGCCAACTATGTGCTTTTACATGGTTTGATCCAAGGCATTCTATGGACTCCCACGTTTCCCAAGGTTATGAGCCGCATACCACCCGCTGACAATGAAGCGCTGTTCAGGTAAGCGGTTCGTTCCTGGATAGTAGTCACTCTACCATCGTGTTAACATGAGTTTAGAAATGCCCTTCGCAGATGGACGATATTCTGGCAACGGACCCCAGAGTCAAACCTGGAACCACTAGATCCAAACGGTCCATTACCATTTACCTCTAGCTCTTTGTTAAGTCTTGCTTATATTCGTAATTGCTCCTGCATTACAGGCTTAAAATCACGGAACCTTGAATCCTGGGACAGTATCGATATTGCCAAAACCCTTGATGCAGCGCCGCCCGGTAATCGGGAATGGAACGAGTTACTGGCAGCGCAACATGCTAGCCATATTTTAGCAATATTAACGAAGCTTGGTATTCAATATGTGAAAAATAATCAGGCACTGGTTTGGAATATCGAAGCGGCATTGTGTGGATTTGAGTGTGCAATTTTCCTAAGGAAATGGCTGCGGGGGCTTGAAGCAAGTGTCGACGATAAGCCATTGTCTGGTACGTTCAATGAACTTCTCGTATTGTATTCAGAATTCCCCTCAGCTCCTTGCCTCCCCCCTGGTTTAATGATTTCATCTATCATGATGTGTCTTTTCATAGTTAAATCATGTCAAACTTCGGACAGGCTGATTTTAAGTGGGTTGTGCAGAGCCGGAACAGCTGCTCCTACATTGGATTCAAGATATTATGAGTGAAGGTCTTACATCCATAGGTCGTCAAGGCGAGGCAAGCAACCTGTCTCAGCTGAATATTCTGGCTGATCGAGTTGTTGAGGTCTGGTCAGATATCATGAGGGGTAATTCTCCTTGGACATTTATCGGTATGTTAGGGGAGGTTCTGGTCGAATACAGGAGAGCTTGAAGCGGCTTAATACTGAGTGATAATTGAAAAACACGATTTTATCGTAATCAAATATATCAAACGCTTTCCCAACATGACGTTAAAGGATTTACCAATCAATTTCAAGATACCCATGAACACTGGATTCTGGTGTCGTTTGGAGATAGAAATAACCTACTTCTCCGTGAGCCTCTTTCCCAGCTAGTTGGTCTATCATCCGAAGTGTCTCTCGGAATCGTTGAATTACCGATCGGCCGCATATACAATGAATGATGTTGCCATTATTAAAGCAGAGGCTCATAACAAACCGCATGTCGCTCTGCCGCCCGCAGAAGAGCCGAAAGTGGGGCTTCTCCAAACCCAAATCTCCAAACTCTCTTCTCCACTCTCCAAAGTATTCGGCATCATCACCTCAATCCACTATCCAAACCCCCTAGAACAACGCAGGTAGACTATTATTAATGACATTGAGTTCTAAAGTGGTTTTTTTTTTGTTGAATTGCGGGATTAAACATGATTGATTTGTCCGGTTACTTCGGAGACTTTCCGGATTGCATAATCAGATTCAGAAGAATCAAGAAGAATTGAAGATTAAATCATCACGACTCCTGAGGGATTCAAACAACTATAAATACCTCCACCATATCCCAAACTCCATATCCCAACTCATCATCATTCGATACTTCCACTCCAAAACACACAATTCTTCAGAGCATTCAACTTTTCGCCATGTCCCAAACCGTCATCCGTCTCAACGGTTCCAGAACCTCCATTCGCAACCTCCACGCTCTGAAGGAGGCTATCCCGCAACCAACCAAGCATGAAGTTCTCATCAAGGTCCACGCTGTGTCTTTGAATTTCCGTGATATCGCAGTTGCTACGTCTCAGTATCCATTCCCCGCAAAGGACGACGTTATCCCCGGCTCCGATGCAGCCGGCGTGGTCGCCGAGGTCGGAGATGGTGTCCAGAATGTCACTGTCGGAGACCACGTCATTGGCACCTTTGATATATCGAACCTTTTCGGTCAGCAGATGAACTGGCTGAATAGCCAGGGCGGACCCATTGACGGTGTGCTGCGCGAATATGTCTGCATTCCTGCGGCCTCTGTCGTCCAGGTTCCTAAGCACTCGCCGCAGAGCTTCTGCGAATGGTCCTCGCTTGTTTGTACCGGTGTGACGGCTTGGAATGCACTGTATGCAAATGTTCCGCTTAAGCCTGGTCAGACTGTTCTAGCTTTGGGTAAGTTTCTAAGTATCTCTGTGGCAATAACTTTGTGTGCACTTGCTAACTGCGAGTAGGAACTGGAGGCGTCTCCATCACCGGGTTGATCTTCGCCAAGGCGGCCGGCGCAAAGACCATTATCACATCCTCAAGCGACGAGAAGCTCAAATATGTGCAGGAGAAATATGGCATCGACCATGGTATCAACTACACGAAACACCCTGAATGGTCGAAGGAAGCCCTGCGTCTGACCAATGGCGCTGGAGTTGACTATATCCTCGAAAACGGTGGCTCAGGCACTATCGGGGAGAGCATGAACGCGGTGAAAATGGGCGGAAACGTCTCCGTCATCGGCTTTCTGTCCTCCGCGGAACAGTCCAAGATGCCGGATGTCGCTGGATTAGCCCTTGCGAAGGGAGCTGTTGTTCGTGGCATTGTTGTTGGATCGACTCAGCTGCTTCAGGAGGTTACGCACTTTGTCGCAACTAATGGGCTGAGGTTGCCTATTGATCGGGTATTCGATTTCAACGAGAAGTCTGTGCTTGAGGCCTATGAGTATCTGGCTTCTGGATCGCAGATTGGTAAGGTTTGCATCAAGGTGGCTGAATAGACTGGGCTTGAATGTTAGATTAAGGGTTTGATATGACAGGAATCTGTGTTTGGTTTACATTTGTTTTCAATAGAACAGAGTATCGTTTTCATCAATACTCTTCCCCTCTGATCATTGAGAACAAGGAACGGTATTAGATTCATATCACGTAACAATAGCTCCATTGACGTTTAATGTTCCAGCAAGAAACAGGCTTTTTCGATACATGTGACTGGAAGAAGATGCAAAAAAGGCGAAGCGCAGAGAATGGCATGAGACGACAGAAAAATAGTCATTGAAGCTTGAATGTTTCACTCATTCATACAGCTTCCCCTTTACTAGCGGCGTTGTTTCGGCATTGGAAAAGGTCGCATGGCCCACATTCGCATCGATCCCCAGACTTTCGACCTCACCCCATTTTAGTTCTTTGAATGGTAGGCCTGGTGGGAAGGTTTCTTTTGCAATTCCATGGTCCAACGCTCGTGAAGGGCTGCAGGCTGCGGCAATACTTGCACTGCAACACCCTGCTAATGGGGTTGCCGGGTATCTCTTGAATATGCCAATCAGTACAACAATGATCACGATTAATCCTCCTAAGCAAGCAGCCAGAAGCCCCGCGAGCGGCGAGACATATATGTAGCTCGTAGATTCGTCCTTGGTCTTGTTCCAGCCAGATTGAAGGCTGTGTACATCTAGTCTGGCATAGAAGAACATCTGGGAAACAAGCCAGTGTAGCGCTGTCAAGGTAACAATGCTGGGAACGCTCCATTTGTACGGGACGGAGAGGAAATAAGTGGATCGCTGCGCAGTTCTGGCGGCTGGATTAGAAACGCGAAGACCCTTCGGAGGCTTGGATGTTGCAGCGGAGTAACCACACCATTCATCCATTGCAAGCATGGTTGTCATAATATTATTGAGACCGAGGTAGACGTATGACAGCATCAGTTGCGGGGTATTCGCTGTCAAAAAGCCGCGAAGAGTATTAGGTATGTAGAAATCGAGGCTCTCAAACCCTGGATGTGGTTCGCCAATTCCATATCTCACAGCGGCTGCCCAACTGCTGTTTATGTCGCATATCTTGACCCCAGTGAGAATCACCATGATTGAAACCAGAACTGTGTACGTCACCCATTGCCACGTTCTAACGGCTTTACCCCATCTGTGACGCCTGTCTGTCCAAATATCTGCGTCCCCGGGGCCTCGGGTTTCCCAGCACTTTGACTTGGTAGATAATTTCTCAAAATCATGTTTTGAGGCCAAGCACCGATGATTTGTGTACTCGTCTGGCCTTTCCAGGAAGGATTGAACCGCGTCTCCAGTGGTGCATAGAGGATGATCTTTCTTCACGATCCGTAGCGTGAATAAGAAGCATGCGACTTTGACAACGTTGCAAACGATGACAATAATCAGGAAGACCGGAATGACGTCGGTTTTGCATTGCGCGGGAATGCGCTGGGAAAAGCAATATTTAACCGGCGCACCTCTTTGCGAACCCAGCGTTTCTCCATCCATTGGTCGCCCTCCAGGAACCCATTGATTAGGATCCCCACTAGTCAGACAAGTGTCCCACCAGTTCTCGGCATACGAATCGCACACCCATCGATAGAGAGGCATCATGGCGTATCGATTGTAGTATGCTGCCAGCACTGAGGACAGTTCTAGCTCGGTATTATTTTTAGTCGGAGACGCAAAGCTATTATCGACGACAGCGAGCACATGCAATCGGTCAGATAGCATCTCGGTGTGGTACGCTTCATAGCAATCCGGCGCACTCAATCTCTCAAGTCTGTTGTGCACCACGTCATCCTGGAGACCCCGGATAATTCTATTGTATTCTCCATCCTCAAATACTTGGGCGCCTTTTGACTGTTCATTGAATGGAGGTAAAGTCCAATCCCCGCCATGCAGAAATGATTCCGTGACGGTCACGGAGATATAGTCGTTCGTACTCGTAGTCCAGAACACTGTCGAGTTCCAGATCAGATGGAGAGGAAATGAGCTGAGAGCGAGTAGAGTCCACAGAAAGACTTTTGTCTTCGAAATGAAGAAAAGATTTCGCACACTTGGTATTCCGATACTCAGCCAATGTTTCTTTGAATGAGCCCGGTCCACTTCCCGTCTGGTCGGGGATGACAGGCACTGCATGCTGAAGTTGCTGTAGGCCAGGAGGATTGTGCTTAGTACATTGATCACCACATGAGATCCGATACTAATGTCTTTTGCTTTTCGGCAGCTTCCGGTGAAGAATGTAATGCTTTGGTTGACAACTTCATGCTTGCTGTGCATCATAGCCAGGGTGGTTATATTGATTAGCAAGATTATCACTCCGGCAAATGCACCGCTTGCAACTGTAAATCGCCATGCTCCTAAAGCTCTTGTTTTGAAATTCGACTGTGCAAATTCTGCCGCTCGGATAGGGCTCTCCTCGTCATTCTTGGTGATTAGACTGGTCTTGAGGTACTGCATGTTCAGGTCGCGTAGCATCTTGTTCGGACATTACCCAGCTCGCGCCTGAACGCATCTCCATGTAAGACAAATAAAATTGCAGCAGCCAGGCAGAGACTTCAATTAAGAAGAGTTGACTGGAAATGCAGATTCAGCCTCGTCTTGTCGATCGGCGCCAAGAACGTTGAATTTACCTATGAGGGAAAGGATGTTCAGTAGCAGTGCCTCAAAACGTCAGATCCTACTACCCCGTATGACAGTCGTATAACACTACGTCATTTGCGGCCCGTATAAGCCCAGCACTGCCTTATATTCTGCCCAACCATATTGATATCGAGTACAGTAGTATGGTGTTGAACCGGGGCGTCACTAACCATGCCTTCGGTGGTAGTTGAGAACTCGAAACGCGGGTTCTAGGAAAAGGCAGTAAGTATAGGATCCTTACAAGGGACATTCTTCCTACAGAAATCTCTTATTAACATTCACAAAAATGTCGATGTTCATACTCACTGCCATTCTGATAAGCTCTTATCGGTACGTTCGATTCTCTTTCCGGCCATGTTGATGCCAAGGAACTGCATCTTCCACTATATCAAAGTCTCTGTGACATTCAGAATATCCTTTGTGGGCGTAATCACTTAGACCGAGTCGATTGGAATGAAACGGTACGTCCTGAGGCCGCAAATAATATGAATGGTCTTTTCCAGATCCTGCCGTGTTTCTGTTTATGTGGGGCGACGGTATGAAGATCAGATCCCCAGTTAGACTACCCAACGCCATTTAATTGGCCATGAAATTCCCGGCTCGGCGCGTAGTCGACGGCATCAATTGGCCATATGCAGCCCGTGTCTGTGAGACTCGCCGGCTTAATTGCGTACGAACCTTCGGCGCCCCTCTCGTTTTCTCTCAATCTGATTAAACATCAACGTTTGATCTTTCCTACCAACATTCTAGGAGGTATGACAACCTTTTGTTACTAATACGGTATCATGGGAAAGAAAAATAATGATAGGAAAAGAACCGCGTTTGATTTATTGGTGAATCCAACTTCGGAGAAAGATACTCTGAAGTCTTCCTCATGAATCCGAAGAAGGTCCGATTCTTGTCTCCGCACATTGCTACTACGCTCTGAAACCCCCTATACCTTCGTATCACATCCAGTTCAGTCGTTGAAATTCCGATATCATGAGACATGCAGCGCTCTCCATATTTCAACGACGAATACACCATCGGATGGATTTCAGGGTGTCACGAAGAACTTGTTGTCGCTATGGCCATGCTAGATGAAGAGCACGGTATCCCCCAGAGTATCCCGGAAGAAGACCCAAATTCGTATCACTTGGGCGGGATAGGTGAGCACAAAGTTGTGATTACTTTTCTTCCAGCAGGGGAAACCGGCATAGGTCCATCAGTTATGACCGCTGAGAATATGCGACGGACCTTTAAAAACCTGAAAGTTCTTCTTTCCGTCAGCACAGGTGGTGCTGTACCAGACACGGGACGGGACATTCGTTTAGGTGACGTCGTGATCGGTTATCCCAGCGGAGTCTATTCGGGGGTTGTGCAATTTGACCATGGTAAATTAGAAGGTGACGGGTCAATAAAGAGAAAGGATTGGCGTAATACGCCATCTCGCAAAGCTTCAGCAGCTGTCGACCTTCTCAGAGCGTACCAATCACGACCTAAGAACCCCATCAACAATATGCCAGTTATCATTGACGAGTTGGGAGCAGGGTATGCCTACCCCCCTGACGGCGAATGCAATGATGTGCTGTACGAAAGGAACTATGTACATGCTTTCCTGGGAGAGCCATGTGACAAATGCAATCAACAAGCCCTGGTGCTGAGGAAATCACGCCGGACACCATCTAAGCCGAAAGTCCATTATGGAAACATCGCGTCTGGGAATATGGTCATTAGGAATGGTCTTGAAAGAGACAAGATAAACCAGCGTTACGATAATTCCATTCTTTGCTTGGATACACAAGCGGCGGGAATGTCGTGGAGCCTTCCATGCGTTGCTATTCGAGGAATAAGCAATTATTCGGACTCGCATGCAAACGACCGATGGCAAAAACGTGCGATAGCAGTGGCATCCGCATATGCCAAGGAGCTTCTGACCTTGATGGAACCACATAAAGTGGAACTTCTGCTGCCCGTTGAGCCTTGGGTACTCCTAAATCGTGGTGAGTAATTGTGATGCTAGAAAATATTTAATGCTAGCACACTGCTAACAACATTCAGTGACTTCGCAAAGTCTGATCAGCCCAAAAGCAAATAGACTCAAAGGTTTGGGACGGCAAGGGGGCGCTGGAGGTATCAGTTTACTATTGACCTATTTTGTATTCTCTGTGCTAACCTTTGCATAGATGTATCAGCAGAAGAGCTTAAAAATTTGCTATTGCAGTTTGAGGCGTGGTTGAAGCTTATGAATGTTCGAGAACTTTAAAGTTTTCCAAAGCAAAAGCACGCATTCTCAAGCAACGAACTCATATGTTTCAAAACAGCACCTTGATATCACGTCAACACTGGCTATGGTGTCGATTTCAAATCGAAATCTGAGCAATTGCGGACCAATTCCGCGGGCGGGCTTCGCGACATGTGTTCATAAATAGGGCCGATTCATAAATTCGGTGCATAATGCAAATTAGAGTTTCGCGGGACTTTTAGAGTTTTTCGGTATCAACCGGGACCGAGTCAGCTAAACCGGAAACGGTAATTTCCATCCGGTTGGGTGGCTGCCAAAGCCAAATGTGAATCTAGATGGGAGATAAGCTGTGCTTGTCCAGAGATCCGGGCTTGCTAAGCGTCTTTACTAGTTGCCACAGACTCTGACAAATTCCCTGTGATGCCATTTTATCACTCGATTTCATCTACTAGAGTCCAACTATAAATAATTCGACAAGCCCTCTATCTGAAGGTAACATCATTCTCATCTATAGTCAAGGTTCAGAACCTCCCATACATAATTGATAGCCGTCAAGTTTTAAGCTTCGACCCCCCACTTCTCTCGTCATGTCGCCAAAAATTGCCCTCGCGGGAGTATGTGCATTCCATCCCCCATATATTGGCACTTTCAATTCATTAACATGAGTGTAGGCCAGCGGAAACCTAGGCCCCGCTGTTCTCGAACAACTTCTCAATGCGGGTTTCGAAGTAACCGTTCTGACCCGAGAGAACAAAGACAACAAATTCGACACCCGCGCCAAAGTCGCTCAAGTGGACTACAACTCCTTGGAGTCGTTGACTTCCGCCCTGACTGGTCAGGATGTGGTCGTGAACACGCTTGGTGCAGGAACGATTCCTCGTGAAATCCATCTTCGACTAGTCGATGCCGCGGTTGCCGCCAAGGTCCAGCGATTCATTCCTTCCGAATTCGGCTCTGATACCGCGAACCCCAAAGCTGCCAAGGTCCCTGTGTTCGGAGACAAAGTCGCAGTCCAGCAACATCTCAAAGAAGCTTCCGAGAAATCAGGTGGCACTTTCACCTACACGCTGTTTATCAATGGTCCCTTCCTTGATTGGGGCCTAAAGGTTGGCTTCTTGTTGAAGCTCGCAGGGCCAGAGGCGGAGCTGTATGATGGTGGAGACCGGAAGATCAGCGCCACGACTCTTGCGGGCATCGGTAAGGGAATCGCTGGTGTTGTTCGAAACTTGGATGCTACCAAGAACCGTACGGTCTATGTTCGTGAGGCCGAGATAACCCAGAATGAGTTGCTTCGGTTATCGAAGAAGGAATTGCCTACAAAGGTCGTGACTACCGATCAACTCGAAGCAGATGCTTTTGCGGAACTGCAGAAGCCCAGTCCCAACCTTGGTGTCTTTGCCATTAACCTGATCAAACGGACTATCTTCGGTGAAGGATATGGCTCTCTGTTTCCTGCGGAAAATGTGTATAATGATCTGCTGGGGGTCGGTGTGCTGAGTGAAAAGGAGGTCGAGGATATTGTTTTGCAACATAGTTAGTAGGCATGCATTATATATAGTAATAGCTTCGGTACATGGCAAATCCAGAACTGTTTCGCACCTTAACGAAGAGTTGAAAATATCAGTACACTTAGAATACAACTAGCGGCCAGGAGTCAGTAATATCTTGAAAAAAGGTGGTAAATTACTGGAGTTGCTTCATGCTTTGATCAACAACAGAGGGAATGAAACTGTGCTTTATCTGATTCATCAATGCACAGATTTATGTATGGGTTGAACTTTATGCTGCGGAATTGTATCGCTTTGCCGAGACGCCTTCCCTAATCTAGACTAGTCATGGAAAACGCGCTGATGCCATCGTGATTAGTCAGATTATTGCCCGACTTGAGACCAACAGTGTCTGTCATTTCTCTCCTGATTTTAAGACACGTCGACACAATCGCGATAATGACTAGCTGACGGTGGTGGTAATTCATTCTGGTAATTCCTGGGTCCCGCACACTGGCTAGTGACATACCACGTCGAGTGCTGTGGCCTCTTGCATGTCCACCATGGCCCACGCAGAACACGTACGATAAGCCCCAATCTTAATTATTTACCGTCAACATTTTAGTCGATTGTGGTATGTATTGACACGAATATTGAAAGAACGAATTGAATGGCTCTCTCAAGCGTCGGCGCTCCAATCCGGGCTCAATTTCTCAGCCCCATGCAGATCAATCGTCGGGAGTAGCGAGTGCAAGATCCGTGGAGTATAGCACCCTTCCAACCCACCTGGGTTCAAGGCCTACAATTTAAGCGATGACAAAAAGCTCACAGCCATTTAATAGCTCAGATATACAAAGATGCATCGATCGGATAAACAGACTTAATGCGCTTGTTTCTGATAATAACGAGGATGGTGAGGAAGCAGAGCGTTCGTGATCCACTCCAGGCCCAGCGAATCTTCTGATAACATGGCTGATATAGTTTAGTTGACGAGCGAAATATTGAAGGTAGGCGCGCTTTCACAACACTGGTATACGTGGCAGGACTAATTTGACAAAGATGGGAACTTTGACTTCCCACTGCTTCTTGCCTCAGGATGGGCCAATCGAAGTGTTCAGCCGACGATCCTGCAGAAGGTCTCTGAAATGATGCGAGAAATGGACCCCAGTCGCGCTTTATTCGAGTCTGATATCCAGGAAACACTGCCAAAGGCAAAATCGTCAACCCGCTTACCGCCATATGAAGAAACTCGAAATCTAATTGATGGTTACCTACGACATTTTAATGCGATATTTCCCATATTTCAAGACAATGAATTAAGAAGGCTTATCTCACGGCTGTACACGCAGCAGGAAGTGCTGGACTCGGGCTCGAGAGCTTCGGGATATGCGGTGATTGCAGTGGCATACAAATTACAGTTATGGGCTACTGCAAACAATAACAAGGTAGCTGCTGCTGCCTGGACGTATTTCAACGCAGCAATGCGACTTCTACCAGAGATATCGGTAATAGGAAATAATGCAGAAAGCAACTTCAGAAACATCCAAGGCTTGACTATAATGGTAAGTCATCAGACCTTTTATCTATCTCTACAGCTCATTTATATGGCTTCAGTCGATATTTTTACAAGGGGCAATGCAATTCAACGATGCCCCCAAGCTTCTAGGGAATGCAATTCGCCAAGCCAGTGTTTTTGGGTCGACTCAGAATAACTTGCCCAAAGGCGTGTGCCCTGTGGAAGTCCAGAAAACACGCCGGGTTTTGTATGTTTTGGACAAAGAGTATGTACATTAAAATCTGGCAGTACTGGATTCGAGAACTCACAGAAGTCAGATTTTCTCTGCATTCAGGTCTACCACCGATGACGAGAATGAGTTACCAAGGAGCTGATTGTCTTCAATGTGGGGACAAAGACGCAGGTAGTGTTCTACCACACCTTTCCTCACTGGCGGCAATTGAAGAGGAGATATACGAGGAGCTTTATTCGGCGACAGCTCAAAATAAGCCCGGGGTGGAGCTTCTCGATGCTTCCTTCGACTTGGAAGGAAAGCTTAGAGCGTGGGAAAATGGATTACCATACAATATAAGAAACGACGATGGATTCTCACGATCTACTGAATCCATTCTCCTATCACTCATGCTCGAAAACTGCCTCATCACTATTCACCGATTGCCGGCCATTCATTGCCCAAGTACCGGACTTTATTCGCGTCATGCCGGCACGAATTCTGAAATTGCCAGTCGCATTGAGTTAGCAAAGAAAAAGCGCACAGAAGCGGCTCTTTCAGGTATTCGGACAGTGCAGAAATTACGAACAGCTGGCCTCTGGCCTTTTTGGTACGTAACGGACGGACACTCCATTTTCAGTGGCTAACTTCCGTTATTGACAGGCTTCTACCGTCCCCTATAATCGTTAGCCTCATCCTTCTTCTCACAACCATTATATACGATCCAGAGACTTCGTCCAGCAGTCAAATCATCGATGGCATCGATGCAGGAGTGCGATTTATCCAATGTCTGAACGATAGGTCCTGTGGAGAGTTCAGCCAAATGGTCCGAATAGCAACAGGGACTGCGAGTATAGCACGCAAGCTTCAGCAGAAAAGTAAAGATGATATTACAGCTCGCAAAGTCGCCCAAGTAGCACTCGAAAATGCCATGATGGAGCTTCGTCGTGGTATGCGACCGAGGAATCGAAATCCGCGTTTCAAAACACCATCATCGCCTTTTATCGGCGCTGAGAGCCCATATCACAGCATTCCTGCTCCGGAAGACTTGCTGTATGACCCATTAAAAGACGGATTTTCTGAAACTTCCACGGCAACAGTTCCATTGAATCCATGGGAGTCGCTTTCATGGATTGGCGAATCGGGTCCATCAATCAGCGCTTCTGAATGGGTTACGGGCGACGGTGTTGATTTGGCACCATCAACCCCAATTATCTGGGATAGCTTTATGTGAGGCACTCCGTCGTTTTTCGCAACGTGTAAGGGATCATGCGACTTGCTTTTATTCGTCGACGGGATCGACGAAGTTGGAAAAGGGCTCGCATATATCGGGGCATTTTGAATCAGCCCTGTCAAAACTATGCTGCTCCTGCGTATTTAGCTGTCCCAAACGGAAAGATAGAAGCTTTAAAGCTTTTATTACCGCGGACATCCAACCAATATATCTACCTTGCTAGAGCAATATGGAGGGAGTAAGTAGGTTGTTCAGTTTAAGTGATGGTTACAGGATCATCGATAGAGTGATGTCAACACACAGACCCTACAACTGGCGTAGCGCTTCACTAAAGCGGCATTTTATTCATCTACTTTGTAGTGATTGATGTATACTTCGTTGTAGCCCAAGCCAGGCTATACGTTTTGTTCAGCTTTGTGCTGACGGTTGGTTAGGAAGTAAATAAATTGCTGCATCGCTGTCAGAACGAGGCCTGCTACAGCCAGAGCGATCATTATCAAAATTCCCCTGGGATATCTAAGATAGCAAGAACTTGTTAATATTCAAACTCAGGTTATGAATAGGAAATTCAAAGAAAGAGCTTACAATGTGGATGACTCGTCGTCTCGGAAGATCTGTGTACCCGCCATAAGCCCGCTGGTGGCAGTCATTACGACTGCGAAGATGTTAGTGTCACCGGTACTCGGAGAAATAATGCTTGAATATCTTACACATTCTATAGAATAGGTATGGTTAGCTGTTGTTCCTCGCGACCATAGTAATCATTGATAACATACGCAACACTAATACTTCTCTCAGCCGGAGTCTTGCAGTTGATCTGGATCCATGCATTATGAATCGGATGATAGCCTACTGCCAATCCATTCACCGTTGTCCAAAGGCCAATTCGACCCCATTGTCCAACGTGAGGCTGGATAGTTCTCAACAGAACCAGCGCGATGAGGTAGGCAGCAATTGCAACCATCACGATCAATCCATGGCTTTTGGTCCTGTCACTCAGCCAGGCGAAGAATAGAATGACAGGCAGTGTCGCAAAATTGCCTATAGCCGCGATGGCGTTTGATTCAATTCGCGAAAAACCCAAAGACATGATAATGCTGGGCGTGTATGTTGTGAGTGGGCTCCATGTCGAGAATACACAGGCCGTAGCAAGAAAGTGTGGCCATTTTCGAACGTTACTCAATGTGTTCCAGACATCTTTGGGGGATATAGCTTGAGTATGAGCATTGACCTCGGATCCGTCGTCTTTGCCGGTGTCGGTACTCAATGTTTCTGGCGTGCTATTCGGTCTTTCAGCGAGAAAGAAAAATATCGCAATGGATACTACCATAGATAGTATTCCTTCCACTGCTCAACGTTAGCCTGTTCCCTATTAGTTAGTCTCATTCCGGAATACCTAAAAATATCCACTGCCATCCTGCAAGCTTTCCCCTCCCGTCAAGCCTCAGCAATCCTGCTCCTAGAAGAGGTGACACAGCATTGCCCCCAAACATGCCGAAGAAAAAGATCGCAATCCGTTTGGTCAACTGCTCCCTTGTATACCACGTCGATAATGTATACATGGCGCCCGGGATAAAACCAGACTCTGCAAGACCAAGAATCGCTCTTGTAAGAAGAAAGCCAGTCTTATCTCTAACAAATACTTGCAATGCAGCGACGGCCCCGAATATAAAGACCTGGACACTAATCCATCGTCTAGGTCCAACCTAGTGCGAAAGTTAGCATTAGTTTTCATAGATTATTAATTGCACTTCACGTACTCGCTGAAGTATAAGATTCGAAGGAATCTCTAGCACTACCACGCCCAAAAACATCAACTGATTGCCAAGATTGATCGTGTTTTGATTCACAGAAATGGTGTCTGCGAACCCGCCAGTCAGTGCGCTGGCGATATTTGTCCGTTCCAACTGATATATTGCAAAGCAGAGGACAAGAAGTGGAAGAACGCGGAAATCTGCGCTTCTAGGTCATTAGTATCTTATCAGTGCCGTGACAGGTGATGAACAGGAGCTTACGTCTTCAGAGTTTTTGAAGCCAACACAGACCCATTTTCGTTAGACTGGTCAATAGACGGACTTTTAGAATCCATATGCCAATATGAACTATGAATACTTTAATAGTGATGCCATATTGCAAAAGGTATTCTAGGAGTTGGCCTTTTTATGGCGCGGCGTGTGTAAGGACCTTGGCGGCCCGCGGCTTGGATGCATGATACCTTGGGGGTGATAAGATGAATCAATTCCTACAACACTCAACCGCTGCGACTAGTGGCTAATGGTTGAGGATGAGTATATTTTAAATCAACGTTATGAAATCTTCGTATGGCTTTCCTGAATTTAGGGCTTTCTTTGACTTCCTCAAAGGTTACTTGAACCCGTTCAACACTAGAAGATAAAAGAATATTGAACTCTTACATAAGCGTCAAATCCTATCCTACGGTAGAAAATTATCTTTAACATAGCAAAGTTTATGTAAGGTTGAACATCTCATATCTAGTTGATGGATTATTAACAGGGTTTGTCAGATGGGCAATTGTGATGGTCGATTCGCCTCCATGACAGGCTTGCTCTGCTCGAAACAAGGAAAAACAGGACCGTCAAGAATAGTGGCTGTTGGAAATTGAGTAAAGAATGCAACTTCAACTCAATGGTGAGAGCCTCTTCTGAAGTACGTGGAAATATTCACTCACCCTTTGCTGTCTGTGTTCTCCGCACTGAAATCCTTTCGCCTTTTCTCTTTTCCTTGGGCGGCATTGGAGTATATTTCCGGACGCCGGCTATCATAAACCCATGTTTAGCCTCCATTCGACATCAAAATTCACAGTGCCACAAGTGGATTTGTTGTTTTAGGTTTTCCCACAGTCACGATTGAATAGAATTAATACCAGTAATGATGTACCAAGTACTATGGAAGAACTGCGTGACTCTTACGGTGAGTTAACAGGCCCCAGAGGTCTATAGTCTTCGCTGTTATGTAGAGGATGCGTGGGCGACCCAATTAGGCAGTCCTTACGGCATCCATCAAGGGTCAGCCATGGTGTTAGTCGCTGAATCCAACCCCCTTGGCCAATGAACAATTTCCCGTCCGTAAAATACAGCAGTGCTTTACCAAAAGAGGTATTAGACACGATTCAGTTCACAGAAACCCTGACGTAAACTAAGCTTATGATTCTCCGCTATGGTAATGACGGGATTTGACCACACCTGTAGGCGGCCCCTTGCGGGAACTAACATGTTGTGAACAATGCAAGGGGCGCTCGTCTGATTCATGACTTGCTCCATGGTTGAAGTCATCTACTCTCAACTTAGTTTGCTTGTTCACCATCAGGATCTTAACCGGTCTAGTTGCGGAACTAAAGCTTGAATTTTTCTGAGCCGTAGAAAAGCGCAACCCTCGGCAGAACTGGCCTGAAAGTACTATATGAGCAGCATGACTTAATGGGAAATACTCGTCATACGCATCCTAGGAAGAAGGTCTGTGTCTATTAAGTAAGACATATGCATGGCCCTGTATTATGTGCCCCTGAACCCACTTCAGTGTCAGATGAACCGCATGATAGCATGCCAGCTTTCTAAAGATGGGACGTTGTCTCCACATTATGGAGGTATTTAAGCATGGGCAATGAACTGGGCATTTGTATGATGTTGTGAGACGATAAGCTTGTCCTTATCCAACATATAAACGCATACATTCAAAATCATGGCGAATTCCATATCAAAGCTCTTTATTTGGGGTATGGCCTTTTGGCTTATAACTCGTCAGTTAGGCATTCAGCCAGTCTAATTAATTCTCTTGACCTTTGAAATCACGGTGTCATGGATCTGCATGAACCTCCTGTTAGTTGTTGTTCGAACACTAACTAGGCGTCATTCAAGCATCCTGAAGCACCTGCCTGGACCGAAGGTATATTGGCCCGACTATTGCTATGCCATCAACTAACCTTCTAGTCCTCAAATTGGTTATGGGACCATGTCTTTGACGTGCTTGACGAACCGTTGGCATATAAGGTAACGGACTGGATCAACGAGAGACCTTATCCGGAGGGCTTAATGCACCTCTTTGGCCTCTTCGGATCGGAGTACCTTATTCCAACGAGCCCTGAGGCCCTGACGGAAGTGCTATCCCACCGGCAATATGATTATGAGAAGCCTAGCGGTTTCAAACGATTTACAAAGCGTTTCTGGGGGCATGGTATAGTTTCGCAAGAGCAAGAAGAACACAAGGCCAACCGGAAGACCTACCTCCCTGTATTCAATCAAAGTAACGTTAAAAGGCTAAGGCCCATGTTGACGAAGAAGTCCAGACAGTTTGCAGATCATATTTCGGATCTCTGCACCGCTAATGACTTTCGGAACAACTGCAATCCGAATTCAACGACTGTGCATATCGCAAAAGTTGTTGATATGGTCTCAATGGATGTCACAGGGCTAATTGCGCTTGGTGTTGACTTTGAGACGATACTTGGGAAGAACCATGAGATCTTCCACGCGCATGAGGTGCTCTTCGAGAGTAACAAGGAGAAGAGATCGCTTTTTACACTTTATAACATTGCTCCGCAGTGGATTCTGAATTTGATTCCATCGGCGACAGCAAAGGAAATGGACCAAGCGCATGATATCATGACTGACGTGTGTCGTCGCACAATCCGGCAAAGATTAGATCAGTTGGAGAAAGGGGAAGAAAAAGATCTCGACTTTCTGACTAATCTTGTCAAATCCGAATCTTTTGACGAAGAGAAAGCAATTGCACAAATTGTTGTCATTATAGGTGCTGGGTACGACTTTCTCACGTCCCTAAGATATATGTCTTGAATAGGTTGGCTAAGGTTCGCAGATTCGAAAGTACTGGAGGCACCCTTGCGTGGGTGATATACTGTCTAGCTACCTATCAGGAGTCCCAACAGAGGCTACGAGAAGAGTTAATACACGCGAAAGATGGCAAAGGTTCCCTAGAAGAAGAAGACTATGATCGACTACCAATGCTCAACGCCATAGTCATGGAAGCCACCCGACTTTACCCTACCTTTACACTTCTTCTTCGCAAGGCCATCCGCGATACCACCATATGCGATCAGGTAGTGCCTAAAGGGACTTTCGTGGGAATGTGCACCCGAGCTATCAACTGTGCTCAGCATCTCTGGGGTGCAGATGCCGAAAAGTTCAAACCTGATCGGTGGATTGACCAATCAGACTCGGAAAGCCCTAAGATAGAAGCATTAGGCGGTGCTCCGGCGTCGGTTTGCATGCTCTCGTTTTTTCATGGGATAAGAAGCTGTGTGGGACGGGCATTGGCCCTCGCACAGATGAAACGACAGGTTGCCTTGCTTGTGGAAAGATTCCATATTGAGCGGACGGAGAATTCTGACCCTCGTCCAGTAGGGCTTTTTGCTACGGGCCCGCCGCCTACTTTAAAGTTGCGATTTACTGAACTTGGTGCGTAACCAGTGTGTTCTTGCGAGTTTCTTTTTCTCTTCTTTTGTTTTTCAGTTATGAGTTCTGCTCGTTTTTTTCTTTGTCCACGAAGACTGCCAAACCCACAAGTGTTCCCAGCAAACATGAGAATGTATACATGGCTTTAGTCGAAAGTTTAGAAGATAACCTTCTCAAATGCTTCCTGTAACCCTCTAGCGTCCAACCACGCTTCCAGAGCCTGCATATCTCCACGGTTGGCCCTTTGCCCACCGCGCTCACCCAGCGAGTCCGTAATCTCCTCCATCCCACTAAACACTCTCTCCACACCATCCTTCTCACGGAATCTCTCACTAACCTTCTTCTGGTGGCTTGGTATATCGCCCCACGAATGCGTCTTAATGAAGCTCATGTAAGCGTCGATGTCGGACGAAGCTCCCTCTAGACACAGCACTCCCGGTTTCCCCGCCAGAACAAAGCCAGTGAGAGAATAGGCAGGAGCATTGTTGACCATATCATCTCTCTTCTTCCTCGTTGATAGAGACGGGAAATAGAACCAAACTCGCACAATGGGACCTTCACGGCCTGAACTGGCATTGGTTGCCTCCGCGGCCTGGGCTTCTCGTTGCTTTTGCGATTCCAAGAAGCGGTTTAGCTCTTCTTGTACGTATTCAAACGTCTCCAAGACATCATCTTGCGGCATTCCGGCGGCCAGCTGTGCCAACTCGGCCTTGGACATCCAGTCTGGTTGGCGTAATGAGTAATTTGCCGGGGGCGGCTGGTCTATCGTGTCTGTGTCTTTTTCCGATTGAAGTGGAATAGACATATTAACTTGGATAGACTTTTCTCCATCTGCTATTGGCAAGGAGACCGTGAGATATATGCTGGTGGGGATTCCCGATGGCATTGGCGACGAGGGATTTTCGCACCATTCCCGAAGTTTCTCGACGCATTGAGATGTCGATTCGGGTATTTCAACCTCTCCCGGCGAAGGAAACATGGCGGTTAACAGGTCGATCATGGATATTTGGGACTCCAGAATGTCCGGTGGCAGATACGAGGGCTGATTTTGTGCCATTGTGGATCTTTTTGTGCGCGGATTTGCGAATTGAATTTTTATGATAACAAATCCAAGAGAATATGGTATTTGAAGATATTTGATGAATATCGAATACTTTTCAGATGTCGTTCAGGGTTCATTAAAATATGTGCATGCTGCATAGTTTGATTGACATATGCCCAGGGACACTGGTGGTAGCAGTGGCAGTGTGTGGATCCTTGAACCGAATCTCGGAAGATTAATTCTCCATGGTCTCACTGGAGCCAGTGGAAGAGAATAATTCATATAATTGGGCTACATTCCACGCTCTGCCACTAGTCATCTGGTCCACTTTTTGTGCCCCTTTTCCTGTTGTGGTTAACGTCCATTCTTCATTTGCTGTAACTGTTCCGACTGCGTATCCCGGCGCTCTCTCCCATTTCTCTACAACCAATTTGCGTTGCCAACATTTCGCAACTTGAGAACAGGGCTCAGACTACCAAATAGAAAAATCGGCACTGGAGAGTTAGTGTGGTTGTTATCAGGAATAAACTGATTGAAGACATTATCTATAGAGCCAGCCTCCTACACATAAATTATTTATATTATGGTCAGGATTGCGGGTAGCAAAAGAGGTTTGAGTAGGTCCGCAAAGAAGTAGTTCACAGCCAAAGTGATTGAAGGGATGTGCAAGATGAGCGAAGGTCATTATTTCTGAGTTGTGAAGTTTCACCCAATAAGTATAAGTGGCGTCGCAGGGCCCGGGTCTGTTCGGATTGTTCCTTTCAGCATCTTTGGCAGTCACAGCCAATGGGGCCAGGCCGAATCCGTTTTGGACAGCAGTCAGAACCTGGGCTAGATCTCTGTCAGCTACTGTCCAGTCAGTACATGGGAACGATTCATGTTGTATGTGTATGTGCTTTGGGATCTTGATAATGTAAGCTCCATTCTAGCAGTAGTATCGCGGTGATATCCTCTGCGTTGACAGAGAATAGGTGCCCAGATGGGATGCACGGGATCGGCGATGCCCTAATTTGCCCCGTACTGGTCGTTTTGCTCGGAGAGGATTGGGGATTGTTTAGGGTCCAGTGTTTAAGTTCCACCACGCGATGAAATTGTGGTCTTCCGATCCTGCAGCCTTTCCGGTCGTGAAAATCCCATCTGTGATTCAGTCCCGAGGGGTTCGCAATACTAGTGCTGAGATCCAGGGCACTTCAGCCAAGTCACCCAGGCCCGGGAGAAATTCAAATTCAGCCCAGTACCATATTTAGTATCATGTTTGCTTTTTGAGACCGGATTTGTACCCAACTTCATGTCGGCTTTTATCCTTTTCGAGGAAATACAATGCATTTTCAAGCTCGGATGTAGACAAGTGATGGAATTCAAACCTGTTTCGCCGTGCGGGGCTAAATTCAGTTGAGTTTCTACATATAAACAGACACGATCACAATCATTAGTTTAGTGCCCCTTTTTCCCTCACTCTGTAATGATAGGGTTGTAGAAGCGAAAGCGGTTGTGGGGATCGTATCTCGCTTTCAGCCGACGCAACCATTCTAGGCGCCACGGCTCCCAGCCATACAGCGATTCCAGGGCCTCGCCTCCAGCCGCGTAATTCACGTATGTCGACGGCTTACGTTCTGGTTGCCCGGCGTTCCAGAGGTCACGCACTTCCGCCGCAAACTCCTGTGCCGCCTCAGTCAGATCGGATCCTTCCTCCAGCACGGCATCGAAGAACCTATTCATTCTGTCAGAAATATTGTTGGCTTATGGGAGGTTAGTTTCACATACAGCAGGTGGTTCTCGTCACGAAAAGGGAACGCCGACGAGGCTGGGTCCCTCTTGCGAACGCCCGCATTTGAGTAGCCCTCGTGCACGACTCGAGCGGTCTTGAATTCGGGTTGTTCTGCAACCCTCCTGTTGAAGAGCTCGTAGATCTCCCGTTGAGCGGTGATGTTGTAGCTTTTAATACCCGCTGTCGATGTAATGTGGGTCGTTTCGGGGGCGCAGAGCGGGCTCTTCATCCCGGTGCCTTGGATATCGGAAATCTGCGGGTAGGGAACATCGCCTTGTTTGTCCCAGACGGCGGGGATCGCGTTGAATGGCTTGAGTAGCTCCTCGCCATCCTTGGCGGGACCAGCATAGGCGAAGGTCCAGTAGAGAATAGCCTGGTTATGTTCGTAATGTGTTAGACAGCAGGTGGCGGGGTGGGGAGTAACGAGAGAAATTCAAAGCATACCTCGTTGTCGCTAACGGTGGCGTTCATCCGATACATACCAAAATTATTGCCCATTAGCACAGGAGTATTTCCGTTGTCGTGGAACTTGTTGAGCTCTTTGAACACGGTCTCAAGCTGATCTTGCTTCCATATATAATTGTGATAATGCCACGAGTCAACCTGGCGCGGGTAGATTTTCAATTCGAAACTTGTGACAATGCCGAAATTGTGGCCGGCGCCTTGCATGGCCCAAAATAAATCCGGATGACGTTCATTGTTGACGCGGATCTCCGAGCCATCCGCAAGGACAACGTTTAAGTTGACAAGGTTGTCGCTGATCAGACCGTAAAGACCCTCGTAGCGGCCATGTCCACCACCAAGGCCAGGGCCCATCATGCCGACGCAACTACAGCTGCCGGTAGCTAATGGGTTGCTGTTGTTAGTTGGGTCGCGTGGAGATGAAGGATTACTGGAACACCCACTTGCGACATATCCCTTCTCCCAGAGAACCTCCATAACTTGGCCGTCGTACGTACCGCCCTGGAACCAGGCTGTCTTTTTATCGCCTGCAATGTCGATATTGGTAAGTGACGACAAGTCAATCTGGAGACCTTCGAAGGTCCCAATGGTGGAGGTGATGGCATGTCCCCGGTTTACGACCATAAAGTCGATGCTATTCCGGTTACAATATTTTACCTACTTCCGGGTTAGATTTGTTCGCAATTAGTCCACCGAATAAAGTACTCACAATTGTAGAAATATCCAATTCTTCTGCTGGCTGCACAACAATTTGGATATCCGGTCGAACGAATGTATTGTACCTTTCGACAGCCTCGTCCCATGGAGAGTCGGACGGCCCAAAAATCATCGTTCCTTTGGAAAGGGCTCGACCCAGCTCTGCTCCAACTTTGGGGACAGATAGATCGCACCGCGTGATGGGAGTATTGTCAAAGTATTCTGGCAGAGGGGTACCAGCCACGAATTGCTGAAGTGCGAGCCCGCACGCAAGAAATTGAGGGACTAATTTCATTCTGGTAATGCTAACCAGCAGTCCTTTTATAACAGAGATACTGCATGAGTGTAAGCACTCCAGAGAGCCTGTGACAGCCAGGGCTTTTTATAATTGTGGTCATCGATCGCTTCTCGCTCAAAATCAAGACTATCTTCCAGACCATTCTGCAATCCGCCCCCATTCAAAAAAAGTCGACCAGGTTTATTTCCTTTCTTTGTCACCAATACCCCTTCAACACGTCTTTGGAAATCGAGGCGCAGGTACACACCTGTGATTGGTTTGTGTGACACCAGAATCAAGCCTTCTTCAAGGCGTGCGGGCAGCGGTGAGACAACGCTCGGCCGAGCTGAACATAAGATCTGGCGATGTGATAATGCCTGCTGAACGCCCGTCACAATGGTTGATGCCATTAGAAGTCCAATGTCTGAACCATCGGTTTTTAGTAGCTCTACTGGCTGCTGCCCCAAGAGTAAAGAACAATGCACTTTGGCCAGCATTCGGTGCGCAAAGCCGAGTGTTGAAAACTTTGACCTTGTTTCTCATCTTCGAAAAGTTAATTGAGACTTTGAAGCCCTACGAGCTTAGGTTGAATGACATGTATTTATTTATTCAATTCATTGCGTTTGCTGCCTGGCGACTTATTGTATCTTCTCTATCAAGATCCGAGAAGTTCACACCCAGTATTTTGTAGCAATTTAATAATCGAATTTCTGCCCCACAAGTTCCTCGCTCAGATTCCAAAGCTTCTCAACACTCTCATCATCACGCACGTACTCCGCTGGCGTCTCTGTGATCTCGCTGTTTTGTAGATAAGCAGGAGATTTGGCAGGAAGCTCGGGGTCGAGGGCAGCAATCAGTGGAGTAGCCGCAATCTGTGTGTAAGTCTTGAATCGAGGCTCTTCAAACGTAAAGTCCAGTCCAGTGTTCTTCTTTGCCGTCGGGAAGACTCCGTCATAGTCGTCCCACGTCAGATGCGCGCCCAGTTTCGTGTCAGCGTTATAGCCAGGATGCGCCGCTGTCGACGTGATGCCGCGGGCCTTCAGCTTCTTGGTCAACCCGTAGGCAAAGAGAATATTCGCCGATTTTGCCTGCCCATACCCAGTCCAGAGATCATATTCCTTGCCGCCCGAGTAGTTCCAGTCCTCGAAACGCACCGGGCTGATCCGGTGGCCCGAGCTTGTGAGGTTCACGACGCGAGCATTGCCGGCCTCAGCAACGCCTGCAAGCAGAGCCGGGACAAGCAAATTCGTAAGCAGAAAGTGGCCGACGTGATTGGCAGAAAACTGCATCTCGATGCCCTGTTTGTCGACGGTGAATTCCTTCAACCCCATGATTCCGGCGCTGTTGATGAGGACGTCGATTTTGGGCGCAGCGGCCAGAATCTCGTTGGCGGCTTGGCGCACTGAGTCGTGGTCGGACAGGTCGACCTGTACGAAGGTGGCTTTCACGGATGGATCGATCTCTTTGATTTCCTGGAGCACAGGCTCGACCTTCTTGGCTGTTCTGGAGGCGATGAGGATATGCGCGGGCGCAAACTTCGCCAGCGAAGTGGCTATCTTGCTGCCAATGCTGGGCTGACCGGCTCCGGTGATCACGAAGGTGCGACCTCTGATCTGCGTCGAAAAGGCGCCGGTGACATCCTCGCTGGTTGCAGATGCGTCGAATACGACCATGGTGAGGGTTGGTAGGAGCGATTGGTTGCGTTGCTTTTGCTAGGGCGGAAAAACGGTAGTTAGATATATAAAGTGGACTTCTTCAGCAAAAAACAAACTTCTTCGGAAGACTCCTCTGGATTAACCGCCCTCCTATATACCACGCCACGGAGAAGTGACAAGGATGATGTATTCCTTAAGACCGAGAAAAACGCGTGTTTAGGAATGAGTCGATTATAAATGAGGTCTTAATTCCTTTTATCACCATTTCTTAAATCCGATCAACAGCCCCACTCTCCTTCCTTCGCGCTTATGCCACCAAAACCCAACAAAGATAGCATTTCTTACTTTATATTGGTGGCCGGAGGATCTTCACACGCGGCAGCCGGCTCCTCTCGCCCCACGATCTATAATTAATGTCCATTATGTCCGACGAGCTGGTTGTACTCTGGAGTGAGGTGCAAGGCTTCTTCGCCACCTGCCTCTGGCTAAGAAAAGGCAGAATACATAGCAGGAACGCATCGGAATCGAACGGAGTTTCCACGAGCGAATCTCGAGATCTTATGGATCAAACAATTAATATGAAAGCTGAATAGGAGAATTGACGGTGAGCTTATGACCTTCCAGGCAATTTTGATTTGGACCCTCGAATCGCTGCAGACTTAGGGCTTCAAAGGTCCCGTGCATCCAACCTCAGACTCGAGGCGAATCTCACGTCTCAACGTGCCTCGAATGAAGCGTTTCTACTTGAAAACAGAAAGGATAGTCTTGTCAGCTTGAAGAGTTGTCGCCTGTCCGCATTTCGACATGTAGCAATTTAATCGATATCAGTCGCCGGTCACCGTCGTACATCTCAATAGAGGTATTTCCCCATAGCGCTCAGATGGATGATTCACTATCGACTACTGCGAGTCCTTCTTCAGCAACTCACTTCGGCCCACAATTAGCACCGCCAGCTCCTCCAAACTGGGCGTACTGGTGATATCCAATGCCGATACATCTGCCTTCCACGCCTTGGAAATCCACTGCCTCAGCTCCACAGCTAACAGTGAATCTACACCCTGTACTGCCATGGATCGCTGCGAATCGATCTCCCCAGCTGCAACATCCAGCGCGTGCGCCAGTTTCTGCGTCAGCCCGTCCACAACAACCGATCCGGCGGCCTCAGGACTAGCCTTAGCCAAAGCTACCTGCCAGTTTCCAGCGGCCGTGGAGGTTGCAGCATTCGAATCCAATTGGACTTCCTCCGTAGTAGCCTCCTGCGGCAGGACACTGAACAATGAGCGCTCCAGGACCCACGAGGGCGGGTCTATACCCGCAGCGCGCATCTGGGCCGGGGTCGCCATACCCAGCAAGATCTGGCCCGTTTTCGAGTCCTGAGCTGAGCCTAGGGTCGATCGACAAACCTGTTCCAGCATCGCATGGAACTCTCGCTCTGAAACGTCCTCCATCACGGGCACGTCTTCTTTATGTCGTGAATACTTCGTGTTCTCGGCAATGATGCCTACCTCGCCCATGCGGCCCAGATCAAGGGAGACGGCCTCCTGACCGAGGCTGCGTCTGTATGTCGCGAAGGCGTCCTGGAACGTGTTTCCGGCTGCATAGGCGGCTTGCGAAACGGACCCGACCACCCCTGCCAGCGACGATAGCATGACGAAGAAATCCATGTTGGATGGCAGGATGGCGTGTAGGTTCTCTGTGCTCTGGACCTTGGAACGAATGGCCGTGGTCCATTGTACGTAGGTGAGGTTTTCGAAGATGGCGTCCTGCGAATGGTTAGTATTTTCTCTGATTGCAACAGTAAGATAGGAGAAGACCCACCTGTAGAACCATCGTGGCTTGCAGACAACCTCGGATCGGAGGGAGGTCGACACTTTCGCCCAGTGCAGCTTTCATCGCAAGGATGTCGGCGACATCGCACTTTGGTGCGCGGACACATACCCCTTGAGAGGCAAGGTCCGCGATCAGCTTCCGAGCAGCGTCCGACTTGGGCCCCGATCGAGAAAGTAAAATGAGATTTTTGGCTCCCATGTTTGCCATCCAGCGCGCAGCACTGCGTCCTAATCCGCCCAGCCCTCCCGCAATCACATATGTTGCGTCTGAGGGGAAGCTGTACGACGGGGTATGTCGTATGGAGATCTTGGAATGGTTAGCAAATGTTTGAGCTCAAGGACTCAGTCGACATACCGGGACGATATCGGTCGGGTTGAAATTGATCACTAGCTTGCCCGTGTGCCTCCCATTCTGCATTAAACGAAGGGCCTCCTCTATCGACGAAAGAGAGAACTCCTGCAACGGCCATGGAGGGTGCAACGTGCCGGCTTCCATCATGTCCATGATCGGCTGCAGGGACTGTCGGATGAGTGCTGGCCGCTCCTCCGACATCCTGTCCACTGAAACAACAAAGAAAGACACGTTCTTTTCAAAGTGCCTCATCGGCAGCTTAGAATTGCTGTCGATGTCGGCCCTGCCAAGTTCAATGAACCGTCCGTATGGTGCGATGCACTCCCATGATGCCACGAGAGCATCGCCCGAGAGCGAGTTCAGAATGACGTCCACACCTTGACCATCCGTCATGCGCCGTATGTGTCGAGAAAACGTCGTGTCACGACTGTACATGATATGGTCTTCAGCGATGCCGTATCGGTCCTGCAAGAATCGGGCCTTCTCCTGCGACCCGACAGTCACGAAGATCTTGGCTCCCACACTCCGAGCCACCTGGATGGCGAGCTGTCCTGTACCCCCTGCTGCTGAGTGGATCAGAACCGATTCTCCAGGTTGCAAGCGTGCCAGGATAATGAGAGAGTGGTAGGCCGTGACTCCGATGGTGGGTACTGAAGCGGCCGTGGCCATGGACACACCCGCAGGGATGCGACAGCATTGGCGATAATCACAGCGAGCCAATGTGCGGACGCATCGAAAGGCTACTGCACAGACTGTATCTCCAGGCTGAAAGCCGACGCAGTTCTTACCAACACGAGTCACAACACCGGCAAACTCGCAGCCCAGATTGTCCGAGGAACGGATCCTTCCCAGAGCAGTCAATACATCTCGAAAGTTCACACCCACTGACTTGACTTCAATCTCCATATCCGTGGGTGCAAGCTCTGGATATTGTTCCATGTCTTCGACGAAGACCATGGTGCTGGCATCGAGTGATCCCGGGTTGGAAAGATAAAGCGACAGGGGTACTTCTTGCCGGAAGGGCTTCCACTTCACAGGAGTCTGTGTCTGTTCCAGCACGGTGTTATTGCGCTCCAGATCCTCAATGACGCGACCGACGTGCAGCACGCCATTCTGTTCGCGGTAGTCGAGCTCAGGGTCTTTGCCGTGATGTTGCTGTCGTTCCTGAAGAAGGCGATGGATGTGATCAACCCATGTAGTCGGATGATCGAGGTGATCTTCGAGGTCGAGGGTTGTGAAAGACAGTCTCTCATTCTCGGTACAGAGTACGTGCACCAGACCTTGAATGATATGCACGCGTGGAGCTGTTAGAGATGTTGGACTCGAGGCCATTACCCACATCACATCTTGGGCGCGACAGAAGAATCGGTGCAGTTGATCGTAGAGCGTCTCTGACATAGTGGCAAGAACTGGACCTTCTACCTCTGGAAGGAAGAGAACCACGGGATCTTGAGCCAGTGAGATGTCATCCAGCTCTTTCATGGATACCACGCTCCATTCCGTCTCTTCGGGCAGTCGTTGCCGCAGGGTCTGTACCAGACTGGCCTGTAGCGCAGAGGCCGGGTCGATGACACACACAACAGGTCGGATCGTTGATTGGGATTGTATTCTGGATGCTGTAGCTACCAGCAGGCTGTGCTCCACATATCTCTCATCGCCGCATTCCGGAATCGCAAGGTCAATCCCATCGAATCCATTTGCCTGCAGGATGTCGTTCCACTTCTCCATTCCCACACAGGCGCCATGTTCACGGTAGTCTTCTTGTCCTGTATTCGGTCAGAGATGTTCTATAGTGTCATGAGACAAACATACCCATCCACCACCCCGGCAGAGTTCCAGTGACAAATGCAGTGCGCATGTTCTCGGGCTGGGTGATCTCGATCATCACCAACTTTCCTCCGGGCTTCAGGAGCTCGCGAATATTTCTCGTCGCGGTATTTAGATCTGCGGTGGTATGGAGAACCTGTGCGAGTAAGTTCCGTTCCAAAGCGCCATGAATAGAACACATTACTTACCCAAGCGCCCACGATTAAGTCATAGCTGCCCTTCTCGAACCCTTGGTCCTCGGGAGCCTTTTCGACATTCAGCGCCCTGAATGCTATTTTGCCACCGATAAACCCAAATCGCTCGCGTGCCTTTTCGAAGAATCCCTCCGAGATATCCGTGTAGTCGTAGCGTCCGAATCGAGAACTCCCGCCATCACCAGCTAACGCATGCAAGACATGGCTGGTAAAAGACCCTGTCCCGGCCCCAATTTCGAGGACTTTCATGGCCGGATTCTCGAGGGCCAGAGTCTTCAAATAGCGACGCAAGTGGCCCGGTTGAAGCATACGATCCACGATCGCTTGATAATGCTGGGCGGCCCGGTCGTCTTGGTAAAGCAGATCTAGAGGTTCAGCAGTACCAGCTAGAATACCATCCAAATTCTGAGCAGCTGTCACGCTGAAAACAGCCTCCTGGCTGAGTGCTTTCACCTTCTCGCACAATTTGGCAGTCACCTCTGGATCGAACGAGTGAAGTAGAGGATGATCGATGGCGATTGATACCGTGCCCTCATCATATCTCCGTATCTGCCATTTCAGGTAATCAATGTATTTGTGGAGATGACCTGGCAAGTGAGCGGTCGATCGCCCTTTGAGCTGCTCAATAGCACGGCGAGCAGATGACAGCTGAAGCACCTCGAGGAGATCAAACAGCTCCTGTGGATTATCGGCAGGAGGCAGGTCACACCAGGCACTCAGCTGACTTTTGGTCATGAAATCCAATACCGGATTCCACTCGATGCTGCCGCAGAGTGGACGCGCCTTCGCTTCCAGTGTCTTTGCGTGGTTGGTTGTCATGGACGTGGTCTCGAAAGACGAGATCCAGATCTTGACCTGACCAGACTCGTCTAGCGCAGTGACCTCGGTCTCAGTACCTCGCATTCCTGTAGTATGCGACCGCACACACGCCCGCAGAAATGATGTATCGGGACTCGATGCTCCTGATGCCGCGATCCAGGCCTGCTGGACACGTGTGGTTACCAGCCCCGTTGTGAGCAGCTTCTGGCCTCCATGAGTGAGCGGCACGACGCCCAACTGGCCAAGGCCGTCAAGAGTAGCAGGGTGCACGACGTGCCTTTGTCGACCATGCTGCGACTGCTTCGCTGTCCAGGGGAACGTGTGGATCTCTGCGGTCGCGCACTCGTCTCCATCCCAGGTGATGGAATCCATGACCTGGAACGCCGGACCATAGTGCAGCCCGTTCGTCTCGAGGGCTTCATACATCCCTTGTTTAGAGATAGTATTGGAGCATTTGCGGTGCATCTCCTCCCAACGTTCCTGGTGATACGCGGATTGCGCTTTCTCTTGCCGCTCAAGCACAACATCCTCGCTTGCCAGCTGAACCGAGATATAACCCCGGCAAGTCTCCTGCAGCTGGTCGCTGACCTCAGTGTAGATGCGGAACTCGAATGAGTGGCAAGTCTTCTCTGCTGGGCGAGTCGCTCGCATATACAGACTGGCCTGGACGCGGCCAGAGGGGTTGATCACAATCGGATGCGTGAATGTGGCGTCGTGAACTAAATATCCAGCCCGGGGATGCGAGGCATCAACCAATTGATCCGCACCCTCGATGGCCATGACCAGCATCCCCGTCGCTGGATAGATCGCCTTGCCATTGACTGCGTGGTCCAGGATCCAGGGCGTTTGGACGGGGTCGAAAAAGAGACGCCAATGTGCCTCGCCGGAGTGTGACTCTGGTGACGGAGCACCCAGTAGCTCATGACGACCGTGGGAGCGAAGTCGTACATTGGTAGTCTCGCGCGTCTCAAACCAGTATCGTCTAGAGTGATTGAAGGGATACGACGGAAGATTGACTAGCTGTTTTGTATGTTGCGGAAGGCCCCGGTGGTACTGATTCACTTCTTCAAATGAGACACTGTATCCTTGGGCATAGAGATGGCCAACGGCAGACTGCAGCGCCTGCAATGGAGACTGGCGACGGTCGAGCGTGGCCACATATCGCACGTTACTGTTGACAGCAGCAGCACGCAGGGTTTCGCGGAATGGCCGCTGCAGGGCTCCGTGAGGGCCGATCTCTACCCAGTCCGTTATAGCGTGCTTGACTGGCATGCCAATCTTGCGATTCTTCGCGCCCGTGTGTGAGAAGCTTTCAGTCATGGCGCCGCAGAATTCCACGGGCTCGACCATGTTGCGGACCCAGTAGTCTGGCGTGGACAGCACCTTGCGGTCAACAATAGTTGAACCCGTCACTGTAGAGACCATCAGGGTTTTGTTGGGCGATCCGGCCGTCAGTCCCTGCAGAGAATCCCTGTAGAGGGAGGAAATGGCCTGCATCTGAGAACTGTGGTATGCAACACCCGTGCGCAAACGACGGGACCGAATGCCATCGGCCTCAAACTTGGACTGGAGTGTCTCGACCAGAGGATTTTCACCAGATATGGTCACGTTGTTCGGGCTGTTGATGCAGGCGACGGTGATATTTCCCGGCGTATTCGAGCGAAGGGCCTCTAGGTATGGTTGGACATTGGACCGCGACAGATCCACCGCTAGCATGGATGCATTGCCGTTGCGAAGGGTGCTTGCATAAAGCCCTTTGAAGTAGGATACCTGGCACGCGGATTCACGAGATAGTCCGCCGACGGCATATCTGCTATTGTTAGGGATGTCGATATCTAACGGAAGAATAGACTTACGCGGCAGCAATTTCGCCAGAGGAGTGACCGATGACAGTCAACGGCACAAATCCAAACGAGGAAAGAAGATCAACCAAGGCAATTTGCAGTACGGTGGTCAAACACTGCGAATATTCCGGGTTATTGATGTCGAAGCTTTCGTCGTCCGCCTGGGCCAAGAGATCTGTCTGCTGTCAGTCCACACCGTAGTATATGCTGTGTGCCTTGCGGTTCACCTACCAAATGCTGACCAGGAACAACCAAATGAGCGAAGCGCATCATCGCAGAGCTGAAGGCTGTTCTTAAACACCGGATAACGGACAAGCTGCTGGCCCATGCCATAATACTGGGCTCCCTGTCCGGTAAATATATATCCCAGTGCTAGAGACCTGTTTATGTGCACTGGCTTGGATATAGAGGTGTGCAGGGCCTTGAGAGCAGCCAGCGAGTCCACAACGCTATAAGCACGCCATGATAGCTGGCTACGCTTAGCCGATAATGTCTCAGCTAATTCACCCAAGAAACGGGACTCTTTCTCGTGTGGAATCTTGGTTGAGTTTGCATACTGCTTGTAGGCATCAACCATACGACCAATGGCGCCTTCGTCCTCACCAGACAAAATGAGAAGCCGTGATGTCAATTCTGGTGCGTGCCCATTAGTGGCATTGGACTCGAAATGACCATTTACACCGTTTGATGTCCCGTTAGACACCCCATTGCTGACGTGGCCCTCGGGCAAAGTACAATGAGGAGCATCCAGAGAATGCTGCTGCAGGTAATGATACGCGTCGTCCAGCACAACATGCGCATTCGAGCCACCATATCCGAATGACGAGACAGAGGCCCGTCGCAAGCCGGGGGTTGGCCAGGCGATCGGCTTGGTTGGGATCTATAATTGTCAGGTAGTGATTCATGGGCTACTCGACGGATTCTAGTGCCTGACATACTTTAATGTTCAGGAACTCGGCATCAATTTCAGGGTTCAAGGATTCGAAGTTGACCGAATTGGGTGGGATAATACCCTTCTCGAGCACCAACACCGTTTTGATCACGGCTGCAATACCACTGCCACCCTCGAGGTGGCCGATATTCGATTTCGCCGCCCCTCTACACTCATCAGCAAGTATCGAGCAATGGAGAAAGAGGCACATACATATACAGAGGGTCGTCCGGCGAACGCGCCTTGCGGAACACACTACCGATGGCTTCCGCCTCGATGGGATCACCTACCGCTGTCCCAGTGCCATGCGCCTCGAAGAATCGCGTCGACTCAAAATTCAGACCTGCCTTGTCGTAGGTATCCCGAATCAACTGGGATTGCAATGCGCGACTGGGTTGCGTGATTCCTGGCGTATAACCATCCTGGTTGGAGCCCGTGGACCTTATCACGGCCCGAATAACATTGCCATCACGGACTGCATCAGCTAGACGCTTGACTACCACGACGCCGCAGCCTTCGCCCCTTCCGTACCCATTGGCTCTGGCGTCGAAGCTGTAGCTGCGGCCGTCGGGCGACAAAAAGCTCATGTTCATTAAGGATATGATAGTTTCAGCCCCTAGAATGGCACTCACTCCTGCGACGAGAGCCTGTCTGGGTTAGGGCCCGAAGATCAGAAGCAGGGTTTGACTTAAGGACAGACTCACCATATCCGCATCCTTGACGCGAAGTGAGGTGCAGGCCATGTCGAACGCCATCAGACTGCTCGAACAGGCCGAGTCGAGATTCACACATGGGCCGTTCAGGTTGAAGAACCAGCTGAGGCGATTCGCCACCATGCTGGCCGTCGTACCAATAGAGGCGTGCTTGGGGATGTTTTCGGGATCACGAGTCACCATATGTGTGTAATCGTTTGTCATGCAGCCACTATATACGGCTGTCTTGGTGCCGTTGGCCTTTTCCATGGGGATACCCGCTGGTCGAAATCAGTATCATATTTTATGGTGCGATTGGTTATGAAAAGAGCTACCATTTTCAAAGGCGCGGTATGCTGTCTCAAGCACCATGCGATGCTGGGGATCCATGACGGCGGCCTCGGCGCCGCCAATTCCAAAGAATGAGGCGTCGAAGAGCGTTGGATCTTCTTTCATGAAATGAGCTCCAGCAATGAATTCCTATCCCCGGTTAGCGGCTGCCTGCAAGCAGGTCGAGTCAGTGGCACCTTTGAATCTCTATGTGAGAATGTCTCAAGCTTCACTCGATCCTCTGGCCATGCCTTCATAGCGCATTTTCGCTCTTCAATCATGCGCCAAAATGATTCTGGGGTGTCCGCATCTCCTGGAAACTTGCAGGAGAGACCTATGATGGCCAGAGGCTCGAAAGTATCGGCGGTAACTGCGGACGGCATAATGTACAGGGGAGATGTAAGGGGGCTTGATGTTTATTGGTACAAAGACAAGGTGTATTAGGACCGGTTTTATACTATCATCTTTGTGTTCGACGCTCTATCGTGAGCCTCCTTCCTATATCCGGCATTGTCGGCAATTCTCTTTACCTGACCGACCTGGGCACCCTTACATGGGTACTGAAGCGATACATGGATGCAACACAACGCCATTGTTTCCGAACCAATGGAGGCCATCGCCAAGTTTGGAGATTTGCTAAATCAAGCCACTCGAGACACGATGAAATTTAGCCCCCAGTAAGCACATATTTGATCCTATCATCCTAGACGCGGCTCCAATGTGGCTAGACCAAATGCCAAGTGCTTACGGCCGGACATCTGCAAAGTATAAATAAGGTGAAGATCTCCATATGAAAAATCTCATTCGCTGGGTTTATCATTAATATATGCAATATAGGGCACCTAACTTCTGCAGTCATCCTGCACATTCCACCCGCGGGGTTGATAAGCTGGCAAATCGTGTATAAGGCTTGTCTCTCCTCTCCAACATCGGCACGATCATCTTCACTGGATAGATCACAATGCGGTTTCTGTGCTTACATGGGATGGGCGAGAATGGACGGGTATGCCCCTGCACAGTGTAGCATCCCCCCCTCACTTTGCGTGCGACTAACACTGCCCAGGTCTTCGAGGCCCAGACTGGTAAGTACCATACGACTTCCCTCAGCTAACCCGCGAGGCTGACATCGCGCAGCCGCGATACGCCATCGTCTTGGCCCTCAGCATACCTACGAGTGGTTGGATGGGTCTGTGCCAACAGACATGGCCCCCGGTATGTCGCTGCCTTCCGTGTTTCATGCTCACCCTCCAGCTCGGGCTGATTCCGACCCCATGTTTTTCAGGTCTCGAGGGAATCGCCATGCCCGGGGACGAATTTCTGATGTACGTCGATGACAGCCAGGAGAGCCGCATGACGTTGCTGGCGAATCTGCGGGAGTTCGTAGCAGCCGAGGGGCCTTTCGATGCTTTGTTGGCCTTCTCACATGGGGCCAGCTGCGGTGCTACTCTGCTCCTGCATGAATCCCAGCAACGCGATCAGGCGCTCTCGTTCCGCTGCGCTATCTTCTTCTGTGGTGGGCCACCCGAGGATCCCAAGATGTTGGTCGAAGGAGATCGGCGCGTCATGGACGGGGCTACCGACGGCGAAGTGCTGGATCTGCCCACGGCGCATATCTGGGGCCGAAATGACACTCGATACGCATTTGGGCCCCAGCTCAGCGGGTTGTGTAGCAGCGCTAATCGTGAGGTTTATGTGCATGACGGTGGTCATGAGATTCCTGGGCCGCGCGATCCCGAGGCTGTGATGCAGGCGGTTCAGATCATCAAACGAACGCTGGCCAGAGCTACAGCAGACTAGACTGTGTAACGCAATCAAACACAGTTTTCATTATAGCTATTGAATACAAGGGGCCCGCTTTACGCCATATCCCATAACCTAACCTCAACCGTTTCCCAAGCCCTATACTCCAAGCCATCCGATAGTATACCCCAGACGGAGTGAGAGTCGCGTATATAGCATCTTTCTCTGCCAAATCCCAAATGTTACGATTTATACTGTTTCACTCCCAACCGCTGGCTGTTTCAAGGTGCCCCCACTCGACGTGGACACGAGCGGAAGGGAATCAGACCAGGCATCTTTCCCTCCCTTTATAGTAGTGTACGGCGCATTGTTTCCTTCGGTGCGATCCGACGAGTAGTTGTGGGAGCGAGAGCGCGAGTGAGAGCGACTGCCGATCGAGAAAATATCCTGGATCGAAGAGCCGATGCGCGACAAACGATGATTCGGGTCGAGGCTCTTCACGAACTTGGGCACGGTGGGCAAGCATGCCACGACAATTCCCATGGACAGTTCCGGGGTCGTCCAAATCCCCGACAGGTAAGCGAAATAGGAGATATTGTCGGTCGTCGCGAGGATGACGGTGTAGGCGAGACGGACGACTGCAGCGGTGACGGCCCTAGGGAAGCGATATGTTAGCATTTTCGTCTCAGACGAAGCATAAAATGACGGTCTTTCGTACATAACGCCGACCAAAAACACGGCAGAGACGGCGATCCGACGGCTCAGAGGCATTTGCAATTTCCAGATCCGCATTTGCGGCAGGATCAGGATGATGATGTCCGAGATTGCGTTGACGGAGCTGGCGGCCACGTTCAACATTTTGTAGTCCATGCATGTGCCCTTAACCCATGGCTTGTGATACTTCTCAACCGGGGTGCAGGAGAAAATCTCGAGCCAGAAGGCGACAAAGTAGAATACAAAGTTCACGATGATAGTGATCACGCAGGTCCAGTAGAACGTGCCTGTCCTGCGAATGGGGACGAAGATCTCGATAAACTGCAACAGAATGGCTACTTTGATGAAGAAGATGCAGCAGCCATACAATACGCCGCCTGCATGAAAGTACTGTGATCATCAGCATCGAACGGTCCGTGCAAGGAAGCTTCTTACCAAAATCACTTGGGAGAATTCCTTAAGTCGCATATTCCACTGGTCTACCCCGGCCGCCAGATCGGCGAAAAGCCAGTACGGAGCAAAATCTCCTATGAGAATAGTCTGTACGGTGAGTCAACTTGAGGCCGGTATATGAGCGGCTTCTTCATACCCACGCCATTAAGATCGAGTCTGCGCTTGTTAGTCTTCGTCTACGAAACGACGTCCAGCGACAACTCACAGTCTGACAGATCGAACTTCCGGATCAATACCAGCTTGGTATAAATACGGATAAACAGTATCAACGAGCAGAAGATCCAAAAGCTCAAAATAATCCCTTTGGCCGCCGCTTCTTCGTTGGGCGGATCGACCAGATTAGGTGTCACTCCTGGCGGAGGAGTCGCCGCGGGCATCTGCAGCAGCTTCTCGAGTGGGATGCTGGGGTCCATTTTGGACAGTAGATAGTAGATAGTCGAAGTTCAGGTATTGTGGACTCAAAATCCGGGGTGGGGACAGAAATGAAGTGATATAAGCAGAACCTCCATTCGCAGGTGCCCACCTGCAAGGGATGCTCCCCCCTCCATAAGCAATTAGCAAACACTCCTCAATCTGGGGGCCGGAATTGGCAGCCTCTTCAGGTCAGCCTGCATAAGATCCATGCCACTTGCTCGTGCATGCCAGCTGCTTCCTGAAGAAGAAAGGATGGGCGCGCGATGCTTAATCCTGGACGGTGGCTGAGGCCAAGGCGTCCGGCGCTCTTGTCGACTTCTCTGCTGCTCCCGCGGCCTTAGATATTATCTTAATCTTCCTTCTTCTTCCTTCGGCAAATTTGCGATACACCTGGAACTCTTGATCATGATGGAGAAGTCGATTTCTCCTCGTGCGGACACCGTCGATGACCGCGAAAGGTCGTCTGATGCAGCCGAAGACGATGGCTACTTGTCTGGACTGCGACTGCATCTCGTCACCGCTGCGTTGGTTCTTTCAATTCAATATCGTCTGCATCTGCTGACAGACATAGGCTGGCCATGTGCCTTTTCCTGACGAACCTCGAAATCCCCATCGTTACTACGGCGCTGATGAGCATCACCAAGGAAATCGGCGGTCTGGACAAGGTCTACTGGATTATCGCGGGATACATGCTGGGCTACGTCGGTGTGCTTGTCATTACAGCTAAGATCAGCGATCTATTCGGTCGCAAATCGAGCCTTCTGGCTGCTGTGGGCTGTTTCATCGTGTTCTCTGGGGCTTGCGGTGGCGCGCAAACAATCAACCAGCTGATTATCTTTCGCGCTTTCCAAGGCATTGGAGGTGCTGGCAATTACTCGCTGTGTACGACAATTGTGCTTGAACTTGTTCCGCCGGCGAAGTATGCGTTATATACCAGTTCGCTTTCTGTGGTCTACGCCATCTCCCTGCTGCTGGGACCGATCCTCGGGGGCGCCATCTCAGAAACCAACTGGCGATGGATCTTCTGGTTGAAGTATGTCCTCTGTGTTGATATCCAATTATCTTAAACCAATCTGACTGACTGGTATAGCCTCCCACCTGCCGCCCTGGCCGGACTGGCGATTATTACCATGCTCCCTAACCGATTCCCAAATCACCACAAACCTCGGACGACCGACATTTCATTCAAGAATTCTCTCATCGACGGTGTTCGACGGCTGGATTTCATTGGCTCGAGCCTGCTTCTCATCGCCACTGTATGTCTGGCCGCACCGCTGGAGGAAGCCAACCGGCAGTTTTCCTGGCGATCTGCCTTTACAATCGTGATGCTGATCATTTCTGGTCTTTCCTGGATAATCTTCTTGCTATGGGAGCGACGCGTGACGCTGTCGAAGGGACTGGTCGAGCCTGTCTTTCCCTGGCGATTTGCGCAGAATCGCGTGTGGATGGGGATGCTTCTGTATGCTTGCCCTGTTCGAATTTCCCACCAGCTGCTAACAGACCAAGTAATGCCATCTGTCTCGGCGGGACCTGGTTCGTCACAATTTTCCAGCTCCCCCAGCGCTTTCAGATCGTGAATGGCCTCTCTCCCCTACAGGCCGGCATCCGCTTCATTCCCTTCACCGTGGCGGCGCCTATCGGGTCTATCATGGCCCCCATGCTGGCGAAGATCTTCAAGCTTCCAGTGCTGTATTTTGTCATCGCGGCCTCTTTCATCCAAGTCATCGCTTATGCACTTCTGTCGACCTTGCCCGATGATGTGACCATCGCCGCGAAACAGTATGGTTATCAAGTCCTGGCCGGCTATGGCTGCGGCATCAACATCGCCGTGTTAGTTCTCATGACGCCCTTTACCATCGAGCCGCAAGACAAAGGTAAATCGGCCCCTTTCCAGGTCCTCGGATGTCTCACTAACCATCCCAGCCGTGGCCATGGGCGCCGTTGCTCAATTCCGCGTCATGGGAGGCACAATTTGCCTCGCCATTGTCACAGCCGCATCGCAGGGATTTCTCCGATCGCGCCTCGGAAATGAGCTTCCGCCCAGCCAAGTAGAATCGATTCTCCAATCAACTGAGATGCTCACTTCCCTTTCTCCGGCCGCTCAAACTCTCGTGCGCCAAGCGTACTCGGCCAGTTACAACCTGCAAATGAAAGTCCTGGCCGGGTTTGCAGGGGGGCAGGTCATTGCCTCGGGGCTGATGTGGCAGAAACAGCAGGTGATGGTCTGATGGTAGGATTCTTGGGCTGAACACGGCATTTAGCGCTGCATCGCACAGCAGGACTGGGTTACACCCGGACTGAATAGCCTCAGTCTGGCTTCTTGGCCCGACAGGGATGCTGCAGTTGGGGAAATTCGATCCCGCTAACGACTAACGAGCGAATTCAAAGGGGGAAAACTTGCGATTCATGCACAGAGCGGGGTTTTTACCGACTTATTAATAGTTACTTCGTTTTTTCCCTATCGGGACTAACAAGGCTGTTGGATTGTATCTTCTTTGTTCTCCTCGCCCGCGTCGCTTAGCGTCAGGCTGTATCCAGGGGTGTCGGGATCGCCTAAACTCTGACGTGGCAGACAAAGCAAGGGATGATTGGATGCTTGGAGGCATTGAATTCCGTAGCCAAGCACCGTCAGCACTGGCAATGTTCCATCTCTGCCAGGGACCCCGGACAAGTCTGTATTCCAGGAGGTGAGATCAGGAGGGCAGGACACCGTCTGACCACCATCGTCTCCCTCTCCGAGTCAGGAGATGATTGAATAGGATAAATAGACAGATCAAAGCCTGCTGCTGGGGCGGTTGAACTAGTCACCGTTTCGAATAGGATGGCCACTCCCACCTCCTTGCCGGGTGGCATTGCTCTTATCACGGGTGTATGTTTTAATTTGAGCCTTTCACTCCCTGTTGGTTCGCCCTCGTCTAACTCGTCCAGGCTGCGTCCGGGATCGGCCGTGACACAGCTTTGGCTCTAGCGCATGCCGGCGTCGAAGGCCTCGTTCTGGCCGATTTGAACCCTGCCGATTTCGTCATCGAAGAGAGCCGCGTTTTCTCACCCCATGGAGACAACCTCCGCGCCATATCGGTGCAGACTGATGTAGCGGACGAATCCAGTGTCGAGGCCATGGTGCAGTCGGCCCTGAATGAATTCGGCCGCATCGACTACTGCGTTCACTCCGCGGGCGTAAGTCGCGTCCTAATCCTCTTCCTTTGGCCCGTATACCATGGAGAAAGAAAGTGCGCCACCGCACCAGTCCCCTCCAATACTGAATGTCAACATGCGAAATCTTTAGATGGGAAACATCTCCGGCGCCACGACCGAACATGTCAAGCCGGATATCTTCGACCAGACGATGGGGATAAACGCACGAGGCACGATGCTCGTCCTGCGCGCCGTCTCCGCCGCCATGGCAAATCAGGAGCCCCGCGAGCACAAGAACCTCCGACGAGAGGGAACGAGGAGTCTTGGGCGCGGGTCCATCGTGGTGGTTAGCTCGGTCAACGGCCTGGTGGCAGCTCCAGGCATGCTACCCTACACCGCATCGAAGTGGGCGGCAATTGGAATTGCCAAAACCGCTGGTGAGTTCTGGAATCTCGTCTAGTATCTGTCGCAATGTGTTGGAATATCGCTACTGACATAGGACACCCTCGCGCAGCAATCGATAATATCCGACACCACATCCGTGTGAATACCGTCTCCCCTTCATGGACTCAGACGCCCATGATGGAGCGCAGCTTGCAGCGTGTGCCGCAGCTGGGCGCGATGGTTCAGGCTCTGAGTCCGTTGAAGAGAGGCGCCTTGCCGGAGGAAGTGTCGGACGCAATTGTTTTCCTGTGTAGTCCCGGCGCAAGCTATATCAATGGGACGGTGATCACGGTGGATGCGGGTGCTACGGTGACGACGCCTAAGGCTGGTCTGTGATCTATTCGCTTGGATGCACGACGTTACGATGTATGCGTTTGATATTGGAATGCCAACTTGGTCTTTCGCTCTTTGAGAGGCATATATCAATGAGACATAGGCTATATACACTTTTTAAAACAGGACCCTGATCGACAGCATAGGGTGCATGGCTTTGTACACTTCCAGCAGCAATCTACTGTAGCAGATGTTGCAGCGTCATCTCGCCACTATGCTGGATCATGCGACGAAACTGTCCATCTTGTCGTGCCAGTTCACCAGGCGGGCCGAATTCAACAACACGACCATCACTCATGACCAGGATCTTATCAAAGTCAGCCACAGTGCTAAGGCGATGCGCTATAACGAGGAGGGTAGCATCGCTGAATTCCTCCCGAATGCTGCGCTGCATCAATGCATCTGTTTCCATGTCCACGGCACTCGTCGCTTCGTCTAAATCGAGGATTTTGGGCCTCGTGATCATTGCTCGCGCGAGACAAAGTAACTGCTTCTCGCCTTGGCTTATGTTTGAGCCACCACGCGACACAGGAGAATCAAGATTCCGAAACACAGACCCACGCTCTGTCTGGTTGTCTGGCGCAGATGAAGCCTCGCTTGACGTGGTTTGATCGGGATCGATCCGCTGCAGAGCTTGCCAGAGTACAGAGTCGAGATATTCGTCGAAAGGGTCTAGATTGGAACGAACGGTCCCAGAGAAGAGCACCGGGTCCTGCGGTATTATAGCCAAGCGGCTGCGCAGATCGTGTAGTTTGATCTGTGAGATATCCACACCATCAATCTCGATCGCACCCTTTCGTGCTTCGAGGAATCTAAACAATGCAAGCGTGAGGGACGATTTACCGCTCCCTGTTCGACCCACTATTCCAATGCGCTCGCGAGGACGCACATGGAAGCTGACGCCTTTCAAGACTGCCTCTAGATCATGCGCGTATCTCACTTCGAGGTTCGTGACTTTTATTTCACCAGACGATGGCCAGTCTTCAGGTGCAGCATCACCAGTGGCAGGCTCTGTATCAAGTTTCATATATTCGTAGGCCCGCTCTGATGAATTCATCGCCAGTTCAACGGAAGCGTATCGGGTAATCGTCTCTTCCGCAACGCTAGAAAATTCAAGGGCGAAGCTCAGCGCAAACCCAGCGATTGCTGCGCTGATCCCGGGGAGATAGGCCACTCCAATAGCGATAACCAGAGTGAAGCAAACGCCCAGGGCTCCTTGTCGGAATCTCATCCATTGGCCCATTACGAGAACGTACCATGAAGTCTGCGTGTGTTTGTCGATGTGTTCAAACATCCTGTCCATGTAGTCATCAGATCTGCGAAAGCTGCGAATGGTAGCTAGGCCAGAAAGGGCGGACCCGACATGCTCGAATATTGGAGATCTGGCGCTCGACTCTAGTCTTTTGATGTCTCGGGCACCGTCTAGGTATAGGGCCACCACGTATAGACAGATCGATGCGAGCACTACCATGGGGATCAGCATCCACAGGGACACAAATAACACTGTGGCCACAATGGCCCCGATGGAGAAGGCTCCATTGAAGAACCACATCATATCCCCACCAAGTCGACTGTCGATCATGGCGAAGTCGCCGACGAGACGATTCAGTATGCGTCCTGTGGGCTCGGTGTCGAGCCATCTCAAAGGAGCTCGCAGCACGTTGTGGATGGCCTTTTCAAACATGTGGCGGGCAGCACGAAGGGAGGCGACAAGCACTAGCACCACTTTCACACAAATGACCATGGCCGAGACCATCGATATCAAAAGGTAGATGCTCAAATAAAACATAAGACTTGGCTCTCCGGATGAATCAGCCCTTGGCATATTATCTTCTTTCCTTCGAGGGCTCGGCATTTTCGGCGTGTAAGCCTCGGTCCAGAGCGCAAGCCAATACGAGCGGCCTATGACTGCGAGGGCAGAGCTTGTGAATACGCTCATCACGCATATCCAAAACCACCAGCCCCCTGACGCCCCGATATACATCTGGTACACACTCCATTTGACCCGGCCATGTTCCCGAGTTTCTTCCTGGACAAATTTCCTCGGCTGAGATGGCTGGGAGTCGACAAGGGTAGACGCATGATGAAACAATTCGTTCGGGGCAGCCACTGAGGGTGGGGGCTGATCAGGGGGAGTCAAGTGTCGGGCACTTCTGAGCTTCCCTTTGAGCCTTGAACTGGTTCCATCGTCCAGGTTGACCATGTATGCAGCGAGGCTCCCAACTAGGCCAACGTGATGGGTGGCGAGAATGATAGTCCTACCGGCTCCTAAGTCACCAGCAATGCCGTGATCTAGTATATGTCTCCCGACGTGGGCATCCACGGCGCTGAATATATCATCCAAGACAAGTATTCCAGCTCTCGAATATAGAGCCCGGGCAAATGTGAGTCTCCAACGCTGCCCTCCACTGAGGTTCACACCTGTAGCTCCGACTTCCGTGGCGTCGCCGTCTGGAAGCATTTCGATGTCTTGATCAAGCGCACACGCGTGCAATACTTGTGCGTAGCGTTGCCGATCGTACGGAAGTCCGTAAAGGACAATATCCTTGACCGAGGCGTTTTCTATCCAAGGGACCTGTCCAACATAAGCAACCGCGGTGGGAACAATCCAGCCATTGCAGAGCGGCTGGTCTGCATCGCGTGTTGTGTTGTTTGACTTCGGACTCGCGATTTCACCACGCACAAGGTCTGCCTCTCCGATAATGGCAGCTAAAAGCAGACTCTTTCCCGTCCCTGTCTTGCCACATATCACGCTACAATAATCAGCAAAAATCAACAAAGTAGATTATAATGTCCTCTTACCTGAGTTCACCAGGCGGGAAAGTCAGGTTCAGACCCTCAAGCAAGAAGCCTTTCGGAGCAAGCTCATTCGAAGGCCATGCAATGTCTGCATTTTTGAACTCAACAAATGACCCTGGCTGGGTAATATCTTCCCGTTCAATTGAATCGAGATGTTCTTGGATACGAGCAGCGCTCACACCCGCGTCTAGCATTTCTGTAATCGTCGTCGGGAGCGCACTAATCGTGAATTCCAAGCTTGAAAACACGGCCAATGCAGTAAAAGCGACCGATGCGGTCATTTTCTGGGCTACCCATGCGTACACACTCAACGACGTTGCACCTATCAACATGGGCATCGCTATCCAGCAGAACGTGAGAAATGTTGCCCACACGTAGACTTTTCTTTGCTCTTTCAGCTCACGCTCGCGGGCGGCGAGCAAGGTCTTACCCCATTCTGATTCAGATGCGGAAAGCTTGATCTGTCGCATTCCATGAAGAGCTTCTTCAATGATGTGAGACTTGTTGTCGCGTGCATTCATAACAGCGAGCTGTTTGGACGTGTAATGTTTCGTGGCCATACGATTCACTGGTTCCAGTAGCAAAGGAACAGCGAGGCCGGCAAGGGTGCTACGAATTTTAGTAATGTATAACTCGGTTTCTCGCTGCATCACCTACCTCATCCAGCCCAGTAAGGTAATTAGAAACCCAGCGGCAATGATTGTCTTCACCACCCCGCGAAGCAAGTCCATGTTATAGCCGCAGAAATCTGCAACTCTTTCAACATCTACACCCATAAGATTGACGACCCCTCGGCTGATAGCATTCCCTTGGTCTTCTTCATTGTTTGCAGGCTCCTCGTCGCCTCCGCTTGGCAACAGGGTATCCCCTTCATGTGTCTCTTCGATTTCGTTCGAAACTGGCAGTGAACTTGTTTGTTCTTGGTTTGCGGTTTTTGCTCCCGCTTCATGAACAGTGTCCACAATTTTCAAGCGAAGAGACTTTGCAAAAATCAAAGCAGACAATTGGGCGCGAACCGGGGTGGCCAGACATCCGAAGCTGACCCACTGCAGCCTGTTGCACAAAATTAGTATTGACTTCGTAGATTTACTTTCACCCCAGTCTTACCAAGTATCCAGTCCAAAGTGGATGAGCTTTGAGATTGCGAGGCATGCAACCCATAGCCAGACCTCAGTGTCAGCCGCGGACTGAGCCGAAGTTCGGCCCTCAAGTAGCACTAGCACTTTGTACAGACACACAGGTGGCAGCATCATAAAGCCACTCTCGACAACAGCAAGTGACCATTGACGAGCGAATGCAGCCCTGTGGTCACGGATTATTGCTTTCCAAAGTGGGTTCTGCCACCCGACGGTTTGAAAGGCAGCAAAGCGCTCTAGAAGCACCTTCGATCTCGTGCTGTGGTCCGGAAACGGAAGGTCTGTGTACTCGAGCCTGCCAACCTTTCGAGCCTGTCTGAGTAGTCCCTGAGACCAAGAAAATGTATATCTTGGAGGTCTTAAGCCATAGCATCACAATCTTGGGGGGAATTGCTGACCTCTGTATGGCTGAGCAGGTGTATTGAGCATCCACTGGTTGTCCATCCTTATACACAGCAGGCCGTCGCGGTAGGCAGGTCCCTGTTATTGCAAGACACAACGCGAAGGCAAGCTGGCCCCATCGAGCAACTTCTGAAATAAGATGAGCGGCATGCTGGTGGTAGCTGCGTCTATGGTGCGATAAAAACACCTCTATGAGTAGAGCAAACGAGAGAGCTATGGCCGAGAGTGATATCCATAGACCAATTGCGTACTGTCTCGTTGGTGAAGCCGCGCGCGCGAGGAAAAGTCCGTCAATGCTGATAAGAACCTAGTCGATTGTCAACAATAGCCCCAGCTAGTATCTGAGGATCAAGCGTACCCATCCAATGGTTATCAAGAGCGAGGGCAGCGAGAATTCCAGTGAAACAGAAGACGCAACGGAGAGTATGAGACCAACAAGGGCGATTATCTGAATGAAGATTCGGGCACGCCGGATGTGCTGGGCGTGTGAGTGCGCGGACTCTGGCGAAGCAACCCCGTCCACATCCTCGTACGAGGACTAGACCTCGACACAACCCGCGGTTTACCCATTTTGGGTTACCCAAAACCCGCCAAGAATGGGTTTTGGGTCTCTCACGAAAACCCGCGGGTTGGGTTTTGGGTCTATACTTCAACCCGTGGGTTTTTTTTGGGTACCCGTGGGTTCATAAACAGTGCAAACATAGTATATTATGTATATAAATGGATGAATAATCAGTTGATTATTGTCTAGACCTTCCTATTTAGGTAGTTTATACACTTTTATGCATTTTTGGGTTCTTGGCGGTTTACCCACGGGTTACCCAAAAAAACCCACGGGTTGACGGGTAATGGGTATGGGTCCTGACCTTCTACCCGACCCGTGGGTTTGGGTCCTAATCTTGGACCCATGACGGGTTTTGTCGAGGTCTAACGAGGACCATCGCGGACGCATCGCCGTGGCTTTCGCACACACGGGGCTCGCCAAACAAAAGGCCCCGGATATAGCACCGAGGCAGAGTACAGTTAGGACTGTCTGCGATGCCATATCTTGAAGTCAGAAGTGTGTTTTCTCTACATGCACACCCGCCAGGCTACTGATAGTCTGATATACCCTAAATCGGGCACCTCCTTTAGAAGGCGGTATCAAAGGGCAGTATATCGAATATTGTGCCACTTTTTGGGATAATAAATAAATTTTAAAAAAAAAAATAATAAAAAAGGATAACAAACAATTCGCCCTGAATTAAAGTTCCTCATAACACTATATACCCTATGTTTACCCGAAGAAACACGAAACAATCCGTACAAGACCCTATAAATGTAAAAATTCTTTAATATGGCTTCGTAGCCCGACCTATTATTGAACCTGTTACCTATATTGACCACTTATGCTCGGCGATTGTGAAAGCGATGACATGTATTGGCCAGAAATGAGACAATCAGCCTTATCGTATTTGCCCTCTAACATGGTGGGATACCCAGGAGGTATATATCAAGCACAGCCCTAAGGATTGGTCCACTCGAATAGTAGCAGTAGCGATTTCACCCCATCTACAAGTGGAGAGCCAATGCCAAAATGTCTCCAAGCCATCCGGGACGACAAGTATCCGCCATCCGGCGCAAACACTCTGCAGTGCGCCGTGAGGTCCGCGGAGAAAGACGATCGAGTTGGTCGTGGAAATCGCCCGCTGCGATGTCTTGGCGCTCCAGGATAGGTGGATGACTCAGCCGCTCTTTCTAAGCCAATCCGATACCGGTGGTGGTTTTTTAACTCACTCTTTGTTAATTATTGCCTCAATTCGAATTTGAAATATCCTGCACGTCGCGCTGTGTCTTTCTATCCAAGAACTATGTCTGCACCAGTCATCAACTCGGCACGCCAACTAGTCGGCAACACGCCGGTCATCCAACTGCGCAACATCGTCCCCGAAGGATGCGCCGATGTATACCTGAAGCTGGAATCCGGTAATCCCACCGGTTCCTACAAAGATCGCATGGCCCTGTCTATGATCGAAGAGGCCGAACGTCGCGGGGACCTCAAGCCCGGCATGACCGTCATCGAAGCCACGGGGGGAAGCACCGGCTCCTCGCTAGCATTCGTGTGTGCCATGAAAGGCTACAAGTTCCAAGTGGTCTCGTCCAATGCCTTCGCGATGGAAAAGCTGCGCACCATGCAAGCCTTCGGAGCTACCCTCGACCTCGTACATAGTCCCTCGGGGAAGATCACCCCGGATCTCATCCCCTCGATGGTTGAGCGCGCCAAGGAAATCGCCAAAGACCCGAGCTACTACTTCACGGCGCAATTTAACAATCGCGATGCGCTCGTTGGCTATGAGGCTATTGGTCGGGAGCTGTTGGAGCAGATTCCCTCTGGGATTGATGCGTTTTGCGGTGCCGTTGGCGGCGCGGGAATGGTGATGGGTTCGTCGAAGATCCTGAAGTCGAAATGGCCTCATGTCCATGTTGTTGTCCTCGAGCCGGCTTCTTCGCCGGTCATTACGGAGGGCCGGACAGGGACTCATGGTGTGGAGGGGATTGGTATTGGATTCCGTCCTCCTCATCTCGAGGATACGCTTTATGATGAGGCACGCGGTGTTCCAGAGGCTGATGCGCGCGCTATGTGCCGTCGTCTAGCAAAGGAAGAAGGGCTGCTCGTGGGCACGTCCACCGGTATGAATGTCGTCGCCGCAGTCGATCTTGCCCAGCGGCTGGGGCAAGGGAAGAAAGTGGTTACGGTAGCGTGCGACACGGGTCTCAAGTACATGAATAGCAATTTACTGGCAGATGATTAGAAACTGAATACTGCGGGAGTCCTTACAGTTTCTATCCATTTTGAAGTTCGTCGCAAATACCCATGCTAAACACATTGTGGTCGAAGTGTTTGTACCACTCTTACCTCTTCCCTGGGCCAAGGTTCTACTGGGCAATATGCTGCCAAAATGAGTCCGACCACCAGACGAGGGAATAAAGCCTGAGCGTTGCTAATCGATATAGATATTATCAGTGGCTTCATCTCAAGCAGTTCAGGAAATCACACGAATGGGAGGCGGGCAACGACTGAGCGCCAGGTAACCAAATAAATCTTAAGAACGTCTGTTGATGATGTCAAATTATACGGAACGCATGTTTCCGTAGCCCGAGTAGCGTCAAATCGGCCAGTTGTTCGGTTGGCCCAGGTGGAACTAGAGATTGATCTTGTTGTTCAGCTTCTCTCTCAGGATAAATTCGGCCTATTCTGTCCGCTAGGAGGGAAATATTAATTCGAGCCCGCTATTGACCTGCATTGATCCGCCACGATGCAACTATGGAGTATCTGAAGCTGGCCAAGCGATCGGTCCCATCGCTGGACGTAGCTCAAGAATCGGCCCACCAAGACATATCATGTTATGAAGTCTTGCGCTTGAGGATAGAAATATATTAAGGCGACTCTTAGTTTGATGTGATTGGCTCAGGAGACACGTCAAATGGCGGTGAATCCGTATAACTAGGGATAAGCTCATGTGTCTTACGTTTTCACTGGCTGATTCAAAATCTATTGATGCTTCGTAGATCTATCACTTCACCGCTCACCATAGACTCAACGATTATCCAAAAAAAGACTTCCTGGGCATTGGCCGCATGGTTGCAATGTGAGACCTCTTGAACTAGACTAGTCTCGCTGCCGCTGTTCATCTCCGAACTTCTCCGCTTCCTTGCTGGAAAGTTTGCATATCGCCCATCAATCTAGAATTTGGCGACAAAGCAAATAATATTATTGGGCACAGTTGACTACTTAGTTGACGAAAGTGGGCGTTGCTGTTTCAATTGTATGCATCCACGAAGCTAATTTGCGCCGGAGAACAACCCTCCTGGTCCGAACACTTCGAATAAAGCGGCATGAATGCAAGAATAATGGAAGGTAGTCTAATATGGGAACGAACCAGTCACAAGTCGGCTGTGGCGGACCATTTGATGGGCGATCTCGCAGGGGCTTGGCTGGGAGATCGGGAATTGCATTGCACATTGCCATGCGTCACATCTGCAGATCCTCTGAAAAGCAGTATGCTCTCGGGTTCGAGCTCTCAGTTCAACTATATAAATGGAGTTGTGCCTTAAGAGCAGTTAGTGACTTACCTGAACCCTATACCCATTTGTTTCTAATTATGACCCTATGATTGCTCCATCAACCGATACGATGGAAGCAGACGCCGAAACTGTCTTTAACTACCTGGGAAAGCGCTACGAGGACGCATTTCTCGACAGCCCTAAACTGTGTCAGGTTGTACGCCGTACAATAAGCGCTCTTGAACCTCATAGTCGCGTCCTGGACGTCGGCTGCGGCACAGGCAAGCCGGTCGCCGACATAGTAGCGAGCGCCGGTCATGAGGTGTACGGTATCGACATCTCTGAGACTATGGTGAATATCGCTCATTCGCAAGTGCGCGGAACATTCCAGAAGGCGGACATGAGACAGTACACGCCACCCTGTGCAATGGATGCCGTCTTTGCAGTGTACTCGCTGTTCCAGATCTCCCCGAGCGATACACATTCCATGGTCTTCAAGTTCGCCGAGTGGCTACGGGAAGGAGGTCTGTTGGTCCTCGGTGTCACGCCTAGTACGAGCCTCAGGTCGGACCAGGGCACCTTTGATCCCGTCTGGGGCTGCATTCGCGAGGTAATCAAACCGTGGATGACATGGGTGACCAAGGAGACCTTTCTTTCGGAACAAGGCTGGTTGGATCTGTTGCGACAGGCTGGGTTCAGCATTGAAGCCGAGCGACTGTTCCAGTTTCTGCCAAATGATGCGGAGCATAAGACTGCTGAGGCACACTACCTTCTTGTTGCGAGGAAGACAACATCAACTCCCTTGCTTGGTCCATATCCTCTCCCGCAAGAGCATGCAGTGCTCCCTTTGCTGCATGAAAAGACATGGGCGTCACTGCAACGCCAACTTGTCATTGAGGGCGGACAGACCCCGGTACTTGGTCATATGGCTGGGGCCCAGAGTCTCCTCGAGTTGGGCTGTGGACTAAGCTGTAGGTTATTCAACTGAACTACATTCCGAGTTCCCCTTTAACTGACCCGATAACCCTCTCTAGCATTTATGAAGGCGTCCGAGATGTCATTTGATGGAGCCACCCAGTCCCTTCCAGCTCTGCTCGAAAGGTTGCCTTTCGCAGACGGTCAATTCAACGCCACATTCTCAACATTCGCCCTTGATTCCGTCCCGAATCTCCGGTCTGCACTATCAGAGCTCGCTCGCATCACGGATCCATCCTCCCCAGCCGCTAGCATTACCATCGTGCAAGGGGCCCCAGACAATGAGGTGATCAGACTGCTGAACTCCGTCTGCCTCCCTCGGAGCACACAAACCCCGCAGCCAAGTCACCAGGGGTACTTACTGCACTATGCAAAGAAAGTATTATCCATGGAAGGGTTCGGGAACATTTCTCTTCACAGAGTGAGAAGCAAGTATGTCTTCGCGGAACATGATACTGTCAATCATGTAGCAGACTTGGTGGCCGGGTCTAGATATCGCGAAGACAACAAGCTCGAGGAAATGAAGAAGGCTCTGGCACCGCATTTACTGAACCTGTTCAGTGAGCACCCGGATACACTTCGCAACGATTTGGTAATGCTTATTGCCAGACCGACGCCGAACTAGCCCATTTGTTGTTGAACTGAAAAGTAGGATTTTGCTCATTTTGGACAGTGGAACTAGATTGATAGTAGATTAGACTTGCTTTTGTATTAGATTTGCTGATATATGATATCGACACTTTGGAGTCATACAATCTATACAGATTTAACCCAATAACGCTCCCTTTTCCCTGGGATTATTTCATTCTCCAGAGCATTCAGGCTGTAGATCAGGCATTAACCTTAGGGGTTTGCGGTGCCATTGGCGGCGCAGGAATAATAATGGGTTTATTAAAGATCCTAAAGTTAAAATAATCTCATATCTATATTATTATTTTTAAGCCGGCTTTTTTGTTAATTATTATAGAGGGCCGGACAAAGACTTATAATATAAAAAGAATTAAAATTAGATTTTATTTTTTTTATTTTAAAAATATTTTTTATAATAAAGTCTGCAGTATTCCGGAGGCTAATATATATATTATACATTATTATTTAATAAAGAAGAAAAGGTTACTAATAAATATATTTATTAATATAAATATTATTATTATAATTAATTTTATTAAATAACTAGATTAAAAAAAGAAGATAATTATAGTAATATATAATATAAGTCTTAAATATATAAATAATAATTTATTAGCAGATAATTAGACACCAGACATTATAAGAGATTATATAGTTTTTATTTATTTTTAAATTTACTGTAGACATCCACGCTAAACAAATTGTAGTCAAAGTTATACCACTCAAGTTACCTCTTCCTTGGACCAAGCCCAAAATTAATTTTCGTGTCCTAAGTGTGGTTAATGTGGCCTGTGATCATTTAGGGGATTTACGTGAACCTGCAGAACAGTATTGGCCACGACCACCGGATGAGGGATTAAAAATATTTCGCTAAATTCCACATATTTGAGGCGAGAAACGACATAGCGCCAAGCTTATATCAAAATGGGGTTTTCATGATATCAGAATTACATGGATCGCATGTTTCCGTGATCCGAATGGCGTCAGATCAGGGCTGTAGCTTGGTGGGATACATTTTTTAACATGTTGCCACGGATAATGAGAGCTTCTGACGGACTAACACCCCGTATCATGCAGTCCAGGACGGTTGAATTCATTATCGGCAAACACTGAAAGCGCTTCTCGATTCACGCGTTGACAAGCTTTTTTCCCAGGAAGATATTCAATTCCCCTATCAATGCAGAAGTAGATGAGGTCGACCTGGATTAGAAAAAAGCCGTATCATTTATCCTGATTTATTTGCGTCTCAAGTGCTCAAGGAGACGGGCGGACGGCTCACATACCCTTCGATTTTCGCGTATCCACAATCCTGGACTCCGTCACCAGGCAGGACTAACGACTCCATACCAACACAACCCAAGCACAGCACCTAACACAATCGCAGCCGCCGGCGGGACCTTGAACCATGCACTTTGGGCATATGTAACAGCGGCAATAACAACCCACCAGGGCTCCTTCGCCAGACTCTGCCCATCACGATCCTGCGGAGTTAGATATCCAATTTCCCAAAGCCGGTACACAGCTGTAAACACTAATCCAACAGCTGATGCATTCACCCCTCGGAGGAAGTCAACAATATACTTCCGTTTCCGCAGAACACGCCAAAAGGACTGCATTGCGACGGCGAGGGTAATTCCAGGGAAGAAGATCCCTAGCCCACTGAGCAAGGCACCGAGGACTGTTGGGTAGGATGTGGTTTGGACGGCAAGAGCACCGAGAAAGACTGCAAAGTTGAAGTTTGGGCCGGGGAAGGCCTGAATGATTGCGAGGCCGATCAGGAAGTCTCGACTGGAAACCCAACCCGGGTCCACGACGTATGACCGGAGCAAGGGGATGACAACGGGGCCGCCGCCGAAGATCACAGTACCGGCTAGGTACATATTCGCGAAGAGGTCGAGAGATAGAGGCGGTGCGGAGAGTTTGGCTCTTGCGACGAGAATGGCGATGAAGGAGGCTATGGTTTCGGGGTCAGCCTTTATCCAGTGATATCGCAAGCTTTCACACGGAATCTTACCAAAGAAGAAGATAAGGATTACAGCCCCCACACGGATCCGAATGATATGCTCCTGTGCAGGAGTTTCCCCTTCTTCCGGGGCCTGGATATCGGTTGAGATCGGCGGGGATGCCTCTGTGCCTGACTTCCTCATCCGCAGCATCTCTGTTCCAGCACCCTGTCCTGAGTTCCGCGCGGACGAACGCTCGTGACCTGCCGATCCAGAGGCGTCGCCCTCCGGTTCGGGCTGGCGATTCCTATTTATCCACGCCATCTTTGCCCTGAGAATTCGTTGATATACCCAACCATCCCACAGTGCCGTAGCCACACCACCCGCAACCATAAGAACTGGGAAATACCAGAGTGCGCTATAGCAGAGGCCTGCGCATGCACCGAAAATAACCAGGATGCGGGAAATCTTATCACGGATCGCCTTTTCAGCTAGCTGGACGGCAGCGAGGGCAACAATGCCTACTGTCGAGGCATTCAGGCCGGAGAGAAGAGCGTAGACTGCCGCGGGCAGGGTTTCGTCGATCCGTTGCACGCCGAGAGAGAGGGCATACATACCGACTGCGCCGGGAAGACTAGTAGACTGATCAGTCCATCAATCCGAATGGCAAGGGACACAGTTAAAGCAGTAGACATACCACCAGAGGACAAATACCAGTAAGGCCGGGATGAAGCCAGCGTGAAGCAACGCCAAGCAGAAGAGCATCTTGGTCGAAGCCGGTCCCGGCAGGCCCTGACAGATAGCGAAAAGTTCTTGGTACTTTTACCTGTTAGCCCCTGACGATACTGGACGTCGAAGCCATGCATCCCTACCGTCTGCTCATCAACCCACTTTTCCTGCTCGACAAACCGCGCGTGAAAAATCTGGAAATGAACCGGGGGACCCCCAAAAGACGTAAATCCCAGATACCATGTATGTCGCACGACCTCGCCCAAGCGTCCAAGGAGGGGGTCGGTTGCCCCGGCATGGCTGCGCCAGCTTCGATGCAGGGCCCGTAGGGACGCAATAGGCCGCGACCGTGTCGGGAGGAGCATTTTAGATTGAGTTACAATTCGGCGTGCGGTAATCAGCCTTTTCAAAGCATGAGGAAAAACAAACCGACCGTCGTTCGAGAGGGGATCGGGATTATTTCAACCTTTAGGATAGTGAGCTAGTTAACCTTAAATCAGTTGAACCTGAATTTTAAGGTGGGAAATCCACCCGACGTGGATCCAATACGAGGTCGGCAACTGGTCCGCGGTCTGTCACTGCGAGCTTCTAATTGGCTGTCTGTTTCGCAGTCCTGTAAAAGGTGGGCCACGGGTTGTCTTTGGTGATGAGGACAAATTCGCTTCCTCACGTCTTCCTAAGTGGTCATCGTTGAGATGGATTATCAAGTTTTTTCGGTTCTTTGAAGTGAAAGAAGTGTAGTTACCAGTGTTTTAGCAGTAGATAAAGCTGCGACGGCCTTCGGACTATCCCAAAACCTCAATTTTTTTCTACACTACACACGTCTCTTGCGTATGCCACTTGTTTCAGACACGTTTTGGTGAATATCAGGGATATTACTCCGTATGTGTTGGAATTCCAAAGAAATATTAAGATCTCCCTCGGACTATAAATCAGGCATCGATTCTTGTGGTTGTTGGTGCCTGATTCCTTGGCCAACGGAGTGTCCCAAAGCGGCTAGCGCTGATGCCCTGTCGATCAGGCTGCCACCATCCCCAACGAGGAGAAACGCACCGCTCGTCTGTGATCCTGAATGCCGTGAGATTAGAGCTCTGTGGAACGCCGGACTGCAGCGTGGATCGGTTGTTTTGCATTCGGTGGGGGCTGCGAGGATGAAGGGCACAGCTGCAGATAGTCGTTGCCTTGGCTTACGCTGAGTGTATAAAGTCTCACGATGTGCCCCGATTTGAGCTCTTTTGAAGCCATTTGGTCTTCAAGGACGGCCTTCGGAACATACCATGCGGTCTCTTCTATCTCTCGGCTTGGCCAGCGTCGCTGCATGCTTGTCTACGCCGAGTTCAAAGCCTCTCCCTACCGCAGTGCTCGATTCCGGTGCCATTGTTGGAACTACCACGTCCCTTCCCTCGTCCACCGCCGTGGTGAAACAGTACCTTGGTATCCCTTTCGGTGCGCCGCCAGTGCGGTTCAGTCCTCCCAGGCCTGTGCCGCGATGGTCGGGGTTCCGCAATGCCACCACATGGGGACCGGCGTGCATTCAAGAAATGAACAAAGCATCCAAGGACCACTACGATATGGCAGGCATCGGGGACCCCCTTGGTGGAGAGAGCGAGGATTGTCTGAACCTCAACGTGTTTACTCCGGCGGATGCGTCGGTGGGATCCAAGCCGGTGCTGGTTTGGATCTATGGCGGCGGCTTCATCAACGGCGGCTCGGCACTGCCGATATACGATGGAACGAGCTTTGCTACCAATCAGGATGTCGTGGTGGTGACGTTTAATTATCGAACGAACGTGTTCGGATTCCCTGGTGGTGGCGTGCCCCAAGGCCAAAAGAATCTGGGGTAAAATTCTCGTTCGCCACGCTACGCAAGTACCCAATACTGACCTGGAGTGTAGCTTTCTCGACCAGCGACTCGCCCTCGACTGGGTGCAGCGCAACATCGCCAGCCTCGGAGGCGACCCACTCCAAGTGACCATCATGGGTGAAAGCGCCGGCGGAGGCAGCGTCGACGCCCTGGTCACATCACCCCCTGATCCGCTTCCTTTCCGCGCCGCAATCATGGAGTCGAATCAGGCGTCGATCGTAGCTCCGCTAGATAACAAGGAGCAAATGTACCCGCAGTCATGGAAGACATTTCTCAACCTGACTCATTGCCCTACCGATGGCGCAATCGAATGCCTCCGAAAACTCCCCGCCCAGAAGATCAAGAAGATTCTCGACACCTCCGGTCTGCCCTTTGGCCCTCTGCCCGATGGCGGCGTCACGCTTTCCAACACTCCTCGAGAGGATCGGCTACACTCCACCGAGGGAAACTCGACCATCGTGCGAGTCCCCGTTCTTTTCGGGAACAACGCAGACGAGGCAAAGCCTTACGTCGTTGGCGCTAACGACACGCGCAAGGCCCTCGAGGGAATCGGCCTAGGCAAGCTCGCAGACACTTTGATCAAAGCGTATCCTTTGGGCCAGCCATCAGGGACACATACCGAGAACGACCGAATCAGTCTCATCGCAAATGATCTGGGCGTGCACTGTCCGATGAAATTCTACGCCGACGATAACATCAAAGTCAACATCCCTGCTTGGAGATATTTGTTCAATGCCAGCTTCCCTAATAGCGAATTGTTCCCTGGCAGCGGAGCATACCACATGGCGGAGATCCGGCTTGTCTTTGGCACGTATGAGAAGAAAGGCGCGACTGGGTTTCAGGCCAAAGTAAGCCATGCTATACAAACGGCGTGGGCAGACTTTGCCAAAGATCCGTTCCAGGGACCGGGGTGGGAAGAGGCTCCCACTGTTGGAGTGTTCGGGGACGGCGTGAAGGTCGGTATGGATCCAGAGGGAAAGAAGGCGTTGAGGGCGGTTAGCTCGACGGACATGGATCGGAGGTGTCATCTTTATGAATCGATATATGTATAATAAGGTTTGCTCACGCGGTTTTGACAACGACTTGAATGAATTCCTCCTGTCAGTGAAATTTAGGTCAATCCAGGGCTCACCGTTGCAACGAGGCCTGGATAACTGTTGACATACAAGGACAGACAATTGCCTTAGCTAGGGTTTTTGGTCTAGTCGTCTACCTGCTAAAAATAACTACAGCCGACATTGAAGTCCACACAGATCCTTGGAACATAATATTTCAGCCGCTCTCTTCTTCCAAGTACATGAAAACCCAGACTACGCTCGGGGTGTGCCCGAGATGCCGGTTGTCTTGAGATCAGGCCATATTAAACCAACCATTTATCTCCATCCCGCGGTGATACCCACTCCTTGATTCAGGCTGGTTTCATTTATTCTCTCTCACAGCCAGGTCAAAGGGAATCTGGAGCCCGACCTTCTCAAAGCACCTTCTCGATGAACCTTTTGGCCTCTCCCTCTGTGACCTGGGGCCCGATATATTTCTCCACCTGCGCTCCGTTCTTGAACCCAATTATGGTGGGAATGCCGTTGGAGGAGTATTTCTGCGCCAGGTCTGGGCTTTCGTCGATGTCAATCCAGGCTTGGTAGAGCCCAGAATATTGGGAGCCGACACTTTCGACAATGGTTAATATGAAATCGGACTGGGTGGCAGCTCGGGGGCCAGGGCAAGGAGCGAAGGAAGACAAACTCACTTCTCGTAGTTTCGCTTGGTTGCTTCGCTTATCCCGCTCCAGACCGCTGAGAAGATGACGATGGTTGACTGATGGTCCTTGATGGCGCTGTCAAACTGGGCCTGGCTATATTCAACATTAGACCGTGCTAGTCCCCGAGGGTAAGGGGAAGCTACTCGGTGATCTGGTCAAGAGGCATGTTGGTGGTTTTGCAAACGTTCCGGTGCGCTGCAGGAGGACAGACTGTGTGCGTCCAATGGTGTGTATGAGTGGAATTGAAAAGATCCGAGTGGTGGAATCTTCCTTTCTAAATGCAATGGTCGTCTGCGCCTTCATATATCCCGGACGCTGAGTTGTATTTGCCACTTACCCCCTCCTGCGAAAAAAGAAAAAAGAAATGCACGAAGGCTGGCTGATCAGCATCATAGGAATCGATCGCGTCAATTGAGATCGGTCTGATCGTGCCTGGATTGGGGTTGGCGTGGTCTGCGATACTACCCTGGCTTGCATATTTTACGAATCCCCGGTGGAATCCGCGGCAGACTAGTGGTCACCCCGAATGGTCTATTCATCAGCTGCATACTCCCCAACGGAATCATCTTACAGACAGGGCACACAGTGTGAGGGGTCATGCAGCTTCCAATTTACGATCCTAGTCGGTGCAGGAGGGGGTGATCTCGATTCCTCCAGCCTGCAGCTTGGCTGCATACAACTTGTCGCACCAGGACAGAAACCCCAGCTGTAATGCATGCACAACAGATGAGGAGTACGTGGGCAACGCCAGCCACCATTTGGGATGGTTTCTGGGTGACAATTATGCTCCATCGGGGTATAAATATGGCCGTCGAGCCATGGGATAACGGCAAACACAGTCAAAGCACAGCGATTATCTCTCAGAATGGAGGACTCCAAGCCTGCAACCCAGTTCATTGTTGATCAACAAGCGCAAGTCCGGGACAGCCTTCCCTTCCATGATAAACGAGATTTTGTGAACGCCGAGAGGGGTTTGAGGGGCCGTCTGAAGCCGAATGTCGTTAAAGATGGCCAGGGCGAGCTCGTGTGGAACAACGATGCCTACGAGTTCCTAGAGACCGATGCTCCGGACACGGCGAATCCAAGTCTATGGCGCCAGTCGAGGCTGGCTCATCTGGATGGGCTGTATCATGTCACTGGCGGCATCTACCAGGTGCGCGGGCTCGACCTCTCCAACACCACCATCATCGAAGGTGACGAGGGCCTGATCATCATCGATCCACTCACGTCGCAAGAGACCGGTGCTGCTGCGTTTGCCCTCTACCAGGAACACAGGGGTAAAGACCGAGCCATCAAGGGGATCATCTACACGCACTCTCATGTCGACCACTTCGGCGGGGTGAGAGGTTTCGTCACAGACGAAGATGTCGAGAAAAACGACATCAAGATCCTTGCGCCGGAGGGCTTCCTCGAGCACGCCGTCTCCGAGAATGTCTTCACCGGCACATCCATGAGTCGACGTGCGGCATACATGTATGGCGCTGCTCTCCCCCAGGGGCCGACAGGCCAGATCGGCGCTGGCCTCGGACAGACAGTCTCAACTGGGACGGTCACTCTGATCGCACCGAACGTGGATATCACGACTACAGGCGAAACCCAGACCATCGATGGCGTCGAGATGGTGTTCCAGATGGCCCCGGACACCGAGGCCCCGTCCGAGATGCTCATCTACTTCCCGGGATTCAAGGCATTATGTGCCGCCGAGGATGCCACTCACACCTTCCACAATATCCTCACCCTGCGAGGTGCGGTCGTCCGCGATCCCCACGGGTGGTCGAAATACTTGACTGAAACGATCGACCTGTTTGGCAGCGAAGCGGAGGTGGTCTTTGCATCCCATCATTGGCCGACCTGGGGGCAAGACAACGTCGTCGAATTCCTCACCTCCCAGCGCGACCTCTACGCATACGTGCACGACCAGACCCTCCGTCTCCTGAACAAGGGGTACAATGGCCCGGAGATCGCCGAGATGATGACCCTGCCCCCTGCACTGGACAAAGCCTGGAGCGCCCGCGGCTACTACGGCTCTACCAACCACAACGTGAAGGCCATCTACCAGCGCTACTGCGGGTGGTTCGACGGCAACCCAGCCCATCTGTGGGAGCACACCCCTGTGGATAAGGCCAAACGATATGTTGAGCTCGCCGGTGGAGAGGCAGAGATCATTCGCAAGGGCCAAGAGGCGTTTCAATCCGGGGACTTCCGCTGGGCCGCCGAGATCCTCAGCCACGCCGTCTTCGCTAATCCCGATAGCAAGATTGCCAAAGATCGCCTCGCCGATGTCTACGAGCAGCTCGGATACGGCGCCGAGAACGGCACCTGGAGAAACTTCTACATCTCAGGGACCACCGAGCTGCGCAGTGGGAACTTCGGTACCCCGACGACGTCAAGTGCGCCGGATGTGCTGGCACAGCTCACGCCTGAGATGCTCTTCGACGCCATCGCTGTCCAGATTAATGGGCCGGAAGCCTGGGATAAGGAACTGGCTATTGATGTCGTCGTCACGGACCTGGGAGTTACCTACCGTTGGTGGCTGTCGAACGGGGCACTAGTCTACAGCTCGGCCACGCATTCCGGTTCTGCCGATGTGACCCTCACTGGGACGAGTAAGCAGCTTACTGTGCTTGTGATCTCTGGGCCTGATCCGGATGCGCTGGAGAAGGCGGGTGTCAAGATTGATGGGGACACTGGTGCACTGGGTACACTTTCGGCGCTGATCGACCCGGGTGATCCTAGCTTCAATATCGTTACTCCCTAGACTGAGCTTATGGCACCCGTACAGTCATATATTTAGCAGTCCTCGGATGTTTCTGTTTAGTGGAGGAGAAAAAGGAAATAAAGAAAAACAAAGGTGTGATCCATAGTTCGAATTCAAGAAGTGAGCCAGTCCCCCTTTAATCGAGTGCAAAATCTTTTCCCGGAAGTAAGACTACACAAACCAGTGATTGTTTCCGTCTAGGCTGGACTTGTTGGCTCTACTATTGCGATTCCTGAGAGAAGAAAGCATATTATTTTCCAGGGAGCTGTGCCAGTCGGGCCTGGAACTAACCAAAGGTATAGAGCAACAGAATCCGGATATTAGGAGCATCACATTTCTTTTTATTCACAGTATCCCACCCTTCCCAACGATTCCACCTTCCCATCAGGTGAATATCTAGACTCTCACCTCCTCGATCAAATTTACTCTTGCTATTATTGCACAATCTTCGCATACTTCCACTTTGTGCGAGGAAGGCTAGAACAGTTCCTGAGACGGTTTGATGAGCCCTATGCCAGTAGGATAACCAATGCATCTGGAAATGTGTTTTCTTCTGCTATGCTAATTAACAGAGAAGCCTTGGCTACCACTCTATAGCAAAAACGCTCTGCATCCGAGTCAAGCTGACAAAAGTCCATGAGTGCCACTATCCGTGGTTTCAACATTTGAGCCTGCTTGGATCTCGAGTAAGTCTGTTTCTACGTTCACCCATAATTCAATCTTACTAAATATGTCTAGGGAGCCGCTTCATTCAAGGTCCAAAGAGCTCGACCTTTGCATCCGACCAGACAATCTTCCAAAGCCAACACTTGCCATCGAAGCGGCGTGGTCCGAGCCTCATCGGAATTTGATAGACGACATGAGCCTCTAGCTCGTGGGACACAATGGCGATGGAAATCCCGTGATTGTCTTGGATTGGAGGCGAGAAGGGGTCTAATCGAGTCGAGGGAGTTGCAGAATTGTACGTCAGAGACGCCCGAGGAATGTCCATCCTTCGGCAGCGCGAACAGATCTTCCCAGCCCCAACCAGAAACAGCCATTCAATCAAGCCATACACATCACCCGTCGAACACTGTTTGGGCCCACTGTGGCTCCCGGAACAAATCTGAGACAAATACTTGACCTACCGTTGGATCTTTTGAGAAATGTTGCCATGAATGAGCTCAGCCAGATGGAATTGGTTCCTGCATGAAGGAGATATCATCAATTAATCAATCAATCAGTCAAAATTTATTAATCTGATAAAGCCTATATATTGAGGCAACAGAGCATGCGGGCGCTTCTCGAATTAATTAAAAGGTCGAAATATAGATTAAGTAGCTGCTATACGCCTTTCACTACCACTCCTATATAGCGTTATTAAACTCCTTCTACCCCGTTCTATAGTTCCCTTTCGCGCGTTACTAGCATAGATCAGACCGAACTTCTACTTTTGCCCTTTAGTTTAAAGCCCTCCAGCGGATATTCTAGTTTTCGAGCCTCCCCCACCTTACTAAACCGTGTATAGTGGAACTGCCTGTCTAGTATATGGATTGGAAATATAGTAGATTGCGTGTGGATAGGTAACAACCCTACTATAGTCATATATACGCCCATATAGTCCCTCTATATATTAGGGTAATCTATTAACTTCCTATGGTAGATGTAGCAAGCACTCTATAAAAATGTGTTTTGGGGGTTCGGACCTTCGATTATGCTCATACCTATCCACGTTAACCCTCCTTATCTTGGACAAAATGTGCCTTAATCTTATCCTTATGGTACGCATCTATATTATTATCAACAAGTATAAGCCCACACGATACATCAGGCAGTTCTAGGGTCATGGGCATACGAACTACTTGGCGTTAATTATTGCAATAGTCACTGCACGTATGACAGAATTACTTTTTCGGTCAGGACGAAGGCAAACATAATTGGGAAATTGATTGGTACCGCATGCAAAATAACCAGGTAGAGCTGATCAGGAGGGTTTCTCGCAGGTTTAAATACAATTTGGTTTCCTTCAGGGCAGAAAAGATTGAATTTCCTACTGCATAGTAGAATGACGACACTCGCCTATCGTTCCCTCACTTCACCTGTGGAAAGCTCAAGCTAAACACGTTCTCTGGGTCGAATTTCTCCTTCAGCGCTTCAACCTCCTCCGCATGCAAACCGTAGAAGTCCTTCAACGGCTTCGGTTCATCTTTCGTGTGATAAATTGAGATGTATGCAGTCGGAAGGATATTTCCAGATGCCTCTTTGCGAATCTCATCTACAAACCTCGCCGCCCACTGCTGCGACTCCTTCGCACTTTCTTCCTCCGTCGAAAAGCCCAGAATTTCTATCAAAAAATGAGGCTCTCTGGTCCCAAACACCGAGTTGTCCCTTGGGAAAGCTGACGGACCCCTTAGTCCGTGCATGGAGAACATGGCTCCCGGGTTGGACGGCATTTGCTGCACATAGCGTCCGAAGATAGCTGCAATCTCGGGGGTGATCTCGTACAGGTTAAGGGTGCGGGTGGTTCCATACATGGTCTCTGGCACGAGAGCAGCGTTACCATCGAACCATTCTGGGATGGTCGTGGGGGCCACGGTGTTCATGATCGGTGTGCTGAGGTTGGCGATCTTCTGGATCCAGCGCTGGCCTTCTTCCAGATCATCGTCGCTCCAGACCATGGTGGCTCCGAAGATTCGCCCCGGTGGTGCGTTGAACGCTAACTGTTGGAGGGTGAGTTGGCTTGGAATGCCTTCTTTGAGAAGCTTTTGATATCCGGCGTTGAACTCGGCCATTGTTTTGCTGATATCCTGCGAGTCGTACATGATTATTCCGGCGAGGAGCTAGAAGAGGTCAGTTAGGCAATCCATCATCGCGATCCACCTCAAAGGATAGGGCTCAGCACTCACACTCTTCACCGGATACACCTTAATAGTCATGTCCACGATAACGCCAAACACGCCCCCCGCACCCCGGATCCCTTTCAAGAGCGCCTCATCAGCTTTGACAATCTCCCCGTCGGGATTAACCACAGTTGCACCCAGAATCTGATCGACTCCCAAGCCCCAACGTGACGAGAAGGCCCCGTAGCCGCCATACATGGCCCATCCCACGTAGCCGACACTAGGGATCGATCCGGTTGGAGTAACCACGCCCTCCTGCCAGAGCTTCTTTCCAAGATCGCCCTGCAGGATGCCTCCCTGCACCGTGGCGGACTGGCGATCGGCAGCGACCTGCACCGATGTGAGAGCTCGCATGTCAATAACCAGGGCCTCCTCCACTATGGCGCGACCTTCCATGTTATGGCCGCCAGTGCGGATCGTGAACTTGAGGCCTGTGGATTGGACGTATTTGATCAGCGTGCTGACATCCTCTGGGGAGTGCGGATGGACAATAGCCAACGGGACATCGCGATAACTCGCATTGCAGATCTTGCAAAGGGAAGCGAATTCCGGGTGAGAAGGAGGGGTGAATCCAATGGTTGGATGGTCCTTGAGGAAGGCCTCTAACGCGACCAACTGATTCTCAGCCATGCTGTAGACGTTGAATCAGTACTTACCAGGGGGGGGAAGAGGAACGCAGGGATTATTTATAACGGCCAAAGCTTATCTCCGAGCCCATCCTTCGAGCATCGGGACTTTCCACACGCGAGGCCGACATTCACTCACGCCCAGCAGATGAATCTCGCCTGAACCCTGGCTCCCTGTACGCCCCCGTATTCACCAGCCTGTGTCTCCCGAGTCTCGGTCCACCTGCCACGTCGCTATTCCCCATCACGCGGTGTTTCGGACTGCTGACCCCAGCTGAAAAGCCCAGGGTCCTGGATCCGCAGAGATCCGGAGAAGTCGATCATGTCGCTCTCAGCCGTGCAGTCTCGCCCAAAAGAACACGGATTGGTAAGCTGGACACCGTAAGATCGGAGGGTTTCCAAGTGGAGCTCCAATTCGCCCATCAGCCCTAAATCATCGACGATTGAGCCCGATTTGACGCCACTAGTCGCGCCGTTTGACAAGGCTAGACGATAGTTCAGTTTATAGCTTGGGGAGATACACGTTAACACCGGAACTTCCTGGTATTGATTGGGCGAGATGTGTCGTCTTTCAAATCAAAGATGGCCCATGCCAAGGAGGACCGCTATTTCATCATGTGCTCTCTTAACCCTAGTATATCACTGTCTGGGTTCATCAGCCCATAACAAACAAATTGTCAATTTAATTAACAGAAATTCATGAATCTGAAGGAATAAAATTCACAGATTAGTCATGCTATAGGGGTAACTAATTATGCCTGTCATCAGCGCTGCGATTCTCCATCAGTCGCTCCCTCCTTGTCTAAAATGGGCTTGAACAGTCCCAATGACCCAGTCCACTCTCCCCTTAACTATTGCTGAAAAGTAGGAAAACAGGAAGCGTAGAAAACCCTATTATGCTGCTCCACAACTCCGTACTCCGTGGTGTCGACCCAATTCTCGCCCCCAAATCTTCATTCCCGACATTCCACCAGGATCTAGCGCCTCTGCCGGGCATCAAAGCCCCATCCACGCAACCTCACAGTCCGAAATGCCTCGTCCTCAGCTCGCCAATGTCAATCTAGACGAGCACTCGCCGTTCATGCGGCCAGTCCTCCGCTTCATCGACGCCCACTACATTAAGTACGCGCCTCCTTCCACCCGGGCCCAGTCCAGAAAGCTAACTAACCGTGTAGAATTATCGTCGTGTACCTCATAATCCACGTGCTCGGATTCACGATCGGCTGTCGGTGTCTGTTCGAAGTTGATTCTTGTCGCTATTACGAGGGGTTCCTGCGAGCTCTGACAGGGATTCTGATCAATCTTTGTATCGTGGTCGCTGCTGTGTCGAAGTATCGGCAGGCGAGGGTTTCGCGGTGGAGGGAGGATGGTCAATTGGCTAGTTAGGCTTGGATGGGGTTAGAATTTGATTTCAGTGCAGTTACGCTGTCTATTATGGTTAATATATTGGGCGATTCATGTTCAGGATATGCAGTGGAGGCATAATCTATGATCGTGGGTACTTGACCTCGCAGGGTACACATTGGAATAGAGCCGTATAAGCTGTTGAGGTAAAGATATAAAACAAGTGAGTCCCAAGGAGGTACAAAATTCTCATTAAAAAATGTTAAACTTGAACACGGTACATAATGATTTCACCCATACAGATTGTCAAAACAAAAAGAAAAAGAAAAAAGAATGAATGACAAGAGTGGGATTCGAACCCACGCCCCTTTCGAGACTAGGAATATTCGGATGAATATGTGAGATCAGGTACCTGACCCTAGCGCCTTAGACCGCTCGGCCATCTTGCCGGATTGTTGTATCACGTGAAGATCTTTTGTTCTATAGGCTACCACATCCTCCAATCAGCTACAGGAGGAATGAGAATAGAATCCCAAGTTCCTTGAACAGCAGTTTGTACTAGACATAATAATAATAATGATAATAATAATGATAATAATAAAAAGAGAGAGAGAAAGAGAAGAATACTGATTTCACATTCATAATAAGAGGGGAGTTCTCGTTGGCGTATTCCCAGGATGCCGGTTGTATATATCCCGGATCGGTTTAAACATATTCAACGGTTTCTAAGAGGGTTGAGAACGAGAACTTACGCTGGACATCGATAAGTAGAGAAAGAAGCCACTAAGAAGTACACAGGAATGAAGGTGATTTAGATGCGCGATGTTAGTCTGGCTAGTCGCGTCATAGCATTCGATACAAGTGCCGTCGATGCATGTGTCAATGAAACTAGGCTAGAAGTTACAAGTCAAGATTAAATCTATAATCAACAAAAGATCTAGTATATACAGAGTACATATATATCTATATATACATGTCAATCAATGACGAAAGTCCTCCTCTTCACCAGGAAGAAGAATCTCATGCCCCGAACCCTCGTAAACAAAGATAGCCGCCACGCAACCAAACACCGAAACCAGAGCCACCAACCACCAAGCGAACCCGACCATCCCGATCTCCAAACCATACCCATACCAGGACCCCGAGAAGATGGGCCCGACGGTGCGGAAGGCCGAGGAGACGGACTGGCCAATGCCGTGGATGGTGCCGAGCACGGAGGGATGCGGGGAGCAGTTGTTCAGCAGGATGATGGACGTGGGCAGGGTGAATGTGCGCGCGGTGACTTGCAGGAAGAGAACCACGATGATGGAGAACCAGACCCACGAGCCGTTGGCCTGGCCCGGGGGCGGGGTGCTGGAGGGCGCCAGCGCGATGTAGGGAGCGAAGGCGTAAGCCACGGGGAAGAGGGTCAGGAAGTACTGATAGCTTTTGGCGGTGCCCAGGCGGCTGTTAATGGCCGGATAGATGGTGAACTGGAGGAGCATGCCGATGATGCCGAGGATGGCCGTGGCGAAGCCGACACTCTGGGGCAGCATGCCGAGGCCGCCGGTGAAGATGAAAGGGAGCCTTTGCTGGGGGCTAGCGGGGTCGTTGAAGTCGTAACGGGGAGTCGAGAGGAACAGCAGCCAGAGGTTGTTGAATGCACTAGAATCGTCAGCGTTGTGACTATACAAGCTCGAGCGGAAGGAACCTACCCCATTTGGAAATCGAAGAAGGCCTGCGCCAGCAGCGTACACAACACATTCTTGGTCCACAATTGGCGGAAAGGCAACGAGTGAGCGTGTCGGGCTGGCTTGGTGGCCTTCTCTTCGAGTTCGTAGCTTTCGGTCGGGTCCCGACGCAGAAGGGGCTCCTCGTCGTAGTCGGCGAAGGGCAGTCGCTGATAGATGCCGGACGACGACGGCACGACGGATTTCATGCCGCGAGAGAAGATTCTCATGGTGAAGACACCCAGGCCGGGCTTTCCTTTGCAGGCGTCCAAAGTCTGTCCTGATTAGCGCTCTACCCCAGACAATACCCGAAGAATAAACATACCTCTTCCAAGCCCATGGCCACGCAAACCGCGGCGAACGACAGAAAGATCGAATTGGCCAACATCGGCAGAGCATAAGGATACGTGATCAGCCACTGGACGCCGGTCTGGCCGCCAAACGAAGAGTCCGGGCCGAACAGTCGCGGATAACTCTTGACGGGATCGGACAGCATACCGCCCATCACTATAAAATCATTAACCAGCGTCCCTTAAAAAATACAATAACCAGATACTCACCAGGCCCAAACAACGACGCAATATTAAACCCAATGGGCAGGATCAAAAACGCGCGCGAGTGATACTTCTTCTCCTTCACATTCTCGGCGATCATGGTCCGAATAATACCCACGGTACCGTTAATAGCCCCACCGAACGATCGCCAAAAGACAGCCTGCGCAAAGGAAGTCGAGAAAGCGACACCGAGACACGAGGCGGCGGTACCCAGCAAACCGACCAGCAGGACGAACTTGCGACCACCCCATTCGGCATCGGCGACGCGACCCCAAGGGATAGCCGTGGCGAACTGCGCCGCGGTGAAGGCGCCCTGCAGGATGCCGGCCTGCGTCGAGACGTCCGAGTCGGACAGGTTCTCGTCGAAGGACTTGAGCTGGTAGAACATGTAGGCCTGCAGGGAGGCGATCTGCAGGAAATCGAACACGCGACACAGGCCCAGCAGGGCCAGTTGTTTCTTCTGCGGCAGCGACATCCAGGTGACGGGGCCGGGCCGGGACGGCGGAGGCGCCATGGGGTCCGGCGGCGGCGTCAGGACGGTGGTTTGCGGGTGACTTTGCGAGCGACTGCGAACATGACTGGGGTAGTCGAGGGAGGTGTTCCTCAGGGCCATGCCGGCCGGAGCGTCGTCGGCGGGAGAGAGGTTGGAGCCCTCGGAGAGGTCGTCGAGGGAGACGTTAGACTCGCGACGACGGCGCTGCTGGGTGGAGGAGTCGGTGTTCGTGTTGTGACCGGTTGTCCAGGAAGTGGTGCGGGTGTGGCGGGCATTCCGGTTCTTGTTCTGGCTGAGATGGGAGGAGGGCGTGGCGGCGGGAGGGAAGCCGGGAGATAAGGGCGAGGCACTGCCCGTGAACGACTGACGACCGGTGCCTTGGGACGCCGTTCGTGGCGGCATCGAGGGCGAGGATCTAAGAGGTAAGCGAGGGGATTGGCGCCGAGCTAGGCGACGACAATTGGCAAATCGGACGGAGGAGGACTAAACGAGCGAGGGAGAAAAGGTCCGAATGAGTCAAAGGAATGACACCGACAAGGCGGATAATAATAGTAGTAATGACAGAGAAGAAAGGAAAGACTGCAGCGTGCAGAGTGACGCTATCGGATAAGTAAGTGGCAGCGTGAAAGATGAAGAGAGCCGATCAGGAGGTGGAGCCGGACAAACAATGCATACACCAACAATGACTATGGAGTCCTGCACCGGAGTAAAATATTAGAGTCGCGGCTAAAATGGCTTGCGACGCCGTCTCCACTCTGGCGTCTTGGCAGTTTGGCCATTGTTTTTTTTTATTTTCATATACGCAGTATATTTTAGTCCTTTGGAAGTCCTCTGCTGTAGATGACTTCATCCATGACTCGTGCAGGAGTCCATCTCCGAGTGCGTGGTCAACTACATAAAAATGAAAACAAAAATAGTAAAAATCGAAGAAAGAATAAAGATATAAATAACACTCATACGTAGACTCCATCCGAAGACGTAGAAAAACACGCAACTCCGCGTTTCCGTGGTCTGTGCGCTGTTTGCCGGTACCGTCTGGTAATTTACCCGCCGTAAATGACGGTTCGCCGAGGCCGGAGTTTATTACCGTCCATTTGCTCGATTTGTTGTTTTGACTGATTTGTTTGGTTTGTGATGTTTGCTCGATTTGACTATTTGGATTCTATTTCGGTCTGAAGATATTTGATTCTGGATACTCCGTTCAACTAAACATCCCTCCCCGGCTGCGTCACCGGCGAATAGTACACGCCTTCCCCTCTCCTCCATCGTCGCCAATCCCACCACGGTCGCTCTCCCATGCTGGACACCGACCCCGTCTCATGCAATGCCTCCGTGGACTCTCGCTCCTTACTGTGATACTGGTAGACCGACCGCCGCCGTCGATATATCCGCAACGCCGCAAACACCCCCGCCGCGACGATCACCACTCCCAAGGCGGGTCCTACCCATCCCACGCGCTCTACTTAATAACTACCCGTTAGCTTGGCTCGCCTCCGAAACGCAACTGAAACGTCGCATCCAAAAGGGGAAGAACCAGGGAATTCCCTTGGGCAAAAAAAAAAAAAAAAGACTTACGATAAGTTTCTTGCACGATCGCCGGCGCCGTTGCTGACCCTCCGTCTGGGGATGTCTCGGACGATATTACACTTCCGTAATGAGCCTGCGGATGCTCGGGATCAACCCAGGGGACCGTGTTGATCCCCGCCGGGGGCACGGATGCCGCCGCGGCGTCCTCGCCGGGCACCCCGTATGAGGTCGCCTCGTCGCAGACCTCGTCATGGCAGTACGCTTGCAGCTGCGGCGACGGCGTGAAGGTGAATTTCGCCGGCGACCGTCCCAGCGCGTGGCCCTGCAGGTCCACCGCCTCGGCGTACGTCCACTGGTAGAAGTGCGGGTCGCGATACTCCGTCTCGAACCCGCTCTTGGCCGTCTGTTTCAGCAGCTCGTACGGGCCCGTGCGGTTCGTCGCGCCGTAGAACCGCCACGACCGCACGCGCGTGGCTCCGTTCCAGCTGGCGTAGAAGGTCGTGGGCGCGAAGGCCTCGCTCGACGGCGAGTATGTCCACAGCGCCGGCACGTCCGTGGGCATCCCGTCCCATTCGAACTTCTGCGCGCGGTAGTTCATGATCCGGTCCTTGTCCAGGTAGCCCCAGAGCAGCAGCTCGCCGTTGGCGTCGTGCTCCGAGATGTAGGCGTTGTTGCCCCAACCGATGAAGACGTTGCCATTACCCAGCGTCTGCATGTTGCCCTGGCTGGAGCTGAGCATGTTATGTCCCATCGGAGCGTAGTCGTGCAGCTGCTCGGCCGTGTGGTTGACATGGTTGACAAGGATGGTCATGCCGGACGAGTAGCCGTGGGTTTGGTTGAAGCCGTTGTAGCCGTTGTTGTAGAGCGTCAGGAGCGTGTGCGTGGCGTTCTCGCTGAGCCAGCGGGCGTCATGCTGCTGCGAGAAGCTGAAGTTGATGTTCTCGAAGGACGGATTCGCCCCGTGCAGCTGCCAGATGACGGAGCCGTCACGCCCCGAGATCTTGTAGATGGCACACGTGTGGCGCGAAGAAATCAAGTAGTCACCATCGCGGTTCTTGTCAACCGAGTTGATGTGGAAGTAATCCCAAGGCGAGCGCGCCTCAAACCCGGTGCCCGAGGTATCTGTGGCGCCGGGGTAGGTGTAGCTGGCGGACGGATCGACATGGTCCAGCGATTTCCACTCGAACAGCACCTCGTTCGTTTCGACGTCCACCTCCTGGAAGATGCTCTCCATTAGCCACCCCATGCCCGTCTTGACGTTCCACAGACTCATGTCAAACTGCCGCTGCTGATAGACGGTCATCAACGCAGTCTTGCCGTCATTGATGAGCTTAAATTCGTGCATGTCGCTGGACGCCATCCCGCCGCCGGGGAGGACCGTCTTCACGATGCGATACTGGTTGTCCATGATCACCCCATGGCCTCGACAGTAGCCATTCTGTTGGATGCCCTGGAAGAAGCAAAGATGATCCGTTCCTTTGTATTGGCATACGTGCATGCCGTGGGCATTACCGGGGCCGGAATTCCCCCAACCGCTCCATACTAGATTCTAAATCCTAGGATCAGCAAAAGCGCAGACACTGACATCTAGGACAAGAAGACATACCCCCGCATTATCATAGATATAAGGTCCCGAGTTATCCGCCTCGTAAGGACCGAGAAAAATGTATCCGGGGCTGAGTTTGTGCGAAACGGAATGTTCCAAAGTCAAGACCGGGGAATAAAGATCAGGTCTCTGCAGAAGAGTTCAACAGTTAGCCTTTCATCGGGGCCAAACGACGGCGATCCATTGGACGCCTCGCAGCACGCAATCAAGGGATAGACGTAAACATACAGATCTGAAGACAGCATCAACCTCGGCGACGGCTTGCTGCAGGCTGCATAGCAACAGAAGCAACGACGCGATGATCGTGCGGAGAAGGATTGAGGATGGAGTAGCTCCTCCCGAAGCGAAATCCGTTGAGAAGAGCATGGATTCTTCACATTACTCACGCAGGCTCGTTCTTTTCTTCTGCCAGAGAAGAAGCCAGAAATTGAAGGAGAGACTTGGACAGGACGATTGCAGCAAGAGCAGCACCCTCGACCCAAGTAACAAACGTGCTTGAAGCAAGGGGTAGGAATGTTCAGGAGAGCAACAGATCCCAGCTGGAATGCAGGCAGGGATCAGCGCAGAGTTGTGACGGCACATGGGAGGTAAATCTGCGAAGCTTTCCCACCATGGAGACATGAAACCCACTTGGCGATGCTAAATCGACCCCGACCAGAGTCTAGCGCCGTGGGAATCTGGACAAAGCATGATATCCACAATGGTGATTGGTGCATGAAACGACGAGGTGAGCGGGGCGCTTCATGGTCAATTGCTTGGTCATGCTGTGATCATAATAATAAGACGTTTCGATTGTGGCTTGGATTGTAGATCCAATTCTACAGAGTATGTATATCGCGGTAGATCAAGCTTTCTGCACCCGTGAATTAGAAATCCAAACACCTTACCTGCCATGCCCGGACGTCATCGACTTCCTGCACAGGAGGCACCCAGAGAGCGCGTGCCACACACTACTGTACCTCCATGACGCAGCGTCGTCATGGTATCTCGAGCCATGATGCTGCCGGTGGTTCGACATGATCTTAGCGCCTCCACATGTCATCCATTAGTGCATCGACTGCCATGAATCTCTGGGAACACATCCGTTCAAATGCAGCTGCCTAGCCAGTCCACTTGATCGAGCCACCATCACGGCGAACAAGTGCGAGGAACCATGCGCATGCATGGAGAGCGTACGTAGCGGACTACGTAGGCTTGCGGTAGGCTTGCGGTAGCGTATACGGGCATGAATTCTGCCGGGCCAATTCCCCAAAGCTGTTAGCGCCGAGGGAATCGGACGAGTCGAATAGGTGCCGTCCAGAGATCAGATAGAAGCAGACGGTGGTTATGCACGAGTCAAGCAGGATAAGGCACGAGACTACTCCGGAGTATGAGACTGGATTTTAGGATTCAAGATGCCAAGGGAAGTCAGCGCGTTGCAGAAGAGGAAGGTCACGCCGTATTGTTTACTGCACAAAACACGAATAAAATACGGTAATGCCGAGGACCCGCTTTAAGTCCGAGGCCATTAGCGCCAATGCGGTTAGAGCCAGGGGACCACGTCATTGCTCCGATTATGTAATCCTTCATCAGAAGCATCCATCTAAGGGAGGCAATGATTGGTTGCAGGTGAAGTGGAGTGGATCCACTGGATCATTTACATTTATGATTTGTTTGCCAATCGTATTCGTTTCCTTCGCGAAGGAGCCTCCCCCTGGTTAATCTGGACTTCCAGAATCCGGATGCTCGGCGAGGATGGCGGTGCACGACACTATATTGATTTCTAGCCGAATGGGGCAGTCGGGCGCTGACTCTGAGGATCCTCATTTATCGTCAGCGCACTAACCCCGCGGAATCGAGTATATGGAATAATGCGTTATTTGTGTACAGTGTATGTGTTATACTAGAACTATGATGAAACATTTGCTCTGCTGCAACAGTACCCTTACAAATATATGCCATGCCGACTATCACGGCCACCTGTTCTTGTTATACTTCATAATACATACTCGGTACACGTAGATCCCTCTTCACCGGATATCCAGAGTAGAGACATCGATAGACAGGGATGAAACTCAAGTCAGACAACGCAGCGATATCTCCGACACACACGAGACTGTTCCTTAGAATGGCAACTCCTGCCTGAATCATGCATCAGCCCCAATAGATCCGCACTCGCGCATCCAGACCGAGATACATATCACACAACCAACCATCACCGTGCGCATGCTTGTCGCTGTCAGCCACGTACATATACAATAACACAGAACTCAGCATGCCACCCCTATCTACCACTCATTTAGTATTTACGAGAAAACCTGATTCGAATGGAGCCCCCCAAGACACTACCCTCTCTCCCAAGAACCAGCCAAGTCTATGGTCTTGGACTCCCCACCTTTCCCTCCTAGCAACCACCAATTCCTACCCAGGTACTCGTAGGTATCTGTCAACTGATTTCGCCTCAACCTCACCCAACACCAAACCCAAACAAAACACCCAACCACGACCCCGACCCCGACCCCAAGCCCAAGCCCAAGCCACACTCCCATACATGTACATACCTACGCAGTACATGCAGCACACGTAACCAGCCAGACCTACCGACCTAGCCACTCACACCAGCCCCCAATCCTCCGAAGTAATCACTAATCTCGCTCATTCGCCAAGCCGGCGGCTAAACAGCCCGGGTCAATGCATGATTGCGCACGCCGAGGGGGTGTATGCTTTTTACTGTCTGCGCTAGAGGGGCTAGTTCGCGAGTTACCACTTATGATGGAGTTCTGAGATTGCGCAGACGTCGGTAGGGCATGGCAGGGCATGGCAGGGCTGGGCTAGACAAGGCAACAGTGATTTTGTTTTGGGGATTTGTTGATTTGCTTGGCTTTTGCTGTGGATGGTGATAGATGGGGGAGAGGTGAGGAGAAAAGGAGAAAGGGGAGGTTTGTGCGTGCTTGGTTTTGGCGATGGGGGGTTTGGTTGGACAGGATTGGACTTTTGTTGCCAATTTTCCAAGGGGCTTTTTTTTTTTTTTTTTTTTTTTTTTTTTTTTTTTTTTTGTTCAAATTGACAGGTGCAGCGGTACGACGCTGTGTGTAGGTTCGTGGTACTTCGTAATTCTTTAGATACGGGGTATTGTCTGGCAATACGAAGGAGAATCGATTAATGTTTCAATATCGTAGATTGATGTGGGATATTATCTATTTCGTCCCGCGACCATGTGGTACAAAAAAACGAGACGCTATTGAAATCCTGCTTCAGGATATGATGTAGCAAACCTTGCTGTGAAACACAAAAGAAACGAGAGGAATTAAAACCATGAGTGGCGCCCAGCGCACGCTATACTCCGTAAAAAAACCCAACACCCCAAGAAATACAAGACTAACACTTCCGTTTTTTTCAAGGGCCTCTCACCGAACAAAGCGCTTGAACGCCATGGTCGCAGCCAAGCCGGTGGCCAAGATGGCACCGCCCATGGTGACGGCCTGCAGGGCGGCGTTGAGCATCTGGTGCCTGTTGCGGGTGCGGCAGCGCTTGAAGAAGTCGGCCATGTCGTTGCCCCGGGGGAAGGGGGTGTCGGGGACTTCTTCGCCCAGGAACTCGCACAGCGGGCCCCAGCCGTCGCCGATCTGGTACTCCAGCAGGCGCTCCGGGGGCACCAGGCTGCGGATCTCGGCAACGTGGTCCTCGTAGACCTGCTTGCCCTTGTTGGGGAAGTCGCCGCGGAAGAAGGTCTGGAAGAACTTGTTCAACATGGGGTAGTACATGCCGGCGGCCCAGCTGAAGTTGGAAACGAAGCTGTGCTCGGGGTCGGACACCCGCCAGAAGACGGTTTTCATGACGGATCTGCGAGGTAACGTTAGACTGGAGGGTTCCCCTCGTGGGGATGAACGAGTTGAGGGACTTACGCATGCCACGAATCCACGTCACGAGTAGTCAGGATGACCTTTGCGTTGGGGTAGGCTTCGATGAGCTCCTTGGCGAAAGCGCAAGCGGGCCAGTCACAGACAGCCTGGGAGCGTAATTAGTTGATTGTTCGGGTATCGTGGAATTCTTCGAAGATTTACCTGGCATTCTCCCAGAAGCTGGTCCCACTCCTTTCTTCCGAACTCGCCCACGCCGTTGTATTTGGCGTTCAGGGCATCGTGCCACATCAGGCAGTCGGGAGGGTTCTCAACGCTGGCAGCCATCATGTGGTAACACCTCAGGTATCCCAGACGCTCCAGAGCGATACGGAGAGCTATTCCCGGTCAATTGGGGCCCGTCGGTGTTCGGCATGCGGGCTCACTCACAGGCAGTTCCCGTTCTTCCCACCCCCAGCGCCAGCACCTTCATGGGTACCGTGCGGTGACATTGGCGGCGGTCAATGCAGGTGTCGCCGGTGAAGATGTCGGTCATGGGCTGGGGAGCCAGGTTATCGGAGAGCATCATCGACATGATGACGGATTAAAGTAGGGTATCAAGTATGAAGTAAAACAAGTCAAATCTATTAGACTAAGTATCAACGGCCGGTATTCAATAACCGAGGACCGAACGAGAGAAGGACCAAGGAAGGGATGAAGCCAAAGTAGACAGGCAAGAAAGAGAGGCGAAAGCGAATGAAGAAGGAAAGACCAGAACCAAGCAGTCAAAGTGGACGCGACGAGGAGATTAAAAGGAGATTGGGAGAGCAATCATTTAAAGAAGGGAATGCGAGGAAGTAGATAAACAAATTAGTGGCAACTCAGTGGGCGAACCGTACGGGGTGGACTCGACGGGTAGAACTGGACAATGATCGAATGGTAAAATTATAAATTGATAAAAATTATAAAAAAAATTATAAAATGTTGGAAAAGTGTCAAGAATAGCAGCAGCCACATTGACCACCACAATACAATATTACCGGTTCTTGGACTTTCTTTTTTCTCTCTCTCTCTCTTTTTTCCTGAAATTCACGCCCCTGGCGGGTCTCCCGCCCACGTTTGAGAGAGTCTGGACAAGCCGAAGCTCAGAGCACAACGTCACTGGCTGACGCTCTACTGCGATAGTCAGGGGGGCGGGTAGATTGCTGGTTCCCAGCTTATCCACTGGGACTGACGGTTAGTTGGCCAGTTACCGAGGCGTTAGTCATTAGCATCTTCCAGCCATGACGACGCCGACTCCTGGATTCGCACCAACGAGGGCAGCGCGTCGAGTCTGGGCGGCGGGGCGAGGAATGAATGGAAGCTGTTAGTTGAAGCTGGCGACAATTCTGGAGATGTGGATTTTCTGCCGGCGACGTGCCAAGCCTGGATCGCCTGAGGCCGCCACCGTTGATTGGCGGGCGGCCGGGCGGACGACGCGTACCTTTTCTCCGGTCGTCGTGGATTGCAGAAACGCACGCTTGAAACGATGCGACTCCACCGCATATCGCGGTCCTTTTTTTCGACGTCGCTTGTCCGTTCCCGTTAGTCACCGCCATGTATCAGATTGAGCGCTGCGATGCTTGGGTTTCATCAAAACCGGTTGGGAAGGACCGTCGCCCATTTGGTGCAGTCGCAGATATCGCGGTTGGGCGTTGGCATGCGCTGCGAGCATAGTCTCCGTCCGAACGCTGAATGCCTCAAGCATACCAGTAGGTCCTGGTAGTTGGACGCGAGTCAGGTGGTCCTGAACTTTGAAATCGGGCTCCATCCAGAATGGCCCCCGCAAAAAGCGCCTTCCCTACCTGGTTCATTGACATTCGCCCTCGAGTCCGAGTCCAAGTCCAAGTCCTCACGGGCCAATTGTGCCGTCTAGGAGTACCTCTGCCAGGTCTCGACACACGCCGGACGAGCAAGGTATCCCTTCCCCCTCCATCGGTCGGAGATTCTCCTATTCGCCCTCAACAAAGTTTGATATTCGTTTCGGGATGCTCGACTGGAGCCGTTGCGGGTGAACATTCCCGCCAGCCCTGAGACCGATCAATCACCCAATCCTTCCTTTCCATCCATGGAAGGCCCAAGATCATCGAAGGCTGGTGGCGAAGGGTGGAATTCTCGCGGTTGAAGTCTCCACTCTCATACATATCCCAACTCCAGCCCAGCCTCCCTTAGCCTCGTAGGGGGGTGTGATAGACAGGGAATGGAGAACCGGGAGCAAGAAAAAAAAATACCGCTCTTCTCAGTCGGAGATAGATACTGATAGACAAGACCATCACCACCCAACACTCGACCAGTGGCCGCCCCCCGTCGGGGATCGACTCGTTGCCCGGAGCACTCGATGCTCTGCCAAGAACGGTCCGTCCGATGTGGTAATAATTCTCAGACGGTGATGACGATCTTCGTCGGTGTTCCGTTTTTCGCTACGGAGCACGAGTGTCCTCCGTCGTCTGATTTCCCAGGGCGCCGTGACAAGTCGGGCGAGCCTGCGTGGTGGGAATGGGTACTTGTCCCGGTGGATGGGTCGATGGGAACGACGATGTATTCGTATGTTTCTGTCAGAATGGACGTGTATTGGGACTGAAAGGGACAGACTGTCCTGTCCTCAAGGTCCGAGGTTAGCATGATGGCATCTCGTAAGCCCGAGCTGGTCAGCGAGTGAGGGCTCGCAGGATCAGGTGAGGCCGGCCAAGGTGGAAGTCCCGTGATGAGGGCCTATACTACTTGCGGTAGTATAGAGTATGCTCAGGCAGAGAAAAATTCATGGGAAAAAAATAATAATAAATAGTAAGGGAGTCTCAAGGACTCAAGCCTTCGAAATCAAGTCCAGCACAGCTCGCACGACCGCGGCGTCGTCCCCTTTTATAACACCTGCCCGCCAAGATATGTTGTCAGAATCATAATAAGACTCGCCATCGGTGCCTGCGATCACATCACCGGCCAGTCGAAGAAGCGGGTAGACCCTCCACCAAGGCGTCCGCGGCCCCCGACCTGAGCCCTATAGGGTAAAACAAGGGCGGCGATTAACGCTGGCAGGGCCATCTAAGCTTAAGGCTGCCCCCGAAAGGGTTATGCCAAGGGCAATGAGTGGTTCTGGAGACATGGTTTCAGTTGGCATGCTCCGCTTAGGGTCTTGTCGAAGCTGCCGGCAGTGCAGGTCGGTTGTTGCCAGCGCCAGGCATCCGTGTTTCCTGGCGTCTGGGCTGATATCTATGCGACATTCTGCGTCGATAGTGGATGGCGTGACTAACTGCTTGGTCGATCGTTATTATTCCAATGCCAACAGAATGCATCATTTAAAAGACCCTCCGATTCTGATCCTTTGCACCTCGATAGTCCTTATTATATTGAGGGAATATATAAATATGAATAATGGAAAGTCGTAGAATTAATAAAATCAAAGTTGCAAGAATGTTCCCTAAATATACATGTACAATGATAACATTGGACCCTTAAACTCCGTGCGACCATATCCCGTGGTCGCTCAATGCAATGATATCAGCCCGTCCTGTATCCTCGTAGTCGGGTATCCTCCGTCTCCATCTCACTCCAGCTTATCCAGATGCTCCAACCGTGTCAGCACCACCTGTTTGCTCGTCTCTTCGATCTCGCCGGCCAGGAACACCTCGTCTAGAATGGCATAGACCTGCGACATTTGTCAGCATATACTTCAAGGAAGCGTGCATCGTAGACAGTTCAGTCTCCTACGATGTACCCCGAACAGTGTACTCCGTACACTCCCGAGAAATGCCCGACAGCAACGCACCTTGTAGAAATTAAACACCAGATCCAGCTCGCACACATTCCCAAAGAACTGATCTAGCACCTCGACGAAGAAATGCACCGCCTCGAGATACGCCAGCTCGTTGTCCGTGGCATCGACACACACGCAAAAGAACAGCCCCGCGTACCGTCGATAAACAATCTTCGTGCTGCGCTTGAACTCAACGAAATTCGACTGGTATTTCTGATCTCTCGGCGCGACTAGCCGGTGAACCTAGAATCCACGACGGGTGTCAATTCGTCTGCACTTGTTCCGGAAAAGGGGGGAGACACGCAGGACCGGGGGGTCGTTGATTGTCGCCGACAGATAGGAAGGATCAAGTAGCACGCACCTCGCCTTTGAGCTTCACCTTCTCCTCATCCTGCAAGTCCGTTTCTTAGTTTGACTGTTTGTTGGATCGTAGCGGGGTCGTCGGGGGAGAGAGCATGACTTACGCTGTAAGGCGCATACCATTTCGCAAGGCGCGTCTTACCCCTGGCGATGGATTAGCGACGGAATCATTGCAAAAGCAGCCGGGGGAGCCCACTCACTGGCGGTTCTGAACAAGTATGAAGGAGAGAACCATCCCGACTCGATGCACAGGGGAATGCGGATGACGACTGGAATCGCCCGGGGGATCTCCGCCTGAGGAGCCCAGACTCCGTTCTGCCGCGGTCCACCGCCTCGATGGCGTCGTCAAGAGAACAAGAAGGGGACGTTTAGACCTTCAAGGAGGGAATTAAATTGTCGGGCGAGCTGGTGGTGATTTGGAATCTTCCAATTCGGACCCTGTGCGACGCTCGGCCAAAAGCAATGGGCGGTTGCGCCGAGATTAGCGCCCGATGCCTCTCTGCTCGTATGTCCTACACTGCAAATGCACCTAAGCCATCACGCCGCATCTGCAGAACCACCCATCGCCTATCCACCTTAATATGACACCCTGCCTTGCGCCATCCGCGCCATAAGGTAGTTAGCACCCATCTTTCCTTCCGTACTCGCTGGATGCGCCTATCGAATTTGAACTAGCATCAATCACACCCCCCGCAATGCCGGTCTACCTCCTCTACGGCTTCCGATGGCCTCGCGCCGGCTTCACGGGCATCCGAGTCTACATCGTCCTGCACAACCTGGAGGACGCGACAGCCGAATACCTACAACAACCTCTAACGACGGAGCTTCTGCTCAACTCGTTCAAAAAGACTGAACCGGGCATCGTCTCGCGGCTGCCGGACATGCGCTTCATCGAGCAATACGACCCCGAAGATACCAGCGAGGAGGCGGTTAGCAAGACGCATGCGTACGTCGCGGGGAAGGTGATTACGATGCCGGAGGTCGGAAGCCCCGGGGCCTGTCTGAGCTTTGATGCTGAGGAGCTGGTGAAGAGCTCTGGCCTGGATCAGGATGGCATGGAGGCGTTGACGGAGATGCGGGATAAGTATGCGGCCGGGGAGAAGATCGGTTGGTATATTGTGTACAATGGGGATCCCGATCGGTATTTCCCGCCGGATGAGGAGGACGAGGATGATTATAGTTTGGAGGAGGAGGATGAGGAGGATGAGCAGGTGAATGGCAGTGAGTATGGCAATGGAACGGCGTCCCGACCGCCGTCGACTCCGACGGTAAGTGCTCTTAAGGAACATCTCCAAATAACATTGAGCTAATATTTGTGCGCCTCTAGTCGCTCCTGACTCGATTCTTCACCAAAAAAGCGGCCTGAGATGGCATATGATTTACGGTTGACAATGTGATGGTTTACTTTCGGTGCTTGCAGGAGTATTAGTCTTATGGATGAGCAATTTATGGCGTCTTGGTTTAACATGTCATTCGTCTAACTTTTTTATTTGAGAATGGTGGCCTCTCCATTAGTGGCTGGCTCCGTATCCTCCCTTCTGCCAGTTCGCGTCGAACGTGGCTGCATCCACAGCGAACTGTCGGATGTAATCCTTCTCCAGATCGTGCGCTCTCCTGCCCAGCAGCACGAGACTGTGAAGCGGCTGTCCCATTTCCACGTCGCTCAATTCCTTGAGGGTACCGGCGACCAATTTCTGATCGGGCGCACCGACGCGCGCCGCACCGACAGCCAGACTGTCGGGCCCGAAGGCACCCTCCTGGCGCTCTTCCTCGGTCTCCAGCATCTGGCTGGCACACTGCGCCACGGTCATGTAGCGCGGGGGTTCGTAGATCATGCGTCCTCGGGCCAGGTTTTCCAGCGACGGCTCCTTCACCTTGATATCCAACAACACCAGCGTGTGCAGACCTATTTGCACGTTCTCCTTGACGCGGTCGTAGTAGGACGACGGCTTCCAGTTCTCGGTGAAAAAGACCATGCTGACGGTCTGGCCGAAGTTGTACAGCTGCAGGCCGGTGCAGCCAATGCCGGACATGATCGATGCGTTCGGGATCACCTTCGATTCGATGCCCATCTCGCGGGCGCGCAGGACGAGATCGGTATGCGTCGTGGCGCTGCACATTTATGAGCTTCCTTAGAACGTACAAGCAACTGCACTTGTATCTTGTAAAGGACCTACCCAAAGGGATCTCCGACCACGAGGAAGGCAATATCGGTCTTGTCGGCACCGGCGAGGATGTCATCGCTGCCGGTCTCGACTAGTTCGCGGTCTGCCTCAATGACAGGACGTCCATAGAAAGCTTCCTACTGAATCAATTCATCCATAGTTAAAAGCCAGTCCAATTGCGCAGACCAAGCCGATCGCCAAAGACACTCACTAGCTTCTCTTTGTTCACGAGAAGAATACTCGTGTAGGCCTCCAGGTAGACGCGCTCGGCCTTCTTGACCACTTCCAGGCCGCGGACAGTAATGTCAGCCTCATCAGCGAGACCCAGTCCCACAAGGTACAGCATGATGGCGGGGATGCAATAAAAAAGGGAATATGGCAGGGAATGTACTCCGTAAAAAAGCAGGCGTTATCACCCCACCAAATGCGGGCGGGCGTCGGCAGTTCGGAGAAATGAATGATCCGCCGAGCAGATCACGGGACTGGGGCCGTCAATGAACTTCCGTCGTTCATTCTAAGGGAGTCTTCGGTTCATTCTTTGCGCAACTTTCGTCAATCAGGCACGGTTGCCTATCTATATATCACAGATCTGGAGCTCTGTGGGAGCGCTGTTTGGGTGGAATGTGAGCAACTGTTGATCTAACGCGCCAAAATGTCGTCCGATCGCACCCCTAAATATCGGCAGGAAATCCAGCAGGTAAGCACTTGATGTTCATAGAAATAGTTCAGTTGGTGTCTTTGATTCTATGCGGTGTATTCAGTGGGGTGCTTGTGTTTGGTCACTTCTGTGAGGGTGGTTGTTCCAGACAGAGGATATCTTTCATTTCATGGTATGGCTGAGCCGCCCTGTGCTGGACTGGATGATGTCGTCGTTTGGGGGGAACACGTCTTTAGTGTCAACCTGCTTGACGTGTTTTAACGTGTGGATTTCATTCACTTCTCAATCTCACTTGTTATTCCCTTATCTCGCCATTCCCCTTCCACGTGATCAGTCACTTTGACATGCTTTCCTCTCGTTTGTGATGAGAAGGAGAAGCCATGTCATCGGATATCAGCGACGACTCGGTGTCTTTGTGCCTCTGGGATTTCTCAGACCACGAGACTGTCGATTCCCAGTCAGAAGTAGAATCCGTCAGTGATGACGATGATGCTACTCTGACAGACTGCAGCTGCACTGAGGAAGACCTGGAGATAGACTGGGATTCATTGTACCTGGGCGGCTACATCCCCGTCGCAAAATACATGCAGGGAATTCAAGACGCGGCGGGAATTGAAGTGGCCAACATGGAGGACGTCGGCGATGAATATTTGGAGACTGAAGAGGAGTTCAAAGACAATCTTGCTAATTTCCTACACCAGATGATGTTCGTCTCTGGAGAGACTGCCGAACCGTCCGTGGAAACCACTACTTTGATCGAAGAGATCGTGCGCCAGCAGGTCGTTGAAATTGTATGCCCCTCTTTCATTAGCTACGTTGCAGTACACTCATTTAATGTCGCAGCTCGTTCGTAGCACCGCGTTGGCTACCCGCCGCGGAGTGCGCTCTATCTCGACTGACGATCTGATCTTTCTCATTCGTCACGACAAGGCCAAGGTGTCTCGTCTGAAGACCTTCCTTTCTTGGAAAGACGTCCGCAAAAACGTCAAGGATTCCGACGACAAAGGTGGCGGCGCGGATGCCGCTGATTTCGCCGGCGCCGACGACCCTATTGCCGGGGGAGTGGTGGCTGGCCCACAAGATGTCGCCTCCAAACCCAAGAACAAGAGAGCTCGAGTCGGTCTGGCCTGGGACGTCAACAGCTTCTACTCCGTGCAGGTTCCCGAGAGAGATGACGAGGAGGACGAAGAAGAGGAGGAACAGAACTATGCAACCCTGCAGCGGCTGGCCGCCGCCGACGAGCGCACCAAGCACATGACCAAGGAAGAATACGTGTTCTGGTCCGAATGTCGCCAGGCATCGTTCACCTACCGCAAGAGCAAGCGGTTCAGGGAGTGGGCCGGATTCGGCATCGTGACCGAGTCGAAACCCAACGACGATATTGTCGATATCCTCGGTTTCCTCACCTTCGAGATCGTGCAGACCTTGACCGAAGAGGCTCTGAAGGTCAAGGAACGTGAAGAGCGCGAAAAGAACCGTCGTGGCGGAACGGAGAACGGCGAGAGCACCAAGAAACGCAAGCGCGAGACCGGTCTCTTCGATCCTCCCGAGGAAGGCCGCACCCCGGTGGAACCCAAGCACATTCGCGAAGCCTATCGCAAGCTCCAAGCGACCCCCAGCAAGAACATTGCGATGCTTCTGCACAATGGAAGTCTCCCTGCTCGCATGCCTTTGAGACTGGTAAGTCGGCCGATCACTTTTTGAAGAAATCATCTGACATTTATAGATTTGATTGATGGTCCTCGGGCACTGGTTTCCGCCATCCCCATGTACAACAATTGGGTTCTTCCCTACGAGACTACGCATAATGATTTTGTACGATATTGGCTTTTGATTTAGCAGGAGGGCTGACATTTCTGTCCGGTCGAAGCAGCGCACTCGGCGTTCAGGATTCATATTTGGACTGTTCAACAGCAGATTTAATACCAGGTGTTATTGACCGACATTGCTGAATGGAAACAAGATGAAACAAAAACTCCGTGACCTCATTATCATTTCGTAATTACGCCTTGTGTGTCCGGCGCCCTACAAACCCAATCAGCACCTCACCTTAACACAAACGGTAAAAAGAGGGAAACGGGAACTTACACTCCTCCAACTCCTCCTTCGTAAACTCCCTCAGACTATTGATCGCGGGTACATCGCCCTGTGCGGCACCCTTAATCGTAGTCACCGTGCGGCCCAGCAGACCCTTCCGCGCCGCCATATGCGTCACCGTCGTCGCCTGCAGCTTGATGACGCCGATCCGCGGGTCGTTCGGCCCACCGTCATGCACGCCATCGCCCAGGTCGCCGAACCAGGCGGGCAGGGTGGGCGAGTAGTATTTCTTGACGACGGCGGGGTCGGCGACGATGGAGGCCGTGCCGGAGATGGAGGCCCACGAGCCGCTGACGGGGTCGAGGAAGGACATGTTGGTTTCTTGTGGGTGGAGGGTCAGATCGAGCGTTTTGCCGGAGAAGAGGTTCGTGTGGAAGATGAGGTCGATGCCGCCGTGTTCCTGGGAGGATTTATTGTTACTAGGAGGAAGGGGTGATAGTGGAAGGGAGGGAGGGGATACCTTTCCAGCTAAGGCCATGCATCTGGACGTCAGGAGATCCGAATCCGACGCCTTGGTCGTCAGCATGCCGAACTTCGTCTCGGAGATGAAGTCGACGAGATCTTCGATCTTCTGGGGAAGAGGCGGGTCTTCCAGGCTCTTCTCCTTGTAGGGGTCTGCGGAGGGGATGTTGGATGACATTGTGGGGGTTGAGATTGGTGGAGTGGTGGATAGGTAGATAGATTAGATGAGGTTGTCCTGATAACTGAGTAGCACTTTAATGAGAGATGGTTGTTGATGAAGCGTCCCTGGTATACTTTTATACTGGACCTCGACGGTGCCAAGCCTGGCGTAGCAGTGACGTCAGCAGCGAACATCCTCTGGCATTTCCGGTTCGGCTTGGTGATATCATTGTTCATGTTTGATCGGCCGATCGATCGATCCGTGAATGGGTCTGGGTCGTGTCTTGGTTCCTGAGGGGCTTCGGCAGTTGTGTGGCGGATTGAGGCGATTGGTTGAAGCTACTATATACTGATGCTAGAATGTAGTTGAAGGCCTCAAACACAGCAATGCCGAACAGTTCATGTCGATGGGTTTCATTTCATTTTATTTTTCTTTCAGTAGATAAATGCCTATCTATAAGAGAGCTCGTTTGTTCTTTGATAAATATTGTCTGTGAGTTCTTCAACTGCAGCCACACGATCCTTTCTTGCGGCCTTGATTTAGCTCCAAGACCGCAAAAGATCTAACGGCTGACTATACAATTGATCCAGAAGACAAAGAATAGAAAGAACTAATCCTACAGTGGATAGTATTCTCCATAGCCCTTAACATTTCACTATACCGCAGTTCATCCACATCAGAGTACAGCAACAACCAATTCCAAATCTCTACCGGTTCACGAAGAGAAAACTCCCTTTATCTACTACATCCCACCACTGAAACAGAAAGTGTAACTGGCCTGCAACAAGCAGTACCGACACACATGACTAAAAATAGTACCTTGCAAAACCTCACGGGCCGGACCGAACTCTTTAATGGAAGGTTTCGCCAGCCAGGCTACCGCGGCAATGTATCCTGGGGATATAAAAGATGGTTCCCTAGTCTGACTATCTGAGAACATAGACTCTCCAAATCGTCATCATAGATTCCCATTCAATGGAACCAAAGATAGCCCTCTCGCCTGGAAACTCAGCGCATCTCAACAAACACCCCAGTGGAAAGCGTCCAGATGTGCAACCTCTACCAAAACATCTACCACCAGGCTAACTGCCTGGACCCCGATGAACACTTCATCCATATCTCCCTGCAAGGCGGGCTAACAGGGAGATGCAAAGCGGGTCCACATGAACGATACGTTCCCATCCCTGGACAGTGCAAAGAATGCCATCGCGTGAGTACCTGCGTATAATTCGAGAAAGGTATAGCTAATGACAACCGTTAAACAGCGTGATGACGAGCAAAAGCCACACTCATCGAGCACGACAGAGCCAGAACTGGCTCCTTGGGTAGAATACAGCGCCGAATATGATGACGAAGACATCTGCGAATTCGCCGTCGCATGGGATCTGCCACTCGCTATTGCCGGTGAACCGGACGTAGAAACATTCCTGCTGGAGGCAGTCACTTTGACGAGGACCGAATGCACCGTGAAGGCGATGTCATGCGAGCAGTACATCCGAGAAGAATACGGAGCGCTGGGCCTCGTGCTTCTGGAGAATATATTCAGTGCGCTGTACAGCCCTGGTGGTTGCTACGGTAAGTTTCACCTATTTTACAAGATATTTCAGTTGTTCTAACATCTCCGGTAGAGGATAGCACCGTGAAGATATACGTCTGCCCCTCCATGATCGACGTCTCTCTCTTCGGAGAAATGTACTATCTCCGGGATCTAGTGCTCTGGCTTTGCCTGTCCTTCGTGACACCGCAGATCGGAGACGTGTGTATATCCAAAGCGATCATATTCAATGACTTCGTCACCGTAATGCCACTGCAGCCCGTGGAGTGGATATACCGCCAGCACGGCGACGGATGCTGGTACGAGATGTTCGACACTGCGATCATAGCGCAAGAGCCGCACGTCCAACCGACTCAGACGGCGTAGTTGGATATCGACTTCAAGCTCCTGGTTCTGCTGTCGGATGTGAAATGGAGCGTCGTGCACGACGGCGGCTTCCTGCTGAGAGGACCGTTCACGGCCCTGACTCCGATCGAGCAGCTGGGGGATGAGTATGTTGTTTGGCATTTCGAGGAGCACGAGCATGTTGAGCAGTTTGACTCGGCGGAGCTGGAAGCCGTGCAGATTCCGTGGTTGAAAACGCTTTCGATGCGTCGGTTGCGGTCGAAGAAAGCGCTGGTGGGCTAGTGTTGCCTAGCTGGAATGAAGGGAGATATGTACGGGGTTAGCTGGCTAGTTTCGGCTTTGCAAAAGCCGGGTCAATGATGGATACGGTACCAGCGAATCTAGAGCCTTGATAATCTCTCTGGCTCCCGTGCTTTATTGCGTCTTGTTCACATACAGAACGTCATTTCCCTAGCAGTTCAGAGGCGCTGTTGGATCGCCGGCCTCTTTCAGCATGCTCTGCGACTTGGGCCACACTCACTTCTTGCCGAGCCATACTGATCATAAAGACGGGCAATGGGGTCTTGAACAATGGGCTAAAATGACCCGTGAGTCCCCAGCTGTCAGAAATGCACGACCACTCACCCATTTATACCGCGATTGCTTTCTGAACGAGCTCAGGAAAGCTGCAATCAATTGACAGGCTGTGTCTGGGTGCCTCAGAAGATTAAGAGAGCTGAGAAAACAAAGCAGGTGGTCAGGGAGCCAAAAGAAAGGCATCATGTATGCGGAATTGTCTAGAACAGTTGAGAAACCGTAGTTGAATAAATGGTCAACTAAAAATTTATATTATGTAGATCTAGTCTACCGTAAAGAATGTGAGTCTTTGTTGATCATGAAATGAAATGAGACTAGGGCATGACAGGTCACGTTGACCATCTGCATCAGTGCTATACCAGGCTAAATCACAACCTGGTCATTATGTAGTTGATAAAATAAGGCATTTGAGATGCAACAGTCTGGATTTCAGTATAGCACCTCTCTTATCTTGTCGGCGTTGCTCTTCATGCAGATCCCTCCATATGCCAATTCTCTAGCTAGGCTTGTGTATGTCCTTGTAGGTCCAGGATGGTATCGGTGTTATGCGCACGCTCAGTGGGAATATCTACATGCAACCCACCGGACATGTGATCTGAGGGTTATATTAAGGATGAAGAACATCATCGTAAGTCATAAGTACTCGTGACATCTACAGATAAACAACTACCGTCTCAACGCAGCAAACCGTTTCGTCAACTCGTCCAGCTCCGGAATCCCTCCGCTCTTGCTCTTGCTCGGCGACTGAGTTTCCGGCACCGTCTCCTTTCCAGAGCCGCTGCCCGGCACCTTGACGCGTGGGTTGGGGTTATCTGATCGGGGCCCCGGCGGCGCAACGCTGACGGGGCTTTTCCCGGCCTGCAGGCCTCGCGGTGGCGTCACGCGGTTGAGTTCCGCGGTGTCGGATTGGCGACGTTGCAGTTTCGCAGGTGTCGATGGGAGATCTCCGGGTCCTTCGTCATCTCCAGGCCCCGTTCCATCGTCACGATTTTCCTTGAACTCGGCTTCGTCTCCGTCCACGAATTCCGCCGGTGCCTCGCCTAGTTCTGGATCCGGGTGACCCTGCAAATGCTCTCCCCAGTTGACTCCGTACGCCCGCGCAATCTCCAACAGATAGCTCTCCACTAGCTCCGTACTCGGCGGCTTCGCGCGCAACCCCTTGACCAGTCGCGCAGGCACCTTCACCCCCTCACCTGCCGGGAACTTGTTATCGGCCGCCAGCGCCATGAAATCCTTTCCCCAGCGGTCGGCGAGCAAGGTGCGCAGGATCGTCAGCTCGCGCACGTCGTGCGGGAAACGCGGATAGGCGTAGAAAATCGCCGCGGCAGCCTCGTCCAGCGCGGGATCAATATATTTGCTCTCCAGCACTTCCAGATCCTCGTCCGTGGCAGCCAGTGTCTCTTCCGTCTCCGCCTTTGGTGATTCAGCCCCGACCGGCCCCGACGGCTTATTCGACGACGACCCTCCAAACGGATTCCAAAAACTGAACCCCGACTTCTGCTGCGCCTGTCCTCTCCCCTTCCCGTCCCCGGCAGCCTGTCCCTGTCCCTGTCCTTGCGCATGTCTTAGCGAGCTCCATACCTCCTTGGCGCGATTCCTCGCTAGGACGCCCTTCTCGCCAAACGCCGCTTGATCGACGACATTCGCGCGCGCCAGGATCAGCTCGCAATATAGCTCTACCATCTCGAGCACCTCGACCGAAATATCCGTGGCGATGACATTCTCGACGCGGATGCGCGCGGACGCTTCGCGGCCTTCTGATAGGATGTGGGAGAGTTCGCGGCGCTGGACGACGGAGGAGGCGGTGGACTTCTTCTGCAGAAGGCGTAGACGCGGGATGAGGAGGTGCAGGGTAGATGTTAGTTTGGTCTGTAGGTTGTTAGTTGGTTGCCTGGTTTGTTTGGGAGGTTGGTGTTGGAGAAGGTGGGGTAAGGATGGAGGAGGGAGGAGAAGGAAAGGGGGCCTACGGTTTGTGGAGAGGGGGGCATTTCAGTCGATCAATTGATGTTGGGGGTCTGGTTAGTTTTTGGCTGAATAATTGGACGGAGAGAGATAAAGGTGAAGGTGAAGATGAAGGTGAAATGAAGATGGAGAGGGAAAGGCGGAGGGGAAGTGGCGTTATGTCATGCATCACATGGCAGGGCTTGGCGTTATCTTCCTTCTTCCTCTTACGTTCTTAATGTTACTGCCTACTCCCTTCAGCCAGCTACTTGACCATGCATCAGCTTTGATTAGCTATGTTCCGCTAAGACAAACACTCGAGACTAAACTTCATCATCGCTCTGTTCGATCATATTGCGGAGGTTAGATGGTCGACTTTGTTCGGCTGCATCCTTGAGCTTCTGGATCTGGTATCTTTTGCTTCCGATTCCTGTTTTAGTCTGTCATACTTCCGCTTCAACATCAATCATTCATTAGTTTGTTTCGATCTTTCGGAGGCAATTGACTGGACCATGGTACAAGCCCCCTAAATCCTATCAAAGTGTGCCAGCCACTACCATGTCGAAAACGCAGAGAGCGACTAGCTTCCTGGTACCAGCTCGATATCTCGCTTTATGTATTTGACCACGAGTTGCACCCAGACGTCTTGCAAAGCAAGTCATGCAGGAACCAGACCCATAAATTCCATGCAAATTTTGGCTACCTCTCTCAATCCCGGCAAGTCGAGATCCAACAACTCATCCGGATTCCTGCCTGGAAATACAGTTCTCCCAAACAGCAATCGGCGACTAATCTGCAAGCTTTGGTGCTTCGAAACAGGAAAGATTTGCACCCGTTGCTGAAGCACTGGCATTCCCTGGCGATCTCGAACATAAACCTCAGCTGAGCCTCCCACTCGGTTTGAAGACCCCTGTTCTTCGAGTGCCCATATCAAGAGAATCACGGCGTTCACATCCCCGTTGCCGCCGACTAGCCAAAGGTTCATATCCTCTATCAACCTGCGGTCGGACTCTGACCACCCTGCTTCGATGACAACGGTTGGCTTGAGGAGTCTATCCGGTTGGATTTGGTAGTCGGGCTCCTTGATGGACCCTGCGTATGGGCCTTCGGTGAATGTGTTCGCTGTAGAAAGTCAGGAAGCAAGCTGTCTATCGTAGGCGGGACGAGGACTTACCGGCTGATCCGAACGTATGGAGATTCTTTATTTCATCACGAGTCAAAACCCCGGTTGCACGCCACTCGGAAATAACATCCTTCATCCAGCTGTGATGGCATTCGTGGAGGTAAGAGGGTGCCACGCGAATGCATAATTCCTCTAACTGAGAGTTATAGCCAATTCTGCCACGGTATTTAGTATGTAGTATATAGTATTCAATTATTCGGACTTACCTGGCCTTTTTGGACTCAAGTGGCTCTTCGAGCTCCTTCAGGATATCTCTGAGTCTTTGAGGTTGCAGTTGTGTGTAGGTTATTTCAGTGTCCTGGGTTCCTTGGTTAATCTGTTCAACAATATGCTGACGCAGCTCGTTTGTTGAGAAATCAGGTGCTTGGAACGAAAGTAGGGTTGTAGTTCGAGTCTCTGTAGGGAGGGACATGTTAAGTATTAGGATGGCGGGTTGCCTGCATTAAAGACTATCTTCAAACTTGGAGTTAACTTGTGAATCTGAACAGTGAATTGGAAGCCTGGACTGGTCACTCTTTCGAGCTACAATGCTATATAGTGAATAATATAGTTTCCGCAAACAATAGTACAAACGATAACGTCATCTCGACGCCAGCCGGGGACAGCTCCCCAAACCTATAGTAGAAAAAAAAGAAAGGAGTATTATTGCCAAAAAGAAAGAAGAAAAGAAGTTATCCACCATCATGATACAAAGAAGCTAATAAAAAATCATAATAGAATAATCCATCAATCGTCAAAAGAATTAAAATCGAGTATGGTATCCCGAAGAAAGAAAAGATATATCCAAGGCAAAATCACTCAAAGAAGAAAGTTCAAGTCGGGCAGATGATGATGTCTTCCCAGATCCATGCAATAATTAATACATTACAGCCACAGCGCTGCGACCACCGCAACGATCAACCCCAGCTTCGACATCTCCAGGTTCAGGCTGGATGCGCCGCTCTCCGCGTTCGCGCTCGTCGGTACGGGCGTCGTGGTGGGCTGCTCCGTTGAGTCGGCGTATGCGGTGGCTTGCGTCTCGACTAAGACGGCCGGCTTGACGGTGTAGCTTGCCCAGCCGGAGGGGCTGTGGGTGGCCACGAAGCTGGAGCTGGGGGTGCGAGTGGACGACGACGGGGTGAAGGTGGGAGTGGGAGTGGAGGTAGGAACGAAAGTTGAGGTCGAGGTAGGTGGCGGCGGCGTGCTGGAGGTCGAGGTCGAGGTCGAAGTCGAAGTCGACGACGGGGTGGGGGTAGTGGAAGTGGTGGTCGGAGGGACATAGGTTCTGCTAGTCGTGGATGTGGTGCTGATGGTCGTGCTGGTGCTGATGCTGGTGCTGCTGGTGGAAGTAGTGCTGACAACAGAGCTGGTGCTGAAGCTGGTTGTGCTTTCGACCGTGCTCGAGGAAGCCAGCACAGAAGACGAAGAAGACGAGGAAGAAGATTCGTCGCTGCCACCACTGCTGCCACCCTTATCGAACACGACGATATGGGCCTTCTCCCCTTTGGGCACAGTCACCACGCAAAACGCGGCACCTCCGGCCCCCTTCTCCGAGTCACCCATCATCTCGTTGACGCTGTTCACGGCGGGATCGATCTTGCAGGGTAGGCCGTTGCACCCGCCACCCTCGCACTCGATCTCGACACCGAATTCGGGAACCTCGTTGCGGAAGGGCGTCGCCGGCTCCAGGTAGATCGGGTTCCAACCGATCTTGAGGAACGTGCTGCCGTCCGAGTTGGTATTTGCGCCGGCCACGTAGGGCGACCAGTTTCCGTACGGGTTGGACGAGGTACCCCAGACGCAGGCGGTCTCGGGGCCGTATCCAGGCGGGTTGATATAGAAGCTAGTCAATTGTTAGTATGACTAGCGGGAAGTCGTGGAGAGCTCGCATCAAAACTTACTGAGCAGCAGTCTCACACCAGTAAGAGGGATCGGGCACGGCAAGAGTCGCCAAGTCCTGCACCAGCGTGGGGATCAACATGGCCTCGTTCCCGGGCAAAACGGTCTGACAGACGGAGACGTCTCCGCCCTTGCATTTGTTGCGCACGCCCACGGACCCCGTGCCGTCCTTGCAGTAGGGCTCGTTGGGAAATGGCTTCTTGATCTGACCATCCTCGTCGCAGTACAGTCCACCGTTCTACATGGAGTCAATTCACGCTCACCAAGCCACTGAGGAATAGAGCCAACTCACCATCGACATGGGATAACTGTACGAAGTTGCCTTAGGATCCCACTGCATGGACACCTGCCCCGGAGGGCACGCATACGGACAGTAATTGCCCGGCTTGCACGGCTGATCCGGACTCATGGCCCAGCCGGCGTTCTTCATCTTCGGCGTGACGGAGACCAGACCGGCATCGGAAGGAAACTCGCACTGTCCTCCGCGTTTCTCCAAGGGGCCTCGACTTCGGCGGCGGAATGCGGATGACGGCGGTTATGGTGGTGGCCATGCTGGGCTGCTTCGGTAGCCGCCAGGAAAGCGAGCACGGCGGTTGCGGCGGTGAATTTCATCTTGCTTGGATGGGTGTTTCGAATATACAACAGGTTCTATCCTTGAATATACAAATATGGATGAAATGAGGCAAAGACTGCGGTTGGTATATGCGGTAGTATACTGATACTGATATCAAAAGCGAGAGACTGAATGCGACGATTCGGAGAAGCGTGACACCACAATTGATCCTCGAAGGATAATAACGAAAGACTAGGGTCAGAGGGAAGATGATCCAAAACGAAAGACTGGAGTGAATGAAGAGAAAAACGAATGAACGGAGGGGAATCAAACCCAAGAACCCAAAAACACACGACGGTATCACGGCGGCCTCGAGGAAGAGAAAGAGAAAGAGAGGAAAGAAAAACGGCGCCGGCGACGAGAAATACTACTGCCAACTACAGTGACTGCCCGCTGCCCAGTCCAGCCCAGCCCTGCCCAGCTCGGGCCAAGTTTGGACCTCGACAAACCATCGCGAAGCTATTGAGATGATCTTTGCCCCTTTGGGCCCTCTCTCCGGGGTCGAGCTTCAGGGGTCGCGCCAATCAGCAGCCCCAACGTCCCGAAGGTTCGTGAGGGGGGATCCACACTAAAAGGCATGATTGGTGACTGTCCAGCGCAGGGTTCTTCTCCTTTGGGCGTCCTGCAGGTTTGATTGGTTTGACTGCAGTTCCTCCTTTTATCTTTGATGTTCAGGCGTATACTTCGCCTTCTGGCAGTAGCCTTCAATAACCCGACGGGCGGCGCTTCATTCAGCCACGATCGGCAGTGTCGCTGCCACCTGCCAATTATTACGGCTTTATTATCCATGCAGGTTTGACGACGGGCTATGCTCAATTGCTCTTTCTCCGACTCAGGTGGTACAGAACGAATAGGGGCAGGATTCCAATAGTGGGCTTTGGTCCAAACTCTGTCTGCCCAGCAAGACCAAGAGGAACTGCCGAGACGGCCTACTGCAATCGGTTTAGTCCGTCGTAGCACACCTACCGCGCGACTCGACGATATTGGGATTGTCGGTCCGGCCTGTCTAAACTTCAGAAAATTAAGTATGCGTACGCCGCAGGTAACTAGGCTGCAGATCTTGGACGAGTAGATCAATCCAGAAACAAAGAAAAATCTTCCAGGGTATACTGGATGCTATTTGCTCTGGCGACTAGTGTCTTAGGACTCCACTCCCTGCTGGCTGTCAAAATCCTTCCACCCCTCGAACCCTGCTGCCAATCCTTCCCGCCACCCCCAAGCGATGCAATAATGCTGCGCTAGCAGATTCCACTCCTCCATCTCGTCCAACATCTCCAACGCCGCCACCCGTTCCTTCTCCGCCTCGCTCACCCACCGGTCCCAGATGAAATGCACGTCCGCCGCCGCCTGCCCGTCAACGAACCCTTGGTCGCGCAGCCGTTGTCGCTGCGATCCTAACGTCGCGTACTGGTGCAGCGTCTGCAGCTGGATGCCGCGCGTCGCCAAGTTCGAGACCATGGTGCGTCCGAAGGCGTCGTGCGGTCGGATTGGCTCGTAGAGAATCAGGCCCAAGGGGGCAACGCCAGCGCCATTACTGCCGCTGCGGTTGGTAGTCGCACCGGGAAAGAGCGTCTGCGTGAAAAAGTCGACCACGTCGGCGGCCTCGCGCGGCGACAGGTAGATGAGACAGCATTCCGAGATGAGGAGCGTAGGGAGCGTGGGATCAACGTCACGTAGGTATGTCCGTGGGTCCTCGCTGTCCTTATCTTGGTCCTTGTCCTGGTCATTGCTGCTCCCTCCCCCTGGTACGGTCGGGTTGGACTTGGTCTTTGGTTTCAAGTTCCGCAAATCCAACGGATGCAAATGATACTTCTCCGTATGCAGCGCATCGCCCCGGTCCGAAATCTCAACCTTGCCTCTCTCTTGTGTGGATTGCCCGATTATCCCCAGCGCGCGTTGGAGATGCGGCGCCGCGCGAATGAACCGGATCTTGGCGGCCGTGTTGACGGCGAAGTCGATCTCGTGATAGATCAGATCCGGGTGCGAGGGTAGGAGTCGGAAGACCCGCGTGTCGGAGCCTGCTCCGAGCGAGATGATCTGTTTCTTGTTCTGCGGGCGGTGGGGGGCGGAGGGTTGTGTGAGGAATCGATGCACGAGTTGGTCGATTGCGGTGGTGCGGACATAAGTGCCTATTGATGTGAGGTCATGGTGTTAGCTCGGTGCGGGGGCCAATGGATCCGACGGGATAAGAATAGGGAAACACTTGCCTCTATTGATAATGGGCAGTCGTCTCGTCTCCAAATCAGGCGGCGTCAATGCCCTGGCAAATGGATCCTCCAGATATCCTAATCCCACGGCGCTCAGTCGGGAGACGCTGGCGTCATGGTCAGTGCCCTGAACCACTCGGTCTTTGCCACCGCGAGAGGCAGCGCTACCGCCGCCGCCATCGCCAGCAAAACCACCTCGACCGCGTAAACGACCGCGTCCGCCGCCTCGTCGAAGAGTGTTGAGGTTGGGGATCTGGGGAGCCGACATGGTTGCGAGAAGAAGCTCCGAGGGCGACGGCGGGATGGATGGTGGGCTGGTGGGGTCGCCAACGTGACCCCACTTGGCCGGTTGAAGAAACAGTTTGCATGCTTTGATTGTCTCGATATGTACTCGGTAGATATACTACTATACACGCCCTATCTATTCATCCCCCCTCTATCGCTCTATACATAGACAAAGTTGTTCCGGCACAGCGGACACGTGCTCTGGTTGCTGCTCTTGAACCATCGGAACAGACACACCGAGTGGAACGTGTTCTTGCACGTCGCGCAGCGCTTGTTTGGCGTCTGCATGTCCGTCGAGATCACCGAGTAGCAGATCGCACACTCGCTCTGTCCCTTCAGTGCCCCCTGCACGTTCTTACGGAACGCCAGCAGCCCATCCACCAGGCTGCCGTTGGCAAACATAATCACTCCCTGGATCGTCAGAAGCCAGTTCTTCCACTTCTTCTCGTCAACCAGCACGCGGCTGCGACCCACGACCACGGCAGGCTGCAGGGGGTAGGCCGGAGGAAGGGAAATGGACAAGGAGACGGGAGGCGACTCCTCATCAACCGGGATACTAGCAATGATCTCGGCGGTTTTGGGAGAAATCTTAACCGCCAATGCGCGCTCCTCGTTGGGGTCTTGCGTGGACATCCAATCCGTGATGCCCTGGAGTGCATCCACTATAACCAAGGGCGAAACCTGTGGGGGTAAATCAGCTTCTGCATATCGAAGGCATGCTGTGGACTTCATGCTTACATGTTTCTCGGTCCACGTCTCCACCGGCCCCTTGATGCGCTTCTTGGTGTCAATCCACCAATTCTTGGTCATGTTGGCCACGTGCCTCAAACACAAGAAGTAGAGATGAACCAGAAGCCATTGGGTCTCTCTTTCGTAGTCCTCCGACTCATCCAGCTCGAAGGAACGGATGTCAAACTTAGACGCATCCACCATTTTTCCGTGGGAACCCTGGAGGAAGTCGAACATGAATTCCAACAGCGGAGCCAGCGTGTCGTTTTCCTTGATGCTAGTCGCGTAATTTTCTTGAACAGTAAGAGACTATTCATGGGTTAGCATCAACCGTGATTCTCTTGCTCTCAGAGTGCGGGCAACATACTGCATTGACGAAGTGATCAAACACCACCTTCCAACTCAGGAGATATGACCGTATATCCGCCCAAGTCCGGTCATCGCCATAGGCGAGATTGACAGATGCTATCGTGGGCGCTTCAAGTAGCAGAGACATGAGTTCATCCGGGAGGCTGACGGTCGTCTTGGATAATGCCACATCGAAGGATATCTGCTCTTGAACGCTCGGGATATACCGATGCAGAATGGCGTAGGCAGCCCGCTGAACAGTGCCACTATGCGCGGTCAAAAGTGGGAAAACCTTGCTCACATCCTCAAGACTGTCGGCCGGGGTGATATTGAGCAGGCGACGTAGACGGTCGACAGCGACATCGCGAGGTTGATAGAAATTGGTGGAAGAGTCTGATGCGTCAGAAGTGTGCCCTGTGTATGGGTCGGTAAGAACCTACCGAATTTATGCAGCGTTGAAGTCAACCGGTTGAAGAGCACTGTCTTGCGATCCGCCCAAGCATCCTTCACATCATCATTACTCTCTTCATTGTCCACAATCGATTTCAAAGAAGAGAAAAGTCGGAAGGATGCCAAGAGCAACGGCAGCGCTTCATCACCGCCATTGACGTCTTGCCAAATCGTGCCGAGGATCTCCATACTTTCCTCCCAGTGAGAGCCATACATTTCGTGAATGCAAGGTAAGACGAACGTCAAACTCTGCAAAATTTCGGCCTTGACACTCAAAGCTGCCCGTTCAGACTGGAGACACTGAACGAGATGTTTGAGGAGGAACATCAATCTCTGTGTTGGGATAGACGCAGCGACCGACTCATCTCCTGCCAGGAGAAGATTGAGCAACGACAACTTTCGAAGACCTGCCCACCACACCGTTAGCCGTTATACCATAATGGGGTTTCGGCCACTTACCGTCCTTCTTCTCATCTTCGGGTTTTAAGCCTGTGGAGTCTGCAACGAGCTCGTTACAGAGCCGTGTTCCGGCAGGCGTGGAAAGCATCGATTGGCGTAGAAGTGCCACCCATGACGCTGTGCGAATGGGATTGGCTGTCCGGACACTTTTACATAGTTCTGCAAGCTCTTCTGGAGTCTTCGATTTGTTTGAAGAATCCACGCTGCCCAGTATTTTCACAAAGGCCTCTCCAATCCGGTAGTCCGATGGAGACATACTCTGAAGCCCCTCAAGCTTTCTTTCCCAGAAGGAAGTGATCGTAACCGGAAGGTTGTCTTTAGAGTGGACCCATCCGCTGATTACCTTTCGACCGTCATTGACAACTTCCATGTATTCCTCCCGCTGCTCGGGAAGCGAGAGCCCTGTGATACCATTGGAATTTTCAATGCTGAGGTCATCATCAACCAATTGCACTGCAAGGGGGAGATTGTAGAAGAGAGATTCAAGCTCATCCGTGCCGAGATGCCCGGCAAGATCAAACAAGGAGAGGACTTTTGTGGTGAAATAGGTCAGTCGGAAAGCAGACGAACATTGAGTCGAGTCACGCGCGACGCCTTCGTAACGCTCCCCAAACTCTGCCGGCAATTGCCGATCAACCAAATGCACTGTACCACCAAGAGGGCTAGTGATAGCAGTCGACGACCGAGGGGGTAGGTCGAGGAAGGGACCAAGAGCCTTTTCCCATGTCTGACGGCTCGGTAGGATGTCCTTTGCCAGGGAACCAATATCCTCCGGTTTGGTACCATGCAAGAGCTCTTCCGCTATAGTCAGAAGAGATTCAATCCTTTTCATTGTTAGCAACGTCGCATTCGCAACCGTCATAGCAATAACTTACGAAAGCGATTCAGCATTAACAAGGTCGAAATTATGCTGGAGAATCTCGACGCTTGACCGAGCACTTGTTTCACCGACAACGGTTTTCTTCAAGGTCTTGATCAAAGATTCCGAGATATCGGCCACTTCTTCCGACGGCGACTCGGCGAGGAAATGCAGTTTTCCGGTCAGTTTTGAACCGTGCGGTCCACTTTGGAAACCTCGCAGCGCAGTAGGAACGGAGTTGGCAATTTGGGAAAGACCGTGCAGTGTATCTAAAGCCAAATTCTCATCGGACAGGGCGTCGATTAGCGATAAGAAGATTGAATCTGTAAGTTCTCCGTGAGACGTCTGATTCTGGAGAACAGCTATAACAATCGACCAATGCAGACTGCTACCCTTACAAGCCTGGTCCAGGGCTCTCATGATCAAGGAGCCTAACACACTCTTCCCGTCCACTTCCTTGAAGTTGAGGGTGGAGAGTAGCTTTTGAACAGCATGAGCATTCGAAGACTCTGGTTCTGACTTTGCCACTTGTTCAATGATCTTGCCAAAGCTTTCACCAAACCCATCCCAAGAACGACAAGACAAGATTATGGAAATCAGTCGATCAGCAGATGGCGATGAGAGAAGCTCCGGGGCGTCATCTTTAACAAAGTCCACTAAAGCGTGCGACCTCTGAGCGATTTGCGCAACATTGTTGACCATTTCTTCAATCACAGCAGCCGCTCCGTAGGGCTTGCCATTGCGTGTCTGGAGGACTTGGACGCAACTTTCAAGTAGCGGCGAGTTCGTCTTTTCGAATATACCCAGCACTTGAGTCTCGGCATCCGTCCCAGCCACCCGCGAAAGCATCAACGCTTCTAGAACCAACAGGCGTTCGGCCTGGGAGCACACTTCGTCTTGCGATGACTTAAAGTCCTTCGATTGCTCTGGTGAAGATAGTTTGACAGCTTCGAGTAGGCTATCCGAAAGTTCCGTCCACACCCTTTCCATTTCACCCGCACGGTCGTGTGACAGCAATGCCCCGAGGTAATCAACGGTGATGTTCTTAGCGGACAGAGCTGGGAGCGACCACTTTGACCGATCTGGTTCAGGCTTGACATATTGGGCTAATAGAGGGGACAATCGTTCTTGCAAGAACCGGTTCTTCTCTTCTGCAGGCAGTCGCTCTAAAAGCCAGATTCCGGTATCAATGTAAGCCTTCCAGGCAACGGCGAGGTTTTGTCGAGGCTCATCCCTGGAAGTTAGTCCTTCCTGGAATGCTTCCGTTAAAGCGATTGCCCCTGTTATCCCAATCTGCGAGTCGCCGTTTGCCAATGTCTGTACTGGGATTACCTGAAGTAACTGGTGCAAATTTGACCAGAAAGAGCCTGCGCCGCCTTCGGATCCTTTTTGCACGTATTGAAGCAACCGCTTGGTTGCGGAAGACTTGCTGGAATAATCGTCCGTCCATAATTGAGGCCTTGCAGAAGTGGCCTGAAGTAGAGATTCGGACAAATCTGAAGAAGAACCCAGTTGAGAAGCGTGGAGTGATTTGCCAATCAAGGCTGCGCTGACGAGTTTCCAATCGAGCTCTTCCGGCTCCTTGGCCACTGCCGAGCGAACAAGCGTATAAATGGACCTGCGAACGAAGGGGTCGTCATGGTAGCATAAGGCCCATAACGATTTACTAGTAAGAAGATTTTGTACAGTTGGAAGATCTTTTTCAAGTTCTTCGCGGGTTGAGTTTCCTGGGTTCGAGGGTGAGTTTATAAAAATAAAATAAAAAACACAAATGCATACAAGGAATGACCGTACCTATTATCCGGTTAAGTAGTAGAATTGCAGTTCCTACCACGCGCGCGTACTTCGCTTCCGCGTCGTCAGGCTTGACGGTCCGCTCGTCGCTCAAAGTCTGAGGAGTTTGTTGAAGAATGACATCATCTACAAAATCCAGGATGGAGGTCTGATAGACCTTCCACACGCCTTTTCGCTTCTCATCGGTCGAAAAAACCCGCGTAAAGGATTCTAGAGCAGACCGATGGACGGGTTTGTCATTATCATATAGACCTGCAAGCCATGCGCCGACTACTTTGGGTAAAAATCGGGCGATTCTCTTCCCTACCAGCGATGAAACTGATCCTTGGATGGCATAAGCCGTTTGCCTCACTCTTCGAGAGAGGTCAATCGACGCCCGGGGGTATATTTTTACCTGTTCAGACCGTGAGTTGGGTTCTCGACGTTACTCCATCCTATGCAATCCACCATAATCGCTTACCCAGGCTTCCAGGAATCCGTCGTCGAGAGTTCCGCCGCGGTTTTCTACACCCGAAACAAAATCCTTCAGTTCATCTAATGCTCGTGTTCTCGTAACTTCATCCTTCTTCAGGAAATTCTTGAAAGCAATGGCCAATTGCGGCTCCGATATGCGCGACAAGTCGGGGGGCTCGGCCACGTAGGTCAGGGACGAAGGTTCCCTTCCCTGAGTCGAAAAGGCTCCTGAAAACCCCCCAAAGGATCCAAATGCGCCGGCCGCAGCCCGGCTACTTGAAGCTTGGGACTTGAACTTTTTGCTCATAATAATGTGGGGTAAGGTGGGATGGGTATCAATGGAAATCAAACGAGCGAGGATGGATTTTCACGGAAACCTTCTGGAGACAGAGGTCAACAGTCTGCGGCGCACAGTTCGTATAGGAATGCGACAGAAAAAAGAGAGTTGTTCAAGCCCGGGGGAGCTTCCAGGAGGAGAGATGATGAAGAAGAAGGAATGCGGCGTGACTGTCGGCGTCTCTATCGGGCAGGTCACGTGGGCTGGTGTCATCGATCGCCCGAACGGGAAAAGGCGCGAGTCTCTTTCACCTTCGGATTTCCGCGAAGGTGAGAGCTTCTCTGTCTCGTCTGGAGCATCGCGCTCGCCCGTCACAATGAAGTTCTTCATTGAGTAAGTTTCTCTGATCTCTTTTGCAGCTCCCACACCGTGCTGACTGTTCCTCTCTCTCTTCTCTCTCTCGCCAGTGACCTACCCGTGCTCTTCCCGTACCCTCGTATATATCCCGAGCAATATGCCTACATGTGCGACCTCAAAAAGACCCTCGATGCTGGGGGCAACTGTGTCCTGGAGATGCCTTCGGGCACCGGGAAGACGGTTTCGCTATTGTCGTTGATTATCGCCTATCAGATGCATTATCCGGAACACCGCAAACTCATCTACTGTTCTCGTACCATGTCGGAGATCGAAAAGGCGTTGGCCGAGCTGAAGGCCTTGATGAAATTTCGGGCGGATCAACTCGGGTTCACGGAGGACTTTCGAGCGCTCGGGTTGACCAGTCGAAAGAATCTGTGCCTGCATCCATCCGTCAAGAGGGAGAAAAGTGGCACGGTCGTCGATGCGAGGTGTCGGAGCTTAACGGCGGGATTTGTCAAGGAAAAAAAGGAACGGGGTGAGGATGTCGATCTATGCACATATCATGAGGTATGCATGAGGATGTCTCGCTTTGTGGAACTGGATACTCATGCTTCAAATAGAATCTTGATCTTCTCGAACCGCATAACCTCCTCCCTCCCGGTGTTTTCACTCTCGACGGACTACTCAAGTATGGCGAGGAACACAAGCAATGTCCTTACTTTTCGGCACGACGGATGGTAAATACCCTCGACCCTCTGACTGTCTCCTGGCCATACTAACGCGATTTAAATAGATGTCGTTTTGCAACGTTATAATCTACTCATACCACTATCTACTGGATCCGAAAATCGCGGAGCGGGTATCAAAGGAATTTTCAAAGGATTGCATAGTGGTCTTCGACGAAGCGCACAACATCGACAACGTCTGCATTGAATCCCTCAGTATCGATATAACGGAAGATTCGTTGCGCAAGGCTACGAGGGGTGCAAACAACTTGGAACGGAAAATCCACGAGATGAAGAGCTCCGATGCCGAGAAGCTGCAGAACGAATATTCCAAGCTTGTCGAAGGACTACGAGAGGCGGAGCAGGCGCGAGAAGAGGAGCAGTTCATCTCGAACCCCGTCCTACCGGATGACCTGCTGAAGGAAGCCGTACCGGGCAACATTCGTCGAGCAGAACATTTTGTCACCTTCCTCAAACGATTCATCGAATACCTCAAAACCCGAATGAAAGTCACTCATACCATATCCGAAACTCCTCCCTCGTTCTTGACCCACGTGAAGGACCTGACCTTCATCGAGCGAAAGCCGCTTCGCTTTTGCGCCGAACGGCTAACGTCACTCGTGCGGACGCTAGAACTAATTAATATTGAAGACTACCAGCCACTTCAAGAGGTGGCAACATTCGCGACTTTGGTCGCAACGTATGACAAGGGATTTCTGTTGATCCTTGAGCCGTTCGAGTCTGAGGCGGCCACCGTGCCGAATCCCATCCTGCATTTCACTTGCCTGGATGCTGCGATTGCCATCAGACCCGTCTTTGACAGATTCAGCTCCGTTATTATCACGTCCGGAACTCTGTCACCCTTGGAGATGTATCCCAAGATGCTGGATTTCCCGACTGTGATGCAAGAATCGTACAGCATGACCCTCGCACGTCGGTCTTTCCTCCCTATGATCGTGACTCGAGGGTCGGATCAAGCACAGGTATCTTCGGGATTCCAGATTAGAAATGACCCGGGTGTCGTCCGCAATTATGGAAATATTGTCCTCGACTTCGCCCGCATCACCCCCGACGGAATCGTCGTTTTCTTCCCCTCCTATCTGTACATGGAGTCCATCATCAGCATGTGGCAAGGCATGGGTATTCTGGACTCGATATGGAATTACAAATTGATCTTGGTCGAAACCCCCGATGCGCAGGAATCCTCCCTTGCGCTGGAGACCTACCGAACCGCCTGCTGCAACGGACGAGGCGCAATCTTATTCTGTGTCGCACGAGGAAAAGTCTCCGAAGGTATCGATTTCGACCACCACTACGGGCGCGCGGTGCTGTGCATCGGCGTTCCCTTCCAGTACACCGAATCCCGCATCCTCAAGGCCCGACTCGAGTTCCTCCGCGAGAACTACCGCATCCGCGAAAACGACTTCCTATCCTTCGACGCCATGCGTCACGCCGCCCAATGTCTGGGTCGTGTCCTCCGTGGCAAAGACGACTACGGAGTCATGGTTCTCGCCGACCGACGATTCCAGAAGAAGCGCAACCAACTCCCGAAGTGGATCAGTCAGGCCATGCTGGAAAGCGAAACGAACCTCAGCACCGACATGGCGGTCGCCACGGCCAAGAACTTCCTGCGCACCATGGCCCAGCCCTTCAAGGCCAAGGACCAGGAGGGGATCTCCACGTGGAGTCTCGCCGATTTAGAAAAGCATCGCGAGAAACAGATGCAGGAAGAGGGCCGAGTCCGGCGGGAAGAGCTCGCCAACGGTCATGGTCATGGGGCGAACGGCATTCGCGCTGGCGTGCCCGATGATGCGGATGAATTTGACGACAATATTGACGAAGATCTCATGATGCTGGATGCGCAGTGACCCTGACATAATATTATCATACTTGCCAACCCCACTGTTCAAATAGACTTGCTGCTTTGCTTTTGTCTCCTGCGATCTGTATCTGCTTTTCACTTTCTGGAAATAAGTCCGTCCAACATGATGATACCACGGTGGTTCTATATGGTGTTTATTACTAAAAAATCTAACTCGAATTCAAAATTTACTCTGCAAATAAAGGACCAATAGCGAAATAAACTAATTTTGTTCTGCTGGTAGTATAGTATGAAAATGCTATCTAGAAATAAGAAAGAAACAAAACAAGGCTTTTTCTTAATTCCGCTGAGACTGAACTCCAGAGGTCATTGGACACATCAAAAACATACAAGGAAAGAATGACAAAAGAAATGCATCTTTAAATACACACACACATCCACTCAAGCTGGCAAGCATATACAACAAAATAAAAATGGCAATAAAATGATACAGACACAGATATCCAATGGCTCGAAATTAAGCCACAGGAGCAAGGACATCGAAAGCACCGGTTCCCACGATTCCAGGACGTCCGGCAACGATCCGACTACTAGGACTCTTCAGGTTATCGAAGTCTCTCTCGATGACGGCTTCCTTGAGGTAGCCGACCGTGGTTTCGAAACTCATCTTGGACAGGGGCGACGAGCTGTCCTTGACCAAGCCGTTACGGTTGAAACCGCGGAAGCTACCAGACTGGGTCATCACGTCACCGATCAGGTTCAGGTGACGGTTGTCGACGGAAATACTGTGACCTTCGAAGACCTCGGACATCTCGCGGACGATCGTGGCGCGAGCAGCCTCTACACCGTAGAGGGCCAACATGTGGTAGATCGAGTTGGTGTAGAGAGAGTGGGGCTTGATGATATCCTGGTAGTCGCGCATGGCGAGCAGGTTGACGCCGTCCGTGATGACGTGCGCAGGCTCGCCCTTCATCGGGTCGGCATCGACGTACGTGCAGTTGGCAAGACCCGGGATGGACTGGATGACGGCGCTGTGGGCGGCCTCCTCGACCAGAGGCAGGATAAGAAGCTTGGGAGTCGCGATGTCGTACTGCAGCTGGACGGTACACGAGTTGCCCTTGCTGGGGTTGAACTTGAACTTGGTGACTTCAGCAAAGCGGCCGCGGATATCGTCTTCCCGCAGCTTACTGTCCTTCGCTTCTTCGTCGTCCGAGTCGGAGTCGTCTGCATCGGCCATCTTGACATCACGCGTCTTGCTCTTCTTCTTAGTCGCGTCGGCATCTTCGTCCTCGCTGTCCTCAGACTCATCAAGTTGTCGGACCATGGCAGCCTCCTCGTCCTCAGGGCCCTCGTAAGAGATCTGGTTCGAGCGGTTCTGAGCACCCTTGGAGCGTTTGGCATCATCTTCGTCCTCCTCGTCGTCATCATCAGCGCCATCGGCGTCGGCATCGGCAGCACCAGGAGCCTCCTGGAGGGTACCAACAGAGGCACCAATTTCAGGCTGAGCAGTCGAGTAGTTCTTCACCGTCTTCTCATCAACCCGCTTCTTGAGCGCAGCTCTGGTGAGCCTCACAAGCTTGGGAATGAATTTCGTCTGCAGCGTGTTTTGGATATCCTTGGTCTTGATGGCATACTCCGCAGTGTATTCGTCTGACGGGAAGAATGAGACTTCGACGTCGTAGACCTTGGCCTTCGTGCTGCCGGAGGAGATTCTCTCCGAGATGGTGACCTTGTCGATAACCTCCGCGATACTGAGCTTGCTGATTCCCTTGGCGAACTTTTCGGAGTCATGCTTGGACATCTCCTCGTTCAGAACCAGGGTCATGGTCGGGGTCATGATGTGGGCGCTAGCAGTCATGACAATCTCACGTAGTCGGGGAATACCCAGAGTCACGTTCTTCGCCGAGTGACCAGCCAAATGGAAAGTGTTCAGAGTCATCTGAGTAGAAGGTTCTCCGATAGACTGACCGGCAACAATTCCGACGGCCTCACCAGGATCGACAACAGATTTCAGATACTTCATGTTCATCAAAGTGTTGAATGCCTTCTTGCTGATAACTCCGCTGATGTCCTTCTTCTTGTCCTTCAAGAGCTTACCAGGATTGCCATCCTCATACTGTGAGAATAATTCGTTAGTCGCATATGGGATACGGGCGAGAACCATTGTTCACATACCTTCTTGAGCGCTTGAGTGAAGTATTCTGACGTACTACCCAGATTACCACCAGGGTGGTAGAGGGAGAGGACTGGGTCCTTCATGTCAACCCTTCCGGTCTTGCGCACCGTCTTCATGGCGTCCTTGTGCCAGTTGGTGACTTCTTCCTTCTCCAGGTTCTGGAAGTCGTTGGTCAAGTTCACTTGAGACATGATGGACCTGTGGTTGGATGCCAAGAAATCGAAATCCTTGAGATGAACCTGCTTCGTGATATCCAGACCGTCCTCACCGTACAGGAACTGCACAATGGAACCATCGGATCCTTCTCGGACCGAGGTGTCATATTCTGCCCTCAAGCCTTCCATACCCTTGATCAAGCAACGCTGCAAGTAACCAGATCTAGAGGTCTTAACGGCGGTATCAATAAGACCCTCACGACCGGCCATGGCGTGGAAGTAATATTCTTGGGGCTTGATACCAGTCAAGAAACGACCGCAGACATAACCACCAGCCATCGGGTTCGTGTCGAAAGCCCTGAACGATGGCAGGGTCTTACCACTGATCATGACAGGAACACGGCGACCTTCCAAAACCTGTTGACCCAGGTTACAAGAAATCAGGTTGGCGTTGACACCAGAACCCTTGGCACCGGAGATGGTCATCGACTGCATCTGGTTCCACGGGAAAGGCTTGGCCAATCCGCCCGGAAGACAGGCCTTTGTGATTTCAGTAGACAGCGTGGCAGTGCGAGCGTTCGAGACGCTATCCAGACCCGCCTGCTTCTCTTCGTCTCGAAGCACATCCTCCAGGCGTCGTCGCAATTCGGCGTCCTCATCGGGTACATTGGCGTCGTCGAGAGTCACGTACTTCAGCGCAACTTCCCGACCGATACCATCAGCCTTCTTGAGGACCTCCTTACGCTTGCTGTCACCCTCCTTGGTCAAGCGAAGATCGTCAATACCGCAAGTGAATGCGCGCATGTTCAAGAACCTCGTCAGAAGACGTCCAAGGATACCAATCAGTCTACCAGCGATAGTATGACCGTAGATTTCGTGAATAGAGTCGATCAGACCGCCAGCAGTAGGTCCAAGTTGTTTCTTGTCGAGAATACCGCAGAGGAACTCGCCGTCCTTGAAGATGACGTTTCCTTCTTCGTTGCCTTCGCCCCACCGGTCACCGGGAGTAGAAGACTTGCTCGTCATGTTTAGACCAGCTCTTCCTGGAGGCATGATATTCTTAAGGATGGTTGTGACGATCTGCTTTCCGGTCCAAAGGGGCTTCGGACGAATGATCGTTGGGTCTACCAGCTGGATCCGCTCAGAGATGGTATGCGAATTCTCCGGTCTCAAGCAGTTGTAGAGCAGCTGGTGGTAGTCATCCTCATCGAAGAAGCTGTCTCGGCAAGTGAACCACGTTCCCATCGAAATATGATCCTGGATCAAACCTCGCAACGGCTTTCCAGACGTGGCAACAAGGTATTGGTGATCCGCATCCGCAAGCATCATAGCTTCTGATCGAGCAAGCTCGTTCTGAGGGAAATGCATGTTCATCTCGTCACCATCGAAATCAGCGTTGTAGGTGTTACAGTTGGCGTAGTGCATGCGAATAACCTTCTCGTTAGGAAGCACACGCGCTTTGTGACCCATGATAGAGGGCTTGTGGAGTGTGGGCTGACGGTTCATCAAAACAACGTCACCGGTGGTCAGATGGCGATAGACCTTCTTGTTGCGGGCTCCCTTGATTCGCCAATTTGACGGCGCCAGCAGCTGGTTGGCCAGGGCGGTTCGCTCATCCAAACTCTTGAACTTGAGATTCGTGACCTGTCCCACCTCGTTCTCGATTGCCATAGCACCCGGATATTTGTCGGGGCCGTTGATGACTGCCTGCTTCATTTCCCAGAAGTTGTGGTTTGTCACCGGCTCCGGGTACGTCAGCTTCTTCGCAAAGACCAGCGGCACACCGATCTCATTGGTTTCGATATTAGGATCAGGGGAGATAACACTTCGGGCAGCGAAGTTGACACGCTTTCCCATCATGTTCTTTCGGAACAGACCTTCCTTCTTTTCCAGGATCTGCTTGATACCATTCGGGGCAGAGGCGGCAGCTGGGCCCGAAAGTCCGCTTCTATCGCGGTCAATCAGACCGTTAACCGTATCCTGGAGTTGCACAATGGCAGCAAGTAGATCTCGATAGTCCCTCACGCGATTCAGGGAACTGGCGGTCGAGGTTTGTCGCTCCTTGCTGATTTGATTGATGAAGTCGCAGTGTTTCAAAACTTGACTGAAAGGTTGGTTCTGCTGGGCTTCCATGATCTCGCCGGGTCCCTGAGGAGCAGCCGGGCGGTACTTGTTCGGCGGCACCAAGAGGCTCTTGATGAAGAACATGTCTGCGCTGACTGGCGAATCCTTCTTCGATTGAGGTCGAGAGTTGTAAAGAAGGTTTAGAATCTCCGCCTCTTTCTCAAAGAGCAGGGTGATTGCGGCGTGAACCTCAGGGGAGGGCATGTACTGCCCACCGTCACCAGCCTGTCTCTTGCTTTCTTCCTCGGAGATAACGGCATTTCCACGAGCAACTTCTTCCTCTGCTCCATGGGTCTCCGAGGTAACACTGACATTATCCGAGATGCCGTTCGCAAGGGCCTGCTTCTCTTTGGAGTTGGACTTTCTGGCTTGTTGGACGAGGACAAGGGAGTTTGGCGCCTGGAAACCACCCTGGATCATAGCAAGCCTCGACTTCTCGGCCAAAGGCTTTCGGAAAATTTTCGAATACCGATCTCTTCGGAACCCTGGAGATACTCTTCACAGTACGTCAATAATTGTTTACAGGCCAAGAAAAAAAGAAAAAAAAAAAAAAACTCATGCGGGGTGCTCAGGTTGTCGCAATACATACCCTTTGCAGCTGGCACACTTCTTGATGCTGACAAGCTCTTTGAAGAAGTCCTTGACCATAGTGCGTCTCTCTTCCGAGGCAATGGGGTTCTTGATGCCAGACATGAGGCCATCCAGTTTACCCGCAGCCTTCGCTTCCCGGATGGCTCTTTGGACGTAATTGTTTCTCTTCGCGATCAGATCCTCCTCATCCTCGTCCTCGCTGCTCGAACCATCGGCATCCTTTCCCTTCTTCTTATTTCCTTTACCCTTACTCAGGGAATCGATGACAGCTGCCTCGTCGACCAATCCATGTTGCAGCAGTCGCAATTTGCAGGTGTAGACATTAATTTGTGTTCGGGACATTTGGAAGCGATGGCAGTAAGCACACTGCGCGCGAAGAAGACGATACAATTGATCGAAATGCGTAACATTGTAGACATGAACCGGAAGCTCGATATGTCCAGGATGTCCGGTACATGACCATGAGTTCAAGCGACAAGTCGTACACCTACATCGGGTCAGTTTTTTCCTACCCGATAAAAAAAAAGCAACCACCCCAGAAATTCTCCGGGATATGATGACTATGGTGGACTTACACATGGTCACTCCATGCTCCCATAGCCGGATCATACAAACCACCAGGAACGGGGTTGTTGAAGGAATCCAACGTCGGCGTATTGTGGATTCGCTTTACAGAGATAGCTTTGATGTCCGCATCGTTGTAGACGCCAAAGTCCACCCCCGCAATGGCGGAGGCCACAGGACGTGCGAAGGTCGCCATGGTTTCCTGCAGCTCCGTGAGCGACGAGCGACGCTTGTGTTCTTGTGGTCCTTCTGGGGCGTGCAGGCCTGGAGAAGAGGAACGGCGGGATTCGTCGGTCTCGACGCTGCGAAAAAAGTTCACCCAACTTTTTTTCTGCCGTGCGATACCGCCCCGCTCCACCCGGCGCCCGTGATTCCTTCAATTCTCCGGCTGCTTTCCAAGTTGTCTCGCTTTCTTGCCATCGCCCTTTGGCTCCAGTCCACCCTTGTCCTTCGCCTTGAGGCCTTTGGTTTATTTCTACTTACATCTTCATCCCCAGCTGTGAGCTGATCTGCTGATCTCAGCGGGTGAGTGGAACTTTTTTTTCCATCTCACCAAAAAAAAAATAAACCATGGACGTGTCAGGGCTGAAGCGACCTCATCCCGAGGAAGAAGACGACAATGCACAGAAGAGGTCCCGTTCTAACAATGGCCCGCCACTACCGGCCCAAGGGGCGCCTGCCGCGGGCAAGGTCGACATTGAGAAAATGGTAGCCGAAGCGAGAGCAAAGGCTGAAGCCGTCCGCGCTAGACTTCAGGCCGCAAGAGGAGGAGCTTCAACTGTGACGCCTGCGTCTGCCAGCCCGAGCCCTGCTCCTCCCGCTACTGCGAGTCCGGCAATGTCGAGATTGGAACAGATGAAGGCCCGAGTAGCAGCAGCCACCGGGAGAGCCAACGCCGCAGCCCAGGAACGGCCCCCCGCGCCGGCACCAATTCCTCAGCCACCTCCCCCTCCCTTTGACGAACCTGACGATGGCCCATCGCGAGCTCGAGGTGGTTTGGATGTCGGTCTGCATCCGGCGCTTCTTTCGGATACGGTCGAGTTTCGAGGTGGCAAGGGACGACAATCGGCACAATCAAAACGTCGCAACGAGTCTCCTATTACCGGTGGAAGGCAGGATCGCGCGGGACTCGATCTCTCCGGGCCTTCTTTGGAGGAAATCAAAAACAATCCGTACTATGATCCGAGTCTGGGACCGAAGGCGACCATCGCGAGGCCGCGACAAACACGTCAGTTGCTTTTCAACCAAAAGGGCAAATACATCCAGCAGGCTGCTGCTCTGCGTCGGCAGGCCCAGCTGGAGGCGATGAAGAAGCGAATCGCCGAAAGGGCACGACAAGCAGGTATCGATGAAGACTTGGACGTTGAAAAGGGATTCCTGGTCCCCGCTCCGCCGGCCATTGAATGGTGGGATGAAGGTTTGGTGAACGGAGAAGACTACTCGGCCGTGGATGACGAGAAAAATCTCAAGATTGACACCCCCGACTCTATAGTGACAGTCTACGTCCAACACCCCGTCCTTCTCGATCCTCCTCAGGAGAAGCACCTCTCCGAGCAAAAGCCCATGTATCTCACGCCTAAAGAACAGGCGAAGATTCGTCGGCAGCGGCGGATGGCTGATCTCAAGGAACAACAGGCGAAGATCCGTCTCGGATTGGAGCCAGCACCCCCGCCGAAGGTCAAGAAATCCAACCTCATGCGAGTACTGGGTGAACAGGCTGTTAAGGATCCTACTGCCGTCGAAGCACGCGTCACGCGCGAAATCGCAGAGCGTCGTGCTAACCACGAGGCTGCCAACGAAGAACGTAAACTGACCAAGGAGGAGCGTCGAGATAAGCTCGCTCGGCAACAGGAGAAAGATGCCGAGAAGGGAATCCAAATGACCGTGTATAAGATTGACAGCCTTGCCAACGGACGCAACCGGTTCAAGATCAGCAAGAACGCGGAACAGAACGCCTTGACCGGTGTCTGCGTCATGCATCCTCGATTCAACCTTGTGATTGTGGAAGGAGGTGCTCACTCAATCAACAACTACAGAAAGCTCATGATGAACCGCATTGACTGGACGGAGAACGCCGGGCCCAACGCTGTGCGTGAGGGCAATCGTGAAGCTCAAGTATCCTGGCTGGCAGCCGAGGACGAGCAGACGGGCGATTTGAAAGATCTCAGTTCCAACTCCTGTAATCTTCTGTGGGAGGGTCAAGTCAAGGCTCGAGCCTTCCGCAAGTGGCTGGGCGCTCGAGTCTGCGAGACCGACTCTCAAGCCAAAGATGTCCTGGCCCGGGCAAAGATGGAGAGTTTCTGGGCTTTGGCCAAGAGCGCAAAGCAAAGCGAGTCATGATAACACTGCTTTTAAATCTAGCCTTCAAAATCAAAACGCGTCATGTACATTAATCAATAATACCTCAGCATTGAAAATGGCTTGTTGATATTCTCTATAAAATCCAAATGATGACCCAAACAGCGACACGTAAACTTTTGTTTTTAGATCAAACCCATCCAAAAAGCAATACCCGGCTCCTTAAATGCAAAACCTATCCCACATAATGGCTAAGATCCAGAACCTTACCGTAGAACAAGATGTGAAGAACCCAAAAAGAGAGATGAAGGTATCATGATATTACAGTATTATGAAGGGGGCGGTCCCTGGTTGTTACTGAGTTGTCGCAGAAGATCCAACTGCGCTTTGACCTGGTCAAAGTTCATCGATGGGTTTTGCATCTGCTGCTGGCCGGGGACTTGCTGCTGCTGCTGATACTGCTGTTGTTGTTGTTGCTGCTGCTGCTGCTGTTGCAAAGCCGCAAAGAACAAGGGGTTGATATGGGCGTTGGGGGGGATTTGCTGATACGGGTTTGGTTGCTGATAGGCCTGCTGGAATGGCATCTGGAAGTTGAATGGCAATACGCCCTGAGGGAAAGCCTGTTGCTGCGGCTGTTGCTGCTGCATTTGAGGCTGCATTTGCGGCTGGAAACCAGGGTAAGCCGGCATCTGTTGAGGCATGCTGTAGGCAGGCTGCTGGTTTTGTTGGTAGGCTTGAGGGTTGAAGTGAGAAGGCTGGGGCTGCGACTCGGGGGCCTGCTGCTGGTGATATGACTGGCGGTCTTGATGCTGGGGTCTCGGTCCTCCCCGACCACGGCCTCCTCGTCCCCGGTCAGAACCTCGACCTCGGCCTCGACCACTGTAGAAGCCAGCGCCTCTAGCATGGGGGTCGTCACTCTCCACTGGAGCCTCCTGCCGACCCATCATCTCGTGCAGGTTCTTAGGGCGGGCAAGTGGGGTGTAGCCATCTTCACCGGCGTTGTCGTCATAGTTGAGCTCGCTCTGGTTGAGCTTCGAGGGACCAGGGGGTCCTCTCTTGGCTCTCGAACCATCGCCATGCTTGGCCTCCTTCTTCTCCTGGCGCTTCTGCTTCAATTTCCGCTTGTACTCGGCTTCAGCTTCGTCGTCGGAGAACTCAACCTCGTCCTCGGCAATTTCTTCGTCGTGGAAGTTTGACGCATCGCTTCCCTTCATTCCCTTGAGGGGTTGGGTGAAGACGAATGTAGATTGGCTCTCAACATAATAGATTGTCTTGCCCTTGGTGAGGCCGCGCGCTTCGATGGTAGCGGCGTCGGGATATCGCACCGTATACAACGGGTTCTCAACTCGTCCCAGAGTCTCGGAGACCATACCCGCAAGGCTCCTATCTTCGAAGCAAAGTAGGGAGCCGGCCTCAAGCACCTGGTATTCTCCGGAGGTGTTCGCCGAGATCAAAACGGTATTCTCCACAATGGCCTCCACATTACCCAGAAGCACGATTTTCATTTCCGGGGTAATGGTAACTTCGGGGAGAGGAGGAGCCTCTTCCATCACCTCATTTGCCGTCCGAATATGACCACCCGATTTGCCTTTTCCATCCCCTTCATCGTCGGAGCCGAGTTCGGCCTGCATCAGGATGCGCGCTTGTTCTTCGGGACTGAGGATCGGATAATCTTCGTCTTCGTCGGAGCTGTCATCGGACGAATCGGTAGAGCTGTCGGAGGATGACTCGTAGGGAGAAGAATCAATTTCCCATTCGGGGTGCTCTTCCTCTTCTGCCTCGGCCTGCGCAGGTTCTGTAGGGCCTGCCACGGGGGCAGCACTTGGTTCGGATGCGCCCTCGCCGTTGACGGCGGTCTCCACGGGCTTCGGATTCGTAGTCTCGTTCTGGTTCTGCTGTTCCCCATCCTGTTCCACTTCCATCGCATCATTGTTGGAGGGGGCAGTTTCTTTGGTCACTTCTGCGGTTGTCTCAGACTGATTCTGCGTGGTAGAGGGCTGGGAGGCATTCTGCACTGCTGTAGTAGGAACACTCTCTGGGTTAGGAGCGCTTTGGACAGTATTCGACTCGCTCGTTGTCGACTGCAGACCCTTGAGGCTGTCGTTGACCAGATTCAAACCGGGGATCAACGGCGCAGAAGTGGACGGGATTGGTTCGCTGGTTTTGGCTGGAGCAGCGCTCTGCTGGTTTTCCGCAGTGTTCACCGGGGTCCCTGTAGCCCAAGGAGTATTGTAGAAATCGCTTCCATCGTCCGCAGGCGTCAATGCGACAGGCGGCGTCTCGTTCATGCAAGCTCGTTTCTCGGGCGGGCCCTCGTTCTGGATGTCCTGAGGGACAGGGGGTTGATGGTCGCTCATTGTGAAATGACCCAAAACAAATATGAACAACCTCTAAGAGCAAAATGTAAATCAGAAAAAAAGAAAGAAAAATAAAGTGGGTTGTCCGTTGAAATGTCGAAGAAAAGCGACGCTGCGGAAACTTTTTTTTTTCTGCCGGAAGTGCACAAGTTGCCGAAGCGGTCGCCGGAGCAGCTTTATCGATAATCGCCATCTGTTCTCGACCTTCTCGACTGATTCTCTTGAGAATATATTCATTACAATGGCTTCTGCCAGGAGGAACGTCGAGGTTCCCCCAGTCCCCGCGGGACGGGCTGCTCCTCGTACTAAACAACGGTACAATCCTTGGACTTCATTCTATTCATAGTTGACGATGAGCTAACAGTCGCCCGTCGCAGTCCTCCGCCGCCGCCGTTCTACATTCCCTTAAACATCACCCTCTATGTGTGTCTTATTTCAAACGGAATCGCTGCTTTCCTTGCGCCAATTCAGGATTGCGATGAAGTGTTTAATTTCTGGGAACCCGCGCATTACCTGGATCATGGATACGGCCTGCAGACGTGGGAGTACTCGCCTGTCTACTCCATCCGCAGCTGGCTCTACGTTACCATCCATGCCTTCGTCGGGAAAGTCAGTTCGTTGGTGGTCGGCTCGAAAAGGGCGGAGTTCTATGCCATCCGAGTCTTCCTGGCCCTGTTCTGCGCGGCCTGTCAAACCCGGTTATATTCCGCCATCTGTCGAACGCTGAGCCCCCGCATCGGCCTGCTCTTTCTCATGGTGATCGCATTCAGCCCGGGCATGTTCCACGCGTCGGCCTCGTTTCTTCCGTCCAGTTTCACCATGTACATGTCCATGCTCGGTCTGACGGCCTTTTTGGATTGGAGATCCGGTCAGAAAACGGCTCAGGGAATCATGTGGTTTGGTCTGGGTGCGATTGTGGGTTGGCCGTTTGCCGGAGCGCTGATCGTTCCTCTACTGTTGGAAGAAATCGCTATCGGTTTTATTTCGGGGTCCTTGCGCACGGTGTTTGCCAGCATCCTCAACGGAGCCTTGAGATGTCTGGCGATTCTAGTATGTTTCGATGAACCCACCCCTGAAGGCTCGATCCATACTAATCCATTTAGGCTGTGGAAATCGGCGTTGACTACGCTTTTCTGCGGAAGTTTGCTATCGTGCCCTGGAATATCGTCGCCTACAATATCTTCGGAGGAGAGGGTCGTGGCCCGGAAATCTTCGGGACTGAGCCCTGGACGTTCTATATCCGGAACTTGTTGCTTAATTTCAACGTTTGGTTTGTCTTTGCCATTTCGGCGGCGCCGCTCCTTTTCTTCCAGGCCGTCTTCCGACAGCAGACGACCAGCAAAGAGACCCTGTGGCGCACCGTCACGCTCATCACGCCCTTCTATATGTGGTTTGCGATCTTCACTGTGCAACCCCACAAGGAAGAGCGATTCATGTATCCCGCATATCCTTTCCTCGCGCTCAATGCGTCCATCTCCTTCCACATGATTCTGTCCTATGTAGGGTCTGGTAACCCTCGAGAGATCATGGGACGGATCCCTGCCAAACTGAAGCTGGCTGCCGTCATGGCCGTGGTCCTTGCCGCCATCAACGCCGGCCTGTTGCGAACCGTCGGCATGATCACCGCCTACAACGCTCCTCTGAAGGTATTTGCGCCGCTGGAGCAACCCGGCGTTGCTCACGCGGGTGATTCGGTGTGTTTCGGCAAGGAGTGGTATCGATTCCCATCGTCCTTCTTTCTGCCCGAGGGGATGCGCGCGAACTTTATCCGCAGCGAATTCCGTGGGTTGCTTCCTGGGCAGTTTCCTGACGCGGCGAATGTGGCTTCGCTGCTGGAGGGAACGTCGCAAATTCCCGAGGGCATGAACGATCTCAACAAGGAAGATCCTAGCAAATATGTAAGACTAGTACAGCTTTCTTTCTTTTCTTTCCAGCTAACCTAGCTGCTAGGTGGACCTGTCGCAATGTTCCTTCCTCGTCGACTCGTCCTTCCCGGGACAATCGATCACGCAGCTCGAACCCGACTATGTGCACGACGAAGCGCACTGGGAGCGTCTCTCATGCAAGGACTTCCTGGATACGTCACAGACCGGACTACTCGGGCGGTTGATCTGGATCCCCGACTTGCCGATCATCCCGGATCAATTCCGCCGCAAATGGGGCCAGTACTGTCTGCTCCGGCGCCGCAGCGACAATTCTGCGACCGTTTAAACCATATCCTGTATATACATCATTAGATACAATCCAAGTGTGGTCGACATCCCGCGGATTACCCCGGGTTGGAGATCCCTTGCGCCCTCGCAGTCCTTCTTCTGGGCGGCATGCGGGCTTTTCCTATTCGAGATAAGAAATCCTGGTGTCACGTCAGTCGCGAGATAAGCCTTCCACTTGCTTTCCCCATTGGATCGCCGCCGGTTTGTCCTGCTAGACTGCGCATCCCTGTATCGGATGTGCATGCCTATCTCGTCGTCTCTGATATGGGCGTATCCGATCTAGATTGCACATGCCGTCCATCGCGATATTCAAATTGATTCACGGATCCAAGACAGTATGAGCGCCATGGAGAGGAGCCAGTTGCTCTTGTCCGTCTCATTGCTAGTATCATAATATCCTATTCGATTCAGGGATCATCCTTCTCGGAGAGCCCGAAACGGATAACAATCATGTCTCAACTGGCCCATCTTCGCATCGGTCCTTATCGTATACAAGACGTCTCCGCTATTCTGCTTCTCGCCACCATCAGCGCCTATCTCGTCGCTCATTTCTTTCGGCAGAAGTTCAAGTCATACTCCAGGCCGTCCACGCCGGATCTCGAGCACAAGTCTTCCGTTCAGGCGAGAGGCTGGAAGGCCGAGAGGAAACCGGGAGGTGTGTTTGCCTACCTCCATATGCCCATCCCTCAATCTATATTCCTTCCTGCAGAGACATAGCTACAGAGAATCATCCAGCTCACCACGACTGCTTGTTCTTAGAATGGACCCCCTCAGACTTCAAGCGTCCGCCTGCATCCCCATACCCAGACTGGGATGTCCACACCACCAAGCCGATCCCATATCGTCCATTTAGATATGGGCCGTGAGTTTATCCGCCCAATTTCTTTCACGGAATTATCCAACCATGTCTAATACCTGTTCACAGAAAGTATTTTATCACTATGGGCTTGAGAAGTATGGATTGGGACGAATGGATCGGTATGCACCATGCATTGTCTCTTTACTATGTCCTATCAACACTTATTAACCGGGAACTGGTATATACATCTAGAGCTCGACAATCACTATCTCCGCTACCACGCCGACAAAGCCCAACGCATCAAAGACCGGGGCGAGAAATGCTGCCGCACCGCCCCCGAGGCAATGGATGCAGCGATCGAGCTGTTGGAGGAACTGTACGTCCCTTTCCCTCCTCCCTCCAATCACTCAAACACCACACAACTACAACATACCTTCCACCTCAGTCCCATCATCACAATGAAATAACAAAAGAAAAAAACCACAGAACATCCTACCTCCCCCAACGCTACCCCACCCTCTTCCACAAAACCCCCACCGGCCTCACCAACCTCCTCACCCACGAAACCTTCGACATCACCACCCGCCCCCTCCCCGAAGACCCCATGACCACCGCCGCGCGCCTCATCCAAGACGACATCGCCATCATGATCGAGCGCCCGGACGGCGACTACTACCTGCTCGCCGGTTGCGTCCTCCTCGCCGGCTTCTGGCGCCTCAGCGACAAATACGGCATGCGGCTGTCTGAAATCCACACTTCCGGCAACGTCCCCGGCTACAAAACCAAACTCGAAAAAGGCATGCTGAATTTCTTCCGCCGCATCAAGCCCCACGACCCCGTCGTGCGCAACAACTACTTCATCCAAGTCGATAACGAACTCCCTTGGTCGAGCAGTATCGGCTCCGAAGATTCCAAAGAAGTATCGTGGAACACAGCGCAGAAGAACAAGGCCATCGAGCACCACTTTTTCCGCTCCGAGAGGCAGTCCCTGCGCCGGTTGCCAAGGTCAGGGGGCGTCGTGTTCACGATCAGGACGTATTTCGAGCCGGTGGTCGCCGTCGCGGAGGAGGACTATGTCCCTGGGCGCTTGGCGAGTGCGATTCGGAGCTGGGGCGACGATGTAGCGGTTTATAAAGGTCGGGAGAGGTATGGGGAGGTGCTGTTGGAGTTTTTGGATCGGAAGCATGAGGAACAGGTGGCGAGGGGGTTGGATGTTGATGGGGAGGAGGAGGTCAGGAAGTATCCCTTTTGAGTTTATTGCTTTCTCTATCTGTGTCTCTATTTAGGTGGGTGGGCATATTGCTTGATTATTAGGTATATCAGGGTAAATATAACGATGTCTAATGTGAAATTATATCTAACTGGTATTATTGCGGTAGAGCAGAGCATACATCTATCTATCAAATACATCTAATACATATCAACCTTCCCTTGCAAGTCAAATGTCAAATACATACCAGACCAGACCAGAAAACACCCAACCACCCAGGCAGCTAATCATATGCAATAAACCTAAACAGCAGCAGCAGCAGTAGACCCCCTTCGACCACGCTTCCGTCTCGCGAAGGCCAACTCACGCTCTTGGCGCCACGAGCACTCGTCATTGAACTCGCAGATGCGACACTTCCACGCCTCCATGACCTCCACGCCGCGCGGATTGCGCTCTCCGCGCCACCACTCCATCTGGTCGGACAGGTAGGACGTCAGGCTGGTGGGGTCGAAGAGGAACGAGCGGCTGCCGAGCTCGCGCCGCGAGGAGTCCTCGGCCGGGGTGGACGAGATGTAGCGGGCTGTGAGAAGGGGAGAGAGCACGGTCGGGTAGGATTCGAGCATGGGGGGTTGGAATTCGGAGGGGATGGAGGGGGCGACGGAGACAGAGGAGGAGTGGGGTGGTAGTGGAGGGAGGAAGGTGAGGCGCAGCTGTTCTTTCATGAGATTCCACAGGCTGGAGAGGTTGCTGTGCGTGAGGAGCATGCTGGTGGAGTCCTGGCTGGCGGAGGGGGCGTCGCTGGAGTCTGTGGTGTACTGGCTCTGAGACGAGGGAGGCGTCCGTCGCGCCATCACGTCCTCTGGGGTGGGGACGAAGTCTGGGTCGAGGTCTTGCGACGACAGGGCGTCGAAGAACTGGTCGTTCAGGCCGCCGACTTCCATGATGAAGGCGTCGGTGAAGGTGCGCGTGGGGTCGAGGCCGTAGCGCGCCGCCAGCAGGTCGATGGTGACGTCGTCGCTGGTGACCAGACGGTTCAGCATATGATAGTACATCTGCAGTTGCAGGGAGGTCGGGCGGAACGCCGTGCTCTTGACGGTGGGCAGCGAGCCATTGCCACCGCGCGTCTTGACATCGGTCATGTACACGCGCGGGAGATCCGGGATTTCGACCGTCGACCGGCTGCCCATGCTGAACGAGTCGTCGGATCCCTGAGCCGGTTCCTCCTGCCAGCTCATGTCCGACAGACGCCGTCCGCCTTGCGACGGCGACAGCAGATACTCCGTCAGCGACATCTGATACTCGGGCATGACGGCCCTGGAGGCCTCGATGTCGGCATAATGCGAGGCCGCGGTGAGCTCCAGCTCGGGGTCCGGACACTCGAACGAGAGCTCGTCGATCACCCCGTTCACCAGCTCGCCGTCCACGACGCCCCAGACCTCCAGCTCGCGCGTGATGCCGTACTCCCGCAGCATGCGCAGGCCCTGGATCACATTCCAGATGCGCAGCGCCAGCGCGTCCTCCCTCGTAGTGATCTCCACCGACACCGTCGTGTAGATCTCGTCCTCCAGCGTCTTGTGGATCGTGCTGCCCGTCTTCATGGCGGGGGTCCGCCTCTTGCGCCCGAACTTCGTCAGCGTATACCAGTACTGCAGCTCGCACCACGCGGGCGAGATCAGATCCGTCACGGAGAACGCCTTGTTCGGCGGTCGACGGAATCGTTCCAGCGGCGAAAGCGACCCAGGGCCGACCGCTGGATCGCCATTCCGTCCTGCTTGTTCCTGCTGACGCGCTGCCTCTCTCTCGCGGTCTCTGGTCCGCCCTTCTGTCGAATCGGGGTGCTCAACTAAACGCTTCGTCGTGAGATGTCAGCTCATTCTGGTCCAATACCAATAATGACAATTTCCGACCGGGTGGGAAAAGTAGAAATCAGGGAATATTACCAGACGCGCGGGCCCCGTAGCCTGGGTTCGGATTTGCCCTCCCCCCTGCACCCGACCAGAGAGTAGGAAACCTGTGATTGGGATTCCTCGACTTGGCCACCTGCCACGGGGGCATCTGGCGTCCCAAGACGCGAGGAACGCGCCCAGACGCCGCATCCCCATTATAATCCTCGATGTCGCCGAGCACAGCGGTGGTGCTGGTGAAGGTCTGCTGCGACGGAGAGCGCGGCGGAATGGGAGGACTTGCGACAGTCGAGGGGACGGCCGGGGTTGTGGCGACGGTGGTGGTGGCGACTTGGTCGAGCAGCTCGTGCAGCAACTCCTCTTCTTCCGGGGTGAAGTCGGAGCCGTAGTCGCTGCTGTCGGCGTCGGCGGCCGGGCGGTCGAAGTTCAATGTTTGCGAAGGTGGGCAGGACATGCCTGCAACTCGGAGGGAGAGATCATGTCATCTCATGCGACGTGTGGAGGAGAGAGGGAGAGGGAAGACGTAACTAAGAATAGTTAAACTGTCACGGTGGTCATCCTTTTGGCTGCGTTCGGATTGGCGGGTCTCGGCTCAACCATTAAGAGTTACTATTTCCAGTGATTTCACATTTTGAAATATGTCTTTATATTTTTATATACGTTTATAATTTTATATGTTATATCATCTATTCACATCTATCTATCGGGTATTGCATATATACTAAAAGACACGCTACTCTATACTCTATCCTGGTCCCAATCCCCAAATGCCCCGAACTATGTACCTGAAGCTCTTAAAATTCACAAAAGAAAACCAAACGAAAGAAAAATCGACTATGCCTTCATCGTAGCCGCTGAGCTGTCCAGACCGACCCGCGAGATCTCATTCTCGGCCAACTCAGCCACCTCGACCTCGCGCGCAGCCTTCTGGTTCAACCAGCTGAGATACGTCTGCCAGCCGACCGCAATCACCCCCGAGAAGATATTCCGAAACTGCGGCGGGACGTACATGAAGCTGAAGGCCGTGACGGCGGGCCACAGCTTCGCGCTGTTCGTGATGCTGACGGGGAGAGCCTTCTTCAGTCGCTCCCACGTCTCCTCCAGCGAGGCGCCGGAGAGCAGCGAGTGCACGCTGAAGAAGTAGGTGTTGAAGACGGGGGTGAACACGGCCTGCTGCACGACGACCTTGGTGAGGATGGAGAGGAATTTGGACGCGAAGTTGAAGTTGTGGTGGAGGAACATGAACCTTCGACGGTGGTCAGTACGGAACTCTCTCTTCATCTCTCTCGGGGACCGAAATGTGCCCTTACCAGGTATACGACGGAATACTCGACCCCGAGCCTACGACCAGGTGTCGCATGGTTCGCCACGGGTCATAGCTGCCCGAACTGGTCGCCGCGTCTCCATCCTTCTCCGACTGCGCTTCCTGGCTATCTTTGTTCTGGACCGACGTATTCTGCGACGGGAAGAGCAACTGCGCGCTCAAGTCGCCACACAGGTAGACGATGATCGAACTCCATAGTTGCGTGGCATACGGCCGTCGTTCTTGAATGCGCGAGTAGGACCGGCCCAGTCTGCCGAGAGGACCGTCGGAAATAATCTGGCGCAGCGATCGCGGGCCCGACACGGCGGGGGCGGAGGGAGCAGAGGGAGCAGGCGAAGGATTCTGGACGTTCGGCTGGGATGGTCTATGCGGGTCGGGAATCGGGTCTTGTTTCTGAGGCGATCCGGAGGACTGGTATCTTCGCGATCGCAAACGAGAAGGGAGCGGCGATCGCGACGAGAGACCGGTTCGCCCCGTGAACTGGAAGAGCGTGTGCCTCATGGCGCAGGCAAAAAGAAAGCACACGCGGTGGACCAGCACCAGCGAGACAGGACCGTCGGACTGAAGGACAAAATTAACAGTCGAGAGGGAGAGTAGCAAAATAAAATAAGATCAACGGAAAATAAAAATGACCAAGTCATCGGCACCGCCTCAGGCAGGCAATGCCGAGGTCGGCGGTTTCCGGTCGGCACGAAATCGCCGCGGCGAATTTGCAATACGAAAGAAGAACATGGAAGATTATGCCGGTCATTAATAATATTGTGGCTAATGCAAAATGCTTTCTATAACTATGCTTCCAACTCATCCGTCTATCATGCTAGAATCAAAACAACGCAAGGACTCTGGGTATATCAACATGGAACAGTCGTGTAGAAGCCGATCGGGCCTCGATGCAAGTTGGACCAAAATGCAAAAATATGAAACGCAATGAATCAAAAGATGAACTTTTCTCTCTTCCATCAGTCACTTCTCGCGTGGACACGTGGTGGCAAAAAGAGTCAATAGATACTAAAAATTATCCGTGATAGTGGTATATAGTGCGCGAATGTCGACATTCGGGGAAAGGAATGAACGGTTCGGAAGAAAGACTCGAGTCTTCCCGCAAACACATGAGGTTTCTATTTGAAAGACTCCCGAGTGTTCACCCGGTCAATGTCGTAGGGGTTGGCCTCGTAGACCGACTTGTTCGTCTGGGAGGCAACCGTGCGGACGGTCGAGGCCCTGCTGCGGGTCTGGTGAATGTTGGGAAGTTCGTCAACGTGAGAGTCGGATTCGCTGTCGTCGGAAACCTCGGGGGCTGGGGCCTCCCGGCGATCGTAGGCTTCTTCGTCCTTCAGGGCCTCGGTCTCGGGCTCGGGCTCGGGTTCTTTCTTCATTCCCTGCAGCATCTTGCGCATAAACGCATCCGACTCGGCGGCGTACTTGCAACGAGTTCGAATGGCCGGGCCGTACTTGTAGAACAAGAAGGGGAAAGGCACACAGGCCAGAGCCAGGAAAGCGGGAATGGACGAGGCCCAGTGGATACCCAGATCTTGATACATGTAGGTGGTGAAAAGAGGGAAGACGGCACCGAAAACCGAACGCAGCACGGAGTTGGCGGCCAGAACCGAGGCGGCGAAGATGGTGTAGGTGTCAATCAGGTAACTCATGATACTCAAGAACACCAGCACCATGCCGAATCCGAAGGGAGCACCGGCGGCAATGCTGGCCATCCAGTGGATCGAAGGATAGTTAGTCCAGGCGAACCAGAACAGACCCACGGGGATGGCAATGGACGCAATCAAGCAGGGCGGCAATCGAGCCTCGGGAGGAGCGAATCCGCCGTGGTTCGCTTCGGTTCTGACGTAGCGCTTGTTGTCCAGGATACTGTAGATCACGGCGGCCATCATACCAATCATGATACCCAAGAAGGGGAGACTTCCAATGCCCTGGTTCCAGCCACGGTACATCTGGAACACGATGGGGTAGGCGGCGAACAGCATGTAAAGCGTGCCGTAAACGATGGCCATGTACAAACTGAGGAGGAAAACGATGGGCTCCTTGAACAGGAGAACCCAAGGGCGCGACAAGGCGGTCTTGAACGCCGCCTTGAGAGTAGTCCTGCCCTGGTCGATGTCGAGTTTGCTCTTGTACACCTTGCCAGTGATCTGGGAAAGTCTTTCAGCACGACGGCGCAGAAGCACCGGAGCATAGGTTTCGGGGACCAGGAGAGATCCGAGGATCCAAACGAAGCCGGAGAAAGCGCCTAGGAAACCCATGACCCAGCGCCATCCAGCGTTCATGCCAAGGAATCCACCGATGATCGGACCGATGACGGGACCTGCAAACAAATCAATTAACTTCATTTGACCCATGCGAGGTACTGGGGAGTAGAAAAAGACGTACCGAGGAAAGGAGCAGCCGCGAACAGACTCATAGCAATACCACGATCCTTGGCAGAGAACATATCGGCGATGACACCGCCGGCATTAGTGAACGGCGAGGCACCGAAAGAACCGGCGAAGAAACGAAGGATGATCAGAGTCCAGATGTTCTGGGCTCCCGCGCTGCCAGAGTTGAAGGCAGTCAGAGCGAGATAGGTACCGAAGAAGACGACCTGACGGCCGAACATTTCACTAAGAGGAGCCCACAGTAGAGGACCTAGGAGCCAGGTTAGCCACATCACCACCGATCAAGGTTTACGGTGTTCAAAACGTACCAACTGCAAAACCCAAAACGAACAAAGAGACACCGAGAGTCGCGACTTCGCTGCCAATCCCGAATTCCGCTTCGATTTCTGCGACACCACCGGTGTAGGCAGACGAGACCAGTGCAACGGCCAGGGTGGCGATGGCCACCATCATCGTGATGAACCACTTCTTCGTCGAGCTGAATTGCATGGGGTTTCGAGGGTCCTCCGGGATCCAGGTGATGGAATAAGGGTCGTCCTCCGTTCCCGAACCGGGGTATGGGTAATCGATCACATCTTGCGTCACGGCGCCCTGGTCAGAGACAATGCGCCAGTATGGGATATGGCGGCTGTGGGGCGCCTCGATCTTCGAGGGCCCAAGGTCCCCCTTCTCGGACATGGCGAAGCGATCCAGCGATTGTCGGCGTGGATCCGAGTGTATAAGGGAGAGTGGGCGAGGTGCAGCGGGTTAAAGAACCTGGATGTTCAAATCGAATGGGTAGTAGACGGGTGATATATAGGTACTGTAGCGAAAGTCGAATGGAGCAGTAAACAGTAGCAGCAGGGTAAATCGAGTCAGTGGCCGACAAGGGCAAAAGTGGAGCCCGTCAATATTAGGTTGGTAGTAGGAGGTTAGAAAAGAATGTAAGTGGTAGGAAATATAGATAAAAATCGCAATCAGGATTAGAGATGAAGATCCAACCAAGCTAAAATGTATGCACGAGGGGGGCAGTCCAACGGTTTATATACAAGGCTGCCCCCGGCGTAAAATTTTCCTTAATTTATTCGAGCGATGGACTGACTCCGTCGAGCTCTGAGCCTCGGATCTAAACCGGGTTCAGGGCCCCGGCGACAGAGGGCCGGACAGGACCAACTACCCAAGCGGGCAAGAAAAGGGGTCGATCTGCCGAAAACCAGACATTAACCCGGGCTTATGCAGCGCATTAGGACTATCCAGGGCGGGTCGCAGCTGTCGAGACTGGTCGGACGCCGCCGAAGTGGGTATCGAAGCCGAAGGGCTCGTGGCGTTGCCGCAGACGGAATTTTCAAAGGATTCCAGGTCCATCTCGGTCGGAGTGGCTTGTCGGTCGTTCATCCTTCCGTGCAGAGTTTTCTTTGTGTTGAACTGACGAACTGTTGATGCAGCACTGGATGTTGCGATAGATGTCACCAGTCAGGTCATTGCAGACATTGCAGACATTGCAACTGCAGACCAAGCAAGACAGAGGGGAACTCATTCCACTGATTACTCATCGGCGACGGCGGAGGAACTGCCCGCCGTGTCCGCTTCGGGCTTAGCGGGGCAGCGTCCGGCTGGAACGGCATCTCCACCGGTTCAGCCACACTTCTCTTATCTTCTTGATTCCTTCATGGATTCTAGGTTCATCCTGTCGAAGCTTGGACCGAGGCTCATTGCATTATGCAATATGCAGTAATCCTCGAGGATCCTCACCGTATCCTCATCGTGTAGATACTATCTACACTCTACTGAATATTTTGCTCTACTCCGGTGTGCTTTCATGCCTCTCTAAGGCACGCCGGATCCGGTCTATTCCCGTACATTCGGCGGTCTGTGTCAGTCATACATCGGGCATCATCGTCATCCGATCATGCGCATGATCCGTTTCTTCATCATCACCTGCCTGATATACATAACTGTTTTTATGATATGTCATCGTCGATGCAGACAACAACTAAACATCCAGGCCACGACTTGGCCGCCATGATCTGTCGGAGTGTCCGGGTCGGACCCACTAACTGTTGGATTTTGTCTTTCACTTTGACTCGGCTTGGTCGAGTTTTATTCCCATTTGAGACTAGTACGTGCGCTAGAAATTGACCCATCCATTCTATCTGACTCGTGTTTTGATCAGTCGACCTACGGAGTACTCGTCCGGAGCGCTTTGTATGGCAGTATGAGTTCACTTTGTGCTACTCCGTATGGAGTACGTGTTCCCAAGCAACGTGCCCTACCCCGCGCCTTGAGATTGAGGGCTCATCTCAGCACTCAATCTGATATGAAGGTACTATACGACTTAAGATTATCAGTACTAGCAGGTCCTTGGTGGGTGGTTTGACAACAGACGATAGTATCATTGGCCTTCATCCTATTCCGCCATGCAGATGATGATTCCAACCCTTTTGTTCCATGGATAGATCCATCGTTGACCGGCCCCATGCATGAGATGACTCGCAAGCGATACTGCGGTGTTGGATCATGGCTTGGCAGGTGGATGATCAAGCAACGGGCGACATTACGGTCTGCCGAACTCAATCCCAAAATATACATCGGCCCAACACTTACGTAGTAGGAAGTCCGAGCTGCTACAGCTGCAGATTTTCTTCGAATGAACCTTTCATTCCTCTTTTGCCTGACCATCATACCTCCGTCAACATTGACACATCATTGCGAACATCCAACCTCGGTCGGGTTGAAGCCGACCGGGCCAAAATCAAATAGTCCGGAGTCGAACCGGGCCCGGATCGGGCTGCGTCTTCCTCCCACTCCTAGCGTTCTCCGACGGAGTGGGCTTTATTGCTTCTGTTCATTATCCGGAGATTAAATTAAGGATCCTCTGAACGGTGGGTTTGTCATCTGTTTTGGATTGACGAATAGGGGACTCACCGGGATTCGTTATTCCTCTGGTTCTTACATAAATTGATTTATCGATGAGTTTTTACCTCGGCTGATGCCAGGCCGATTACTGATCGACCGGCTTACACAGATTTTATGAATATTAATGACTGTTGCCTGCGGATTGCTAATCAAGGTGTTCACTAATCACTACAGAATAACTACTAACTAATCATAGGAAATTATCTCCAGTGAGCAACCGGGAGGACTGGGCTGAATAAATGTCCCGGTGAAATTTTTGTGCATTTTGCCCTGGATCTGCCCGCTAATTATAGCCTGCCGGATGGAGTCCATGGAAGATTCTTCTCCGTCGTTCTAGCCAGAGTCAGTCTTCTCCGTACGGAGTATGTCAACGTTGGCCGTCAATGTCAATCGACCGCTGATCTTGAACTCCAATCGCCGAATTTAACATTCAATACTCCGTAGCAGGGCGATCTTCTCGTGTAGCACAATCATGCCAGGCAACGCTGGCATCTGGCCCTAGTCCGGATTTAGCAATCTCCTGTCACTCCGATGGTCTGACCTGCCTGACTCTCTCTCCCTTCCCTCTGCTGCTTTCCTGGAAACACGATTGTTTGTTCCGAACTCACGAGGCTCTGCGGCTTATACACTTCGCCCGATCAAAGGACGTTATGTCTGTCGCATCATGCCAACAAGCAAAGACCCCGCCTTCCTCGCGAACCTCCAAGGCAGGAGCACACTTAGACGTCTGAAGGCATCATCACAGAAACAGGCCCAGTCGCTCAGCTCGATCGGATGTTCACAACATCCCGATACCAAGGACATACCATGAAGCCGTGGCGGGAACTCTCGTTGAGAAAGCCATCTAACCCCAAGTGCTAAGTCTTACGAAGAACCAACTCAGCGAATAAGTGCCTTCCTTTCCTTCGACCGCGCTCTTCGTCCATTTCAAACAAATGCGAGGATCGCTAGTGACTAATCGTAATCATTCAGTCAAGCTTCCGGCGAATCCCAAACTCTCAAGTCCTACAGACCGCAGGATCATTCGAGCCGTGGAAACGCGATATACCGTGGGCTTTCGGGTCACGCTAAGGGCCTTGAATCTTTTGGACAACCAGTGTCGAGTCGTATAACCTGGTTGGTGGATAATAAATCGGCCTGTCGAGTATCGGGATACCAGATCACAAAGATGTCTTCTGGTTCTGTGCTGGGAGGACGCGCGTAGGATTCTTGCGCTACTTGGGCTCGTCCGTCCAGCGCTGTAGCCTGAAGCTATCAGGCCGCTGTGTCAACACAACTCGGGACACCGAAGGATAAAGATGGCCGATGGTCGTCGATGTTGTGAATACAAGAGGAACACTGGCAAGGTGCCACTGCAATCCATAACCAGGAAGGGTAGGATTTTTCTGTCCTGGTCATCCGTATTTTAAAGCCACGGTCCATGATCCTACGCAGCAGCGCCTTTTCAACCCTATTCCTACATCTATCATTTCCCACCTACACACCAGAATATTAAGTCAATAAAAAAATTAAAAATTAGAAATAAAATAGTTTATTCCTCAATACCAGAGCAATGAGTCTCCATCTTCCAGCCACACGCGCCCAAGTTTTTCCATTCTCATTCCCAGTGCTAACAACCCAGTCGCCACCTAACCCACGAAGACATAAACTCCCAGAACAAACGACAAAGACCCAGATCCCTTGGACACTTCCCTCGCCTCTCCAAGGCCTATCCCATTCTATCAGTAATCATATTTCTGCGTGAATAATGGCTATACACCGTCTCATCCCACTGAAAAATCACCCCGGCAAGATATCAGACTACGACTCGAAGCCCGAAGGAGACCGACCCGTTCCAGCCGCCCGAGGAACCCTCGCCGACTCCTTCATCCCCCTGTACCTTCAAGTGTCCAGCATCAGGGGGATAGCAAAACAAAGTCCATCTACGGACCTATCCCAGCTTTGAATAATTCCAAACATCTGTAGATATGAATAGAGAACAAGTGCCGTATACCACGTACCACTCATCGCTCGGTAGACGTCCGTCTCCGAATGCAGGTCGGACGGATCACCCAGTGCGTCATCCACCGATGGAAAGGTTACATTGGCTTCTTCGACGTAATAGCGGCAGAGTTTGCGGTCGCAGATGAGGATGTTCGTAGAAGGGGGGTATGAGGTAGCGACGCGCTTGTTCTCGATGGCCACGGTAATTTTGATAGCCCCTTGTTTCCCTCGGACACGCGACCGTGGCGGCACATACTGTAGAATTCCCAACGCTGGAGGATCCTGAAACTGTCTACGATCAGACCAAGACCAAATTATCGGGAAGACACTTGGATTGAGTTGTTCATCATAGATACTGCATTGCGCGTCTATGCCATCCGTTTTGGCTATCTCGAGAAAAGATAAGAGACGCCTTGAGTCAAATCTCAATTAATGTACATGTTCGGATGCATCCGTGAAACCCAATCCACCCAGCCGCTGACTAGGCAGCCTACTATTTATAGCGCAGCAAGAAATAAAAACTTGAAACCCATAGCCGGAACCCATTGATATTCGAAAAAAAGAAAACCCGTCATGTATCGCCAGTAGTCATGAAAGAAAAAGCAAGCAGAACCCCATTATCGCCTTCCCAGGAGCCAACCAGAAGAAAGAATCGACTCATTAGACATAATCTAAGAGCGCTCACCACGGAGACGGCGGGCAAGCTGGATGTCCTTGGACTGGATGGTGACACGCTTGGCGTGGATGGCACACAGGTTGGTGTCCTCAAAGAGGGAGACGAGGTAAGCCTCGACGGACTCCTGAAGAGCACCGATGGCGGAGGACTGGAAACGGAGGTCCGACTTGAAGTCCTGAGCGATTTCACGGACCAGACGCTGGAAGGGCAGCTTGCGGATCAGAAGTTCGGTGGACTTCTGGTAGCGACGGATCTCACGGAGAGCGACGGTACCTTGGATGGATCTGTCAGCAGGATGTTCGCGGTTTGCCACCCAGGGAGAGGCGATGATAACTTACCGGGCTTGTAGCGGTGAGGCTTCTTGACACCTCCGGTGGAGGGGGCGGCCTTGCGGGCAGCCTTGGAAGCGAGCTGCTTACGGGGAGCCTTGCCACCAGTGGACTTACCTGTTGGATGAGGTGGTTAGCATGGGGTTCAGATGGATGAAGCGACGCGACAGTGACGCGAAAGTGCGACACGAGAGCAAGGACAGTGAGGTTAAGACTTACGGGCAGTCTGCTTAGTGCGAGCCATTGTAGTGGATAGTGTTTGATGGAAACAGTCGACTTAGAGATGAAAAAATGACGTTGGAGATAAAAAGTCGATGGAGTGGTGATGAGGGTTGGCGGATGGAGGAGATGAAAGAAGGACGGAGGGGGCGGGTGGGGGAAGGTATTTGTAGTAAGCGAAAGGGAGGGTGGGTGATCTGGGAGTGGCTGCCAGCAAAGTTGGGTGGCCTTAGCGCGGGTTGGCTTTGATCAGAAAAACGCTCGGAAAGCAGCAGTCGGTAAGCTCTGATTTCCGGGCGTCACTTTGGCCTGAGAATCAAAGGCAAAGGGGGAAGACTTGGTCCCTGCGCGGCGCTAAGCGAGACCGTCCGTCTCGGCCAATGGGAGCCCAGGATCACGCATCTAGAATGCCACCCTGCCACATCTTGATCCCAACCCCAGAGATGGAATGTCGCGAAATTCACCGGATCAGACGCATTCTACGCTCTCACCGGAATGCCGCCATCATTCCCGCCAGATTGATTATCGTGGCTGGCGGCCGTCCTGCCAGGATCAACTGCGCACCCAGCGGATCATCACCGCCGGGTCACGTGGCCGCCAGATCACTTCCGCCGGTTGGATCCTGCGCGCTGATTGGCTGATCCGCTTTCCCGAGCGTGATTCCAACGCGCTCCCCGCGATCCTCCCTTCGCTATACAAATATCCCCCGTCCCATGGGCGACTCCTCCAATCTTTCCCTTTCCATCTATCTCATCCGTCATCCAACCATCTCTCCACATCTCTAAACAACCTTAACTCTCTATCCTCTTAACCTTCTTAATTAACCTTCACAATGACTGGACGTAAGTCTATCCATCTTCCCCCACACAGCATCGATCTTCGATGATCGATCATCCCATCCTCTCTGATCAGAACATTCCCGGACTGACGCGTTCTTCTCCAACAGGCGGCAAAGGTGGAAAGGGACTCGGCAAGGGTGGTGCCAAGCGTCACCGCAAGATTTTGCGTGACAACATCCAGGGTATCACCAAGCCCGCTATCCGTCGTCTCGCGCGTCGTGGTGGTGTCAAGCGTATCTCTGCCATGATCTACGAGGAGACCCGTGGTGTCCTCAAGACCTTCCTCGAGGGTGTCATCCGTGACGCCGTCACCTACACTGAGCACGCCAAGAGAAAGACCGTCACCTCGCTCGACGTTGTCTACGCTCTGAAGCGCCAGGGCCGTGAGTATTCCTTGCTTCTTGACTTCTTGGGTCTGTGTCTAACATCCTGCCTAGGTACCCTGTACGGTTTCGGTGGTTAAATGCTTTCTATTTCTTCTTTCGTGCTTCTCTTTTCTCTTTAGCCATCCTGCGCGGTCGGCGCGTCCATGTCCTTCCGCAGCAGTGACGCGACGGGTTGCTTTTTCGGGTTGGTTCATGGTATGGCTGGGACGTTGGGGTGTTCTTGATCTTTTCTTACAAGTGTCATGGGTCTCTGGGTTTCTGCTTTTTTTTACGTATCTTACTTTACTATTCCACGTCCACTACTGGTCTGCTGGTGTTCGTGCTTGCTTTTTCTGTATCATAAGCGGCCTTTATGCTTCTGGCTGGTGCCACGCCTAGAAAGTATCGCGTCTTACTATCGCGCGATCGGTATGAATACAAACGCTTAAAAGGAATTCTCTGTTCGGTAAATTTTCTGTGTGTGTTTTGGCTGTGCTCTCTGTAGGGTCTTGTTTATGGTCGCGTTTATCGACGCGTCTGGCTTGCGGCCCACATGGTCGGTGCTCGCGTTATGGCATTCAGCAAGAACATGATTCAACATTGGACTTGATCATTTCTTGTGTGCGTACTAGGTCTTTTCTATGGTGACAATTCATGATGCTCTTCGTGTCCATGAGCATGTTAAACTCGCTGATGGTGCGAAGGCGTCTACTGTATCATTCATTTTGGGTGTGATTTTGTAGTTTCAACGTCAGCCTTCATGTGGCTGCCTCCCTGTATGTACTGTAATAATATTATGGGTATTCTCGGTCAGATTCTTTCTCTTATAGTCGGTTCTTGCTTGTGTACTCAGTGTTGCGGTGGCGGAAACGCTTTCGCGTTGATGTGTTGCGCGCAACGGACTGTGATAAGCTTGAATCGGTCTAGATTATATGATACTCGTGTTAATTTCATCGGATTGGGGTCTTTTCTTCTCTATTTTCATTTTTATTCCGGCTGGCGTGATTGTACGTCCCGATGATAGTAGGTTGCTATATAGTATTGACATCAGTATATATATACAACCGCATCCAAAGCAGTATCGCCAACTTTCCAATCAAATCACCGGAAGCTGTCACCATACAATAGAGCAAAACACAATAAAACCCTCTAGTTATCCTAAGAGCTAAACCACCAACATAGGCACCCAAAAAATGCGATGGGAGATCATTCTCACACCCCGAACAGTTGAACCCCATTACTCCTTTGGGGGTTCAACCTTATCACTGTCACGGGGTTCAACCCCCAGATCGAGACTAGTGGAATCTCACGAGCACGGGCCACCTGGCAGCCTGAGGATCCCAGGATTCTGCAGGTTGAGGCCATGCGGGCTTTTGTCATGGATCTTCCGTAGAGGTGGAAGCGTCTGACATGAGTACGCTGGGTGACTCAGATATGGCTTATGGTAACTAGTAACGCAGTCAGCACTCCAACTCAGTGGAATAATGCAGTTAGAGTGGTTACATATACGCCGTATACTCTGTAGATCGAGCAATAATATATAGTTGGTCACCTGCAGGAGTAGTGCTGCCCCCCACCCTTGTGATACCCCCAAATTAATGACCATCTGCTACACCACCCAAGTCCCACGACATTACATTCATACCAGGATTCTGACTACAATCCCCAAAGCCCACAGTCACCAGCAGCACAGGCTTGTCACACAAAGATCCGAAGTTGTCGACGCGCAGCACTAAGCCCGATTGGACCCGACCCGTGTTTCTCCCGACGCCCTCCATCGCGTCTACCTTGCCTCGAGCTGACGGAAACACAGACTTCGACGACCGTTGGCCGATCATATCGGCTGTCAGAATTGCCTTTCAAATACACAGCGGAAGAACCCCCCCAAGACATACATGCGCTGAATTCGAAATGCCGCCCCCAGTCCGAGGTCATGACCTGGATCACTCGCGAGATGAGCCCTTCAATCGCCACCCCAGGGTCCTACCCACAAGCCCTCGCAAATATAACCAACATCACCTGAACTACACCGCGAAACATTGGTCACCTAAGCCATGAAGTGACAGACACTCGTTAAAGCGCGCGTTGGTGGCTCGTCCTTCGTGCTGCCCCCCTCTCAACCCCTTACAACCAAGTCGTTCTACGAAAACGACAAATTCGACCTCATGAGACCTCACGATCGCACTGCTCTCCCCTGACCGCGAAGCGACCGCAACTTTCCGGCCCGAGGACCCACTGTCCTCACCAACACCGTCAACTCCTACCAACCCTTGTCACCCACAGGGACCATCAGCAGCCAGAGGTTCAATATGCTCCGGGGTAATCACCCCCTCCCATCGACCGACTCTAGTCCCACAGTTCGAATGCAAGGAGAGACCGAACCATTGGCCGCCGAGGGGCCTTGAGTTACAACATCATACCGAACATTCTCAAACCAAAGCCGCTACCTTCGTCCAGTAGCAATCTCGAGTCCGTGGACAGGATGCACTCAGCGACTGCAAAAACAGAAAAGGAGTCTTCAAGGATAGAGCAATCGATGGCTATAAAACATAGGGGCTCTGGAACACATCACCTGTACAAGGAGTGGATTGTCAGGACCGCTGGCGCATTCGACGAACCGCGAAGCCGAGAGCCGAGATCCTATAGGCATTCTCGTTCAAACCCACAACCATGTAGGGAGCATGGTTCAAATCACACAAAACCCGACGGAGAAGGCGAATACTCGTGGTGCGAGGATCGGTGCTATGCCAAAGCCAAACGGTATGGATGGACGCTGGAGTGGTCTCCAAATGGCCGTCAACTGCACTGTCAGTTTTCCGCATTGTCTGCTCTCCTGCAGGATTTATCGTCGTACAGTCACATAGTCATATATGATGGGAACCCTCAGCGGGTCATCGGTTGCCGCGAGAATTAGCGATCGCGCGTACGTTCGTTCTTTGAATCCGTCGACACCCTCTGGCCCTGCTAGAGCTGCTTCACAACTTCTTGTCGTCGCCCATGATGCGACCTGACATACGCGCAAGCCGAATGGCGCGCCCCAACGACCCTGGAAGGCTGCAAATCGCCTCCCTTATTGGCCTCGGTCGCACTGGGAGCCTCTATCGCGGTGGCGCCGTCAACAACCTCTGCATGAGACTAGATTACCGATGTAAATGGGAACCACATGTCTCCCAAACCCGAAGATATGCTGACTGCGGTAGCCACTGAAAAATGGAACACTCTACACTGAAAGAAATCGAAATCCCATCGGGAGGTATGGACACCCTGATCATTACTACAGCATGCCTTACCCGTGGTGCTCCCATAGCGCAGGGCACTGAATAGTCGCAGACAAGAAGTTGATTGAGGTGGATATGCGATCCTCCCGGAACTGGAAGCGCAATGCCTCCATGAATGCCATCAACAACATAGCCAACCCCAAGGCAGGGACCGAGCCCCTCTAGTTGTTCATGGCACAATGCACCCCGGACCGTCGACCGACCCTACCTCTACGACCGAACTATATCATACCTGCGCACGAGGTTCCCTGGATGCCAGCGATCGACTTCATCGCAGTACCCTATATGGCTGTACGGCATCGCCCAAACCGAATGGAGTTATTCCGATGCGAAACTGAATGCGCCGTACCAACCAGTAGGAGGAGTGCACGCCGAAGCATCAGAACAGGGACTCGAGTCCCGCCTCAAGGATTCGCTGACGACGAGACGAACAACCGACTGGTGATCATGAAAAAAACCAGGCGTTATTTCGATGGTACGATAGTAACTACTCGATGACAAACGTGTCGACCAACCTCCCCCCCCCCCCGAGAGCCTCACCACGAGCCACAAGAAGCAGGACTCTGGGAACAGCGGGATATTGGTGGCATGGGAAGAGTCACCAAGCCCTCGAGTGACAGCGTCGTCGAACAAGTGGGTCAATGTATGTTGATAACACCCGCTCAACCTGCTTGCAAAGAAGTACGGGTCTCAAGACTAACATGCGTCCGTACTTCTCACAGGTCACCTTCGAGATCGATTCCTGGACTTATCCTCACCACCGGCAGCGACTAGGACGGCACTTGATATGCGGAGAGGGCCCGTGAAGACATTCCCAGCAGAAGAACGGGGTTCTCCCTGGTCGCAGCGTTGGCGAAGGATAACTGGAGCCATAATATCTACATGTACGGAAGTCGAATTGTCAACAAAGACTACGACAAGATCTACGCCTATCCATACCCTCGTTCAAGTGGACATCTGTCGCGGTGATTCCTCTCGATTTGGAAATACTTGTCACCTGTCGCCAACGGCAGCTGGCCACTGTCGGCCGGCGATTGGGAGGATGTTCGACATGTCCGGATAATCGCCGAGTGGGCAAGTGTATGATGCCTATGCATCGATGTATTAGGTTCCCGACAAAGTATACAAGGCGACCAGTGGAGAATAAGCTTGAAGACATTACGGGGTCACCATCTCCCTAGACACAAAAGCCAACGAATTGACAGCAGACGGAAATGTCCTCAGAACGGATTCAGGACTAGCTCACCCCCAATTCCAGCTCGCCCAAGACCAAGACAACGGCATTAGTGGAGGCGTCATCATTGACTCCGTCGCGGAAGCTGCCTTGATCCTCGCCCGATCTTCTGCAGCGACATCTACAAGCAGCACCGCACCGACAGGGCGGCGACATGTCAGGGACCAACCAGGCCGGCGTATCACCTGAGGCCATCTGGCGCACCGATAAGGCGACAGGGCGGACTTGCCGGGACCGGACGACGAACAGAGCATGCCACCGGTGCAGCTGCAGGATGACGGTCATGCGCGGGAATTGCCGGCGAACACAGTCAGCCGCGATCGGCCGGAGTAATCGTGTAACTCGCCGGGCTGGTCAGATACGCCCATCTCATTCCGACCGTTTACAAATCTCACAGCGGAGGAGAGGCAGGTAATTCTCGATCCAGATTTCGAGATCAGCCCCTGACCGTTACACGATGAAACCACCCCCAAACATTCAATCTGCCGAGGTAGACCCGGGGACCCGTATCCGTGGAAATAAAGCCGTTCTAAATCTGCACCTCCCGACATAACGAATGGGTATCCATTGCAACAGGTCCAATCACCAGAGTAAATGGACGCCATGCAGCCGACGATCAGACCACCGCGGACGGTTGGCTGGAGAATAAGCGAAACGAGAGGGAGGAGGTATGTACCACCACCCACAGTAACCACCCGATAGGCAGACGAACAGGGAAGAAGGAACGGACTCCACCAGCTGCATATCTCCATTCTCCGCAGGAAGCTCCATCCATAGCTCCATCGCTGCACTGCAACCCAACGATCAATTCGGCCGGAACTCTAAGCTCTACCGTAAGCCGTAAGCCCGAACGGTGATTGAATCATTAAACCCCTCCGCGGTCCCTTAGCAATTGTCGATCCTCCACCGTACTCCTACAGCAGTTATCAATTATCTACCTGCCCTACGCAGTAGTCCCGCCGTTAAGCCACGCACGTAGTTAATTAACCATGACCACATTATGCAGCCCGTACGAGTATGCAAAAGTAGACACATTGAATACCCCAACCCCTGGATCGCACATTCCGCGCCAGTGCCACAGACGTCAAACGGATTGGAATCGACACTGAAACCCACCCGATGCGAGTGGGACGCCAGGGGGCCCCGAAGATCTGATTTGATTTGAACACGGAGTAGGGCATATCCGGTGGGCTGGGTGACCCGGTGGGCTGAAACGAAGACGAAATTATTGCAATTTCAATTCAATTGAAATGTATTCTGTATGTAGTAGTTAGGTAGGTTTCGACTTTCAGTCATACATACGCACATATCACACATCCTTCCCTCCATCCGGAGGGAGGGAGGGGGGGAGGGACGGATCAGTAAAGCAGACAGGGGTAGAGGGAGAAGGCATGCACATGAGTCCATCTGGAAACGAATAAAGTGTCCCGGGACGGAGGGCTGGGATTGAACGCCATAGGAGCAGTAGCTATCTGCCCCTAGGGGTACGGCAGCGTTAGGTTTGCTTCAATTCGCGATGCTCAGTGGACGAGGAGGGTCGAGCGAGGCATGTACGATGGCGTCATGATCGACAGTCACACTTTTTCTTTTTCTTTTTCGGTTTTATTTGCGGTGCGACAGTTTCAATAACTATAACCAATAAATCTATTATTTCCGTCGGGTAGGTTCAATTGCATTCTTTCTCGCCTGCAGGAAGAATTACTCCATCAGGAGGAATACTTCATAAATCGACAGGTAGCAAATGGTAAACAAATAATAAACACACCGGCAGATAACATCACGCATCCACTTTCCTTCAAGCCACATCCATCACTTTGATTACCCACCGGCGTCAGGGACTGTCATACATACATAAGCTGCAACGTGACAATTGAAAATACTCAATACATAGCGATATCCCTCGGTAGAATTGAGACCGGCAGATCTCCACTCAGCTTTAAAACTGAATTAATGAAAATGAGCATGCGGAGTGGAGTGGAGGGACGGACCCACACCCGACGGGGGCCCAGCTTCGCGACTCGACTTCTGCATCGTACTCTGGAGTCTAGATGTAGCTCTGAGTCCAGTACTTATTGTACTCTCATCTACTGCTAGGAGCACGGAATGGAATGACCGCCAGTTGTTGGTTACGCACAGGGACAGAATAATGCGATCATGGATCATGGATCATGGATCATGGATCATGGATCATGGATTCTCATCCTGTCTGTTCCCTCCATCTCCATGCTCATCTCCATCTCTATCGCATGACTACCTATGACTATGATATGACTATACCATGACTTAAGCCGCCAGGACTCATGATCGAGATTACGAATCCTGCGGACGGAGTGAGCCCTGATCCAGTAGCTCTACACCACACACTACGCCGTACAATCCTAGATGCAGTTGTACTCTCACCACTAAGGTGCCAGTCACCAGTCAATCACCAGTCCTACATCCAGTCCAGAGTAGTCACGGACCAAAGCCAAAAGCCCCAGAACCAGGACCAGGACAGGACCAAGCCAGGACTAGAACTACCCCGTCAGACGCAAAAGGACCCACCGAGGCAGAAGTTCCTCCGCCCCGTCAGCCCGTCGCAGTTTAGAGCAGCGTTAAAAATGCCCCCTCGTGCAGATAGATGAACCAATTGGGTACAGGGGGTGGCTGGGATCGGGTGATGAGGGAGGAGCGGAGATCCAGCCTCTCTGACTGTACTTTGGGCTTTGGTTTTTTGTCGGCCTTGTGCGGTGCTGGATTGCTTGATCTGGTTAGAGGATAGCTATGCTTGAATATTTAAAGAAAGGTACATACGGCTACAGCAGCAAAAGTACTTTTTAAACTTATTTCTGATTATGAGACGCAGGTGGACTCTGCATGGCTATTGGTAGGGTTGTGGATATATCTCCTGGGTTGGAAGGTACTTTTGTCTGGAGCTGGTGCCTGTGCAGGTGTCAACTATTAACACTACGGAGTACTGTTCTGCTGAGGCCTAATTTTCCTATAGAGAAATTGGCAGTTGCTGGAGACATTGTAGTAGTCATGATTTATTGTAATGTACACTAATACTATACAACAATTTGTACCGAGTCGCACCAATTTGTACACCCATGCCAGAACCCATGCAGATCAATCGCAAGCAAACAATTCCATCAACCGGAAACATCATAGACAAGTAATCATACAGAAGTATTGTACATCGTAAGGGCAGGATTCGTAACACGAAGATCCCATCCACGTAATAATAAACAGATCAATCAATCGTAATCTCGGCTCGAAGACAAAGCAAAAAACACCCCGACAGTGAACAGAATTGCTTCTTTTGATGCAACCAATGTAAAAAAAACAATGACAACCCACCCATAATACAGAAGAAATCTATGACCCACTCGATAATGCCACGAAAAAAGCGACCAATCAACTCCGGAAACAAAAGAGCCTGCTTTCTGAATTCATAAAACACCCGTTGCCAAGAATGAAAAGTAATAAAAGAGTACAGTAGCAAAATAGCAAAGAGCAAACAGCGTATGCGTCATAAAACATCGGAGGGTGATGCAAAGAAGAGGATGGAATCCGACGCCTTTCGTCGAGGATACGTCATTTCCCCGACGCAGCTGCAATGATGTCATCATTGCTGATTCAGGCTGCAAGGCCATTGAGTGCAGTCGCCCGAAGCGGCAGGTTCGACCGGCGATCCGGAAGGGTTAGCGAGTCCTTTCCCGTTTAGGTAAGGTCGATGACGTCGGAGGCTTTCTCTCGTCATCCTGACTCAGGCCGAAAGGGTAAAACCCGTCGACTGGTTGACCTCCGTCAGACCCAAAAAATTAAGGCCCGTATTCGAAAGTATCCCCATCCCATTCGTGGCTTTGGCAATTTCAATGTTTGTCACTCGTATTTTCGAAGTGGAGTAGACTGTAGGAAAAGGGAGGAAAGGAAGATCACACTCTCGCTTTACTCCCTGCCCTTCCGTCTCTGCTTGCCCGGCCAATCAACTTCGGGATGGACCACTCGCATGTGCCGGGTGAGCGCATCATTGCGTGAGAAGGTCTTCTCTTCCGTGCACAGATGACACCGAACCTTCTGCTTGCGAGCGTTGTGGATCGTGTCCTCGTGCCGCGTTAAATCGTAAGGTCGCGAGAAGATCGAATTGCAGGGCTTGCCCGTTGAAGGATTGATCCGCTCACACCGGTGGGGGCCAGCCTGAGAGTTACGCGACGTAGTGTCCCGGCCGACGAGGTGGCCTCCAGGGGTCGTCTGACGGTGGGCCTCGCGCTTGTGCTTCTGGAGCCGGGCGGGGGTCTCGAATCGTAGAGTGCACCCGTGATAGGTACAAGTGTAGGTCCCACTGTCTGCGGAAGTGTTTTCCGGCCGCGTAATTTCCTCGTTGACGGGGTGAACCGCCAATTTCGACTGAGCCGCCTGAGGGGAGGTCATCTCGGTGGTGGGGAGCGCGATATCGCTGCCCGTCGACTCGAAAGTGGGGAGAGACGGCGGGAAGTTTGGCGTCTGCTGCAAGAGGTTGCCATCTGGCTGGGCCTGTTGCTGCCGCTGGCCGAACGGAAATTGCTGATCGACTCCCGCATTCGTAGCGTACTGACTAGGGAATGATTCCATCGAAGTGAAGTTCTGCGACTGGGGGAAAGAGGAGCTGCTTTCCCGGCGGAGTCCCAGCGTGTCGCCCAAGTTGAAGTCGGGCTGGTTGGGCGGGAACAGTGGCAAACCGTTGTCTTCACCTTCGTGGAAATCCAGCAAGGCATCCTTAGGAGACATCGTGTTGGGCTCGCCCTGACTCTGCTGCGGCTGCTGTTGCGGCTGGGGGTTGACCATGTTCTGGGGCATGGGCATGCTGGTCGCCATCTGGGGCTGCTGAAGGCCGACAGTGTTGTATTCGGCGGCCAAGGGGGAGTTCTGTCGGAAGGGAGAGCGCTCCCGCTTGATGCCCGACGTGGGCGATTGGGAGCGAGCCGACATATGTCCCTGGTTGGCGGCCTGGAGTCGGTCGGCAAAGACGTTGCGATAGGGAGTCAGCAGGGCTTGCTGGTTGTTCGCGGACGGCTTGGAGACCTGAGGGGTAGACATGATAGCCGGGTTGTAGAGTTCATCCTGATAGATATCGGAGATGGTGCGGTTGAGCTTGGGCACGCCAATCGACATGTTGCTTCCGCTGGGGACGCCGTAATCTGCAAACGCATCGGCGTGTAAGTAATCGTCCATCCACCGATCGATATCAGGGTATGTCTCACCATTGACCATGGCCTTCGAGGCTTCGTCGAGTTCCTCAAAGCTCGTCTGAGGAGTCACAGGCGAGTTGTGGCTCACACTGGACACCGAAGGTGCCAGAGAGTATTCGTTTGATTGTTGCTGTTGCTGTTGTTGTTGTTGTTGTTGTTGTTGTTGCTGCTGCTGCTTCTGTCGCTGCTCCATCACGGCCCGTTTCATAGCAATCTCCGCCTCGACTTGACTACCATCGTGCGAGGACGGGTCAAAGTTCTGGTAGGGAGTCGCCAGGAAGTTGTTCTGGACTGGAGTTTGGACGGGAGTAGGCAGAGGCTTGGAGGCGGCGGACCCGTTGGAGCTCCGCTGGTAGGAGTGGTTCGCAGGAGCGGACCGACTCGAAGACGAGCTGGGTGACGACCTGTGCTGCGAAGTCTTCTGAATGCGAGCGGGGCTCAGGAGCTGCGGGTTTCCCTCCCAACCGTGGACACTTGCGATGGGTTGTTGGGCCAACATTGAGGAAGTGTCAAAGAGAAACTGCTGGGGGTATTGGTGGTGAAGGTAGGGCTGAGCGGACTGTGGTGAAGCGGATCCCTGGAAGTGGTAGGTAGGGTTGTAGGAGGATGCAGGTGTCATCGAAGGGGCCTCGAGCGAGTAGTCCGCGGGGACGGCCGAGGACGCCGGGTAGTGGGAGATGGAGGAGGCGGGAGAGGACGAAGGCGAGGAGGGCGCGGAAGACGGCGGAGAGACGAACTGGAAGTTCTGCTGGTGGTACTGGAAGGGAGACTGCAGACGAGTCTGCTGCTGGTCGAGGTACTGCAGCGACGCGTCCTGGGAGAGATCGGGGAACAGCAGGCCGTCTTGTATGCAAACGGAGTCTTGATAGTTGACAAATGGAGCCGACGTGGGTTCGGTGATAAGACCTTTACGTCCCGAGGGCTGCATGTACATAATGTAGCTCTGACACGATTGGACGTTTAGTGGGCCGGAGGAGTTGCCACTGAGATGGGAAGGCGTGGCGAGGTTAAGTAGTCGACTGGCCCGACGGCCCTGGGCAAATGGGAGCGACCGAGTGGACGGGTCGAGCAGAGGGTTTGACTCGGCGTTCAAAGACAAATGGGAAAATCAAGTGCAGCGATCGAAAAGTCTGGAAACGTCTGGTAGAGGCCCAATGAGCGGTGGTGATCAAAGGCTCAGTTGACGCGGAAACCTTGGGAAGGGAGGCAGTCTCTAAACCTAATCGGAATGGGGGATTAGCAGGATGACTCAATGACGAAAGTTAAACCGGGAGACTGGTTCATGGAACCGGATGTCCCAAAGAGAGGTGCGACTAAAAAAGAAGAACGCAATCGAGGGAGGAATGCGGGCAGACCAGAGTGGGCCGAGGGAGGGCGGACTTACTATATGACGATATAGTGATAGGAGGACAGGTGGGCGAGGAGGGTGGGATTGGAAATCAAGGATTCAAGATAAGATCTGAGAAGGAGGGAGAAATGAAACCGGGCTGAGGGAGATATCAGGGGAATGATAAATAAAAGATGGATGGAACGATGTCTGATGTGGAAAGTAAAAAGAGTGGCCTGGTTTGGGTGGGAGGGCTTTTTATTTCACGGAGCACTCCTGCGATGCATGACTTCACTGCCCGTAGGAAGAGGCATGTCCGTACGGTAACGCCGACCTGCAATTACGGGGCGGCCGGTAATTACAGATCCCGTACTCGTAACCCAGCGATCTGCAGGTCTCCTCCGCCCACCCACGCTAATTTAATTCATTAATTCATTAATCAACTCGCAGGCAGCCCCACCCCCCGGTTTATCGCCTAAGGCCTTGCATCTCAGATGTTTCCTGTGGCTTCTCCGTTCTTCTGAGCCACACTCGACTGCCCCTGCCGGACCGTCCGACTGCCCCGGACTTAACACGGACTACTCAGTATAATCGATGATGAATTATTATTTATTGATTATGAATGATCCATAGTGACTGTGACTGATGACTGGTTTTGATTCACTGCTCTGACACAGAGTGCTATTATTAATCCTCCCCATAACTCCGGACTCATCAATAGATTCTAGCAGAGACTCCGAGGAACCGCCGAAACCAATAATGCTGTTCATTGTTCCCTCGGGGGTGTTAGGGCCACCAATCAGAAGCCGCCATCCGGGGCTAAGCCACCCACCCAGAGATCGATCTCGTGTCTCCTTTGATCGGGCCACAACTTCAGGGACCCTTACAGGTGACAGGTCGACCGGCAGATCATGGCGTGGTAGCATCCTCAATGGGAAATCGGTCGATGTGGATAATTTACGCGATCAGCAGCTGTGAATGTGTCTGACTGACAGATTTTTCTCTTCCTGACCACCTACTCCGTATGTTCTGTATACTGCAGCTGAAGCGGGTCGATCATTTGTTGGGTTCGGATCAGCCACGCTAGCTGCGCCACAGACACTGTGGCTTCTGCACCGCTGCATAACTAATCCCGTCACTAACGGCCGCTATTTGTCATCTATGATTCATAGTGCGCTGCGACCGAGGTTCGTCGGAGATGGCCGGTCCTTGATTTCATCACGTTGGGGCCCCTACGCAGGGCAGGGCATCGCAGGACCCTTCTGGCATGCCCCATTGCATTCCACCGGGGCATCATGTCCTCGGCCGTTTCGCTCTTTTCGCTCGCCAGGCGCAAACCTGCAAAAGGCGCGGCCGGACTTAGCAGTGAGCCAGCCCTCGGCGAGTCGGCGCCAAGACCCGACTGGCCCGAGTAGTCTGATTTGGCGGCTCGACGGTGCCGAGCGACTCTGGCAATCCTCTTAGCAGCATCGCACTACTGCGCTGGGTTGAGTTCTCGACCGTCTCGGCCGGCATTGACGCTGCCTGTCCGGTGACCTGCTTTCTCCTCGCTTCTGAATTTTCATTTCATTCCAGACCTAGTCTGCATTTCCAAGGAAAAGGGGGGGAAATATCCAGGTCAGCTGATAGGTGGCCGTCTGGCCATGTCCGTGGCATGACTCCGTATCTCGACAGGCTGGGGTAGGGGTAGTATGGCATGAACCAACAATTCCGACCCCCCCCTAATGCACGCTACCGATTATCACAGACTCATTCATGGCCAGAGGAGCATCTGACTGGACGAGTCTTGGTCCTGACTCATTGATCGGACTACTGGTGCTGGGAAAGGGGTATGTGCAGACGAGGGGGATGGGAAGATTCATTCCAGGTCTCAACCAGGGGAAAAGCCTCCCCGCCGTGCTTTTTATTTCGTCTGCCTTGCGAGCGAATCGCCTCACGCAGGCTGAGCGTCGGGGGTTTTGCCTCTTTGATCTGGCGCGACATGAGATGACTGATTCTGTATAAATGACTAAACTACATACGTATGCGTATACGCCTCTGTTGTCTGCCTGCCTACGCAGCATCAGCTTTCACATGCAAATGAGTCAGTCAGCGACCCAGTAGTCTGGATAGGATAGGATAGGATAAACTCGTAGTCCACGCTAGTCAACATAGTCAAGACAGCATCCCACAAGCTCTCCCCCGGAACGTCTTCCAAATGGCCACTGCCTTGGTCCTGGGAAAGACCACACGTCGTAGTGCGACAACAGATGGAGCAACGAAAGACGACAGGGTAAACAGGCAAGTTCAAGACGGAGCATAGCCAATGATTCACACCTCCAGACCAGACAACGTGAAGTCAAGAACAAGACACCCCACAGAATCCACTCCAGCCTCAAGCGTGCAAGTCCGTGTCCAACGCACCAGCCAATCCCCAGAGCCGGATTCCTTTCTCAGAGTCTCAGCCCGGGCCCACTGCCAGACGACAGACGACAGCTGAACCGAGTGGCGACTGGCGAGTCGAGTTCCCATCCCACTACCCAGTAGCACCACCCCTAGTGTGTTTTTGCCCCGGACTTTCAAGACTCCTCCTAGTCTGTCGAATGGGATCAGGACCGTGATTCGCTCCCTTCAGCCGGAGCTACTTTGGTCTCTCAATCTCGGACCCTAATAAGCTCGCATGGCCATGCTTCGTGGCCCCCATGTTGTGTTGCGCAGTGGTGCGCGTAATCCACGCTTTCCTTGATTCCGAACCCTCGATTCGGGGAGGACGGAAACCGGGGAACCTGTCTAAGCCATCATTACCCTTTCTTAGTTCCTTACCACTACCCTAGTTCTTGTTTTTTTCCCGGCAGCCTGGGAAGCTTCCCAGCTACCCACTCCCCGATCTGATCCCTTTAGATGATGATGGTGATCAATGCCATTGACTTTTGCGCGTGAGCGGGTCTGACAAGCAGATCTGGCTGGAGTGGATATCTACGGAGTAGATTCAATGCCAAAGTTTCCGATTTCCAGGTTTCTGTCTATTTTTTCCTTTGACCCCCCCCCCCCCCCGAAAAGCCACGTAGCTTATCTCGACGAGATCGTTGGAACCGACACAATCATGATTGTATCGGCGGTGGGTATTGGACGTATACCCTGGCGCGAGTGACGGGGGATTGGCTTTGGGGATTGGATTGGGTTGTTCGGGTCCGATAGGCTTTTCGCTTTGGGTTAACCTCGTACATGCGGTGCGCAACTACATCATGACTTTTAAGGTTCGATCTTGGCCAGAGGGTTTGTTTTTCGGTCTCTACCGGAGGGGAGAGGGTTTAGTTTGCTTTGCTTTGCTTTGCTTGACTTTTGGGTGTGGTACTTTTTGTTTTGTGGAAGTGAAAAAACAAAGGAGAAAGAACCGAAGAAACGGTATCTTATTTTTTCTATTTTATCTTGCTTTAATTTATTTGTTGTGTTTATTTCTCAATCGATGTCCCAGCCCAGCAGGCAGTTTCCTACGTAGCGTAGTCGGTATACGAAGTATACGCCCGGGTAACATCGAATCCTACGGTACCTATCTAGTAGAGCAGGGATTAAAAAAAATCTAACCGATAAGCACTTTAAACGGGGTTGCAGTCGCACGGGGACAATCACACCCGCGCTGCCACATGTCCAGCGACCGAAGAAAACATGGGCATATGCATGGAAGGGCAGAAAATTCTTCTAGCGTCTTAGACTGGTAGGGCGACGAGGGCGTGGACGAGCCTGATTGGTGACAGCGGGGGCTGGGGGAGACTAGCACAGCCACAGCCTGTGCAGGTGTTGATGAAAGAGGGAAGGGAAGGGACAGACAAAAACGATCGACCTTGGGGTGGGGATTCCTTCAGCAAGGGTGGGTGGGTGAGTGGTAGGTTTTTTTTTTTTTTTTTTTGGCGTGGCCTGTGATGGTAATTCCGAGGTTGTAAAAAATATGCAGGTGTGAAAACTGAAAAAAGAAAACTAGCGTGTTTTTCTTTTTCTAAATGCAGCGGTGCAGGCAGTGTGGTAGGTCAATTCAGCATTACGAGGACAGTACGGCAGGGATGTTGGAAATTCTCAACGTAATTACATACAGGAGGTGCCGTATATGCGGTACGACTGAAAAGTGAAAAGTACAAAAATATGCATGAGCAAAAAAAAAGCACAGCATCGAATCAGATCATGCAGGTTGTCTTTCCTAATTCCATCCCATGTACCCGGTCCAAGGCCTTGGCATCGGCGGTTCCGCGCAAAAGACTTTTCCAGAAGCCTTCTAAATTTGGGTCGGCGCACTAGTCACTGGCCCTGCGCTGCCTGTGCGCTGGAAAATTTCTGTTGGGATGCATGAATGGACGCTTCAACACTATTCTTGTCGCAGGTCGCGACATGCTCCGACCATTCTGGGCCGGGGATTGGACAGGCTAGGGAAGAATTTTCAATCGCTCGTCTGATCCTATCGATCGTGATTTGTCTGCTCATTGCATTGCATTGCGCTTTGCAAGTCCGTGTTTCCGAGCTCTCTCCGTACTCCGTATCTACTCCGTAGCCCGTATGCAGGTGGTATCTACATTCTACATGCCACCTCGGGATCTCGTCGCTTAGATCTCATCACTAGTCGCCTTTGGGAAACGTTTACGACAATATAGTACTACGACTACGGAGTAGGACTGCTGCCTCCTTCAGCTGCGAAAATTCTGCGTTGCCCTGCTTGCCCGGTTCAATGCGACCGTTCAGCTTGGATGTCTGCCCTCCGTCGGAGTACTCACTTCCTAGTCAGGATGTGTAACTCCCGTAGCGACGGAGTAGAACATCCCGGAACTTTTCACCGGTCGCAGACCCGAG